AGAGTACTACAGACTAGTTTAGTATACTGTGTAGTATAATATATTATAGTTGTGTGCTGTAATGTTGCAAAGTAGGTGCAGTATTGGTGTGGTCTTGGCAAAAGTGGCCAGCTCGCTTGGGTGGCCAGCTCGCTTGTGGAGTACGTTAAGGCCTGTAAATAGTTATTTTTTTGTGTTGTGTTGTGATATAGCGCTGCGCAGGCGTTCTGTTATTGAAAGTGCGGCGCTCGGTTGGGTGCGGCGCTCGCTTGTGAAACACGTTATAGGTCTTGTATAAAAGGATACAGAAAAACTACTCTACAATGCTACAGTTCCTTGCTCCTTATATATAAGAGTTTGGTGGCAGTTTGGTGCGAGCTTATGCCATGCGACAAGGGCCATGGCCATGAGTCGCTGGAACCGTATCCTAGTGGTATCGGGGCACTGTTCGCAGGGAGAAACATCCCACGTTAAGCAGCTGCAGCAAGTGCGACAAGTGTAGAGGCATGCACAGAGTAATGATCTTGTGCTTTTTACAGTACTGGTGAAATTTAACTAAGTTATAGCTCTTATAGCTGTCTAGAATAAGCAGCTAATAGCTGCTAACAGTGCGCGCCTTTGTATACTTATTAAAGTGCTTTAGCTACTTAACCCTAAGCTTATTATTAGTCTAGCTATTATTAGAGATATTAAGAGCCTAGTTGTTAGGTATACTAGGCTCTTTATACTAGGTAGAGAGATAGTGCTTGCTAGAGAAGATCATAAAAGGTAGGATAGACTAGCCCTTTACATTAATGCCCTAGATAATACTAGTCTACTCCTAGCCGCCCTGCTGTACTGTCTTTAGTCTCCCTTAACGCTTAAATCCTGTAACAACAGCTCCTGTGGATATAACGCCTATTATAAAGCTAGATTTGTTAAAGTTGTAGGTGTCTTTATCCTAGATACTATACTTAGCTTTAGTATGCTCTACTAGGCGAAAATAGTCTCCTATTACCTTAGGATCCTTATAAAGGGCTCTCTTGTGGATAAACTTTTAATTAAACTTAACTCTAAGCTCTAGCCAACGTTTAACAAAGTTAGCAGCCTAGTTCTTGCTAACAGGGGTCTAGTGGCGCTTAGCAAGTAGAGAATTGGCCATATCCTCTACATCAGCAAGCTGGGGCGAGTAGCCTCGCTCATCTAGCTTTAGTACGTGCTGGACAATCACCTCCTCCTCAGTACTAGCTAGCTTAATCATGTTAGGCTTACAATCGCGTCGTGAAGTAGTTCTAGCAAGTTAGTCACTAAGGGTGCTTTAAGACACGTTGTAGATTGCAGCAGCGCGTTGCTGGGAGAGTGTTGCGTCTTTTTAGATAGCCTGTAAGGCAAGCTATATATTAGCCCTATTTAGAGGCTTTTTTGTGTTGTTGCGTTGAGACATTAAAGGTAGAGTGAAGTTTAGCGTGGTCTTGGCAAAAGTGACTGGCTCGCTTGGGTGACCGGCTCGCTTGTGGAGTACGTTACTTGTAGTTTGTCCAGTGGAAAGGAAACGTGGGCTGTCGAAACAGCTGCTGCTGTGCAAGCCTCATGTGTGCAGGGGGAGGCGAACACTAGTGATCTACCTCAATATCTTCCAAAAGATATACACAGCCCTCAATGGCGCTTGACTTAATTGACTGCATGCTTCGTCCAAATGCGTAGGCTGAGCGACCAAAGCCAAGTTTGATCAGGCTTACCTACTGCTCAGAAGGTCCTTTAAGCGAAGGGCCGTGCAAATGAACGTACGTGGCACATCTAGTCTAGTCATACAACATAACAACCTGACTTACCGACAGCTTTTGGCACAATAATGCGATTTGCTGAAGCAACACAGGGTCGCCCTCAGAAAGCCATGTCCGGAACCATGTCTGACATTTAGGGCGAAGCGGGCATGCGGTCCGGAGCGAAACTTCCGGAACGACTACTTGTTGATGAACGCCACTTGCTGCCAGCAGTACAACATGAAAGACGCAACGAGTGAGCCGAACGTATGTCCTCGCCGATAATACTTAGGCATTCTAACAAGATGAGACCGTCCCAATTTTACACTTTCTCTGCCTACTTCAAGCCCTATAGATAGCACCCTGTCGGAAGGTTAGACAAGGATGAACATCAATCCCACTTCAGCCGTACCAAGGTGACAAAAGAATTCTTGTCTTTTCACTGTGTACTTACTAGGGTCAGATGTTGCAAACACTTGGCATTGTTCAAATACCCGCGGATTTGAATGTAGCCCTATCAAGGCATCGCTGAATTCGTAACTATTAGCGTAAACGAAGAGGAATGAGGTAGTGAAGAGGTACAGGATGCTGAGAATGATGGTAGTAAAGGCCCGACGGTTTCTAAGAAAGAGATCTAGTGTGCTGGGACACTGAGTACCTTTTGCAAAATAGGCTCCTCTAACATTCCATGCCGGCGTCTCGGAGGAAGCGGTCGATGAGCTACGCATACCAAGGCTTGCTGGTTTCTTCAGGCTTCATGTATGTCATAATATCATCAGCTGATTTGACGACCCGCCCAGGACGATTCTCGGCTACTTCGTGTTTTTAAAGTCTATTTCGGTACTATCTTACACATTTAAATGTGCATGTCAATGATCAATTTGCAGGCTTTTAAGCCTTCGGCCGTCCCTTCTTAAGTGACCTTGATAACAGATGGCTTCAGGAGCAGAAAATGCAATTCTTTTTCACCACGAAGGTCAGCATAAGTCCTGTAAGTCAGAGCCTTGAGAACTGCGTTTTTGGCGCGTGGGTCTTGGATCTTCTTGGCCAAGATGTATAGTCTGACAAGGAGCAGGCTCTTCTTCTCGCCAATAATTAACTTGCACTACGTCGTCGGGTGAGACTGCGAGGGTACCGTTGTACACGTGTCGCAGGTACCGCTCAACAATATCAGACTTTCGTCGGGCAGCTTGAGTGTGCGATCGTGAGCTTCTTTCCAGGGACCACAAAGCGCTTTCTTGAAGAAGGTAGAGCACGTGGTGGGGATGGCAGCGTGAACGGAATTTGTCTACAAAGCATTCTCGACGCCTAACTCCACGTAGACGAGATCGTTGAGCGTATCAGGTCAGCTGGGTACCGGTCGAAACACGGCATCTTGTTACGAGAAGTGACCTACTTCATTCGCTTACTTACATGGACCAGAGTGTTCCTATGAGCGCTCATCATTGTGAGCTCTAAGAGGCTAGGCAGAGATGGAGGCAAAGAAAGGAAAAAGTTTATTAGGTGCAGCGGGGTGTGAGGCAGCGGTTGCACTATGGTATCGCGGTTTCTCAGGCTCGCTTGGGAGTAGCATATCCAAATGGCAACGGAAGGAATACGGTCATGAAGCTGGTCAGAAGGCGCGAAGGAACAGACTAAGGACCGGCCTAGGTTCTAATACCTAAATCTTATGTCACATTCCACAAGTTCGGAAAATAGGAATTTGAAAAGCAAAGTTTTACATATTAGGTACAAATTTCTCGCCTCCATCTTACAGCTTCGCTCTACAGACACAGAATTACTGAGCGACAATAACGCAGTCGCCAATTGCGCTCTGGCTGATACCCGCAGGACAGTCGATGCAGCCGCCAATGTACTCACTCGCGGACACAGAGGGAGCCTCCGAGTGCGCACATCCGAAAATTCTGATGCAAAGATTGGTGAAAAGTGCTCGACCGCTGGCGTCTGATGCGCCACCGTTCACGATGCCGGTGGCACAAGTGAGAAGATAGTTCGTAGTGCCTCGGGCCTGGAGCGCGGAAGAGCCTTCAAGAGGCATGGCAATGGTAGGCATAGCGAGACCAACGGCCGCAGCGACGATGAGGATGATGGATTGCATTTCTTGAGTACATTAGTAACTGTTTAGTGAAAGACGACTGTAAACCTACTGAATAAGACAGGCTTGAGGGAAGACTGGTTGAGCGAGTGACTGGTTGATCGGAGGTTGGAAGAGGAGATAGTTAAGTGATTGTGGGTGGAAAATGAGTTCTCTGGGGACAGAATGGCAAGTTTATATAGGTATCTTACCTTATTTTGTTGTCGCAAACTGTACTCTCTTCATAACCTGTAACAGGGTGCAGTTACACTCAACTGGTCTAGGCTCGGGCCATTTAATCAAGCGTATCAAGGCCATCCTCGCTAATATACATCCTTTAATTAGGTCGTTCAATCTAGAGCATTGCAGCTTCCATGGCTGCTTAGATGTTCTAGCTGGAGACAATCAGTCTGCAACGCGTATTCCCTACCATCTCCAGGATCCCTACCTAAGTTTTGTGTAATGCAACTTGGAGCAGAGATGCTAAGCCGTCGCATATATTGAAAGAGCTGAACTTCATGAATATTCTACATGTATGAACAGTACGCTTATTCCGTGTTCTCCCAAGAGTACCTCGGTTGTGCAAGGTCCAGTAGGAGCCCCTCTGCTTGGCATCAGTGCTTAACACTACTTCTCGTATTTGCGCACTGACTCTGCCGTAGCGATCTCAACCTGTGTCAGAGGATGATTTGGATGATTACTCTCTTCTCGTGTTTGCGCATTAACTCTGTCGTACGAGTTAGCAATCTCGATCTGTGTCAGACCTGAGAAGACGATTTGGACGACCACTCTCTTCTCGTATTCGCGCATTGACTCTGGCGTCAAATCACCGATCAAAAGCACGTGGCAAGGTGCTCACACTTCCTCTTTATTGTTCAGCTCACATGTGTCGCGCAAGCAGCAAGTAGACTCAGAACACGTACTACAGTAGAAGTTGTTGAGTAGTCCTACAGTCGTCCTCCTCAACGAGTTGGCGTTCCTTTGCATTGTATGGGCAAGACCAGGTATGGAAACCAACCAATTTTTTTGTATTAGTCCAAGGACCTAGTGCCTCTCTTGTCTCAACCTCAGAGTAGACGGCGCTAAGAGACTTACTACAGGTCGAAGCAACGCCAAGTATAGCTTGACTGCGATAAGAATGAGGTCCTGAAGGCTTTGTAACCAACTCGCCCGGTAACGATCTACAGGGAAGGCAGGGACTGCATTCTTTGTGCGGACCAATATCCGTGTGTGCACCTGTATGACTTTACGCGGTCCTATTGCTTCCGTGGTCTAATATTCTTGCGCGGTCTAAGATCGTTGCGCAGTGTATTGGGTAGGTATGCTTGGGCGGTCTAACATCCTTGTCCGGTCGTGTATCTTGCGCAGTCGGACCTCTTTCGCGGTCCTGTTTCTTCCGCAGTCCTATTTCTATCACGGTCGTTTCTATTTCGTGGTCTTGTTTTTTGCGCGGTTTAACATCCTTGCGCGGTCGTATCTCTTGTGCGGTCTAATATTCTTGCGCGGACCTATATCCTTACTTACAGGGATTTACGAGCACAGGTGGTCTTTAGAGTTCGCTAGAGAAATTAGCCTCGCCTACTAGAGTGAGGACGATGCATAAGTTACAGATTATATTAAAGAATATAAAGTCTTCAACATTAGCAGGCTTAATATTCAGTCATTCAACAGAACAACAGACTCTTCTACCTTCCTTCACAACCAAGGTCTCTACTCATCAGGCCTGTCTAACGACGCAACATTATTACAATGCGTTACTCAACATTTGCTGCATCTTTCGCCTTTGGCGCTCAGCTCGTCGCTGCCACTTCTGTCTCCCTGTCAACAGTTCCGAGCCTAAACGGTGTCAGCGCAGACGCTGTTGTGGAACTCCTGTCGTGGGACAACACAGATGATTTTTCGGCTGTGAACGCTACCCAGTGGGCCACTTTCTTGAACCAGCCCCACGACGTCCTCGCAGCATGGGACGACAAGACTACACATCGCATGTTCTCTCTTCTCCACAATGTGCTAGACTTTGGATCTGGACTAGATAAACGAGACGCAACACCTGCTCAAGCAAAAATTCAGATTGCGACTAAAAAGAACCTATATGACAATGAGGTCAACACGGATGAAAAGCAGGATGGTGCAGTAACAGCATGCTTCAAGTCAGGCATCTGCATACTGTGTCTCAGCTCAGCTGGAACCTTAGCGATTGGTAGAGTAGCTGCGTGCGCAACAGCTGCTCTTGCAGCAGAAGTGTTCACTGCTCCAGAGACAGCTGGGCTTTCTACCGGACCTGTTATCACAGCTTTCATCGAATGCGCTTCCATTCCAATCGCTGCATTCCTAACAGCAGCAATTGGATGTGTGGAGGCGGCAAAGCGCATTAATTAGGGCAAGAGTAAGGGCGAGGGCGAGGGGAAATGAGGGCGAGGGGAAAGGCTTGTACTTTGTAGCTATGTAGTTAATTAACATATTTCTATTTAACTTCACAAATTGAACCTTTGCTAGTAAGACCTTTCCAACAAACCCTGTGATGTACACGTTCTGTGCGTGTGCTGCCTATACTACGTTACAGAGTGTAGAAGAATAAAGCAGTAGAGCTAACGTACCTCACGGGTGAGTGGATCACCGAGCGAGTGGATCACCTTCCTACACCAATGCCTTCCCAACAACACCACTTAGACGCGTCAAAGGAAGCTCAGATACAGCTTACGCTTCAGGCTCTTAAAAAGGATGCGAATCTCTCCTAGCAAGACGCTGCAACTATCTACAGGGTTCCACAATCTACACTAAGCAGACAACGCTCAGGACAACCTTCACGCGCTAATTCTATGGCTAACTTGTGGAAGCTGGATAACAACAAGGAGAAGGTGATTATTAAACATGTTCTTAAGCTAGTTGCGCAAGGAATTCCCCCTTAGCTCTTAGATGTGGCTGACATGACCAATTCTTTGCGCGCTGAGCGCAATCTAGGCTATGTTGGCGCAAAGTAGCCTAATACATTCGTTAAGCAGCACCTAGAGCTCACAGTAAGATTTAATTGTAAGTACAACTACAAGAGAGCCCTCTGTGAGGATCTAGAGGTTATACAGGGCTGGTTCAGCATAGTAGCCAATATTAAAGCTAAGTATAGTATCTAGGATAAAGGCACGTACAATTTTAACAAGACAGACTTTATAATGTAAAGTTATAAGACTCTGTTCTTCAACTCTTTCTCTAGCGTTTTTCCTTCTTAGGTATGGCGCTTTGCTTACCTAAGCACTGTGATTGTAATCTCCTAAAAGAGAGGATTAGAACGGTGTGCTTACTAAGCCTGTTTCTCCTCTCCTTCTTGAAATATGTTGTTCTCTATTTTTAGTAACTAGAGAATGTTCTAGATACTCTGCTTACAAATAGAGTAGCCTACTTTGTAGATGCTGACGTATATGACTACGCATGCACCTAACGTACCTCACAAGCAAGCTGATCACCCAAGCGAGCTGACCACTTTCGCCAAGACCACACTAACACTGCACCTACTTTACAACATTACAGCACATAACAATAATATATCACACTATAACGTTATAGTATATTAAACTAATCTACAGTACTCTGTGCATCTATACTGCATGTTTGTGCGTTGTGCCCTATCTTGCTACATGTGCTATAGCGCCTAAAAGACTAAGTGCTCCTATTAACACACAACCTCTTCCTTGCCTTCTTCCTATTACTACAGGCCTTAAACTCCTTTAGAGTAGTTAGCTGCACTCCCTTAGCAAATATTAGTGTCCCTTCTTACTATAATTACTTTCTTTTATACAATTTATAACATACAGCAGCTTTGTTAGCTGCCTATAGGTTAGCAACTTAGTTGCACACTAAAACTAGTAAATGCGCTATTAGCTCTGCGCCTTTAGTAAGCTAATTAAGAGCTTTAATTATTAAAGTTAGCAAGCTATTAGTGTGTCTTTTAATCCTCTCTTAAATCAGCTTTAATTAAGACCTAAATTTTAGGGTGTTGCTTAGTGTTTTAGACTCCCACGTACTGTTGTCTATAGTAGGTGGCGTTGGCGTGCGCAGCTGTACTTTAAGCTTTAATAGCACAGCCTCTAGGTTAAGTAGGACTAGGCTAGCACCTCTAAATCCTCCCTAGATATTGCTCTCTATAATTGAGGCGTCAAAAGCTGCTTTAAAGCACAGCAAGAACTCAAGTTTAGTAATGCGAGTAATCTTGCTGCGCATCAGCTGCTTAGCTTAGCAGCTATAGGCCTTCTTTAATAGGGCAAAACAGACTACGTTAAGTAGCTGCAGCAGGTGCAATAAGTGTGGAGGTATACACAAGGTAATAATCTTATGTTCCTTGCAGTACTAGTAGAATTTAACTAAGTTATAGCTCTTATAGCTGTCTACATCGGGAAAAGTTTTTCGAAATCTGGCCCAGACTGGCTGTTGCTGACAGTTGTGGCATAGTTGTGCAACAGCTGTTCAACAGCCCTAACGGCCCTAATTTGCGCCTAACAGCCCTAATTTCGCGCTAATATTGCTAACAGCTAAAACACTAAGTGCCTATATTTAATAAACTTAAAATAATATTATAATATTATTACATAGCTACCCTTAGTTCTGCTAGCACTAGTATTAAGTATTTAAAAATTACAAAATTTCACGTATAGACAGAGCAAAATTGTAGCTTTAAAATAAGTAAAAAATTATTATTATAGGCCTACTATAACGCAAGTTAAAGAGTGTTAAAGGTTTGTTTGTTAAAGGTTTATGTTTTGAAGTTACAACAGCACACTATAGCAGCTGCAGCTGCGCCAGTACACAATGTATCAGCTGCAGCTGCAACAGCATACGACGTAGCAGCTGCAACAGCACACAACAAAGCACCTGCTGACAAGTACACTGCAGAACAGGCAGGCCTGGGCGTAGAATTCTTAGTTTACCTACTATTCTTGAATAATATTCTTGTATTTTCTAATGTTTAGGCTGCTAGAGCCCTAGCAAAGAATCTTAACTTAGTGTCTTAGCAAGGAATATTAAGCTTAAAACCTTCTATGCTTAATAACTATTCTATTAATAGGCCTATAATATTATTTAATAGCTTATTTTAAAGAGGAGACTTAGTAGTATATTAATATAATAAAAGTATAGTTTATTAAGTAGAGCTACTATTATAGCAGGATTAGGAGTTGTTGTAGCTATTACAGCTGTTAGGACTGTTAGAGCTGTTAGCTTAAAATTAGCTAGACATTAAATGCACATTAAATAACTATTGTAGGCCTACAAGTCCTACTGTTGCCCACAGTACAATGCCACAATTTCCTAATTTCAACAATGGAAAAACTTTTCCTGATGCAGAAGGCTCCTTAATATAAATGCGCGTTAGCGTAGGTCACAGTTAAAAGATTTCAGAAGTAAGAGAATTACTTTTACTAAGACTCTACTACAATAGACCTTATTATAGCTTATAAGTCAATGGTTTGTCTTACTTGATGGTGGGTTATGTTAGGCGTGAAGGGCAAGATTAACTCTATCTTCTTTCTATAAGGCTATCAGGTTGTGTTGTTAAGACATTACGTGATAAGGAGATAGCTGGTCGTGCCAAGGAAAAGTGGCCGGCTTAGTGGGTTGGCTGGTTTAGTGGTGGAATACGCTAGCTGTATCCCTCCTGTTGGACACTCCGCTGGCAGGTATCTGCACATTGGTGTTAGTGGTGTTGAGCTGTTAGCATCGCAACACAGTTGGAGAGTTGCGTAACCTACAGCGTGGGCCAACTTGTCTTTAGCAGGAGCAGATATAACGATGTTGTTGACTTTACAGAACACATCGTTGATTGCACTGTGTTTCACGTTTGGTGATGCGGAGGCTGCAACCAGCAGCAAGAGGGAAAGTGCGGCCAAGGAATGTATTTGCGAGACAGTATGCGGCGCAGGACCAAAGTGCATTGCTATTGTTGCCACGGGCCGATGGCTCTGTAGGTGGGCAAGCAGCCAAGCTGGAGTACTCTCTGCTGAAGCCCAGCGATGGTCCTGACATGTTGCCCAGGTCTTGACGAGGAATTTGATTAACGGTTGAACTGAAGCCGCTGTTCCCTTTCCTGAGCTATGTCCAGCTTGTTTTCGTCGAACTGAGCTGAACACATCATCGTATATGGTCTTGATAAGCAATTTGGGCTGCACGGAAGAGGTAGGGATCACGTCTGGCCTGGCAAAGAACAGCGGGGCTGCACTCTCTTGAGCTGAGGCATCACGGAATCACCGTGCAGACCCACTGGGTTCCTGAAACGCGGGAAGGCTAGTCCAGATGCGCAAGACTAGAAAAAGTCCCGATGAGGCTCCGGACCGCTTCGCTTATAGCATGATCGGCATGACCCATGCCATCCTTTGGGTTTACGGGGTAAGGGGTCCAGCGTGGAGACTATACCCGGCCATTTCGGCCGACTCGATATCTTTGGCGGCTAGCGAATGCCCTCCGTAAACGAAGTACGTTGTTCCAGCCTTCAGGGCGCCCTTACATTAAGCCTCAGCGGTCCAGCCTTGCAAATCCTGCAGGAACTTGCATGGCCAAATGAGAGCCTCGGCTTATGAACATGGTTGCTGAACAGAAAAACGCACGAGGGGAAAATATGTGTAGATTGTGGGTATCAAACATCGCTGTTACAAGTCGTATAGGCTCTCTGAGAGGGCCGTTCTAATGCAGGTGGATGTAAACACGCTGATATACAGGGAATTTATGAGGTCATGCGGGAGGGCTGTGCTTAATTGAGCTCATCCTCAGACTCGTCGCTCTGGCTGATCCGTGAGTGGTGACCGGCATCTAGCTCTTCCAGGGTTTTCGCGAGTGCGATACCTTCGGTGCGACCGCGGTCGAGGTCGACGAACATCATGATGGGAAAGGGCAGGCCAACGAGGACGGCGAGAAACCAAAAGGCCTAGTCAGATCAGTCAGCTGCGCACTTTGTACCTATACATGGATCCCGGCTTACCGGTCGAATTTCCCCATAGGCATCAGTTATGGCGCCAACGATGGCTGGACCAAACACACTGCTGCCCTTGTCGGTGATCGCGTAAAGTGCATAAAAAGCTGCCTCGAAGCCCGGGGGAATCAGCTCGGCAAAAAGAGCGCGACAGTAGGAGCTCAGTCCGCCGAGGACAAATCCGTAGACTGCGCCCAGCACATACATCTCCCACTGCTGCTGCAGGCCAAAGAAGCCCAATCTCTGAACTAGTGGCAGGTAGCCCAGCAGGCCGTATATTGGGATCACCTCAAATAGCGCGATACAGGCCAGGATCGTCTGTACAGGCGTGAGGTCGAGGTAACGGGACACTCTCGACCAGGCGAAGGCCCCAAGCACACCACAGATTGTCGCAATGACATTGATCAAAGCCAGCATAGCATAGGACATGCCAAGCGTAGTCTTTGCGAAGAGCACAGCGGTCCCAGAGACGGTGGCGATGCTGTCACTAAGTAAGAACCATGCTGCAAGAAAAAGCAGAACATCTTTAAGTTGTCGTGCATGCATCGCCGTCCGCCCCAGTGACTTCCAAGAGTATGTAAAGTAGGCAATTGCCGTGTGGACATTCGATGTGTTGTCACCAATGTGTAGCGGTGGTCCTGGACGTGGCCGCAGCCATAGAGCGCTAGGGATGGAGAACACGAACCACCAAGCACCAATCATGAAAAGCACAAGTCGCAAGCCAAAATTCGAGGACTGAAACGTGATGACAACGAGAACCGAGAGAGTCTGCACTAAAAGCGCGGCAATATAACCAATAGCAATGCCGTAAGAAGAGATCTTGGTCGACAATGCAAGCTCTTGAGACGGTGCTGAGCGAGCTTTCACACGTGGAATAGTGAGATCGGGTGCGGAACGCTGTGGCGGGAGGAGAGCCGTGGTTGCATCTGTAACTTCGTCGAAGATTGTTTCATGTTGTGCGAGTCGATTCAAATAGCGTGCATCATGTGCTAGGCGTGCTTCGTCAGAGAGGTTGTCGACGTTATCCTCGTAGTCTGTCGAGTCGTCGCTGTTCGACGCAGCATAGCTTACAGTGGGGTGGAACCTGACCAACAAAGGCAGAAAGCTGTTCAGGAGTACAAAGCTTGCGCCAAAGCAGGTATTGGCGATGATGGCCAACACTGCCCCCAGGATATATACACTCGGCACGACAAGCAAGAACAGCATTGTCGCAGTACTGCCAATGAATGCAAACCACAGAAGAAATGTCTTCCTGAAGCGCCCGTGGTCTGCAGCGCCAGACATGGAGATTATGAGCAGCGCCTGGATCAACACGGAGATGCTAAAGGTATACATGGCGAAGCTAGCTGTGTTGATCTCAAAGCCGAGGATGTTGACCACACACTGTCCCTTCTCGGACTGATGAGGCTTAAACATTGTCGTGAAGCTGGCAGTTGAAGTGACGGTAGACAGCGAAGCCTTGCATGGCGTAGTATGGTCGCTGAGAAGGACGCCATTCTCGCGGGCGAGCTGCTCGAGGGTGACAGGTATGAAGGAGCCAATACCGCATACTACAAAGACCTGGACAAGTTAGCCAAGCAGCTGGTGGTGGCGGCGAATTCAGGGTCTGGGTAAGCATCTGAGATCAGGCTCCTCGCCAGAAGCCCGCAGCGATAGATTGATTGTTAAGCCAGGAAATTAGAGTTGCATACCTCTGCAGCCCAACCGTACATGTAGAAGCCTGACAGTTCCTTATTGCTGGTCAGGCGCGTGTCTTCGCCCTCAAACTGTGGACGTGTGGCATTGCTGTCCATGTCGAAGCTGCCGTCAGAAAAGCTCTGCTCGTCATCAGCCTCGTTGGACTGCGACGAGGTGGGTAGCGAGAGTTTCGACTGCGTTGATGCGTTGCGTTGGAGCTGTGGTCGTGGTCGTCGATACTCGGCAGGTAGCGGTTCAGGCGCGCGCGGCGTCATAGTTAGCGTAGATACGATTGGGTGGAGGAGCGTGTCACCGCCTCTGAAACATGACGGACACAGCCAGGCAGGCGATTTAGCAGGTGGAACGCAGGTGCTACAGTCAGTGCAAGCGCACAACTCTTGATAATAGAAACAGTGAGAGCAGAGGGGCACTGTAATGAGGGTGCGCACCGGGTTGGGGTGGCCGGTCGATCCATGGAAACGCGTGCAGATGATAGAGTGAGCCACACTCCGTCGTCTCGGATAAGGCGCCCTTTGGGCTAGCAACCACAAGATGGTCCTGATCACGCCGCGCTCGCCGCTCGATGCGGGTCATCAAGGCTCCAGAGCATCTTGCGGTGTGACAGCATACAGCGACTTTACATTGTTAGCCCGATGCAGTGCTTCGAGTCAACACTGATGGCTTTGTACTGCAACAACTGACGAACTTGCCGACACCCAGCAGGTTGTCACGGCTCGTTGATCGATGGTAGATGTCTTGGATCATGAATGCAAGGCTGGCTGGGTGGGTCCTGCCAAGAATCGAAACGTCAGGCTCGCGCCTTCCCTCACCAGTCTTCGTGCCTTCTGCGATCGCCAGCAACACCACCTACAGGTCGTCGCCACGACTCCGCCCTTCTCCGCCAGCACCGATTGCGCCTTGCCGTGCGAGCGCGACCGCTTCACTGCGCCGTCAGCCTTCATCTGCCCGTGCGCCGCGACACCGACGAATCGATATTCCCCCAACTCCTGCTTTGACCTCTGCTGGCAATCAAAGCACTTTCACGATACCCCGGCGCCTTCAGCCACCTCGAGCGCTTCGCTTTACCTGCGCTTCTCCACCTGCCAACACTTGCGCCTTGCTTGCACGCCTGCAAAACTTCACCTAATCGTGACCAGCCGCGCGTCCACAAAGGCCGCCCGTCCCCCACCATCGAACGGTTTCCCGCTGCACACACAGTAGAAACGCCCGCATCGCTCAACCACCGCGACTGCGCGCCGGACACACGTGGCGCACGCGCCGGCGAGCTGCATGACGGCGCCCAGACTATGCCCGGCATCCTCATGATGAACCACAGCGCAAACGACCCTGTAAGAGATGGAGAGAACAAGAAGCACTTCTCTGACGACAAGCTCGTCAACGGCATCGATGGGCGCAAGGACATGGCCGTCAGGAACGGGAGCGCGGGGAAGGCCAGCACCAGCGGCGCCTCTACTGATATGTCTGCGCCCGTCCATGATCAATATGCAGAGCTGCCGCCCGAAATCGCGCACATTGGTTCAGAGGCATATCACCCTTTATCGAAGCTGCTGGCTCGTGTGGCCCAAGAGTGCTACAATGCGCTCGAGGAGGCCCTCCACAAGATGTCCGGCATGTCCATCGGCCAGCAGCCGAATGGCGCCGCGATCAACGGAGCGCAAGACAGTCCAGAGGTCAACAAACGGAAGAAGCTGCTTCTGCTCAAGTTTGCGCAGGAGAACCGAGCCAAGTTCATAAAGCTTCTGGTGTTGACAGAGTGGGGCCAGAAGTCGGCAATAGACGTAGGGAAAGTCATCGATGTGTATTCTTGGGCGCGAGAGCAAGTCACGCATATGGACTTCGTGGACAAACAAATGGAAGAGATTAAGGTTCTTTCAGGCACCGCAAGAGAGAACAACCCAGATATCCGGACTGCATTGGAAATTCTGTCGACTGGGAAGGCCTCCTGGATCCCAACTGTGCGCATGCTCGTCATTTACATAGAATATACAGCACTGACAGGGAATAGCTCGACTATATACCACCTGATCCTATCTCATCGGAGAAGGCGCTAAAGCTCCTACGTCAGATGAACACGTCCCTTTCGATACGGCTGAACGTACACGAAACACTTCCACGGCACCTTCAAAACTGGCAAATTCAGTCGGGTCGCGCAACCTTTGTAATTGCCGATGAGATGGAGTTTGATGTTGTTTCTTTCGTCGAAGATGCTTCAGATCAGTGGTTCTTCCTGGACTTGCGGTTGTTATTCGGTTCTGCGCCCATAATTGAGACCGGCAGCAGGTTTTGGGTGATTCTCCAGGGGCAAGCCGACTACGTGCTCCACGAGAAGGGTCTCAGCGGCCTCTTCGACTTCCTTCACAGCTTCATCCTGACGCACAAGCTGTCGGTGCTGAGATCACAGGCTATAGGGCTTGCGCGCTCAGGATGGGCAGGGTCGCTACGAGTGGAACCAGTGCATCGCGAACTTGTGATCCAGTACTGGACCGACAGACCAGGGAAGAAGAGCTGGATCGAGTTTGGCATGACAAGCAACAAGTCGAAGAACGGCAAGACATCATGGCGAGATCCGGCATTGCCATCCCTGACCGTGCGCTGGTTTCGCCAAGGGAAAGAAGTGCTTGATGTCGAGCTCGGTATCGACTGGAATGACCTCTCGATGGAGCGGATTCTGAAACGCGTCCTTGCCCTACACACTACCCAGATCTTGCAGTCGACCATAGAGCACTTCGATCCTCGGCTCAGCATACGGCCAAGCTTGTCTGGGTTGGAGCCTACAGACTGCAGTCTTACTGCGATCCTTGGAACACCATCGAATTTGGTCACGCTGTCGCTCGAGTCTGTGACTGGCAGTCACATAGTGCAGCCGGCCAGCGCGCTTTCTGCAAGAGCAGAATCCGCCATGAACCAAGGCAGAGAGCCACATCAGATTGCAAGTATTCTGACGTCCATGCTCTCGCAGAACCTTCGAGACGAGATCCAACGGGCCGCGCAGCAACTTGGATGGCAACAGATTGTCAGGCAGGTCATACGGCCGGATGCTGTGCGGATCGCCGTAGGCAAGAACATCATAGAATACGCCATGTACAGTCCTCGCGGCTGGACGTCGACCTGGGTACTGGCTGCTGTCATAGATACAGCAGGCGAATCATGGTGGATATTCGAGATGGGATCTAACGGCACGTCGATCGACAATGCCGAGCAGATCGCAATGGAAAGACGCGATGACACCAGTCGCATCGTCAACCGCAATACACTGACGCGCATAGAGCGTGTAGCTGTTCAGCTCGTTTCCTTCCGTGCCACAGCTCGCCAACTCGCCAAAGAGGATAAGGTTTTCACACTGCGACACGAGTTTAGTCCAAGCACCAAGCCGGCTGGATCCAACAGGATCATTCAAGGCTGGGCTCTGTACCTACAGACGGCCGACCTCCTCACGTCCAAATCTGGCGAACAAGCATGGCTCGAGGACAGCATCGCGGTCGCCTGCGAGGGGCTGAAGGGCGATGGACGCAGCGTGTGGCATATTGCGTCTGGCCACATGGTCAAGTCTGCTGCTGCGGACATGCAAAAGCTCATGGCTGCTTCGCCACAGAGCAGCTTCAAGTTCACGGCTGATGGCAGCTTCAAGATCCTTGTGGCCACCCCCTTCGGCGCCGATATCCTCGGCGAGCTTCGAGCACGGCTGCGTGACATCAATCGTCTGCGATCGTTCGCAACGACTCTGCAGAAGCGCCAGATGCGCCTCACGTCCTCTTCGTTGCAGAAAGTCCAGTTCCAGTACGGCCCTTCCCCACACAATGCAGCAGTCTCCTTCGCATCTGAGAACGAGGTCGCTATCGAGATACTTCCTTCTAACCCACATTTCCGCGTCCACCGGTTCCTTTCCTCGATCGCGAACGACTGCAACCCATCTCTCCCACTCCTGTCCGTCGGCGACACAAACGGCCTCGATCACTTCTGCATCACACTCGTACTCACCCGCTCCCTGCTTACAGTGCTCCGCGACATCGAGTCAGCAACACCAGGGAACATTCGCAATCCTGCCATACACACACATTCAGTGTTCAAGTACCGTCTCACATACGAAAACCCAGTGTGCACGTTCGATATCCGTCTGCAGCCTAAGGAGGACAAGATGTACTGGTTCATCGAGGATAACCTCAAGCACGCGCCTGACATCCGCCCGACGCCAGAACGGAACCCACGTCACAGGCGGTTGGAAACCTTGCAGGAGAAGCTGAAGGGGTTATTTAGAGACAAGGCGACAGGCTGGTTTGGCACTCGCAATGGCATCGTCGCAGAGTTGGATGCGGTGCCCGATGCGCTCCAGAAGCTGAACGACGTGGTTCTGAGCTGCAAAATGGAAGGCGGCTACGAGGCGCCCCCGCCTCTCGAGATTCAACAGCAGCAGCAGACGAATGGCAGCGCTCCCCAGCTCCAGCGCAAGCCGTCTCAGCAGCAGATGCAGCAGGCCCAGCAACAAGCCAAGCAGCAGGCCCAGCAGCAACGGTCGCAACATTTCTCTCCGCAGATGCAGCGCAAACAGCAGCCAGGCGCGCAATCGAACGGCCGCCCGCAACAGAACGGGCAGAGGCCGACGCCGCAGCACATGCAGCACATGCAGCAGCTGCAGCAGCGCGCGGCGCAGGCGCAGGCAGCGGCGCGGCAGCAGGGCAAGAGCGACGTGATTGAGATTGATTGATTGATCGAGCGAGATGGTGCATAGATGGTTCAGCATAGCATTGGGAGTACTGTGTGAGGGCGTAGGTAGTGTTTCCGTGACTCTCCTGTCCGAGCGACGAAATTTTCCCGCCGTCGAAGCGGCTTTGTAGGAATATGTGTTTCGCGGTTTCATCAGCGATGAATGTCGTCTTGCCAACAAGGGTGCGAGGTGGAGCGTTAATGCGATCATGTAGAAGTTAATCAAGTATATCCACCACTCGTTTCGCGCAGGACTCTCGTCCAGCTGCTATATCAACAGGTCCACGTCGGGTTTAAGCTCGCTCGCGCCCGCGCCAGGCGGCACAACCCGCCTCTCCCACCCCATCCCATCCCATCCCAGCTCTCAACACCTTCCCAGCGCCACGGACACATTTCGCCTTTCACTCCTTTCTTCGCAGCGCGCTCCATCATCCACATCCTCCTTCCCCACACGTAGCCACCAGTCATCTGTACCTCCAACGCGGCGCCATCTAAATAATAGTGTTGGGATGTGCGCCGATGACCGTGCTGGGTCCTCGGAGTAAGTGCGGCGAGCTGCTGTAGGTTGCTTGGTATGCTGAGCTGCGTGTCGGTATGCTGGGCTGCGTGCCGGCGGCCCAAACTAAACGATTGTCACCGAACAAAGCCCGGTAAATGCACCTACAGACTCGATCTGCTCGCTCTCAACAACGGCGCAGGACTTTTAGGCGGTCCTGCTGAATGTACTATATCACGCTGCGAAGAATACCTGCATACGCCAGGGGCTTGATTCAGGGTTTGTTGGGGCCTCGATTGTGAGGGGGTCGGATTTGGAAGGGTGTTTGAGCAGTGATGGGTGTGGTTGGTGTCGGTGGACTGCTGGGCGGACGGGCGGTGTCGCTGAGTCTCGGTCTCGGTCCCATACCGGTATCGGTTCGGTGTAGACGGACGTGCACTGGAATACGAAAGACGGCAGCGTGTCGGGCGGATTTGCTGATGCGGACCGAAGATGCTGCCGTGGGGAATAGACACGGCCTGTGTGCTGTCTGGTACGGATGAGATATCGACATGTCTATCTCCGTGTTTATGGAGCATCGATATGTCCATCTGCTAAACTCGCACTGCGCGAAACCCGAACGCGCATCCCCACGACCCTCTCACTGCCGAACCTGCCTTGACGATTGAGATTTCGCGGTACATGCGTAGCTACACCGCGTAGACGAAGCGCATACATTCATCCATCCCTCCATCCATCCATCCGCAGTAACCACACCGCAAGACAGTACGGTCACACAAAACATCACCTGCACAACGCGATGCGAATCCCACCCAAAGTCAAATGCCTCGGTGAGTGAGTGAGCGGGCAGAGCAGGAGGCAGACACGAGGCGCATCCGGCTGTCCGGCTTGAGTGAGTCCTGGCGTCTTAGCGGGATACTGGGATTTCTGCATCGTGGTCGTCATCGGGGGTAGTTTTCACGGGCGGTTGGACGAAATGTGCGCGGACATGGGCGGTGTCGGACCGCCTCGCGGATGACGGGTACGATGGGTGTAAGCTACGTTGGTAATAGGGACGCGAGTCTACCGTCCACCGTCTACGCGCAAGCTACATAGACCAACTACTCGAGCACGAGCGCGTCGCGCGTGACATCCCGCGCGGCCGCCAAGTTGCCGCTCACGGCGTATATGCTCTGCAGCGCGTATGCGGCCTCGGTCGTGAAATCCTCACACCCCCACTGCTCAGCCGCATCTACATCTACTTCATCCTCACTCCGGCGCGCCTGCGCCTCGCTCCGCACCGCGCCACTGAGCTGGATGCACCTCTCGTACGCCGGGACAGCGAGGGCGCCAAGGCCCAGCGCGTGCCACACGCGACCGACATTGAACTCGGCCTCTTGCTTGAAACACGCCTTGCCGGAGCGTACGCGCAGATCGAAGTATCTGTAGACAAAAGCCAGGCCTTGCTGGATCTGGAACTGTCTGTTCTCGCTGAGGCGCTTCATGGCGTGCTGGATGTAGCACGAGCCGATGGCGAGGTTGAGCACGGGGTCGGCGGGGGAGAGCGCGAAGGCGCGGAAGTAGTAGTTGAGGGCTGCGGCGTAGCTGCCGCCGCTGGCGAGGACATGGGCGTAAAGCGCGAAGAGGGCGGGGTCGTGGTCGTGCACGGCGTCGAGGGACGACGAGTTGACGCCGTTCTGGCCCCAGCCGACGCGCTCGTTGGAGCGGAAATTGTACCACGTGCGTTGGTCTGGGGTGAGGAGCGCAAAGTCGGCCGTTTTGATGTACCGCATGAGCACTTTGTGTGCAGGGCCTGTGGCATAGCCCTCCGGGAACGAGACGAGGCGGTTGACAGCGCTGTAGAGCCGGAAGAGCGTCGTGCCGAAGGGGAATTCGCGCAGGAACCAGCGGATCGCTGCGGAGGCCTGGGTACTGTCGTCGAGGGCGAGGGCGGCTGCCAGGCGCGTTGTTTCGAGGCGGCGGTGGAAGGGTAGGCTGCGCGCGAAGACGTTGGATTGGAGTGCGATGTCGAGCGTGGAGAAGGCAGCATCGTCCCCGTTCTTTGCGAGAAGCAAGGCGTACCGTGCAAACGCGTCGCACCACGAGGAGAACGGGATGGACCAGAAGTCTGTCGGTGCTGTGTCGGGGCGCTCGCGCAGCTCGGTGGATGGCGCGCCGTCTTCGATGGCGTTGGCGGCCACGGCGAGCACCATGAGTGCGGAATCTTTCCAGATCTCGCCGCCGCCGACGCGGCGGAAGTAGCCTTTGAACTCTTCCTTTCTGTCGGCGTAGAAGAGGTCGAAGGAGGAGAACTCCTCGATCAGCTCGCGTGTGATGGAGAAGACGGTCTGTATCGACTCTTCGTCGCCGGCCTCGGCTGAGTCGTAGACGTCGTCCAGCTTCCGGAAGCTCGCCACAATCTCTCGGTGTTGGGCGCGTGCTGCCGCGACGTCGTCGGCGTTGTCTTCGGCGAGCTTCTGCAGCTTCTTGCGGAACAGGCGGTGGTCGATAGCGTCCATGGGCACATCCGTGCCTTCGAGGGTGCTGGGCTCAGGCACGCGAGGTTTGCTCGCTGATGGACCTTGCTGCTGCGCGTCGAAAGGCAGAAACGTCTGCGTCTTTGGAGGCTTAGGCGCAATCCGTCTTGTGCGGAACAGACCCTTCGCAGGACGTTCTTTGAGCGGTCCAAGAGACGGCCTCGCTTTGTCGGCGTCTTCGTCCTCTTCAGCGTCGTCGTCCAGCGCTGCGATCGCCTTCTTCATCAGCTTCCGCTGCTTCTTCAGCGCGTTCTTCTTCTTGCCGTGATTGCCGCGCGACTTCCTGCGCCAGTCTTCGTAGTGACTTCTGATCTCTCGCAGCCTCGAGTAGCCGATTCTGCGCAGCTTGACAAGACCGCGGTTCCGGTAGCATGCATCGGCGCGTTCCATGGCCTCGTCGGGCATGCCTTGCACTTCGAAGAATTTGGCCAGCACGGCAAGGTCGTCAACAGTGTCGGCTGTCCATCCAATCAGGATTGGTATGATCTGTCGGGCTTTCTCAGGTTGCTGGAGATTAGTATAGACGGTGTAGAGCCCGAGGTAGCTCATCAGGCTCATCTCGCTCGAATTGCTCAGAAGCAGCGGCTCGTAGAAGCGTAAAGCCTCTGCGTCATGGCCGGTGGAATGCAGAGCATCGGCGATGACTCGGAAAAGGTCGAGGTAGTCCCACATGAGAGCGTCTGGACTCTTGTCGTCCGGCTCGAGCATGTCGAGATGGTGCATGGCTTCCGCATAGTCGTCAGGGCTCTTGCGCAATCGAAACAATCCCATCTTGACCCTGATCTCCAGTGGCAGCGTTTCTCCGTACTTTGCCGACTTTGACTTGCGCTTGAAGTCGAAGACGTCGACACGCCTCGGTGTGTCTTCGATATCAAACTCACAATCATCTTTCTGCTCGTCCCAATACGTCTCGTTCCGCCTGCCCTGCTTCCATCTTGACAGATCCTTCAGACGCTTTAGCGCGTACTCATACCTGCCGCTCCTGTCCAGAAGATCAAGGTAGATGTTGATCAATTCCCAATCAAGGTCGCTGTCCTTTGGATCTCTCGCCGGGCCCGTGTAAATGTCAATAGCCTGATCGAACTCCTCTATAATCTTGGGCAGGTGGCGCTTCGTCTGCTTCGGCGTAGAAGTGCCCATCATGGCCATAATCTTCAGGACCTCGGTGTCGGGATCCTGCTTCTGGTCTCGCAGCGTCTTCAGCATCTTGGTGCCGAGATTCACGCACTTTGACACATGGCCCAGGCGGGCTTCAATCTCGAGCTTCAGACTGCGCGCCTCGTAGTTGGTGACGTCGAGCGCGATGATGGACTTGAGACATTGCAAGACGACGGCGGTCTTGACCTGTTCCGTGTAGGTGGGGTGGTCCGTCGTGTCGAGCCGCTTGATGCGCTCGATGATCAGATGCCACAGCTCGGGATCGCGCTTCGTGGGCGCACCGATGATCAGGGACTCGATCGACTTGAGCTCCTCGCCCATGGCGGCATACGACTCGGCGACGATGTTGTGCGCATCGAAGATCTCGGGGTTCAGCTGCACGGCCTTCTGTCCGTACTCCAGCGCGGCAGGATAGTCTCGAGCGATAAATCTCTCGTTGGCAGCGCGCTGGAGACTCTTGAACTCGGGCCCTGGGTCAGCAATCGGACGAGGCCCTCGCTTCCCACTGGGGCGCCCCGGGTTCTTCTTGCCACGCAATTGCTTCCTCGTGGGGCCGTGAAAGCCGCCCTTGGCCCGCCCGGGCGGCCTGCCTCTCCGTCCGCCCCTCATCCCCCGCGCGCTCCCTCGGCCACGCTTCGGTTTGGCGCGCTCTTCAACATACGCCTCGTCGATCTCCATCTCATTCGGATCGCCCTCGTCTTGCTCAGCGTCTTCTTCGGAGTAATTCGCGTCCGCTTCCGAGTCGTCCTTGTCTTCAATCTCGCGCAGCTCCTCGGCCTCGGCAAGCCGGCGCTCAAAGTCGCTCTCGTCAGAGCTGTCATCGGAGTCCTGGAACAGCGAGTCGCGGTACCCATCCGGCAAGCTGGGGTACAGATCCTCGTCTCGAGTGCCGGGGGCGGGGATGTAGCCTTCGTGGACGACGGGCTGATTGGTGATGAAGGCTCTGTTGAAGGGGTCCTGGAATGTCGAGCTGGTGTATGGCTCGTGCAGGTCCTCGACGGCGCTGAGCGGGATAAGTGGGGCCGCCTGCTGGAAAAGCTGTTCAGGGTGCGCGTATTGCTGGGCGTGAGGGAGCTGGGGGTGAGGGAGCTGGACGGGGAACTGTGGTCTATGTTGGTGCAACTCTGGTCCTGACGAGTTGGGTATATTGTCTGGGAAGGTTCCCTCAAAAGGCAGATATCGCGGCGTGTCTGGCGGCTCTTCGTCATCCCATAGCTGGTTGAGGTAGCCACCCACCATGGTGGTCGAGCTGGTCGCGTGCCGTCAGTGAAATGGTTGTGTTAGCAGTCGATCATTGTGTCTGCATGCACGTGTGGAGATGATGTTGTGGTGTTGAAGGACCAGGATGCCGCTAGCGCAGACCCTGACAAAGTGAAGTCACAGCAGCAATAACGTCAAGTTGCAACTCGAGCACGCAACGAATTGTGGCCAAGTCAGATCAGTCCACTGCGATTAGACGCAGGGTTCATGAAAGTGTATTGCAAGATAAGCTAGCAAAGTCTGCCTTGAGTGCCTCGAGTGCCTCGAGTGCCTTGGCTGCCTTGGCTGCCCTCACAGCAGTTGCACATGGCACGGTAGCGTCGTCAGTCCCAGGTCAAGCAGGCCCCAAGACAGCTCAAGCCTGTGTCCTCGCCGTCTCATACTCGCTGCGGTCGACGCTGGTCATCTCGTACTCTCCAGCGCCGCGCGCCTCCCCAGGGCGGGCGTCGGCGGGCGGCGCCGTCTTCGCGCCGAAGTGGATGGGCCGCAGCTCGCGCCACTGGCAGGCCCACACGCCGAGCGAAGTCATGAGGGTGGCGCTTGCCATCTGCAGGGCCCACCAGAAGAGGTGCGAGGGGACGGCGTGCGTGTACAGCGAGGTGACGACGAGGTGGATTGCGTGGACAGTGAGGGCGAAGTCGAGGACGAGCTTGGAGCGGGCGACGAGGACGAGGAGGAAGAGGGCGCTGCGGGCGTCAGTGCACTGGTGGGGAGTAGCTAAGTACTGCGACATACCTCGTCAGGCTGTTCAGCATCCAGACCAGCCCCAGCGTCCACCCGACCGTCGTGTCGCCGCGCAGCGTCTCCCAGCTGAACAGCAGGTCCGGGCCGATGTCGGTGCCGGCGACCAGCGCGGTGAAGATGATGAGCACGGCGGCGCAGGCGTAGTAGGCCAGCTGCAGGAGCACAATCTGCGTCGCGATGCGCCTCGGCGACAGGTCCGCGAGGGCGCCGGGCCGGGGCGGGCGGCGGCGGCGGGGCATTGTTATGGCATGTGGTGTCGGGGTGTGTTATGGCATGTGGTGTCGGAGTGTGTTATGTCACGTGGTGGTTATGGCGTATTATGACATTTGGTCCTTGTGGTGTGCTACAACATGTGGGTGGTGTGGTCGGAGGGTGCTGACATGTTGGGTGTGTTGCCTGCGAACACGTCCGTCCGTGCTGCGGGCGTCATTCGTCAGTAGCTCGGACTTGCTAGCAGCAACGATATTCCTCTTCGCCTCCCATACCCACATCCACCATGGCCTGGCTACCCTGGAGCTCCGGCTCCTCCTCCTCCTCCTCCTCCTCAGACGGCGTGAAGAAGACCTCGGGCGGCGCGTTCGAATCGCCGTCGCGGACGAACCGCAAAATCTGCTACGAGGCCCGCGACGCCTTCTTCGAGTGTCTGGACAAGAACAACATCCTCGACAGCATAAACACAAAGTCCGGCCGTGAAAAGGCCGAGACGTTCTGCTCGCAGTTCGACCGTGCGTTTGAGAAGAACTGCGCGCACAGCTGGGTACGTCATTGCGAGTCCTGGGTCTGGAGGAGATGTGGCGTGGGCAGTCTAGTCCATGTGCTGACGACGATGCAGGTCGAGTACTTCAAGAAACAGCGCGTCGTCAACTACCAGAAGGAGCAGACAATCAAGCGTCTGGAGCAGCAGGGCGCCGACATCACCGCGCCGCAGCTGCCATTGCCGGGCCAGAAGTAGACGCACACGATTCACGACCATGTAACATATGTATACTACGTAGGAATACACGATTCGTTCCGAGAGGGGGGCGGCGCTTTTCGCCCACGCGATAGAAAGGTGCGATTGACGTTGGCTTGCACACACCACGCGCCGACCCAGTGCACACATGAATAGACGTGCCGCACTACCGCGACGTCCCCGCGGCAGCAGCAGCAGCAGCGGCAGTGGACGCCCGGATCTTGATGCCTGCATGGCGGCCAGCAGTCAGTCAGCATCCTGCCGCGCCAGAAGCGACTCAACAACAACCATCCATCAGCCTCAAAAGCCAAAATACGCGAGACCAGGTGCGAAATCGACGACGCCACAACGTCTAATCACCTCTCGCCACCGCCAAGTTCAACGAGAGCGCGCCCATCATGCGAGACCGAGTCCCCTTCCACTTTCGCTTCCACCTCGCCATGTCCCGCACCGCGTCTCGCCCGCTACCCGCCGTCTCACCACCTCAAGCAAGTGGACGCCCTCAAGCCGTTCATCCGCACGCCCCAGCAGAAAAGGAAAGTAACTGCAGCGGAAAAGCATAGTGGAATACAGCGGAAAAGTATAGTGGAACACAGCGGAAAAGTATAGTGGAATACAGCGGAAAAGCATAGCGGAATACAGCGGAAAAGCATAGTGGAATACAGCGGATTAGCGCTTCCGTCTTGCTTTTGCGAGGTCCATGCATGCACGTCTCACCCTCGCGTCTGCACCATGCTAAGAAGGACCCTATCCGAAGACGGTCTAACTATTGTTAAGGCGGTTGAAGAAGCGAGGGTGGCGATAAGGTTTCGCTGGCGCTCGTAGCAACCCGGTGCTGTGCGAGAGAGGTCTATGCGCTAACGGCGCGGGATGACGTCATCATTCTGCTGCTTGCTGCGCCGGGCGGCCATGTTTGTTTACTTGTATCATGTTGCTCATGTGTACTGTCTGTATTGTGTCTTGCAAGAGCCGTTTGACCCCAAGAATGATGTGCTCGTGAGAGAGCGTACTGCTACCGATATTCCTTTTCTCGTGACTTCGTGATAAATGGTGGTGGCCAGCACCGCATAATAATGTCTGTGGGTGAAGAAAAAGTCCACGCTCCGCCGTGCCACAGCTCGTCGTGTCAAGTCGCTACTACTCATCGCTGCTACTCATCGCTGCTACACCCTCGCCTGGTACCTCACAGGGAAGATGCTACTCGGATCAAACTCCCTCCTAAACACCTCGACATCGCTCAGCTGGCCCTTCGCCGGCGGCCCCACCAAGGCGCCATCAATAGCAAACACGATGTCCTGGAAGACGCCGAAGAACTCGTCGTCCTCAAACAGCAGCGTCCGCCACATGCGCGCCACCTCGGTCGCCGGGTTTTTGAAGATCGGCCCCAGCCCGAACGCCCCAAGCACCAGGTTACGGTGTCCGCAGTAGCTGGCGATGCGCAGCACCGCGCGCATCTTCTCGTGCATGAGCTCCTTCTCCGCCGCGAACGAGTACCTGGTCCCGGACTCGTCGAGCTTGGGGCGCCTCACCGGCGCCACGGATATCACGGGGAGTGACTGCACTTCGGAGAAGGGCGCGTAGCTTTGGTCTGCGCCACCTCTGAAAACAACTACAAGCGGCGTTAGCAAACATGTGGCAGTGCGGGAGGATGCCACCACTTACAAACTTCAGGCGAGTATATCCCGCCACGCTGCGGGATGGGGTAGAAGTTCTCCTCGCGACCCAACTGTGCATTCCACGGCATCGTGAGCGCGTGGACGAGGTTGCTTCTCCGCGCGAAGCACTCCTCGGGCGCGATGAGCCCTGACTCCCAGTCTCCGCCGGCACGCTTCTCGTTCGCAACATTGACGACGGGTATCTTTTTGCAGTTCGGATTGGCCGCGCTCTGGTACCACCCCAAAGCGTAGTTTACTGGGTCGCCTTCCATAACTGCCACTCGTGTGCGGTGTGTCGACCGGCCTTCTGAGCTGGCTCTTATTTGTGTGGCATCGGGGTAGAGATATGATGTTTTCGAGTCTTTAATGAAGTTCTTCCAGATGTATGGCATCCACACGCGTTTCGCCTCTGCTGCAATTTCCGAGGGCTTAGATTTTGACGGTGACATGGTGGGCAGATGTGTAGTGTAGTGATGGAAGTGTATGAAAATGTTTGTACACGAATGTAGCTCTATGATGTTGTTATAGATGTCTCAATTGCATATGGCGATGGGCTGGTGAAGTAGACCGGTATAGAGAGGAGCGTTTGGAGCGAGCACGGGAGCGGTACGATTGATTCACCCCAGCCGGGGAAGGGCAGTATATCACCTGTCCCAAGGGCGTGTGATTGAGATCAACTAAACATTAGCTTGAGATCGAGCCGCGAATTTGCAGGGGTCTGTCAGATCTGATCCGACGCGCCTACGACGGATTTGGTAAACCTTTGCGTAAATCAAGCTTTGCCGTCTTTATCTGAGCCGGGCGGGGTGTTAGGTCGGGTGTCAGTTTGCACGCCGCCACGCAAAGCTGCAGGCAGAGGCTAGAGTCGTGTCCCTCAGCAATTCAGGGAAGGCACAGCCCGCAGGGCGTCGAGACTTTGCGATCCGGAAGCAACCGCATCTTGTAGTACGTGACTCGCTCCCTAATCCCTGGAGACGACTGTCGGCCGCCAGGAACTTGAAGCCACAAGGCGTTCATGTCGAGGTACAAGACGCTGTTGGAGCAGGGATGGAAGCAGCACCGATCGGCCAGTCCTTGACCAGATCTGCGAATCGGTGTATGCAGCTTAGACGAGATCTGGCGGCGTCTGGTAGTCCGATGATGACAGGTGCTGACCCAGATCCTGCAGAAGAGATCCTGCACAAGATGGCGCTGCAGGAGTAGCGCCGGCACTGCGATCCGGCTGCAGGGTCAAAAATGCACTTGTTGCTAGCACGCAGAATCGGATGCTGTTCATAGCTACATCTTCACCGCCAGCACCGTGACAGTAACTCAGGCTGCGAGCGTTTCCGCCAAACCACCATCACGGCAGACTCATGCTGTGACAGGCGTTTTTGTGCACGATCCAGGCGGCGTGTAGCAACGGCGGTCGAGATCTTGTTGTGAAATGCTTTTTAATGGCGGGGCATGAAAGGCTCTCCTCGGCCAATAACAGTGCGGAGCACGTCCAAGACGGAGACCCGTCAATCCATCGGCTGTCGTACTAGGGCATGAGATCTCGTGTAACTCGAGTGAGGTCGTGGAGATTAGGGAGTGTTTCAGAAAGGCTCGGGTCGCACGACTGACGAGTGCCTGCAACGGCCAAGCTGGACATAGATCTGCGTTGCTCTTAGCGCAGTCTGTGCGCAATTTCCCTTTTCGAGGTCTCGTCGACGACATGTGAACGTGTCGTGCCTTCACGCTTCACGGTAACGCTGCCCACTGGCTGACTGTCTTCTGCCGACGCGTAAATGAGCCTGCTGTCACCGATTCGAAGGAGTGCACTCCATTCGCAGCACTTTGCAACTTGGCGCGCAGTCGTTACTCGGGCACATGCGTTGTGCTTCCAGAGTTCACGGCAGAAATCAACCTTTTGCCCGACTAATATAGCTGAGCTGCTAAGGCCAGCTTCCCCGCTTTCGTCTACGTCTCCGCGGAGTTCGTCGGAAAGTGAGACACTCACGGTTCATGGCTATGTCCGGTCCGTGAGGAAGCAGAAGCGCATCGCCTTTGCTGTCATCGGCGATGGCTCGACTTTATCGACAGTGCAGGCTGTATTGTCACCTCAACTAGCAGAAGAGTCAGTCTAGTGGACGCATTATTAAGTCTCGAGTGCTGACTGCGCGATTGACAGCCTATCAACTGGAGCCGCTGTGACCGTGACTGGGAAATGGACACCATCGCCGGGTGGGAAGCAGTCTCACGAGCTTCAAGTTGAAGACATCCGTGTGCTTGGAGCTAACGATGCGACCACATCTCCCATCCAAAAGAAGTACCAGTCAGCAGAGTACCTCCGTACTATTCCCCACTTACGACCTCGACTACCCGTCAACGCTCTGCTTCTGCGGCTGAGATCTCTCGTCACCGCGCAGGTGACAAGCTACTTTGCCAAGAACGACTTCATCCAATGCCACCCACCCATCATTACTTCTTCCGACTGCGAGGGAGCCGGAGAGGTCTTCACCATCGAGCCTGCTGCGTCTGATGCTACACCAGCACGTGTGCCTGGTCAATCAGGTCAGGCTAAGAAACTGCGTGACCCCTTCTTCGGCTCGCCAAAGTACTTGACTGTCTCCAGTCAGCTCCACCTGGAAGCGCTTGCTCAGTCTGTCGACAAAGTATGGACGCTTTCTCCCACATTTCGCGCCGAGAAGAGCGACACAGCCCGTCACCTCAGCGAGTTCTACATGCTAGAAGCTGAAGTAGCTTTTGTCGAAAACCTCCAAGATGTCATGGATGTGGTGGAGGACATGCTGCGCTCCGTTGCACAGGAACTTCAGTCCTCACGTGTAGGTCAAGAGCTACTCGAGGCTCGGGCACGGGATCAGGGCGAAGAGGGTACATCCGTGTCGCACGACACACTCGCACAACGATGGCAGGGTCTTGTTGACGGACCGTGGCCGCGAATCAAGTATGCTGAGGCGATACGACATCTGAAGGAGGCGACTGCACAAGGCAAGGCCACGTTCGAGTTCTGGCCTGAACACGAGGATGGTCTGCAGACAGAGCATGAGCGCTATTTGGCTGAGCATTTCGGCAAAGGCGGGCCCATCTTCGTCACAGACTACCCTCGTTCGATGAAGCCATTTTACATGCTGCCATCGAGTCCGTCTGGGTCAGACACAGTGGCATGTTTCGACCTCCTTGTGCCCGAGATCTGCGAGCTGGTAGGCGGCTCGATGCGTGAACACCGCCTGCCCGAGCTGCAACAGTCGATGGCCGACCACGGCCTCCCCGCAGCAGCTGACAGCAGCGCCGAGGCATCAGACGGGTCCCTGCAGTGGTATCTGGACTTGAGACGATACGGCAGTGTGCCACACGGAGGATTCGGTCTAGGCTTCGACCGCCTGATCTGCTATCTCTCTGGAGTGCAAAATATCAGGGATGTTGTTGCATTCCCGAGATATCACAAGAAGTGCGACTGTTGATCGCGTATCTGCGTGCGAGCTGCAAGGGCCCGGGCCTGCGGGATTGTGCACAGTGCGCTGTGTTCCCGGAGACATTCCTCGTGTCTCGAAAGACGCGAGCTGTAGAATATATTGTACAAATGTACTTTCACACCTGCGAGCAACTATCATAGGCTACTGCCTGTTGAATAAAGTGTGAGCTGCTGTTCAGATCACACTCCGGCTGCAGCGACGACAACATTGACAAAGTATTGGAGCCCTGAAAGACTACCATATTACGCACACAAGCCGCGTAGCAACACTGACTACCTCCGAACCTTTCAAGGATCTTCTGGCACTTTTCGATGGTCTGCAAATACTCTACAAGAGCTCGGGCTGTTTTCGGGGAGCAAAGACAAAGTCCGCTCGTAATGTGGGTCGTAATTCCAAATTTGAGGCATTATCAGATTATCAGATTTTTTTCTGAATTTGATACAGACAAACATCTACATGCTCCGTCAAGAAGTCTTAGAAGTCTGCACGTCCAGCAGACCGCCTCCATCGCCATGGCGACTGTCAAGCAGTGCATGGGGGGGTGAGATTTTGCGAAGCCTTGCAAAGCCTTGATTTCGAAGATCTGATAAGATCAGATCTTTTAGCCCAAACAATGTTCCCCTCACGGCCCGGTGGCACCTCCAAGAGCTATCGCTAGCGATGATGTATGATGCAAGTCCGCAGCGACATTCCAATTACGCGCTGTCATGACGATGCGTGCAGTTCTGCGCCCACAAGATATCGAAGGAAGGCGCAGAACATCAAGGGTGCAGCGGCAGTTAGCGATGTCAGACTGTGTGCATTAGCTTTGCTTTACGTCGTCGTGACATGGCAATTGAGATGACGGTGTGTTCTACGAGACCTCGGCGGTCATTGACTTGACAGTGCAGTGATGGCGCTAACACGGCCCTACCAATAATCTGGCTAAGCTTCTGCGTCTCGGCCTCTCAAAAGTATCAATCCTCGACGCGGACACTGCCACCACCACGCCCAGACAGTCCTATCCTGCGCAACCGATCCAGCTGCACGCCGCCGTCCCCATCCCTCACTCTCAATCGCAAAACTGGCATCCACCGTCGTCACGCCCGGGCAGATCATGGGTGGCCATGACCGGCCAGCAGTGTCCGTCGAAGAAGCAGAGCACGAGTACAGCTCCCAATGAGCCAGCGGCCTCACAAGCGCCATCGCTGACCATTCCCCCAGCTATGAGGCGCTCCCACCAAACTTTTCGCTGGGCGCGAACATGCTCGCAGGCGCGTTCGCAGGTATTGCTGTACGCATCCGAAGTCGCCGCGTCAGACGCACATCAGCTGAACTCGCATTAGGAACACTCGGTCATGTACCCCGTCGACATGCTCAAGGTACGCGACCCCTCTGGGACCTGCGACAATGCTGGACGACGTGCTGACAGCCGGATAGACGAGGATGCAAGTCATCAATCCTGGACCCTCGGCGACATACACGAACTCCATCGCCAACGCCCTTGTCACAGTCTCGAGGGTAGAGGGGTTCAGGTCGCTATGGAAGGGACTCTCCAGTGTTGTTCTGGGCGCTGGTACATGCATCTGGCATCGACATGTTTTCTGGGCGCGCGACTAATGGTGACGCAGGGCCCGCGCACGCCGTGTACTTTGCGTCCTACGAAGCCACAAAACACGCTCTCGGTGGGAACGAGGGAGAGAGCCATGAGCACCATCCTCTTGCTGCAGGTGCGCAATGTTCTGGGACCTACACTTCAGGAGGTGTCGCTAACCCTCCGCAGCTGCCAGCGGTGCCGCAGCCACTATCACCAGCGATGCGCTGATGAACCCGTTCGATGGTTTGTAGCACTACTCCTGCCACGCCGACACACACTGAGAATATCGCAGTCGTCAAGCAGCGCATGCAATTGCACGGTTCCATCTACACGTCAGTCGGCCACTGCGCCCGCGACGTCTTCCGCAAGGAAGGCATTGGCGCGTTCTACGTCTCGTACCCCACCACACTGTGCATGACGGTGCCCTTCACCGCGCTGCAGTTCATGTCGTACGAATCGATATCGAAGGTCATGAACCCCACGGGCCGCTACGACCCGTACACGCACTGCTTCGCCGGTGGACTGGCTGGTGGGTTTGCTGCGGCACTTACTACGCCCTTGGACGTCATCAAGACACTGCTACAAACACGAGGCAGCGCGCACGACGCTGAGCTGAGGACCGTCTCTGGCCTGGTCCAAGCGGCTAGGATCATCCACCAGAGAGAAGGCTGGAAGGGCTACTTCCGTGGATTGAAGCCCAGGATCATCACCACCATGCCCAGCACAGCGATCTGCTGGTAAGCGCACATCGAGAATCCACTTGCGAAGCAAAGACTAATCAGCACAGGTCTGCATACGAGATGGCCAAGGCATTCTTCATCGCCCGCAGCACAAACCCTAACACCGCCTTATAATGACAATCTTTCATGATTTCACGCGTTCCGTGCAGCGCATCCTCCTATAATGCGACATACACCCCGGCAGTAAAAGGGATTTCGATATTTCGGCATAGAGCAGGCTTCCCAGCCGCATCGTGTGAGCTGCGTAGGCACGCGCGGCGGGCTCCACACTTCGTTGTATAGTCATAGAAGCTTTCCTGGCTTTGATATCTGGAAGGACCACATGGCGGCGTCTAGGATTTTTGACGCTTTTTCTCCTGAGCGTTATGCAGTCAGCGCAGATATGTTTGTACCATATGGGGAATGTAGCATTGGCGTCTTCCGCCAACTGGCACCATCGACTCAATCGCTCTGTCAAGATCTAGGTGCGCTGAAAAGAGGAGCGCATATCGATAGCAAGAGTGGCCCTAGTGCAGATCTGAATACGACCCGCACACGCCCTGTGATCCCTCGCCGAGTCTTTTGTGTCGGTGATAACACCGTGATCTGAACTAATTGCGGTCAGTTAAATCTGGTATCCGGGGCTGTGGCTTGTGACTGAGCCCCAAAGCAGATACGCGTCGCGTGCGCCGCAGCCGCAAGTTAGCCGTTTGCCTTCTGATGATATCAAGCTACGTCACCGCAGAACGGACAAGCCTCAAACCACCATCTTGGTACGGCTCCGCGATTCCTCTTCGATAACCCTACCACATGCCGTAGATCGCCGATCATTTGCTGCTCGCGCCCGACACCATGCGCGCAAACACGACGCAAAAGGCCTACGACGAGGCTTTCCTAGCCTGCTCCACTGCTGTGTACTTTGAGAGCCAGGTTGGTGTCTATGAATAGATCAGATGGTCAAGACGCTGACGAATTGCATCAGCACAACGAGAAGGAAGCCCTGCGATCATGGAGGAGTGCACTCGATCAGATCTACTACCACAACGCCCGTCGCAACCCCACCACCTACCGTCCGTCGTCCGAGACAGAGCGAGCCTTGGTGGAGTCCTTACGGCAGCTGGAACTGCAGTGCAAGGAACGCGTCGACCTGCTGGAAGCACTGAAGAAGAGTAGAGAGGAGTCAAAGGAGAGTCTTTCGAGCACCGATGCCCAAGCTCCCACCCCGCCTCCGCATGGTGCGCCCCTAGGGCCCTCCGACACGAACGCCTCGTCAGATTGGCTTGGAGGAGGATCGATACCGCCTGTTGCCCAGAGCGACCTCGCAAGACCACCCCCGCTACCCAGTCGGCCCTCGATGGCACCGCGCAAGAGCTCTGGCAACATGTCGAAGCACCGGATCAGCAGCCTGACGCAGACAATGAGCAACTCCTCTCTCAACCCTGGACCTTCAGACGATAAGAAGTCGCGAACACCATCGCCGGACAAGAAGGGTAGCAGGATGCTGCGGACACTGAGACCGAACAAGGATGGCAAGCCGGCAAGCAAGATGCCCATGTCGATGAGGTCACGGCCTGAGGCATCGAAGGCTGCAACACTGGCATTTGGATCGAGGGCTGCCGCATCAAGCTCGAATAGAGCAGGTCTGAACGCACCGAAGGCAGCGACCCCTCCGGTTAATATTTCTCCCCGCGCGTCGATGGAGATGCCTGCTGCAACACCACAGGTTGAGGTACCGCTCGTGCATCCCTCTGGGCAAGACTCGCCTAAACCAGCGCCGTTCTACTTTCAGACACGCGAAGGGTCAGGATCTACTAATTATGCTGTGCCAGCACCCAGGAATAATAGCGATACGGAAAAGCCAAAACATCCTCCAATCCCCCGCAAAGCCGCGCCTGCCCCGCCGCCAGTACCTTCGAAGCCGGCCGAGTTGATCAGAAACCACTCGTCACAGGCGAGCAAAGCTCTGCCTCCGTTGCCAGCCTTTCCATCATATCGAAAGGAGTATCCTCCAGCGCAACTGGATCCCCGACTCTTAGCAGCATCGGCGGCAGCACGATCGTACAGTGACCTAGGGTCGACCAAGTATGGTAATAAGGAAGTCGATGCTACACGCAGACCGTCAGCTACGCCTACGACACCAAGCAATATCAGTCGAACGCGGAATGTTCGGAGAGAGCCTTCTCCAGAGCCAATACCATTGGCCGAGGACGGTTTTGACGACGAGTCTCGACGGCCACCCCATCGAAAGGCGAGGAGACGAGGAGATTCGATGCGTGCAGATCTACCTCCAAACCCCACTGCTGAATTTGGCGAAGGTGGTGAGACACACGAGGAGCCTGATGAGTGGAAGAGCAAGACGGAGGAGATACTGAAGAACCTCCCTCGAGGCGTGGACAAGCAATCAGCGCAGAACATCTTGAACGAGATCGTGATACAGGGAGATGAAGTGCATTGGGACGATGTGGCAGGCTTGGAGATTGCAAAGTCGGCGCTGAAAGAGACGGTTGTATATCCATTTCTCAGGCCGGACCTGTTCATGGGACTGCGAGAACCTGCTCGAGGCATGCTGCTTTTCGGACCACCAGGGACCGGAAAGACGATGCTAGCGAGGGCGGTGGCTACGGAGTCCAAGTCGACCTTCTTCGCCATCTCTGCGAGCAGCTTGACATCCAAGTTCCTCGGTGAGTCGGAGAAGCTTGTCCGCGCCTTGTTTTCGCTGGCGAAAATGCTCGCTCCGTCTATCATCTTCGTCGACGAGATCGATTCGCTGCTGTCTTCAAGAGGAGGTTCGTCTGAGCACGAGGCCACACGGCGCATAAAGACTGAGTTCCTGATCCAGTGGTCAGATCTGCAGAAAGCCGCTGCTGGTAGGGAAACAAGCGAAAAAGACAAAGAGACAGGCGATGCGACGCGCGTGCTTGTGCTTGCAGCAACGAACTTGCCCTGGGCCATCGATGAAGCGGCAAGGCGTCGATTTGTCCGGAGACAGTACATCCCGCTGCCCGAAGATTTTGTCAGGAAGCAGCAGGTCAAGACGTTGCTGAGCCACCAGAAACATGACTTGAGCGAGAGGGACCTGGACCGCTTGGTCGCGCTCACAGATGGTAAGTCTGAACGCTGTCTCGGTTCTCCGCATGATCATATGACTGACGGCAATATAGGTTTCTCTGGCTCTGACATCACTGCACTTGCGAAAGACGCCGCAATGGGCCCCTTGCGTTCTCTAGGCGAAAGCCTTCTCACCATGACAATGGACGAGATTCGTCCCATACAGTTCAAAGACTTCCAAGCTAGTCTACGCACCATCCGGCCATCTGTTAGCAAGCAGGGTTTGCAGCAGTTTGAGGACTGGGCAAGGGAGTTTGGAGAGCGTGGAGGGTAGATACTCATGCGCTCTATTGCGTGCATTCTCCGATCTCCAATGGACACTGCATTTACTTTGCATAGCTGAGCCGATCTAGGGCATCGTTTTGCTCGAGCTTGAGATTGCCCCACCTGCCATGTTCATGGGCGCTCCTTCCTTCTTCTCAAACACTCACCATCAGACCCGCGACTTAGCGTCCCAACACAGCATTGAGCGCCCGCTCTAGAAGGAAACAAAACACATCCTGCTTTCCCTTCCAGACCTTATACTGACATCGACATGGCACCTCGCAAGAAGACCGAGAAAGAAGAGAAGGCAACAGGCGCCGAGGGATCAGACATGATCCTGCACTATCTGCGTACGTCTCGTCTCATCTTCCATCACCGCCACGCTCCTCAGTGTTACGCAACTGATTTCTCGCAGGCGAGACAAACAGACCCTACTCCGCCATCGAGATCTCGGCCAACTTACGCAACAAAGTCACGAAAGGTCAGTATCGCTGTTATCCGGGGGCTGCCAGCGGGGAAGAAGCGATTAACATCATGCAGCCGCCGCAGCAAAGCTGCTGAAGGACTTACACGAGCAAAAGCTCATTGAAGGCCGTCCGGCTGGTAAGCACAGTTCGCCCGCATGGACCTGCGGAAGCTGATACACTCCAGGCAAGCAGATCGTCTACCATGCACTGCAGGTACATCTCACCTCGTAACCATCTTAGCACGCATCGCCCATCTCTGCCACCCTCTCAGTCACTAACAGTACCCTCCAGAGTCCCGACGACGCCGTCTCCCCCGACCAGCTCGCCGAGTACGACACCCGCATCGCCGCCCTCACCACGCAAACCACCGACCTCCACGCCCTCGCCAAATCACTCCGCGCCACCCTCGCATCCTTGACCAGCTCTCTTAGTGCAGCGGACATACTATCCGCCACCTCCTCGCTCGAGTACGAGAAAGCCGAGATCGAGACGAGGCTGGAGAGTCTGAGGGCTGGGAAGGCGAAGAAAGTCACCGCCGAGGAGAGGGCGGAGGTGGACAGGGAGTGGAAGGTGCTGATGGGCGTTGAGATGAGGAGGGAGAAGATTGCGAAGGTGATGTGGGGGATGGTGGAGGATGGGACGGAGAGTAGGGAGATGCTTGCGGATCTCAGAGAGGGGTGGGGGTTGGATGAGTGAGGGCGGGGTGTGATGAGGTCTGAGTGGGAATGGAGAAATCTAAGGGATCAGGTGTATGAGGACGGCATTTTGCTACTCTACTGATGATCAAGGATTAAAAACGGATCTGGCCACAGATGGTTAACATTTATGAACGTACCCATGTTCCTCTACGCCTTCCGCTTTATGCCCTTAGGATAGTGAAGGTGGGCCAACCCACGAACCTTCGGTGCTCCTCGCCATCGACTTTATAGATAACGTTGAATTCAGGGACTAGAGAGGACTGTGTCAAGTTGCCCGTCATGTCTACTTTCGGAGCTGCGGTCGCAAGGCGTTGACGACAATACAGGAGTTGGGCATTGGCTGCAGGATCACTGTGTCGAGTGAACGTGTTTCTCCCTGTTGGAATGGTTTCTGCTCTAGTTATACAGCGAGCACCACAGCGGTATCGGAAGGGTGTGGATGGACTGTAGCTTGTAGAGTGGGAGGATGAGAGAGGTGTGCTTTTGTTTTGTAGATGAGGTCAGCCGTTATCGTCAGATGTACCCCAAGAATACATGGATAGAATCTAGCTACACTCTCTCTTTTCCTCAGAAAGCCCCTTTCGGCCGAAGGGTTTTACTACCCAAAGTAGTTTATAATTGGAGCTGCTATCGACCACTAGTCCGCACACAAGTATGATATCGAGCAACCTGGAAGTTGTCCTCTACTAGAGATTGCCCCTAGCTTGCTGGGTTCCCATATCTTCCGTACCATACGCACAACGAAGGCTTCGATGGGTGTCTATACACTTAGCGGATATACCGAAACTCTGGATGAAGATGTCCAAGTCTAGCAACCTCGTCTGCCGATCGTTCTACACGATAATCACGCGCACCAATCGCACGCTTTCGATTCTCCTTCGTCTGATACAGCACGAGTGTTACAGACGCAATAACAACGGAAAGTGCGGTCGCCGTGTTCAGAGCATTGCCAATCTTGTATCCGTTTTTCGCATCAGTGCTGATGTAGCTCCACGTCGCCACGATAGAACCTTATCACGGGTATCAGTACGGAACTCGTACGAGCCAGCGTATGGTAAGGAGAGACAACATACCTATATTTGCAATCCCAGAGACAGCAGCATTTGCAACGTTCTTCGCCGTATCGGGCGCCGCGTTCGCCAACGTCCATGCGATAATCAGCACGCCGAAACCATACCCTCCCGCCGTGTTCAAGAAAACTGCAGCAAACCGCACCTGCGGATCTCGCGAGCCGAGCCACATGGCATACCCGACTACACACAGGCCGGCGCAGGCAGCAATCGCAACGCCGTGTCTGCGCGTCTTCATCGTGACGTACGCCACGCCCAGGCTAAACAGCATGCCCACTAGCGGCGGCGCCGACGAGAGGAGTTGGATCTGAACCAGCGATCTGGCGGGGAAATTGAGGCGCAGAATTGTCGGGGTGAAGATGGAGAGTCCCTGGACGGTGATCTGGTTGCATGTGAAGATCCAGGCGCCGATGAGCACGTTGACGTTGAAGACACCACGCCTGATTGGGGACCAGGTTATCTTTTCTTTGTGCGAGACGACGGCGGGCTGGTCGTGGATGAGTCGGCGCATGGCTAGTTTTCGCTCTGAGGCATTGAAGATCCGTGTCGTTGATGGATCAGCTGGGAACAGCCATAGCGCGATGATGCCGAATCCGATTGTTGCGATCCTGCGCTGTAGTCAGTCAAACAGTAACTCTTCCCGGAATCAAGAGAACATGGCCATACCCTTCGACCAAGAAGATGACCCGCCAGGACCTCACGCTCCCAACGCTGCCCAAGCGCAGCAGGCCCGAGGCCAACAGGCCTCCAAACCCACCAGCGAATCCCGCAGCCCCCAGCATAAAAAACGAGATCCGAGTCGTCACCTCGTGACGACGATAATACCGTGACACCAGGTAGCTCAATCCCGGGAGTTGAAACGCCTCAGAAAGACCCAGCAAGATACGGATGGCGTAAAACCCGGCACTGTTACGAACAAACGCAGTCCCAACAGTGACTGCGCCAAAGCAAACACAGCTCAGGGGCAGAACCACGAAGCCAAACTTCTTCACGCACAGCGCAGCAGGAACGTCGGCGACAAAGTAGACGGCGTAGAATAAGCAGGCGCCTGTGTTGAATCCGTACATGCCCAACCCGAGGTCTTTGTCCATGCCGGCGATTCGGGCGTTTCCGAGGTTCGTCCGGTCGAGGAAGGTGAAGAAGTACATTAGGAAGATCATGGGGAGGATGTGTCTATCTTGCTTGCGCACGAGCGCGGATTCGAGTGCAAGGTCGATGGGGATTACATTGGTCTCCTCGGGGTTGAGGGAGCTGGTGTGACGCACTTCTGGTTTTCCGAATTTGTTGCCCATGATTTCAATCTGAAACTTGGTCTAGAATAGTTCGAATGGAGTAACGAAGGTGGGGAGAGGCGGTAGAGGTGCAGCTGCGGAGGTGGAAGTGCGACTTTTTCTGCTGAGAGCGTATGCAGCCTTGCAGTCTCACGGATGTGGCTACAGAAACGATCTCGTGGCGCTTCCTCGAGGCGATCGAGAATTCAGGGCTACTACTTCGCAGGAACTCATGTAAATTACGCGCTTGGCAACAGTACAGCGGTACTTCGCACCCAGATCTGACGAAGATGTAGGAGGTCTAGTGACAATTGTTCGCAACAGTCACAACACACAGACTCCATATTGGCCGGGCTCTCTCTATATGATACTGTCTTGATCATCATGCAGTCAGCATGTACGTATCGTCCGCACGTTTGGGGATAAGCTGATGTGTTCGGCACTGGGCCAATGGTGCTAGGGCTGCTTCCACAATCCCAGTCAGTCTCACTTCTAGGAGCAGGGTCGCTGCATAATCGTCTAACACCTCCATCCAATTGTCACAGCGATGCTAGCGTCAGCGTATATCATGTGATGCAGAACCTGTAGTGACAGATTGTTCCGATATTTTTCGCGGCCGTAGTAGTTCGAGTTGATCTCCCATCGTAGAAAAAGTTGCTACAACAACAGATATGTTCCGTCCATCACAGAGTTATATGTCTTTAAACGATGCATGGATAGACCTTGACTGCCTCTCACATCCCTGCAAAATATGGTCTTACAACCGACTTCTTCTACGGCCTAGAAGGTGCATTACTCAGACATTGCGATGAATGGAGTTACTCTTGTCAGGGGAAAGGCGCTCATGCGGGTCATCGAGCTGTATGGACCAAACGAACATACCACCAAATTTGTACGCTCATTCTCATCATAGGGCAGAAGTCGCGTCTGTGAGATTCAAGGCGCCGCACCAGATCACAGATCCCCTGGCAAAGATTTCTGGCCATTACAGAACGCAACCTACCTTCTTCGCTGAACGCTGGACTTTCTCAACTCAGCGGTCATTAACGCCTTTTCACCTCTTGTCATCTTCCCTTACCCTACAAAGACTACGGCCGATCGGTCGATGGCCTCGATTCGGCACATGCGCTGCCTTTGCCTTACCTCAACACCAACTGCATTTCCCGCAACCGCACAGCTCTGACATCTCAGCTGCTCGACAGCACTACTTCAATCGGCAGTATGACCTCGCAAACAGTTGGCATGGTGGTCTCCACGACAAAGCGCATGGAGTAAGGCTACACCCTTTGACGACTACATCTTTGATCGACAATGTGAAACTAATTTTGACGACTTCGTACGCATCGATGTTGGCACCAACGAATACCTCAAGATCTACATCGTACACTGCAGCCCCTTCACAGCCCGCTCGATGTTCTTCTGCAAGGCGCTAACGGGCAATCGGAAATAAGCAGAAGACCGCATTGTACGCATTCCAGACAGCGACATCGAGATGTTCGAGACCTATGTTCATATCGCATACCACAATGAGCTCGCCACAACGCCCGGACTGTCGAGTGACGTTACAAAGACACTAGCTGCGCAGCGCAATCTCGCCAAGATGTATGTCCTTTGCGACATAGTACAAGATGTGAAGGCGAAGAACTGCATTATTCAGGCGCTCATACGCAGCATCTACAGGATACGCGACGACTACCGGTATACAATGCCGAGGCGTGACATGATCGAACTCATTTACGAAGGCACCGTGAAGGGCAGTCAGCACATTGTTCTCTCCTTGATGTCTTCACCTACAGTATCAAAGTCGAGTGGTTGACGGGAAACGGTCCTCTCGAGAGCTATCCGGTAGAGTTCTTGCAGGAGCTCGCTGTCAAAATTTCGAACAAGCGCCCACCAGCAGGATTCTCAAAAGGCGTCTTCCACTCGGCAAAGAAGGATCATGGTGTGGAGTGCCTGGAGAACGGGGAACCGGAAAGTAGGTCGCAGCACGAAGATATACGAAGAATCTCCGTACGGTGGCAGTCACAAGAAGTATGAGACCGGTAGCTTAATATGAAAGATGGACAAAACAAAGGCAGTACTGCAACTTGTACGCTAGAGGATGAAGGAAGGTGCAATACCCGCAGCGTGGGTGAGGCTTTGGTGGCGTTCCGAATGCGCCCGCTAATTGGCGGGGCAGTACCGAAGGTCCGATGAACTCATCACCCCTTCCACAAGCCCTCCCCTTCTCAATCTCTCTGGAATTCTTACATTATTTCCGAACGTCCGAAGCCATGTCAAAGGTAGAAGGAGCCCCAGCGCACGGAAAGGTTGCGCATCTGTTGCCTTTGACGTACAAGCGGTTGGTTTCAGAGTGGCTCGAGGAGGACACACCGAGCTTCGACTACGGAGGTTTCGTTGTTGGCGAAGAGCAGTCAGAGGCAAAACTTCTGGGCAAAAGTGCGGTCAGCAAGATTGAACCAATGCAAGGTGGCAAATCTGATGTGTTCAGGGTATCGTTGCTGGCGTCCCATTCTTTGACGAGGTGTTCAAGCAGCTAGAATGCACGTGAGTAATCCACAAGCACATACAGAAAACAAATTCTGACACTTGTGATCAGAGTAGAGTGGCATGTCAAGGAAGGCGATTCGGTCGGTCAGGACGGTGGCAAGACTCATTGTGCAACCGTCCGCGGTCCAGTCCGCAACCTCCTCCTTGGCGAGCGTGTTGCCCTTAACACACTCGCCCGCTGCTCGGGCGTTGCAACGAAATCGAACCGCCTTCTAACATTACTGCGAAAAGCCGGCTACCAGAATATTCTTGCTGGAACACGTAAGACCACGCCTGGCTTCCGACTAGTAGAGAAGTACGGCATGCTTGTTGGTGGCGTTGATGCTCATCGAGTCGACCTCTCTCACATGACGATGCTGAAGGACAACCACATCGTTGCTGCAGGCAGCATCACCAACGCCGTACGAGCCGCAAAGTCAGCAGGTGGCTTTGCTACGAAGGTCGAGGTCGAATGCCAGAGCTTCGAAGAGGCAGACGAAGCGATCGCTGCCGGCGCTGACATCGTCATGTTGGACAACTTCACGCCAGAGGATGTCAAAGTGGCAGCTGCGCAGTTGAAAGGAAAGTGGGGACGGGGAACAGGGGACAGGAAGACTTTCTTGGTTGAGGTCAGCGGAGGTTTGACCGAGCACAACGTGGAGAAGTATGTTTGTGCTGACATCGACATTGTCAGCACGAGCAGTATACATCAGGGTGTACCTCACGTCGACTTCTCGCTGAAGATCGTGCCGAATACGAAGAAGGACGGCAGTGAAAGTCTGGAGGTATAGTAGTAGGATCCTGCGAGGTCCGAAGATTAGGCAAGGATCAAAAGCACAGCCAATCATAACCAAGTTTTTGCGAACCATCCAGTAGATGCGTTTCTTGGTAGGTGAGAGATGCAGCGAGCTCCAGTGGCCTGCCTTTTACACCTAGCTACACTTCCGGATCTGGCCGCCCTCGCCCGACTTCCGACACAGCCCCGCCAGGCGTTCCGTCTGCACCGTGCCACACCGCAAGAGCATCAATTTACCTTCCCTCGTATCGCAGCTTGGAACTGTACGACTGATGTTTACATGCTTAACTATTCTTCACTGGCCTTGCGTACTCAGCCCTGTTCGGCATTATTAAGCTCACCGAGGGCCACATTCAATGCGCTCTAATTGGCGCGACGTTCCACGTTCAATAATCAATATGGATTCACAAGTAGACACGAGACGCGTTGAACGAGTCATGTTGGCTTGCGTTCAGTGTCGAAGTAGGCACGTCAAATGTGATTCACATCAGCCTGTCTGTAACAGATGCCGACGTGGTGGAAAAGAGTGCAACTACCAGAAGTCAAGAAGAGGAGGTCTCAACAAGGAAGCGCTCGCACGGAGGCGACTGAGGTTGCAGCAAGAAGGCGAGCAAGTCAAACAGAGTTCAAAAGAGTCCGCTTCGGCCGGCGATGCCAGTACACACACCACGCCGATGTCGCGCTCTCAAGGCGACGAGAACCTGCGTAGTGGTCCGTCGAGCACGACTTCCTTGAGAAACCTTTACATACAGGACAACGGATCCGGGTCTCCGGGCACTCTGACCTTCCAGATCAGCGATGACCGCTTGACTGAGTTGTTCTACGAGTACTTTTGGCCTGCCTTCCCGATTGTTCTTCCGCAGCAATTCTTCCGATCGCGGAAGATGGTCGAAGGCCACGGACTGGAAGAGCTATCGCTGGTCCTCGAATGGATCGGGAGTCTCTATGCATCCTACTGCCCGTCAGAACCATACTATCAAGCTGCACTAGAAGCTATCACCTCGCCGCTCATACCACGTACACCATTCAGTGTCCAGGCCATTATGCTCTTTGCAATCGCGCAGCATCATCAAGACTTGCGTCCAGAGTCTCGAAAGACGCTAGACTCTGCCATTCTGCTCGCGTTAGAGCTAGACATGCACAAGCGAGATTTCGCACGCTTATGGGGCGAGTGCAATCCGGTGCTGGAGGAGTCGTGGAGAAGAACGTGGTACATTTTGGCTTTTACTGATCAGCACTTCGCCATCGTCATGAACACACCGATATACCAGTTGGCCAATATGCAGAGCGACGTCGATCTGCCTTGCGATGATGAGTTCTACATCACCGGGGTAAGTCCGTGTCGACCCTATCTACACGCTCTCACTGACGATACAGCGCATACCGACACCTGCTACCTACCAGGAGATGGGGAATCGAGAGTTCGCTGATCTTGAAGTGGTCTACTCTTCGATCGCGTATCTGCATGATATATGTAGGACTGTCGCTTATGGTAGGAAGCCTCTCGCATATTGGAACCTGACTGACGGGTCACAGTGATGCGTACCTTTGCCACTTCCGCACACTTCAGCAGAGAACTCGTCGATACTATGGATGCAAAGATAGCTATCTGGCACTCGCTGCTCCCATCCACCAAACGAGATCCTTTGCGAAAGGATGGAACCGTCGATGAAATCATGTTTCAAGCCCACATGGTCGGAGCAATGTAAGTCCCGCACCCCTCACATAGCTACATGTACAGTAACTAAACTCAGGAGTGTTCTGATGACGATGCACCGACCCTTTTCCTCGCTCGTGTACAACGACGTAGAGCTTATCACCTCATCCTTCTCGCCACCAGCACCCTTCTCCATGCCTCCATCAGCCGGACGAGGCGCACACACAGCCCGCACACTCAGAGTAGCAGATATTCAGACAAAGCTCCTCGCCATACCATGTATCATTGAGAGGCACAGCGTCTTCAGCATGTGCATCAGCGCACAGATTGCCACCGCACAAGTCTCTGCTTGCAGTAATTTGCTTGAGGACCATGCCCTTTCCATCGCGCGCGATCGCATCAAGCTAAGCATCGGTTTTTTGAACGCCATGGGATCCATATGGCCGCTTGGAAAGGCGATGGCCAAGGATGTTCGCGCCGTGGCTCACTCGGTCTTTTCTACGCCGTCAAGCATGTTCACGGTACAGCAAGAGTTGACAGATGAGATCGAGGTACTTCGTGATGAATTGATTTGGCCGATTGATCCTTCGGCGAATGTAGACATATACAGTGGCCTTGTGCTGCCTATGGACTGGGAGCAGGTTATTTCGGGATACGCTTCGTCATCGATGGTGTCTGCGGCCATGTTTCAGACATCTAGTTCTGGCGAATTCGGCTCGTAGACCTCGTTAATCGCTTGTGAAGAAATTCAAGGCGTGTCTGCGTAAGGCTACGAGGCATCGCCACAACCCTATGGGTTTGAGCGGGAGTCAGTAAGGGTCGCCCTGGCGGACAGCACGTAGATGGCATCCCTTGAGTCACGACCACCTGCAGACCGCTCTTTGGGTTCAGCACGATTTTCATAGTTATTTCAAAGTGCAGTAGCCTGTTTGTGCAGCCAGTAGCTGTATCACTCTGGGAGGCTTGGTTGAGGATCGGAGGTGAGGGCAACAGCGGCGCGCATTAACATCAAGACACGTTCCCTAATACCATAAGTATATACTGAGACTTTATACTCTCTAGTGGAGTCTACGAATTCCACAGAAAGCGCTGACTTATGCCAGATACATAATTGATTTCTACTCTTAAGAAGCGCAGATGATACTTTTTCAGCTTTCAGGGCGTCCAACAACCCTGTGAGGCGCCCCCATCTTCTGGCGTTAACCCCCCAACCTTGAGCATTGGCAACCGTACTCCCCTTGGCGTCAGCGCAACCATATCAGCGATTGACAGTGGTTATCGCAACTGTGGTGCCATATCAGCAGAAGAGAGGACGTCATACCAAGGGCAGTTAGCACGCTTCCTCATTGGCCCAGCCCCGCCTGGATCTGCCGTTCTTAAGGTGGGTCTGACTTGACTAGGTCCGTGGAAGATTTAAGAGCAACGTCTGCTCGTGGCAAGGGAGGGTACGCGACCATGACGGCTGCTACGTTTGGTTTCAAGATGCGCGTCTGAGTGAAAAAGACCAATCACCTCGAACCTGCACATTTTTGCGATTCTGAGCCGCTGGGTGACAGCGCAAGGCCACGCGACCCCACCAACTTTCTGACGTGGGCGGACTCATCTGTCAACCAATTTAATATTGAAAGCACGTCGCCACCAGGATGAGCGATATCGAGAAGTATTGTGAGCGCGCGGATCCTCATGCTCCTCATTCGTTGGAGAGCGATGAGATAGAAAGACAGCTGGGAGGAGTTGACCTCGTGTACGAGGCGAAGCTTGTTCACAAACTCGATGTCTACATCATTCCCGTTGTGATGCTGTTGTACCTCCTCAGCTTTCTCGACCGGTAAGTCTCTGTCCAATCTCGACCTCTTGAAATGCTCTTTCAAAAATCACGAGTCTCATATTTGAGTACTTCGAATAGAGCAAGCTTTAGCCAGCTCGAAAAGCAAAGCGTACTAGCCACAGAGTCCACTGACATGATACTAGAGTCAACATCGGTAACGCACGCCTCTACGGCCTCGAAGAAGATCTCGGCATGGACTCAACGCAGTTCCAAACCGCCGTATCCATTCTCTTCGTGACTTACATCCTATCCGAAGTGCCCTCCAACCTTGTACTGCGCCCTCTTCCGCCTGCCAGTCACCACAGCTGACGCAAGCAGGTCCTCAAGAAACTCCGTCCCTCGCGCTGGATCGCATTCATCACCGTCGCCTGGGGCATCATCGCAACACTAACCGGCATCGTGCAATCCTACGGCGGCCTCATCGCATGCCGTCTCCTCCTCGGCGCTGTGGAAGGTGGTCTATTCCCCGGCATGGCCGTGTATCTAACCTTCTTCTACACCAAGCGCGAACTCGCGCTGCGCATTGGCTACCTCTTCGTCTCCGCCGCGCTGGCAGGCGCATGCGGCGGCCTGCTCGCCTACGCAATCGGCCATATGGACGGCATCGCCGGCCAGCGAGGTTGGCGCTGGATCATGATCCTGGAAGGCATCCCGACCTTCGTGCTCGGCATCGCGACATGGTGGATTCTGCCCGACAGCCCCGAGACAGCGTACTTCCTGGACGCGGACGAGAGAGCGTACGCTGCCGCGCGCCTCAAGCGGCAGACAGGCTACACCAAGCGCGCCGCCGAGTTCCACTGGGACGACGTCCGGAAGTGCTTCAAGGACTGGAAGGTCTGGCTGTTCTGCTTCGCGCAGTTCGGGAGCGATACCATGCTCTACGGTTTCTCGACGTTCCTGCCTACTATCATCCGCGCCATCATGCCCAAGGCCAGCAGCGCAACGGTGCAGGTGCTCACCATCCCGTGCTACGCGCTCGGCGCCATCACATACCTGGTCGTCGCGCATTTCTCGGACAAGCAGCAGAAGCGCGGCTTCTACACCATCCTGCTGGGCGTGGTGAGTATCATCGGGTACGCGATGTTGATCAGTCCGAGCAGCTCTGCGACGCATTATGCGGGGTGCTTTCTGGTCGCTATGGGGTTGTATGTGTGTGTTGGTATTCCGCTGGCGTGGTTGCCGACGAATCTGCCGCGGTATGGAAAGAGGACGAGTGCGACGGGTTTGCAGCTTTCGATTGGAAACTGTGCGGGGATTATGTCTTCGTTTGTAAGTGGCTTAGTCTTTTGTTTGGAAATCACCGTACTGACTTCTGCAGTTGTATCCTGCAAAGGAAGGGCCTCGTTTTATCAAAGGACACGCAGTGACGATGGCTATGATCGCATTTGCGCTTGCCTGCTACGCCATCTTGTGGGCGTACCTTGGTATGCTGAACTCAAAACGTGATAAGGGCGATGAGGATCATTTGATGGCGGGCAAGAGCGAAGAGGAGATTGCTGAGATGGGCGACGAGAGCCCACGGTTCAGGTATACGATCTGAGAACGACAAGTGACGGTACGGAAGCAGAGGAGGCATTAATCAACTCTAATGAAACGACAGGCCCACTGTCCAGACACTGATTTACTATTGTGTCTCACTATCGCTGACTGTATCCCTCTTCGTGCCCTCTGCCATCCTGTCTCTTTGACGCTGGATGCGCTACAACAGGGCCGCAACAAAGACAAAGCCCACACCAGCTATCTTTGCTGGGTTTTCTGGAAGCTTGTGTGTTTCGCGTTGATCCACATAGCGACCAGTATTCTGCAAATAGGACCGTTGCATGCAGATCTGGAGCAAGTTGGAATGTTACCGTACGTCGCAAAGCTCGGCCCGAATTAAGCGTTCTCACACTCAGATAGGCCGCATTGATCGCCGCTGTAGTAAGCGTAGCCCTCTCTTGGCCTACTATCGCAGAAAGCCCTTGGACAGTTAGAGCAATTTCATTGGCGTCACTTGTAATTGCAACTCCGACGGTAGCTCCTGCCTCGCAACAGAGCATTGCGATGAATGAAAAGTCGACGTTGGGTATATTGTTGCTTTGATACGTGTTGATGCGTGCCGGTTTGAGCGGCGTCTATCATTTGACCATCTAGATGTACCGACCTTCCGGGTCGAACTTGTCCATGAGCTCCATCGACTTCTCGTACCTGGGCACAGTTAGTGGAGAAGAACACTGGAGGTGTTCTGATACGTACATGGTGAAAACAATACCGCCACTCAGGATGAGACGCCCCAATCTAGGCAGAGCGCCAGACCAGAACGTCAAGACGCCCTCGTTCTTGAAGATCTTGACCACGCAGTCAAGGCTGTTCTTGTACGCAGCCCGTGCCTCTATCGACTGCATCCGTGTCTTGACTGTGTCGATGGGCATGGTTGTGTAGACGGTGATGATGCCAGCAAGACCTCCAAGACCGAATGTGCTAACAGCGCCGAGCTTCTCTCCTGGAGCAACGTACGACTGCGCCAGCTGCTTGAGCGATGTGTAACTGGAGAAGCGGACGGCGGAATTGGCGGCTTGTCGAGCGGTAGTGGGAAGGAAACCCTGGAAGAAGCCGCGGATGCCCTTCTCTTGTGCGATAATACGTGAGCCGTGGAGGAAGCCGCGCATTCGGGGGTTCGCTGATTTGCGGTCGTCGATGCTGTAACAATCATCAGCAACGTCCCTAAGTCCCAGAAGCGGAACTCCTACAGCTGTGTCTTGATGCTCTCAAACGGAGTAACGGCAAGCAGCGACTCGGTTGCTCCTGCACCAAATCCAGCAATGACGGTGGCCGGCCCGGAGATCTTTCCTTCAGCGTCTGCCAGCATGTTCTTGTATGCGTCGAAAGCCACAAATCTTATGCCCGCCTTCAACGAGTTGCCGATGATCAGTGTTGTGCATCCTGCGTACCACTGCTTGCCGAACGGCGGCCATGGCAGCTTCTTGCCGTCTGCTAATCTTCGGTTGAGCTGGGTCCGTGTCTTTGCGACTGAGAGGTGTTAGATGGTGGTATCACAATTATATAAGTGGTTCGCGTACATTCAGCAGGGTATGTGATGGCTGTGAACTCTGTCAGTGTAGTTCTTCTTGGTTGAGCTCCACCCTCACTCACAGATCTCTACAGCTCCAGCAGTCGCACCGGCAAGAATGGAGCGCATAGCACTCGGCTACTACATGTCAGTTCACATCTGTCAACGAACACTTTGTTGATTCACCTTCTTCTTCTCTGTTGGTGCAGCCGCCATTCTGAGATTGCTGCAGCTGGAGCTCGCAGGTGTTGCGGTGCTGGAGTCGTGGGCTTGACTTGGTGTGCCGCGGATACTCGTGGATGACGTGCACCTCGAAGAGTATCAATGGCAGCAGAATAGACACAGGGCAGACAAGACAAGAGCTACACGAAACGCACAGTAACTGCGCGGAATCTACAACGTGCAAAGAAGATCAATGCAGTCACAAGCCGATAGCGGCGCGCAACATTTTGGCCGCGGTCGTCGACTCGCCAAGCACTGATGTCAAGAAGCTCGGGGCAGCTCTTCGAAAAGTTACCATGACCGCTCACCCCATCTGACACTGCATCAACACGCCTCACAACTCACTCGAAATGCTGTCTCTCCGCAATATTGCCCGTACTGCGCCCCGTGCCGCCCGCTTCACAAAGGTTGTCCGCCCGCAGACGTCGCTGGTCCGCCAGACAGTAGCGTTCCAGCCAACATGGTCCGCCGCCCCCAGGCTCACAGCTTCCTTCCACATCTCCGCGATCAGGAGACAAGAAGGCAGCGGTACGGAATGCCTTCAAAAATACGGAATGGATCAAGACTGACGCCATTGCAGCAAATGAGGAGCTCGTCGCAAAGCTGCAGAGCGAGATCTCCATGGAGGAGGACATGAAGGAGGATGACGACCTCTCCGCCAACATCAAGGAGTACCTTGAGAACAGCCCTTTTGAGGTCCGTCTTGCCCAATATGGCGCCATGTTGTGTTGACTAATCCATCCGCACAGCTCGAGGACAAGGCTGGTAACCAGGAAGTCGTCCTGACCCGCACATTCGGCGACGAGAAGATCCGCATCACCTTCACCACGGCCGACCTGAGCAACAACGTCAGCCCCGAGGACGCCCTCGAGGACCAGGCCATGTACGACGACGCCGACATGGACGTGCAGTCCGGCGGCGCCAACACCAAGGGCGCCACCGCCCAGGGCACCACCAAGGACGGCAACATCCGCGTCGCCCCCGAGGATCGCACCGCCCCCGCCGACCGCGAGGAGCTCGAGGACGACTACGACGTCGACGGCGAGGGCGAGCAGGGCTTCCCCTCGCACGCCAGCATCCGCATCGAGCGTCCGGGCAAGGGCGCGCTCGCCATTGAGGCCACTGCCCAGGACGGCGACTTCATCATCGAGGACCTGTACTACTTCCCCGACGCCGAGCTCGCGGACCCGCAGACGGCCGAGAAGGACTGGGCGAGGCGGACGCTGTACACTGGCCCGCCCTTCAACAACCTCGACGAGGACCTGCAGATCCTGCTCGAGAAGTACCTCGAGGAGCGCGGCATCAACACCCGCCTTGCGCTGTTCATCCCCGACTACATCGACCACAAGGAGCAGAAGGAGTACATCCGGTGGTTGGACAATGTCAAGAACTTTGTCGCGTGAACAACTGTGCCCGCCCCTACCCTGTACTACTTGTAATCTCAACTTCTGGAGTAAAGAAGATGAAGCCATCTCTGGCCATGTAAAATAGCAGCGGGCATCTTTCTGCCTGCATGTGCGACTACGAAAGGAACCTAATACCACTAGGCGTTCAGCGTCTTCTCTCACGCAACCGAGCTTCGGGTAACTACCGTATCTTTATTACTATCATGTATGCCTCGCAGCCAACATGTACAAACCCAAACTCCAAAGCTATGCCGCAAGCAATCATAGAAACCCCACGGAGTGAGTGGTGGGAAACACATCCTCATCTCCCCATGAAGATATCCCCACACCGCTCTGTCTCATCGTGTTCGTGATACAGCGCACACCGCGCGCCCCTCCACGGCTTACACGCCTCCCACTTCCCGCCCTTTCTCTTCTCCGCGCCAAGCATCTCATCCGCCTCCCTCCCCCTTCCGTCATCCCACCCGGCAACCGCAACACCGCCCTCGACACACGTCGTGCAGAAGCTCAAACAGCAGTCGTCGCACGCCACAGCGCCACAACGCGGCTTCAGCACGGCGCGGCAGTAATCGCAGCTGCGCGCGCCGTGCCACGCGTCTGGACACCACATGCGCAGGCGGTGTCTGAGGAGAGCCTGGGCGCACGGGCGCTTGAGTAGGACGCACAGGTCGCGCAGGAACGCGGCGTGCCAGGCGTCGACGTGGCCCTCAACAAGGCGATCGGTTTTCTTGAACGCGAAGAGATCCAGCACCAAGTCGCGCAGGGGTGCGCTGTCACGGATGCCGTCGTACAGGATCCGTGTGTCGCTCGGCGTGAGCACAGAGTTTGTCTGGTCCGCGAGATCCGCGATGAGATCCACGACCGCGTTGCGAAGGCCCTCCATGCACAGCCGGTCCGCGAGCGAGTAGAGGTGCAGCAGGGTGTAGTACGCGGGCTTTCCGTCCTTGAAGGGCGCGGGGACGGCCGAGGTGTACAGCCAGGCGACGAGGAGGGAGAAATGGTCGGGATTCACATCGTCCAAGGTGATGGTCTTGCTCTTGCTCTCGACGAAGGGGCCGGTGAGCGCGGCGCGGAAGTAGGGCGATTGACTCGTGAGGAGCGACGTGTGGATGCTGAAGGGTGTGAGTTTGGGGCCGACGAGGATTGTAGTCGTGCATGTGAAGTCTTGTGGATTTGCGCTGTGGCGGTTAGCTACAGGTCGTGGGCTCCCTTGCATTCGTCACGTACCGAAGTTCGCCGGCGCGCGCACCGGTCCACGTGTATGGCGGTGGCAGATTTGTGTGAATGCGTGTCAAGGCTGGCTCGGTGCTGTACGCGACGCCGATGCTTTGGGTGGTCATAGTCGTTTCTCGTATGTTGTGCATCTTGCAGCCCTTCTCTTCAGATCTGGCGAAGCCAACTCAATCACTGATCCCAGATCGTACAACGGACGGACACTCTCGACATGCGCAGCTGGCTGCTCCAGTCGTTTTGATGAGGCCCTGTTTCGCCGCAAGCGGGTGGTGTGCGGATTCGTCTCGGGGGTCTCAGGAATGTAATTGTTGCGGAATGCGTCCTACTATATCTGCGCAAGCAGCAACAGACGTCTGCGCTGCTGTTACATCTTATTGACAATCGCCCTTTGGATGCATTCGGCTTGTGTGACTGCTTTGTTCGATGCTGACCCCTGTGTGGACGAACAAACGCTGATAATGGGGACGTACAGCCCTTGCAGAAGCAGACAAGACCACGATGCTTGAGACAGTGCATGACGAATAACGACAATCTGCGTGGTGTGTAGATTCAGGAAGAGACATGATGAAACTGTTATTGGAAAGAAGCTTTTGCTAAGTCGATGCTGCAGATCATGGGCTGCTGTATATACATGCGACTGGTGACAAACATCAGGACGCAGGCAACTGCCGCTCACCATCAAACGCAGCCGCAACCCGAGGTCCTCTCAAATAAGCTTGCGCATATGGAGTAGTGCCATGCGTAGACAGCATATATACCAAAAGAATGTCCGTAATCAGGACGCCAGGCTAGGTATGCTTGTATATTGTTCATGAGTAGCCGTGGCTGACGCACCTGCGAGAACTTTGCGCATGCGCAGCGGCTTCGGGGAGCAGCGTAGGTACCTAGATACGGTGCTTTTCCGATTCTGTGGCCATACATCAGTCGTGATTTTGCGAGAGATTCAGGTGGGGGACTGACCGAGTCGCGAGTACAGCATATAGAGTGCCATCTGGTTGCACTCCTGTGTTCCTGTGATCGTGACCAAGCGCTCGTTGCTGTTATCGGTGGGCTCATTGATCTTGATGACACTGCCACTGAGCTGGCGAATCTCATTGATCTTTGCACCACCCTTGCCGATGATAGCACCGACCATGTCGTTCGGGATGAAGATCTGCTGTGTGAGGGGTTGTCCTGGCATCTGGACTGGTGGCTGGTTGGGCGCGCCACCGTGTGCAACGGGTGCTGCACCGTGATGACCGGCGTAGGGAGCAGGCTGTGCTGGGCCGCCGTAGTGGGCGCGACCAGGTGAGCCAGCGCCGTAGGGCATGTTGGGGTGCCCGTATGGTGCCTGTTGAGGTGGCTGACCCTGCATGTGAGGTGCACCATATCCATGCTGAGGAGTGCGCTGGGGCTCTGGGCGACGGAAATTGTTCGGGTGAGGCTGCGAGTATTGGCCTCCAGCTGGCTGAGGTACGTAGGGTTGGACAGACATGCCTCCAGGGACGACGTTGGCAGCCATACCGCTGCGTGTCGCGTATTGAGAAGCGGCAGGGCCACCGAAACGCTCTGTCAGCTGCTCCACTAGGGTCTGCGCAACATAGTACACAGCAATGTGCACAGCGTCGGCGACACCAAGAATGACCAATGATCGCTCACCAGAGTTGGGCAGGAGTGTGTCAGAGGCGTTGAGCTTTGCGTTGGAGGCCTCCTGGATCTCACGAATGCGAACACCAGCCTTACCGATGATGGAGCCAATGAGGATGTGGGGAATGAGCAGGCGCATGGGGTAGGCTTTGGAGGTGGAGGTGGAAGGGTTCTCGAGATCTTCCTGGTTCAGCGTGCGCACAATCAAACCGAAGGCCTTGGAGACCGCGTCAACCTGGCCGCTCACAGTCAGGATACGTTCGACAGCGCCTCGCGAATAATCGCTGACTGTGCACTTGGCGCCTGAGAGACGGCGAATCTGAGTCACGTTCTCTCCACCCTTGCCGATGATCGTCGCAGCCTCGCTGGTGCCGATGCAGGCTCGCAAATGCAGCCAGTTTGACTCATCAACTTGCTGGTTCCCATTGCTGGGACGTCCGTTGGCGCCAGCGGTGGACTGGATGGGCTGTGTCTCCAAGATAGCAGGGGCGTCAGGAACGACCGTGTCTGTTTGGGCGTGCTCATCGCCATTCTGAGCAGCGACTTCATCAGGCTCGTCTGATGGCTTGGCGTCTTCCCCCTTGGTGTCTTCTGTAGCCACGCCGTCGCCTTTTACGGGCTGCGCTGTCTCAAAGTCGTCGGAGTTGGTAGCGTCCTTCACCAGCTTGTCCAGGGCAGGGCGCTTCGCGTCAGGCTGGTCGTTAGGGCCAGCGGGGGAAGAAGGCTCTTCAAGCGGGCGCTTTGTAGAGGCGGCGATGGTCGGCGAGGCAGACATGATGATTCCTAGCTGTGGGGAATATTGGATTTTGGGTAATAAGCTCTTTCACAGTCCAGGCAATTGCTCAAGCTGAGTGCTGGAACTGTTCAATTGTATTCGTTGTTATGTACAGCGGGGGCTGCAAGGAAACGTATTGGTGCTGGCGGCTGGAAAGGAATTGCGACAGTGCGGTTGAAGAGTGCGTGGAGGTGAGGTCGGTCGGAACTTGACTAGGCTAGAAGCGTGCAGTGGTGTAGATGTCGGAGTGATGATGCCTTGGTGTCTAGAAGACCGCAAGGGCGTGTGCAGGTGATGCGAGTGAGTCGGAGATGGTGGTGGGTGCTGGCTTGGGGCGAGGTGAGGTCGAGCAGAAGAAGAAACGGTCGTCAAACCTTCTCGCAAAGCAGGGTCCGTGACTTCCACGAACGCAAGCACAGAATTAGAAGGGTAGGGGCTGTCGGCGCGCAGAAGGGGTTGCTCTGGGGGCAGAGGGTGAAGTGGGTGATGGGGAAAGGACGTCGGCCAAAAAGGAAGTGGAGATCGACAGTCTTGGCAGCACGAGTCACGTGTGCAACGTGACTTGCTACCTTCCACCGCGCGATGCTTTACACGAATATTCTCCCACCACAGTGACCTAAGTGTGAGGGAGGGGTAGCAGCGAGGCATATCGTTGCGTGCGTGGTGAGAGAACTGGCGTTACCTAGTTCGTCGTTCGCTTGCAGCACGGCAAGTGCGCTTCAACACCAATACCTACACGGCAGCTGGAACAACTGTACAGTATGGCGCAACAACAGAGAACGCCCATCGAAAAGATACGGGCATACTCTAGGGATGTAAACGAGCTACGCGATGATCCGATGGAGCTCGACGCGTCCAACACCGAGGCGCGTCTGGCCCAAACAGTGAGAGAATTGCAGACACGCGTCGAGGAACAACAGGCTGCATTGGAAACAGTAGGTAAAGCCCAGACAGTGACATACGCGCCTTTCTGATGCTTCATCTAGCTCCAAGCACAGTCACACGTCAGTATTGAGTCTGCAGCATACGCGTCTTCAGATCCACATGAAAAGCTGCGACAGCTTATTGCTGTCAAAGACGCGTATAAACGTCTCACACCCGTTGCATCCTTCCTTCCAGAGCAAGGCTCTGTGCTGCCTGCGTTGTTGGCTGCGCGCACCCTTCAGCAGAATGTCCAAGGCACCAAGGCGGCTGTTGCCAGTACGCAGAGTAAGATCGTCAAGACGAACGCAATCCTGCGCCGTGAAGAAGCAAACCTGAATGATGCGCACCTTCTCGCGCAGACCATGGAGAAGCGAACCGAGAGACTGCGTGCACAACAGGAAGATCGTTCCCAGAAGACGTCTGCGCAACTCGCTCGCGAGCTGATTGCAGCCAAACGTGCGCAGAAGGATAGCTACGACGCAGCGACACAAACACTCGGAGAGGCCATGAACGACTTCATCAACGACTATCTGGCGGCAATGATAGCAGCTGAAGAGTTAGGAGGTCCCGTCGTCGGTGATATGCTGAGCGTTGAGAATGACACTCTTGCAGCAGGTTTCACAAAACAGGGTAGAGCGAAGTCAACGAAGAAGCCGGTATCAGACAAGACTCGCCAGCGCAGAATCGACCATATTTGGGGGAGCAAGGCCGCCGTTGAAGACGTGCAGGAGCCACCAACAGAGGCCGAAGCAGCCGACGCAGAGTTGCGGCAATTGATGGAGAATCTCTTTGCAACTCTTAGCGGACCTGGAGGAGGGAAGGCATACTATCAGCTGGATCGGGACTCGGCAGCAACACGATTCCTGGTCCGAGCAAAGATTGCGCAGTTCCACCTCAAGGATGCTAAGAAACTGCGACTAATCGATTTCGGAAGGGAGCTGGACGATTGAGCATTGGCCCGCTGTACGCAAAGTAAACGGCATTGACGGGAGTGGACACAAAATTTCACCCTTGCAATCCTTCCCGAAGTAGGCAGAGGAGGTTCTTGTGGCGAACATCGTCAACTCGGCAGCACGTGCATGGGTGGGGCGATGCCAGTGAGTCTTCCTTCGAGCTAGCGCTCTTGCTATACCCTTGGACGATCGAGCGGTCGAGTCCACCAATGCAGCAATGTCAATCGGTCTGGAACCTACGTAATATACTGCGTACATTGAAGGCGCATGCGTTGTCAAGTTCGGGCTCGCCGGCGGTCAGGCAAGTCGAAGCGCAATATGCAAGCCATTGCGGGCCAGAACAGAAGTCTATGAAGTAGATATTGAGAGACTACTCTAGACACGAGGCACTCTGGACGGGCTATTGCCAATGGAGATTCGTCTGAGGTAGCACATTCGCCGTCAGAAGGAGATTCGCCAAGTTCTTGCTCAACGACTTTCAAGTTCCCCTAAGTTTCGTATTCAGATCATATCAGTGTATACCTGACGCAGTTGATCGGTACGAACAGAAGTCCAATCTGAGCGTGGATCCGAACAATACAATATACCCCTCGACCGACACTGCCCGGTCTCAAAGCTACAGTGGAAGAAAATGCGGGAAACATCTAATCTTTGAACTTTGTTTCACTCTCAAATTTATAGCCTCTGATTGAGCGAGACCCACGCATTTGATCGTAGACCATCTCATCCTTCGGACCGCCTCCCCCCCCCCCCTCTCTCCTATATCACGTCCACTCTCTGGCTGCGCTTCTATACGAAGCATTGACGCACCGCAATCGGCAGCTTCAAATCCAGCAGCTCGCTTCAGCACAACACATCCACTGGTTCAACATTGCCCAATCACACTGTTCGAGGTGACTGCTGAACCCCACTGCTCAACCTGATCACTTGTCCTTATGTGTCAACGCTAGCATACAAAGCAGTGTAGTGGGCCTTAGTCATGTTCCAGATATCCATTCGACTGACGACCTCCCTTTCCCCAATGCGATTGGAGTCAGATCCATGTCTTTGTCATGGCCATCGGCATCGACATACGGTACACTGCAGACACATGCCTGGTTGAGAGCACGTGGCGAGACTATCAAACTTCTCTTTGAGTCTCTCGTTTTGAGCCATCGATTTTGAAGTTTGACACTTTGCTTCTCTCTTGTTCACGAGGGTCCCAATTTAAGCGTAGTCGTTGGTCAGTATTGCACCACGTTGTTCTTCGACACGACCTGAAGGTAACAGAGTGCAACAACGTGCATCAATTTTGGTCGTCTTCTGCGCAAGCAATCTCGTTGACCTGAGTTAGTATGGCACTTAAGCTTGGAATCATGTGTACTCAAGGCTGCTTGGTTGCAAACCACGCCGGGTTGTTCACCGTTAGAATCAGGCAAAATGTTGCAGAAGCTGTCGAAACATCTGGCGTCTGAACTGTGTCACGAAAAGCGGACGAAATTACTTCGCTTTCTCGATCGAGCGTTGAAATGGAATCGACTTCACACAAAGACGTTCCGCTGACTCAAGGAGTGATTACATCGGTATCTTGACACCGCGCCTAATTTGTAGGAAAGGTTAGGGAAAGCCCTTGAATTGTGAAGATATCAACGCGTCAATTGCTGGTAAATTAATGGACATGAACGGCTGCAGTCTTGGTAAAGCTACCTAAAGATGACCTCAAACATTAAGAGCAGGAATTGTGCAGACCTGAAGGGGGAAATAACGTCTCATTTAGGTGTCTTGTTCGTACGCGCATCTCAGGGTAGACATCCGATGGTGGAGATGAAGAGCTACAATTGCAAACTTGATTAAATGACATGAACACTGCGTGAACTCGAGCAGCAGTCCAAGTTGCGATAACACTGAAGAGTTGTACACCCAACTTATCATTGTGCTTTCTCATCTACCTCCGCATGAGTTGTTTTGGAAAGCTGTCAACCTATGTCGGCATTCAGCGTCTGTCTTGAAACCATCGTAAACAAAATTGCACTAGACAGCAGTCGCTCTAAGACCACGACATCGCAACTTCGGACTCGTTCTACATACGGACCCGGAGCATGGAATCCGTCCGCCTCGGCACTCAACCCTGGTCATCCTCCCACGTCCGCGACCCCGGTTGTCTTTACGACGTCGCGCCCGGAGACCGTACGATATCCTCTGCTTCGGGAAACGCTGCACGGCGCACGGCGCGTCGTACCGCTCCAAATCCTCGCCGGTGGGCTCGGGCACGGAAGCGCTTCCCCCCCTGTACCCCGTCTGTTCTCAATGCAGGCGTTCCCTGGCTCTGAGTCGCGGACAGGCATTGCTAATGCGTTCGAGGTTTATGTGTCGTCGCGATCGGGCAGTTGCTTGAGCTCGAGATGGACGCGTGAGAAAAGCAAAAGTGCGAGAATGGTGTGTCCACGATCTGGGATCAACCCTGCTTTGGACGCGGGATGCAGAGCGTCTACGTGGCTTCTGTAAGGCACAGCTCTGACGCGTCCAACCGGCAGTCTTCCGTGCAGGCGTCAGCGGCGCGCGCTGTCGAACCCATGCTACGATCTTTCATTTGCTGCGGTGCATCTGCGAGGACGCGAAGCGAAATGTCATACTGCCAGATGAAGAAGGCCGGGAAAGCATGCTGGGAGAGGGTGGGCGGAGAGAACCGGTGGTATCCAGGGAGATATTTGCAAGACCCGGTCAAAGATGCGCTGGTGGATGAGTTGTTCGTTCTGCGGAGTACCACCCAGTGACGATGAAAGTCCTTGCACGTGCCCAGCTGAACTCTTTTGCTGATCAGGGGCGCCACACCGCATCCTCGTCGGTCGTGAAGACACGTACATATGGCAGATTCCACATTGGGGAACGCGGTGACATTGTAATCGGATTCTGCATTCGTATTCACCACATCCGTAAAGAGCGGTCAAACCGCGGTACTTCACTTGATGCGCTTGCCATAGTGGTATAAGATCCCGATCTGCGTATCTCTTGAAGTGACCTCGTAAGACGGAACTCTCCATCGTAACACCCTCCACTAAGGTCGGATATGCAGGACGGAGGCATATGTCCGACCGGTTTGGGCACCCTGTCTGAAGGATCTAGAAGGAATGCCAGCGCTGTATTGATAAATACACCCCGCACTATTGACTTCAGGGAACGAATATAGAGAGACTCGGTCGACAACGATCCTATCCAATCTTACCTAAGACGTGTGACGCTGTTAACAAAAAGCACTGTCGTTGGTACGCTCCGCGTAGACTCGCTAGTCGTCCCAAGGGTGTAGCCACATCATTTCCACCACTTGCGCGCGATCTACCGGCAACGGCTTGCTCTCCGCATTCGGCGCGCTCGAGACCGCTGCTCCGACGTCTCGTCTCATGGCTTATAGGCTGTCGCACGGGTCGGAGATGCGACCGACAGCAGGCGGCACGAGACGGCTGACTTGACGGGGTGAACGTTGCAAAATTGTTGCAGGCTCTCGTCATAACAAGGATCTACAGAGATGTGGCTGCGAGCCATAGGCATTTGGGCTTCGAGCGAGCCCCGCACCTACTATCACTAATGTGGCTATAGCGGTGGCCTCGTTGGGCAATAGTCACGGGATCTAGTTGTTGGATCAGGTCAGATGGGTCTGGTTTTCCAGTGGCGACAACGTTGCCCTAGCACACATAGTGCTTGTGGCTGTGCTACGACTTCGCGTCCGGCTTTGACATGTGCCTCTGAGCTTACGCCACACCTGTGGCGACGGCACACAAAGGTCGGTAAGCCTGTCACTCTGACGTTGTGGTACGCCAACAAGCTATGCAGAGCTGATCTTCTCCGTAGAGAGTATAATTGCCGTGTGAAAGTCAGACTTTACATCATATCGTATGAGCAGGAGTTCACCGAGCCGTGTGCTGTGGCGATACGCTCAAGCCACATTTGCACTCGCCACAAGACTCGAAGTGTTTCTTTGTAGTGCTTGAACTGACGATCTTGGTAGATCAGCTGGTAATGATTGGGTCCGTCATATGCTGTGGCAGCTACTCCGCATCTTGCTGCACATAGCTTTGCTAAGTATAGAGCACCAAGGGCAGCCACAGTATCCGATTGATGAGAGACCCAAGACTTTCTGCACTGAATGGGATGTCGTTGGACGAGAACATGTTACGCGCCGTCTGCAGGCCAGACTCTTTGGGACGAGAGGGGATGCAATGCACTACAGCATATGCAGGGTCTAGGGGTCTCAGGGTCTACGAACCGTGGCGAGTATTCCTTTGGTTCAAGGCGGACTGTGAAGCGTTTCTTCGGAGCGTATCGAAGCGTGAGGCAGCATATGTTTGTGAGATGCCTTGCGGATGAATGGTTGCTTTCATTGTCCGCTATGGGTGATGAGTCGTTTCAAGCTCGTCCTATTCCATTATTGAGGACTCTTGCAACTGTGGACTCTTTCTAGCGCCATATTTGCCATCATCGTACTATGATTTGCATGCAGTGATCACGACTTGGTCTGCTGACGACCTAATGCTAAGCATAGCAAGTCGTTGTAGTGATCTACCAGATTAGCATGGGCATGCGTATGTTTCGAACCCGGACAGGCAGACTGCAAGGTCGGCGACTGACACTCCCAGCACGAAGACAAAGCCCCTCACTTGAAACACAAGTCCGTCTGATTCCTATTCGCAGATATCTAGATGTGCCAGCGCATCTTCGTTGTTTTTGTTCAGCGTCTTTGTGCACCGAAGTTATGATTGGTGGGTACATCAACGCGCTGTGACATCAAGCTTCGGACACCACGCAAGGCCCGGTAAGATATGCGGTCGGCGGTCGGCTAGACCTGCCACCATCATTTCGCTTGTCAAGGGATCCTGCGCAGGCTAGTGGTAGCGATCAACGCCGACTGTCAAGGTGCGGAAGTTGGTGTCAAACTCAGCGATATGGTCAAGGAAACAAATGAAAATAAAATGGCCGTTGCTTGGTAGATCATTATGTCGAAGAGAATAGCTATCTTGGGTGCATTACCAACAGTTAACTTCATGGCCAATAGCAGTGCAGGAGTGACTTGACTTCGCGCAGAGGAGTCGCTGGAAGTGGCACAGCCGGAGGAAGCTGGGCGTCTTGGCTCGGTTCCAGAGTCGGAAGGCTGTTCACGCTACGAGGAAGGTAGCGAAGCTGTCGTACGGTAGCGACTTTGCTTCTTGCTCCAATAATGGGAGGGAATACCCTCGTGAGACTTGGAAGGTGGATGTCGTGACAGCACATCGAGTAAAGCGGTGAGAATTGTGGGCGATTAGTGAACAGTTGACTTCGCCGACCATTGATCAATGTCGGTCCTTTTGGCAGATGAGAGTCGAAAACAGTTGAGGCGTGATGTAAAGTAATGATTTGTATTCGTCTGACGGAGAGGGTCCCGTTGTCCTCGCCAGAATGCAAGGCCGCCCTCTCTGCTTGTACCTAGAGACAATTACTGCTTCGCCGCTGCGCCACCTAGCGCGTGTATGTACCACCCTCGCATCCTACAATCCAATCTGAAATCGCTGAAAAGTGAAATGGTATATGGGTATCGTTGTCGAACCGAAAGAAGTAGAAAGGGCGAGGTATATCAACACAAAGAAAGGTACTTCGTTCCCAGGGAACGGTTGGTATCTCCAAAACTTCTCAACGCCTGCAAGTATGACATTGTGTCAAATGACACAGATCGACACAATTGGGCCCTATAGGGCGAGTAGAACTCGCTACCAGTGTACGAGTGGTGCAAAATCATGAGTATGGATGGGTCGTGAGTCTAATGGCCGCGAAAATGATGAACATCTCGGACTGCTGGTTCAGCGTCTAGAAGAGAAGTCGAAGTTCATAACCAGTCGAATGCACAGCTTCGACTACTGACATGTCGCCGTCAACCTGAATGTCTGTGGGGCCGGCGTCCCAGTCTCGTTTCATGGGCTGGACGGGAGGCGTACCAATCTCATGGAACTCGGCGGCCATGTCCTGCTGCTCAGGGATGGCGTTGATGGCATCGTCATCCATTAATATGCGTAGACCTTTTTGGTTGACCCGGATGGTGCGTGTGACTTTGGTAGGCTCGATGTTGATCTTCATGGCGATACTGCTTACAAGCGCCTTCACTGAGCGCTCCATTACGTAGACAGCACGGAAGTAATTATTGTCTGGTTGTCGGCCGGCGATCCTTGGCTGGACGAAGAAGCAAGCAACTGGCTTGAGCATGGGCTCGGGCGGTGGCTGATAGGTCTGGTCCACACCCAGAGCCTCAATCCACCCAGAAAGGGCATGATCGTCGGAGTACGGCCTCTGAACTTTGGTCGGTACGTCTGAACCGCCATGCATGGCGACCACGCCTTTGAGGTCACCTGTAGCAGTCTGTGGGAGACTCCTCCACTCGCCCGAAGTCATGCGCGATGGTGGTCCATAAGGTCCTGGACGCTGGAACGAGGAGCTCCTGCGGTTCTCGGAATGCAGAGATTGCGAGCTGGGAGTTGGTGATACCATTGATGAGTTGCCGGTCTGAGAGCTGGGGCGCTCCCACATCTGCGAGTCCACATTTGTGTCGATTTTGGAGAGTTCTTGAGGAGTGGAGGACATTTGGACCGGGTGAACGTCTGGATCATCCTGCTCCTCGCCCTTCAAGTAGAGAACGCTCACGGGTCTTGTGGAGCTGAACATGTCCTGGAGTGACGCCAGCTTGATGTGCAAATCTTCTTCCGCAGCCGGTCGAGCTCCCTGATTATCGCTTGCTGAAGACATTGACCAGGTCCTCTTGTGCTTTTGCAGCTTGCCGGGCCTGGAGCTGCCGCTCTTGTCATCACCTGTGCGTTTGCGCTTTCCAAAGTCCTTCATGCCAGACTCGACCTGCGCGATTTGCTGCTTCAGCTTGTCAATGGTCTTCTTGACGTGCGCGACGTCATTCGACAGCTTTCGCTCGGCGCCGTGGTCTCGGAAGAGCTTGACTTTGCAATAACAAAGCTCAGCAGTCGTCTTCTCTGATGGTGATCCGGTGGCTTCTGACACAAGCTCCGTTTTGGCGCAGAGGCGGACTGGGATACCTTTCACACCTTTCGAGTGGCTGAAATCGGTAGAGAGGAAGTTGAAACGGACTGCTAAGGAGCATTCAGGAGCAGCGTTGGGCGCGGGTGTCCACGTTACTACGAAGCCATCGAAAGACGACGACTCAAGGTCGACTCTTGGCCGCCCTTGGACTTCACCGCCGCCAACTTGGCTTGGGTCCACAAACTCGACTGCCTGGAGGCGACCGCCGCGTTGATGTGCCTCGTTGGTACCGCGACCCTCTTTCCAGAGCTGCCAGCAGGCAGCAGGGCGCTGTCGTTGCTGCTCATCCTCGAAGGAGATTCGGACAAAGGTCCGGTACTTGAGCGTTACCGGTAGCGTCTGGCCAGGTGCTGTATCGACTAGCGAGATGGTGTATGCTTGGCCCTTGTTCAGATAGGTCACGGGAACTTCATCTGACTGCTTTACCATTGCAGTTGGTGCGTTCAGGGTAACGTGGTAGCGGAAGTTCTGAGTGGGGTGAAGCGGCTGGGCCTGGACCGGGCCTACTGCACCCGCTAGGTTGTCTTCATATGGCTGGGGAGCGAACCCAATAAGAGGAGACTGCATCTCGACTTCTGGAATGACGTTCTCCATAGGAGAATCCTCATGCGGCTGGGGAAGGGAGGCATGGTCGAACGCAGATGGCTGGTGCGTGAATTGATGCGGCGCAAAGGACTGAGTATGTTGCGGTTGGAGTCCAAAGGGGTTGGTGTTCTGGAAGTGGTGGTGGGTGCCTAGAGCGTGAGGATTGAAGCCCTGGAGGTGGGGATTGGGCGCAGTCTGGCCAGCGTGGACGGCACCTTCAGAAGTGGGGAGGGAGAGAGGCGTGCCTAGGCCGAAGCTGAAGCCCGGCGTGTGCAGGTCGCCGGCCTGGCTGTGGTACAGGGTGTTGGTGCCGCCCGGCGTAGGCGTGTAATAGCCAGGAGGCTGGTTGGCAAAGGACGTGAATGCAAAGCTGTTGGGGTCGAGAAGCGAGGGCGTGAACCTCCATGGCTCGTTGTTTCCCCGTGGCGTAGGGTCCTGGTCCTTGATGTCGTCGGCATCGCCAGGTCTGGGTGACAGCTCGTTAGCAACGAAACATGGGACCGCGTGTGCGCAAAACAAAGAGCATGACGCGCTACTACGGGCACATTGCGGGCTCGCGCAGTAGCAGCGCAGGGCTGCGAGAGAGGAGCCTACCTGTGGGTATGTGCTACGTCGAGCGCATCGGTGAGCGTGTGGCCTGGCACGCCTGCGATCGAGTGTGAACGCTGCGCGAGGTGAGGGAAGCTTGCTTTGAAGTTCTCCAGCAGCTCGTCGTTCGGCTTTGCTTGTGAGGATCTGACCGCTGGTTAGCCACGAGCGTTCCCGGGTCCCGAGCGCGACGCGCGAACATCACAGCACGCTGTCCGGGGCCAACAACATCAACAAACATGGGGACGTACCGGTTGCGAAACATCGCTGGAAGCTCAAAGCAGGCGCTGTTGGTCGTTTGTGAGCATCGAGAGGTGCAGTTGAGAGTCGGAGGTTGGGAGCACTGATGTGGACCTTCAGTTGATGAAACGGAGCAGCTCCCACAGCAGTTAAGGCTAGTGTCAACTGTGGCTCGGGTTGGCGCATGCGACGACAGGTCAGGCGTCTTTTATCAGGTTAGCGACCAGGCTGCCTGACGGAATCGCTGCGAGGGCCGCGCGTGGCATCTGGGACGTCAGTGCAAGCGGCTGCAGTGGGGGGTGAGTCTAGAGTCTGGCTAGGCTGGCCTGCTCGGCTCCATGGCTGCCCCAGCGTGTAATTTTGCGTATCCACTCCAGCGGCCTGCGCTCTGTGGCTCGCACTGCGCGGCCGTCTTGCGACTGATCTTCCGGCAAGCCGTCTTGCACAGCCACTGCCCTACGGCTCCCGCGAGCGTCCAGAAGTCCTGCGAGGCCCGAAAAGGAGCGATTGTCACTGCACCTGTCGCCATCCCGCATTGCAACCGCAAATCTGCCCAAGGATCTTTGGTCCCAGCCCGTTGTTTCTCGAATCCACCTCAACTGCCACACCAGTGCTCGTGCGAGGGCTTGTATGGCTCGTCCAACACTGACACGTCCCGCTTGCCTTTCCGTAATTTACCCTTCCCATGAGTCCATCCCACTCGCACTAGGCCCTCTTGGACGCTGGAGAACACCACGGCGCCTACGGTGTGAGCTGGCGCTGTCATGCGCGATGACATCTGCCGATCTGATACTAGAAATTTGCGTCCCAAAAGAGCCATGCTGCCCTTGTCGAGTGCAGCTTCCACGCGGCAGAGCTCACTGCCGCCGCCTCCCCGTACATAGAGCTGCACCCTAGCTCTCCGACCTTTTCATCATGCCTTCGGAGCTTTTTCCCCTGCGTATTGTGTGAGCACCGGGTGTTCGACCCAACGCACCCCACCCTGGCCGTTTGCAAAGGTGAACATGTCGGACCAATCCCACAAGCTGCCGTTGTGCCGTGTAGCCTAGAGCTTTGCAACTCGCCCGTTGACCGCTTAGGTAGTCTGCTTTAAGTCTTATTCCTCGTACCTGTCAAGCCGAGATTAAGGAGTCGTTAGCGGGCGCTTTCCCGAAATGAGCAACCACTGGTTTGCTTCGACACCGATCGAAGATTCTCGTCATCGTCATGGCGTTCGTGCGTCAGTGATGAAAGAACCGAACCCGACTGTAACACCAATACTAATCTGTACCGACTTTAGTTACACCGGCGGTCTGCTGGAATGTTGCATGTGTTGCGGGGTCACTCGTGCCCAATCGCAAGGCTGATGGTAAAGCTATCCGGCCAACACGATTTGTGGAACTTGTTCGTGTAGAAGTGTGGCGACAAAAAAGATACCAAAGCGAGATCGAGCAATGTTGATTGGCGACCGACAGCCGTTGCGCATCATCACGCGATTTCAGACGCTCAGAACGGTTGTGATTGACAGTACATCCAGGGTCTGTGCAACAACGGCTCAGCACTGCCACAATGTGGCGAGTGTGTGGCGCAAACCTGAACAATGAAAACTTTATTGACTCGTGCGTGATTTGCTGCGTTGTAAGGAGGGACGCGTACTCTTGCAGTAGCAGAAGCTGCTAGATGTATTCTAATGGGAGGTGCCATAATAGCCTAGACTGTGTATATGAGTTCATCTGATTGCTGGGGCGTTGTGTTCACTGAATCGCAGTAGCGTATCTCGTGGTAACTCCTGATGCACGCATTAGCCTGAACAAGACAACGATATGATTCCCCGTGTCACTTTCGCCAGAGTAATCGTATCATGAACGCCTGGGTGTCATAGATGCTGGCAAGTGGTAGTAGCGTCGTAATAACTGCTGACGGAGCAGCCATGACGCCTTGGACCACATGTTCAGTCTGCATGCAAGAGCGAATTGGATTTCATTGAGTTGAGTTGTGGATTTGACTGCAATCTTGGGTCGAATGAACGTGAGGAGTTGTCGGGTCCAGTAGCCAGGGCCTGGACAATCTGACTGACCCTTGCAATAATAGCCGCAAGGGTATGATAAGATGAGCTACGTAGATGGTGGGCAGGTCAGAGTAAGAGGATTGTGGGGAAGTAGTCCATGAAAGATGACGGAATCCTACCAATACCTAAGAGGTTTTGATTTCATCGGAAAACACGTTGGGCACCCATGCAATACCTGCCGTTCCACAACCTGGTGCAAAGCGCGGCGCTGACCTTGAAGGATTCCACGCAACGCCAAAGGGTCGTGGGATCTCGAGCGCGTCTATATGATCAAATAGTAGGATGCACATCAATACACCTTCGAGCTGAATCAGGAAGGTTCGCCTTTTCTCCGGCGTTATTCAACATCTTTCTTACCAGCATTGCTGTGGGGCATAGGATCGTTGTTTTCGGTCCTTTGCTGCCCTGTTGTTTGTCGTTTATGAGACGATGATGTAGCTGTGGATAGTCGTATGTCGCTCCTAGAGGGGTTGCTGCTCCGAGCATCAGCAGCTCGTGCAGCGGCCAGCGCAACGTTGCTTTGTCGGTTTGCGAGATTATTGAGTCGTTCCTTCGAACCCAGTGGGGACTCTGCAGTGCGCAGATTCTGACTTGAGCTGCTCCTGCTCTTTGGTTTGGTCGATTTATTAGCACTCGCCCCTTCTCGGAATGCCGTTTGGATGCTGATGCGAGAATTGTGACGTTCATCTTGGGTGTTATTGAAAAATACAGACTGCAGACTCGACATGGAGTTTTCCCGACGAACACGACCCATCGTTTGAACCGGGCTTGGGATCATCGTGGGCTTCGGTAGCTCACCACTCGCTGAGGCGAGCAAGCCAGTCGTGTCATTGTCATCGCTCTCTAAGCCGTCGTCAAACAGACGAAAAGCTGATGAGGACGAGAACCCAGATTCAGTTGAGCCGGTCTGCAAAAGAGCACCGTATGTTTTGAGGTCAGCTTCTAGCTCCCTCATTTTATCATCCCCGGTCTCGAAAGAGAAATGGCGACGGCGCGTCTGGTCATGTTCTGGGTATGATAGAGATCGAGGCTTTCGCAACGGTGGTCTGGGAGTCACATCGGATGCTGGCATATTCCTTCCATTTTCAGTTACGAGGCTGCGCTCCCGATCATCGTGAGCCGTGACACCAATGGAACTCTGGTCTGAACCTGCAGAACTGAGCAAATCCATCAGACCGTTGACGAAGTGTGAAACTTCCAGTCCCCTACGGTGTGCTACGAGAATGCCAAGCTCCTTGAGAGCGTTGAAAGCATCGCGTTCGAGAGATTCTTTTGCCAGCAAGTCTTCCTGTAAGGTAGATCTCTCCTCGGTATTGCGTGTGGTGCTCGATATCCCAGTATCGATTGCGCCGAAGGTGGCGTGTGGAGGGTCTGTATGACGTAGATCTGTCAGATTGAGTTCACTCTTGACTTTCCGTGATAGTGCTGATTCCCTGGTGAGATGAACAGTCCCGGAGGGGAGTTTAGGGGTTCCGCTGCCTGTGAATTGTCGAGATAGAGTAGTCATCCTCCCAGACGGTGATGACGGCTGATACAAGAGGACTGCTAAGCTGTCAGCTTCATCGCTACTGTGTCAGCTCACACGAACCTTGCTGAGTCTTTAACCTGATCTCTTCGTCAAGTTCCACTGGAGACATCTGCTTGCACTGCGAGAGGATGCGGTCAGTCGAGATGGTTTTTCGATGCTGACGTTTGCGATCCACCACCGTTCCTCGGCGTGCATACATAAGTCTGGGACGCTCTGTGAGCATCAGCGGTAGCTGAGTTTGAGCAGTTACGTACCCAGCCATACCAGTCGTGCCGCGTGCGATCAGCAGTTCTAGGCGCCGAATCTCAGCCTCATACAAGATTTCAGACTGATGCCATTGCGCAGTCACCTTACGCGAGCTCTGAAGAGCCGCTCGTTCGCGCGCCTCAAGAAGCTCCTGGCGCGATCGAAGCTTCCTGTAGTCGTCGAAAACCTGAAACAGGCCGCTGGTGTATTCGAGAGGAACAGGCACCATGTAGTTTTTGCACATGTGTGAGTGGATCGACTCCATGACAACAACAGGATCAACATAGGACCAGATATCTTCTTGTGTCGGTGGATTGTGAAGACTCCAAGGTTCTGAGAAGATTGGATCATTCTGTTCCTCTTTATAGGCAGCGAACATCGATGTGTAGCGGTTGAGCTTAGGTTTGGAGCCTCCGCGAGGAGTGGAAGCTTCAGACCGCTCAATTCGAGTATCTCCAGCGTCATCCGGGGTAGGAGAAGATGGGGCTGGGGTCATAGGAGTCGACGGGCGACTGACTGCGATCGTCTTTCGCCAGCCGTGACGGCGTTTGTCAGTGGTGTTGACGGCGCCCAGCACCTCAGTCGGCGGCGTTGCTGCAGTGTCATCAGACTCGAGCTTGACTGTAGGTAGTTCCTTTGGTTTGCTCCCTATTTTCTTTCGCCAGCCTTTGTTATCAACCATTGCCTTGCGAGTCTCACTAGAGCCGGTGCTAGCTATGACCTTTGCAGTTGCCTTCTCTTTTGGTTTTGGTTTGTTGGTTGTTTTATGCCGTGACCGCGGGAGACATAGGTCAGTGGAGGGTGAGTACAAGTGCCCACTGTCCATGGTGCGGGGTGACGTGGTGTTGTGGTTGCCAGAAGTGAAGTGTTGCGCTTTCCCGGAACCCAAACAAGCCCGTTTGCACTTTCCACTTTCACCTCTACGACGCCCGTTCGTCGGGAGGAAACAGCCAGCGGATGCTGCCTACGTCAGTATTGAGTCCATGCTGGCCATGGTTCTATTGATCGCGGATCTTGCAGGACATGACCGCGAGCACACTCCTGGGTAGTCGCCTGCCATATCTTGAGGCCCAGTTTGTGACGCTGAGAGACTTCGCGCACGCAAGTACTCGTAAAATAGGTTTTCTAAGAAGAATGATAGTAGTTCAGCATGTGGTACGCCAATGGCTGGATCATCTGATCAACGTTGTGCACTTGATTAGCTTCCAAGACAGGAAAAAACAAGTTAACCTGCAAGCAGATTCTCAAGTCCGGACGCAAAAAGACACAGAAGCTAAGACTTTTACTAACGTGCATAGTATATGGGAACCGATAGACCTGGAAGGGCTGATGAAGTGGAGATGGACAAGCACACGTGATCTTGCGTGCCAAGACCAGCTGCCTCAGAAAATCGACCTAGGACTAGGAAGCTTTAATGTCCCCACCCGCCAGCCTCACAACATAGCCGCAACGAGATCGCATACGTATTGCGCCCACCGGTCAAATCCGCCAGTCGCATTCGAATAGAAATACAAACATAATCGCAGCCATGAAGCTCGTCAGGTGCGCAGACACGAAAACTACGCGCAAAGCACCGACTGACATGCGCCAGGTTCCTCATGAAATGCCAGAACGAGACTGTCACAGTCGAGCTCAAGAACGGCACCATTGTCAATGGCACCATCGCCTCCGTTTCGCCGCTCATGAACGTTGCGCTACGAGCCGTCAAATACACACCTAAGAACCGAGACACCGTAACCCTCGACACCATGACCGTGCGCGGTTCGACAGTCCGTTACATCATCCTCCCAGATTCGCTGCCTCTGGACACATTGTTGATCGATGATGCGCCAAAGCCCAAGAACAAGGCCAGGAAAGAGGCGGAACGAGGTGGTCGTGGTGGTGGTGGCGACAGAGGGCGTGGCGGAAGGGGTCGTGGCGGACGTGGAGGAGGCCGTGGCCGTGGTCGTGGCCGAGGATTCTAGATGCCAGGGGTAGGACAAGGCCAGCATTGAGAAAGCGCGCAATACGAGCAGGGAGCCGTTGAAGAGAGGCAGAAAATGTGAGCTGCGACAGAATGAGGCGTACGGCAGCGGCTCTGCGCACCACTTTGAACACCCACAAAAGAAGCGCCTGGGATCATCTCGAACGTTCACTACGTGCGATATCTGCAGCAAGCACGGCGTTCGGAATTTCGAGGCATTTGTATAGGTAAAGTGCAAGCATGCACAAATGAAGCCTGATACCACTTGGATCCACTAGGCATCAATCTCACATTTTGATTTTGGTATCTGTTCACTGAGATCGAGAAATCTATGGGTTCGTACACTCATCCTGGCGCTGTAGCATCTCCAACACCCTTCTACTCAGCATCATAGGGTGCGACTGGCGGTGTGTCATCGACCTGAATACCACCCCTCTTCTTGTCTTTGCTGTCGTGGAAGGGCAGCTTCCAGCCACCCTCATCCTCGGGTGTACTCAGCCACAGCCTCATCAAGTGCCTGCGGGGTGCTGGTGGAGGGTAGTCTTTGTATGCGGTCCTAGCGTGCAGAATGTGGTTGTTCGACAAAAACTGGATATCGCCGATGTCCAAGATCATGTGAAGGGCAAGGCGTAGGCAGGTCTCGTCGAGAATGGTGGCGGCACGAGCCTGCTCGGGCGAGAGAGCCGGAATGAGGCCCTTGTCGCTGAAGCGTGTCAAGGACTTGACGTAGTATGGGTCCCACCTGGCATGTGTTAGTATTGCGACTGACTTCAGCAGTAGGTGGCTTACTTCGAGTACACACGCGGGTTGTCACCTGTCTCCAGGTAGAACACCTGTGTGCGGATCCACTCCTGCTGACCCTTGCTCGTCTCCCCCTTGCGGTCAAAGTACCAGATAGGCTCAGTCAAGAGCCTCGCAACATCAGGGTGCTCCTTCTGCAGCACATTCCACACCTCGTGGCTGCTCACCAAGTCACTCTCTCCACCCTCGAGCGACTTCGCAATGCAAAGCAGGCCGACAAGATCAGAATCGTCGGCATGGAAGAACTGTCGCGCATTGGTGCGGTAAATGCGCACCTTGTCGATCTGCGTGGCATCTTCACCAAGATCCTTGACGTGTCCAAGAACATGTCCACGCGAGTTCTGGCTCACGAAGTATCCGAGATATGTTCCCAGGCCCATGTACGCAACGGCAGATTTCTGGTTTCCCCAGGTCTGAACCGGCAGGCCCTTGAAGAGAATGAAGCCCTTGCCATCGATGATCTCCTTGCGGAGGGGCTCGAGGAACTTGCTGAACCCTGGGAGTTGAAACTTCTCCTTTGTGATGCTGGTCAGTGGCTGGCCGGAGGATATGAACTTGTCTGCGGCGTCTGAGATCTCGGCGACTTCCGACTCGGAGAAGACGTGTGTCCAGCGCTCGGGGTTGTTCTGGTAGTCTGCTTTCGACCAGGCAGTGGGCCCTGTGATCTCTCGTGGAAAGTCTTCGTAGGAGTGGAGTTGATTGAAGAGAGGCTCGTGTTGACCTGATGTCCGGATGCCATCAGGAAATATGCTCTTGTCCACTTTATTGTTGGCCGGTCCCTTCGACAGCTGATGAGGAGCTGTGGGCGCCGCAGAGGTCAATGCAGGTGCCATTGGATAAGTTCCTCTTGGATAAAATTAATTGCTTGTGAACGAAGATGTAAGCGGCTATGAATTGGTGTAGCAGATAGGCTCCAGCTCGTGGATATTTCCAAGTGAATGGTACGAAGTGCGACTTGAGCCTCAAGTGCGCAGTGGCAAACCTTTATATCTACCCCTCTTCATCCCTACCAATCCAATATAACGGTCTCCTCACAATAGTGTCAACTCATCGGGCTTCCTGTTGTGATCCCTAGTCTGAATTGCGTGCTCGCATACCATTGATTCCGCGATCAGCGACCCCACCATTGCTGAACGACGCTGACGTAGGCCAACCTCGGTTACTTGCTCGCGTATCGTTATCAGTCTGGTCCTGTATGCTGCTCCTTTGGACTGATTGTTACAATATTGACACTCGTGCTAGTCGATCGAATGCGATTGTATTGCTACGAGGACGCTGTGGGGTAAAGAAGGCGACGTTGGCTTAAACAAGCGACGGACGACACCAGACAACCCACATTGAGGATAGGTACTTCGTACATGCCCTACTTCTCAAAAACACAGTGCTTCGAAGGCCCCGAACGATAAATGTCAGACCAACTGTTTCTCTGGTACAAAATTGCCATGAAGCCTCATCAGCCTGCGCATCCCTCAGATACCCGACTCGTGATGACTATTTTGAGCATTCTGATACTTGCACACTTGCGCCGCTCAGTACACAAGGCCACACGGGCATGTCTACATCACCTGGATACCTATATAGGATTCTCACGGCTTCAGGCATATGGTATGCATCAGTCGTTCATTCCGATGCGAACTTTTACTTCATTCTTGTCAGCTTCGGTTGGACATCGCGCGCCAATTCGTTCGAAGTCGGGCGTCTCAGGCAGTGATGTTGTCAAATGTAGAGATGAGGCTAATCTTTGCGCTTTATTACTTTTGGGGCTGCAGGTCATGCAAGCTGCGCCCACCTACACTGCCTCGTCACGAGCAGCGTACGCCAAACATTGTCTGTGCATATAAGCCAGCTGGGCTCCAAAACGCAGCAGCAGCCACTCCCCACGGCGACCATCGCACTGCGATATGGCAGATCTTCCATGTCGCTCGATATCTCCGGCATGTGTCTGCTGTCGCTGGAAGGGGGTGGTGTAGGCGGATACCCAACATAACATTGCTTCGGCTGAGAGACCTCATCGACACGGTCGATAACCTCTGCCAAAACAGCAGGCAATCATGCGTCAAGCCATGCCGACCCTTTGATATGATCTGTGGTTCTGGTAGAGGCAGGTGAGGAGCCATACACTTGCGAGGACTAGCTAATACTAATGCACGAAGTCTCATGACTATCATCCTTTGGCGATTCAGGATGTCTGTCGATGAGTGCCGCGATGAATCGCTAAAGCCGAACTCTCTAATGCTTGGAGCGAAACTTGTTACCGTCTTGATGCTCAGTAAGCGTTCAGATCTTAACTTGAGAGATATGGAAACGAAGCTTGAGGTGGTGGCTGCAAGGGCAGGTTCCTCTGCAACGACCCGCTTCCGTTATAAGTCAAACGCGTCACGAACGGAAGTAAAGTATGGTCTTATTGTTACTGCTGCTAATAACTGCAGTATCGTTTTGTCCGCGGAACAGGAAGCGTCAAAGAAATATCTAATGAAAAGTCATGTATCACCGTCGCAAACAACGACTTTTGCGTCACCATCAAAGGCCAGTTCGCAGAATAACATGCCGATTTGGCAAGTCGTCCGCGACGCGACTGTAGGCGCAGATGTACTTTAGGTCATTGAGTAGACTCGGACTGCAGGACCCATATCTCTCTTCAATCAGCGGTCTTAAATAGCACGACTGCCACGGCAAGGCTGATAATAGCGTCCCCCCACATTCAACCATGGAAGTCGAGAAAGAAGCCACGAAGATATGGGCGGCTACAATAGGCAATTCGCAACCCTCACGGAAGTGTGTTGTCTTAATTGATGCTGGTCAGTTGGATATCCGGACAGGAGAAAACGGTTATGCTACGCAGCCAGGTGCGATCCGAAAGCCAACCAATTGGGCCCATCAGAGAAATATGCACTTGGACCAGCATTGCTACTTTCACCTCAACTGGGGAGTTCCTCGAGAGCCAGGGATCTGAAGGGGTTCACACGAAGGGCTCTGACCACCGGACTAGGTCCGCTCCTGACACCGGATGTGGTACGGGATCTGGAAGCATGTGCTTTAAATCTGATGCAAAAGAGATGTAAATAGACGCTGTCTGGAATGCAGCGCACGACTATCATGGCCATTGACCATCCTGAGCTGACTTCGTTAAGCGAGAACACCAAGCAACTTTGCGGACCTTGTCATTGTAAGTCTAACTCGACGTGTCCGAAACAGAACTAATTGTTATCAGGAGGAGGCGGTCCAACTGTATGCTCGCAGAAGCCTCCAATGTGCAGACTCGGTAACCTTGGCCGCTGACGAAGCACCTCTGCCACCTGCCTTGCGACCTTCCTCTCCAGAGTCGTACTACTCATCTCTGGGATCGCCAGTACACTCCCAAGGGTGGCTTCACCAGCACCTAGTCTTCAAGAGGTAGCGAGGCAATTTCCTAGCCTCGTGATGTCCTCGGTGGCATCTATAACAGCTCCACGACTATCGTTGGCTCCGGAGTCGAGGAGTGTCCAAAGTATTGTGCTAGGGTCTTGTTCCGTGAGCGCTCATGAGAGCATATCACACTGAAACCTTGTAAGCTTTGCATGGTACATTTGCTCCCTGAAAGTACGAATTTTGGCATAGTCAGATCGATTGGAAAGAGGAACTCCATCATGAACCCCACCCCTTCGCATTACACTTCAAAGGTGCTCTCCTTCCGCAGCTCCAGACTCATAACTCCCGCCTCAGTCCCTCAATATGTATCGTGACGGCTTGTGAGCTAAGCCTGCGTCCCGCCCCCGCTCAACGTCTCTTCTCCCCAACCTTCTCCTCCAGCGTCCTAACATATCCCTCTATCCTCTGCACCGCACTCTGCAGCGCATAGATATCCTCGGTGAGCAGCTGGTTGCTAACGCGGTACTCATCGACAACGTAGTAGTACATGCCGGCGCCTGCGGTCGCGGTACCGAGCAGGAAGCCAAACAATCTATGACGAACTATCAGCTTGACTTCTCCTAGTTTTGCATGCACTCGAGGTGTTTGCTCGACTAAAGGAATTGGGATGCAGGTTGCAGTTGCGCAATTGCCGTGTTTGTGTTGTGGTGTTTGCATGAACACCACAGCATCCGCCTTGCCCTTTTGCATGCAAGTAAGGCGAGGGAAATAGACTCACCCTCCACGGAAAGCGCCAACAGGCCTCCTGACAGGCGCAACAAGCGGCCTCTCTTGTCTCAGGGCAGCGCTGGTCTGGAATCCGCGGGTCGCGGTCCTGAGCGCGCGGAGCGCTGAGCGGGATGCCATTGTACGTCGTGATCGAGCTCGAGATATGAATTGCGAAGTTTACAGGGCTTTGGGCGTCGAGTGCAGGGTGCAGAGGTGATGTGCTGCCTGTTTGCTGGTGACGTGATGGTGCTGAGAGCTCCCAGGTTCTCCGCCCGGGAGAGCTCGTGAGCTCTGACGCTGGACCCTGGATGGCCCTGGCCAATGAGCGTGGAGCTGAGCAGGCCGGTTCTGATTGGGGGGAGCATGCTCTTGCTCTTGCTCTGGCTTTGGAAATGCATAACCGAGCATCGTTGTAATTGGTGTTTACGTTGGAATGCTATACTGCAGTTTGCGATTATACACTGAAATGTTTGTAGCCAGCATGTGTGTACTTATGTAGACTTGGAATTCGATGGAGACAATTGTGCTGCCCTCAACTCTGGCTCTCTGGCTGCACTTGGTGATATCTCAGAAGGACGATATGAATATTGACAAGAGGCGAATCAGACTTTGGGCATATCCTGAGCCAGAACACAACAACAACAACAATACGAATGTTGTTGGCAAGTTGGCCGAACGCCACCCATGCATAACGATACCAAACGCCCTGTCAGATCTATGACTATCAGTCGAGCATGAGTTTCTATCTCGCGGCCTTCAAACCCGCGCCAGACTTCCTTCCACTCTGTCTGCGCATACTCGCCAGCTTTTGCCTCAACTGCTCATGAATCTTGCGGTTCTCTGCCCAACCGTCGCTCAGCTTTTGCATTCTTAATGCCGCAATGACAGCCAGTGCGGCCGACTTGAGCTTAGGCCGGCGCTCCTGAATAGTGATGTCAGGTGTGATACCCATCTGCGAGATGAGGTTGAGGTCTTGCTGGTTACTGTGATACTATTAGATGTGACCGGAAGCGTGATGGGACTGGAACATACCATTCATTGTAAGTCTGAATTTGCATGAGGAAGAAGCGCTTCTGGTACCCGAGCGCTTCACGGAATAACTCGGCGCGTGAACAGCGGGCGCGCAGAAACTGTATCTGTTTGGCGAGGCCATTGATCTCCTTGATGTGGCGCTTCTCGAGAGCCTGCGATTGCGCATCGAGATCGTATGCCTCGTGTTGTGCCTTCTGCTGCACAGCCTTGGCCGAGGCCTGCAGCAGACGGAGCTGCGACTCCTTCTCGCGCAGACGTGATTCCAAGTCTCGCCATTCACGCTCCCTCGACGTATTCTCCTCGTGCTGGGCAGCTTTGATCTCACTCTGGATCCTACGGTGCTGGAAATCTTTCTCGCGCAGCCGGGACTCAAGGTCGTACAGCTTGTTCTCCAAAGCTGCCTTCTCTTCGCGTTGCGCGGCGCGCGACTCAGACTGCGTGGAGACAACCTGATTCTCCTTCTCACGAAGCATCGACTCCAAAACAATAATCTTGTCTTCGAGCGAAGCCTTCTCCTCGAGCACCTCATCAGCATCTTCCTGAAGTACCTCAAGCTCGTCCTCATACTCCTGCTTCTGGCGTTTCGCACTATCCTTCAGCTCTTCGAGAGCCTCGAGTCGTTCTTCTGCCAGCTGTTGAATGGAGTCGACCTGGCGTCTCTGTGCGTTGATCTCTTCACGCAGGTTCTCGAGCTCATCGTCACGCTTACGCACAAGATCTTGCATGACATCAATCTGCGTGTCAGGCTCGTCGGCGTGGTTACGCATAGCATCGAGCTCGGCGTCACGCTCAGAAACGGCCTTGCGGACTATCTCCAGTTCGCGCGTTCGGTCGCTGAGATCGCTCTTGAGCTTCTTAAGCTCACCAAGCGCCGCCTCTTGCGTGTCGATCTTGCGTTGGAATGCAGCAACATCGCGCTCTCGCGACTGCAGCGTCGACTGGAGACTCAACAGGTCGCGAGACAGAGCATCTCTCTCGCGTGTGATCTTCTGCAGAGCCTCTATCTGTGTGTCCTTACCAGACATGGTCGAACGCAAGGTGCGCATCTCGCGCTCGATATCGTCGCGTTCTTGGCGAAGAGTGGCAACCAGGGTGTCGCGATCGTTATTTCCGCGGTTGAGCCTGTCAACTTGCGCGTCCTTGTCCGCCATCCTCGATGTGAGGATGTCCCGCTCGCGTCGAAGATCTGACAGCTCGCGTGATAACGAGTCGCGTTCTTGCAATGCTTTGCTGATGGCATCGGCTTGCGCGCTCTTGCTTGTAAGCGTAGACCGAAGGCCTTGGATCTCCTGCGTAGCATCATCACGCTCGCGGCGAAGCTGGTTGAGGTCCCCGAGGTCACGATCCTTCTGTGTGAGCGTTTGTCGCAACTGCTGTAGCTGCTGCTCGTAATCGGACGCGTCGCGCTGCAGACGAGTTATCTGTTGCATAGAGTCCTGAAACTGTCGACGGTAGTCCTCCAGCTCATCCGCCCGGGACTCGGCAGCATCGACCCTCGATTGAAGAAGCTCGATCTCAACGCCCTTCTCGCGCGCCAGGTCGACGACCTTCTGTTGGGCGTCATTAGCAGATTGTCGTGCAAGCTGGACTTGGTTGTCCCCCTTCGATTCTGCCAGCTGTACCCGTTCGTGCAGAGCGTCGAGCTCAGCATCTTTCTCGCTCTGGATTGTGTTCATTCGTCGTTGGAGCTCCTTGATATCGGCGTCCTTTTCGCGTTCAAGCGTCCGTAAGCGTTCTTCGACAGAGGAGATCTCGTGTCGTTTCTGTGTCTCCGCCGCTTCAAGCTCACGTTCAGCTTCGTCTAGCTGTTGCTCGAGTTCGCGGATTTCCTGGTCGTTGCCCTTTGCCGCAGCATCAAGCCTGTCTTGTAACCTCTCGATCTCAGCCTCCTTCACACGTTCGAGCGAACGCAGCTGGTCTTCCAGATCCTCAATCTTCTCGTTCTGCTCATCAATCTGATCGCTCTTTGACTGCAATTGCCGCTCCATATCGACGACGTCTCTGTCTCTGGTTTGTGAGGCTGAGTGAAGCTGGGATTCAAGCTCGATCACCCGTTCTGCCTCCTTCTGAAGTCGACGATTCTGTTCCTCCAGCTCAGCAATGCGCTCAACCTGCTCTTGTAGTCGGCGGTTGTCCTGCTCCAACTGGTCGACATGTGCGACCCGTTGCTGTAGCTCTCGCGCGCTCCGCTCGAGGTCTGTGATGCGCTCGGCCTGTTGCCTGAGTTGGCGGTCCTTCTCCTCGACATCGGCCGATGACGAGCCTTGCGCGTTCCTCAATTTGTTTTCCAGCTCTTCAATTTGGTCCTCGTGCTCGTCCAACAACTGGTCCCGGCGCGCGACCTCAGCCTGTGCACCTTCCAGCTCCGCGCTGACCTTCTCGAGCTCGTCTTCTGCACTGCGTGCCTCTTCCAGCTTGTCCTCCAAACGCTCGATCTCTGCAGCGCGTTCTTCGGCCAGACGGCGCAGCTCGTCCATCTCCTCGCGCATTCCTGCATCGGCATGCCGCTTCTTGACCTTCTCCGCGTAGTCGCGCAGCTGCTGCTTGTAGCTCTCAAGTTCCTTTTCAGCAGCCTTCAGGTCCTTCGAGTATTGCTTGATGTCCCGCGACATGGTCACCTTCTCTGATTTGAGGTTGACGTTCTCTTCCATGGTTCTGATGTTGAACTCTGGGCCCATCTTCTTGAGGTTCTCTTCCAGAAAGTGAATCTTCAGCTTAAGACCGAAGTTCTCCTTGTCGATCTGCTCCAGTCGGGCTTCCTGCTCGCGTAGCGTGAGGACGTTGCCATTGCCGTTGCCCATGTCGAGTTCGCCCTCGGCGCGTCGTGGCAGAGCCATGGGGGTGCTCATCGCGCTTGAGCTGGGGTCGGGCAGCTGTGTGCGACCGTCGATGGAGTGGTCGAAAGAGCTGGAATGCATGTCGAGAGCGCTGGCTTCGGGCAGCGGCGAGTCGCTCACTCGGAACCCATTCTTCAGGGCGGCTGGGGTGGCCATCTTGCCGGGAAGCAGGCCGGACACCTGGCGGGTGCGGTTGGCGGTTGCGCTCTTCAGCATGGGCGTAAACTCGTTCTTTGCGTTGGGGTTGCGCAGGGCGGCGAGCGGATTGCGGGGAGTGCGTGCGCCGCTCATCTTCTTAAAGAGCTCGTCGCGGCCAGCCGGCGCCTGAAACGACTCTTCTCTGCTGAACGAGAGGTCATGCTGAGTGAAGCGCGTCGCGTCGCCCACCTCGGTGCCCGGCGTCTGCGGGAGGAAATTCGCCATTATCGATGTTGTCTGCTAGAGTATGCGCATGAAGGAGGGAGAGAAATGTCAGTCGTCGGCTTGCGCCCGCCTCAATCAGCAGAGGATGTGCATGCAGGTGTGTTATCGAGTCGTGCCCAAGGTGGAGTGCATTGTTTGTTGTTGGCCGCATTGAGATTAGGGTCCGAAAGTGGAAGGGCCGAGAAAGGCGGGTGCTGCCTTCAGCCAGTCACGTCACTGGTTCGCCGCCCCATCACAACTTTTTGTAACCGTACGTCTGCGATGCCCACCACTCAACATGGACTCTGGTGACGGTCTGAAGTGGTTTGGCGAAGGCTTTGACGGCTTTCCGAAGAAACTCCCGGAAGACGTCGTAGAATACATCATCTTCATCATCGACACTAGACTGTCAGACATACAGACCAGAGAGCGTCTGCAGGCCTTCCAACGTGCGCTGCAGGACTTGAAGAAGAAATTCTTGAAAGAGTACATCTGGCAGCGAGATGAGATCAAACTCGATCTTGTAAGGGAAAACGACCGTTGGCTCTTGAAAGGGCAGACCAACTACGGCGACAGTGTTGCTGATGAGTGGCTAATTGTATACTTCCTGCGCGAGCTAAGTAGAGAGTTCAAGGATGCATGGATACGTATTTACGATACAGACGGCGAGTTCCTGCTCATTGAAGCCGCAAACGCGCTACCGAAATGGCTCACTCCAGAGGTGGCAGAGCACCGAGTCTGGATCAACACGCATCGAATGCTCATCATTCCTCTAGGAAAAGAGGAGGAACCGGCGCCACTCAAGCTGTCTGATGCATTCACTATACTCGGTGATACACCAGGCCGACCACAGCAATACCCTAGAGTCGAGAAAGAGGCCTTTCACCGCCTCAAGAATTACCCAACCGCCATTGCAGAGAACCAGCACCACGCTACCATTCCCTTGCCACGCAAGGTAGCACACATCCTACACACAAACCCGTCTTACATCTCATCCGCAGTTGAGGCCTTCTACCTCCGAGACCCCATCTCGCTGCGTCTTCTGCAGCCCGAGAAGTCCAAATCAGCGCTTGTCTTCCCGCCTGAAGACTTTGTGTCTGTTAGTGTACGCTTCACAAAAGTGCTGTATGCCCAGCTCTTGGGTCAGCACTGGAATCCAACACCTCAGTACGAGTCAGCCATTGATTTGCTAGTCAAGTCTGGTCACCCACAGGAGAAGAGCGAGGTAGCAATCAAGCTCAGCGCAGGCATGCAAATTCTTGCTTCGCACACCCTCTTCGCCGACAAGAAGGCCGTACGCGAGATCAACCTTCTCCTGGAAGACATGGAATCAGGCGACGATACTGTACCCACGGATGCCGAGATTGCCACATGGCCTGAGCGCGAGGACGACGAGAGCTGGCTAGACATTGACTTCTCCGAGTTCGAGAAGGAGCTCCAGGGCAAAGGGGGTGACAAAGGCTTCGGCGACAAAAACGCCCAGGACAACCTGAAGAAGATGGTAGAGCGATTCAACACATTCCTCGCAGACGACCAGGCCGGACACGAGGGTGCAAATGCGGTCGAGCGAGATCCCATGGATGAGGATAATGACTCGGACCCAGGGCGTGGATGGGAGGATCCTGAGAGTAGCTCAGATGATGACGAAGAGGAACAGACTGGCGCGTCTACATCACCGTCAAGCACGAAACCTGCATCTCAACCTGAAGCGCGGATCAAGTCGAAGGCCGCAAGAGCTGACGACGAAGACGACGATTCTGGAAGCGAGTCCGAGGAAGAAGAAGAAAACCAGGCAGCCATCGACGCCGAGTACGCCGAATACGAAAAGTACTTCGAGAAGTACATGACACTCCCTCCTCACGAAAAGGCAATGCTCACCGAGGATGCACGCGAATTGGCACGCGCACAGGACGCCGAGAACGAAGAGGACGAAGAGATCCGAAAGCTGACCGAGGCCATGGAAGCCGAGCTCTTCGGCCACGGAGCACTTAACCTAAATCCTCCCGCGGAGAAGGCTTCGAAGACACTCAAGAGCGTCGAGAAAGCGGGAAAAGTAGACAAGGGTAAAGCCAAAGCCAAAGTTTCGTTCGCCGAGCCCGAAGATGACGTCGAAGAGATCGACCGCGGAGGGAGAGAAGAGGGGGACGAGGAACTTCTAGACGAAGATTACAATCTTGTGCAAAACATGCTCGCTGCTTTCAAGGGCCAGGCTGGCGCTGCTGGGCCGGCGGGTAACATGTTGAGGGCCATGGGTATTCAGTTACCGCAGGATGCGGATGACGAAGTGCAAGGCTCTGGGAGCAAGGGCTATAGTAACGTTGGCGAGGGGAGGGCGAGTGAGAATCCGATGAGGAAGCAGGATTGGTATATGAAGTAGGAGAAACGACCAAGAAAAATAGTCCACATGCCATTGTTTCAACATCGAAACAATACGACAAGATTGAACCGATGTGCATGAAAGAAATAACATATGCAGCTGCCATATTTGACGAATTAGCCCTCTACTACCTATTGCTACAACTTTCTATCTCTCCCAAGACTCATGCAATCACCTTCTAAATGCCTGCAAACTGTACATTAAACCCCGAGGCGTCAGTACTATCTACAGCAACGCTACCTCCAATCAGACTACGTCTCATAGGCAAGCGATACTGTAAAGAAGACGCGATGTCACACGTCACTGGACCCTGGTTTTAGCGCCATCGCGTCAATCATCATAGATTTCCCCCTCCAAACTTCACAACCCCGCCCCACACCATTCCCGCACGACAAAGACAAACCACAATCGCTCAGAATGGTCCGCCACAAGAAAGACTTCAAGTCGAACAACAAATACTCGGCTCGAGGAGGAAGAGGGAGGGGAGGAAAGCCCGTAGGCGCAGGGCCACCACGTCCCCGCCGTGACTCCGAGTCCGAGTCCGAAAACAGCGACGCCGAAAACCCTCGTCCGAGGAAGCCGGAGTTCAAGGCAGCATGCTGGGACCTGGGGCATTGCGATGCGAAACGATGCTCGGGCAAGAGGCTCATGCGTCTAGGAATGATGAGGGAGCTTCATGTTGGCCAGAAGTTCGCGGGCGTGGTCGTCAGTCCCAAGGGCAAGAAAATCGTGTCGAGAGAGGACAAGGAGTTGTTGGATCAATACGGCGCTGCGGTTGTCGAGGCAAGCTGGAATAGGATTGACGAGGTGCCATTCGGCAAGATCGGTGGCAAATGCGAGCGCTTGCTGCCGTACCTCGTTGCGGCGAACCCCACCAACTACGGAAAGCCATGGAGATTGAACTGTGTCGAGGCACTCGCGGCGTGCTTCTACATTTGCGGTCACTCAGATTGGGCTGAGGATATTCTGTCAACGTTCTCCTACGGTCGAGCATTTCTAGACATCAACGCTGCGCTGCTCAAGCGCTACGAAGCGTGCGAAAACGAGGAGCAGATCAAGAAGGCAGAGGAAGCCTGGCTTGCAAAGATCGAACAGGAGTTTGAGCAAGCCAGAGCCGAGAAGGAGGACGGTGCCGAAGACGATGTCTGGGCTGGCGGAAATCAGAACAGGCGCATCATCGATGAGTCGGACGAGGATGAGGATGACGAGGAAGATGAGGATGAAGACGAAGTGGATCCACGGAACCCATACGATCTTCCGCCATCTGATGATGAAGAAGAGATGGCAGAGCTCCGTCGACGTGTCCTAGCGTCAAAGCCTTTCGCCAACCCCTCCAAGAACAACGACGAGGACGAAGAAGATTCCAAGAAAGCCCCCGAACGTATACCGCGTACTGAACCAGCGCCAAAGCAAGAGGCGGACGAGAAGAGCGACGTCTCGAACGACGACGGTGGAGATGACGACGAGTTCGACGCCTTCATGAACGCTCAACCCACAACAGACAGGACCGGCATTACAGGCAAGCAGAGGCAGAAGGCGTTGGACAAGCAGACCGCCACCTTCTCGAGTGGCAAAGTCAATGCTCCCAGCCGGCAGGGTTACTAGGAGTGATAGACATACATCTCGGAGGCTCAATGAAACTCATACGTGAAAGGCGGATAAGCTGTCCGTTCGGCAGACAATCTTGCCTGACACACACCTTGTTGCAGTAGCGACGCGTCAACCCTACCCTCGATGCGTGACATGAACATCAAGAAACTCAGTACATTGCATTCTCAGGCAAACATTCCCTCCAGAGCAACCCGAAGGAGAAGGCACGACGAGCTTGTCTTGGACTGCACAGGACAACGCAACGACCGCTGCACCTGGACTGGAAGACCCGCGCCGGTACGCACAACCCAGACATTCCGCCGCGCCCACCCCCGAACAAGAGTGAGCTGTTGCGCCCGAACAAGAGTGAGCTGTTGCGCCCGAACAAGAGTGAGCTGTTGCGCCCGAACAAGAGTGAGCTGTTGCGGGCAAGGCTGCAACTCTATTCGCAGGTTTGCAATCATCTGAGCTGGACTTCGGACCCGCCTTGGGGCGTCACGTGATTAGAGTATGCGGCGTGGGAGCTGTGGCGATGCCGGGTGGTGCGGCGACGAGGTCGAGTTGCGCAGTATCCATGTGCAGCGGGAGGTGTGTATTGACAGCAGCAGCAGCGGGAGCGAGGGCGGGTTTCGGAGGGTGGTGCGTGCGAGTGCGGAGGGAGCGTGGGGGTTGGTGCGGAGGGAGCGTGGGGGATAGAGAGGGGGGTTGGTGCGGAGAGGAGGGTTAGTGCAGAGAGGAGGGTTAGTGCAGAGAGGAGGGTTAATGCAGAGAGGAGGGCTAGTGCAGAGAGGAGGGCTAGTGCGGAGAGGATTTTGTAGGGGGGTAATGGTCTGGGTTGGCGTCTGCGAGACGCAGGCTGGCATTGCAGTCTCTTGCGTGGTGACGGTTGCGCGTGTCCAGCTTCCTCCCGCTACCGTCTCACACAATATCTCGCATAGACTCGCTAGTATCACGTGCCTCGCGCTCTTGTGCCCGCCTCACACGACGCGGCCATGCAGCGCGCGATGAAAGTGCCCGTAGTTCCCACGCCCGTCCTTGCCGCTCTCTCCACCGCTCTTGTTGTCCATGACCGCAAAGACCACGTCCTCCCACCACCCGCCCTGGAACTCGGGCTCGCAGAAGACCTGCAGGAAGCACTGCGCCACGTCCGTCGGCGGGTTCGCAAAGACACCGCACCCCAGCGCGCCGAGCACGAGTCTGCCGTGTCCCATGCGCGCAGCCAGGCGCAGAGAGACCCTGATCTTGCGCTTTGTTTCTGCGTGCTGAGCTGGGTCCGCGAACCGAGCGCCGTCGGCGGTCAGCGTGGGGTGTCGGAGTGCAGCGACGCTGAGCACAGAGGCCACGGGCAAATCGAGAGCCTTGTCCGGGTAGAGCGTGTGTCCGGCTGTCGTGGCGGCGCGGATGATCAGCACCGAGGGCGTGTAGATTACGCTCAGCGAGGGCAGCGGGTAGAATGCGCGGTGGAGTGAGCGGTAGAGCGAAGACCGGTAGCAGAGCGATTCTTCTTGGGCCATGGCGCCGGTTTGCCAGCCGCCGCCTGGGTGTCGCTCGGAGGCGAGGTTGAGGACGAGGACGGGGGATGGGGTGAGGCGGGAGAAGGGTGGGATGGTGTACGTTTTGGCCTTTGGGGTTGGCTTAGAAGCCGTGGTTTTCTGGGACAGTTTTGCAGGTTCGGCTTTCTGAGGGGGTCTTGCGGACAGGTCCCACGAAGGAGCCGTGGGCTGGGGCTGGGGTTGGGCGACTGGATGGCCGTCCAGGTCCATCTCGTCGTCCTCTGTGGACGACGAGGCTTCACGTTCGCTGTCATATGGGCCAGATGTCGCTGCGGGAAGGGTGCTCAAATGGCGCTGAGCTTTGTACGCTGGCTGGAGCTCAATTGCAGCATCGAGCGAGTCCTGATCCAGCACGCGTATTCTGGTTCCTGTGCTGCCAGCATCCTCGTCGCCAGCGGGGAGGACATATCCTGGACAGTCTGCGGGGTCCAGCGGAGCGAGTGCATCCAGGTCGTAGACGGCAGACACATCAGCCCCGAAGCCAGGCAGCGATTTGAGTGCAGCTGGAAGGACGTCCTTGGTCTCCTGTGCTACTTTCTTGAGCTCCCTGTTGCGTGCTGATTTGCCACCGCGATGCTGGCCGCGCGTGCTGGGGGTGGAGCTGCCGCCACGAGAGTGGTAGGGTCCAGGTCTGCGTCCCTGTCGGTCGCTGTCTGGTCGTTGGTCTTCACTGCGAGAGCCGCTCGACCCTGGGTCCTTCTTGAAGAAGGCGGTGATGGGGCTCTGTTGCATGGTGACAGCACCCGCACGTGATGCTGACGCAATCCAGCTGGGAGAGAGCCTGCAGGTTCTGCGGTGAATGCGAGCACGGAACGAGGCAAGTCACAGTCATGAGCTGGACATGTCAGGCGAGTCAGTCGACGCTACGATCAGGCAACAAGCAGGGAGAAGGAAGCGCAATGGAGATGACTACATGTGTGCATCCTCGGTCCGCTACACAACGCAGGGCCACTGCCAGACGGCGACCGTAGGGTGACGGTGAAGTGGCAGAAGGCGTCCACCAGTAGTGACAGGCGGCCTCCACCAGTAACAGGCGGTCGTTCTCCGCAAGTCGTCCAGTGCCGCGCTGGGCGATGCAGGGAACTTCAGCCCGCTGCCCCACTTCGCTGACGCAATCACGGGCGCATGCGCTCACCAGTCAACGGCAACGGCAACAGCAACAGCAACAGCAACAGCAACGCTTCTGCACTTTCGGTGACGGCGCCCGCCCTGCCCCTCGCGCCCATGTAAAGGCCACAGCCGGCGAAATGCCACCGATGCAGCTTGCCCACCCCTCGCCGAAGCGCAAGCGCGACCAGCCGCAGCAGATTCCGCTGCTCAACACGGCCCTGGCCATCCGACCCGCACACACCCCACCACGACGAGACAGTCCCGCACCGTCGTCTGGCCCCGACAGCCCCAGAAATGCAGTCGCAGACCAGCTGCGGGGGATGACGCTCATCGCCACCGCGGCCATTCCCATGTCCCCGCTCACGCCCACGGACAATGTGACACGCAAGAAGCCGAAGCTTGGCGCCCTGGACGTCGACGACGGGGACGGCCCCAGTGCGCAGACCGCACAGGCGCATACCAAGCCCCGCAACAAGGTCGGGATTCTGGACGCTGCTGCACTCGGACCTGTGCTGGACGCCGCTCGAGAGATCCCGGAGACACCCCAAGCGCCGCGACCCCGCATCGTGACAGACACGGCCGCTTTTGCGCAACCCCGCACGTTGGTGTCGTCATGTGGTAGCACTCGTTCGTCACAGACATGGCCCAGCAGCCAGACCAGCGACGCATCAGCATCAACAGACCGGTCACAGTCACAGCCGCGACCGCAGTCTTCAACGCCCCCACCCTCCGCCCTCACGTGGCAGGACGACGAGATCACGGGCCACCTCACGGGCCCCGCCAACGACCCAGACGACGACGGCACTGGACTGAACGGGATTGGGTTCAAGCCGACGCCTGCGATTGCCTACCAGCGCGCGCAGAGGCGCAAGCAGCAGCTGCAAGACTGGAAGGCCAGGGAAACCCGCGAAGCCCGCGCCAAGCGCAGCCAGAGACGGAACCGCGGCGTCGGTGCTCGGCCGCGCGTATCTAGAGAATCGACTGTCGAGAGAGAGGCGCCGCACCAGCTCCTGGAGGTGCCTCGACGAAAGGTGCAGTTCTCCGTGTGAGCTGGCAGACGAGACGGGATGGGACGAGACGGGATGGGACGAGACGAGACGGGAGGAGACGAGACGGGAGGAGACGAGACGGGACGGGACAAGACGAGACGGGATGGGACGAGACGAGACGGGAAGATGAAAAGACGAGACAAGAGACGAGAAGATGACAAGACGAGAAGATGACAAGACGAGAAGATGGCAAGACGAGAAGATGGCAAGACGAGAAGATGGCAAGACGAGAAGATGGCAAGGAAGTAATGTAATGAGGGGATCTGCGATGACATGGAGAGCAAGACGAGACGACTAACGACAGCAACATGACGAACGCTCGCTTGGCTTCTGGGGTACGAGGTTTAGGATTCACGGATCACGGCGTATGGCGACAGGAGCATTGTTTGTTTCCTTGTTTTGTCTTGTCTTGTTTGGTTCGGTTCGGTTCGGTTCAGGTCGCCCGCTGATGCGGACGCATATCATACAGACCTACAGACTCGTACACGTTCTATACATAGACTTTGAATAACATGACCACCCGACTCAGGTCTTCTTCCATCCCTCTCACCGTCCCTCTCACCACAACTTGACGTCTTCTTATACCAATAACCCCAAGCTCTCTTCCATCCCCCGCGTCACCAGAGCCTGACATCTTCTCATACTAATACACCCAGGTCTCCTTTCGTTCCTCACCAGAACTTGACGTTCTTCTCATACCAATACCCCCAGCTCTTCCGCCGCTCCTCCTCCCTCTGCCGCTCCGCCTGCTGCCGCTCGTACTCCTCCTTTTGCCGCCGCCGCGCCTCCTTCTTGGCCTCGATGTTGGCCCGCTTCTGCGTCATCAGCTCCTGCGCCTGCTTGATCCCGGCCTTCTCCTTGGACCGGTAGTACTGGCACACCTGGTACGAGACGACGGACACGCCGCACCACGTCGCCACGGCCCAGTTGGACGCCGTCAGCACGGGTCCTGCGAGTGTTAGCATCGCTCCAGCTCCGACTCCAACCCACACCTCCTCACTCGAGCGAACGTAGACTCCGAGTCGGATCTAGTGGAATGTAGCAACGTACTCCCTATTATCCCCGCGACAGCACCCCCCGCAAACCCCGCCGCCAGCCCCTGCAGCTGCGAGTCGCGCACGCACGGCCGCTTGTGGAAGTTCATGTAGTACTCGGGCCCCAGCGACCGCACCGCGTCCATGTACGACGGCCCCGCGCCGTCGAGCTTCTCGCCGCCCGCTGTGTGCGCCGTCCCGCCGGGCATGCTGTTTGCGGGCCCGCGCGGTGGTGGTGGTGGTGAGAGCTGCGCTGGTTGCGCCGTTTGTAGGTCGGATTCTGACATGGTCGCTGCGTGGGGGACTCGGAGCGAGAGAGAGAAAGAGAGAGAATATATATATATATAATTATCTGTGTGTGTGTGCGGATGGAGGCCCTCGAATGGCTGGGCGGTGAGGTGGTGGGCGAGCTGGCTCGGTGGTGGTGCGGAAAGCGCCGAAGAAATGTTGATGATGATGCACACTTCCTGCACGGCCGATGCATCTCCACTTGGCGAATGCGGTATGGCGCTGCATTTCCACTTTAGCGAATACGGTATAGCGCCACGCGACCGACGCGACCGACGTGGGTGCAGCGCGTCTCCGTCTGCGTGTTTTCCAACACAGTGCCCGCAGTGTCCCTCACTGCTCTCACGCCACATATCCAAGCTGTCTGCCTTCGATACCCCGCGCCGTTCTTGCTCTGCCTGCCCAAATGATACCCTGAATTGCCTATAGCCGCATTTACATCTCTTAATTCCTCTTCCACACACACCATGGGCGCGCCGCGACGAGCAGGCCAGCCCTTCCGCCGGGTCGGCAGGGGCGGACAGTCCAACTACGGGCATAACAAACGGAAAACAGTCGACGCCGGGTCGCTGCGCAGCACCGAACAGACGTCGCAGAACGAGCGGCTCGAGTCCACACGCCTCGCAGACCGCATCGATGAGTCCATGGGCTTCTCACGCTTCGACGCCGGCAGGAACAGGATCGGGTGGCTCGTTAATATGCGCTCGACCGCCATAGAAGACGAGCACGTGCCGGGCGGGAGAGCGGGCGTCGACTTTTACTTCATCGGCGAGGACGGTGACACCTTCAAGGCGACGCTCGAGTACGATCCGTACTTTCTGCTCGCCGTGAAGAAGGGAAAGGAACAAGACGTCGAGGAGTGGTGTCGACGGTCCTTTGAGGGGCTCGTCAAGACATTCAAGCGCGTGGACAAGGAGGACTTGTCCATGCCCAACCATCTCACAGGCTACCGGAGAACGTTCCTGCAGCTCAGCTTCGCCAACGTGAACGACCTGCTCGCCGTGCGCAGAGCCGTCAGTCCCGTAGTCGAGAAGAACAAGAAGAACGTTAACGCCATGGACACGTACGCCGAGGTTGCCACGGGGAATGTGGACATGGATTTTTACGACAATGACGATTACGAACACGAGAAACGATATACCGCTGTTATTGATCCCAGCGACTTCATTCTGGACATCCGTGAATACGACGTCCCTTACCATGTCCGCGTGGCCATCGACAAGGACGTCAGGATTGGGAATTGGTACACAGTCGAGGCGAAGCACGGCGTGGTCAGCATGTCATGTCTGGAGGATCGTCTGACGCCTGCGGACCCCGTGGTCATGGCGTACGACATCGAGACGACGAAGCTGCCGCTCAAGTTTCCGGATGCTGTCATTGACCAAATCATGATGGTCTCATACATGATCGATGGCCAGGGTTTCCTCATCACCAACCGCGAGATCGTGTCCGAGGACATCCAGGACTTTGAATACACTCCCAGACCAGAGTACCCCGGACAGTTCATCATCTTCAACGAGCCGGACGAGAAGGCCCTGATCGAGCGCTTCTTCGAGCACATCAAGGAGGCAAGGCCAACAGTCATGGTCACATACAACGGAGACTTCTTCGATTGGCCATTTGTCGAAGCAAGAGCTAGCGTGCTGGGCATCGACATGTACCAGGAGATTGGCTTCCGGAAGAACAGCGAAGACATCTACCAGTCCGACTACTGCGCACACATGGACGCTTTCGCCTGGGTCAGTCGTGACAGCTACCTGCCGCAAGGAAGTCGTGGTCTGAAAGCAGTCACCATGGCCAAGCTGGGCTACGACCCTGACGAGCTCGATCCGGAACTCATGACGCCCTACGCCTCTGAACGGCCGCAGACGCTGGCCGAGTACTCGGTTTCCGACGCTGTTGCCACGTACTATCTGTACATGAAATATGTGCACCCCTTCATCTTCGCGCTGTGCAAGATCATTCCGCTGGGTCCGGATGACACATTACGAAAGGGTACTGGTACCCTGTGCGAGATGCTGCTGATGGTGCAAGCGTACCAGAAGGGCATTGTTCTTCCAAACAAACACCAGGCGCCCAAGGAAGCCTTCTGGGAAGGCCATCTTTTGGAGTCGGAAACCTATGTCGGAGGTCACGTTGAGAGTATCGAAGCCGGTGTCTTCCGCAGTGATATCCCATACGACTTTGCAATAGATCCAACAGCTATCGACGAGCTGGTCCGAGATCTCGATGCCGCGCTGAAGTTCAGCGTCGAGGTCGAAGAGAAGAAGAAGCTCGAAGACATCACCAACTATGAGGAGATCAAGGGCCAGATCGTCGAGAAGCTGATGCAGCTCAAGAACACACCGAACCGGAGCGAACGACCGCTCATCTATCATTTGGACGTCGCGTCCATGTACCCCAACATCATGACGACGAATCGACTGCAGCCCGATTCCATGATACACGAGTCGAATTGTGCCGCCTGCGACTTCAACCGGCCTGGCAAGACGTGCGATCGCCGCATGCCCTGGGCTTGGAGGGGCGAGTATCTCCCCGCCAAACGCGACGAGTATAACATGGTGCGAAATGCGCTTGAGAATGAACGGTTCCCCGGGAAATATGCGAATTCCATGACGAGGACATTCCAAGAACTATCGGTGGACGAGCAAGCTACGCTGGTGAAGAAGCGCTTAACGGACTACTCGAAGAAGATTTACCACAAGATCCACGACCAGACAACAATAGAGCGTGAAGCCATCATCTGCCAGCGCGAGAACCCTTTCTACGTCGACACAGTCGTCAGCTTCCGTGATCGTCGATACGACTTCAAGGGCAAGCAGAAGGTGTGGAAGGGCAAGACCGAAGAGCTGAAGAAGGCTGGTGCACCAGCTGCGCAGGTCGAAGATGCAAAGAAGATGGTCGTCTTGTTCGACTCCATGCAGCTGGCGCACAAAGTCATTCTAAACTCCTTCTACGGCTACGTCATGCGCAAGGGTTCGCGATGGTACTCGCTCGAGATGGCCGGCGTCACGTGTCTGACAGGTGCACGCATCATTCAGCTTGCCCGATCGCTGGTCGAGCGCATCGGGCGACCGCTAGAACTAGACACGGACGGTATTTGGGCCATCCTGCCCGCGACGTTCCCGGAGAACTTTGCGTTCAAGATGAGCAACGGCAAGAAACTGGCCATCTCGTACCCCTGTACCATGTTGAACCATTTGGTTCACCAACAGTACACTAACCACCAGTACGAGACGCTCGTCGATCCGCACACGTTCAGGTACGAGAAGCACAGCGATAACACCATTTTTTTCGAGGTCGACGGGCCGTACAAGGCTATGATTCTGCCGACGTCGAAAGAGGAGGACAAGAATTTGAAGAAGCGATATGCCGTCTTCAACCACGACGGCAGTCTGGCGGAGCTGAAGGGGTTCGAGGTCAAGCGACGTGGTGAGTTGAAGCTCATCAAGAACTTCCAGTCGCAGATCTTCAAGTTCTTCCTTGAGGGCACGACGCTCGAAGAGACGTATGGCGCTGTCGCAAACGTCGCCAACCGATGGCTCGATATCCTCGACACGCGAGGTGCGACACTAGCCGATGAAGAGCTTGTCGACCTCATCGTCGAGAACAAGAGCATGACCAAGACTCTTGAAGAATACGGGGCGCAGAAGTCTACAGCCATCACTACCGCCAAACGTCTCGCTGAGTTCCTGGGCGAGCAGATGGTCAAGGACAAGGGTCTCAACTGCAAGTACATCATCTCCTCACGCCCGCGAAACGCTCCTGTCACCGAGCGCGCCATCCCCATGTCCATCTTTTCCGCCGAGGACTCAGTCAAACGCTATTTCCTACGGAAATGGATGCGCGAAGACCCCGGTGAGATGGACATTAGGAGCATCCTGGACTGGGACTACTACCGCGAGCGTCTAGCATCCGTCATTCAGAAGCTCATCACCATCCCGGCAGCGCTGCAAAAAGTCAAGAACCCCGTACCTAGAGTGCCGCACCCCGACTGGCTCGCGAAGCGGATTCGTCAGAAAGAAGACAAGCTCCAGCAGACGAAGATGACGGATATGTTCACCAAGAGCAAGAAAGCACTGACCAACGGCGATGCCAACGTTGCCAATAACAAGCCGTCTGGCGACGTCGAAGACTTTGGCGTACCCAAACTGTCGCAAATGAAGAGAGGCGTTGCTACCAGGATGGTGTCCAAGCGAAAGGAGCCTGAGCCCGCGGTGCCTGTGCAGACAGACCCATACGCCGCGCTGCCCAAGGTCATGCCCGATATTGGTAGAGATTACTCCGGATGGCTTATGTATCAGAAGCAGAAGTGGAAGATCCAACGCCAGGCCCGGAATCGCAGACGACAGCTGTTCGGAGAGAAGTCAGTGGATACCTCGGATGCCATTGGGACGCTCTTCAGGAACCAGGCCGAGACGCTGTTCATGAGCACCTGGCAGCTCATCCAACTGCGCCTGACAGAGATTCCAGGAGAGGTGAAGGCGTTCGTGCTGATCGACAAGAAGATCCACACATTGAAGATTGTGGTGCCGCGGCAGCTGTACCTCAACCTCCGAAGCGATGACCTGCCTGATGTATCGATCAGCGGATGCTCCGTGGAGAAGGTCGTCAACCACACTCTACCCAACGGACACCGGTCAATTCACTTGTTCAAGCTGCAGATGTCGGAGCAGACGTATGTCCAAGAAGCGAACAGCATCTCGGCCCTGTTCAACCATGCCAGTGTTGAAGGTGTGTACGAGAAGCAAGTGCCACTCAACATCCGCGCCATTCTCGAACTGGGCAGCACTTGTACCTTCGACGAGTCGCAGAGGGGTGTTCTAGGCAGGGGTCTGGAGCAGGGCTTCGATCTGTCGTCGTTGCGCAAGATCCCCTCGAAGAAGCTGTATCTTGCCGATGCTTCGTTCGGCTACCTCTACGTGTACCACGTCAGCAGCGGCGACCGCAACATCTACGCTGTCTTCTCGACGGGCAGGAGCGAGGCGCATATCATCATCCAGAACAAGTCCAAAGACTCCCAAGGCATGCCAAATGTCGATAGGATCTATGTCGAGGCCCTGCAACGCCGGATGGAAGACAGCCAGGGCGAGCCGTGGCAGGCGGCTATTGAGTATCAAGAGAACATACATTTCAAGACCACAATGGTTACGACAAGACGAAAGGCACTGTTGGAACTCGGCGATGTCATCAAGAAGATGAAGATGGATGAAGGCAAACCCGTCGTTGTCGTCATGCAGTCTCCAAACCAGGCTCTGCTCTCGCACGATATCCCCATGCTGAAGGACCTGCCCATTCTGTCGCTGCACCCAGACGAGTCGGACAAGCAGCTGCCGCCTCTGGGCTGGCAGTCTTTCATCGCCAAGCGCCTGGTGAGCCACTACCTGGATCTGGGCTCGTGGGCGTCTCATCTCATGGAGCTCGCACGGTACGGCGACATCCCGCTGTGCAACCTGGAGAGCAACGACCCGCGCTTCCTCATCGACATCGCCTACGCCAGGCGTCTCCAGAAAGAGCGCGTTATCCTCTGGTGGTCAGGCCAGGCCAAACCCGATCATGCCGGCTACGAAAAGGACGACATCCTCGGCCCCTTGGAGACAGTCGACATGCCGTCCATCAACAACCCCGGCACGTACTCTTCAGTGTGCATCGACCTGAATATCCGCAACCTCGCCATCAACACCATCATCTCTTCATCTCTCGTCAACGATCTTGAGGGCGCAGACAGCGTTTCCTTCAACCCCGCAGCGCCATCCTTCGACTCCACGAATGACGGAACAAACACAATCTACTCGGACAACGCATTTGCGTCAGCTGGCATCACGGTACTGCGCGAGATGGTAAAAGCGTGGTGGGTCGAGGCCTGCAGCGCAGGCAACGGGTTCTCGATGGCAGACGTCATGGTCCAGCACCTCGTGCGCTGGGTCAGCTCGCCCGGTTCGTTCCTCTACGACCGCAGCCTGCACTACTACGTACAGATGATGAGCAAAAAGACGTTGCAGCAACTCATGAGCGACTTCAAGCGCGTGGGCAGCCACATCGTGTTCGCCTCGCCCAACCGACTCCTGCTGCAGACAACAAAAGCAGAGGTCGGCAACGCATACGCGTACAGCCAGTACATCATCAAGACGATCAAGGCGAAGCCGCTGTTCCAGTTTATGGATCTCGAAGTCAAGGAATACTGGGACTACCTCGTCTGGTACGACGCCTTCAACTACGGCGGCCGCGGCACCGCCACCGTCGTCGAGGAATCCGCCCAGACCCTCGACGACATCATGTGCTGGCAGCTCGCCTCCTTCCTGCCACCGCCGCTACAGCCCGTCTTTGAGCAGTGGGTCCTCGAATTCATCGCCCTGATGCACGCCCGCAAGCGGCCCGCAGCCCCAGACGGCACCTCGCCGCGCGCAACCCAGATCCCCCTGCGCCCGCTCACTCTCGACCCGGACGCGGACACCCACATCCTCCCCAAGCCCTTCACAAAGGGCCTGTACAAGCACATGGTCACCCTCCTCCGCCGCCAGCACGCAGAGATGCACATCCCCGAGCTCGCATCGGACTGGGCCTTCCCGTCGCTCCCAGGCGCACACACCGACCTCGCAAACCCCGTACTGCAGCTCGCAAAGAGCATCTGCCAGGTCCTCAGCCTCGACCGTGCGAGCAGCCTCGAAGCTCGCCGTCTGCGCAAAGATATCCTACTCCTCTTCGAACTGCGCGAGTTCGCGCCTGCCGCCGCATTCGCGAATCCCAGCGCCTCCCTCGTCGTACCCGTCGTATGTGATGAGTGCACCGCCGCGCGCGACCTGGATTTGTGCCGCGACGCCGCGCTGCTTCCTGCACTGCCTGACGCGCCGCTGCCGAAGTGGAAGTGCGACGCACCTCTCTGCGGCGCACCGTACGACAGACTCCGCGTCGAGGAGCGGCTCGTCGCTGATCTGCAGCGTGTGCTGCTCGATTGGTGCGCGCAGGATCTTAAATGTGGAAAGTGCAAGCGTCTCCGCAGCAACGAGTTTATGGAGCATTGTGCTTGTGCGGGGGAGTGGGTTGGGACTAGGGATCGGCGGGAGGTGGGGAGGGCGTTGGGTGTTTATAAGCGTGTGGCTGGGTTTTATGGACTGGGGATGTTGGAGGCGGTTGTTGATGAGTGTTTGGAGGGGTTTTAGGGGGGGATGATGCAGTGTTGGTACGTGGAGGAGGGTCGAGGTGGATAGCAGTAACGCGCGTTCTTCATGGTATGAACAACGCCGGATATAGACTAAGTAAGCAAGTGCGGATGGGATGGGATTGAGCGGATCAGGCATGGAGTACAAGGCATCGGGGGCGTTTGCATACCAATTTATGCTTGAGCGTGCAACTTGCACCATACCACACCACACATTATCACACCACACATGCGTGATTCTCTTGAGCATAATCGAAACCGTCGTCGACTCTGGTATCATATCATATCGCGACTACCTACGCCCCGCCTTTTGCTGCTCCTTAGTCCACGCCCAAGCTAGGGATCTCGCCGTGCTCGCTCTTCTGCTGCCCGCCGAGCGCGTACGACGCCTTCCAGCGCATCTTGACACCGGCGCCGGCCCCGCGCTGCACGTTGTTAACCCTGATGGTCTGCGTGATGCCGTGCTTCTGGTTCGGGGCGAGGTTGACGCCGGACTGGGGGTCAAGCTGCAGGGTTGCGCCCTGGGTGTGTTAGCTGGGTGATGAACGGTAGGAGGATGGATGGAGGCATGGCGCACCTTTGACGCTGCGACCTGCAGTGTCAGGCCCGAGATGGGGAGCGGGGTGTTGTTGGATGCGCGCGAGGTGATGAGCAGGGTTGTGTCTGATTCGCGCGAGACGGTGAAGAGCACACTTATGCTGGAGTTGACGACTGTGAGCTCTTTGGATGTGTCGGGGACGGATGACGCGAAGGTCCATTCGTCGTCGTCGTTTGCTGCGCTTGTGCTGCTCTGCGCCAGGTTCGACGTTGGCGCGGAAATGTCGCCGCCGAGGAGATCGACTGCGGCAGACGCGGGCGCTGGTGGCTTGACTGATTGCTGGTACTGGAACGGTGACCCTCCGCGCGGTGTCGATGTGAGGGCGGCAAACGGATCTGGCGTGCGGGGTTGAGCCGGGCCGGACGAGAATGTAGCAGATGGCGGCGGTGACGAGATCTGCGGTGGGGGCGGTGTGGAGCGTGGCCCTGATGCGAACAGGTCGGTGATGGCCTGGTTCGAGGCCTTTTGTTGCTGGGGGACCGGCACTCCTGACAGACCGAGGACCGACCCGTTTGAGCCGCCGAGTGCTATGCTGCCTGACTGTCCGTAGCTGTCACCGGCCAGAGACAGCCCTAGCAGGTCGTCCTCGAGCGCGTTGCCCTTGGCAGCCGGCTGTCCTGACGCTGACGCAGCAGGGGCTGGCGCAGGTGCTGGCGCAGGGGCTGGCGCAGGTTCTGGATCGCCGAAATCGATCAGGTTCAGTTCGTTGTTCGCGCCCTTGGAGACTCCAGCGCCGCTGCGCCCCAGCGTGCCTTGTGGAATCTTGTTTGCGCCCTCGATGTCGCCGCTCTTGATCAGCTTGTATCGCTGTATTGTGCGGTGGATGCTGTCATTGATCTGGAACAGCTTGGCGACAGCCTCTGTGTCTTCCGAGTCCTCTTCGCACATCCTCTGGATCTTGGGCTGCGCGTTCTGCAGGGCGCTCGCGAGCTCCTCGAAGACGTCGCCCTCGTTGAGCTGGTCGCCGGGCCGGTAGCCACTCAGCATCTCCTCGAGCAGGCGGGCCTTCTGCTGGATCCTGCCCACCTCCTCGGCGGCCTTTGCGCGCCAGTCTGTCTTGTTCCGTTGGTCGTAGCCAGCCATGACCTTCATGAGCTTGTTTGCTTCTTGCAGGTCCTGCGGCCCGCCGCGGCGGATGAGCTCTTGGAGCTTCGCCGACTGCGCTTCTCGTTCCTCTGCTTCCATCTCCTCAGGGGAGCGAAGGTTCTGCCTGCGGTCAGCACTGCGGCGCGCACTCAGGCAACACGTCGTCACGTACATCACTGGGATTGAGGACGGCGGCGTCTTCCTGGCGGACTTCAGGGAACATGTAGCCCTTGTAGCTGAGCAGGCGGTGCATGTCCCGGATGAAGCCCAGGTCGTCCTTGTAGCGCGACGTCTGGCATATTGTCTGGCGCCACTCCTCGATCAGCTCGAGGATGCGGTTCTGTACGCGTGACGAGTGCACGGGCGGGCGCTCAGGGAAGCGGCGGACGAGCTCGTTGAGGAACTCCTTGGTGCTGATCTGCAGGTGGAACGGGTAGCCGCAGTTCTTGACGCAGATGTCGAGGAGCTGTGAACGGGTGAGCTAGGGGCCGGGCAGGGCGGGGCGGCGCTTGCGTACACTGAGCGCGAGCAGGGCGATGTTCTGGTTGCGGTGGTTGACGTGGTGCACAATGGACACGGCTGCCTCGCGGGGTCTGCATCGCTGTGAGCGCCTGTGGCCTGCCTGTCTGGCGCGGGGGGGTCCCTACGCGGAGCCCTTTTTCTGGTTGATCAGGTCCGTGATCTCGAGGTTCAGCGCGAGGTTCGGCTCCAGGTTCTGCGGGTCGCACGCCTGCACTATCGCACCGTCAGTCTGCGTGCCCCCGTGCCAGTCGCTGGGTGCGTACGTATGAAGCGCTGCAGTGGGCTGCTCGGGGCCTCGCCAAACGCGCCGTAGCGGTCGCGGGCGGCCATGCGCGCAGATGCTGCCTCCATTGCCGCCGCAGATGGAGCTCTGCGGGAGTAGTTGGGGAACACGGTTGCGCACGGTTCGCGGTGGGCGAGGGACACGGAGGAGTGTGACGAAGCACCTATGCCCGAAGGAGTCACCCGCGGTGCAGATGGAGGCGTTGAGTTGAGCCTGTGGCGGCGTGAGGCGGCGTGAGGCGGCGTGAGGCGGGTGTGCAGCCAATGGAGCGACGAGCGGCGCAACAGCCCTGCACTTGGCGCCACTCCAAGTACTACACCTGGACGACGTTCATCTTCACCAAAACAGCGACATCAGCATTTCATGAAATGGTTGTGTCGTAGAGAGAGTATTTGCACGTGGAGTGCCGAGCTCGACTTGCGACATCGACCTCTGCTAGTTCTTGGGCCAAGTCTTCCACATGACAAGTCACGACAGCCTACTCAAATGGTCGTGGCACCTCAACACTGCCTCCATTCAAGTCGCCCGTCCCACCACCGCTTCCATGCAGCCATCTGCAGAAAGACTTAGGAGGCATTGCAGCATAGGACGCCAAGGCCGATTTTGCTCGCTATTGTGTGGTGAGGTGTGACGTCGTTTGGGGTTCCGCTTTGGACTAGCGCGGCGGGGACCATCCGAGAGCCTCACGAGTCATGCGAATATCATGATCACTGGGAAGTTGGGCGTGTTGGCAGTTGTGAAAAGGTCTCGTGTTCACGAACGAGAGTTTGAGCTTTGAAATTTTCATCGACTAGCTAGTTGAGATTGAGGAGAAATATTCACGTGTATGCAAAGCTATCGTGCAGCCGTGACGGGCTTCGGGCTTGCGCCAAAGTAGGTATTCGACATGGGCATTGTACAGCGGTAGATCGTCAAGTAAGTTGATGTATGTTACCGACTCTGCACACGAATTAGTGTATATGAGTGTACGTCCAAGACGATATGACTAACCGGCTTGATGTGCTCAGCATCGTTCTCTTTGTTGTCTTGCCGGACTTCGTTCAGCATCTTGTCGATGCCTCGCTCTGATAATGCTTTCTGTGGCAAATGTTATCCCAGGTTGATTGAAAGTCGCCCGGTCGACTCACCGAAAGACACTTCTCGTACGCGTCAAACATGGGCTTGCACTCATCGTTCGTCGATGTGCCTCTCAAGAACTCTGTCTTGGTCAGTGAAGTCTACTGAAGATTCAGAATGCACATGTGTACTCTCGCTATACCACTTCAGGAAGCAGTTGTCATATTTCCTGATAACGTCAACATCTACTCAGTCGGTGTGGTATAGCAGCACACACTCCTTTACTTCGTTACACTCTGGCGCCAAGGATGCAGACATGATGATGTGCAGACGGAGAAAGGCCCGCCAAGGCGAGTGAAGGTCGCGCCTGCAGCTCTTATCGATTAACGCGCCAAGACCTCGAATTCTGCGCCTTGTAAGAAAGTTGCGACAGGAGCGCCCTGCGTTGAGACACCGCCTGCGTCAACAAAGACGCTGAGCTTCAAATCGCGACCGAGCCCACACTGAAGCATGTGCAGCGAGTGAAGACGCCATGGAATCCTTCAAGTCACTACAGGACGAGATCTCCAAGGCCCTAGTCTCGACGACGCGCTCTGCGACACGCATTGCTGGCGCAGACGTTGCGTTCCAGCGGTCGCTGAATCCAGATGTCGGTGCAGCCCTCGATGCGCAGAATGGGCGCCTTCTCGCTCTTGCGCAACGCCTTCTTGAGAACGCCGCCGCGAGCTCAGACGCCGTAGGTCCCAAGCTACCCGACGTCGATTCCATAGACGGCAATTGGAGGGCGGTCGTTGATGTCATCGACAGCTTGCTTGAGAAGGCAGACACGAGCCTTGACGAGTACACGGGGGTGGTGAAGCGGTTGAGTCCTAGCGCGGACCCGGTAAGGAGACTCGAGTGTGTTGCGCTGGTGGATGCTAACAGACAAAGGCTGCAGTAAAGGCACGACCCAACATCGCCGAAAGGAAACACCTCCCGAAACCCCAGCTCACGTTCGACAACGTGCCCACCAACGACGAAACCGGGCCCTTCCGCCCACTGCTGGTCAAAAAGCCGCACGCAAAGATCCCACTGGAGCAGTGTCTGAAGACCTTCAGAGACAAGCAAGGCCGAGAACAATACCCCCACCCATACCAGACCGAGATTGAACAGTACGAATTCCCCAAGGCCGTATACGAGCACGCCGAACCGCAACAATACCCGCCCTTTGAGGAGACTACAGCCACCTTTGTCGACACACCCGAGGCGGTCGATGACATGTTGGCTGAGCTGAAGACTGCGAAAGAGCTGGCTGTGGATTTGGAGCACCACGACAATCGCTCGTACATTGGCATGGTTTCCCTCATGCAGATCAGCACGCGCGACAAGGACTGGATCGTAGATACGCTGAAGCCTTGGAGACGGAAGCTGGAATGTCTCAACGAGGTTTTTGCCGACCCTGGCATACTGAAAGTCCTTCATGGATCCTTCATGGATGTCATCTGGCTTCAACGCGATCTCGGACTGTATCTTGTTGGCTTGTTCGACACCTACCACGCGGCACGATCTCTGGGCTACCCCGGTGCCAGTCTGGCGTACCTGCTCGAAAGGCACGTCAACTTCAAGGCGCAGAAACAGTACCAGATGGCCGACTGGCGGACCCGACCACTGAGCAAGGAGCTCTTTGATTACGCTCGCGGGGATACCCATTTCCTGCTTTATGTCTACGACAAGATGCGAAACGAGCTGGTGGAGAAGTCGGATTTCTCAGCTGCTGAGAGGAGCAAGGTCCACGACGTCCAAGAAAAGTCAAAAGAGTACGCGCTTCAGCGGTACGAGCACCCCGTCTACGACTGCGAGCTCGGTCTCGGAGGTAGCGGCTGGTACAAGGTCATCTCAAAATCACCTGTTACATTCACACCACAACAATTCGCTGTCTTCAAGGCAGTGCATGAATGGCGCGACACTTTGAGCCGAAAGGAGGACGAGAGTACATTCTTCGTCATGCCGAATCACGCCTTGTTCAGTATAGCGCGCTCGATGCCTGTCGACAAACCAGCTCTTTACACCGCCATACAGCATGTCTCGCATCTTGCTCGAGCCCACGCGGACGGGCTCGTAGCTGTCGTTGCTCGTGCGAAGGAAGAGGGCATCAATGGTCCCGAATTGGCTGATGTTCTTACAAAGATTTCAGGCATGCTTGAAGCACAGAGAGCAGCCAAGTATGCGGAGGAGGCTCCAAAGACGGCTGCACCGGTGCCAGTCGTTGAAGCCGCCACATCAGCACCGCTCGAAAGCAGTGTTGCCGAGCCAGCAACTCGATCGTCATCGTCAGCCTTCTGGGGTTCGTTGTGGTCGTCCGTCGAGGAGTTCGACCGTCGGAGAACAATTGATGTCACTCTTGCTGTTCCCTTGCCACCACTGACTGCCGAGATCTTTGATGACAAACCTGACACAACCACATCCAAGCCCGAGAAGCCGCAGTACGTTCGTAAGGAGGATCGACAGCAAGAGGACCAGAGGACCGACATGTTCGTGGTAAAGCAGCTTGGCGGTAAGAAGAGGAAGCGTGCAGAAGCCTCGGTCGCCGGAACTCCAGCAAACTCAGCAATCGATACCATGAAAAATGACGAGACCATGCTCGACGGCGCAGATGAACAAGACGATGAAGAGGCGGCGAGAGCAGCAAGGAAGGCCGCACGCAAGGCCGAGAAGAAACAGAAGAAGCTGGATGCACAAGCCGCAGCCCTCGAAGCGTCGGGCGAACCCGCGTTCGACTACGCCAACGCACCGACGGTGCTGCACGCCGCGGACGAGCAAGCAAAGCAGGAGGCGCGAGACAGGAAAAAGGACAAAAAGGACAAGAAAAAGAAAGGCTTCCAGGGCTTCGCAGGCCTCACGGACGCGCCCAAGGGGCTGCCGAGGGCGCAGAAGGAGGTCGCAGGACGGAGCAAGACGTTCACGCGATGAACGTGGATACTTACTTAGCATTATGGGCGTTCTCGGCATCATCAGCCTCCTGCATTGTTTGTACGTAGTTTTGCGCCATGATACCGCTGCCCGTCGCGTGTGGATCACACTCGCCTCGGGTCTTTTTTCCAGACCTACGCTCCTCGCTCGTGATTGTGCTAATTGTTCCCCTGAGCTGCCTCCCCTGGCCTCGTTCCACTGCCCACTGTATTCTCTTTCTTCCCTCGTCAAGCGGTGCGTAGGTGCTCTGGCGACTTGATGGCATATTCAACGGAATTGGAGTGGATTGATGAATTGAAGTGAGTTTAGTTTATTTGAATTGAATTGAGTTGAAGTGGATTGGATCGAACCGAATCGAATCGAATTGAATCGAATTGAATCGAACTGATCAATGGCCTGTTCTGAGGTTACCCAACGAGGCTGGGGTTGCAAGTCTGGCACACACAAAGTGCGCCTATTGGGCCAGGAGGACGGGTGAGTTGTTACACTGGGGATTGGGGGGGGTGGCTGAGGGCGCCGGAAATCGGCTGCAAGTATATTGGCTGTGCTTGCTACGATGAGTGTGTTTGTGGAGTCGGTGGGTGGGTTTCTGGGACGACAGGCATTAGATATTCCCGTCGAGGCCAGCTTGGGGCTGGGTTGGGTGAGATCAAATTGGGATTTTGCGAAGGTTATGGAATTTGAGCAGGCGAGGCGTGTCACGTTAAACGCTGCCTTGAAGGAGTCTTGTGTAGTTATGTCTCAGTGACCGCCAGACACATAGATACGCAGCATGCCAGCGAGCGCCAATGGCGAATGCAGGCTCTCACACCATGTGAATCGAATTCGTTACCATGTACGGCTGCGGCCACCGCATATTCGACCCTTGACCGTGTGTAAACAAGAAGTGTGAACATTAAGAGAGGATTCCTGCGAAAGACAAAGGTGACTGCTCGAAATGTGTCCTCGGCGCGAGGGGTACTTCAGAGGAGACGAAAACTGAGCCTCGTAGCTGTACGGCTTACTTCGTAGATAGATTACTATAATCTGAAAATTACTTGTCAGCAAATATCATTCTGCCCACCGTTTGTTAGCAAATGCTCACAAATTATGGACCCAGAAACACGCTTCTGCCTCTCCCAGTCTATGAGCTGGTATCTCCGGACTACCTCCAACAACGTCATCGCAGTTGCTGCTGCCGTTGCTTCCCTCATCGCCGAGTCAGACTCAGACTCAGACTCAGATGAGAGTACTGAGCCGAGACATTGCTGGCCGGCGGAATCATCTCCACAATCTCCTCAGCGTCTTCCGACCATTCGTCAACAGCGTCGGCAGATGCATCGTCCAGCGCTTGATCATGTACCGGACCTGGCGCAGTCGCCGGTTACCGAAACCGAGGATACTCACCCATGCTCAACTGCCGTGGAGCCTGAGGTGAAAGACAACACAAGAAAGCCATTGAAGCCGCTGAAACCGACCATGCTGTCTAGTAGTGCACAACCGACGTCGGCCGATGCGCCGGTGAGTCCAGCCGGTTCTGATGCTGCTGCGGCTGAAAGGGAGGCTTGCATGAGGCTTCAAGAGTAGCGCTATCAGTCTGAGGTAGTCTGATAGTCTGTCACAATCGATACCTAATGCTGTTGTTTTGATATTTGCAATGGCTCTGCGACGGAGAAGTATCTGAAGATGAGGCCTGGCACGCACGACCCAAACCTAGAGCCGTTCCTCGGCAAGCGACAGTCTTGACACCGCAAGACACAGCATTCGACAACATGGAAACTCAGCCTCCAGATATATCTTCCAGGCCCGTTATTGATAATCGTACCAAGAGCTCACTCGCTGTCCTGCGGCTATCCGGCAAACTTGCTTGATCGACGTCTGAGTCCTGGCCTCAACGCCGAGATAAGGCCCTACGATTTTCAACGACCCACAAAACTCATTAAGACGTTGCACAGAATCCGACCGCGACCGCGCCTAAACCATCTACTTCAAGACTTGTCGGAACGCCTCCATCGTTCCGTGTAGTCTCGCACCCAGCTAATGCAGAAAGCGTCGTGTTTATCTGCCGAGATAGATGGCCAATTCTGCCGAAGCCAAAGTCGTTTCCGCATTGCCAAGCAAATGATAAATCAAGTCTTCCGCTGCCACCCATGCTTCGCAACGAGTCCACCCATGCTAGCCAAGCAACTGCCCCGCAAACTCGCAAAGTGCCCAGCCAAGCAGAGCGCCGTTATACGCTGGCGGCGTTCGCTGCAGGTCCTGTATGGGCTCGGTAAGCACATGCTCGGTGGAGAGCCCTGCTTGAATGAACTCACACGCCGCGGGAGATTCGGATCTTCACGAAGTAGAGCTAGTCGATACCTGAATTAATCGTTTCTACCTCAGAACAACTGCCGAAACTTTCACCCAGAATCTTGCGCTCGCGGTGAAGACCCTCAGCTTCTTGTGAAGGCAGGCCGTTACGGACAGCCGTTCTTATATGGACTGTGCTCTTCCCCATATTCTTTACCCCAGACGTACAGAACACGCCTCTGACTCTCAGTTGAACTGTGTGGGGCCACAGCGACGGCAGAGCAATTCTACAGATTCTGATCTATCGTCATCCATCTCAGGTACTCAGAGACCATCATCAATATGTCTTATGAAGAAAAGGGCCAGTCTGTCCTCTGTATGTTCAATCTCAATGTCACACTGTTGTGTCAGCGCTGACATCGAAGCTCCAGACGAGGACAGAACCACCTCCCCCAGTGACCGTTCCACTGATGAGTTCACATGGACTGAAGAGGAGGAGACAGCTGTGCGACGCAAGCTCGACAGAGTCATCGTACCGCTGACGACCTTCCTCTACCTACTGTGTTTCCTCGATCGCACAAATATCGGAAACGCGCGCATCCAAGGCATGGCAAGGGACCTTCATCTTGTTGGCTACCGGTTCAACTGGGTGACTTCCATCTTCTACATCATCTACATGTTTGTGGAAGTCCCCAGCAACATCTTGCTGAAGAAGATCGGCCCGAAATGGTACCTGCCGTTGCTTGTTGCCGGCTTCGGTTTCGTCTCGCTCTGCACTGCTTTCGTCAACAGCTTCGAAGGTCTCCTAGCTGCGCGCGCCATACTCGGTGTCTTCGAGGGCGGTGTCATGCCTGGTCTCGCATTCTTCATTACCTGCTTTTACAAGCGCAACGAGCTCTTGTTCCGCATTGGTATCTACGTTTCTGCTGCCAGTATGGCTGGTGCTTTCGGTGGTCTGTTGGCCACAGGGTAAGTCGTCATTATCAGCTTTGCTGCAATGATCTAACAACCGTATGCAGTCTGGCTCGCATTCCTGAATGGGGTATCGCGTCCATGAGGATCCACGAGTGGCGTAACATCTTCTTCTTCGAAGGCCTCTTCACGATGATTGTTGGTTTCGCTGCACCTTTCGTGATGCCGACAGGTCCAAAGGATTGCTATTTCCTGAACGAACGCGAGCGCAGAATTGCATATGAGCGTCTGATCTCGAAGACTGGCGCTGGTGAGCACGAGAAGACCCGACCTCGCCACATAAAGCGAGCGGTACTCAACATCACCAACTACATCTGCGCTCTGGGGTTCTTCTGTATCAATATTACCGTCCAGGGTATCTCTCTATTCATGGTAAGTGCTGTGGAAACCTACGCTGCTGCAGCTGCTGATCGCTTTCTAGCCCACCATCCTCAGCGATCTTGGCTGGACTGCCACCAAGGCCCAGCTCTACTCTGTTCCTCCCTATGTATGCGCCTGTTTTGTCGCCATCGCCATCGCTTTCATCAGCGACAAGACCAACCGCCGCGGTATCTACCTTGCCATCTTCACGATCCCCGCGATTGCTGGATTCGCCATTCTGCGATGGGCCACTGACCCCAACGTCCGTTATGGAGGTATCTTCTTGATCACGATCGGCGCGTTCCCCGGAGGTCCTGGTTTCCTCGCCTGGGCAACCAACAACGCCGGCAATCCGTCTGTCCGCGCTGTCTCTACAGCATACGTTGTCACGCTCGGCACAGCTGGTGGTATCCTGTCGACATGGACATATACCGCCAAGGATGCGCCCAAGTATCCGACCGGTCACACAATCAACTTGGTCGGCCAGATCTGCGTTTTGATCCTGGCCGTTACTGGTATCTTCTATTCGAAGTGGGAGAATAAGCAAAGAGACTTGGGCCGTCGTGATCATCGTCTCAACGGCTTGAACGAGGAGGAGATTCGGGATCTTGGCTATCGTCACCCAGAGTTCCGCTACATCCACTAAGAGACGGCGGCTTGTTGGGAAAGCATGTGAGCCTGGAACGGCCACTTTAATAGTTAAGATTATTTCATTCATTCAACTCATGGATTGAATCAAATTTGGCCAGACTTCAATTCCTCACTGGTTTGTGATGTGCACTTAGGCGATGACGTGATGCCGGCCCAGGATGACATGGGAGATATCGTGAGCTCAAACATCTCAAAAGTGACCTTCATACCTTCGTCGAGCCGCTGGGTGTCATGAGTGACTTGCTAAGCCTCAGCCACAGGTGTTATTAAGTTCTTTACCGTTGCTTACGAAGCGTTGTGTTTCCGTTTGCCCCGCACTTCCTGTGCTCCGCTCCGCGCCCTACGTGTTGAGCCTCACAACCTCGAGACTATAAAATCAGCAGAAGTCCCAATAAATCCATCGTCAACTACTGACCAGTACCATCCAGTCAGTATGGCACCCCAAACACCTAAGAAAATCCTCATCTTTGGTGCGACTGGTGTAATTGGGAAGTACATTATCCAGGAGATAGTCAACGCGAAGTCATCATTCGACAAGATCGGTCTGTTCACATCACCTGAGACTGCAAAAAATAAGCCAGATGAGATCAATGGCTGGAGAGAGAAGGGCGTTAATATCAATGTGGGAGATGTGAACTCCGAGGTGGACATCAAGAAAGCGTACGAAGGTACTATCAAGATAGCCCCACGTTACACCTTAAAGCCACACTGACCATCAGCAGGATATGACACCGTCGTCTCAGCACTCGGTCGCAACGCCATCCTGACTCAGATCCCTCTTCTCAAGCTCGCCGAAGCCTCGTCTTCCATCCGGGACTTCTACCCCTCCGAGTACGGCACAGACATTGAATACGGTCCCAAATCTTCCAACGAAAAGCCTCATCAGTTGAAGCTGCAAGTACGCAAATACATCCGCGAGAACGTCAAGAAGCTCAAAATCACGTACCTCGTCACGGGACCGTACTCGGACCTGTTCATTGCGCCGAACAAGGACCCGCGCATTGGTTCATTCGATCCTAAGGGCAAGAAGGCAACACTTCTGGGCACCGGAGAGGAGAAGGTCAGTTTCACGACGATGCGCGACGTCGGTCGGTTGCTTGTTGCTGCCCTCAAGACACCATCCGATTCGTCACAAAGGATCCTGAGGGTTAATTCTTTCACGGTAACGGGCAAGGAGTCGGTTGGCGAGTTTGAGAAACAGACCGGCTCGAAGTGGGAGGTTTGGTACACCCCGTTGGAAGAATTGAGCAAGTTGGAGGAGCAGGCTTGGGAAGAGGATTGGCCTTCGAAGACACCGCTTACGCTACGACGTATCTGGACCGAGGGCGGGACGTTGTATGAGAGCAGGGATAACGGCAAAATCTACTTTGATGATGGGTTGGAGACCCTAGAGGATCAGGTTAGGAACACCATTGCAAAGCACGGCTAGCTGTTGCAGCTAGATAGTCGCATGGCAGAAAAGCATATACGTTTAACGGACCGTGACAAAATCATCTGAATCTAGCGTCCAACATACTTCAGCTCCAGCCACCTGGCAGGCGGATACACAATCATCGTCAAACCGAAAGCCACTGGTAACCCCAGATCCGCACCATTGCCAACGAGCGCCGCAATCGGTCCCGTGAAGTACGTCTGATACATACACAGCACTGCACCGACCCAGCCAACGATGAAAGCCAACAACGCAGCAAAGCCGTGCGGGAGCAGATCCTTGCGGTTCCAGATCTCCCAGTCAAAGTTGCCTTTCCGGAAAATGAACTCATCCTGGAAAGTCATCGTGATCCAGATAATCGTCCAGTAACCGATCAGACTCAGCCAGTTGATGAAAATACTGAACAGCGAGTCACGCCCAGCAATTGCGACGATGGTGAAGACGATGCAAGTAAATGTGCTCCAGATCGGGCGTGGGATCTTCGCCCATGGACCACCGAGTTGTTGCCAGTTGAGGGCAGCGGCGTAGGTTCCGGGGATATTGTTTGCGGCGATGCATACAGCGAGGATGACACAGCAGAACTTGCCGAAGGTGTTGAGTGGGCCGAAGGCCTCGACGACCAAAGCACCAATGCCGTGGTTGTCGAACGCCTGCTCCCAAGTGGGGTTGAGGAGTAAACCAGAGCCGAGGCCGATACCTAGAAATTCAATGAGCAGCTTGCCGGTGGTGATACCACATGTTGTTGCTGCGAAAGTTCCCCATCGGTTTGTGGTCTTTGGGTAGTAAACGACGTAATCGGCGGACGCGGAGGACCAGCTGAGCGGCCCGGATGCGACAAGGAAGAAGTAGGAGAGGCGATTGCCGTGGAGGGCTGCGCCAGTACCTCGGGAGACTGTGTGGGTGTCGAAGTGCGGGCCAGCGACACCGATCAGCACGAAAAGGACCAGGACGGTGGGCGCCCAGACAAACTGCTCGAACTTGTAGAACCATCTAGATTCTGCGTCAGACATGTTATTGACGACCACCAAGCTCAACTTACTTGATACCGAAAGTGACCACAACCCATGTGATGAGTGCGACGATGATAATGCCAACAATGACGGACATACCGCCGCCGTTGACAGCGGACAATAGTAAGCCACCGACCAGACAGTCAATGAGTCCATAGCCAATCTCTATAGCTAAGTTGAGAATGACGCAAAGCTTTGCTGGCCACCAGCCCATTGTGTACTTGGCAACGTTGAGTGTACGGAGACCTGACCGAGGACCGAACGTGGATATGTAGCCGGTGCAGACTGAGCCAAAGATCGTTCCAAACATGCAAATAAGGATCGAGTCTGTCAAGCCCAGGCCATAGGTGACGGGACCAAGCACGCCCAGAGTCAGTTGGTTGGCTGTGCAATTCATCGAGAACCAGCTGTCATGCTGTCAGTATGAGACTTGCCTGCCAGCTTCGAGTCACTGACATCGTGTACATGTGGATATAGTCTTTCAATGCCATGTCTCTTTCACGCAACTCCTCTGGAATCCTCTCGATTCCTCTTGCCTCGACACCACACACGGCATCTAGCTTGTTGCAGAAGCGCTGGAGACCATTTACTGACTGGCTGATGCCGAGTTCGACGGTGGATGGTGACCGATGCGTCGATACATCGGCTTTCTCAAGGTCGGCCATCTTCTCTGACATGGCGAAGTCCGCAGTCTTATTCTCAGCCATGAGCTTCCAATCGAAATTATGTCCCGATTCGTGTCTGAGATGACTCGAGATGCTTATGTGATGGGTTCGAGGTCGCAGTTGAACGACTACCTCTTGAAAGGAGGATCCGGAAGCCTAGGGTCGGTGAACATGTCGAGTGCGACGTTATGTATCAGACTGACACCTTCTCCACACACGTGTGCGTGTCCATGCGCAGCTTCCGGCTTGCATTCCCAAGGCATAGTCTCACGAGAGTGGGACAAGCCAATCCGTTTCAGGCTTACGCCTATCTCGTAGAGCGTATCCTATCTCCCCTATCTGTAATGGCGCTATTTACTCCGGAATCCACAGGGTTGAATCACCGGGTTCCTGACAAGCGAAAGATAATCGTGGAGCGTCTGATACTTGTGCAAAGTTGTGGAGGCGGCTCTGAGTGCACAGCGGGCCGTTTGTGTCCATTGGCCAATCAGAGTGCGGTTTTGGTGCCGCCCACTCTTGAGGGTGAATGCTCCCACTTTCGAGCTCAACGTTAGACTGGCTAGGAACGTGACCCCTTGAAATGTATGCTGGGTTTATATGACCTTTCATAGAGGTATGAATGCAATCATTGCATATCGTGCCCTAAATGCCACCTCGTCGACGCTGCCAAGCAGGCTCGATCAAAATGCAGCGTGTTTTGGTGAGTGACTGTGCACAATACTCTGCCTGCCTCGGAATTGAACATGGTGAACTGATTTGTGCCCGGATTCGTGCTTCTTTCAAGAGGTGCAAGATCCGTGTTCTGCCATGCGAGAGGAAAAGAGGGTGGGAACGATCTGGACCAAGGTTTCGTAGCACCACTAGGTACAGACAGCCACACCGAATTAGATCCGCCGTGAGGTCTCAAATATATCGAACATGTATTATGCCGTGCAAAGAAAGAAGAAGCGTCATTTTCGAGATTGTGGTGCGTCAGTCAGATCTCTTGAGATATTTAGAATGCGGTATGACACCGTGGCTATTTCGTCTGAGAGCACCGCGGGTCCAGTCTTTGGATCAATCTTCTCCGTATTGGAATGTACGCGTACCGGAGGCAAGGAAGCTGGTCTGCAGAGTCGCCGCCATGCACCAATTGAAACACAGAACGGACTAGAGCACTGACACGCCGGATCCTTTGACTGCAATAGTCAGAGCGTCGAAATGCAGGCGACGCCGAGTTCATCCATCCCACTCCTTGTCATGGCACTTCTCTACTGCGCGAAGCTCGGTTGTTGCCTGTGCAGCTGTCGATTGAAAAAAACTGGGCTACTCTTTTCACCGAGCGAGACGCAGACGTTACATTGCAGAATGGAAGTTGAGGACAGGAGTTCCATCGAAAAGCGGCACGCTCGCTGCTGAGAACCCGTTCTTGCTTCCGAGCGATGACTGGACCTTACGACAGCTTTACCGTAATTTCTGTCAGAAGATGAAATTTGACCAGAGAACACTATAGTGCAGTAACCAATCTTTGGGATGACGCTGTGGTATTGGTCAGCGCACTAAAGATTATCAGCCTGTGGTGAATGGTCTATGCTCGAGCCTTGCCACTCAGCTTGACTGCTCGAACTCCACAACCAGCTTCGTCGCACTCACATCTTGTTCCAATAGGCCGGGTGTCTTTTGGATTACTTCCAGGCCCTTGCCAACGATGGTAGGTGGCGGCAAGCATTTGAGTTTGCCAAACTTCAAGGCAGCCCCGACGTATGTTCGCCACACGGAATCCGTAATCTCGTTGACACCGCCAGATCGCACCATGCCAATCTCCACGTTGTCCGGCACCATATTTTCACCCATGTGGGGACGATTAAGCGCGAGGTGATCTCTACCGAGGTTTTCAAGTATTTTCAGATCGATTGTGATAGTCTCGGGGATCGAGATGGCTTCCACTATACCGACGAGCTCGCCCCCCAAATCACGTACCGCTTCGACTAGCTTGACCAAGGGTGAGTCTTTGTGATCGAAGCACTCGGCTGCTCCACTTTCCTTCGACATACCAGAGTTCCTCGCGCCAACGATGGTGATGACGTGAAGTCCAGACGTTTCAGCGAGCTGAGTGGTGACAGAACTGACAGAGGAAGAGCCGCCGTAGACAACGATTGTCTTTCCTGCCGAATATTTCACCGCATCCTTCAAGAAGGGATAAGAGAATGTTAGTACTGGGTATAAATGGCTTGCAGGAAGTGGGAAGTGGGTTGCGGCGGTCAAAGTGCAGAGCACACATGACCGTCTCAAGTGCAAGCGGGAGCACGATGTCTTCGGTAAACGGAATAGAGAGAGGGAGCTGAGCCGCCTTATATATTGAAACGACGATATACAGCTGGAAAGCGCCAAATTGGGGGCGACCGCTCTACAGGGTGATGGCATGGCTGTCAGATCGCGCGTCAGTCTAGGTATTTTCGGCTTCGACAGCGACCAATCTACCCAATGACACGATCGCCAGTCTTAAAGCGATCAACGCCCGTGCCTACGTCGCAGCCGACCAGAGCAGGCCAGTGCTTAATAAAATGCCGCTGTCTGTCATGTGCCAGTCAACAGGGTTGATAGCAATGGCAGCATTGCGGACCTCGATCTCTCCGGGTCCGGGTTCTGGGAAGGGAGCATCTCGAACCACCAGTGGTGCCCCAGGCTCGTCGAGATAGGCGGTTCTGTTCTGCAGGACTGAGTCCATGGTTCAGCCTGAATGATCAAAGCTGCTTGAAAGGATTCGTGTTGTTCTGATTGCTAAAGATGGCGAGTATAGTGACTGGAGTTGGGCTCAACTTATGTGCAGTACGGGAGGTAGTCGATGCTCAGGTGGAGGATAGGAGGGTTGGAAAGCAAGTTAGATCAGAGGCGAAACTAAATCACATAATTCAGGAACAGAAGGTGTGGTTCCTGTGGCTTTCGCGATCGCAGGTGCTCGTTTCGCAGCCACATATGTGTGATACCTGCCTACTCTAGCTACACATAGAGAAGTTGTGAGCCAAGATGTTCCAAGCTATTTCATTTCAGCTGCGATGCTGCATTCACCGCGTGGCAGGTGTTCTCGTGGTGAGGAGGTGGTAAGCAACGTGGATAAGAACGGCAGGTTTGGTTCTCTTGGTCTGTGCGCGCGCCTCGCGCCCCTTGATCGCGACCACACGCGTCCCCCACCCTATCACCCAGGAGGTATTCAGCGTTTTCCTTCCATCTACTCCTCTTCATAACAGTGACCACCACACTTATTCACTCTCAAGCACGCTGCCTTTACGACTTGGTCCCAACGATCTGCTGGGGTACGACGGCCAGCTACGGTATGATCATCTGCCACGAATGGAAGTACGCCAGTCAAAAGAGCGCTTTTCGTCCCGGCATAGGAGAAAATTTCAGATGCCAGTTGTAGGATGATAGTTCGAGGACGTGATAGCGACAAGAAGGAATCAAGGGTGCTCATGCGTGGATCACTAAGCAACAGCAGCATAACAAGACAGCAGAGCCTCTGCCCGTTCGTGTCTTGCATTTCAGATAGCTCTAAATTGTTGGATTCACAGTACTTCTTACCGCTACTAAGGCCCTAGTCGCGCCTCGCAGCCAAGCCAAAGTTCTGGAGCGGAATACTGCATACCTACTGTAGGAATCTTCTCTACGCAGGAAAGAGAAATCGATTGGCCATCGTAGGTGATGGGTAGGTCCGTACCTTGCCAGAAGCAGTGCTCATATCCTAAGGTCATTAAAAGGCTTTCACAGAGCAGCAGAGGCTGCAAGGAAGGTACAACACACCATAGGTAGGTACTACCGCTTGACAAGAAGAAGAGAAGAGACCGTCCGCCCCTTACTTACATGTCTGATCCGCGTGAAACACTCGTAACATGTCCATTCTTCATTTCGCACATTCCATCAGGAGATTGTACAACGGAGAGATGGACTTTCTGAATCGGGGATTTTGCGTATATGCAGTTCTGCGTAACAATCAACATGAAATGTGTCATCCTTTCCTGAGCAATAACACTTCCATTTAATGCATGTTAATCAACTGTGACACCAGCCATATCAACTCCACAGCGCTCTACTGTCTCCACAGTACACTCCTCTCATCCTTTGCATTGACCCAGACGTACTCAGTACACCTGGGGTTGCTCTTGGCATTGCCCAGCGTGACAGCGAACAGGTTGATCTCGATCCAAGCAGGTCTCATGCCCATCCTCTCGAGCCTCTCCCACCACTTCCTGAACCTCTCAAAGTCGACCTTCTCGTCGGCAGAATCCCCGTTGCCTAGATGCAGCTCAATCATAACCTGGCCAATAGGGAGTACGCTCTTGCCGCTCGCACTTTGGACGCCATCAAATGCATCCATGAATGTGTCGAGTGCATCGTACTCGCTGCCCTCGATGTCGATCTTCAAGATATCAATGTATGTATGGTTGTTCTCCTTCATCAGCGCCGGCAGTGTCCAGAACGCAGGCGACGCCTTGTGCTTGTCGTCCTTGCCGAGGCCAACCTTCTTGAAGAAGGTGCGGTGTCGTTCGGTCGTTGGGATCTGCTTTCCCCATCCGTCGACGGAGAAGTCGTAGCCCCAGATACGTGCGCTGGGAACACGCTCGAGCATCTCAGCTTCAAACGATGACTCGCCATTGATTCCGAAGCTGTACACGACAATACCAGACTCGGCGGCTGCGATGGCTGGTTCGCGAACCTCGACGGCCTCGGCGCTAACAGGCTTTGGCTCGGGTAGGCTCTCGTAGATACTCATCCCGCAAACCCATTTGCCTCCATCACCGAGGCGGCCGACCCGCTGGAAGTCATGCGGGCAGGTCCAGGTCGCTGGGAAGAAATCCCAAATAGTGAAAGGGAACAACGGGAAAGTTAGTTTAGTTATGTTGAGCCTGCTAATCGACGACGTACCTTCAAGAAGTCGGTAGGAAAGAAAGGAATCTTAGGGTTCGCTGGATGCGATTGCGCCATTTTCTCGCGCAGCTCTACGCTCTTCATCCATGATTTTTCCGAGAGGGCCATGCGTTCGCGCAGCCATGTTGGTGGGTATGAGGGCAGCTTCGATGACCGAGATAGAGAGGGTAGGAAGGCGTATGTTCCTGCGTCATTGTTTTGAAAAAGTGCTACAATGAAGAGAAAAACTATCGCTATCGCGGCGAATCGACCTAAGGACACTGTTAGCTGTTAGGCCTGCCTGTTGCGACAAGGCCGACTGACCTGTCGATGACCGGATCATGATAACGATGTGGAAGGAATGGTGGTTTAAAGCAGAGTTCTCAAAGCAAGGAGAACAAAGCAGGGTCGTGAATGTGTAGGCTCAGGTGTTGAACGGGCCTACTAACGAAAGTTGAGGAGTGAATGACACAGCAAGTGAAGCAGCTCCGTTCAGGTCATTCTGTCAACGGGCTCGGGCAAACACCACCTTCTGCCAAGTGCAGAAGACAGCGGGATATATGGGCGGCACCTGTGCGTGAGACTCGAAAGGTATCACCAAGTCGCTTTGACATGCTTCGCCGTCACCGTCAGCATTCCGTACGATGCGGTATGAAGATCAGTCGCACCGATTAGGCAGGTGTAACATATGCCGAGGAATCATGCCCTCCAGTATGCGAGGATGAACGTTGGTGTTAGTTCCAGGCCGTGGCCCATAGTGGTCATGCTCGGTTTCCGAACAGCGGGGAAGAGTGGGCCGTTGGACCCCACAGCCGTGTTTCACCCAACGGGATCAGCAGGGTATTGCGTGGCTCGCGAAACTCTCCTGGGAGGCGATCTCACTAATTTGACGTCACGGGTAAATACGAGGTGGTGGGAGGTAGGTCCGAACATGGTCATTCGATAGTCTATTTGCGGCAGTTCATTGTGAGGCTTATCATTACACTTCAGGCTAGGATCTTGTGCACTACAAGCGCAGCCACCAACAACAGCCCACTGCATGTGGTAAACACTGCATCACGGTGTGATTCGCCTGTGGAGATTAGCCGTGTTTCGATGTCTGGGCAGAGTATTGGCTTACCTTCTTTGGTCGTGCTCAAGGCGAGCACAACAAAAGCATTCAAGGGAACGCGCAGTACCGTGTATACGCTCGCACGTGAGGTGTCGTCTATGAGTTTGCCCTTGATCGATGCCATGACAGGGTAGTAGACGCCGCAGCAGAGTTCAAAGACACAGAAACACCACAGTGTCACGCGCTCGTCCCGGAAATGACCTGGAATGAAGAAGCATGCTGATGCAACCGCTAGGGTGCCCATCAGGACCTTCTTCGCCGGAAACTTCGAAGATATGGTCGTGATGTTGTTATACAGCATGGATCCGAGCATCATAGAGCACATGAGGATGGCAAAAATCAGCCCGAAGGGTAGATCTAAGAGCAAGTCAGTCAAGGACTGGTTATTACGGGTCGGATATCAAACCATCTTTCGCATCTGCAAGCTTGTGTGACAGCTTCAAAGCTGGGAACTTGAAGAAGATGAACAGGAACAAGGAGCCTTCAAAAAAGCACGACACCAGTGCTAGGACGAGGATGTTTGTATCTGTCATGTGTTAGTAAATATTCGGTTCAGACGATAGACATCAGTCAATACCCCTGAAGATGTATCTCAAGGTCGATTTGGTAGTGCTCATAGCCGAGTTCTCTGCTTCTTCTTGCTGGAGCAGCGCCGCATCTTCTGATGTATTACGGTGGCTCGCGCCGTAGTTCTCGCCCTGTGAACATCAGCTTTGCTTTGTCGCGCAGACCGAGCAACCGACTCACCCAGAACTTTGAGATTGCAACAAAGGCTAAAGAGAGGCATCCAATGGAAGCCATGAAGGGCGCTTTAGCAGTTCCCACCACACGAACCAGCCCCTCAGCCAGAATGCCAGCAAAAATTGCGACGAGGCTGTTAAGAATCGTCATGGCGCTGAATATGCCGCCGAGTACTGAGCTTGTGTCGTCCAGTATGAGTTGATTGAATTCTGCGACCAGCCAGCTTTCGAAGACGCTCCAAAGTAGGGTTCCGCAGACTCCTCCGAGCACGCGACCCAAGAACAGAATACGAATGTCGTCGGCGAGTAGAGTGAAGCTAGAGAACGAATATAGCACGCAGTACGCCAGACATGCTCTTCGGCGGCCGTATCGATCAGCGAATGTACCTGCAAACGACGCTGAGATACCCGCGGAGACGAATCCAATGAGGAACAGGAATGCGACTGTCTCTTCTGGGAGACCCTTCTCGTCTTAGAAGAGTGAGCAGCTTTTCAAGTTGACGGTTGCTCCCCTAACGTACCTTTGTAAATTGGGTAGATGTAAGGTCCTTGGAGCCAATCCGCAGCGTTGACTAACAAGTAAATTGGAAGGAAGCGCCATTTCAGTTTGCGCAGGCCCTCTCTATCCGACTCTTCCCGACCTCGATGCTCGACTTTTTCTGGACTGGTAGTTTCAATATCTCCAGTTCGGCGCGATCGGTACGTTTGTAGGAGTACTAGACTATTCAACAGTAGCGAGCCGGCGAAGGTAGCTCGGTAGAGGTCCATGTTGTGTTTTGAAGATACTGATGTGTTTCCGAAAGTGTTCAGTGTTTGTGATGATTGCAATCTTGTCGGTACAGAGCTTGCTGGTCAACTCTAGGGATGGGCAAGTAGATGGTTCAATCAAGCTCGGCGCTCGACGATGACGGACCTAACGGACTACAGGGGGCATTGAAGCTCGAGGCAGACGCAGGTACGGGCTCGGATGTGAATTATGATGTGAGCATGTAACGAACTTCGGAATGACAATGCATGCCAGCATCACACCTGATACGGAGCCCGCCCAGCAGTCACCGACGATGACAACTTGGCTGCTTGCACGTAATCAGAACGGCACAAGTTACGTTTCCGAAATGTGGAGCGCATCTCGGACAATGCAATCGGCCTTATTCTTCGCAACCGCAGCCGAGCGCTGATCGCTTGGAGCTGCCCAGTCAAACGTCGCATTGGCCAGATGCATCAACTTTCGTGTAAGGGCCGCCATGGCGTTCGGTCTCTAGGTAGCTACACAAGGTTCATTGGCTCGGCAGGAGTAAAGTAGGGTTGTACTTCGTTTGGGTTGGACGCCTCAGTGGCCTGATGAAGCGTGTCCCGTCGCGTTGACATGATGACGTAATAATTGAATACTGTCTCTCGTCAACTGCGACATCTTACCCGGTGGTATGTGCCTCATATGCATACCCCTCTTTCTTCAACTCAAAGGTCTTTTGACTTACAGCTGAACGTTATGACCAGGTGTCTGATCTGGTAGACCATGCAGCCACAAAGGCCCGTTGTGCGCGCGCTCACCACGCCAACGCTTGGAAGAGTCGAGCTTACACGAAGCCTTGAAACTCACAACCGACCACGAGAGGATAGACAAATACTGCCGTACCAGTTTGTGGTTCAGCCCACGGATCTTTTTGAGCTACACATTATTACAACAGTGCTTTCCGTATACGTACGCCGGTTTCCTTGCCTGATCCAGCTCGAACAGACCCAGTTTCAGATGACCGTCGAATTGCTGCATCAACTCATCACTGGATGTTTGTCGTGGCAAGTCTCTATTATATAGGTATAGACACCGGAGTATCACGTTCTGTCAAACGCTACTCTGCGGCTGGACTTTACGCAACCTTCGAGATCTTGAACCCGCCTGGCACATTCTTCTGGAAGATCTGCTTCGGATCATATTTCTTCGCAGCCGCCTTCATTTTCTTCACATTCTCCGCCCCGTAGCCTGTAAGAGGATCCTGAGTGTTGTCTGCATAGTCGAGGTACAGGTAAGGGTTGTCGGCGCCGATGCTGACAGCGTAGGCACGAATCCTGTTGACAAGGTCTGCACCAGCTTGCTGGAACAGCGCATCTTGTTCAGCACCCTGCCAGGAGATGTAAGGCTGGTATACTGCAACACGGTCAGTACTAGTCATTTTTCCTAGCAAGAACGATCACTCACAGCACAAAGTCTGACCGTTGAAGCGCTCTAGACCCAGAACGTTGCCACCCCTTGCGGCACTATCCTTCCAGTACGCAGGTGGGAGGGGCTGGTACAGGACATATATCTGCCAGTCACCAGTCGCCCTTGCCTTGAGATTGGCCAATACATCTTTGTAGATCTCATGGGCCTCAGTCATAACCCGCAGATCGTTGGCAAAGGTGAGGGTTCCGAAGTACACGCTCGAGGTAGTAGAGCCTTCAAGGGCAGCTGCGAGGTCGGACATGTTCGTCACCGCGGTGCTGTCCGAGACGTTGCCAGGTATCGCAAGGAACTCGTCGAAAGCCGCAGGACGAACGACAGGCTCAGCATGATCGTACGCATTCAAAATTAAGTCAGCGCCCACACTTGACTGATAGACGGGCATCACAATGGCGGACGACTTTACGTTCTTGTCGACATTGTTGGAGAACTTGATGAGCGCCTTGAACTGGTCCTGAATGGTGGTCTCAGGGTAGACGACAAGGCCACCCCACATACCATCGTACTTGAAGGTCCGGAATTTGATCTGGGTGACGATACCGAAGTTGTTGTTCCCGCCCTTCAACACCGTGAAAAGGTCTGGATTTTGCGTCTTGCTTGCCGTGACGACACGACTATCCGCAAGCACGACTTCGAACTCAAGAACGTTGTCGCAGATCAGACCGTGCTCGGGAGAAAAGTACGAAATACTGTTGGCTGTCAGCGAATTCGAACGCACATCTTGGAACGACTCTATTGACGCACCCGCCCCCGAGAGTCAAACCGCCGACACCAACAGTCGACGATCGGCCGCCCGTTGTAATAACACCGAGAGGCTCGAGCGTTGTGAATACGTCATTCCATCTGGCACCAGGGCCGACCTTCACGAGGCTGTTTTTTGAATCGTACTGGACGGCGCTGATGTATTGTAGATCGATGGTCACGCCGTCCTCAATGTTGGATGCACCAGCATACGGAGTGTGACCACCACTGCGAATGGCAAACTTGCAGGACTTTGCGGACGATACAGCGGTTAGAGTCTTGATCGTGAGAGCAACCTCTTTTGTATTTTTTGGTTGGACGATGCAACTCGGTGTTAGGGATTGCTGCTTGACATCAAAGTAAGAGTCGAGCCGTGACTCGAACGCGGTTTGGCCCGGATAGAGGAGACGCGCCTTCAACGAGCTGCCTGCCAGAGCAGTACACTGTACACCGTCAGTTACCAATCAGCGGGAATGGAGTATGAAGTTCGACTTACGCACAGGTCAGTCTCGTTCTGGGCAACCGCCAATGGCGTAAGAGCTGCAGCAAGCAGCGTAACTTTCAGACCAAACATCTGAAACGTTCAGGATCGACTGTAGTCTCACGAGAAACGATGGGCGATAGACAAGCAATATAAACACGGGGAAGCCTCTCCCTATTATAAAGGACCTTCATCGAGACCGCAGCTGCGCCGACGGCAACATGCTACCGAGGAGGCATAGCAGGCACTCTTCAAGATTGGCCTGAATACGCGCGTTATCAAACTGTCGGAGCTTTGACTGTTTTCCTGCCAGCTTTCCTCCTTCAAGATGCGAAGAAATTGTACGAGCGGATGGACCCCGCCGCCACGCGCACTTAGCGCTGCAAAGATCGTAAATGCTTCCTGCGGCAACGCTCGCTTTACTTGCATTGGTACAAGTCGATTAACGCGCACCGTCCCGTGTATAGTCAGCAGACCATGCGGGTCCCTGCCCATCTACGCGGCCCAGATACCTTTGAGATTAATAATGCCCAGAGTCGAACGGCTGGGGGAATCAATCACAGTCGCGGGCTACACATCAGGAATGCAGGCTTCGGATTCGGTGGTGAGGCGCATGGTCCACTTTCGACACTCTAAGAAGCAATGCTGCCGGGCCGCGCCAAGAATATCGCAACTAGCATACCTTGAGCATTTCCGACAACAATGTCGAATTAGAAGTCAAAGTTGGTCGAAGAGTGTAAAAAAGCGCACCTGCATACATACCGTTCCAAGCTATCAGGGGCTGTGGCGAGTAGACGAGCAACTTAGGCGTGCTGACGGCCCGTCACGATGAAATGAACCATAATGACGGCTCAAGAGGCTAAGGGCACAATTTTGTCCCTCTAGGCAGGAGCTCGAAGTTTCAGGACCGTCGAAGATGTGTCCCGTATATCGATCCAACTGGTGACCTTAAAGTGATATGGTAGACAAACTCCCGACTGCGTTTTGCGGTTGATTTAAGAGAATCCCACGCGTCGAGCGCATTGCTTCTCTGTCCAGACACCATGGACATGAACCAGCCTTTCTTTCCAGCTCCAGCTGACTACATCATCGATCTGACCAATCCCCGGCGGGTGGGTCAGGCCGCGAACTTCTATGTCGGCCTCATCGGCATGATCTTGGCGACATTATTCCTGGTAATCAGAATCTACACCAAAGTCGTTCTAGCGAGACAATTTTCTGCAGATGATGGTATGTCGTGCATTCTTGAATGGGATGGACCGTGATTTGATACGTTCACAGGCGCTCTCCTTCTAGCATGGGTAAGCCAAGTTGCGCTCGCAGCATAACCCTCTAGAAACCCGTTTCTGACCCGATCTTGATTCTTAGGCATTCTCTGTCACTATACAGACCATTATACTCTGTGAGTTGACGCAAATGATCACCTTGAAGCCAACGAAGCTGACCCATCGTGCAGATCAATATGGTCGAGGAACGCTCGGTATCCACATATGGGAGATCCCAGCCCACAGCATCAATTCAACGTTCAATGTGAGTCGCTCGAGTGGTAGATTATAGCTCCTGGTAACTGGTTTTAGCTTGTCAGCGTTTGTAGTATTCTGTATTGCCCCTTCCTTGCCGCCGCCAAGTTCTCGCTCCTCTTCTTCTACCTCAGGCTCTCGCACTTACGATGGTTCCGGATTGCCGTCTACACCAGCATGTTTCTCGTGGTCGGCTACAATATCGCTCTGGTATTCCCTCTGATCTTCACCTGTACGCCAGTGATGAAGAACTTTGACATCTTCATCACAGATGGATCTTGCCTGAACAGGACCCCACTTTACATGGCAACAGCCGTCCTCAACATGGCTACCGACATCATGCTGCTGCTCCTTCCGATTCCGATGATCATTAAGCTGCAAATGTCCAGAGTGCAGAAAGCAGGGCTGATCTGCATATTTGGCGTCGGTTCCGCAACATGCGTCACCAGTGGTGTGCGTCTCTTCCTCCTCTTCCCCATGCTCAAGACCATTGACCTAACATGGGCAATCGTCACACCCGGTATCTGGATCCTTATCGAAGCTAACTTGGTCATCATCACCGGCACCCTCCCCACCATGCGGCTTTTCTTTCGCCACGTTGCGCCCCGCTTCATCGGCGAATCCAGCATGCGAGGTCGTAGCGCTAAGTCCGGTGCCAGCGGCTACGGCACTGGTTATGGAGATGGACATGCAGGCGGCTCGAAACACGTCGAAAGCGAGCTCAAGACTATCAGCTCCAAGCCGACCCGCAGCAGATACAACCGCATGGGCGACGACGAAGTGAGCGTCGGTAGCGACGAGATTGCGTGTTGGCGCGCAGACGCAGGGAGTGACAAAGGCATCATTTCAACACCGGTACCAGCAGAGCTGAATAGAAAGCCGAGCAAGAGTGGGATCATAAAGACGCAGACTACGACTATCACCTCTGAGCTGGTCCCACAAGCAGATGAGCGGCGGTCGAGTTGGGCACCTGGGTTTTGATTGCGGCTGTTGCGGTAGAGGTGCGCGTAGTCAGTAGGCCCGATGAGCCGCGTACCTTACCTTGCACGTGTATCGATCGGTACACCTGCAGGGCGATGAAGAAAATCCATCAGCACCTTATCTCTGTGTGACACTCTGCGATCGGTTTCTCGGGTCCCTTTCCAAAATCCTCTTCTCAGCGAACTCCAGCCGCACAAAGTGACGGTCTTTTAAGACAGCATCCTTAGACCATCACGTCTTCTATTTCGCCATCATCAAGTCGACGTAAGACGAGGAACGTCCCGCGTCTCCACTCGCAGCCGTGAAGCGGGCAGGGCGCCGCATATGGCAAAATCCCGTTCCCGCAGGGTCCCATCAATCCCGGGATCCACTTCCTTCTGACATGACTAGAACCCTTCATCCTACGCAATCCTCTAATCCTTCATCCTTCGCAATCCTCTAATCCTTCATCCTACGCAATCCTGTGATCCTTCATCCTTCGCAATCATGCATGCGGAGGTTGGCTCCGAAAGATTGAACGTGGGAAGATGGGAAGGGCGAGAAGAACGAAGGCGAGGAGATTCGGTCGTGTCCTCACCATCGAGGCTTTTGGCTCATAGACGTGTCAGGCAGGTCAGGTATTGAATAGACAATGGGTCTGAGAAGGTGAGGGGCATTATATTCACCATTACAGCACTACGGTGTTACATCGGTTGGCTACGCTCATGGAGACAAGGATTATAGACGCAGTTTTCGCTTTGGACTCCATCCAACTAGAACGCCGCGTCGTTTCGAGGTACTTGCCGCTGCAACGGGACTTCTTGCTGTTTTCTCGATCATGCGCGTGCATTTGCGACTACAATAGGTAACTCAAGGCTCAGTCGAGGTGCTTGTGGTATAATGATTATGAAAATCTCAGCGTTCGTTTGCATAATTTAGTTCATGGATTTGCTCTTTCTGTATCTGCCGGCCAAAGAGAGCTAGTCATTTCTCAAAGCCAAGGTCAACAAACAATGTCCTGTTGCTATGAATGATCCGTCAACGTAGACGTTCTACACGTCTTGTGATCAAGGCCGGGATGTTGTAGAGAAATGTATCGACGGGAAGAAGAGGACGTCCATGGTACATCAGCTGGCGTTCCGTGTTCACAGGGCCACGCGGTTTGCCTTGTAAGGTGCCTTCAGAGCTTCACTAGAGCTTCTCAACTTCCATGTATCGCTCGTAGCCAGAAGTAGATCCAGCGACGAGTATGTCAAACTCCTTCTTGGTAGCGCGCATACCAACCTTGTAGGGCCAGGGCTCGACGATGGTGTGCTTGTCCTTGATCTTCAAACCGTTCGCGCGAGCCCCTTCAGCGATGAGCTCATCCCTCAAGAAGGTCTCAAAGACTCCACTATAGTCTGTCAAGGCGTCAAGACACGACGTGCGACGAATCAGGTCAGGGTCGCCATAGCTTGTTGGTGGGGTGTACTTGTGTATCGGGAGATACTTCCGCGTGCGATTCATGGCCATGCTCATGCGCAGCTGCTTGCTCACGGTGTCGCTGCTGGTGTGGTCAATCTCTTTGACGGCATTGAGGAACAGCATCAGCATTGAGGCCTTGGAGTTTGCGCTCTTGTCCTTCAGAAGTGGAGAGAATGCCATGAAGCAAGCTTGAGGGCCGATGTAGCCGCGGTCGCAGATGTTGGAGATCTGTGAGCATTAGTTGATAGTTCTGAATGCTACAGAGATCAACGTACCTCGATGCGGTCGAAGCGCCTCGTACCCGTGTGGTTGCCGATATTCACGGCATTGATGCAGAAGAGTTCAAAAGAAATCTTGACCTTGTGGACGCGCTCGCAGAATCTGAGGAGCAGATCACGGAGCATGAAGAACAGGGCGCCATATGTATCAGCCTTGGCAATCGGTGCATGCTTTGTGTACTCAGCGCAATCCCAGCCCTCCCTCGGACACGCGCTATCCATCATGGGCCAGTCCTTCTCCTGGAAGAAGGTCCTATGTTTTGTCAGTCGTCGGAGTCTTCGCCGTTAGAGAAGGAGCTTACGGGTTGGGTGTGTCAAAATCAGGTCCTTGAGAGCAACCGTATGGCAGCAGAATACCTGTCATACGAAACCGCTCCTCACATTGACGAAGGGTAGGGGTCCAGTTCAGCATGGCGCGATCGCGGTAGTCCACCCTGGAAGGGGCCAGAGTGACTTCGCGACGGAGGCTATCGGCATCACCTGCGCTGAGACCTTCTGGAACATCGAAATAAGTACCCAGGCGCAACCACTCTTGCTTTTTCAGCACAAGGCGTAAAGTGCGGCCGCGGATGGTGAACGTCTTTGCTTGCAGAGCGTCCGATGCCTTACTCGCAATCTTACCGCAAACATCCTCAATCAAAGGAAGAACGTTAGCCTGGAGAGACTGCACCATCATGGCTGGCAGCAGAGCTGAGTACCAAAAGTGGATGATCATAGGAACGGCCTCTTCTGGCTCGTAGTGGAGAGCGATAAGCAACATGATGGCGTTCCTGGCAACGATGTCGAAGTCCATGTCGTTGACGGTGACATGACACCTACTCTTGCAGCCGATTGGCAGGCCAGCAACGGTCTTGAAGATGTTTCGAGGGTCTCCAGACGCTGCAAAAAGAAGTGCAAGATCACGATTGAGGTCAGTGTCGCCTTCGTTGTCCTTGAGGTTGAGGATGTCGAGAGCAGGCATGTTGCCCCAGAGGTACTTCTTCGTTCCGAACATGGCAAGTGGTGTTCTGTCACTGATGAATACCGGTATTCGGTGGTTTCGATGCCATTCTGGCTTCCAAGACGTCTTCATGAGTTCAGACTTGCAGGTGACCTTGTGGAGTGGCCAGTGCTTCTTCTGACACTCCTTAGAGCAGTACTGTTCTGGTCAGCAGGATCGAAACAGAATAGTCTGGTGATGTACCTGTACGATCTGACAACCACTGCAAGCATTAACGGCATTGTTCGCGCAAAGTTCGATTGCGCCGCCTTGGCCGCATGGGTTCGCGCAAAGCGCTGGGTCAAGGTAGGCGGACATAGCACCGATGGAAGGCGCCATATTGCCATACGAGGTAGGCGTAGATGAAGAAGGCGAGCTTCAAGTAAGTTTGCGGCAACAAACGGTGGGCGCCAAGAAACAAGCGACGTGTAGGTGAAGGACAGCTTAGCAGACCATAATGGAAAACATCGAGACGAGAGCCAAACCTACTATGAATGACAATCTGTTCGCATGGAGAGCATCGTAGCCCGCCGGACTGCTCTGCTAGGTGCCACTTGGCGATTGACCGTGCTCTTGTTGTTTTGGACTGTTCTGTACTTTTAGTCGGACAAGACTCTGTGAGATGGAGAAGGCATGAGCCGTGCTCGTTATGCATTGCTTTACCCGTGGAATCTATGTCGCAAGAAGGCAAAAGTTTCTACCGCCATCTCCCTCGGGGCCTCTGCCTCGTTCTTTCTGCTTTTGGAGCACTCGTGTCTTCCCCCATACCGGCAACCACACCAAGCATCTTGGACGGCTCCTCGCGACGCATACGATGCTCCGAGACGAGGATCTTATTGAAATCAAGTCACTGCTGAACGCTCCAGGTACGCTGGGGCGCATGATGTCGTTGATGTAGCTCAGATCGGAGGAAGCCAAGGGGGCCATGCCTTCAGACGCATGGCCATTTGTCATCGCTGCTGCTGTCAGAGGGTATAAGCAACATCACTTTGTGTTTTCTATCATGACGGCTTGCTTGCTCTATACACGGTATGCAGCATGTGACGGGATCATGCCTCGCAGCAAGCATCCGTAATCCATAAGCACGCAAAGTCGCCGTCTGGCATGGCTGTCACGAGCGCGACGTTCCTTGCGTCCTCATATTCGTCCAATTATTTGACCGTCTCAATGCACCCTCGGACGCAATCGCTGGTGATGGCATCGAGGAGGGATTGTGGTGTTGTGTGGGGAAAGTGCAGGGGCAGGTTCGACGGGGTGCAACAATTCGATGGCTGCGTCATCAAGCTTGTTCCACATCCGCGGCGTTGCCATGATTCTCCCACGGCGACAGCGCCGCTCCACTGACACCTCATGAGAGAGACAAACCACGTCCTCGATGTCCGAGTCTGGAAAGGCTGAGCTGCAGAGCCAGCCGTCACCAAGTGACGCGCCGAACGACCCGGCCGCGCCCGCAATCGACGATGCGCCGAAGAGGGCAGACGGCGTTGAGCAGCCTGACTTTGCGAACCCCACGCTGGGAATCATAGGCAATGCCTCGCGCTGCACTTCTCAGAGCGGCGCTACCTCGCCGTCGAGGGAGGGGACGCCGCCGCCGCTGCCCCCGCGACCGCGACCGCAGCTGGGCGTGCCGACCGGCTCTTCCCTTTCACGGCCAGCGTCGTCGCACTCGATAGCACGGCAGCCCTCTCGGCCGCAGCTGGTCTCGAAAGCCACCACCCAGCTCTCTGTGACCAACACCCAGGCTTACGGCAGCGACTCACGGGACGACGCCGCCTCGCCAGCATCCTCGGTACCGCGACACGTGCTCCCCGACCTGCCCTCGAGTACCACGAGCGATGCTGATGACGGCGCGAGCACAAGAAGCTATGCGCCCACAATCGCAGAGGCTGGCGGGGCGAGCATGCTGGGCGAGATCGCAGACGCTCCCGAGAAGTCGAAGCAGGAGGAGACACTGCTGCGCTCGCTCGGCCACGGATTCGGCGATGCAGAAAGGCAGAGCTTGTTCCCACCTGACCCTGACTTTGAGTTGGCCTTTGGCCGTGAGTTTGAGGATGTAGATGACATGGCCGCAGACGGGTCAAACGAAGGTCAGAGCGACATGCACCGTCGACATGGAGCGTGTACTGATGCAGGCGACAGAACAAGTCATGCTGCAATGGCGAGCAAAGCTGAAGCACTTCCTGATCCTCTCAAGCGCTGGGAAGCCCATCTACAGTCGACACGGCGACGACCAGCTGATTACAAACTACATCGGCGTGGTCCAGACGATCATCTCGTTCTACCAGTCCACCAAGGACAGCCTCCGCGGCTTCACAGCGGGCCACGTTCGATTCGTGGTCATGTCAAAAGGGCCGCTTAACCTCGTCGCCATCACACGGCTGCCCGAGAGTGACTCCCAGCTTCGCACCCAGCTCGAGGCGCTGTACATGCAGATCCTCTCCACTCTCACGCTCCCTAGCATGGAGCGCATGTTCGCAGCACGCGCCAACTACGATCTCCGCCGACCGTTGCAAGGCACCGAAACGCTCCTATCCGCACTTGCGGACGGGTTCACTAGGGGCTCGCCCTCGACGTTACTTTCCGCGCTCGAGTGCCTGAAGCTAAGGAAGTCTCACCGAAACACCATCGACAATACTCTATTAAAGACGCGCTGTGAGAAGCTCCTTTACGGTCTTATTGTCGCATCAGGAAAATTGGTGTCCGTCGTACGGCCGAAAAAGCACTCTCTGCACCCCGGTGATCTGCATTTGATCTTCAACATGCTCTTCGAAGCGGGCAGTGTCAAAGCTGGGGGCGGTGAGAATTGGATACCACTTTGCTTACCGGGCTTCAACAATACAGGGTATCTGTACATGTACGTGAGCTTCCTGAACCTGGAGAATCCTGGGGAGCAGAGGGAAGAACGACCGAGGACGAGAGACGGCGGCGACGACGAGGTCGCAGTGCTGTTGATCAGTGCGGACAAGGAGAGCTTCTTCGAGATGCGGAAGATGCGAGACAATCTTGTTGAGGTATGTACATGTATTTCTTTGAGTGCGCTGCCCATTGGACTCGGGCTTGGCAATATGGTCGACTTGGGAACCTGGCCGTGGACAGCACCTGGACGGCGTCAAATGGAGCCACCGAGCTATTCTTCGAGCCGTATCTCGATCTCAAAGACGCCGTATAATGAGCCCGCATCGTCCTCTTCGCCAGCCTCACCGTCGAGAATCATCAGGCTGCTCGCGACGGTCCTTCTTTCGTACGAACGGGCGCACATGGCCAGGTTCCACCCGTTCGCCGTTCGGGACAATCCCAGACGGCAACTGCCTTTGTATCGTTACAAAACCCTCCCTACTCCAAGGACAGCACCTCAGACGACTTGGACACGGGATCGGGATCAGCCCTGCTCGCACCCTGCCAGCGCGAGGAAAATACCGCAGCAGCCCAGCGCACGGCATTGGCTCGGGAAAATCACGTCGCACGCGGCACACGACCCTCGGCCTCGGCCGTCGCGGTCTCCGACCCAGCGCGCTCGGACGAACAGAAACACACAGCGACATGCGTCGAGCGACGCGACTGGACGGCCTGGATCCCCTCCCGTCTACGCACCCGGGGGCCACTACGCAGCCGATGCTCCGCCTCGGAACCGGCACCGTTAAATCCGCCCCTCCCCCCTCCGCGCAGACCATCCGATCACGTGACATGACCGCTGACCTCACTGCACACAGGCTCTCAAATCCAACAACAGCACCTCGCACATGGCGGCCGCCGTGAGCCTAGGCAGGCCGCTCTGCACCGCGATCGTCCCCGGCACGCCGCTGCGCCACTTTCTGTACAAGTCGCGGGGCAACGTGCAGTTCTGCATGCCGTCGTTCGAGCCGCACTTTGCCTCGCCGCTCGAACGGCGCCGTCTGCTCGCGCTGTATGCAAGGTTGCACGCCGCGCTGCACGCGAAGCCCGCGGGCGTCAAGGTGCACCACGAGACGGGCGGGTGCTGGACGGCGCTCGCGTGGAGCACGCCGCTGTTCGAGCTGTACGGCGTGGCGCCGGCGGGCACGAGTCGGGCAGCGCTGGCGCTGGGAGCCATGGGGGTGGTGCGGTGGGTGAGGCGGGAGGAGGAGCGGGTTTTTATCATTGGGGGCGCGGTGTTTTGAGTGATGAGAATTAAGAGATGCGTCGAGTGGGGAAATATGCTTTGATGCAAGTCCATCCATCATTCCTGTTTCTGTTTCTGTCCCATGTCCCCAGGCAAACAAGCACGCTGCACACACCCCCACTCCAGCAGTGCTCACCCCGCTCGGCAACATCATCACCCGCACACCCAGCCACAAAAAAACCCACAGCACAGATGCAGCACCAACCAGAGCCGCAAAGATGCAGCAGAGCGGCGGCCCAAGGTCGTCCGACTCTGTCGGTCCCCGGGTCGAGCTGGCATGTGCGCGGACGGCAGGACGGCGGTGGCAGGATGGGGGGTGGGCAGTGTGGGAGGCGCTGGAGGCGCTGGAGGGGAAAGAGATGGCGGGGGGGAGGGGCGATGTGTCGATTCGGTGGCGCTGGTGTTGCTGTCGGGGTTGTCGTCGCCGATGCTGCTGGCACTATCGCAGGTGCGGTGCCGACTGACTGTGAAGAAGCTCCCCGCGCTGGACCGCTACGTTTCTGCACTATGTTTCTGCACTATGTTTGCGCACTATATTTGCGCACTATTTTTCTGCATTATGTTTGCGCACTGTGTTTGCGCACTATGTTTGCGCACTATGTTTGCGCACTATGTTTGCGCACTGTGTTTGCGCACTGTGTTTGCGCACTATGTTTGCGCACTATGTTTGCGCACTGTGTTTGCGCACTATGTTTGCGCACTGTGTTTGCACAATGTGTTTGCACAATGTGTTTGCGCACTGTGTTTGCGCACTGTGCTTGCACAATGTGTTTGCGCACTGTGTTTGCACACTGTGTTTGCGCACTGTGTTTGCACACTTTGTTTGCGCACTATCTTTGCGCACTGTGTTTGCGCACTATCTTTGCGCACTGTGTTTGCACACAGTGTTTGCGCACTGCGTTGTGGCAGCGGTCATGTGATGGGACGGTAAAAGACCGTGTCGACGTCATTCGTAGTCGGCGCCCATGAGTTCGGCTTCCAGCTTTGCGCGCTCGTCGTCGCTCGCAAAGACGGCGTCATGGCCATCCGCGTTGCTCTTCTGCCGCTTGAGCGCGGGCTCGTCGTCGTGGGCGGCGGCCTGGATGCCGAGCTGGCTCGCGTCTTCAGGATGGAGGGCGATCCAGCGCTCGCGCCACCGCTCGCGCAGCGTGTCGTAGATGAAGACGAACTGCTGCTTCGACTGGACCATCATGGGACGCTGGTCTCTGAGCGTCTCGACGACGCGCATAATGGGGTCGTCGTCGTCGGATAGCGTGTCCAGCGAGCCCTCGTCGAGTTCCTGCATCAGCCAGTCCAGCGCAATAAAGGTGCCGCTCCTACCGATGCCGGCGCTGCAGTGCACGATGCGCGGGTTCGTGGCGTTGTTGGAGTTCTTCTGGCGCGACAGCTCCACCATCTTCAGCAGCGCTGCCTTGTCGCGGCCCTCGGGGACGGAGAAGTCGGGCCACCCCTCGAAGAGCAGGTGCCAGATCTTGCGCGACTCGCGGCCGTCGGGTGTCGTCATGACCATCTCCCTGAGCTCGGTCCGCGCCGCCTGGTCGTGGGACAGGTCCGTCAGGTGCAGGTCGTGGATGAAGCCGTCGGCGAACTCGTCGTGCTCGTTGACGCGCAGCGGCGGGTCCGCCGGCGACTGCGGGTAGTAGGGGTAGCACTTCTCGCGGCCCTGCTCGTGGGTCTTGGTGACCATGACCATGACGACGGGCGACTCGCTCTGCGCCCAGACCATGCGCCAGAGATGCGACCAGCTGTCGCCCTTGGGTCCCTGTGTGGCGATGTACCGGAGCGGCGTCCCGGTCTTGGTCGACGTGAGCTCAATCGGCGAGGCGTTGATGTAGTCGTTTGCGCCGGCGGGGACCTTTAGGCGCACGCGGTTCGCCTGGTACGGGTCGACGTTCACGTAGCGGTTCCGCAGGGCGTAGGGCTCGCCGCTGCAGCGGGCCCACGGGGCGGGCGCGTCGCGCTCGTCGGCGCCCGCCGGAGCCACTGCGTCGCGCAGACGGTCCATCTGCGCCCACTCCAGGTCGGTCCACTTGCTGTCCAGCTGTGCTGCGGCCGAGTTAGCGACTGCGGGCAATGCGGGCGGGGCCGGGGGAGCCTGCCTGCGGTGCGCGGCCTCAGGAAGGCGGGGTACGGGGTCGCGTCGGGGGACGCGTCGGCGCTGGGCGAGGCGGCCGCGCTCCAGGGCGGCAGCAGGCTGGGAGTGGGCGCCGCGGGGGTCGTGTGCGCGGTGGCGGTGGTGGCGGTGGTGGCGGTGGTGGTGGCGGTGGTGGTGGCGGTGGTGGTGGTGGTAGTGGCGGGCGCCGCGGGCAGGGCGGACAGGGCGGACAGGGCGGACAGGGCGGCGCTGGCGGCGGATCGGGTGCTGTCCTTGCTGCGCGAGCGCTTCGACGAGGCGGGCGAGACGGGCAGCGAGCTGGGCGCCGACATGATGGCGGTGGCGGGCGGGTCGCTCCTCAGGGACGCGCCCTTGAGCTTCGCCTTGCGCCTGAGCGCGCGGAGTTTCTGCAGCGTGACAGCCTGACAGGCGCGAGAGGGCGGCGGCGGCGGCGGCGGGCGGCAGGCGGGCGCGGGCAGCACTGCGGGCGTGAGTGTGTCGCCGGGAGGGAGTGTCACTGTGGGCGCAACGACGGAGTGGTAGGAGGACGTGCAGGTGTCAAGTCCCCTCTCAGGGCGCCCGCCAACTTTTCGCAGCGATCCCCGTGTCCAGGAACCAGGCCATGGGCATGGAGGGGTCTCGGCGCCTCGCAATCAGATCGCCCGCTGGCCGCAGCTTGGCCTTTGGACTACGGACTACCGAGTGGCTCATCGACGCCGCCTCGCCATGACGCCTCGCTCAGCCGCCACCGACCACATCGACCGCACCTCTCCGCGACTCCCTCCAGTCGCTGACTGACCTGCACAACCGCAACTACATGTAAAACACAGCCAGCACACCCCGCAATGGCGCCCTGGTTCGCACTCTTCGAGGTCCGTCACCCACCGCATACACAACCCCATGCTAACAAGCGCAGGCCTGGGCCGTCGCAGCAGTACGCCCACCGTCCCCTCGCCTGTCACCTGACCTCTCTCACCTGACCTCTCTCACTTGACCTCTCTCACCTCACCTCTCTCACCTCGCCTCTCTCACCTGACCTCTCTCACCTCACCTCTCTCACCTCACCTCTCTCACCTGACCTCTCTCACCTCACCTCTCTCACCTCACCTCTCTCACCTCACCTCTCTCACCTCACCTCTCTCACCTCACCTCTCTCACCTCACCTCTCTCACCGACTCCCCACACACCTCATCCGTAACTGACCCCACCCCCGCCAGCTAATCCGCAGCCCGACATTCAACCGCGCCATCCAAAAAGCCTACCGCAAGATCAACAAGATCCCGGACCACGAGCCGCGGAACGGGCTCGGCCGTGCGTCCCCCGCTGCAATGCACATGTGGTTGCAGTAGATGTGCTGACGGTAGTAGGGACGGGGCCCTCTACTCTTGATCACTTTAAAGATGAGGTGAAAGAGCAGTTTAGGGATCTTACTTGGCAGAAACGGAGGAAGTGAGGGATGGATGGACGGATGAGTGGATGGATGAGTGGATGGATGGATGGATAGATGAATGGGTGGATGAATGAATGGATGGGTGGATGGATGAATGGATGGATGGATGAATGAATGGGTGGATGAATGAATGGGTGGATGAATGAATGGATGGATGGATGGATGGATGGATGAATGAACAAATGAATGGATGGTGAGGAATAGTGAACTGGACGACAGCGAGAGTTGTTGCTTCTGGTGTGGTCAGTCTCTGCAGGATCAGTCTCTGCGGGACTTTTCTAAAAAGGTGTAGCGACCTGAGCCGCCTTGCATCTGGCGGTGAGCAGGTTGGCGAGCAAGCGGCATGTATTGTCTGTCATTCGGGCCATCCACGGTCATAAACTGTCGGCAAGCAAGTGGCATGTGTTGTCTGTCACTCGGCCCATCCACGGCCATAAACTGTCGGCAAGCAAGTGGCATGTATTGTCTGTCACTCGGCCCATCCACAGTCAGAAACTGTCGGCAAGCAAGTGGCATGTATTGTTCATCTAGCCCATCGACAACCGTCATGTCGCCTTCAACCCCAACCCCCGTCTCCGTCTACGCAGTCCAGCCCCTGTACACAATCCTGGCCCCGTACTTCTGCCCCTTTTTAAGAATCATCATGGATCTGTACTCCGGGACGTTGATGGCGTTGACATAGCGGCTGGGCTCGACGCAGAACCCCGACCGAGCAGCCCTCGCCGGAAGGCCATCAACAGCTGGCACATCAATGTACTTGCCCGTGTAGAACTGGAACGCAGGCTCCGTCGAGTGCACCTCGAGATGGATCTTGGTCTCCGGGTGATACGCAGCTACGAGTTTTTGCAGAGGCGACGAGCGAGTGTCGACGGGGATGCTGCGCGCGTCTGTGTTGGCGACGAAGCAGTCGTCGACGTCGGGCTCTTTCTCGCCCAGGGTGAAGCTCTTGCCGCCAGTTATGCCGGGGTACTCTTCAATCGGACCTGTGGGAATCCCGCCGTTATCCACGACTTGGTACTTGTTGGTGATTAGTGTGACCTCGGTGCCAGCAATCGACGGCTTCCCCGTCAAATTGAAGTAGCTCCATGCATGTCAGCCGCATCTTCATACACACCGACGCCTCGTCACCTACCTGTGGTTTGTCATGTTGATGGCCGTCTCTTCGACTTGATCGCCGACCAACTCAGCCTCATACTCAATGTAGAGCACTTCCTGCTGCACCCCCTCGACCTGCTCTTTCTTCTGCACATACCAGACGCGGACCTGCACGGTGCCAGGATACCCCTCCTCGCCATCCCTACTCAGGTACGTGAAGAGCACAGCGTCCTCGCCGTTGCGCTCCACACTCACCGGGCCCTCAAACTCGCGCTTTCCCCACCCCTGCTCACCGCCATGCAGCGAGTTGGGGCCGTTGTTCACAGGGAGCTGGTACGATTTGCCGTTCAGCGAGTCGATCTGGCCTTTTGCTACGCGGTTGGCGATGCGTCCTATCGTCTCGCCAAAGTAGGGGGCGTTGTGCTGCTTGTACTGCGACGCTGTCTGGAAGCCCTGGACAATGTTGATGCCGTTGACGTGGAATTCCTGGATGATGGCTCCCAAGGGGAGGAATGTGAAGGCTGTAGACATGGTATTGGACTTCCTCTAGCTTGATGATGGCTGCTGTGAAGCGTTAGTGCCTTGTCTCCTCCGTGGATTCGCCAGAGCTTTGCGACTTCTGATGGAGGGGTAGTCGCCATGTCATGTAAGGTTTACGTAGTGCGGGGCTTGCAGCACTTACCTGTGCCTCGTTCCTGGCCACGCTGGGTCAATCGAGATGTTGTACGAGTCTGTCACAGGTCTGTGTGGTTGTGCAAATTCAAGCAAACAAGTCAGGCAATACTCGGCACTCTTTGGTGCACATTGCTGTTATAAAGGTAGGGTGTTCATTAGGCTAATTGAGGGTGGAGCTCGCTCCTTTTGCCGTCTTGTCGGTGCCGTGAGCGACAGGACGGATAGCATCTTGACATGGAGTATGAAGCCCGACAAAGTCGCGCGGTTTGCCTAACCGAGACAATTCGGGGGCTTGTGGAGAGGTGAGGTCTGTTGGACAAGCAGTCAAAATTACTAGCCGGGTCGGTGCGCACGCGGAATGCCGCCGTCAGGTCAGCCAACCATGACAAATCGTCACAACAGTCCGATCATGTTTGGATTTTCGTCTTTGAACTTGTTTATTGTACAGTTATCTACCGCACACGGATCCCGACCAATCGCGACAATTCAATCGTCGAAATCATCGACATCCTCCGACGCGCGAATTTCTCGGAGTCGGTCCGCAGCGTCGGTCTTCACGTCATAGTGAAATCCATCCCACCGCTCTGTTGATATCAGAGGAGATTGATTATGCCATGGCATGTCGATCATCCAAGGCCCACCTTATCCGTTAACGCCGAGTGCCAGTACGTGATCCAGCCGCCTAGTGTGAACCTATTCCAAAAACGCTAAAACGCTAGACAAAGCATGCTTGAAGAGGAAACGAGTTTTGCACTACTCATGCACCGACCGGGTTTTGTATGAAGTTGTTGAAGTCCAGGTCGTTTGTGCTGTTCCAGTCTGGCATCATTGGGTCATTGGGATCCATGAAGATCGGGTCGACCATCATGATCTGATCGTACGTGTTGAAGTTCTCGAACCCGTTCATGGACTTGAAGTCCATTGGCTCTTCCATCATCATCGAATCGGCCATCCAGGCTCTCGAGAGCGCTGAAGGATCCAGAGCGCCAGTCTGCATAAAGGTCGACGACACCACAGGCGATTCTTGTTTTACGGGAGCTGCCACTTGCGATTGTCTCGGGAATGGACTGTTCATAGGCGGTGTTGGCGGTGCGTTGTTGCGTACGAATGGTTCGGTGAAGGCAAATTGCCTCGCGGTTGGTGTACCGCTGTATGACGACGGCGACGAGGTGTGCCCGTGCTCCGAATCTGAGCTTGCTGATCCGCGCCTGCGGGACAGCGGCGCCCCCCGTTCGAGCAGCTTGTGTTGCATGCGACTGCAGTCCTCCTCGAAGCCTTCGTAATTACCACCGTTTTCACTCGGTCCGTGTAACAGGTCAAGTCGTTCGAGGATGTCGTGTGTCAAGGGATGGCCTCCTTGCGCTTCACGCAGTGGCTGGCCTGGCCAACCTTGCCCAGATTGCAGGCGAGTGTACAGGTCTCGTAGTCCGGCGACGAGTTGGGCTTGTTGTTGTTCGAGCATCTCAACATAACTAGGACAGTCAGTGTGCGACCAAACAAAAAACCAGGTGACAGACGTACCCTTTGGGGTAGACTTTGTCTTGCGACTTCTTCCTCTCTCCGAACACGCAAATGGCGTTATCAGCTTTACACCGGCTGCATGGACTTGCTCCGTCACACTGTATCAGTCAGATTGAGAACTGGCAGACCAAGTCGAGGCATCACACACCTTTGACTTCTTCAACCGACAGCGATCGCAAGCTTTGCATACTCGCTTCCGGATGTTGTCATGTGCCTCCATCGAGCTCGACCTCTGTGATGACATTGAATTGGAAGGCAAGCTATGTCGATTCAGCTAAGGCCACTTGAAGCTGCGATTGATCGAGGGCAATGTATCTTCAACAAATTTCCAATGAGGCTTTTTGAATGTGTCCTGAGGTGGGAATTCGGCTGCTAAATATGAATAAAGCTTATGTGGGTAGCATGGCATTATATCCCTTCACGTCAGAGAGCATCTCCAGGCGGACGTTCGGCCTTAACCATCCATCGAAGATTCCGGCGCGCAGAAGCACCGTAATCCTGTAATTTTCGTACCCGTCCACCCCTGGGCATCTAAACCACCCGTCTCCCTGTCCGTCAATCTATCGGGGTTTGGATTACTGTTCATGCTTACAAGGATCAAGGAATCGTTGCCCTGCGCCGACCTTACGAAGACACTGTGCTCAGTGGGCGGAATAAGTTGACAGGCCGTTGCACGGAGTCGGTCGTCGAGCGGACCGTGGCCATGAAAGCTGCCAAAATCTGCCGTGACGCTTGTTCGACCAGCGGCATGAAACAGGTGACGAGAAATTAGATCGAGCTTTACGGGCGGACAGAATGCTCTGAGCTGTGCTGATCGTGAATGCTTCGGTAATCGGCTAGGCGAACATCCACGCCCAAAAACGTGCGGACTAAACATCGCACAATCGAGCGGCAGCAGCTCTTCGTACAGCGCGCAAGAACACTGGCATCAAGCCCTTGGCGTGCCCTCACCGACCATACGCAGTGTTATTGCTCGGTCCACGTAGCGGTCAGCGTCATCGCGATGGCTCATGGACCAGGTAACGACGTTATCCCCATCCCTTGGCGGACCCTCTAGCTTTCGAAAAAAGAATCGCGCCTCGGCCGAACAATTGACTGAAACCAATGGGCCGAGCAATCTCAGGTCTACCCTCATAACCTTTCGAAAGATGTTTCGTGGCTCGCTGTCACGGGTGGATTGTTCGTACGAAAGCGGGAATTATGCGCTACTGAAAGCAGCAAGCTCCATGACCCCAAATTGCGCAGCGACGCTTTCAAGGCCTCGGACCGCACAATGCTTGGTCCAGACATTCGCGATCAACGCATGCGTGTCTGGACAACATGTGCCAGCTCTTCACCTTGTCCGCTGCGTCGAGCGGCGCCCGAATTTTCGAGCATGATGCATCTGAGGCTGCTTACAGCACACGACTACAACTCTGCTGCCTGCCTCAGAGTGGAATAAGTTTGCGAAGCCGGTCATCTTCTGAAAGGCCTTACCGTGCTGGCGCAGTTACTGCGCTTTTGTCTTGCACTTTCTGTCTGCTTACCAATGACCCACAACAGAGCAGTGGAACAGTTTGTCACCTCAACATCGGTACGTGCCCGCTTGGGCTACGCCCTTTTCACTCCTTTCTGCTACAGAACGTCTTTCTTACAGCTTATGTGACCAAAATTCGCTCGACTACCGCATCGCGATAATGCCATCCAAGGCGTTGCTTTCTAACTTTCCACATCGTATTTCTGACGCCTGCCCTGCATATTGCCTAATGAATGAGCGCAAGGCGTATTCGTCTTCTTCTTGTGAATGAGGAAGGGGAACGGTCCACGATAGGAAAGGTCGTCAGTCGTGGCTGTGGATACCTACCGACTCGTGAATAACGTGAAGCGACCCGCATCCCTCGTATACGCCTATACGGTGTCTATCGCAACGCTTCCCACCCTATCGCTGAGCGTGTCTCGCACGATTCTGTTTGCTGAAACTCTGCTGGTGATCCTCGACCGTTGCTTGTTCTGTCAGCTTCGCTAAACGGTGTGTCAGCGCGTTCGCAACATGCTACGCTGCTCTGGAAAGTGCTGTCCTCATTGGGTAATCTGGTTGCAGCGGGAGACACCTCGGGGGTTTGAGGATCACCCGCATGGGCTCACTACCGGTCACCTCAACCAGGCCCGAGTATGTTGCGATAAATCCTCTCTTGTTTTGTGGAAGTATTGTTGCTGCTCACAGAGCTGTTAGCCCAACGTGTCCTGGCTGAAATTGAGCTCGGTCTTTGGCAAGAACCAAGCTACCGTCCTCGTATGTAGATCTTGCGGTCAAATGTGAACTACAAGCTCACATCATTGCTGATGAACAATAGTCACTTCGATAAGATCCGAATCCGTCATGCCATGCACATTGCGCCGTAGTTCGATCCTTGGAAATGGTCAGGAGGCGGACTAGCTTTCAGCAGTACGGACCGGCACACAGTATCGAAATAGGTGTGCTTGACGGTCAATGCTCTTCGATGAGCCCAAGTCTTTACCTCTATTTAGTTGACGGAGAACTCCAGCTTCGTCGTCCTTTTTTGGGTCTTGACCCAAACCCTGTCACAGGTATCACACAACAATGAGGCAAATAAGGGGCCTCCTGATGCACTGTCCTTCTCGCTGCTCCTGTGCGCACGCATTGCAAGCTTCCCCGCGCTTATTAAGGTGCCGCGTACTACCAACTTGCTATTTCAGCATGCTGCGATAAACAAGTCCAGATCGGCATTGCATTCAGAGTCACAGATCAGAACTTGTCAGGTATTTGCGTCGGCTGATCCGCCGTTATTGGGTCCAGGGCTCTGAACTTAAGGGGTTTGCAGCATGGGACTTGCCGATCCTATCCACATAGCCACCCAGCCGCAGGAAGTCTCTCCGCCCCGAATCACATCTTCATCAGTCTCGCACATCGAGACGGCCCGTTCCACTGTATCAGGATGGGCATGAATCAACGTGCTCGATATTGGCTATGGTCAATCCCAGGCGTAGGGCACCAGCCTGCCCTGTCCAACTGGGCTGCGTCACTTGAAAATAACCACCGACGTGTTGCGGACTTTGTATGAAGCAGCTTGTTAATGCCCCAAACTATTATACCTACATCATGCCACAGGTACTGCGATCATGGTGAGAACGTTGACCACGTGGCTAACAGGTTTCTTATTCTCCCAAGGAATCGCTCGCGGCACATGAACGCCGAGTACCGAGCAACGGGACACCAGCAATACGGTGTACCGGAAACCCCCTACGATGTACTGGGAACCCCCTCACAATTCTCATGACACCTGTAAGAGCTTCTTGCTTGGCAGCGAGCGTCCTAACATCTTACACACGCTTTGCACAGCCTCACCATCTTGACCGTTAAATGATCCTGCAGTACCACCGAGCCAATAGGATTGCATCCGCTACGACACCCCACGAAATGAGTTAAGGTGGACTCGTGCAGTCAACAGACCGAGATCCAGAGGTTGATGCCTAGCAAATGGGAAACCCTATCTCGGACTCTCTTCGAAAGAGCCAAGGCGTTCTGACATTCTCAGCCTCAGCACGACATGGACACATGAAGTGAAAGATTACACGGAGGCCAAGCGGTAAAGAGTTCCCGCCTTCCGGGGCATGGGGACGAAAACGTTCGGGATCGCTCGCTCATGCGCTCGGTGGCCTGACGACCCGCCTCCGCTCCGAGGCCTGACGACCCGCTTCATGGTGAACGATTCCGAGTGCCGTACCTCACATTTACAAGCTGCCTTACGATTCCAGCGCCTTGTTCTGGGGTTTCTGAGTCAGATGAGATCATCACCGACGTTCTGGACTGTTCTGATGGCTCAGAAGACGTCGCGGCGTTCGCCTTTGACCTCTTCTCACAGCCACGGTATGATATCAATCGGTTGAAGCAACAGCGACAGGTGCAGAGACTGGGCCAAGACTGGACGCTTCGCATGGTCGCTCCGGATTGGAATTGCTCTTTAACGGGCTCGAGAAAAATTATTTTACACTGCGAGGGTCAATACTCGGAGCCGTCGCAAGGCATGTCACACAAATACAGAGGCCCCACCACAGGCCCCACGACTATCAAAAGGCTTGAAAAAGCTTCATCGACAACAGCAGGGTGGGCTTCTAAAACTGTCCCATTCACGTCACAGTGCGCCGGCAGCGCGATCGCAGATCGTCGCATTGGATGTTCGAATAATTGAAAATTACCTGCATTCGACTATGTGCTTCTGTATGCGTGTCAAGAGCACATTGTCACGGCAGCCATCCGTGAGACTCGCGTCTATGAGTTTGCGCACACTACCGTGGTACTTAACAACTTCTCTGCTGCTACTAAGCTCTTACGCACACACCGGTGTCGATCGAACATACCGTTCAGGCAACTTATGACTGCACGAATTTTGCGATCGCATCAATGTCAGCAATCATCTCGATCGCGACTACGAGCCTATCCACAGTCAAAACTTCTCCAGATGACAAATGACCCAGCGAGATTTTATGCAAGGCCTTTCCCGAATGGTAATGTTCCCGCAGTCCACTCTCGTGCGAGATGATGCAGAACACCGTGGATGGTCCCGTTTGCTCCACACTCGGATGCAGAATCCCTGCTTCACGACCGCCTCTTCGGGTGGGTATTTCTACATGCAGTCCCAGATCTTGAAGTGACGCCAGACGACTCTAAAGTGTTTGAGATCACTGGTGACGAGCAAGACTGCGCGGTTGCATAGTGGACGTTGACCTTCAGTTCCGACCATGACGTGCGTGGCTGTCTAGTAGCCGACACACGGCATTGGTGAATAAAATGCTACCACAACCAGCAAGCGCTTTACACACCGGAGTACGGACGATCACCAAAGACCGAACCGAGATGCCAGGAAATTGGTCCATCACGAGGTTTGTTCACATGTTCCTACTCGGAGGTTGCTGTATTGCCGGCCATCCGAAGCCACGGCCGACTTTTGCCCGGTCATTCGATGATGCCAGTTTAGATCCTTCATGCGGTGCGCACTGCAAGTTTAACACTTTACTACATTGGGTAAACCGTGAGTAGACAAGTGCGCAAATCGGTCAATATGGATTCTCCGAGAACACTCGTTCGCCCACTCTTTGTGCTAAACACGTGCGATGCATGATCTTTCTGCTCAAATGAGTGAAGAGCTTGGAAGGTCTCAGGGCCCAAGAGTGTTCCGGAAGGATACTATATGATTAGGGCATGATCACGATAGCCCTGCGACCCTACTCATCATGTTCAAGATGACTTTCGAGGCACTGTTATCACGAAGGCTGTCTAGTCAAGCTTTGTCACCTCAGGCGCGACCTTGCGCATCCTCGCAAACATGATGGAACAGCGTCATCACCTCTCCACGCACCAGGTTCGGCCGGTCAAACAAGATAGCTGGCAAGCCCCACCACTGCATTATGATTGGCGATGATTCGGACCTGCTAGGTTGCTCACGTACCTAGGCATGTTGAAACATTACGACGCTGCGAGTTCTCGCTCAGAACTGAACATATTAGTGAGACGCATACACAAGTCTCAAAAATAAACAACGTGGGCACCGACCTGTGGAGTCCTGTGGGGCAGTCGTGCTGCCCGGACAGGGTACGAACATGAGTAGCCCTCACAGGCTCACATGACCATCGAGGGTTTGGTGCAGTATCGAAAATACGCATCCGTCGGCCCTGTTCTAAAATCTACGCATATCTCCGCTATGAGACTCGCTTTCGGTCTGATAGGTCTGCCCGGATCTTGCCGGAGGTGACTTCCAAGGTTCTCCATTGCACAAGGCCCTGTTAACAGATACTGTCTTTGGACCGAGTGATCCGGATCTTCACATTAATTATCGAACTCTCAAGTGAGGTCATATAGGTAGTATTCAGGTTTTCATACGTCGCATTAGAGCAATACTTCGTGTTGTATAAGCGCTTCTGGCGGTCCCTACCATCATGCTACCTCGACGCCTCTCAAGGTATGGATGCCATTATACCCATGCGTTCGACGCTTCCAAGTCATGCACGAAGCATTGTTTGGCTCCAATAATCCTCGGTCCAGTTCTCAATTTAGGTTTGGGAGTCATCTTGGCTCAGCGGTAATATCAATGAGTTGCTTCAAGATCACCTCGTACCTGAAACTAATACTCAACTGCAGGCAAACACAATGCTCGCTATAAGAAGGACCTCTAGATTCGCCTGATTGCTTCATGTGCTCCAGTCTACCTGGTCCACACTTGCAATCACAAAGTGTGTCGATGTTTGCGAAGTTCCACCGACGAGGAAGGTCGTCCGTCCGCATCGACATGGGTCTTCATTTCTCATCACATGGGGAAATAGAGCTTGCATTTTCCCCGACACCAATGGGTCGATCAGACATCTTGAGATCTGCGCACGCGAGTCAGACGTAGCTGCCTTGATCCCAACAGGCGATCCCTCTGTGTTTAGCTACACAGCTTTATACACAGCAGAAAGTATCTTACATGCAGCTCATGCCTACCTCGTCCGCACTGTGTCATCTTCTCCATATGTGCATCTGGCGTCAAGTGAGAAGCTGTAAGGACGCTATCACATATCCAAATTCCAACAGACGAAAAACGGCGAGGCTTCACGCAGATGAAATTCCTCACTCGGTCTGCGAGGCGAAAGTGGTTGGAAATACAAATCGTGGAAATGCGGCCACTGTCGTTCTCGGTGGCAACCTCCAGATGATTCACGAAGGAATCGCAGAACGCAGCTGTTGATCGCCATAAAAACTCTTTGTAAGCATCACGTCCGCGTCGTGTCAGCGCGCACATTGTCGAAGGTAAAAGCAGTGTGAGCTGCACATGTGCGAGGATAGAATTATGCGTCCGCAGCCCTCCGGTTACTGAACAACCCTTTAGGCGATTTGTAGAGCAAAAATGATGGACAGGATAGGTATTGACAGTCCTGCGCCGCGGATTGACTTTGCCTTACGGGTGCGGAGTGGCACTTGTAAGAAATGCCTATCTTAAATCGAAAGCTTGAGCGCATTGACAGCCAACGCGCGCCCGAGTCGCGTAGGATCACTCCGGACCGCGAATAACCAAGCACATGCCTCTTCTTACAGCAACTGCCGCGCAGTTCAGAGAAGTGGAGAACCGCACATGCAGGATCGCATTTGCGATGATCGTTGAATACGCTTGCGTCTAATGACGTACGGCAAGGGTCGCATTACCTCTCGTCTAGGCCTCACTTTCATTACACCGCTGGGAAATCTCCTTAATCCTTCCAATTACTCTTAATACTAGGCTCTCGACGGGAGAAATTCTGCCCAATCAGACAGGGTGAAGAATGCAAAGGTACCGCCATGGTGTCATGTCCGAGGAGCACTGCAAAGGCAAGGGAGCAGTGGAGCCGCACATGGCTGCAAAAGCTTGATTTGATGCCTGGGCGATGACACAATCGTCGAGATATCAGCAAAGTATGGCGAATGTGACGTGGTAGATGTGCAACAAGTTGATCGCATTGGGTACCTGCCAGTCCGTATGCCCCACGGCGACAGAAGAGTAAGCTGACCCCAGATGCATTGTTCGCCTCGATAATTCGCGCGCTATCGAGGAGTACATAGATAAAGTCCGAAGTTTAAGGGATACTGGCCATCAGGTCAGTGGGGACACAGATGAAGAGACTGTCGTGGCTGCTGAGAAGAGGCCAAGAAATTCGATACAAAGCTGAGCAGTCTTCGTAGCATTCGAACTGTGCAGTTCTCCTGGCGCTCAGAAGCAATAAAGATGCAAAACATGAACTCGTCCAGCAACACCTGCAGTCTCTTCAAGAAAGCGTCCTTTTGGGAGGACGCGTGTGGAGCAAAACAAGGAAGCTGTAGCGAGGCCTTGCATCAAATCCTCCAAACACAGCACGGACTGCCTCAGACCAGTGATGAAAATGTGCTTGGTTGGCTCAATTTCCCTCAGATGGTCTGGCGACAGGACCAAGTCGAGACATCGTACAAGCCTGCGTTCTACTGAGACTCTGATTGAGAAGCAACTGCACAAAAATTGGAGTGATCTCGTGTTATTTCTGTCACGAAAGGTCGTATAAAATCTCAATTCTATTGGTGTCTTACAGCTTCACGGTACTTCTAGCTCTTATACTCTCACCATACTTGATGAACAAGAACGGTATCGGCACCAAAGCCAATGATACAAACGCCAGCAAGCTGTTACCCCACCCCAAGCCCATTGCAGCGTACATCTTCTGACTACTTAGCGGCACCAAAGCAGCCATCAAACTACGAAGGACTGTGCTTGCAGCCATCGCGCTTGCGGCGTGTGTCGTGAACACGTCGATCAAGTATGTGTTCGCAGGCATGAATGTCAGAAGCAGCCCGAAGCCGATAATGCCAGTACCAACAAGTGGCACCATGTAGTGCGTCCGGAAGTTTGTAGACCAACCATAGACCAACAGACCGATGGGCAGGAAGAAGCCGCCAATACACATGATCTGCAGGCGCATTTCAGGCTTGAAGTCGCCGCGTTCGATGTGCTTCGAGACAATCCTGTTGCCATAACGGATATACACGAACTGTCCAATAAGCGAACCGACACCCAGACCGAGGAATGAAAGTCCGGTGATGCCGCCGTGCCAGTGGTATTGGTTTGTAAAGACGGAGGTGAAGGTGGTAAAGAGGATGTAAAGATACGTGTACGTGATGGCGACGTAAAGCGAGATAGCGAAGCAGATGGTCGAGCGAGTGAGCATCTTGGCCGGCCGAATGATGGAAAATTTAAACAACTCTTTTGGAGCTAGACCGCTGTCCAACTTTGACCGCAACTTATCGTTTCCAGTCTCTCTTCGCAGCTTCTTTGCCTTTCTTTCCAGAATGACGGGGGCAGACGTCTCACTCATCAGAATGAGGGACATGATGAAGAATGCACCGGCCTGTAGAAGTCAGTCTAGCGATCCAAGGTTATTAGGGTTTGAGCCTACCACTATGGCGACAAACCAGAAATTCCATCTCCAACCTTTTGCAACAGTGAGGAAGCCGCCGATAATAGGTCCTACGCAAGGTCCAATAGCTGAAGTAATCAGATCTATCCACATCGCTCTTGTGATTGGGACTCACTTGGCCCCATCATCCACACGGCCATTGCTGTACCTCTGTGCTCACGTGGGATAATATCGGCAATCGTTCCTCCACCAAGCACCATTGGTGCGCCCCCAACAGCTCCACACAGGTCAGCTCGTATCAATATCGGTGAGGCACAGCGTCCACTTACTGCCCATAAAAAACCTGAATACGATAAACATCCCCATGTTCGTGGAAACAGCAGCGGCGATTGTGAAAATGATGAATAGTAGGTTGCAAGAGTGGTATAAGGGCAGACGACCATACATCTCCGATAAGGGTGCAATGACTGTCACGTTAGCTTAGGCTCGAGTCGCAGCCTCAATATCAACGTACTCAAAGGTCCAAAACTGAACCCAAGGACATATACTGACACCATGAATCCTGCAAGCATGTCATTCGTCGATCCAAAGTCTCGCATGACTTCTGGTACTCCGGGCGCGAACATAGAGCTCGCAAGTGGCGTGAGGAAGGTAATCGCAGATATCAGCGACACCATACCCCACTTCTTGGTGAATCCCCAGTTCATAGGGTTCTGGAAATCGTCTGGGCCATCAAAGTCTACGACGTCAGGGTCTGCCTCTTCTATGGCTAACGAGCTTGAGGCGGGGATAATTCCTTTCTCCATATCTTCTCCAAGAGCCAGGGTCTTGGCGTCCTTCTCATATGACGGAGAATGTGACCTCGTAGATTGATTGCTGGATACTCGATGGATCGAGCCCAAATTGGTGGGAATGTCAGCATCATGGCCCTCTTGTGCAGCGAGGTCGATAATCTCAGCGTTGGTTGGTCGATGAAGTTGTAATGAATGCGTCATCTTTGCAGATGAAGATAGGTATTGAAGTCGTTCTCATGCAGTTGTTCGTGGGTGTGCGTATCCAATAACAATAGTCGGCCGCTTTTGTTGTGGCGGCAAGGGTCTGGGTAGCAGTGTGCCGCTTCGATTGAATGCTCCGTAAGAAGATACAGGAAGAAGAGAGAAAAAACCACACCCGTCAGATGCAATGTTAGCGTGCAGGAGCAGCAAACCTGGAGTTAGTCATAACAAGAGGTGTGCGTTAGCCAGCGGCTGCTCACAGCCGGCCGCCGTATTTCCGTATTTTGCAGCGAATAACATTGTTAATTCCGTGCGCGTTGCAGTAGGATGCACCTATTGAGCTTGGTGTTACACCCAGAGTGGGGACGTTCTAGAGAAGTGGTTACGAGATGCATCTGGATCAGCTTCTGTCTGGCTACGAGCGGCAGGCGTTGTGAAGGTATTGCGAAGAGAACCTCGGGAAGCCCCAGTTCCCCGCACCGGCGCCACTTGTCCCTGCTATTCACAACATTGAACACCTCCAGGGCTGAACAGAACCTCCAATATTCGCGTGGTCGCGATAGAAGTTTGCATAGCTTTTTGGAAGTGTAGGCATGGTAAGCAGCGATGAACATCGTCTCCCTCGCTCAATGTTGGCTAAGCGGGTTGAAATGGACCAATGGTGCGCTGCAAGAAGTACGAGCGCGACGCCCTACAGATTACAAATTGCCCTTTCCGCACAACTATCCGAGAAGGAATTGATGCCTCCAGATACAATCGTGACAAAAGTTGATTCTTGTCGGGTTTTTGACCGATTGCACTGAGGATGTGGGTCCAGCACGTTTTCTGACTGACCAGGTTACTGGGTGCATAGCGGGAAAGTCTTCAACCCATCTTAACATGAGACTGACATGAAAGACCACTAGAAATAACATTGTACTGCTCAAGCCACTTATTGAACTACTGCATGAATCATTGGTACCTACATCCAAAGTAAAGTTGTCAAAGAGTGCCCTTATTGAGAGCATGCGACACATATGTTGTTCGATCGACGGTTAACGGATGGTGTAGCCAGAGGCTGGGCATTGCTATCTTCTCAATTTAAATTTTGACATCTACGTTCAGTCGGTGATCAACATCTTTAGTGTAGTAGGCAATTTCCACCACAGGCTAGATGCAGCTATTCCAATTCCTCTCGGCAATTTAAAATAGAACCAAAGTGGAAAGTTTGTTCGATGGTCGGGAGGCTTCACCAGCTGGAGAAAAGCGGGATCGCTGCCAGACTTCATTCGTATTAGTTTACAGGACCCTTGCACAAGCAGCGAGACGATCAAAACAATGCGTGAAGTCACAAAGCAAGAGCGCGCAAAATTTGAACTTATGATTCGACATTCATTCCATCGCCACGACGATACACGTCACGTCACCGATACACTCCTTTCCTAAAGTGAAAAGAGAGAAATACAGAAATCCAACCTGCGCGAACGCGCCATAACGCCCAGCCGACATGATGTAAAGAACAGACAGACAGATCAACACCCCTTAGCAGTACCAGGCCCATACCGTTCCACCAGTTCCAGATGTAGAGAGAGAAAGGGATATCACATTACAGGCTCAAGTGCTCAGACGTTCTGGGAAATGGCCTGCGCACGAGAGCTAGTCGAGAAGAATCAACAGCGAAGGAAAGTTGCGGATGAACCGCTTATGCCTTCTTCGGTGTGGCCTTCTTGGGGGTGGCCTTCTTTGGTATGGCCTTTGCGGCGGCAGCCTTCTTGGGCGCCCCCCTCTTCTTGGGTGCGGCCTTGGACGCAGGACTCTCAGGTGCCTTGGTCTTGGTGACACGTCCAGACTTTGTCTTTCCTAGGACGCGTGTGACCTCCTTTGCGACGGCAGGGGCAGGGCCAGCGTCAGCGGTGGCGGACTTGCGGGGCTTACTGGCGTTCGCCTTGGGCTTAGCGACAGCGGTGGGCTTCTTCGTGGTGGTAGCCTTCTTGGTGGCAGGTGCTTTCTTGGTGGTTGTAGCCTTCGCCTTCTGGTGATTATGTTAGCAACTGAGGCATCCTGATGAATGGGTGAGACCAACGGTAGTGGTAGCCTTAGCCTTAGGAGCAGCCTTGGCCTTGGTGGCAGTCTTAGCCTTGGTTGCAGCAGGCTTCTTCTCCTTCTCCTCCTTCTTGGTCTCGGTCTTCTTGGCGACAGCGGGCTTAGCCTCCTGTTTCGCGAGCTTCACGGTACCGGAAGCACCTGCATGACACGTTAGTATGTAGCTCAAAGTACAATGTCTACGAGTCATCACGTTGACTCGAATGCAATCGTGGCTGTGAGGATCGAGTGTTGGGGCTGAGGGTGCAGCGCTTACCCTTAGGACGCAAGAAGATACCCTTCTCCTCACCGTGGGCGATAGCACGGTTGACGTGGCCCTTGAAGGCAGTCTCGGAGAGGTTGTCGACCTTGTTGTTGGCCCTGATGTACTTCTGGATAGCTTGACGGCTGTGGAGTTGTGGTCAGCGCGAGCTCTCGATGCATGAAACGAAAGCATTACGTGATGCGTGAAACACCGCCAACTTTCAGGGGAGTGGCTTACCTGGATCCATTACGGTCCTTAAGCTGCAAGATACGAAGGGCACGTTAGCAAATGTGGTCTCGAATTTGATGGTAGGCTTTGTTGTTGTTTGCGACCGAGTCGGCGCGTTGGCGTCGCATGCCCAGGTGCGGGGGTCGCGATGCGCCGGGGAGTATAGACTTACGTTGGCAATAGCATCCTTTACCATGTCTGTTGAATAGAGTCAGTGAAGGTTTGCGAACACGATGGCACTGACGCGCTCGCGTTGCGACAGCGTGATGTTGAGAGATCAAACAACATACCCTGGAAAGACCCATGGCTAGCTGTTGAGGCAGCGGCCTTCTTGGGGGTGGCAGTAGTTGACTTCTTGGGAGGCATTTTGGTAGTAATTGTAAGTCGTGATAGACGCGTATCTGATGCTTCGAACGAGGGGACGAGAGTCAAAATCGATGTAGTGGGCGTTGTTGTGGAAGTGTCGAAAGTTAATGGGATGGGAGCACCGCGCGCCCCGAAGCGGGGGGGAGCTACTTATCTGACGGCTGCAGCCGAGCAGGTGCATCCAGATCAACTTTTGCACGACACATTCGTCCATTCCTATTTAGGAAGGGGTTTAGCATTCGAAGGCCTTCTTCTGATCTGGAGTAGACTAAGAGCGCGCTCTTACTGGGTGATGCGCGCTGGTACTGGAGATATCCTGTCAGGGTGTTGGGAGTCTGCCGCTTTCTCTCCGTCCCGTTGACCTTGTGCTTCATCCCACTCGGTGATTCCCTCCTGCATCCTTGATGCTTTGAGCTTCGTCCCTGATCTCCCTCGCCTGTCGGGCATTAGACAGACGCTATACTGTCGCTTAAATCCCGTCGTGTGTCTGGTTCATATGGTGACTCGACATCGCTGCCTGTCTATGAAGCTTCGTGCGATTCTGATATGGCGCGTCTCGTCCTGCAGATACTGCGCGCTCTTCACCCCTCCCTGACATCTTGACGCGTTTAGAAGAAGCTTTTGTCTTTTTATCAATGTTTATTATGTTCATCTAAACATGTTCGTTCTCAATTCGGGCGTGGATTCCAACATCGCGGGTGTTGTTTTGATTCTGCGCGCGTCGCTACTGGTGTCGTTTCGCTTCCACCTCTCGTGGTTTCGATCTCATCCCCACAACAAAGACATCGAATGTGTTCGAGTAATCCTCGCAGCAGCAGCAGCAGAGTTACATTCTCTAGCAATTTTCCAATCTTTCGGAAGTTCAGAATCTTTGCTGAGAATCGTTGTTGTCCGCAAAAGAGGCGTTCCGTTCATTACGTGGCACGTCAGCTGAGCTGGCAGTTGACCACGCGCACAGGTGGCCTAGAGCCCTCACTCAACCTGCCATCAAGACTCTGTCAAGCAACATCAATGCTTCGTCTTCGATACTGATCAAATGGACGACTAACCTTCCCGTACCGCTCGATTTCCTGCTCTATTGTCTGGCCTTTCGTGGATCATTGCGGCCATGGACGGCCCACAACAGCTGCCACGCGTCGAGAGACCTTATAGAGTGCCCAGCGCTACGCAGGCCAAAGAACTCCGCAATATACGGCTGACGAGATGGCATGTACTTCTTGAACGGTGGCCAACCCCAATCACGTCTCAAGCACGATTGCCCATCAACGCGTTACACAGAAACACGTTTGCACATGTCTCTAGCAAGGTCTCCCGACAGCCATTATTCTGAGGCCCCATGAGGAATGACAGTCAACTGGTTGTATAACAGAACTTCCGAGACCTTGTACACTTTCGTCTTTGTTACAGCTCAACATGGAGTGCGTGCAATTGCATCCTGGCGCTTTACGCGCGCTCGGTGAGCGGACATGCGATCAACTTTGACTCTCGAACTAGGACGGTGGCACCGCAGCTTCTCAGACATCGACCTGTACAAGAGTCAAAGGCATTGTAGAGATCACGGTCTGCCACAAGACCACCAAGTGAGGTCTGCCACAAGACTACGAAGTGAGGTCTGACTGCTCCTTGACCCCCAGTGGTGGTTCAAGAGCTTCGTCGTGGGAGCCTCGACTTTCCATACTATGTACGCTGTTGCCAGCAGGGTACCTGCGAACGTTGGTCGAATTTCAATTTCTGCTGTTTCTCACTACTCGGACCCCTTCAATCCATCGTCAAGACGCCGCCAAACATGACAGAGCAGCGCGACGACCCAGCGCGCGCACGCACTAACAGCTCAATCACAGCAACCAAGACACTCACCTATACGCTCGGTGTGAAGCATCAAGGGTTGGAAACATACTTCGTAGGTTGAACAGGCTTTCAACATGCCATACTGACTTCTACCAGTCCGGTCCTCGAGCTACTGCAAAGCATTCGAAATGGCCGCAGTCTCTGCGTATGCATGGTAGTGTCACGTTGAAGATCCTGCTGCCAGTTTTTCTTACTGCTCCCTGAGCTGCATGCATTAGTATCATATCAGAGCGGGTCTATGCAAGTACTTAAGATCACGTTACACCGGGATTTGCGCGCTTATACTCCACAGCTGAGGTGCATCCTGTTGTCACTATAGTTCTCGGGGTCTTCAACAGCCTCTCACTCAACGTGTGTACATCACAGTCATACTGACACGCTTTTCAACGATGCCCAGGCACTGTGCGAGAAGAAGGGGTGGTGCTGGAGACTTATCTTCAATGCTCTGGATGCTGTTTCAGGATACTAAAGGGCAGAGATATAACATGCAGCTCGTCCGCCCGGTGACCTCCTTCCAGGCGGAAAATACACAGAGGGGACTGGTTGTGCACAATTATTGGTAATTGGTACATACGTGAAAGGATAAGGTTCGTGTCCAGACACTGATCTATTTAGTTCGATTTCTAATGCTCGGATCCATCTTTTTGCGCTACGCTGTCCTGAGAAGTCCTAGGTGAAGTAGGTGCGATCCAATATGAAGTTCTATAGTCTTCGGTGACAAGGCAGCCAGCCCTCTCTCCTAACACGTACCCTTTGAATAGTGACAGGAGATTGGTGCAGCAGCCACAAGTGTCCCCACCGCAACGGACCAGCCCGCTGCAGTAGATGAGTCACCTATCACGTTGGCGTGAAGTGTCCAGTACATTGAATTCTCTGACTGGGGATCTAAGTCAATGCAGATATTGGCATCTGTAGGGACTACTAACGAATGCTCGGCACTGATTCGAAACGGAAGTCAGCATGGTACTAAACAGGTGGACATTGCATCGTAATAGGAACAGTTCGTTTCCCAAGTGGTCTGTATTCGCGAAGTCGTACGTCGAGAGGCATCTGCTGTCGTCAGATCATGATGATATACACGTCACTAGAGAAGCAGTGTTTCGACAGGTACTGGCTCCTAGTGCATATCGCATGGACACCACTCATTCTTGGACCAATTCTGCTCCTGGGACTAATGATTGATGCGTGAGTGGTATCGCAAGTTTTCCCAAATTATCATATCAGCCATCCGCACCCATGTTGAACCAACATAGTTTACACCAAAACACCGCGCAATGCCCAACATTACTCGTACCAGATCCCTAATGACTATCACATCTGACCGACTATGCGCGAGCAGTGAGATAATCCTTATTTTCGATCGTAACACTCTTCGTCTGCCACACTGTTAGCAGATATCTCAACGCTCTCAGTACAATGAGACTTACCATATGGTTGACCTTGTACACACCCACCAACCGGCTCGCTAACTCGAACATGTTGTTTCGTAACGAGATGACAATGAACTGCGCATTCTTCGTCCTTTCCTTGATATAGCTCGCCACGATACTGACATTCTTGAAATCGAGCGCGGCATCAATCTCATCCATGACATACAGGGGCGTAGGCTTATAATGATGGAGCGCAAACACTAATGCCAATGAAGACAGCGTCTTCTCACCGCCAGACAAGTTGCTGATGTTCTTCCATGATTTTTTAGGCGGCATGACAGAGAACAAGATGCCTTCCGAGAAAGGGTCTAGAGAGTCGACAAGCTCGAGCTCCGCGTTGCCGCCCATGGTGATCATTTGGTACATCTCCTTCAGCCGTGCGGTGATAATGCTAAAGCCTTCCATGAAGCCTTCGAGACGCAGGCGGCGCAATTCGTCGCAGCGTTTCTTTGCGTCATCGCGCGCGGCAACGGCTTCGGTGAGGTCCATGGAGCGTGCGGCGTGTTCTTCGACGCGCTTGCGGTACTCGGCAAGGACAGAGAGGTCGACGTTAATGTTCTCGTTCTTCTTCTCGAGCGCGGCGATTTCGTCCTTGAGCTCGTGCTTGTCGAGGTCTTGCAGTTCGTCCTTGCTGTATGTAGGAAGGCCTTCGTCGGTCTCTTGTTCCTCTCCAAGGTCGGTAACATTTTGGTAAGTGAGCTTGCTCAACTTGTCCTGGAAATACGCCTGCTTCTTCTGGAAGTCGTGTAGTTGCTTTTGGCTCTCTTCAAGCTTGTTGCGCATTTCGATTTCGACGGCGCGCATTTCGTTGACTTCTGCAGTCTTCTCATCAAGCTCCTTCTTGACAGCTTGGATGTCCTCCTTAGTAGCCTCGAGGGACTGAATAGCCAGTTAGCATCGTGGCAGACGAATCAGAGATAGTTCTGCGTACCTCCTGAGCTTCCTCAGCTTGTTGACGGACTTCCGACGCATCACGCTGATGAGACTCCATATCCTCTTCGACCTTTTCCAGGTCGGCTGCGAGCTTCTCGAGATCGCGAGCCGCATCATTATACGACTTCTCGTGCTTGATGCGGTTCTTCTCCTCCTTGGACTTGCAGACTTCGGCGTTTGAAGCTTGCTCTGTGAGAGTATCGATCTGCTGTTTCAGATCATCAACCTTGGCCTTCTGGAGGCGGAGCTTGACACCACCAATCTCCATGATCTTGTCTTGCAGTGCTTTGATCTCGGCCTCCACGCCCTCGGTCTCAGCATGCAGCCTGGAGATATCCTTCTCCATAGAGGCAATGCTCTTCTCTAACGATGATACACGGCCCTTGTCGGTCTTAGTCACAGCCTTCTCAGCACCCAGCTCCTTGATGCGACGCTGGCAGTCGACAATGTTGCGGTCGAAGCTTTCCAGCTCAAGCACAAGCTTCTGAGCCTTGGTGTCAAGCTCCGGCAGTTGCTGACTAAGACTTCGTAGTGTGCTCTCAAGCTGTTGCTGATCCTGCTGGAACTCGGTGAAGAGTTGCTCAAGTGCGTCTCGGTCCTGTTCAAGCTTCGATACCTGATCACGCGAGACGTCAGAGGCGAGCTTCGACGACATCTTGCCCTTTACCACGCGGCTGCCACCACCACTCATCGTACCGGCAGTGTCGATAAGCTTGCCATCAAGGGTGACGACGCGCCATCTCTTTGCGCCATATGCAATACGCTCGGCCTGATCAAGGTCATCAGCAACCAGAGTATTCTGGAGGACATGGAAGAACGCCGGCCTCAGAGCATCATGCTTTGGCTTAACAAGATCGAACAGTCGAGGGACATTCTCTGGTGTGTCGACAGTGGACATGTCACGCTTGGCGAGACGGTCCAGGAGGATGAAGTTGGCGCGGCCCAGGTTGTTCTTACGAAGATGCTCGATGCACTGCTGACCAGACTCAACTGTATCCACGACCATATTGTCCAGTTGTGGGCAAGCGGTCGAGATCGCGACATCGTACTTCTGGTTGATGGTGCCTAGGTTGCCCAGTCGGCCATGGAATCCGTCAATACGACCAGACTCCTTCAGACGCATGAGTCCTGTCAGCACGTTGCCTTGTGTTTGGTTCGCAGAGAAGTTCGAGCGGGCCTCATCAGCCTTTGCGCGTGCTCCCGACAGCTTAGATCGTAGAGGCGCCTCCTTCTGTGTCAGGCCCTCGATCTGGGCTTGAAGACTCTGCAGCTCCTTCGCAATTTGCTTCTTCTCGAGTTTGCACTCCTGGAGCTGGGCTGCCTTGCTCTCTTTCGATTCTTGCAGCGCTTCAATCTTAGCCTCGACGTCTGCGATGCCCTTGGCGCCGGCGTTCTCGCGTTCGCGGATGATGTCGAGTTCGCTCTGCGCAACGGCCATGGCGGACTGCTTCTCGTTGATCTTCGCACTCCAGGGCTCCAGAGACTTCTGTTTCGCTGCGATCTCGTCGGACAGACCTTGTGTCTTGCCAGCAAGAGCGACACGAACGCGCTCAAGCTCCTTCTCCTCGACCTTCATGTTCGCCTCAAGCTCTTCCATCTCCTCAGCATATCGCTCCAGGTCAGCAGCATACTGCTTCGCCAGAGTCTCCGCCTCGGAGCGGCTGTAGGTGCTTGTCTCCTTAGTCTTCTCGAGTTTTTTCTGTTTGCCAGCCAAGAACTTCCTCTTCTCCTCGAATTTGACCGCTTCTTTGTCGATGCGTCCAACCTCCTTCTGAAACCCCTGGTGTCGCTTCTCGAGTTGCTCGTAGGCCTTGACGCCCTTCTTGTACTGTCGCTCAAGCTCCTTAATGCCCTCTTCGCTGCCTTGGTGCTTTTGCAGTTCTCCATCGAGCTGTGCCTGTATCTGGCCGACCGACTCTTGCGTAACCTCGATGTGGTCGTCGAAATCGGAGATGTAGAGCTGATAGAGCGTAGACTGCTTCATGGCAAGCTCGTTCTCGTCCTGGATATAGGCAAGAGCCTTGTTCTTCTTCTCCTCAAGCGCGCCTCTCTCTTTCTCAACGTGCTGAACACGGGTGTTCTTTTCCATGCACGTTTCATTGAGCGTCTCGACCTCAGCAGCAGACTCCTCAATCGGGGTCTTGTACTTCGATGTGCCGATGATGTCCTCCAGATACTCAAGAAGGCCGTCGTCGTGCTCGGTCATGGCTTTCGGCTTCATCTGCGCGATGGATTCGACCTCACCCTGCAAGATCAAGAAACGCTTGTGGTCCAGATCTACGCCCTTGCCCTTCAGGTACTTTGTGACATCGGTGAAGCTGGATTCTCTCTTGTTCATGTAGTATTTGCTGGAATTATTCTTGAACGCCCGGCGAGAGATGACTAGTTGCGAGTCTGGAATAACCTCAGCGCCACTGGGGGTGTCCATAACCTCCTGGAAGTGGACCTCGACTTCACAGTAGTCGAGATCCGGGTGTTGAGCCGAGTTGTGGATAAGCGCCGAGATCTTGCCTTGACGCATCTTGCTGGCACGGAAACCGAAGACGAACAACAACGAGTCGATGACGTTCGACTTGCCTGATCCGTTGGGTCCAACGACAGACGAAAAAGACGAGTGGAAAGGACCAACTTCCTGTCTCCCGGCGTAACTCTTGAAGTTGATCAGCACCAACCATGTGATAACTGTGCGCTGCTTTGGTGGTGCAGGCTCCTGCGAGATAGGTACTCCAGCTGCTCGCCTCTTCGCCACGATGTCCATTGGCCTCTCCAACACTGTGTGGTTCGCGTTGATCTTCTCGACCACTTTCGGCGTCGGCGGCGGCTGTGACGGTGCGGTCGCATCGGGAGTCTCTGAGGGCTTCAATGTCGTGTCCGGCACAGTGGGCTCGGCGGCGGGTTCAGGTTCAGATTTAGGTTCAGCAACGATCGTCTCCTCCTCCACCGTGCTCTGGATGGTGTTGTCTTCAGTGGGCTCAGGCTTGACCCTCACTTCGACCCTCTGTCGTTTTATGGCTGTGCTGACCACGGGTGTCTCCTCCTCCACTACTGGAGTTTGCGCGGCTCTTGGTGTACGGTCTCCGGCTTCGCTAGGTTCGACTTCGGGGGCAGGCGTCACGGAGACTTCCTTTTCCTCGTACTCGGATACTACTGCTGGAGGTTTAGTCTCAGGTTCTGCGACAGAGTTATCTAGTGCAAGTGTCTGCCCACCTTCATCTGCATTGTGCTTCTCAACTGAGACCTTTGGCTTCCGCCCGCGCTTCTTAGGGGCAGCTCTCACAGGAACAGTCGATCGTGGACTGCTCTCTGGCGGTGTCTCTGTTTGTGTGGGGTCCTCAACAACTTCAGTTGTGCGCTTTGGTCGTCCTCGTCGTTTTGGCGCTGCCGTCTCTGTGTTCTTTGCTGGAGTGGGAGCCTCAGCTTCAGGTGCGACGCTCTTCCTCGGGCGCCCGCGCCCTCGTCCAGTCTTGAGTGGCGCTGGTGCCGGTGTGAACTCCTCTTCCTCATCGTCGCTGACCTCTGGAGTAGGTGTGATGTTCTCGTTGTCGGAGTCGTCTACGACAGGCGCTTTGCGGCGCGTTGTACGTGTCGACTGTCGCGATGCTCCTGGAGCCATTGTCGCGTCTTCTGTAAGCTAGTGAGTGTCGAGATGACCGTCTGATGGGTGAGTGCGCTCCACACTGTGCCTTCCTTGTGTTTACGGGCACGGGCCAACACAACACGCTAGCACGTGTCGCGCCTTCCCTGCCCCGCCCCGCGTCAGAATTCATTAGGGTCAGTGGTTGATGGCTGAGAGATGTCGGGAGCGAGTATTTATCAGTGAGCTTTGTGCAACCCGACGTTCCCTTGTATAGGACCTATGATGTTTTGCTGTGAGTACTGAGGAGGCTGTACCGGCAGCACCACTGATGTACGTCATGGTCACGCAGTTGCAACATATTGTAACGGGTCTGAGTAGTCTGTGGCTGTAGGCCCTTCAAGTGAGAGGGGGACATGCAAGGTCTGAGCAGTCTGTCCCATTCCCATCCGATTTGAGACGTGCCCAGGTCGATCCTTTTGGAGGGTGGAGGTGCACCCGAACGCACTTCAAGTCCTTGCCATCATTTCATCCTCTTCAAGTTAAACATCTCTTGCTCAACAACTCAACCCCATTTCTTTAGCCAAACTAAATCCGTACGGTCTACTATGTGCACCCTGCAAAAGTTCAAGCTCGTCTTTTTCGTCCCGCCCGGTGCTCTGCAAGCCTGCAAAACCGCCATCTTCGCCGCAGGCGCTGGCCATTTCCCCGGCACCAGCGGCTACACCGAGTGTTGTTTCACCTCCAAGGGCACTGGGCAATTCAGACCCGGTGATGCGGCAAACCCCCATGTAAGTCGTTGTTTCGTTGTCTCGCATCCGTGTCTGTTTGAGCGAGGCTGATATTGGGCAGATCGGCAAGGTCGGTGCGCTGGAGGAGGTCGAAGAGTATCGGGTTGAGGCAATTTGCTTGGGTAGAGATGTGGCAGTTGAGGCTGTGAAGGCGCTGAGGAAGTGAGTATGATTGTGTGTGTGTGAGCGTAAGCTGATCAGTACAGAGCACACCCTTATGAAGAGCCGGCATACGAAGTATACAAGATGGAAGATATGTGAATCGCTATTGTACTCGTTGTTTTTGTTTTGTTTGCGGGAAGTATTTGCTCTGTTACCTGATTGGGACGCGCAGAGCTGCATTCAAATGTTGGCTGTGCTTCCGCGCACCTACAGAAAAGTTCAGGTCGTGAACTAAATACCTGGGGATATCCAAGCTACTTCATGACCATGCTCTCAGATATGGCTGGTTCTGATTTTCGTGGCAGTGATATCGCAGCCCAGCGTGGTGCAACGTGGTGCAAATAACGTGCACATACCAGCATTTACTAATGATCGCAAGCTGACAGTAGTCATCGCTTCTCTCCACTCAAACAAATTATATGTAGCAGTTCGAATTTGCAGGTCCCTATCTCGTGAGCGCGTCTAAACATATAATGAAGAACAATCTCAACGCAACAAGGCGTTGGAGTATTGCAAGATCAGATGCCCAACATCCACCACGAAATTTCTGCTTTCAGCTGACATATCTGAGGCGAGGTACGGACTATGTTCCTTGAAGGCGGGGCGAACATGCATGTGCGCAACATCGGTGACCTGCCCACAAACAGCTACTTTCACTTCGAACGCTCTCACAACTGTGCCAGCACAAACACAAACGCGCGCACACGATTTCGAAAAGGCGTGACCAGGTAGTATGCTCTACGGATGTAATTTCAAGAATGCTAGAGATTTCAATTGAACAAAAATGAACCCGCCCTCCATCTGGGGCGATGTAAAATGAATAACATCGCTCAGCCAATGCCCTGGGTTCGACCCTGGGGTTTTTTAAGTCTCTCCCAGAATTCTCCTTCGGTAATACCAACACAGGACCGGTTCTGTAGGATTCATATTTTCGTACTTTTCAGTTTGAGTTCCTGCACGCATTGCACCCACACACGCTAGCTAGACGTTGCTCGCTATTGCCCTTATCTCGATCATGTCGGCGAACCTGGTTGCTGCATATGCTGCCTTTGCATCCCTACTCACTTGGCACTGATTTCCCTCTCTCTTGCTCAGCCCTCAGTATCGCAAGCAGCTTTCTTTCTTTTGTTGGCGTGTACCTGCCAGCACTATCGTATCTCTCTGCGAACTACGCTATATCCCTCCTCTTGCCTGCGTGGACTGACATGATGTGCGTTCGAAGCTTGTGGAAAGTATTGACAGCCTGTTGTAGGCACTCTGCTTCTGGAGAGGAGGTCTTGAGGGCGATTTGAAGGTCGTTAGACGTGTCGGTGACATAGGCGACGTGCGCGAGAAGTGTGGTATCTGAGGCGGGATCGAACTGTATATTGTTCTATGCGAGAAAGTCGAGCATATTTGCGAACCGTTCAAGAGGTTCGTCTGCGTGGAGAAGCTGGCAGTTTTCGAGTGCCGCCGCGAGCTGATCTGTGCCGTATCGATGCGCTGTGTCGACAATGTGGGCTCGGAGTTCCGTATACGCAACTAGGTAACTTGAATCCAGTGTGTTGCGCTGTCCCTGGAGGAGTACTTGTGTCTTGCTGTCTTTGTCGGTCCCGACAGACACTCTGAGCCGCATGCCATGTTCTTCGACTCTTCCCATGCTCTCCAGCATCTCGTCCCCATCCATTTCATACACAACATCCCACCACTCCCTCTTCCTACCCATCGTCCTCTTATATCTCTCATATCCGCCTTGACCATCACTCCCGAACTCGCGCGACGCACCCTTCATCTCCCTCGCCAAACGCCGCATCAACACACCTTCCAGCCACCTACTCACGCCCAAAGTCAACCACCTCCTTCGTGGACCGCAGCAAATCCAACTCCCTCTTAAACGCCGCCGCCAGCATGCTCACCCTCCTCCTCCACATCGCCCAAACCCGAAAGCTCCACCCGCACGCGCAGCACACTCATCTCCCCCGGCACAACGTCCCAGAACCTTGCCCCCTCAACCCCACCAACCGGGCCATCGAAGCGCACAAACGCCCTCACCAGCCACTCAAACCGCCCCGTCGCAGCCGGCACACCGAAGCGCTGCAGCACAAACCCGCACACCCAGACGTCGCTGCCCAGCATCCCGGTCTCGGAGGGCGAGAGCCGCACTTCGCCCTCGCTACAGGCCTGTCCTGCATCCAAGGCGCGCAGGAACGCGCTGGAATGGGGCGCGGGCCGCAGGATCCAGCTCCCGCGCTCGCGAAGGGAGGTGTAATCCTGCTCGGCGAGATGGGCGTGGGACGGGCTAGGAGAATCCAGGGCCCAGGGGACGACGGGGATGTGTGGGCAGTAGTGGTGGAGGGTTTGGGAAATGAGTGTGAGAGGTTATGTGGGGGATGTTGGGGGGTGGACTGAGTGGCGGCCGAGGAGGATGAGGCGGATTGAGAGGGTGAGGGTTGGTGAGTTGTGATCTGTCATTGCTGCCGTTGCTGGATCGTGTTGTGGTTAGGTCGGCCATGTCAGCGTTCGCTGTGGATCTAGAGGACCAAGTAGAAGTAAGAGGTCTTGAAGTCTCAGACAAGGAAGAGTTGGGAGTGAGTACCGAACAAAGAAGACCAACATCGGAGCGAAACAGGTAATATTCTAGAGAAAGAGTGAAGCCATGCGTCTATGCCGCTCTAACCACCATTCCGTCAGCCAACCAAGGCATCTTGCATTATTTCGATGCTCATCAGAAACATCCACCGCCGCCGCAGTGCCCACCACCACCACTGCAGCCTGTCGCACCAGCAGAACCAGCGGTAGCAGCTGATACGCTTCCGTGTGGCCAGCCACCACTGCACCTTTTGCGCTTAGTCTTCCGTCGTTGACTGCTTTGACGTAATATCGCATCTGCCCTGCGACGCCTCGCCTGATTCGCCTTATGCTTTTTGTAATGCTCCTTCCCCTTCGTCCGCGCTCTCGTCTTCGCGCGCCTACTCTTCATCAACGCCGTCCTCAACACACGCTTCTAAGCGTGCGGCTGAGGGACACCGGCAGGGGCAGGGGCAGGGGCAGTGGCAGGGTCAGCTCCATCGAGGCCACCAACGGGTGCGCCGGTGGTGGGAACGTCAGCGCCGGTGGTAGGAGGAGGTAGCGCAGTGTTGTCGATAGCATCACCGCTCTTCTTCGCCCACTTGGGCTCGGTAACCCACGTAGGATCCTGCCATGGGCCGGCATCGCTCAGCGCACAGCCACCAGGGCAGTCGCACGAACCGCCGAAAGCCTTGGGCAGGTTCTCAGCCGGGACCTGTGCGAGCAGCTCAGTCTTGTATCCGGAGCCCAGGACGTGGATCTTAGCGCTGGTGACGGGGTCGAGGAACTTCTTGACGACGCTGAAGACGCCGGAGAAGCCCCAGGGTGCGTTGATGACGTACATCTTGCCGAGGCGCTCGGGGTAGTAGTTCTGCGAGATGGCGGAGACGGCCTGCAGGTAGCCGTAGACGGAGGTGGCCTTGGCGATACCGACGCCCTTCAGGTCAAGGATGGAGCACGAGGTCTCGAGGAGGTGGCCGATCTTGCGCGAGCAGGCGGGCAGACGGGGGTCGGCCATCTTTTCGTATTCGCAGACGAGGTTCTGCACCATGCGCTCCTGGCTGGTGATCTTGCCGAGGGCAGTGAGATCAACGTTACCGAGCTGCTCGATGTAGACTGGGCGGCCGTCCTGCAAGCTTGTGAGCACACTGCAACTTGTCTAATTCATAGGAAGCATACCTTGTCGGTCTTGTGGTAGTACTGGGGGTAGTACTTGAAGACCTCTGGCTTCTCCTTGTAGTCGAAGGTGCGGACGAGCTCCTCGACGCCAGAGCCAGCATATGTCTCCCTCCACTTCTCGCTGTCGATGAACCTGCCCATGTCAGTGTCTCCTCGTCACCCAGTCTCTCCATATTTGCTTACATCTGCTTCGACAGCTCGACATTGAATTTGCGCGCACGGAGGAATCGCAGCTGCAGATAAATTAGCCGATGCCCAACGCCCCCGCATTCGTGTTGATTTGGGCATACCAGCGTCAATGTGTCGAGGTTCTTCGTGTAACCGGCCTGCTCGAGCTGAGTTCGCAGCTGGAAGACCTGCGCATCTTGCTCAGGCGTTGTGTGGCCGGGGTGCCCGTTCTGCGCAACCGGGGCAACGGTGGGGTAGTCGTAGTGGTCGTACTTGGGGTCGAGCTTGAGCTCCTGGGCGGGTGCGGCAGCCATTGTGTGAGTGACTGCAGTGTAGGTATGTTTGGGAGGGTTATGAGAGAAATCCAAGCAATAGGAGTCGCAGAGTACGTGTCGAGTCGGTGTGGAGTTGAGCGCGCGGACGTTATGTTAATGACGGAAGTAGCCCTACACGTGCTAGCGTGGATCCTCAACACAGAGTCAGGGTCATCTGGACGCGCACTTGGCGTTGACCATAGCCCAGACACCGATGACGAAAAGCTAACCGATGTCTGAGGCACCTTTTCACATGCTGGAGGGACGTCATCTGAATAGCGGGGCCTTGGTCGACCCAGCCTGACGGAGGGGACTGCCCTTTCTAAGAGCTATCTAAATGATACATGCATGAAGGAACCCACCTTGAGGAAGATGTTGAGAACAACGGAAACCATCTCATTGCGGTCCATGCGAGCTCGCCGGCCACACCATCCACGCCGTACAGTAAAGAGCGTAGAGACCGCATTCCAACAAAGAATGAATACCAGTTGATGCGACATGACAGAACGACAGACATGATGTGAGATTCGTGTAGTAACCCGCCCTGCACCCCATCCTCCCAATGCAGATGAAAGGAGCGCACTCCTGTCTACCAAGTGAAACCCTCACACCGAACCAACCGCACTGGACTCAAATAAACAACCCTAAACTTCCATCACAGACCCATAGAGATTTAACAGCGAGAAGAGCAACCCGAACACCGAGCAAACGGACGCCTTGAAAACAACACACAACTCCGCATGCACGCCCGCGGAGAATTACAGTCGAGGCGCACCAGCTGCATGCGGAGCTGGAAGGATTTGCAACCCGGCTCAGTTTCTCCGATCCCGGTTCGAGCTTGGCCCAAAGTCGACTTCGGATACCTTCTTCGCCTGTTTCTGGCCCTTGACGATGTACTGAGCGTACAGAGCAATGTGGTCACTGGGGAAGTGGTAGTTGGGGAATCCGGGTACTCGCTGCAGGTAGTTCTTGTCGATGTCGCCGAGCAGTCCAACGACTTGTAGCGTGTTTGTCGAGTACCAAATGTAATCCAGAACGCCCACGAATGACGGGGTGTAGTTAGTGAACGACAGCTCTCCAATGGACGAGTAACTGGACTTCAGGCTGAAAGGATGAGAAATACCGTCTCTGGTGAAGTTACCGTACTTTCGGCTGCCAAGGTCGTCGTGGACGTTGGACATGCTACCGGTCGTGATGAGATCGTAGATACCGGATGTAGGCAGAGAGTTGAAATCACCACACAAGATGAGCGGGATCTGTGTTCCATCTGAATACTCCTTTGACGGTCCTGGTTCCTGCGTAGGGTCTGGCTCTTTTCCGTCTTCGGTGTCACCGTTCGTGAAGCGGTACACGACCTTGTCTTTGCATGCGGGGAACTTCGCCCATTTGTTGGCAAACGTCTTGATTCCTTCCAGTAGGATGGCGACTTGCACAAGCTTGACGTCAGTGAATGCTGGGTTCCAGAAGACGTGAACGTTTGAAACAATGAACCTTGAACCTGTGGCGCGATTCTCCAGGAAAGCAACGACCGCAATGTCGTCACGAGGCATGACGCGATTGAAGATGTCGTGCTCTCCCTTCATGTCTGGTCGATTGATGGCAGTGTTGGCGAAGTCGATGAGCTGCTTATCCAACAAGATGTACCTGGTCATGTCATTAGCATCTGTAGTCTGTGAATGAGCAGGTGCAACTTACTTGCTGTTCTTGTAGAAGATAGCACAGCCATCGACAAGCTTAGCTTCTCTATCTGCCATCGTGCGCGCTCGAGACTTCGGCCAGAATACACCCTTGTAGTCGTTGTGGGCCAGGCCCTCGCGGAAGTACTCATTGAAACTGTCCTGGTCAATCTCCTGCAAACACACTATGTCGGCATTGCGCTCTCGCAGTTCGCCCAAAATCGTCTCCCTTCTATTCTCCCATGACAGCGCTGTAGTGGGCGTGTATCCATACTGAGCCTGTGTGCAGTATTTGTCGCAGAGGATGTTGTAGCTCAACGCGGTAACGGTCTCCTGGTCTGGATCCTGGATCTCGTCGAGCACGATCCAATCTCGTTCGTTCGGTGCTTCTGGACCTTGCGAGTTCTCCCGGAAGTGCTTAATCAATTCTGCCGTTCCTTGCTCCATGATTATTTGCTTCAGATCGTCCGGCAGCGGGTTGCCTTCAATGCCGAGCATTTCCAACTGGAACAGAGAGCCGAGTTCGTAGGGAAGATTGTCGAGGTGGTTGTCGAAAAGTAGAAGCTGCTTCAGGTTCACAAGCATGCCAATCTCCGGGGGCAGATATTGCAGGTTGTTGAGGGAAAGATCCAGGTGCGTCAGGCTCCGTAGCTGTCCGATGCTCTGAGGAATGTACGACAGCTTGTTGCAGTTGATGTAGAGCTTCGTGAGGAAAGTGTAGTTGAACAGCGCAGGCGTGATCACTTTCAGGTTCTGGCCGCCGAAGTCCAAGATAGTCCAAATGTGGTCGCCCTTGCCATCAGCTGCTCCTCCAACTGCGGGCCTGTTGCGCTCTTCTTTGTCCGGCTCCTTCGACAAGCCATTGCCTGTGCCTGCGACAACGCTCTTGCTCACGCTCGGGTGAATCCTGGCGTGCGAGTGCGACTGTGTCATTTCCCGCGCCGTCTGTGCCAGTCGCAGCTGCTCTGCCCAGTGCTCGTTCGGTGGTTTGCTGAGCCCACTGTGGACGCTGTTCGGCGTGCTGTTCTGCATGTGGGCCTGGCCGAAATGGGGCTGCGCGTTCGACATGTTGCCGCTCGAGAGGTTGTGCTGGTGGTTGTACTGTCCGCCATGGGCGCCGCCAGTATGGTCTTGGTGCTGCTGATGGTGCTGGCCATGGTGCTGGTGGGTCTGGTTGTGCGGGAAGGTCTTGCCGGCCAGATTCATCTGCATGGCGTAGTTCTGGTGGGTGTTGCGCCCATTCATCATGACGTGCTGGGTCTGGTGACCATGCTGCTGGTTGAACATGCCGAACTGCTGGGGGGACTGCTGGCGTCCGGGCGATCGCGAGGGCGAGGGGGTGTCGGGGTTACTGAAAGGGATGCGGGCGGTGGTGGTGGGCGACCGAACGCGGCCTGGGAGGTTTCGAATGTTTGTTGTGTGTTGCGGATAGAATGTTTGGCCGACTCCCCTTTGGTAGACCGAGTACTCGGCCATCTAAGGGAATCGCGGCGTCGTGGGGAGAAAGGGCCGGGGGTCGCAGCGCAGGCTGGCGAGAGAGGCGCCGGGGTGGAGGTGTTCAGGTAGATGGTGGGCGTTGCTTTCTTTGTTGTAACATGGGCGCCCCTGCGGATCTTCGTCATAGGCTCTCACTGCTGGACCCTGCACGCGTGCACCATGTAGTGTTTGCCGTGGGGCTTGCGGCGCTGTCTGGAGCGGGGACGCGGTGGGAGTGCGTTTGGCGCTGGCGCAGGTGGATCGCAGGCGAGCGCGGGCGTGAAGAGAGCAAACAGCCCGGGGGAGTATTGAATATCGCAGCTGCTGGCCTCGGCGGAGTCAGTAACTGATGTGGGGAGGAGAGCGAGAGGCCGGGGATGGGTTAACACAGAAGCGGGTAGAAGGCGCGCACATACAGCAGCAGGCAGAGTCAAAGGGCGCGCAGGCTCTGCAGGCGGTCTCAATTGTGCCAGACGGTCTGAAAGCAGGGTCCAACCGCAGCGCTGGGGAAGAATAGAGAGTGAAGATGATGCTATTGGGGGCCGACGTGAAGCCCGCACCAGCATCAATGCGCAAGCCAAGCTGCAAGCCGCGAAGCTGTTGAGTCACGTGATCAGGGTGAAACCACCCTGTCCTCTGGACCTCTTCTAGGCCACATCTCTCCACATCCTGTGACCGTGATGCAAGCGAACACGGCCAGATCTAAACTTTAATTGACGTAACGCGCACCGCGATATAATAGGTGTCATGCACGGCAGAGTGTCCTGTGAAGTGCAAATGAGAAATGCAGGTACACACGCAGACAGGCAGGTACACGGCGGCACATTCCGCACAGCCAGCGCCACCTCTGTTCCTGAATCTTGTCTCCGTGCCCGAGGCGGCAACATCTGTCGGATGTCCACCAGTCGCTACTCACGGTTCTCGCGCGTCTCACGGGTGCGATGCGAAACCTGGGGGAGTGACGCAGCCGCCGTGTGATTGGAGATGCTCCCATGGTTGCCCTTGGCAGCGAGACCGGAAGTGGTCGTTCGACGCGTCTCCGCGCCTCAAACCAGAAGAGCCGTCGAGTGCAATGTCGCCAGCGCCGTGTTGGCGTCTGCATCCAACCATCCATCCTCTTGACTGTTGTGCGCTGCACCGCTACCACCGCCGCGCTGTGCTGCTTCATTGCTCGGCTCTCGGGCGCATAGACACGTGCTTATCACAATTCCAACAAGGGACCAATATCGAAGCCACGCGCTAGCAGTGCAAGTGAAGTGGGTCAGGGAGATGAACTCAGAATGGCTGCTGGTCCGCACATCCTGGGATACTCTTGCATCTGAAATGTGTCGTTCTGATTGTACTGCAGTACAGATACCACGTCCCCTCCCACAGCCTGCGATCTAAGACGGCGAGCGCAGACGTCAAGCAATGCAACCCAGAAGCCGCAGATCCCCTCGCTAGAATCGTTTCCAGCTCCTCGACTGCGACGTCCAGGTCCGCCATGGATGCGACGCCCGGCTCGGTGAGCAGCATCTCGACGCAGACCACCCGGGACGAGTGTGGAGAGCCCTTCATTCTGCGCCATGGCCGGCGCTACCTGAGGGGTTTCCAGCACTATCCACTGCCCTGCGACCTGCCCGAGCTCCAGCGCCAGAACCTGCACACCCTCCTCGCGACCTCGGTCATCGGGCGCGCTCTTGGCCACACGCCCTCACCGCAGAACCCCCCGAAGAAGGTACTCGAGCTTGCCTGTGGCAGCGCATACTGGACCTCCGTTTGCCATGAGTTCCTGAGCGGACTTGGCTACGAGGATGTCTCGTACACAGGACTGGACATTGTGCCTCTGGCAGGCGATCTGCAGCGTCAAGGAATCGATTGGAAGTTCGTGCAATACGACCTGCGCAAGCCGCCCCTCCCTTTTGACGACGACGAATTCGACATCGTAGTGATGAAAGACATGTCCCTCGTCGTGCCCCACGGCGCTGTCTCCCAGCGCATCCTCGACGAGGCCACCCGCGTCCTCCGATCCGGCGGCACCCTCGAGGTCTGGGAGACTGACCACATTATCCGCTCGATTCTCCCACACCCACCCCCCGTGCCCGGCAAATCCGCCCAAGAACGCGCCTGCGCCGAGGCCACCGGCACCTTCCTGATCTCGCCCATCACGCCCTTCACCGAAGTCCAGAACAAATATCTCCAGGACTCAAACTCCTGGATCCAAGAAGCCCTCGACCGGCGCAAGCTGTCACCCACACCCTGCGCCCGCATCAGCCAGATGCTGCTGCAAGAGACAGAAACCCTGCACTCGGTCGGCGACCGCCGCATCGCCATCCCTCTCGGCGAACTGCGCTGGGAGCGCGAGCTCGCCGCCGCGACGACACCCGACGCCGACAAGCCCAAGCCCAGGCGCCGCGAGTCTGAGAGCCAGCGCCCGAACATCAAGAAGGCGAGCGTAGCGCTTGACGCAGGCACGCTGACGGAGGAGCAGGCCGCGCTCAGGTACACGGCGTTGCTGGTCGTGGTGCAGATGATCGAGAGCCTGGAGCCGTTGCTCAAGGAGGTCAGTGGGAAGAACCAGGAGGAGTGGCAGCGGTGGTGGGCCGGGCTGATGGGCAATCTGCTCGAGCAGAAGGGCGCGAGCAGCGGCGAGTGTCTGGAGGTGGGCGTGTGGTGGTGCAAGAAGGTGTGAGCAGTGCGCGCAGCCCACGCAGCCAGCGCAGCGCTTCGATTACAGTGAAGGCGAGCAAGTGCCTCGCCAACGGCGTGCTCGACAAGTCGCGCCTCGTTCTCGTTCTAGTTCTCGTTCTCGTTCTCGTTCTCGTTCTCGTTCTCGTTCTTGTTCTCGTTCATTTCAGTGATATCCCCGGTCCCACGGCCCTGTTGTAGCCATTTTTGTACATAGTTCCTACCCTGCACTTTCTTCGTTCATCGTATCGGATCATATCGTTCTCGCAGCGCTCTATACCGCTTGAGATAGTACAATGCCTCGATTTCTACACGCGTCAACACCATCCGTCGCACGTCGCTGTGTGAGTGAGCACATAGCATACCTTTCTTCACGAACTCGGCGCGCCGGATGCCGTTCTTGATCGTCTCTTCGTCCTGCAGGTGCGCTTGCGCTGAGAAGGCTTTGTGCAGGCGTGATCGGGCCCAGGCGTAGCCTTGAGGATAGTCTCGTGAGAGGTAGAGCAGGTCTGCGCTCCGTTAGGATTTGTCTGGTGTACGGCGTTAAACAACGGGATGTACCTTTGTATATCCGGATTACCTGGTGGCGCAGTGGGGCGCTTGTCGCTGCCATGGTGCGCGTTCTGGGAATTCGGAACCCGTGCAGACAAGCTTAGGTAATGCTCCAGGCACGGAAGAAGTTATGATTAGAGATGAATCGGAAGCTCAGTGTGTCGTTGCGTTTGGATAGGATGTGCATGGTGGAGCGGCGGATTGTGCTTCTGACGTAGCAGGGGTGTTTGCCCTCGGCTTAATTCCGTCGGCGTTGCGCGACGCTCGACCAGAGCCGCGACTTCACATTGCATCTCGGCGTGTTACGTGGAGTTGTGCGGTCCTTGACTCAATCGCACTCGTTCTGAATCATGCCGCCTTTCACCACACGCGCTGCGCTCTTGCGCTCCGCCAAACACACCACAGGCCCCGCACAGCGCGCCCTAGTCACCGTACCTCGTCCCGTACCCCGACTCGTGCCTCGACCGCCGCAGTGCCGCTTCTCCAGTACGCAAGCATCCGCGACCGAGGAATCGTCTCCCAGATGGCTTTCCGATGTCCGGGCACGGATCGGCAAATGTATAATGTTTGGCATCAACGATGAGCAGACGAGCGAGGCGGGGTCGATACTGCGGGAAGTGGCGCACGACTGGCGAGAGCTGCTTGCTGGGAGTCAAGGGTTCCTGACGGGGCAGGACTACAGGGGCTTGTATAGACAGGAGGTGGTTTGGGGAGAGATGGTAGGTTGATACACTGAGGATACTGAGGGTTAAGGCTGATTAGCTGGTGGCATTGTAGGATAGTATGGTGAGTGCTTGAAGCACAGCTGCAGTGGGGAGGCAGAGTGCTGACGCTGCGAAGGGACATGTCAACAATGTCATGTACAACCGGTACGCAGAGTCGGCGCGCGTCAACTGGACGCTCAATTTCGCTTCAATGGATCTGGCGCACAGGAAGGAATGGCTGGAGCTGATGTCACCCAAGAGCATTGGACTGATACTGAGGAGTATCAAGACAGACTACAAGTTTGTGAGTACCACGTCGCCCACTAGGAAGTCTGCGGGAGGAAGTCTGCGGATGGGCTGTCGCATGCTCTTGTGAAACAGGGGAAATCGAGGGGACTTTGCTGACTTTGCTGATTATCAAGCCCATGAAGTGGCCCGACAGGTAGGCAAACTTCGCGGTAATTGATCTTGCGAGGCTAACAGACGCAGGATAACTGTTCTGCACAAGCTCAGAAACAAGCCGGAGCAAGGTACCGACCACTTTATCCTGGACGTCCTGATCTTGTCAGAAGCGCACCGTCGTGCAGCAGCACGCTGCGTTGAGGATATTGTTGTCTACGACTACAGGACCGCGAAGAAGTCTCCATTGCCGCCGTTCATGATTAGCAGATTCAAGCAGACGTTTGCGCTGCAAGAGGAAGCAAAGGAGAAGAACAGCGCCAGGGTAAGGACACTGCTAGACCGAGTACGGAAGCTTGAGAAGAGCAGCTGGGATAGGCTGGATGCCGTGGAGGACTTCGGCAGCGCAGGAAAGCCGTGAACAGCAACCCGCAGGCAGAGCCTTGGATTCTTCAAACCACTAATTAATAACGTGCATGGATCCTTTCCGCCGTGATTGACTTGGCTGCCTGCTCAGTCTGCATTTCACGTGTGACCTTCTTCGTTGATCTGCACGACCGTTGGGCGCATGACCGCACCAGTTTGCTCGTTTTGCTGGTCGCACGGGGTGCTGAGTGGCGTGGTTGCGTTAAGCTTCGACGCCGGTCTCCGCCGTGCGTAATGGAGGGGCGGAAGGCAGATTTGGTGGAAAAGCTCCGATCAAATTGGAGTGCCGAGAGGAAAGCCACGCCGAGGGCAACATGTGTTCGTTGCCGCAGCCAGACCGTCCTGGTCACCAGCAAGGCTGTCCTGGCCGAAAGCAACGATGCATTCAGGGACAGCTCCCACTGCGGTCTGGTGCAAATCACACGAGCAGATGGCCGCGGCAGCAAATCGAAAACATGCGCTCCATGTCGATGCAAGCGTGCGGGTGCGGCGTGAGCAGGGCTAAGGCTTGCCTTCTTCATTCGTTGCTGACATGCACAAAGCGCATCACCGTCAGGGGGGGATCCATGGACTGCTTCATTTGCGAGCACAGGCTAGACAGGCGGCCGGCGCGAGGCAATTGGCTCAGCGCGCAGAGTGAGCTGTCGCCGTGTGCACCGCCATCATGTGCGCTGAGAACACTGCGAGCGCGTTGCACAAGGCTGGTAAAGGCATCACTCTCAGTGCATGTGCGGATTGCCCAACACGGGCAGGCTTCGACGTGAGGCTTTGCTCGCATCGGTCAAGCGCGGTGAAGTGAGGCTTCTAGCGCTCCTTTGTGGCTAGAGCGCACACTTTTCGAGAGCATTGACGTCGATCATGGCCGGTCGGAGGGTGCTCGGCGTGTGCAGATCAGCGTGAGATGGTGAGCAGAGTCCTGCTGCTCTGCTGGCACGCTGCGGTGCTGCAGGAAGACGGCCGAGAAGACGACCTGTCACAGCGTGTACCAGGCACTCGCAGCTATTATTTAATATTGCATTGCATCGCCAGCCGCGCCAGCATCGGTAGGCAGCGTGTCAGTGCCAGACCGAGTTTGCAGGTGTCAGGGTGCAGCCGTCCAGCACGCCGACTGCCCTAGGTACTAGGCGAAGTAGTCTGGTTGACATTGTCGCCAAGCACAAGCGGGCCCGGCGCCTCGATTCACTCCTCGACGCCGCCGCTCTCACGACACCAGCAAACCCGCCCTCGACCCCGACGCCCATTATTCCACAACCCCCCCCCTCCCCCCCCGCCAGCGGCGCCCCTCTTCCAAACTGGCTCGTCCTGTGCAGCAGTCGAGTCGACCTGGGAAGACCGCCCGCTTGCCCGCGCACCGCCTTCTATGGTAGCAAAGGGGAGGAAGAACGCGGCATCCCAGCATGACAGACGCAACGAGAGTGGCCTGGCAGCCCCCGGCAAGCGCGTCCAGCGGCAGAGGAGCAACCCGACGCTCAGCGGCCAGCCGACCAGCAGCAGCAGCCCCGACGCCGAGCCCGCGCTCCCCGCCGATGCAGTAGACAAGCAGCAGCAGCAGACGGCGCAGCAGACGCAGCCGCCGCCGCCGCCGCAGCCAACGCGGCCAACGCAGCCCTCGACGGCGCCGGCCCCGGTCCCCAGCAGCGCGCCCGACAGTGCCCCCAGCGCGAGCGCCTCAGACAACGCCCCAGACTGCCCGTCCGTCGACCGCCTCCGCAGCTCGTCGGACGCGTCGCTCGACCACGCCGACGCCGGCTGCCGGCACGCTGCGTCGTCCGCTGCTGCCCGCGTCAATGGCCACAGCAAGCCGCCGTCGCTCTCCATGGCCAGCCTGCTCGCCGTGCCAGCCACCATTCTCACGTCCTGTCCTCTGCGGGACGTCCTCGCCATCCTTATCATCCTCCTCCAGCTACCCCCCACCGTCCTCACCGTCGTGCAGTTCCTCTTTGCCACCCTCACCTTTGTCCCTCCTCAAGCCGGCACCCCCCTCTCTGCGCTCTCCGCCTTCCCCTCGTTCACCGACATCTTCCAGGGCTCCGGCGGCACACCTTCCCTGTTCACGACAATCGCCGCCGACGCGTCCATCCTGCTCGTGTGGCTCGTCCTCTGGGTGCCTGTGCAGAACTTCTTTCTGGATCTCGCACAGGCAGTCATCGCCATTGCCCTCGGAGGCGCCGCAGCCGGGAAAGCCGGCACCACCAACGGCATTCTCATATGTGTCGTCATCATTGCTTCCAACCATTTGCTCAAGTTCAGGCCTCTCCGGCAACACATTGTCCACTTGCTGTGGTCCGGGCTCGCCCGGGGAGGCCTGGAATTCTTGACGAGCCCACCGAGTGCACCAAGTTATCTGGAAAGCTTCTCGACGCCCCACGGATGGCCGCGCAGCCTCCTGGGTATCCACATTCTGGCCCAAGGCGTCGTTCGCATTATCCGGCGCTCTCTGTCTCGACGAGACGTAGCTCAGCAACTGCCCACTGGCAAGAAGACGGACCCTGAAGTTGGCAACCTCCAACGTGCCAATTCCATCTCGCTCCACCCGCCTGCCGACGTGCCCAACGCCTCGAGCTCCGACGGCCGCCCACCGGGGCCGTCGCCCGCATTGAGCAAGGACAAGGCGAGCAGCTCGCGGCGCAAGAGGAAGCAGGCCACACACGTTCGTTCTCAGCAGCCTTTTTGGGCTGCACTTGCCAGTACAAAAGTTACAGTTTTAAAAGAGATGGAAAGCAGCCGCGCGGCAAACGATGCCGACGAGGCCAACGCAAAAGACGCAAATCACATTGGAAATGCTGTATGGCGATCGGAAGACGATCGTGTATGGATTTCAGAAGTCGGCTACTCCGACATTTCATTTCGCGTCAGCCTGTTCAACGGGGCAGACGTTCAAGAGGAGGAAGACTCGAGTGTTGGATCCGGGATTGACAAGTCGAAGCCATTTTACATCCGTGTCAACGGCGCAGACTGGAGCTCGGCCCGGATCCGCCAGAGCACTCCGTTGGGATACCAGGGTCAGCAGGAAACGGGCTTCTGGGTGGGAGAGATTTTCGGGTTGACGGCCCTGTCGAACTACTACTGCGAGTTTGTCAGGACCAGCGACCACGAAGTCTTCTATTCCACCAGCCTCATTACCTCGGCCGGCCCTGTTGCGGAACTAGGTAGGCATGCTCCTTTGCATGGCTGCTCGCTCAAACTAACACCGTCCCAGCCTCAATCGCCTCCCCGCCAGCTCATCAGACCCTCCGCCCATCTTCGCCCACGACGACCCTTAAGAACTCGATTGCCGCGGCCGACCAGCAGCTCCAGGAGCAGCGCAACCGCCTGAAACGGAACAAGAAGGACCACAAGACTGCCATCTCTACCATTAGAAAAGAGGTCGATGCCCTCAGCAACCGCTTGGCAAATGCGGGAGGTAGTGATGAGCGTCAACGCCAACGTGTCCTTCAGTTCACGCAGAACATTAAGCAGGCAGACGACGCTGCTGCTGATTTTGCTGTCCAGGCCGACAAGCTAGGCACCATTCCGGAAGAGGAGATCAAGGAGGCTGCAGCGAAGAAAGCCGAGTGGAAGAAGGAGCGAGACAACAAGAATGCCGCGGCTCGTGAGTTCGATGCAGTCAAGGCTGACGTTGAGGCCCAAGTCAACAGCGTGGAGAATGACATCTCGACTGCCTTGCAGAAGCGAGAACGTCTCCAGCAGCGTCAAACCCGACTGAACGAGCAGCATGACCGTCTGGTCACCGCCAACCAGGAAGGATTCACGGCCAAGCAGCGAAGGGAGCAGGAGCGCCACGCTTTGAGGCAACAGCGGGCCGATGTTGAACAGCAGTATCGTAACACGATCAACGACTACGAAGCTCGAGCTGACGAGCGCCACATCGCCACTTCTCAGCTCCTGCAGACTGCACAGCATTATGAAGCCCTTCTCATGCAAGGTCCTCACCATGAGTCAATCCCTACCACGCCTGAAGGTCCTCTGCCCGGTACGACCATGTCTCCTCACGCCAATGCTTTCACCAGCTTCACCTTCCCGCAGCTGCACCACGTTGGCAGCACACCTGGCTCCGTTCGCGGCGGCCGTGGCCGCTCCTCGTCAATGCTGTCTGACGTGTCTGGCTTCACGGACGGTTTCGACGAGCACACGTCTCCGGTGTATGCTCTCGAGAACCCATTCAACGCTTCTGGATTCGTCAACGGCCTCAATGGCAGTCACGGCAGTGGCAGTCTCAGCTCCGGAACTTCCAGTCAGAGCTCTAGCCAGCGCGACCCCTTGAGCCCTGTGCAGAGCGTCAAGCCGATGATGGTCCGCAGTCCGACCGGTGGTAGTGGAGGCTTGATGAGTCCGATCGGCAGCGGCAGGAAGTCGTAACCGTTCATTCTGAAGGTCTTTATGTAGCTTCCCAATGTGACTTTGTTCTTTTTGTGGATAAACATTATGTATTACGGATCGTGATGTACAAAGTTACTACCACCCCTGCCTGCGCCTGCTGGTGCTCCTTGACTCGCAGCGTTTCGCCCATAATCATATTGCGCGCTCGACACTCGATGCTCGCGACTCACCCCTCATCCTCTTCCCCCCGAATCGCTCTCACCTACCCCGGTCCCGCCTTCTCGGTCGCACCGTGCTGCGGATCCCTAACCGCCAGATCAGGAATCGTCTTATGCCTCACCGTCCAATCCCCACTATTCACCAGACTCCCTGCTCCTCGTTAGGTCCAAGTCCCCTAACACGCACACGCGCACGCCGACCCAGAAAAAGCAGAAAAACTCACCGATCACCTCTCCAAGCCCTTTCTCCATATCGTCAAGCAGCCGCTGCGCCCCTGCAACATAACTCGGCTGGTCGTCGGCATAGCTCAGCATCTCCCAGGCGCTGTACGGCGCCGCCGGCGGCCCCGTGTAGTAGATCAGCGCTACGGCGTGCCGGTTTGGCGACGACGCAGGCAGGTCCAGCACCGTCGTTGTGTTGAAGGGGAGCACCGCGAAGGCGGCTTCTGAAGGCGCGTTTGTGCCGTACAGCGCGGTTGCGAGGGAGATGATCTGCGCTTTCAGCGCCGCGAAGTGTTGGCTGGACACCAGGGCGCTGGCGGAGCTTGCCATTCCGGCGAGGGGGGGTGTGGAGGTGGGTAGGTGCGTGGTGGGCTCCAGACCCGGAGTGTGTTTGGGGGCGTGACGCGGAGAGCGCTGCGAGGTGTGGGGGACCTGTATGTGGTGTTTGCTCGTCCCGAAGTGGAAGTGCATGATGCACCTGCCTGCTCTACATCAAGCGAACTGCCCCACGCCGTGTCTTGAAGTACGATGCAAAGTCCCATGCCAGGTTCCCAAGCGGGCGCAAACCTGCTTTGTTCATGGTGACAAATAGGCCGTGTCTGGGATCCCTTAGTCCCTTGCGGAGATGGTCCGCATTGTAAGAGCGCCGCATCTGTGTCGCGTACTTTCTTGCTTGATGAACGTGATGGTGACGCTTCGACAGCCATAGACTCGACGTGGAGTGCGTTCCTCGATAACGCGATCTGGCGATCCCGACACTGTTGTTGCGAGGCCCCACTAACTAACTACTCAGTCGCCATGACTCCATCTTATACAATCATCTACAAGTGGTGGTCGCTGCTCTGCGCACCGTACAGAAAGCAGTGGGTGGACGTTGATGCTGAAATATGTTGAACAGGCACACAGTATGGAGCAGGATAGCTCGAGCCGAGTCCGAGGCTGGAATAAGCAAGCAGTCGCTGTGAGGTTGATTAGTACATCCCGAAAAGAAGAAAATAGGAGAAGTAAGCTTCATGCAATACACATGCTCAGTCAAGCGACAAGGACAGTATGAAAGAAAGGGAGGAAGATGTGCATGTCGGAACAGAATATGTAAGCACAAGATGTGGACGAGAGCAACTGTTCCGGCATATATTGCGCTACGTCACCAGTGCACTGAGAACTACGAGAAAACTAATCCATCTTCAAGACGAGAGAGTGCGCTGCTAGATACAGAAAGGGCGATCTGCGGGAGGAACGCATCAGCTGAGCGAAGGGAGTCAGAGCGAAGTACAGGCCCCAAAGCGGTCTACTTTACACGTCAAGCGACCTAGCAGAACCAGGCTGACACGATAGATATTCCCTGACTCTGAGGAGGAGGGTGTTGAGAGAGCGCATGCGGTTGAAAAAATTGGTTGTGTTGGGGAGTGGCTCAAGGCTGTGGAGGATGTGAGATGAATCACAATGGACTTTCAAATGTGAGGAATGAAGAAGACGTGCTGACATGGCGGGTAGCAAGAGAAAAAGCGGGCAAAAGGGGCTTGAGAAACGACTGCAGATGATCCCGTCGTTTTTGATAAGTGGTTGATTGTATCGCGTCGCAGACGTCGCTAATGGGTATATCGTCTTCGTTCGTGGTGTTCCACATCACTGCAAGCCTCTAGCAGTCGACGGTCTCCATTACTCCTCCACCATCGCTCTTGACGCACGCACCGTGGTCTGCGCGTACGACTTCTGTCGTGATGTTAGCTGTGGGTTCCATGATATGGCTTAGCGAGTCGTTGACGTGCCCTTAGCTGGTGCGGCGGCGGGTGCTGCGACAGCGAATGTGACCATGGAAAGGACGGCCGCGAAGATGGCGGTGAGCTTCATTTTAATAATGTTGATTGTGGCTCGCTGGTGACTGAAAAGACGTGAAGTGATCGATGATAAAGGAACGTGGTAGGATGCGAAATATTAAGAGGTATAGATAGAGAAGGTGCTTGTGTGCTAAAGACTCCTCATGAGAAGCCCAAGCCTTATATCTCGCCCAAGGCGGCATGGCACACAAGAGCCCAAGGCTATCTTGTCATTGCTCACTGTCGCATTTGGTGTTGGCCTGAAACCGGATGCACATCAATCCTGAGGATCTCTCTGCCGCATAAGGAACGCAGGCATCGATCTGGCGCCAGGCACATCACTCCTCGCTGCCAGGCGAAATGCAGATTGGCGCAAACTGGGGTGAGAGGCCGAGATCTGCTGTGTGAAGTCGTGTCAGAACTGTTTGTCGTGTTACAGATGTGCTGTAGAAGGGTCGAGACGCGCGGCTGCTCAGCCTCGCACACTGAAGAGTAATGGTGAGTCTGGATGGAAGTCCTCAGCTGATGCTACCCAGGTACAGCCAGATACTGGCCGCGAGCTCTTCAGTAGTCGCAGCGGCTACTTGGAGATCTCGGTCCCGCAGAGTACAGCTCATTTACTTGTGCGGGCAACGCTGTGCTGTGGAAGATGTCGGCATGTAGGGCGAGCAACTGTCCTGAAACCCAGCTCAAACACGGATGACTGACCATCGACACCAGCGCACGTGACCATGACACCTTCGATCTAAACACAGGAACTCTGTCGAACGTGCTCAACAATGCTGATGAAGTTTTGTGTTGATGACATGAGGAAGATGCTATCTAATTACAGTCGAACGCGGAACGACTGTACCGCTAGCAGCGCGGTTGGCTTATCGTAACACAGCCGTTCTCGACAACCTCCAGTCGAGTACATCTGCGCATGCATGTCTGTGATTTCTGTCTGTACATTGCTTTGTAGGAACATAGCGTGCGTAGGTAGGCTATAGCGACGACGGTGAGTCCTCGTGATGTGTGCAACATACTAATCTTCCTTAGCCCTGTCCTAATTCAGCATCAATGTCCTTGCCATGGCATCGCAATGTAGTCACTTCAAGCCTGAACACCGCAAACATCAGAGTCTCTCCCGCTGACTAATGTTCATTGGTCTGGCCCCTGGGCCGGTTACCTCTTGATCTCATGAGTTCCAAAAGGCGAACCTTTCACAACAGTCATGTACCTATGCATTCTTCGCCCTTTCGTACGCCAGGCCTGGGACTTTCAGAAAGTATTCGGTATGCTTCGTAATCTGAGGCGGACAGTGTATCTGCCTGAGCGACCCGCCCAGCTTGTCAGTAAAACATGCGTCGGAGGCGCACGGCGTACTTCGCCGTCTTTCACATTTGAGACCATCTTGTTGCTTCTATTACCTATGGTACCCAAGACAACAGCCACAAACAGCTGTTCATATTCAGGGCACTACCAAGGCTCGGGGTGCTCCTCACCCAAGGTCCGGAAATTGGGTGGTTTCCCAGTCGTGTGTTCAGGTCTCTTGTACACAGCAGGTCATCTCGACAGCAGTGATTGGCCTACGGATATCGTTTCGCGCAGTTTCTCACAGTGCAACTAGTCAGAATGACAGGTAATCAGCGGCGCAGCGCAGTCTTTCCGCCTCTTGTGAGCCATCTTTGTCGCCTCCAGGACAGCATATGCGCCCCTCTCCACTTTTCTACTCATCTTCTCAGTGAGCACGGCTCAAAGTGCCATTCACGACGTCAGGCCCCCAGCGGTAAGAGAGTGCGGATTGAGTCCGCCCTAGATTTATTAAGCTAACCCCAGATTCTCTTCCCCGCATTGGCATGGTGCGTGTACACGGGAGCACCGTCGGTTAGGGCGAGCTTATCATGATTGGCGCAGGGTCAAGATCATTGTTGCTGATCATATATAAGACGAAGAGCATGACCGGCAAATTATCTGGCCATTCTCGTACGACTACGTTACACATCTAGAATCGAAAATGGCTGACATCAGGAAGCCGAGCATCTCAGATGAGAAGGTCGAAGTCATCAACGATACCGCTGGGAACCATATCGATGCGATTGCAGAGAAGAGGCTGTTACGAAAATGCGATCTATATGTCCTGCCGCCTCTTTTCGTGCTCTTCTTGCTTGCGTTCCTTGACAGTGAGTAACGCTATTCTCATCCAAACACACACTGACTTCTCGAAGGGACCAATATCGGCAATGCGAGGATCCAAGGTCTCGAGGCTGACCTCGACATGCACAATAATGACTATAATATAGCGCTCTTCATCTTCTTCATTCCATACATCCTCTTTGAGGTGCCATCGAACCTAGTGCTCAAGAAGCTCGCTCCGTCAACATGGCTATCGCTAATTATGATATTGTGGGGCATTGCGACCATTGGTATGGGTCTGGTCAAAAATTTCGAGGGACTGATCGCTATGCGCGTCTTGTTGGGTTTCTTTGAAGCTGGGCTTTTCCCAGGTTAGTCACAGCCCATATCACGGTCGCAATCATTACCATACTGACCACTACACAGGTTGCGTGTATCTCATTTCCATGTACTACAAGCGCTATGAGCTGCAGTGGCGCCTGACCCTCTTCTTCACGGCATCTATTATTGCTGGAGCATTCGGCGGCGTAAGCTAAATCAATCTGTTCATCAAATTGCTACTGACACTATGTAGTTGCTCGCTTTTGCGATCGCAAAGATGGATGGAATCGCAGGCTACGCTGGCTGGAGGTACACAGACTTCCCCCAAGCTCGAAGATTGATCACTGAATCAGCACCCCAGATGGATCTTCATCATTGAAGGAATTGTCACGGTCGTAATGGGCTTCATCACCAAGTTTTGGTGCACAGATTGGCCAGAGACAGCACGCTTCCTCACCGAGGACGAGCGAGCACTGCTTATTGCGCGTCTCAGCGCAGACACTGGCGATGCTGTCATGAACCGTCTTGACAAGCGAGCTGCTCGACGCATCTTCTCCGATCCCAAGATTTATCTGGGTGTACTGGCTTACTTCGGTGTGTTTCTATCTCGCAAATGCCACCACAAAACTTACAGGTTCCACAGGTATCGTCAACACAGGCTACGCCGGCTCATTCTTCGTTCCCACCATCGTCAAAGAACTTGGCTACACCTCCTCCGAGGCACAAGTCCGATCAATCCCGATCTTCGTCGTCGCAACTGTTACTGCCGTCATCGCCGCTTACGTTTCCGACCGCGTTCGAAACCGATACTGGCTGACCATATTGGGTCTGGTCGTTGCATCAACAGGCTATATCATGCTGTTGGCACAAAACAACCTCTCCGCTGGCGTCAAATACTTCGCCTTGTTTCTCATTGTCCCAGGCGGCTACATTACGCAGCCCATTGTACTGGTTTGGATGTCGAACCTGGTGTCTGGGCACTACAAGCGCTCTGTTTCGTCTGCTATGCAGGTTGGTTTTGGTAATCTCGGCGGCATCGTAGCGTCGAATGTCTTCTTCAAGAGTGAGGCACCAAAGTACCCAACTGGATATGGAGTAAGTCTGGGCATGCTGTGGATTTGTGGCGCCGCTTGCACAGCAATGTTCTTTCTAGTCAAAATCGAGAATAAAAGGAGGGATAGAGGTGAGAGAGACTGGAGGCTGGAGGAGCCGGATGCGGATAACCTGGGCGATGATCATCCGCATTTCAGGTTGACGACTTAGACCAGACTGTGGGATGCTTGGATATTCGAACTACCTAGTCTACGCTATATGACATGAACTGACCCTCACTACTCAAAACGCACTACCCACACCAATGCAAGAACACCAAAGATGCAAAATGCCCCCGATACATACATCTCGTCTAGTATCCCAGAGCCTTAATGTTGTCAAACTTAGAGTCAGGGAATCGGAGCCAGTTGTTCTTCTGCTCCAGCCCACTATTGCCTCCAAGAGCCTTCACGACATTGTCAATAAGCCCTCCCGGCCCGTCGTAGCGATCGCCACTGAGCTCCCACCACATTGCACCTCCTAAGCCGGTCTTTTTCAGCCAGTCTGTCTTCTTGAGGGCCATGTCGACGGTGTCAAAGCTGATCAGCATGCCCGTAATGTTGTCGTAGCTGTATGTGCCACCGGCTTCCTGGTCGTAGTATACTTGTGTTCCGGGGAGGGGCAGGTCCTTCCAGTCGTATACACCGGCCTCCCATGTACCTTTGCCGTTCCCATCGTATGGCTGTCCGAGGCCTGCTGTGTTGGTGAATGCGCGACCATACACTGGCATGCCCAGATTAATCTTCGAGGGACCTACACCAGCGTTGAAGTAGGCCTGCACGACATCGTATGTGTTGTACGGCGTCGAGACAGGATTCGAACGGGACTTGTACAGGTTCTGCGCGTGGCCTGAAGTCTTGTCCCAGGAGCCAGTGTAATCGTATGCCATAAGGTTGATGAAATCAAGGACTTGGCTGATCTCACGCAGAGGCATGTTCTTGTAGTTGGACTCGCCGGCAGGCGCGGCAATTGAGAGCTCAAAGTGGGGTTTCTCAGAGCTTCCGTGACCATCTTCATAGATCAGGGTGTTAGCGTACTCGTCTAGTGCGCTGCGGATGGCTTTGAGCAGGTCAAGGAGTTGTCCGCCTTGCTGCGTGTTTTGAGGGTATTCCTGAGTTAACTCAGTTGAATGTCAAACACTTGATCAGAATCCTTACCCAATCGATGTCGATCCCGTCGAACCCATAGTTGCGAATCATGTCCACACAGCTGTCCGCGAACTTCTTACGGCCGGCGGCAGTGGATGCGGGGGCATCCATGTGCTTGTTAGTGTTTGTGTAAGTCCATCCGCCGATGCTCAGCATGACTTTGAGGTTACGGTTCTTCGCCTTTAGAAGCTGAAGTTGTTTCACGGCACCATAGACGTTGTCTCCCATCTCTGACCAGGAGTCTCCGGCGTAGTGTATATCGGTATCCGCGTACGTGTCTGTGAAGAAGACAGTGCCATCATCCTTGTTGTCGCCAAAGGCATAGAGTAAGTGGGTGAGTTTATCAGCTGGAATGTCCTGTGGGAAAAACTTTCGCGCATAAATGTCCCAATTGCCGAAGTAGCCGATTGCTCGATAACCATCCTGAGGCTTTACATCTGTTGGGTAGGAAGTTTGGACTGTAGTGGATGGAATCACGATTTTCTTAGTCGAAGTTGCCGTAGGCTTGGTAGCATAACCAGTGGTGGTGACCTAGGTAACAGTCAGTATGCCTTTCAACTTCCTCTCTGGAATCGTGCATCTTACATATGGTGTTCCAAAAGTGCTCGAATACCGCTTTGTGGTACTCGTGGCGTACTGCGAAGGTTGCTGCGAGTAGATGGGACTGTCTCCATTGTTCGGCCCACCAGGGTACTAGCAAGTGTCAGTGACATGCTCAAAGGCAGTATACGTGCTCACCCTGCTCACGAGGAGGCAAATTGTAGCAGCCTATACGAATTCATCTCACCAGCAACTTGGTTAGCTTTGCGACTTGTGTCTCTAGTGCGTCTAGTCTCTGCTCCACCCAACAGTACCAGTCGCAATCATCTTGCGATGTTGAAGACTGAGCGACCGTTGTTGCGGAGAGGAGGACGACGGTGAAGTAAAACCACTGTAATGAACGTGCGCACTAAGAACGCGTCTAGTTAGCTTCGCGCTATCCCAACGTCCCTGCTCTCCATTTACTTACCATCATCTTCAAAGTGAACCAGTGCCCGATGACCTCAATCGTACGCAACATCTCTGTACAAGCGGACATCCTGAGCTTTTCATACCACACTGCGGCCCCATCCCTTGGCCGCGCAATTACCGTCCGTTTCGCTCCCTTGGGGCCCCCAGGTGTCATTCCTCATTGTTTCAGTGAGCCAAGAGCACGCGTTGAGTATCATTCCGGTCGTTGTCTTGCCACATATAGATCGATCCAGCCACGAGGACGGCTATGCAGGTCTTGAGCGAAGCCTTACGGCTCCTTCGATCGGCAGGTCCTGTGCTGCGTGCGACGTATGCGGCTAAATCAGTGCAGTCATTGCCTCCAAAAACAAAGTGCTTGGAGCCGCCTGACTGTAAAACACTATGGGCGATGACAAAGTTGGCCGAAGATGACACGGAGACCCACGGAGGCCCACTGCTCACAGGCTGATGACCATGTCATGACAATAGAAATTGGTGGCTTATTGTTCTTTGCGACAGTTGCAATGCTAACTTCCATATCGAGTCAAGACTTCGGCTAAGCCTTCTTGTCAAATAACGGTTTCGCCAGCCACCTCAATCTCGTGTAACCAGGTAGAGCCGCCCACCCGTCTTCAAACCCCCAATTACAGGAATTGCAATAACCTTAATATTCCGAAGTACCAGGCCTTACGACAGTTAGACATGAACTAAGTCATGGAAAGCCGCGGCCGTTTCGGGCTGAGTTCGTTCACTTCGAATTTCCTTCGTGTATCACAGAGCATGCAAAAATGTCCGAGAGGCAGGTGCGCTGGACATAATATAGGCTCTAAGAGGCCCGATGCTCAGTTTGATTAGATAGCGTCAAGGCTAGCAGTACCAAATATCTATGAATATGGGGGCTGCTGAGCATCTCACTCTATAAATGTCAACACTTCTGACGTATGGAATGCATGAGGCAAGAGCGCTGATCGAAGCTCTGATGTGATCCTTTTTACCTTTTTACAATGATGAGTCGAAGCTATCAACTGCAACATGCCAGACATGTATCGTCATCCGTCCTCGTTGTGTGCTTACAGTTTCTTCAAGATATCAAAGATTGCCAAATATCGCTCACTTCTAGGGCCGATCGCCATGGGTGATTGAGGAGGGAGTGGACAGGTTCTTGGACAATATCAGGCGCTGCTACGAGAGCATGATGCATCACTCCATGATCAGCAACCACAAGGTTGACCCTACTACCGACGAGACGCGGCCGCAGATGAACTCTCTATCCTTTCTGCATTTCTTCAAGCTCCAGACAGACTTTAGTAGCGCAGGGCCTAGGTTCATTTACAAGACTTGGATCTTCCCGAGTCCCAAGAGATTCTCATGACTCCTCTACAGCACGTGTTCAATGCCCAAAGCCTCGAGTACGGTGAGATCAGTCACATTAAGCTGCATAGAAGGATTCCAATGAGATAGATGTGACCATGATCAAGCTACAGAATGGACGTGATCCGAGACTATTTTGGGGGCTCAGGAAGAGTCTGCCACCTCTGCGGTAGGTCAGTCATGCGCGTGCTGCACCACGGTCCGGCGTGACTGCAAAGTGAGCCTGTTAATCATTTTTGAATTCTATCCCCCGCTTCTTTACTATTCTCCAAACTCGCGCCTACATCTCTCTCTCTCTCTCTCTCTCTCTCTCTCTCTCGCATACTTACGTCTCTGAGCCGCTCAATAGCTCAGTCACCGCACCCTCATGTGCAGCGGCTTGTGAAAGACATGTTTCCGCAAGTTGGAGGTACTCGACCCTTCTCTGTCGCCTGCTGTACTGACTTCCAGTACAGTCGATTGGCTGCTCACCCGATCATCCGCTCTTAACACTTCCGAATGGGTTGAAGACCATGATCTTCGAATGTCTGGACAATAAGACGCAGGGCCATAAGTGACCTTAAGCATCCGGCTCCGAATGGCCTTCAACCCACGTAGAAAAGCACACACTACAATTAGGAACACGAACTGGTCCCCCAATAGCGTGTATGACAGTTGCCGATCTGGGGAAATATTCACATGACAGTGGCCAGTCCGACTAACCTCACAGGGTTCCATAAGCGATTGGCTCGTGTCACTTGAGATGCTTCGAACAGCCAACGGCAATGACATCGAACGCGCCATGAACGCATTAGATAAGAGCCAACGCGTCACGATTGCCACTTCCCCAAACTCCCCGTAAGGCTGTGCTTCTGGGACCCTGCGATAAGCAGCAATTGAATTCCCGTGCCGTAGATCGTCAAGATTCGGTCACAGAATGCAACGAATCACATGAAGGCAAGGCTGCAGCTCGTGCCCAAGATGGAGGTGACTTTCTGGGCAGCCGCATGAGCAAGCTCCCCACACCACAGTGCTGCCTACTCCTCGACGCGCACAGGGAGGCATTTCGTTCTTTCGACTGCTCCTTGCTTGACACACACGTATCGTCTACAGAGACTGTTGTTGGTAGCATCGAACGAGCCCCACACGTTGCAAGCCGCGCGCATTCCACACCGTCACACCCCGCACTCAGCATCGCACCTTCCGCCGCAATGGTGGAGGAGACGCCCAACAAGAAGAGGGACGGTCACATCCCTTCTCCGCTGCAGTCTCTCAGCAGCTCAACAGCCTCGCTCGGCCGCTCGCCGCCCCCGGGTCTCGCCATGGCATCCAGCCCCAGCCCCCACACTCACCGTGGAAGCTTCGCAGAGCAGATGCGCGGCGGCCCTGGCTCACCTCGCGCCTCACGACAACCGTCGCTCTCGCAGCAAGCTTTCCAGGACCTGATCAACAACCCACCGACAAAGGCAGGGGACCCAAGGTTCCATGGACGCGACTGGAAGACCATTCGACTAGGAGAGATTGTAGACCCGTCGCTGGTACGGTTTGTTGAGTACGACACCAGCGTGGAGGATGCCACAAGCGTAAGACATCCGGCTCGGGACCAAACAAGAGCTCGGCTTACAATCGCAGCTACTCCTCAGATCTGGCGCGCCCAACGTCGTCTTGCTCCGCGAAGATGCAAGCACTCGTCACGCAATCGGCACCTTCGACTACAGCGATCTGAACGCGTACCTCCTACTTGTAGTTGGCCTTGCTCACCCCGAAGAACAAGATGTCGCATCGTTTGACGAGCTCGCCAAGAAGGGACGAGAGGGCAAGCCCATCCCTCTTAAGGACGTGAAGGACCTGGGCAAGAAGGGGCCACTGATCACGCTACCTCACACGGCAGATCTCACCAAAGCTATGGAGGTCTTCGGCAGCGGTGTGCATAGAGCGCTTGTCGCGAAGGAGGGCACCTCAGATGTTGTCGGTGTACTGACACAGCTGAAGCTGGTCTCGTTCTTCTGGGAGAACCGGGCTAGCTTCCCTGCAGTGGACCAGCTGTATCCACAGCTTCTCAAGGACCTCAGCATTGGACAGAAGCAGGTGCTAGCTATCAAGTGAGTTATCTTCTGTCAGACTGCAGGGAGACCACTGACGGGGAGCAGCGGCGATAAGCCCCTTGCCACAGCTCTTGAGCTTATGCACAATGAGGGCGTGTCGTCTATCCCAGTGCTAGATGCGCAAAACAACGTTATCGGCAATATCTCGCACGTTGATGTTCGAGTAGGCACAACCCTCTTACACTATGCTCCCAATAGCTGACCATGCATCACAGTTACTCACGAAATCCACCTCCCTCCCGCTCCTTCGCTCATCCTGCATTCACTTCATTTCTGTCATACTCTCTGAACGAGGCGTAAACGATGGCAAGGACTCATTCCCTGTCTTCCACGTCAACCCTTACAGCACCCTCGCCCACACCGTAGCCAAACTCGTGGCCACCCGCTCGCACCGGATGTGGGTCGTCGACACACCCTCGCCTGCCTCATCAGGCCCTTCGACTCCCGCTATCCAGCCTGCTGTCCTTGTACCTCCTTCGCCGATCACACCACTCCCACTATCGCTGTCTGGCCCTACACCTGTGAATACAACAGCACCGACACACCTGATAGGCACAGGTGCAGTGGCTCCTGCTATCTCTGCGAGTGCGATCACCGGCGCGAGTCTATCTGGCCGACTCAGCGGCGTGATCAGCCTGACAGACATCCTGAATGTATTCGCTCGTGCAAGCGGACTGCACCCTCACGACCCTGACGAGGCGCGCCGCGCCAGGAGGCGGAGCAGTTCGAGCAGCATGCGAACCAGTATGGACAGCTCAAGGAGCGAAAGCATATCTGGGATCGCTGGCACAACGGGCCGCAGGAGCAGCGTCAGCGAAAGGGACAAGACCGCTAGCATCCAAGGACTCGGAGCTTCGAGGGGGAGGCCTGCCTGAGGCTGACCGCAATACCTCGTTGAGGCGGTCTTGTCAGGCTCCACCACCATTGGAGTTGGGTTTGGCTTCGGCTTTAAGCAAGCAAGCTGGATTTGATTATCAGGCGTTATAAGCGATGGGAGCATAAGTCCTACATAGGCACTCACACATAGAGAGGAATACGAGCATCGGCTTCGTGATAATGATAATTGCATTTCGCTCTTGCTCTGATGCCTACCCAGCTCTGACTTTGTGGCCCAGATGACGCTGCCAGAGAACGCCATTACGTTGCCACATCCTACCCAAAGGTATCTACAAGAAGCCAGACCAACCACGTGCGCCAAATCACCATGATCCGACAGCATTGCTTTTCGACTACATCACATACAAAAGATCCGTATCTGCCTCATATCAGCAAACTGGGGTTACAACTTTGCACGGGCCGTTGGTTCGGCAGCACCTGAGGCGGCGCAATGGGCTGGGGATACTCACTCAGGGGGTGACTACAGCTCAGCTGCGGTTTCTGCTGGTACTTGCCGTCGAGCTCGTCTCTGATGCTGTTCAGCAGCTGCACGTAGCTCTGGTTCGGGTTCTTGCGCAGCGCGGTGATGAAGGCCCAGCTCATCGCGCCTGTCGCTTCGCCGCCGATCGACGCGTCGGCCGACGTCTGCGTGTCCTTGGACCCGGACCACATGATGACGTCTGCGGGCGAGGTCTTGGTACGCAGGTTCTTCTTGTACACGTCGTCGCCTTGCGTGACTTTCTTGAAAAGAGAGGAGGCCGTGGACAGCATGCCGCTATAATCGTTGCGCGCGTAGGAAGAGACGATGCCAAGGAGGCCCTGGCCGGCTTCCTTTGCGAGGTTGGGCTCCTTGAGCACACCCTGGGTGCTGTAGATGTAGGGCAGGTCGAGGGCGGAGCCGGAATGGCACGAGTCGAAGATTGCAGTCAGGCGGACACCGGGCTGGAGTGTGGAGACCATGATGCGGTGCATTTCGTCGTCGACGATGTGGCCGGCAGTTCGGAAGTCGACAGGGTAGATTACTTCATCGTAGCCGTCGTCTTCGTCGCCGTCGAGATCCGGAGTCTGACCACCGTGCCCTGGACAGAGTTAGCATCCGGGTTCAACCCTCATGACCTCTATTCGAGAAGAGAGAGGGAAGAGACACCTACCTGAGTAGTGGAAGAACAGCGAGTCGTTTGGCCTTGCGTCCTTGACCAGCCAGTGCATTGCGCGCAGGATGTTCGCTTTTGTAGGCTGGCTCATGGGATTCTGCTGGTCGTCTGTGAGCGTGACCATGTCCTCGCGCTTGTACCCAAAGAACTCGTTCAGATATGTGCTCATGTTCTTGACGTCGTTGATGCAACCGCGGAGCTGCCCCCGCTGGCCAAAGTAATTGATACCGATCAGCAGCGCTTTCCGTCGCCCGTTACATGCCGAGTACTGGAACGAATAGCCGTTGGGCGCGCCGTGGCCAAAGTTCTGTGCGCCAGAGGGCGGAGGCGGGGGCCCTTGGTGGTTCTGCGTCCATTGGTTGCTTGTCGCTGTGGGCATCGCGCCGGGACGCTGTTGGTGTGAGGGAGGTCCTTGCTGTGGGACCGGCTGGCCGTATTGGCCGTAACCTTGCTGAGGTGGCTGTCTCAGGTCAGCTCGCCGCCCGACCGCGTTTGCACCTAGAGACTCACCTGCTGGTACCCATACTGCTGTGGAGGAGGTGTCGACTGATAGCCGCCGTTGTACTGTGGCTGTCCGTAGCCCTGCTGTGGTGGCCTGCTCCCCGTCAGCTTCCCACCCTCGGCTCCCGCCGCTTCTGCAAAACTCACGGTGCTCCGTAGCCCTGCTGTGGCGCACCATATCCTTGCGGTGGAGCCCCGCCGTAGTACTGCTGCTGGGGCTGCTGGCCGTGGTTGTTGTGGTACTGCTGTCCTGGGAATCCGGACATGGCGGCAGATATGCGTGTGGGTGAGAGAAGTTAGTGGTTGAGCGTGGACCGGAGCGAAGACCGAGCAGCTCTCTGTCAGCTAGTGGTGCCTGAGGCAGAGCTCTCTCAGAGAAGAATTGCGCGGTGTAGATCCGTGGGAGATATGTGCAAGAGCTGTCAAGTCGTATAAGCCCTGGCGTACGGCTGAGCGTGATGATGTGGTCGAGAGATTCGCGCGGCGACAGCGGGGTTGGGTGAGACGGACGCTGAGTTAGGGCTGAGAGCTGTATGACCACACACGAACGGCTGTCCGGCTAGACTAGTCTCCGCTTTAGGCTTGTGTATCTCTTGCACGCGGTAGGAAGTATTCACTGTCGATCACCAAGGTGCCTGGGACCGGTATATAAAAAAGATGATTGTGAGCTGCGTGTGGTTTCAGGGGCAATTGAGGTGCAGGTTCGGGGATGATAAGCACCTGCGTAAAGACGCCATGAACCCACTGCTGTGCAGCTCTCACACTGACTAGCGCAGAAGACGCGTCCCGTACCGAGTGGTCTCGTGGAGATACCCAAGTATTCTTCATCCGTCCAGATGCACCCAGTCTGCTACCCATGTCGAGTCGAGCCACGTCCACGGCGAGCACAGATCTATCTCGAAACATCCTCCTCCCGTCTCTAGATCCTCGTGTCTTCTCCAGACTCGGATATCTGCACTCGCATCATCCCCGCCAAACCTACGTGTCTTTCACAACTCTGTCCATGCATGATGAAATCACAATGCCCTTGAGCTCACCCCTCCCCCATCCTCGTTCGTCAATGGAGCTGCACGGAAGATCACCTTGCCAAATTTGTCCATCGTCAAGCCTCACGTGGCTGTGGAAGTGCGGGAACAGCATGCCAGCATTGCATGCACGTACTTAAGGCTCGGGCTGCCCGTTCGCGTAGCCCCGTGCGTAGCCCTGTGCCCAAGGGTCTCCATCCTGATCACCGCATCCGGAACCAGCACCGCATGGCTCAATACCCAGCAGCTACCAGACAAACCCGTCCTGAACCTGCGGTGAAGATTGTGGTACACATTCGTTCGGACACAGCACCACAACTCTGACCACTCGATCTGTTTGCGATCCTGTAATTAATCGAGACTTTGGGATTTCCTTTCTTTGCCGTGCTCATTGTCCTCTAAGTTACGCCCTTGTCTTCACCCCCGTCACCACACGGCCCGAAGTGTGCACCTGGGAAGCTTGCATCGGCATATTTAGTCACCCTAGCAGCTCGTCTGCTTCGAGTATTTTCTGCGGCTGCTGGCGATCATTCGACCACCCACCAAGACAGAAAAACACGGTCTTGCCGCTGCAGCATATAAATTGGGCAGCTCCCGCTGCACAGCGACGGATTCGACGTGCTGCTTTGATCGATCCCAATCGCAGTCGCTGCCCCATTCATGTAGACAGCAGCCTCTCGTGGTGTCAGGGGTAACGCATTCGGACGAGCTGAAGCGTGGCTACGGCGCTAGAGCAATCCAGACCACAGTCTTGGGTACCAAGCGAGCGCATGGCTTGCGCAGAGAAGTGCCAGCATCGCTCTGGCATCTTGCGAGCTTGGAAGTCAGAGATGCGTTATGCTGCATGCGATCAAATGGGATGCAGCGTCGCTTGACAGCAGTAGAGTGTCTGTAGGGCAGTCGGTTGGCTGATGCCAGGCGTCATCGACTCGTGAAATGGCATTGCATAGCCTCACGATGACAGCGGCCAGTGGGCGGTGGAGCGTTTAAAGCGTTGCGAGCGTTCGAGCGTGGGACATTGGCATCAGCGAATGGGCTACCTTTGCAAGAGCGTCAATTTTGAGACTTGACGCGAGGCTCGGGGTGCATTCGAGCTGAGCGCGATTCTTGAGCAGTGATCAAGCGTTCACCCACGCGAGTGGATAGGCCGTTGATCCAACGTTGTAGCGCATCTACAGTCCTGTTCACAGGAGTTGCTCAGCGGGCGTGTTAAACGATCGACAACATACAGGGTGATAGAAGCTGAAGCCAGGTCATGCGACTCGTCATGCGGCTCGTCATGTGGCTCGTCATGCGGCTCGAAACAGAGGCTGAACTGACTTCAAGGCATGTCGAGCTGAAGAGGCCATGCAGAATACTCTGGGGTAAAGCGGTGGATTCAATAAAGCTGGGGTATATGATGTCTGACTCTATGCTGTCGCAGAGTCTACCAAATGCTTCCACCAAATACAGGACTGTAGTCCCAACCGCTCCGGGTGCACAATACAAATACATGATGCTTCGTGACTTAACTTTCGACGACAAAGCTATAGTAGTGTCGTCATCCTGCCAATGCAGAAAGGAAGAGAGAAAGGAATATTACAAAGGTATAGAGCATCAAGCTATCGAGTGAGGACGCTCCCTCAATGTAACCTTGGATGAATGAAGCAATCGTAAACGCCGCATCGTTCGTCGAAGAGGTGTAAGGCCTGAACGGTACATGAAGAAATCGTCAGTAGATGTAAAACGAGAAAAGCAGGTAGATGTAGGAAAAATCAGGTGCTGGTGGGCTCGGAAGCTTTGGGGGCTTCTTTCGCACCATCAACTTCGTCTGATGATGAGCACCCGGCTGCACCATCCTTCGTAGCCGGGCGCGACTCCCCGTTGGCTTCGCGCTCGGCATAGATCTTCTCTTTCTGATTTTGGGCAAGAGTCAACGTGTCGATGTAGGTGCGAAACTTGACTATCTCCCTCAGAAGATATTGCGACTTGCCCTCCCAATTGGCCATCGCTTTGCTAGAATTGGGGTGACGTGGCGAGAACTGGCGATCGAGTCAGTACATGAAAATTAGATATGAGAGAGCGAGGCTTACAGTGATGAGCAGAGGTGCCCTCAATTCATTGTGGTGCGCCAGCTCGCCCTCGATGTTCTTGACATAGTCTGTGAGAGCTCTCAGCTGATCAACTTCCATGAGATTGCTAGCCATCATGCTTGCGGTGGGTGGGCTCCAGTCAGAAAGCACGACCTTGTCACCAGGGAGTCTAGCCCGTGGTGTACCTGTCGCGTGGTCCATCGAGCTACGAAGCGAACTCGCCACGCTAGGACGAGGCATGTGGCCTTGGATGGAGGGAGTGCTGTCCTGTCGGATAAGTCCAGGGTTGATGACGTTCTCACCCCAACCATACTCCATACTGCTGACGCCGCCAGTAAGCGGCTCTTTCGATAGCCTGGCAGACCAGTAGTTGGCAGTCGTTACGAACTCACGGACGATGTCAGGTGTGCCGACTTGGAAGAGGTGGACAGCACCTGTTGGGAGCGACAATGCCCACACATGCGGCCTTGTCTTAGAATAGCCTGGTGGAGGTAGTGCGCTTGCGATGGTCTGGCGCAATGGGAAAACCTCAAGAGCTTCTGCATTGTCCATCCAGTTACCGCCACCGACAATCCCACCAGCAGCCGGCTTGTTCGCCTTGCTCTTCATGCGCGCGGACTTGGAGTTCATGCTAAAAGAGAAAAGACGCATGTAACCCTTCTCGATGACAGCAAAGTTCTCGGTCCAGTTCCGGTCTTTCGCCTTTTTGTCGACTGTCTCCAGATGGTGCTTGTGTTTCAAGATGCCCTCCTTGGCCCAAGGTGCACCGACAAGTTCCAGCGACTCGTCTTCTAGAAGCGGGGCTGCGCGAGCAAAGTCTTCGTCGCTGGCAATCGTCATGCCCTCTTCGCGGATAATTGCTTGGCTCAGAGCGTTTGCGAAACCAATAGCCTGCTGGTAGTCGCCAGCAGCAAAGTGCGATCCAAGTGAGTCGACGGACATCGAGGTGCCTGTCTTGCCATACGAGTAGCGGCTCCAGGTGCTTGAACCTGCAGGGCTCCAGACGGATGTGTCGTCCAGGCTAGTACGGCTAGATGCCACCGTCGATGCAGGATACAGCCTCTGCTTGGACCGATTCTTCGAAGCCCAGCGAGCTCCCACACTGCGGAAGTCGGCTTGAGGCCGCCCACGATAGCTGGTCGTGTCTGAGGGTGCTTTGCTCAAAACACTGGGCGTGCGACGCAGCATGCCAGCGACTGAGAGGTTGTTGTTCGAAGGCTGGTGGTGCAGGTCTGATACTCCGTGAAGTGGTAGACGCTGTTTGCGAATCGAATCGTAGAACTCCTTGAGTACAGTCTCGATTTGAAATTCCCATCCCTTCATTGGGCCATTATACGGCGTGTTGACGAGGTTGTTCGACTCAGAGGATGCAGAGTCAAAAGACAGAATGCCTTCTGAGCCGCTTCTGATTGGTGGTCTGACTGACAACCTGCTTCGGGCTCGTCTGCCTTCTGTAGCCTCTTCAGCCGCATCTGTGGCGAACATTGTTTGCTCAGCGTTGGGCGTTGTAGGCTCCGACTTGTCATTCCATGGGAGGGATCCGCGGCGGAAGTGAGTAGACTTGGGTCGCAATGTCTCGTCAGCCTTAATGGCGTCTTGACAGACACGAGTTACAGTTGGAAGAGTGTTCCTCACGAATTGACTGCGGGTCATCCTGGTCTCGATATCAGCCACGTGCAGATCCGTGTTGAGCAGCAATATCGAGTAGCAGATTGTGTGGACGACATCTGACCTGTTGTTAGCGTGATCTCGAATTGTAGCATGGGCGAACTACATACCAACTTCTTTGAAGCCATGGGTGGGGTTGCACTCGCACCATCGCTCTGATAGACTCATCAAGATACGATCGACTTGCTGAGTCTCGGCTTTCAGTACGAGCTTGCCACACATGTCACGCATCGCAGCCAGAATAGTGAAGTTGGTCCAGTCAAACAGGCTCATAAAGGCCTTGCGAGTGCGCGCGGCGCTGAGAGTCACATCTCCGAGCATGGTAGCGGACTGTGACTTCTGCAGAGCCGACTCGTTGCCATTGAAGATTTTCCTTGCGCGCTCCATGTCGGCATCAGTGGTTTCAGTGTGCGTCGAGCGGTCATCGACAATCGAAGGTATGGTCTTGTCCGAATCGCGGGTCGGGACGTGGACTAAAGGCAGGCTTGTCGCAGAGTGGAAAACATCGTCTGCGGGTGAGGCAACATCTGGTGTAACCGGTACTGACGCCTGCTCTAGTGGTTGTGTGTATGAGCGTGCACCTTCCAAAGGCAGCCGCAGACGGTCGGTAACGTCAACAGGCGACTCTACAGTAACAGTAGTGTCGAGCCAAACACGTTTTGCACTTGGACTGTGTCCTCTCGCGTTCTTTACGTCCGTCGTTGGCGCTGTGACGACCCAGCCGTCTTCCTCTGCTGCTAATGTTCGTTGCGAAGCGGACCCGCTGTCAGGCGTCACTCTCGCATTAGGTATCAGTAGTCCAGGCTTGGGTTCTCCGCGTGCCTTGCTTTCGCTCGTTCCTTCCGCTAAGGTTTGTGTGAGTGACGAAGATGTGGGGCCAGGACTGGGCTTCCGTGTTTGAACCGCGCCACTGGGTTCGCGTACGGGGGACGCGCCATCACTCAAGTCTTCATTACAGCTGCTGCTGTCGGCAAGGAATGTGTCTTCCTGCGATGTTGCAACAGCTGGTGCCGGTTTTCCTTGCTTCGCCTTGAGCTTGAGCTTGGGGCCGCCTGTGCTCTGCAAATCGCTCTTCAATTGTTCGTTGCGTGACAAAGGAGGAGGTGACGCTTCTCGCGAGTCTGGTAATACGGTTCGCACTGTAGCATCTTTATGAGGTTTGTAGCCAGGCGAGAATCCTTGGGAGGGCTCACCATTCTGCTTGCCTCCAGTGCGTTGATGCTCTCGGCTCTCGTAAAACCTCTCGCCTGCAAGTGGAGACTCCACAAGGTAAGGGTTCATAACCTGGCGTAGACTGCTAACACTCGGGCTTGGCTGCGCAGTAACGAGCGGTCTTGGAGGCGCGAAGTCGAATGGCATGACTGGGGGTTTCGTGGTTTCCGAAATGGACTTCTTGCGTCTCCTGAAGAAGGATGAGGGCTTCTTGGCCAAGATAGGTGGTGCGGGTGGCTGCATCTCGCTTGGACAGCCTGCAGCAGACTGTGGCGGCTTAGGTAAGGACTTCAGCTGATTAGCGATGTGCGTAGTACTAGTAGGTGTCGTTCGCGGTCGGTTGTTAGAGTATATGGAGTCAAGTTCGGAGGGCCGTGACTGGGCCGATGCCGGAAGCTCCGCGGACGCGGTATTTGGAGGGTGGGAGGTAGCCGCTGGCTGTGGTTGGGTCTTGGAAGAGCTGCCACCAAATACTCGCCTGAAGAAGCCCGGTTTTTCCTTAGGTGCAGGAGCAGCATCTTGGGTTCCAAACAGCGACTTTCGTGTCCCCACGGATGGAGCCGGCGCCGTGGCTTCCTGGTATACTGGTACGGTCGGCAGATCACGCAGAGAGCTGGCTGCATTGACGAATTCCTGCGCCTGAGCTCTCATGGTCGGGTCCAGCTGGCTCTTGCCTTTTCTCAAGGTCTTGTAGCTGGTATTGGAGCGGATGCTGCCCCTGCGACGAGGTGCCGGAGCCATGAGAGGAGATGTGTAGGCTGATTGCTGAAGAGGCTGGGCAGTAACAGACTGCGGTGCCGGCTGCATTCGCCTAGGGCCCGCAAAGATGGTGGGTTCAGGAGCAGCATCGTATTCTTGGTCGTAGTTCATGTAGGCAGTCCTTCCTCTATCCAACACGGAGTCGTTGTTCGCAGAGGGCAAGACAGATCTCGTGCTGTGATCAAAGCTCGCAGAACGCTTTCCAAACCCCAATCGGTGTGTGCCTAAGATGCCTGTCTGCCCATAGTCCAAGCTCGATGAGCCGCCGCTGCTCTTGCTACCCTTGTTGCCGCCACCTCTCATGTGCGCTGTCTGCTGGTACTGCCCATTTGCGCCGTTTACCTGGCGCCGTGGGTAGGGGTCGCGTGCGCTGCCATTCCTGACCGAAGGCGAGGCAACGTTGTTGCTGCTGTTGCTTCTCCGTGCGCGCGAGTGGGACGGGTATCGAGGGGTCGAGTCGTCGGCGTGCAGGTCGTAGTCGGAGGACCCTGACGTCGTATACGTGTGTCCGCGATTGCGACTCCCTGGGGGCCTGTAGGAATTGTCTCTGATATAGAAGGACTCGTCTTCCCGCCTGCTGCTCAATGAGGCGCCAAACATGTTCCCCGTAGAGAACTGGTCCAAGGAAAGCAGCATGTTGTCGACGACCGAGTCCCGTGCAGTAGCTCCCTCGGCGAAGGAGAGGTCGTGGGAGTCGCGCAGCTGATGCGGCTCTGACTCGGCCCTCGAGCCTCCGGCATTGTCCACAGGCGTCGCATCGTCGAAGAAGGTTTCTTGCCTCGGCGGATTTGTGTTGAGAGTCCGCATGGTGCCGTTCCCTCGGTGCGTCCTACTCGGAGCCGTAGGCGTGCTCGGCCGGTCGTCGTCGTGTGCGTAGGCAGGCATGATAGGCGTCGTTGCCGGGTGGGCCGGCTGCGTGGACAAACGCCCGAAGCCAGACGCTGGAGCTCTCTCCGCTCTCCCTCAGCAGTACCAAGACGGCGGGATCTGCGAAATCGTCGACGGTCCGTGTGGCAGATGGTGGCACGCGCAGGTGCAGCGGACGGTGTAGATGCAGTTGCGGGAGGTCGCGGGCGAAGCTTGCGCTGTCACCCGTGAAGCGTTACTCGTCGCCAGCAGCGGTAGCCGGCCTTTAGGTCCAAAATGCAGGATAGTCTGCTCGCATAATGCGAGGCAGAAACAGCGGACTGGGTGACCCACGCGCTGGTCGATGCGGGGACGCGGGCCAAGGACGTCGAGCTCAGGGGTTCCTTGTTACAGTCGGCGTTGTAACTCCCAGCTGCACTGCTGCAGCACGGTGCGGCCAAAAAGAGCCGCGCGTGGGAGGCTAACGCTGCACTTGGCCTCGTTGCTGCAGAGCCAATTTTCGGTGCCGCTGCCCGTAGATTAATATGGAGAGGCTAGGGCCAAGAACACAAGGAGAAGAGTGAAATAGAGCGCGGCGCCGACGCGTCCAGCGTGCAAGTTTGGGCGACGCTGAGATGATGCTGATGCTGATGGACAATTAGTCCGCCTGCTATGAACGTTTCAGGACGGCGTGCAGGTGCATCCCTGATCGTCCTGGCTTTCCCGTCTTGGAGGGCAGCACGGCCAACTCAAGCTCGAGTTGCAGCTGCCAATCTGCTGCTGCATCCTGTCTTCTCAAGCTTTCTACGCTTCTGGTCGACCATCTGCCGGACACCCTCATGAAACACGGCGGACAGTTAAAGTGTGACCTGCATTGGGCACGACGAATCAGGCACAGGCTAGTCCTCTCGCTTGCGCGCCTGTGTTGCTCAGGGACCGACCTCATCCCTGTTGCTGTCGCCCAGCGGACGCACCTCGACGAATGCGGAACCACATTGAGAACGCGGAACCACATTGAGAACGCGTCGGAGTATTGGCTCCACCTGCAGCGTTCCTGGCGAGAAACTGCCACCTCCAGGAGAGATCAACACTCGACACAGCGCCTGTGAGACGTCGACGCGGAGAACAGCCCCGACTCTGGCGCGAACCCACGTTCGTGTACTGGCCAGCTGTGGCGTGACCCCAGGCTGCTACAAGCCTACAAGACGACATCTCGACTCTTGGCACCGGTGACTGCCTTGGCATACCTCCGCAACTGGAATGTTACTCGAGATTGCAGTCCTCTAGTTCGCAACGTAGGGTTTGATCTCGTATTGGAAGAGCAGTCGAACAACCCAATTCGACGTCTCATACGTCAGGCCCGGTTCTCAGCTTTCCTGCCGGGCTCAGGTCTTGCGTGCAGAGCAATTCATGCTTCGCTTCCACTACGGGTACATTAGCCACGCTTGTTTGCAAAGTACACATGCCCTCAAACCTGGGCACTGGGTGGCCTAATCCCCTCTTTTGCAATTCGCGGAGTCGTGAAGGTATTGCGTGTTAGTACCTGCTCACGTTGACATACTAATCTGCACGATTTGCTCTGTTTCCCCGAACGATGCGGCTCTGGCTTGCATGGACTGGAGATTGTGAACGGCCGCTGAGCGGACTCTCAGCACGTATACGTATCGTCGTGCCAGCCAGGAGGTTCTCAGCCACTGCTATTATATGCACTCTTTACTCGATGTATCATGCTGAAGTGCAAGCATGCTGTACAGTGGCGGTCAGACCATGTGCATTTCTGATTCTCTTCACAGTACTCCCGGGCACGGAGTCTCTAAAAGAGAACGAGTCGCTTTCAGGGCGCTCTAATTCTCCAAGCGTCTTGCATCATGCTGTCAAATTGTGAGAATTGCCAGCGCCGAAATGTAGTCGTTAGCACCCATATTGCGAAGTGGAAACCACAGCGAATACCTCCGCTCCGACTCGAAATTGTGCCGTTAGTGAAGGGAGCAAGACAGACCCATCAAGCTTAAAAAGTTGCAATGTTGTTGTGCATCATCTTGCATATGAGTGGTGGTGTAAGTCGCGCTAATTGTGGGCGGAAACGGGCGACATCCCTGTCGATGTACGGAGATATCATGCTTGTTCAGCAAAACTTTGGACGGAAGCTCACGACAACACATTGAACCGTACTGTCGCCATCATGCGCCGCGCACAGGGATTGAGAGTAAAGTTGCCTACCATCAAGCTACAATCTGAATACCGCTAACCGTGCAGGTCTCTTCGACTCGCGAGATCTGCGTCTTCTGCGCCACTCGACAACTGGCAACCTCGAATGCGCCGTCGGCACAACGGAGATACCTAAACTCGTCAAGCAGAGCACTCGACGCCGAAGCACAATTGTACAGAAAAGAAGATGCACCTGCTCCACGACCGCTTACTCAGGCGGAGAGGATGCGCAGGGCTTTGGCCGCAGCGGCGGCGCCTGCGCCTGCGCCCTCACAATCTGCTCAAGGTGGCTTCATATCAACTGCGCAAAGAATGAGAAATTCGTTGGGAGGTCAAGACTCCAGAACACAAAGCCCAGCGCAACGGCAGCCAGCGCAGGACAGACGTACGCCGAACCGGAACGGCTTGTTTGATGGACTGGGGCAGGGTCAGAGGGCTACGCCCGCTCGGAGGATGGGCAACGAAGGACGGTTCGAGTCAAGACCACCGCAACGGGATCGCTTCAGGGTGAACATGGACGCAAGACCTCAGTTCGACACACCCGCGTTCGGCTCAGGACACCTGCGGCGGAGGAATGAACCAAGCAACGATATTGCGCAAGAAGCCGAGGAGCAGCAGACACGGCAGCCCATACGTGCGGCACCGAGCAGAGGCAAGCTAGATCAGAGCGAACTCGATGCACTGTTGGGGAACACCACGGGTCGGCCTTCGAGGCCTTTCCAACCCCTCGCAAGAAACTCGAACGCACAGCGGAAGTGCTTTAACTGCGGATCGACAGATCACCTGAGCTCTAATTGCCCGAACAAGCCCACATTCCGCGAGCGACCGAATGTCCAAAGCTCTGCGCCTCGCGCGACTACCACGTACACACCACCGCAGCCCAGCCGAATGACGGCATGGAACCCACCAGGTGCTACGCAGGAATCACTAGCAGATGCTGCGAACGAATGGGTGACTAAGAGGGGCTCGAGGCTGGAGGTCGAGCCTCAGAGCCACCAGGTTGAAGAAGATTGGGACAACAAGCGCCGCGACGTCGAGAAGGAGCGCCGACGAAGACGTTTCGAGGTTGATGACGAGGGCACTACAGAGGTGCGCAATCGCTACGAAGAGCCTGAACGCCGTAAAGTCGGAGGTCGACAGAACAGACGTGTAATGCGAAACGATGAGGAGGACGAGCCCGATGATCGATACGTCAGCAAGAAAGAGCAGAAGCGTCTGCGCAAGGAGGCGAAGAAGACAGCACAGTTGCAGAAAGCCGAGCCAACGCCTATCACTCTGCCGGAGTACATCAGTGTGGCCAACTTGGCTACAATGTTGAGGTTGAGGGTGGAAGATTTTGTCACGAAATTAGAAGAGCTTGGTTTCGAGGACGTGCAGGCTACTCAAGTCCTCAACGCTGAGCACGCAGGTTTGATTGCGCAGGAGTACAACTTTGAACCTACATTCGAGGGCGAGCATCAGGATCGCGATCTCTACGCTGCTCCTGAGACAACCCCTGAGGAGTATGCCGAGCTGCCTGCCAGACCGCCCGTGGTTACCATTATGGGCCATGTCGATCACGGCAAGACCACGATCCTCGACTACATGCGCTCGACAAGCGTTGCAGCTGGCGAATTCGGCGGCATCACGCAGCACATCGGTGCCTTCAGCGTGCCTCTGGCCAGCGGCAAGAAGATCACCTTCCTCGACACACCCGGCCACTCAGCGTTCGAAACCATGCGCGCTCGCGGTGCCAATGTAACGGATATTGTGGTTTTAGTCGTGGCCGCGGACGATTCAGTCATGCCACAGACAGTGGAAGCCATCAAGCATGCTCAGGCAGCAAGGGTCCCAATAATTGTTGCAATCAACAAGATCGACAAGCAGCAGGCCGATCCTGACGCTGTTAAGCTTGACCTCGGCCGCCACGGAATCGAAGTCGAAGACTTTGGCGGAGATGTCCAAGCCATTCCCGTCAGTGGTAAGACCGGTCAGGGCATCCCCGATCTCGAAGAAGCCATCTCCACACTTTCCGAGCTACTTGACCACCGCGCTGATCCCCAAGCCAACGTCGAAGGCACTGTTCTCGAGGGCACAACAAAGAAGTCCGGCCGCGTAGCCACGGTACTGGTCCGCAGCGGCACCCTCCGCCAAGGCACAGCGCTCGTCGCAGGCACAACATGGACGCGCGTCCGCAGTCTCCGCAACGAAGCCGGCGTCGTGGTCACGGAAGCTGGCCCCGGTATTGCCGTCGAAGTAGACGGCTGGCGCGACCAGCCCATCGCTGGCGACGAGGTCCTGCAAGCCGCCGACGAACAACAAGCAACCGCCGTGTCCACCCTGCGCACCGAGAAAATCGAACGCCAGCAAATGGCCAAGGACATGGAGGCCATCAATATCGCGCGCCGCGAAGAGTCTGAGCGCCGAGAAGCCGAATCTGCAAAGGAAGCCGCTGAGTCCGGCGACGCTATCCCAGAGACACAAGTCAAAGAGAAGGGGCCCGAGGTTGTGTCCTTGATCATCAAAGGCGACGTCTCGGGCTCCGTCGAAGCCGTCATCGACTCGATATCCGGGCTCGGCAACGCAGAAGTCAGCACGCGCATTCTGCGCCACGGCGTCGGTCCACCGTCCGAGTTCGACATCCAGCATGCCGCAGATGCAGAGGGCCACATTGTTAATTTCAACACCGTGACCCCTGCGCACGTAGGCAAGCTCGCGGAGGAGAAGGGCGTCACGATCTTCAACAGCAACATCATCTACCGCACAGTAGAGATGGTGAGGGATCTGCTGAGCGCGAAGCTGCCTCCCAGCATCGTCCAGAAGGTAACCGGCGAGATCGAGATCGCAGCCATCTTCGAGATTGGACTCGGTGGCAAGAAGAAGATGAAAGTCGCTGGATCGAAGGTGCGCAACGGCATTGTGGCACGTGGTAGCAAGGCGAGGGTTCTTCGCGGCGATGCGATTGTCCATGATGGTAAGTTAATGCATCTCCTGATCAGCGCTCGAACATATCCTAATAATTACAGGCCTCATCGAGAATATCAAGAATCAGAAGAAAGATGTCGAGTCTATGCGCAAGGATACTGAGTGCGGTATCTCGTTCAAGGATTGGGAGGACTTTGAGATCGGGGATAAGATTCAGTGTTACGAGGAGACGCAGCAGAAGAGGACGTTGTAGGATGCTTTGTAAACCGCACTTTCGCATTTGGGTTGCATTCAATAGGTGTGAACAGGGGCGCGTGTATTATAGAAGCTAGACTAGACGTATGTACGAGCAACGTGTAATGCCTTGTCGAGAAAGCAGCGTTGATGTGTAGGCACAGGCGGACTTCTGTTCTCGTTCGGCTTACCTAGCCCAAGACACTATGATGGGGTCCCGCTCTGCCTGCCGCTCGAAATTATTGGCACCTTCGGTTGACCGTGCAATGCCCATGACGAGCTTTGCCGAGAGCGGGGCCATTGAGGTTAAATTAATCGGAGATAATAATTTAATTAAAGTCTGAAGTTACATGAAAAGTATCCAGCTTCCTTGGTGTAGTCGGTTATCACGTCGGTCTCATATCTCGTCGAGTATGACTGTTCCAAGAACAGAAATCCGAAGGCCGCCAGTTCGAATCTGGCAGGGAGCATTTTTTGGCCTCGCATCGCTGCGGGCTCATACCTTTTGCACCTCTACCGGGGTGGTTCACTTTCCCAGGGCGTTTTGTGAAGGGTCATCTGATTTTTCGGGGGTGCGTGTGGAACTGAGGCTCTGCTGGGCTAAAGACGAACCGCACACAAGCAACCACGAATACCAGAACTGAACTTTCTAAATTTTTGCTAGGGAGTGAAACTTGAACAACTGGTCTGAATAAGAAAGAGCCTTAGTGCGGGAGGCGCGAAACGATGTCTATATCATGCGCGACGTTCGAAAACCTTAGGTGCAAGGTTGCCACAACACAACCCCGCGATGAACTTGCTTGATGTGGAAAGAACATTGATTTCCGTAGAAAACTGGACTACGGGAGGGGCAAAGAGCAACGGGAGGATCAATTTCGATGGAGGGGGGGAGGGGTAGTTTCACCCAGCTCGATGGCTGCCCACACTACAATGTTGGCTGCAAGCAAGCTGTCCAAAACATCTGAGAACGCAACACACTGGCATTCTTGATAGGTAACCTTTCGGTCTCTACGAGACCGCCAGATACCATGCGCGCGACCAGACTCTGAGATCCATGTCCTGGAGATGGAGACGGTTTTCGTGGTCAACTTGTCGAGCAAGGCAAAAGTCAATTGGCATCATCATACATATTCGTATTGCCTAGCACTGCTCGTCGGCCTGCCGATGCCATTCCGAGAAGCCATCGTTCCTTTCGCAAGGCTTTTACGATTTCTACCCAGAGCTCAGGGTGACGGTTCTCCATTTTTAGAGACCACATGCCCCGTTCGAACAACCCAGGATGACCAAATAACGCGTGTACGTCGATGGGCCAATAATTCATTGGGTCCCCCCGAGCTATTGTTCCCTTGTAGATGTTCCTCACATTGGCTATACATGGACAGTGTGCAGCATTCCTCCTGGTCGCAGTATTCATCGACTTGATCATTGCGTCAATAAGCAGATTTCTGTCTCTCTCATCTCGGACTGTGTCGCAGAACAGATAAAGGCGCACGATATTACCATGGACTTGCGACAGATGCCTTGTGGAGGACGATAAGCCCAACACCTAAATGATACGTATTGTATGTAGTCCGTCCTCATCCCCGAAGATCGAGAGCTCTTCCTTCACATCGTCTCCCAATTCCTCCTGTATCCACGCCAAATGTTCTGGGTCGTAGATAGCAGCCCTTCCTATGCGTTCAAAGAGTCGGTTCTCAGTATCGATGAGCTGCAACAGAAGGAAAACATTGCGGCCTTTGTCTATGTCGGTTTGGGCATCACCGGTTGTCCGGTGACAAGGCAAGCAGAAGAGATGGAGATCTCCACACTGTTCTAGAATCGAGACGTCATCTACAGCCTGGTCGTCGATGGTCAAGAAATCGGAAATAGATGTCCTCATGAGGCCTTGTATGCGGTCTGACAAAATGGTTGTTGCAAGAAACCATCCGCCGATTCTCCACGAGTATTCTGTCCCACGTCTCCATGGAAAAAGATACAAGGGTTGAAGATAGCCCTGTAGGTCTAACCAGCCGCCACGGATTTGTCCAGTCATGTCATCTGTAGTGTAGTCGAGATGCACTTGCTTGACCCAGATTGCAAGGTCCTTTCCGTCTAATGAGCACTCCAAGTGAGACGCCGGCTTTATGACACCCTCGTTAGATGCCCATGACCAAGTTGGCGCGCGATAACCGTCTGGTCGAGTCGCTGCAGGACTAGCAATCGACCACATAAGCGACTGTTCGAGTATTCTTCTCCACATGCCGGCAATGTACGTATCCTCCATTTTTGCCGCGACCACTTTCGCAATGCCTGACAGAGCAACAAGCTTGTCCTCTGAACGTGTGAGCGATGTTCCTGTATACGCGTCGACCATGCTATCCCAAAATTCCAACCAGGGAATGAGTTCAGTCTGTTTAGCAGAAGGCTGATCAACCTTCGCCAGGTAGTTTGGCTGGTTACACCAGATCGTGGGTGGAAAGCCATAAGGGTATTGTTCGCACGCGATATGCTTATGGCACTCCCAAACGATTTGATCATGGCAGAAATGTAGGACCCTACGTGCTAACATTCTTTCCTGGAACACCCAGCCTCGTCGGCTGAGCGCGCATTCAGTAATACTCTTACGCCCTAGCCAATCGTTGGAGAGGAGATACAAGGGGTGTGCGCTTTCAGATACACATTTGTCATTTTTGCAGATGCTGATATTCATGTCGCCCAGCACATGCGGGTTCCGATCATGGAACAGACCAGATGAGCTGTCTCCTGCATGGGATGCTGATATGTTGCACAGCGCATTTGAGTATACCTTACCCATTTGGCTTGCTTCTGATGCCCAGTCTGAAGGACTGTCTTGTATGATGCAGAGCGAGTCGATCCAAAGATAACGGGCCTGCAACTCTCTCGATACCTTTATAGCCTCATGGAAGGTCACAGGAAGTTCCACGGTGTCTATGTCGATACGCAACCAGTTGAAGTTTTGAGTGGTTAGCTTCAAGAAGCTGGCGTCTCCCCATCGGTGGCTCAAGGTTGTATAAGGCCCTTTAAGAGCTTCGTCTTGACTAGTAACCAGACGCAAATTGAAGAACTCTCGATCATCGCAACCCAGATCCAGGAGACGAGTTGGGTACCATTGAGTAGGCGAGAAATCCTGCGAGCAGGTGCTATGACAGCTGACACACTCTTCAAGCCATGCTTTCGCCAGGGTCAAAGATTCTCGTGACGAAGTTGAACTTGTGGTCAATGTCGCACTTGGAGGTCCCAGGCCGTCGACTAAATCATTATCAGCAAACATGCTTGCACCATTCGAAGGCCCAACTGACTGGTTCCAGGGTACAGAGTAAATGAGCTGAGTTTGCGCCACGCTTTCTGATCCTTCAACCAAATTGTGTAGGACACAAAGCCATCATCGCCATTGAACCGAAGGCCAGCATACGTCAGGAAAGGCCATCCTGTGGTTGTACTGATTTCCTCGATCTTCGCCCCATCTGCGTCTGCTAGGTTCATCCATCCCTCCACTTTCATACCGTTCCAGGCTTGCCAGCAAACATGGCAGTTGCTTCTGACTGAATTTCGAAAGTCGGATAGTCTTGGATGGTGGCCGTATCTTCCGGACCAGTAAGATCTGATCCCGCACCCATCCTTGGCTTCTGCGACTTCCACCGTTCCCGCCCCCCTATCCTGTCGGAGGCTGGCCTCAAAAGTGAGCGGGGTGAAGAGATTAATGTATCGGTCTTCGTAGTATAAGAGGTTTCGATCTTGCTGGAGGATGTGTAAACAAGTGCTGCAAAGCATCTTGCCTTCTAGAAGGTACTCTGGCGTCTAGAGATTGCAGACCTAGCACTGTCAATGATGATGAGTCGCGGCTCCGGCTGAGGGTGTCAAGTGACATCTTGGGGTGGGGTCGACGTAGGATCTGATTGTGGCGCATGTGCACGTGCAGGAATCCTTGCCAGCGGACCGATATACCGGAAGGGAATACGAAAAACAGCCAAGTCCACCCTTCAATTGCCTATCCGATTTGAGCCTGTGTACGTAAGTGCCTCAGACGAGAGCTGCGATCAGATGTACATGGTGCGGATAGCGTGCTGACTGTTGTCGTAGCACATACGCGGGCACGTCTGCTTCACCATCCAAGGTTCTCGTCTTCGTCAGCCTAATTCAACATGTCTATCTGCCTCTTGTGACCTCTCGATACGTCGAATTTTCAAACAAGCCCGTTGCAGGGTCAGCAAGTCAACCATCCGAAGCAGTAGAAGATCGAACTCGCCGCGGTTGAGATCCGGGTTTCCGTACAGGGCCATGGACAATCGGCGTTGTTCGTCAACGTCTTTGTAATGATCTGCGTCGGCGGACTGGACGTCGAGCCAGACTTTTGTGAAAGCGGAGTCGGGTCATTCTTCCCATACGGGACATACAACGATAACTATTATTCGTGGACATGTGCCAGTTTAGGTTGCACCCGCAAGGCTTCGGAGGTTGCGGCGGTAGCCGCAGAGAGATAGCTTTGGCTTAGCACTCAGAAAATGCTGGCAGTGCTCAAAAACCCCTATAAAGATACCGCAGAGCATGACCGGTGAATTTGGATGATATAGGTGATGTGAGAGCTGGTGATTATGTTGAAGGATTCGAGCGGACCTCTAAGTTGAGATGGATCAGTCCGCGGAACCACCAGCATTTGCAGCCTTGATCAACCTGTCTTTCCTTCCGTCCTTCCACGCCTTGTCCAATGCATCGAGCTTGCCACCAAGCACCTGCAAACTACCAGGTTCAAGCATAATCACCGCTCTCTGCACCTCGATGTTTCGAAGCAGAAGCTTCGCACCCATGCTTACATTTGTGCTTAGTCCATCGATGCCCCGTAGGTCCAGTGCATATATGTGCAGTCCTTTGGCGTCCTGGAGCAGTAGTTTGAATGGACCTTTACTCTGTGTGGATGCAACAGCTTGACCAGAGTCATCATTCTCAGGTTCAATGACTCGTACAATCTCTCGTCCTTTGGTCATCTCACCGCGCTCTCTTGCCTCCATAGCTTCGACTTGGGACCAGCGCGACTTCCCAATGTCCTCGATGTCGAGGACTTGACAGACGATTGGACCTGCAAGAGTGCGAGACTGAACCATGCCGTTTAGTATGTCTGCTGGCAAGACTGATGCTGCGGGCTGTTCCAGTGAGGATGTGATGTCAGTTGCAAGAAGGCGGAAGAGGCATGTCTGCTTCAGCGCAGCAAGTGCTGTGTTTGGACGCTGAGTCGATAGGAAGCTCTGCAGCCAAGCCGGTTTGGGGTGAAGGTGTCTCGCTGCAAGATGCTGCACGAGCTCTTCTGCAGCATTGTTCGCCATCTTAGTGGTTTTTGGACGTGAAGTCGGTTTCCAGCGATTGTGCTGTAGTCCCCACGCCCGAAATACGAGGAAGACGCGTCGCGTAAATGACGTGGGGAGCTCCTTTCTACAGCGGCCTTGGCACCACCGCGAGCTTCAACATGCCACCTCACTTTTCAAAACACCCATGCCATACCGAGAGCCTGTAGAACACCAGAATAAGGCCCCATAATGTCCACTATAGCTTCGCCGCGCGCGAGCTCCTCTATACGTAGCCCCTCGTCCACACGCAACTCATTCGATAGCTCCACGCGACCACCGCTGAATGCGCGCCGTAACCGGGCAGCGCTCCGAGACTACTATGGTATTAAGAATGCTCAGAAAGAGGTAGATGCCAAGATTTCAGAGGAGTCGACCAGGACAGGGCTAGGCCCTGAAGAAGACGAGACACTGACAGAACTGGATGCCGCCGACTTCGATGCTGAGGCCTTCGTAGACGGTCTACTCGCAAAAGAGGGCTTGAAGGGCGTGTTGAAGGTCGAAGCTGATCTTATATCACGTATGGCATACCTGCACATGATATATAGCATCTTGCTGACGAGGGATAGAAATCAGGAACCTCGACAGCGATAGAAAGTCCCTCGTCTATGACAACTACTCGAAGCTGCTATCTGCAACAAGTACTATCCGTCGAATGCGCGGTAACATGGACCCCTTGGCACCAACTACCCACACACTCGGGCCTGCAATAGCGCATATCGCCGAGACCGCTGCCTCGCTCTCTTCCTCCATGCAAAGTCTCCAGAGTAAGCCTGACGGATTAGGCATCGATATACACATACAGGGCGAGCCAGACGAGGAGGAACAAGCTGTTAGGAAGAAGAAGCAGCAGCAGCAGGAGACTGTCAGATGGGTGTTGGGCACACCAAGACGCCTGCGTGATTTGATAGACCAAGAGCAGGAGGAAGAGGCTGCAAAGGAATGGGAGGACGTGAGCAAGATTCTTGACAAGTGGAAGGGTGTTGCTGGTGTCGAAGACCTCCGAGCAGCTTGCGAGAGCATCTTGAACGAGGATGCAGAGTCCGACTGAGCCCCACTTCCATGGCAATACACAACATGTACCTGGCGAACGAAGGCCACCATGACTCGAGCCTGGATACAAACTGCAACCAGCACGACTCTTATGGTGCCGAACAGCTTTAGCTAGGCGCTGTACGATTACGCCGCGCAAAGCATTTTGCGGAGGACCGGTCTTTTGCGATTGGTGGAACAATGCAACCAGGATCCTACATCTGATCTTACCGATCTGCAAGCTCTCTACCCCGGATAACAGTCCACCGTGGTCAATGTTTGTGCCGATGCCGTATGGTCGCTGCACGTCGGCGCTTTTGAGCCGTGGCTGGATCTGCAAATCTGGGTATGATAGGCTCCATACAACACCAGCCTCCTGCATGCTAGCCACCTCCACTACAAAGGCTTAGCTACTACCCCACCGCTCTCACTTAGTCCGACTTCCGAAAGCTCTGAGCTCTGTGTGGGGTATTGTGGGGAAGCTTGCAGCGGAAAGCTTTTCCCACGCTGAATCTAAGCTTCGAGGGGCCCCAGCTATAGCAGCCATCGCGGATGACTTGCCGAACGTGAGGGAACTGCACGACTCAGATCTTGTCCCAATGGCATATAAAGCAGGTGGAACGTCGTTACTGCTGCGAGGAGGAGCTAGCCAGAACAGCATTGCATTTTCAATTTCACAATGGTGCGCGTCACAACATCAAGCTTAGCCGCTCTGGCGCTGCTCGCTCCTGTAGCATCATCAGTTTCAGTAGCAGAAAACTTTCTCGAGACGTTACGCACCCCGCGCCCCTTCCATGCTCAGACGTCGCCAAACCGGAACCGAACCTGCGTCGCTGAGTCCCACAACGACCACAAGACAGACGATGCAGAGCACATCCTCAAAGCAGTCAAAGACTGCAACAACGGCGGCCACGTAATCTTCGCCGAGAAGCAGACCTACACCGTCGCCTCACCGCTGAACCTCACCGGCCTCTCGTCCGTCGACCTCGACATTCAAGGCACCCTCTCCTTCCCCTCCGACAATCTCACCTACTGGCAAGCCAATACCTTCGACTTGCAATACCAAAACGCCACGTCTTTCTTCGTGCTGGGCGGCAGCGATATCAACGTCTACGGCTCAGGCACCGTGCAAGGCAACGGTCAGGCATGGTGGGACGAGTTTACCACCAACAAGGCACTCAAGCGCCCGGTGCTGTTCGCCGTCGTCGGGCTCGAGGGCGGCAGCGTGAGCGACATAAAGATGCGTAACTCGCCGTTCTGGCACAACATCATCGTAAACTCGAGCGACGTCGTGTACTCGGGCCTGGATCTGTTCTCGACCAGCAACAACGGCAATTTCGAGAAGAATACGGATGGCTGGGACGTGTACCGCAGTGAGCGCGTCACGATTGAGAACTCAACCATCACCAATGGCGACGGTAACGTCACCTCCCTGCCCGCTTCTCCCGTGCAACCACTAATCGAATCGCAGACTGTGTCTCTTTCAAGCCAAACTCGACATCGATTCTTGTGCAGAACCTGCAGTGCAACGGCACGCATGGCATCTCCGTCGGCAGCCTGGGCCAGTACCCGGCGCGCATCGACTACGTGCTCGACATCCTCGTGCGCAACATCAGCATGTACAACTCGTCCGAGGGCGCGCGCATCAAAGTGTGGCCCGATACGTACGCGGAGAAATCCGCATCGCTGACGGGCGGCGGCGGCAGGGGGCTCGTGCGCAACATCACCTACGACGGCATGTTTCTGGACAACGTCGACTACGGGCTCACCATCACGCAGTGCTACGGGCAGGACGACGAGACCGAGTGCTTCAAGCACCCGAGCAAGCTGAACATCACGGATGTGACGTTCCGCAATATCCGCGGCAGGACGAATCGCGTCTTCAGTCCGATTGTGGCGCATCTGGTGTGCTCGAGTCCGCACACGTGCTCGGGGATTGTGGCGGAGAATGTGGATATCCGGACCGTGAATGGGAGTAATCTGGTGACGTGCCGGAACGTGGATGAGAGCACGCTGGGCGGGTTGGATTGCACGGATTGGAGCAAGGGGTATAATCCAGCGTAGAGATGCAGTTGATTAGCTGCAAATCGAGACCGTTGCGTCGGACGAGGCTCATCGCCTCATCCCCCAGATATCTCCGCCGACAGTGATGACCTTGCCCTCGCCCTCCATCTCGCTCAGCAGCCCTGCGATTTCCTCCTCGCCAAACGGAAATCCGCCTGCCATCATCATCCGCATCATCATGAGTATCCTGCCGACCGGCACACTCCCCTGCGCCGTCAACATACTCGTGATAAACGTCTCATACACATCCCTATTCTCGTTGAACAAATCCTGCTGGCTGCGGACCGCGGTCGCCTGCGCGGCTTCCACGGCCGCCAACTCAGCAGCCGCCGCTGCAGCAAGCTCATCCGCCTTGGTCTTGGAGTCCGACTTGGGGAGGGTTTCGATGACGGCATAGGTATCCGGGCCAGTCTCGCGGAGCACGCTCCTGCCGACCCAGAACGCAACCGTCTGCCTGACAAGCGCCTCGTCCATGTCTAGCATCTCCTCGAGCTGGCTTACGTTCCTCGCGATCCCCTCGCCGTTCCTCCCCACCTTAGCCGCGATGTGCTCTTCGCCCGGCTGGGGCTGGAACGCGTGCACAACGCTGACCTGCCAGGGGGTCAGGCTATCGAACTGCTCGGTGCGGTCTGCGAAGTCGAGTGTGATGGATCCCGAGCCCAGCGCGTTCATCCAGCGAAGTTTGCGCATGCCTTTTATGCGGGTAAAGGCCGTGCCGTATGTTTCTTGGAGCGTGGAGATCGGAGCGGGGACGCGGAAGCCGTCGTCTCGTAGTAAAGGCCAGAAGAAGGAGGACAGGATTTGCGCGTTAAGAGTTGGGCCAGGTGCTGCGGCAGCTGCTGAGGGTCCGAGTGAGCCGGCTTGCGCGCCGCGCCGCGGTTGGGGCGTACGTGGGTATCTGGTGTTTGGCGTTCGGGGGCCTCGAGGGCGTTGCTCGGGAGTGGAGAAGGCTTGCTGTGCTTGTGAGGCTGTGGCGGCGCGGATGGAGGCGTTGATGCGTTTGGAGTCTAGGACGTCGCGGAGCATGACTTCGGCGGCTTGGAGGTTGCTGTCGCCTAGACGCATCTTGATGAGCTCGAGGAGCCGGATCTCCTTCTCGTACTCGGGATCTGTGCAGCGCAGGAGATGATCACCAAGGATGTTCTTCAATTCATTGATGAAGTCGTCGCGCTCCCATAGCGTCAGCAAGAACCAGATGACGTCCTCTACCTTCGACTTCTTGTACTCGGGCGATGCATCTTGTGGCAGAGGCTGCCAGTTCATATCGTTCCAGTTCAGCTCCTCGTCTGCGTCTTGACCAAGGTTTGTGAGAGGCTTCGCCATTTCGCTGGCAATCTCATAGGACAGCTCGCCGTTGGAGGAGAACTTGCTGCCCGTCTCATCATTGAGATCGGTGAGCAGGCTCGATATAATGATCCGTCCCGTGTCTTCCCGCTCCTTCAGATATCTGCGGATCGGTCGAGCGACCCTCTCCAGCAGCACACCCTTTGGCTCCAATTCATGAAAAGAGCGGATGATGAAGATGTAGACGTTCAGGATGTAGGTGGTCGTCACACCCGGGTGCAGTAAGCGCCTCGAGACCTGCTGCGAGAAGCTGGATGTGACGTGTTGTTTTGCGCCGGTGACTCTAAGGTATTCCTTGATGTCCAGGATAGCACCTAAGCTCTTGTCCCAGTGGATGACGAAGTCAAAGAGGTTGTCAACTCGCACCCGTCCCAGCCTGCCCAGTGCCATCTCTTGACACGCTGTGACTTCGGTAGGCAGAACGCTGCTCTGTTCGCAACGCAGACATTCCAGTACCAGCTCGACGAGTGGACAGAAGCCGTCTTTGACCCATTCTTTAAGATGCGGCACGACCGACTTCCTGTCGTACCAGTCAACCTTCATGTAGTGGCTGTTAATGAACGAGTCAAGCAGCTTATGCATGGCATGCGCAAACGCCTTTTGCGCGCTCTCACCACCCAGCCCAACGCGCTCAAGCCCTTGAAGAAGCGTCGTCATCTGCTGTCGAACCTCTGTCGTATTCTCCGGTAAAGCGCTCGGCTGAACACCATCTTGCCGTGTATATATGCGGAACAGTCTGCACCCCGCGTCATGCAAGACATAGCCCAATGTCTTCGAGAACCTGCGCGGAGCAACACAATGCGCAAACAGCGCATGCACATCCCTCCTAAACTTCCACTCGGCACGCTCCGCCTCATCCTCGTCTCTCCTGCCTGGCCTCGTCGATCGTGTCGTCGCCGCACTCCCCAGAAACGGAAGAACATGCTCATTGAACGGCTCGAGGTACACATTCTGCACCTGCTTGAGCACCCGCTGAGTCTCCCCCAGCACATCCCAAGCCCGTGCAATCTTCACCTCGTCCCTCCAGAGCGCATCCAGTTCCGGCCGGACATTGCTCGCAAAGTGCAGACGGCATTCATTCGTATACCACTCGCACAGCGCCTCCTCGCCGTCCCTCGCATCCTCGCCAACCCTGCCCTCCCCCACCAGCAAGTAGATGAGCGCATCCTCGACTTCGCGTGTGCGGTGCAGTATCCGCGGCACGGCAGGTACGACCTTATCCAGACTCAAGAATCGTGTAGCGCAGCTCCATGCGATCGTGCGCTTGACCTGGCGGTGTGTGCTGCTGTCGTGCAGCTCTGCCTGGCGCGGTATGTAGGGGCTGCCGAATGCGGCGCTGGGGACGGTGACGCCGAGGTCGGGCGTTGCGACTGGTGTGGGTGTTGTGTGGGAGAGCGAGAGTACGGGGAAGACGGAGGAGAAGACGAGGGTGCGGTGGTCCATGATGCGCCGAGGTGCTGCGGAGCCCCGCGAGAGGATTTGGGTTGTGCGGGCGTTGGTGGTGTTGTGTGTGAGGTCATGGGAGTCGCTGACTGTTTAGAGCGTGACGCGAGTATTCGTGGGGTATCATTCGTCGTGGTGTGGTTGCGCGGGAAGCTGCGTTGTGTTTGATTGTATTGTTTGTTGGTCGCGGTTGCCGGTGATTGCAACGCAGCGCGCCTATCGATACGCGAAAGCACGTGGGGCCCCATTGAAGGAAAGCAATGCGAAGGGCTTCGTGCTATTGTTAAGCCGCCCAAGTGAATCCTAAAACCACATTCGTTTACCGTGAACATCATTTGAAAAAAAAACCCCGGTCGGAAGCCATGAGGTCGTTGCCTCCCAGTACACCAATGCTGCGCCACCGTAATGTCCGAAAGATGCAGCAAGAGAATCCCATCGCACCCGCCCCTGGAACAGCAGCTTGGCTCCCTATGGCCTCAGCACACCGTGTCTCCTCCTGAACGCCTCCACTCTCTCTTCGTAGAACAGAATCTCCCGCACCCTCAGCTTCGGTCCGCGGTGCTCTTCATGCATGAAATCATCGTCGTCGCTGTCCTGATCATGACCCCCGTCGCTCGCCTCGCTCTCTGTATCCTCTCCTGCGTGACCCGTTCCACCGTCATCGTCATCGTCGTCTTCGTCTTCCGTGGCCTCGCTCTCATCGTCGCTGATGATGACCGGGTCGTGCTCCGCATGGCTGTGTGCGCTGGGACCGCCTTCGCCACTCATACTGTCGCTTCGTAAGTCGTAATTCGTTGGTCGGTTTTCAAGGATCTCGAAGCACTTGTGCGTGAGTCCCATGTAGCAAAGCTCGATCTCTGGGCGCAGATGAACAATATCGAGGATCTGGTATGCGAGCTCGCGCGGATCGATGTTGTTGCCGTGTGCATGGTCGGCGATGAAAGGGATGTAGAGAGAGCGGATGTGTGGGATGAAGGGCAGGCGCTGGAGGAAGTGGTGCTACAAGTAGTCAGTACAGCCCACCGAAATGTAGCGACAGACTTACCCAGTCTTTGTAATCGATCGACACCGCCAGCTCTCTCAGACTACTCATTCGACCACTTGTGATGAAAGTCAAGATCTCCCTGTTCATCATCCACCTTCGCCATCGCGAGCTCGTCGTCGTGTGCCCGTCCGGCTCCTTCTCGCTGCTGTCGATCATCAACTTCTTCAGACTCGCTTTGTGCCGCCGCATCGGTCCGCGGTATATGGCATCTACTGATACCGTAGACGCGTAAGAGCGGCCTTCCTGCAGGAAGAGGACTTCGAGACTGTTAGGCGCCAAAGTCTCCTTGAGGAATGAGATGAGCGATGGTGAGACGGTATTTGTGTGGATGCGCTTCAGGTTGAGTTGGTAGTCAGAACGGAGGGTGTAGGACGCTTTGAAGGCTTTCGATGAAGAGGGCGATCCGGAGTAGCTAGCGCGTGGTGTGTATGTCCGCCTAAGAACTTTCCACAGCTGCTCGTGGTTGCTGCAATGCAGCAATGTCAACGTTGAGAGCATCGACCAGTCGAATGCTCTTCGCAGAACAGAGACGGAGAGCGGTATGCGCTCGAGCTCTAGAACCTCCAGCTTCAGCTTGCCGTTCAGCAGCTCTTCCTCTGGCTCGTTTTGCGAGTCGGCAGTGAACGCACGGCCCCTGACATTCGCCAATTCCGAAGGCTCTCTTGGCCTCGGCGGTGCGGCTGGCGTGCTCTCCGGCGAAGCTACTGATTCGACACCGGGTTGCGCGTTCTCGTTGAACAGGCTGATGCCTTCGGTGATCGTTGAGTCCTCCATTGGGTTCCCAAAATGATCCACATCTTGCTCAGTATCCCGGTCCTGCGTTGAGAGCGAGGCTATCGACGGCAGTATATTCGACACCATCGGCTTAAGAGGCGTCGGCTCTGCCCTGTCAGGCACAGAAGCTGCCCCAGGGTTGCGGGGAGATTCCTCGGAATGGCGCATGTTGTGGATTCGACCGACCAGCACCCCAAGTACACCTCCGAGTCTCTTCTCGCCTATCGTGCTGGCCGCGGCCGTCTTGGCATTGTAGTCGACTTGCTGAAGGCCGTCGCCGTCCCACACCGTGACCCAGTCCCGCTGCTGCGCATGTGCAGCGATGCCTACACGTAGCTCTCTCAGCTTCTTCTGCGAGCGTGCGATGAGGATGCTCATCTCGTCCAGGTAAGGCAGCTCATCGATGTCCAGCACGCTCAGACTCTTCAAGGCGGGGATGACCGAGAAGGTGGGATGCTCGACGCGCTCCAACGCGGGGACGCTGCTTGCTGGGAAGGGCTGGGGCGCGATGACGGGCGGAGGGACGGACCCTATGCCGCTGGGATGCGTGGCGTTCGGAGGCGCTGGGAGGTTCGCGTTGTTGAGGATCATGGGCGGCGCGGGCGGAGGCACCGGCGCATCGATGGTGTTGTCGTGCCAGCGGATCCACAGGCGCTCGAGGCGGCAGTCGTGGCCATCGCTGCGGCCCGCGAGACTCGACAGCGCAAGCCAGACGTCCCGCAGGACTCCGGTTGGCATGTCCCAGACGAACGTCTCCAGGTTGACCATGCGCGCGATCGCCAGGGCCACCAGCGTGCCCAGCATCTTCCCGCTCTCCTTGGTGATGACGTACTCCTGCACCCATGCCTGCGGTCCGTTGCCGAGCGAGAACTTCTTGGTGAACTGGCCGTAGTGGTTGCCGAAGCGGCGGCGCGGGATCGCGTACGGCACATTCGACGACGGGCCGGCGAGAGGCGCGGCGGCCTTGTCGCGGTACAGCTTGCTCTGGTGCGGGAAGCACTCGTCGCCCATGACAAGCGTCGCCAGGCCGTAGGTGAGCGCATCGACGCCCGACCGCGGCTCCATATGGGTGCTCTCATCGGGCCAGACGATGTCGAAGCGCGAGTAGATGCACGGGATCGTGAGCCGGTGGAGGGCCGTGTGGCACAGCGAGAGCGATGTCAGGTCGTTTGTGTGCGGCAGCTGTGGGCGGCCGGGGTCAGCGTACGGGGTCGTGTGGGCAGTGAGTGCATGCACAGCACAGCAAACGCACCTGGTGGATGATCTCCTTCAGCATGTCCACGGGCAGGTCCAGCAGCCGCAGCGGGCCCTTGGCCGCCTTCTCTTTGCCCTTTGGCGCATGGCTCGCTGGCTGCGCTGGCTGCGCTGGCTGCGTTGGCTGCACTGGCTGCGCTGGCTCCCCTGCCTCCGCTACCTGCGCTGCCTCTGCTGCCTCTGCTGCCGTCGCGCTCGCATGCGCATCGCCGGGCGACTGCGCAATGTCCTTCTCAAACGCCAATGGCGAACACGTCTTGGGACTGCCGGGCGGGGAGAGCGGAGAAGCCATGTCGTCGTCGAGTGGGGATCATGTCATGGGCCGGCTGAGAGTGGAGCGCCCTCATCGGAGGGAGGACAGCTTCACCGCAGAGTCGTGCGTTGTGCCGAGAGATCACTGCTGCTCACCTTCGTCTTGTCTGCGGTCGTGGTTGCCGAGTGAACCACTCGTGAATCCCGGCCCCTCGGCGTTGCGCGCATCTGGTTACGAGGCACTCCCGTCTTGGTGCAACGCCCTTCCTGCACCCGCCCCAGCTGAGGCCGACATCACCCAAGGGCATGCTCGCTATCAAGGGCGTGCACAAGGGACTACCTATTCATGCAATTCTCTCTGACCGACCGTCCCATGTGAGCAGTTCAGGCCTCGTGGCATTACATTGGTTCAAACGAGTAACGCCAAATACTAAATGCTGTGCACGCGCGCCATCCGCAGCTTGGGACGTGGACGCGTTCGTGTTCGTCGCAGATCCGGGGACTCCCAACGCCGACAGGGTATACCATATGCACCATCCCATCAAACACCAAAGAAACCCTACAAGAATTTTGCGCCACAAACCCAATTCTACGCCCCGGAGAAGTTGAGCGCCGTTTGGCCTCGCTCAGGATCACTCATCCGCGTGATCCTCACGTCCGAGTCTTGCTGCACGTTGTTCATCGACTGCGGCGTGATGAAGATGAACTGCCTGCCGACAGAGCGTCGAGCCGCAGCAATGATCATGTTCATCGACCTGTCACGGTTGACACTGTCCATGAACACGTCGAACTCGTCCAGGCAGCGGATAGGCGAGCCCATGGCGTCCCACAGAGACAGCAGCAGACAGACGGTCGAAAACGACTTCTCGCCACCAGACAGTGTCTTGGTCTGCCGTCCATCACCAGACCTCTCCGTACTGTCTGGCTGAACGTTGATGTCCAGCGCTTTGTTCTTGTGGTCGATCTGGAGCGTCCCGCGAAACTTGCGTTCACTGAGCAGGTAACCGAATGTGACCCGAGCACGCACCGAGATGCCAGACCGGAACTGCTTCCATCGCATGTTTCGGTGTTGCAAAGTCCGGATGAGGTGGTTTTTCAGATGCTTGATGTTCTCCGCCTCGTCGTAAGCCTCCTTGTGTGCTCGTTTCGCCTCGTTAGCCTGTGCCAAGAGGTCCTGATGGGATCCTCCCAGCTCTCTCTCCGCGTCTTCTCTAGTCTTGATGAGATTCTTCAGCGAAGCGAGCAAGTCTTCGAAGCTCTTGCCTTCTGGCACTGGCACCCGCGGGGACACTGTAAGTGCCTCAGCAATCTTCTCATCGACTTCTGCCTGCCTGCTGATCTGCTCGTCTTCCCACAACTTCTTGTTACTCTCTATAGCTTGGATCGACTCCAATATGCTGTTCTTCGCCTTGAGCGCATCTTCTCTCTTGCCCTGCATCGTCCTGACCCTTGCCTGGGCTTTGCTGAGTTGGAATTCCACATCTTTGGCCTCTTGTTGAGCAACCTCGAGCGCTCGCTTGTTGCTGGCGTTCTCATCGCCCAACTCCAGCTTCTTTGCGACCACGTCTTCAAAGATATCTTCACATCGTCGAAGTTCCTCCTGGGCCGTCTTCAGTTGTTCTTCGAGTACCTCGATGGCCGCTGCATCTGGTGTTGCATCGCTCAACTCTGCCTCGAGCTGTTCTACACGGTCTTGTGCTCCCTGGTGATAGTGCTTTAGCTGTTTCCCAACGCGGACGTGGTTCGTCTCCTGTGCCCTGCAAAACTTGACCTGGTTCTTGAGTCTCATAGACTCCTGTCGTGCGTCAAGCGTCGCTTGCTGGGCGATCTCAAGTTGCTCCTCTTCTTGCCTTCACGCCAGTTAGCAATGCCACTGTGGCATGTTACAACGACGTACCGAATCTGGGCTGCCTTGTCGACCTGCATGCGCAACTGGCCCCGGTACTCATCAATAGGGCTGTTGTTGATGCCGCCAGCCCCCGTGTAATTAATCACTCGGCCCCGTCTCTTATCGCCGTTCGAGAAGGTGAAGCACATCTTCACGTTGGTGCTCGCCGGACCTCGCTCTTTCATGAACTGCGCGCCTTTGTCAGATCCCTCAATGAGCACAGTCTGCTCGAAGCCTTGATTAATGATGAACACGTTCTTGACGAGATCGACTTCAATCTGGTCATGGTCAGTTCGGCTCCAGTGGCACATCTTGATACATACCTTGAGTGCTCTCATCCACGTCAGCAAAGACGGGTCGGGTTCGTGTCGAGAAGTGTCGATACGCTTATCGGTTCCTATGTAGATCGGACCTTGCCTTTGAAAGGTTAGTTTCCACGACTGCTCATCGAGCCATACGTCTACTCACCAACCGGATTTGCGCATCAGATCAGCCAAAACTGCCTGGTCCGGCTTGCTGGTGACGACGAAGCCATTCAGGGTAGACCCAAACGACTTCTCCAGTATGTAGGCCCAGTCTGCCTCTACCAGCTTGACGTGGCGTCCGAGAGGACCGATGACGTTGTCCCGGTCGCGGAACCTTTTATCGGCTGCGATGCCTCTAAGCAAATTGCGCAACTTGTCTGGGTTTTGGTATGCTGTCATCCAATCGCGACTATCGCCCTTCAGATTGCGGATAGTTGCTTTAATGCGGTCTTCATCTCTTTGAGCACGTTCAACCGCCTGATCAGCCTGAATTTCCATGTTCTGCACATCTTTCGATTTTCGCTGAAGCTCCGGCAGACTTTCACCGTGTGCCGCAAACGCCTCCGCCTTCTGAGCGCAATCTGCCCTAGCGGCTTCCAGCTCTTGCTGCTTCTCGGCGTACATACCGTTGTCAGCCTCCGCTTGTCGCTGCTTATGTTGAGTTATCTCAGACTGTAACTGATTGACCTTCTTCCTCTTCATGGTAACGTCGCCTTTAGCGTTCCTTTCGTCGGATTGCAGTTTCAGCATCTGCTGTCTTACGCCTTCAAATGTCTCCTTGCACTCCTGGGCCGCTTGCTGCTTCGGTTCCGTCTGACTTGTCAAATCGGCGACGTCTTCTTCGGCGCCTGTGACAGCAGCGTCTGCACGTTCAAAAGCATCAGATGCCTCGTGTGCTTCTGCAGTCTTCGTGTCGATCATGCCGTTCAGTTTTGCAATCTCGTTCTCGGCCTCCCTCAGCCCGTGCTCCTCCTCTTCGACCTTTGCCCACGCTCCCTGTGCTCCAAGCTCGCGTTCCCTCATGCGCATAGTATCAAGTTTGCCCGCGCTTCTGACTTTGGCCCTCAGATCTTCCATCCCTTTGTACTTGCTCTTCAGGATCTCGTCGGTGATTTGGCCTCGGCTGTTCATCAGCTCCAGTGAAGCCTCAATCTGCTGATAGTCTCGATGGAGCGTCTCGAGTTGTGTGCCAGACAGGAAGAATTTGTACTTGTCCTTTGGTGTTGAGTTGTTAAGAAACTGCCGTGCCATGTCTTGAGTGAGGACGTTCATGGGGTTATCGATCTGCATGGAGAACGCATCCAGGATGTCCTCCAGCTCAGACTTCTTCGTAGTGACGACTCTATCGTTCTCGTCCCTCAACTTGAAGCCTGAAGTTCCATTGATGCTGAAATGCCTCTCAACGGATATCGACTTGCCATATTCGTGTGGTTTGAAGGCCAGCGGGCCCTGATTCTTGATCCGTACTCGTACGCTACTGTGGGACTCTCCTTCCTTAATCAAGCTCTTGAGGTTCTGTGCGCGGTTTGTAGCTGTCGCCTTGCCACCAAGACAGATCTGAAGCGCCGTGAGAACTGCACTCTTTCCGCTGCCGTTGTGTCCGATGATGAAGTTGATCAGGGGCCCGAGGGTGATGACGAGGTTGACGTGACACATGAAGTTGACGCAGCGAATCTCTTCTATGATGCCGCATTCAGCAGGCACATTTTTTTGGTGCCTCGCGGCCGCAAAGTCTTTCTGAACTCGTTGTGTTTGCCATATCATCTGGTCGTTCTCGCGGGCAACATCCTGCGCATCTCCGTCGCTTGCGTTCGATACCTCATCGCTGTCGGTTTGCTCGTTCTCGTCTGGTGGAGATTGTCTTGCTCTTTTGTTCTGGGTTCGTCAGCTACTTTGCACTTGTACAGCCCTGGCATTGAACATACGCGACTATTATGTCCCACGCCGCCCACTGACTCCGCGCCATTGATAAGAGCGCGAGGCCGCTTGGCAGACATGACTGCAGCCATGTTGCAAGGCGTGAGTATCGGGAGGTGACGTAGCCGAAGGTTTGGCGGTGAAGGTGTGTGTATGGAACAGTGCGGGTGAAGCAGACCAGACGCGTTGATGGTGCCCCACTAATTTACGCTAGCGTTGGTAGTAAGAGCAAACGAATGCTTGCGTGCTGCGCTGCAACCTGCTTGAAGGCCTACAGGTTCTTGCGCTACAGGAGTTGTTCTTTGTTCTTCTCCCGCTCGGCGTGGTAGGTGTATCCATGAAGATATGGAGTGCAAACATGTGTAACGATACGTCACTCGCATTCTGTTCTGGCGCGTCTTCACGTGATGCACAAACGCGATTGGGTTTGTCAAGAGTTTCGACGTTGGCACCAGATACATCGTTAATGTTGTTCTCTAGTTCCCTTTCTATATCAATGCATATGTGGTCTAAATTCGGGATCCGGCCGCTGGGTATAGAATCGAACAGTGTCAGGACTGGGCTTAGATGGTGCCTAGATAAATGAAGAATATGCAAAATGTTCTACAGAAGAGGCCGGCTATACAAGTTGAATTTAGACAGCACCATGCTCGACTACATGACCACCTGTAAACTGTTAGTGTCTGGCATATGGTAGATTCTGGAGGGACAACTTACGCAATCCTTGTCCTGGGGAGCCTGCCCGATACCCATTTCGTCGAAAGTCTTCGGCCCCTTGCCAGATGGTGAGGAGACAGAAGGCTTGAGTGGGGGTGCAGCAGCTGGAGGTCTGCTGGCCGGGGCAGGAGCGGATGCAGGAGCAGCTTGTGGAGGAGGTCGTTGCTGCTGTGTAGGTGCCCTCTGCGGCTTAGGCATAGGATCTTGCGGGGCAGGTCGGCCAGCTGAGCCGGGTCTCGACGATGGACGAGGCCCTTGTCCTGGCATGGCAGTCGAGGGCCTGTCGTGGCGCATTGAGTTTGTCCTGCTCTCTTGACCTGGCTGCACGGTGGAAGGCCTCGTGTGCTGTCGAGGCTCCAGAGGAGCAACATAGCCAATGTCTGGAATCGTGGGTGTCTTCTTCATTCCCTGACCGGGCTTTTGAAGCTTGTTGCGTGCATCTGGTGGTGCACTGTAACCAATATCGACGGGCTGGGCGGTCTGAGGGCGATCAATCTCTGGACGTTGTGCACTTGGACCACCAGGTTGTCTGTAGCCTGCGGGACCCGCGGCTGGTAGTCCACCGCGACCACCTGGGATGGGGCGCATGCCTCGGCCTCCCGAGCCAACCTCATTCACGCTTGTGTGTGGGCGCAGAGGAAGGGGGCTTGTGTGAGACTCAGGGCCAAGTGGAGGTCGGCCACGCCCGTATCCATCGTTGGCAGGATATATGTTAGGGTTGATGTTAAATGCGTTGCCTGAGGAAGTCGGACGAGCACTAGCAGCGCGAACTTCTGGCGCAAAACCACCTGGCATTGGACGTGCTGATCCAACCCGCGGTGGGCCATTATCCATGGGATAAGGCGCGGCCGTTGTAGAGCGCCCATATGGCGCCGCATTAGGTGGTGGCGCGTTGATGACTGGTGGACCATCAGCCATTGGATATGGGGTTGTGGAATCACCCCGGTTATTACCATAGTCTGACGGGCTGTTGTCGTTAATGGATGCCAGTGCAGGCGCAGCAGGCTTCTGCAGTCGAGTCGGACGTTTCCCGCGCATGGAACCATGCTGAGACTTGATCCTGTTGATCGCAACATTCTCGTGGTCCTTCTTTGAAAGCGTTCTTGAGATCGACAGACTCTCTATCCGTTGAATCGCGTCCTTGTTGCCATTCTGTTCAGCCTTTTCGTACCACTCCATGGCTTTCTGCAAATCTACAGGCACATGCATGCCAATCTCATTGAAGTAACCCATGGCAAATTCGGCGGTAGCAAGCCCGGTGGCTGCTGCGCGCTGGGCGTAGATGTACGCAAGCTCCTCGTTCTTCGAGAATTCGCCTTCGTGGCCACAGAGGAACCACTTACTTATAGCCATGTCCGCTTCTGGCTCGCCTTGACGTGAAGCTAGCGCGTTGTAATGCAGCGACATTGTAGGGTTGAACTCGCAGCCCAAGCTGCATAGTTCGTATGCTGATCCCATCTTGAGCTGTGCCTTTGCGAACCCGAGGTACGCCGCTTTCTCGATGTTCTGCCTCGCCGCCTTTTCGTCGTAGGGCAGAAAGGTCTCGGGGACCTGGATCTGAGGGAGTTCGCGAGACTGAAGCATGCCGAGGACATACGCACCCTGTGGTGCATTCTCGTCTGCGGAAGCTGCAGCAGTCCTGATCAACTCAATGCCTCTAGTGAAGTCTTGCTGCTGCCCATGCTGTCCGAGCAAGGTCATCATGCCTAAACGGTAGTTCGACGCAGAGTCACCTTGCTCCGCGCCGGCCTTGTAGTGCTGCAGAGCACGAATGGGATCGTTGGACTGCTCGAACTGCATTCCCATTCGGTACTCGGCTCTTGCATAGCCTTTGCCAGCTGCGCGAGAGTAGCATCTGAAGGCCTCCTTCTTGTCCGCGCGCAGGCCGAACTTGCCAAATTCCAGCCACATGCCTCGCATGAAAGCGGCCTTAGGGTGGTGCTGGTCTGCTAAAAACTGCACCACGTTCATGGCATCCATGCGCAGCTGGTGCTCGATCTGTGGTGTCGACGGCCTGGCTCCCTGAGTCTCAGCGATTCGTAACTCATGCAGTTGCGCAGCGTCGACGTAGCTCAGTGCATCTTGCGCCCATGCCAGCTGCATCTCAGGGTCGTTCGAGTTGAGCACAGGAAGGCGCGCATTCTCGAGGACTGCCTCTTTCTCGTCATCGGACGGCGGCACGTTCGGTGGACGGTTCGGGAGCTTCGGGAACGGCGAGAAATTTGGCGCGTCGCCGGTCTGCGCAAACTGGTTGTAGTCGTGGGAGGGCTGCGCGAAGTCGTTCTGGGGCTGCACTTGGGGCGGGCCTCGAAAGGCAGCGGAGATGCTGCCATGTCGCGCCGGCCACTGCTCTCCGTTTCCCTGTGCGCCCCCGTCTTGGAAACTTGATTGCCGCGGGGGGAAGTGCCCCGAGGACTGGTTGTAGTCGTGCCCTGGCGACGCCATTGTGTTTGCGCTGCGGGGCCCGTTGGCCTCGAGTTCCATGTACTGTAAGTTTTCTTGCATGTTTTCAGGCACCTCAGGCATTATGCTACCCAAGCAGGACTACGTCAGCAGGCGCAATTTCAAGGCGCGGCTTGTAGGGGTCAGACGAACCGTTGAGGCGCTGGCGAAATGACTTCCGGCGAAGGAACCGGCATATAATAGTCATCGAATCCACCGGGGACGAACGTCGCCCCTAGCTGAGGCTGGCCGGGCTGATGGTGGTAGCTCATTGCCTTCGCTGCTTTCGGTCGTCGACTCAGGGTCTTATGAAAGCAAGTGTCAGCCCGCGTCCAGGAGGGAAAATCTTAGTTGCAGTCTCCTTTCAAGCTGACGAGTCTCTTGTAAGGCGCACATGAAGGTAGATGAGACCTTATGACGCGCGGAGCAGGAGATGATCGTACTCACCTAGCGGCGGGGTACCTGACCCTTGACTTCTCGCAGTGACCACGCTTCTGGACCGTTTCGTGGTGTGCCGTATTCCGTAAGTAGGCACGGGTGTGTCCGCAAGTGAATGCGCAATTTGTGCGTCCTCCGGGAAGACCGTAGACTGCTTAAGGTATAGAGAGACGGTGGTATACGTGGGGGGAGAGGCGGTGCAAACACAGCAGCCTGAAGGGAGAGCCTCGCTTTCTCACTGAAACAGAGGCTGGAATGATCGGAGATGCTAGGATCTCGAGTCTGGAGAAGTGGATGCTGTTGACGTCGATGCTCGATTAACCTTCTAGAATCGGTTTCTGCAAACTCATGCAAACGAGTGGAGAGGATGTGAAGGTGGCCGACATCTTGAACTCGGCGCGTGTTCAGAGCTCACGATTGCTATATATGTTCGAGCTCCTCGTTGGCGCGCGTCGGTCACAGGCGCTGCTGCTGCGCCATCCAGGCTGTGGATCGAGTTCCGCTTCAAGCCACCGTATCCGGCTCGCTTTGAAACAGTCGCATGACGTTGACTGATCAGGCACGGGGTGTGCTGTCGAGTTGAGGCGCATTCACTCTGTGCACAAGCCGTTGTTGCCTGCATGCTGTGCAGCCCAGATTGGGCTTCAGCATGTCAAATCGGGCAATGGCAGCAAGGTGACAGGACAGCTGACTGTTGAACGTCTACTCTTCATGGCACGCTCGTCATTGATTTCACTCTCGAGCGGATTTGTCATGTTGCCCTTGCAGTAAATATACTCTGACATGTGCTGAAGTTCCGAGCATAATTAGAATTGACTGACGAATACATCAGCATACCGGCAAGATGATTCACGACATCACCAAAGCCAAGGCACTCCATAGTTGTAGGCAAACGCCCCATCACCAGTTAGGGTATATTCCTAATCATGTTTCGTCTATGCAATGCGCGCTCGTAAATTCAACAGCAAACCCAATCTTCTACACACTCAGCAGATAATTTGGCTGTGTGCACGCCTAGTGAACCATGACATCCGCGTTGTGCTTCTGTACGTTCCCAGGCTGCTGCTGAACCTGCTTGTCACCGTTTGCAGCGTTTTGCTCGCCGTCATCCATCTCCATATCATCGTCACCGCCCTCCTCCTCATCTTCGTCCTCGCCTTCGGAGTCCTCGATGTCAATGTCTTCACTGCCGTCAGAGTCGCCATCCTCCTCTTCAGCAGCAGGGCCTGCAGTCTCTTCGCCACCAGCCATCGCGGCATCTTCGCCTTCTACGGTAACGCCCTCTGCGTCTTCTTCCTCTTCCTCGTCCTCTTCGATTCCGTATTGGTCGCCATCGGCGTTCAAATCAGCCTCGGGCTGCTCAGGAGGGAACTCAGGCGGGGCAGACTCCTCGGAGTCCCTAAGCTGGTCAGTCGTGCGCAAAATGGAGATGGTAGGTAGGAATGGTACCATTTGATAGCAAAGCGCGTAACACGCGGCTTCTCTGCCAGAATTTGCCTCTGGACCTTCTCGATGACGGGCTTTGCGGGGGGCTCGAGAGACAGTGCCTCATCAACGTACTCGTTGTTGACATAGTATCCAACACGAACAAACTCGCGATCCTCGTAGCTGCAACTGAGCAGAATGACTGTGACGCCGATAATCTCGCTGTTGGGGATGCGGGACAGGTCCGGAGGATCGGCGCGGAAGAGGAACTTGTTCACGCCAATGGGGAGAGGGCCGACAAGGACAGAGTCGAGTTCTTGGTCATATTCATTGCTGGTTCGTGTCAGTTGCTACCTGGCCAGATCTTGCGGTGGAGGAGTACTCACGAGGTAGCAGAGCCAACATAGGTTAGCTTCCACTCGAGATCTATGCGGGAATTAGTCCAAGTCCACTCTAAAACATTGTTCGCACTCGCCCTTTTGCAGCTGCTCGAGGCACTCGAAGGTGATCTCAAACTCGTAAGGCGCGTCGAATGGCGCGGGGTTGTTCTTGACCTCGACACCGAGAAGCGAGACGACAGACATTTTGACAGCTGTGACTTTTGGATTTCCGTTAAAGAGGTGGGGCTAACGGTATAAAATAGACAGTTTGAGGCGCTGCTAACAGATGGACTGTAAGGTTCAGTAGGCAAAGACGAGGGTAGAACAGTGTTTACGCCTGAGCGGTGAAATCAAAGCGTTGGTTGTCGAGGAAAGCGCTGTGGGGCCTCGAACCGCGTCGCGCGTTTCGTTCGTGCACGCGTCCGCCTTGCACTTACCCCAATTCGCTCGCGGAGCGGCTCTGCAATCCTCTCTATGCCACCAAGATCGCGGTTTCATCTCTTGTCAGTCTGTTGCAATTTAGACTGCGGGATGTTGTCATTACAATAACCGTCTACGAGCGGCCAGGACCCTAGAGAATATGGAAGTGCGTCTTATAAATTAGCTTCCTTTACCGGTACAATGTGGAGGAGCTTTTCTTCACAGAAGGAGCAGCTCACTTGCGCCAGAACTGATGACATTGATCTGCATAACTATGCACAACCAACCTAAGGCTTCAGGGTCTCTATCCGGGTAGGCTTGTTCGAATGCAGGATACAACGGTACGGCTCGTAATTGGGAATGCAATTGCTCACGGGATGGAATGGTCGCGCAAAACATATTACCGTGAGAGCGGGTGCAATACATGGTAAATGCACACTGCCATATGCTGCGTCTCATTGGCGCTTGCCACAACCACGAGTTACATCCGCGCCCTGACAGACAGCCTATCACATTTTTTGAATACAATGGCGTGCGCGATGATGATGGTGAAGAGTTCAATTCTGATATGGGAGGCCTTTGGCGCCTCTTTATCTGGGTAGCCTGGAGGCGACGCGTGCAAGCACGCTCTTCAAATCTTGTATCTCAACATCAACAGACAGCACTGTGTGAGAGTGAGAGAGCGCCCATCGGCTAAAGACATCAGATCCCGCACATACCGTATCGACTCTTGTTACAACCGCCGCTGTGCAGGAGAAACTCTATGTTCCCTCGTAGCGCCAGGCTTCCATCTCGTCAAAGCATCGTTGAGGGCGGGGTTATTCGACCCAATGTCTTCTTAATTAACGGTCGTTAGATCATACAAACGCATTCCGAATACTAGCATTGGACAGTCTGACTTTGACAAACGGTACCTGACTGTTAAGCGTGGGTTAGAAATCCGCCTGATCACTATCGATCATCGAAGCCAACACCTGCTACGGGACTGCTCGGGGCGCTCGTGGGAAATCGAAACTCGCTGTATGTGACGAAGTGGACTTTGGGAAGTGGCTCGAGGTGAGTTTGTAAAGTCATTCATGTTGCGCAAGAATGACCCACACAATGTTCGTTTCACGCACCGAAGCCCACGCCCGTAAGGGCAGCCGTGGCTGATCCTACATGCCCAATCTGCATGCACGAGACTGGAGCAAGACCTCCAGCAATGGCTGATACGTCGAACCTGACCTGGTCGATATTCAATGGCCAGATCCGGAACACCTCTTCTACCGCGCTCGGAAACGTTGACGAGAGAAGGTCACAGACTGCGCAGCCCCGTGTTCGTCGTCGCAACCGAATCATCCGCTCTTGTCTCGAATGCCGACGCCGAAAGCTGAAATGTGATCGCGGAAACCCATGTACCACTTGCGTCAAGAGTAACCGCCAATGCCACTTCATCTCTCCGAGTTTCGACGCCGCAGCGCAAGCCAGACTGACAGAAGTCAAGGAAGAGATGGACATACTAGAGAAGAGCCTTGAATAGGACATAGTGCGGAGAAATCGAGCCCAAAAAGAGTCGTCGGCCTCCTCCAATGTGTCTGACTCTCTCTTGTAGCAGCACGAAATTTGCAGCGATGACGAGGAAGGTGTAGATACCAAAGACCTAAGATCATCAGACTTTGCTCGAGAAGATGCTGCTTACTACGAGAATGAAGAAGGCGATGACGGCATTGTCGATCTCGGAATTGCGTTAGGCAAAGTGGGGACCATGGAGAGAATTGGTGGATTGGTGCAACCCAGATTTACTGACGAAGTGAGCACACGCACCTAGCTTTGTGAATTGAGCTAATGTGATATCTCTAGCTAGGGCAAGCTCTGAAAGAGCTACCCAGGAGAAAGTCCCAAGATCCGAACTCTTTCTCGGCGGGCGCTGTGGAGTGGACGATGCCTTCAAACGACTATGTTGAACCCTCTTCGAGCTTTTTCTTTACACCGGGTGCCGAGGAGATAACCCTCATGAACTACCTTCCCGCCAAAACTCTGATCGACAGACTCATAGCACACTACTGGCAGGCAGTGCATGTCATTGCGAGGATCGTCCACCGCCCGTCCTTCGAGCGGCACTATGACAAGTTCTGGAAGAGTGTGGCGTCCGGCATGGATCCACGCAACTCCTTCCAGGCCGTTGTCTTTGCAGCCCTGCTGAGTTCGGTCGTGTCTATGTCCAAGGAGAAGGTGCTGGCCGAGTTCGGTGTTGACAAGCAAGGGTTGGTGGACAACTTCAGAGAGGCTACAGAGGCTGCATTGTCAAGGGCGAACCTGCTTCGAACTACAAAGCTTGAGATGTTGCAGGCCTTTTTCATGTATCTGGTAAGTCCACACTACCGTCATCGCGCAACTTTCTGAGATTTCATTCGGAATCACTTGGGCAATTACCAACGCAATGACACTGACAAGCCTTGAACAGACCCCACTTTGTCGCGCCGAGGTATCTCGCGCCCACTGCTTTAACAGGCACCTGCATACATCTGGCTGAATGCATGGGCCTGCACAAGGATCCCTCCGTATACAGCACATCACCCATCGAGTGCCAGGTCAGACGCCTCGTCTGGCATCAAATCTGCTTTCTTGACCTGCGGACATGTGAAGCGACAGAACCACGGCCTCAAATTCGGACTGAAGACTATGACACCTGTCTCCCCTTGAATATCGATGACATCGACCTCGATCGTGCAGAGCATAGTGACAGAAGTATCGATACCGAGACTGGCCGAACATGCTTCACTGACATGACAACCACGCGCATGCGATTCGAGTGCTACGACATGCATCACTATCTATTGGATGCTTCGAATGTCATCGATTGGGTGAGTACTTCACTGACGCTCACAGTAGGGATCTTTGACTAACGTCTGTTAGAATGAGATCGATATGTTATTCGGTGGTGCCGAGACCGGGACCGGCAATGTGATGATACTGCCTTTCACATTCCCAGAGTTCTCAGCTACTGATCTCAACGATTTACAATGGCCGCAAGAAAGGTATCAGTGATACGGCCCAGTAATTCTATCGCAAGAATCCATTGTAATCTCGAACATCTTCTCTGGCCGCAAGACAGCCACAGTTCTACATTGATCGAGACTCGTAGTCAGGTAGCACATAGCTCGTGTCTGGTTCTTACTTGCTGGGTGTTTGGGAATGGCAGACAAGCAAAAATGCATCACTCTCCAATCTGCCATACCCTTTCCATATTTGCGTGCGAGGCAGGCCACTGCTCAAAAAACACCCTGCCTACGGAAATCAGCATTTGAAATGTGCATAACAGCTGTGCTACACATTCGTTGACGTCTGACAAGTGGCACCAGCGCAGCACCGCAACGAATTGCGTGCACAACGCTGGCAAATACAGAATGTGGCAAAACCAAGGAGAGCAATCCAGCAGTGCTAAGAGCAAGGGCTTGACAATTCAGATGTTGGCCCTCTTAGGCGTCATCTTGCTTTGTCGGGGGTGTAACTTGCAGAATCGGATCTCATTTGGCTTCGGAGCAAGCGAGTCGCTGGCTTGCGTGGACGGCTCGATTACGCCGAAGACAGTGAGGCTTCCCGTGTGTGCCGGCGGCAACATCCAAAAAAGAATCATGTACGATAGCCTTGACACTTATCCAAATGGATTGCGAAGCTAAGGACAAGGGTCTTAAATCAAGAAATATTGCAGGAATACTGGATCGATGATGCCCCGTCGCATTCGTATCCGAGCCACAGAGTGCCACCCAGCCTCGTTCTCCACTCGACCGCAGCTTGAAGTTTACTTACATCAGCTTTCAATACGCCGGAGACAAGCCGCAGGCTGTACCAAATCCGAATCAAGAACAACAATTGACTTTTAGCGGTATCGACAGACCAGGTACTGCTTGCGCTGACCGGCCAACCAAAAGCTCGTACCAGACTATGCCCGGACGCCAAACTCGCACGTCGAAACGCGTCCGGGCGCGTCGCCATGGCGAGTGGCTTCATTGCATCGTCATCGATACTTGATGCAGCGCGACCGAGGGGTAGACTAATCGCATACCCACTGTAGCTCTGCTGCGAGCGGGTGGTCTAAGATTCTTTGTCGTTGAGTTGGAGTGACAGGGTGATCTGGAGTTGGCAATGACATGGCAAATCTGCAAGGCTGCAGAAAAAAGTAATGTGGGCGCTCACTGCAGGGTGGGACTTCCGGTATGCACTGGCCTCCTCATGAAGCTCCGCACCGTGACTCAAAACCACCGGCTTTGCATCTCGACTTGGAGCAGAAATATGCGCAAGTCCACTTTGCTGTAGACGGACGCAAAAGCTCAATTTGAACCCCCGAGGCTTCAAATCGATGGTTCAAGTCCATGTCGTCCCTTGCTAAGGAGTCGCCGGATCCTAGCTGTGGCGTACCAACGATTCGCTGTCCTGCTCGTATACGGAGACGTCCCCATCCGAGGTTGTCAGCGACAATTCGTAGCGAGCAGTTCAGGCAGTACGGACCACTCCATCGTGCGTCGTTCGCGAAGATGCAGGGTTTGGTGAAAATATCTGTGATATTGGATGTATCTATATGCACCATTTGGGGTGATACTGTCACCTAGCCCCTCCGATAGATCGTACTGCTGTGGGAACAAAGGAAATCATTGCCAAGGCCAGACGCTGCCTGGTGCGGTGCCGGTGCTTGTTGTATCGTTTTGCCAAAAAAGTATGGCGCAAGATTTCTGCAGCCCAAAAAGGCGCCCAAAAATGCGCATCGCCAAAAACAAAGTGCAACTTTGGTACCGCCGTGAACGCCATGCTAAACAAGTGATATAGGAAGTCAAGACAGTAGAAAGCCGTATTGGCGCATAAGACCAACAACATTGCTGGAGTATCCAGGTCGTTAGACAGTCGTTGTTCGCGCAGGGTATCGTTAAACAAATGTGTGTTTGGATGTTGCTTCAGGATACGAGCTCGTCGCCGAGGTCCATGCTGAGGCCTTCGACCTTTGCGACCATCCGTGGGCCATCGCCAGTGGGAGGTACAAGATTGTCGAAGTTGATGTGGCGCTTAGCCTCACGGATTGCCGCGGGAGTTTTGCCGGCTGGTGTGCGGTTCCACGATGAGCCGAACTGTGCTTGTGCAGGGCTTGGTGTCATGTTGAGGAACTCGGCGAAGTTCAGGTTGTTCGGAGTAGTAGCAACGAGACCACCATACGCTTGTCCGGTGCCTCCGGGCGTGGACATCATCGATGATGGCAGGGGTGTTGTCTTTGATGGTGGGGTGGATGGAGCATGCATGGGTTGCTTGAACGAGCCCAATCGGACTGGTGTCGGTGACGTTGCCAAGTACATAAGCAGGTTCGCGTCAGTCTCGCCGTGGTTCCCTTCTCTAGCGGCGCCAGCGGCAGTAAAGCCCCTCTGGCGAAGACGAGCTGAGCGGGCGACATCTGGCGGCGGTGTTCGAGGCGCTCGAGGTCGAATGGGCGACGTTGCAAAGTGTGACGTGTTGATCTGGAACGAGGTGATGGGAAGGTCTTCGTCATCTTCCTCTGACAGGAGGGGGGATCGTAGTTCATCGAGGATGGTCGATGTCTCTGAGACAAAGGAGAGGCTGGGCACGTGGGTTTGGCCAAAGCGTGCATGTCTGCGGTGGTATACCGGCGAGGATTCTGGCAACTGGAAGCTGTTCTTCCATGAAGACGAAGCCGTTGTGGCAGACCGTATGACCTTGCCGCGGTTGTGGGTGCTCGAGGCAGGGTATTTGGTAACAGGCTTGTCGTAACGAGGACGCTTGTTGTGTATGGTGCTGCCGCTGCTGACAGATTGTGTGCCTGATCGCCGGATATCGTCGGAGAAGATGGGTGCGGTGAGAGGGGACGAGTCGAGCACGCCTGGGCGGTAGAAGCGTTCAGAGGTACTCGAAGCATCTGACATGGCCTCGTTGCTGGAACCAGGACGCTTACGCTTGAGCTCGACATCGATGACGGGCTCAATTGCGTCGATGCTGAGGCTTTCCCACCCGTTCTTGATCTTGATGTTGGCCAGGGCAAGTCGATTTTGAAGAGTCCTGGTCATCTACGGCACGCATTGTCAGCAAACTAGCAGAGGAAGTGGACACTGGGAGAACAACCTTTGAGACCTGGGCTCTCCGCAAGACCTTGCTGGCAACCTCGTCCTGCTCTGCCATAGTGAAGGAGTGTGTGGGGGAAGGATCGTGAGCAGGGCTGTCGAGTCGCTGGCAATGGTATCAATCAAGGACACGCATTGAGATTGAGATCTCGAGCTGAGGCGATCGCCGGCGAAGGAGGAATGTAGTGGAGAAGTAGTTTAGCGTCGAAGCCTATGCACAGACCAGAAACAAGGCTGGTGAATGTCAGACACGCATGATCTCATGGGTCTAGTGTCGAGGCCTTTGTGAAGCGAGGAGCGCCAGCCCAATTCACCTTGGGCAAGGACATGAGGAGTATCAGGTTAGCGGTGTTAGAAAGCTGCTGACTCAATGTATTGTACTCTTCAGCCAAGCCGGGCATAGCGGCCCCCGGTTGAGGCGCAGATCGCGCATCTCCACAATTTCGAATCGGCATTTCTGCGATCAGTATCTGCAAACCCAGAGATATTCGTGCTCTGGAAGCTCGAATCGATAGTCGAGTTCTCAGCAGAGTCTTTTGAGTGAGCTTCATCAGAGACTCAAGATGCTTTACATGACAGCAGTTTGGTGCTTTGCCGCACCCGAGCTTCGGCATGTGGGACATGCTGACCTGCGTCTGCGTGGAACATAACTTGCACTAGCAATCCCGGGCAGAGGCTTGACTCTGGGATCATCTGAGGCATTCTTATATCTTTACTACGAGAAGCATGGCTGGATACTGCGCCAGACGCAGCTCCAACGCCGTCAAATGCAAAGTGGATCGCAGCCGCATCGTGGCTAGCTCCAACGTCATTTTTTTGGGAGAGCCGTTGGCGGATACCGGTACCCCGAAGTCCTCCAAGACGGCATTGCGCCTTGCCAGCTTGAATTATGAGAGCCACCTAATGCGCACTGCAGATGTCTCCCTTAAGCTAGGTCCAGCACGTGCCTGCTGTGACAAAGCTTGATGCTACTTCCTTGCCTAGATCAGCGGGCAGGGCTTATCGACGATTGCACCTGCTCCTCGCTCCTCAACATCGCGCGATATAACAAAGAGCAAAGCACCACCATTGCTTGTACTTCGCATTGAGCACCTTCTAGTGACACTCGTTTGTTTGCGCCCAGTATATTCCCTTGGTATTGCCATTGCCGCACTCTGAGCGCTCGTTCGCCCGCACGCAACCCACCGCGCTTGCATTACGCGTCCCTACGGCTTGTTCATCCTCCACAGCTTTTCAGCGCCTGCCCTCTGGCTGCCACTCGTTCCGCGTATGAGTTTCCAGTAATCTCGAATATCCCAGAGCCACAGTAGCACCGCGGCTATGCCTTCATTCCTGCATTCCCTACGCAAGAAGAGCTCCCGGCAGTCTTCCCACGATAAGACCAACGAGGCCTCCCCTACAAAGACACAGTATGGCTTTGGTCGGCGCCAGTCGTCTTCTACCATGAACTCGTCACCGGTGGGCTCATCCACCCCCTCTACTACGCCTGCGACATCGACTATAGAGGCAGATGCGCCCCCAGTACCGGCGCAAAGCACTCGGCCTCAGCGACCTACCGCAGAACCTGTCAAGCGCTACAGCATGAATGTCAGTGTTTTTGAGCATGCATGAAAAGTACAAGGCTAACGAAGCTGTAGGGCCTGTCCACAACACCTACCAACGGCTCTGGCGTGCACAACTCGTTCAATCGATCCTCTCTCCTCGCACCGCGCGTTATTTCCGTATCAGATAACTCTTGGGTATGATGTTCTCCTCGTGGAGCTCACGTGGAGCACTGACAGTAGGCAGGTTCATCAGCAGGTTTTGCTGGTATTCGGGCAAGTTGGCGAACCATCTTCCCAACCACTAGATGGCACCATCACCGTCAACCACCACCAAGGTCGGTTTCCAGCCACCTGCTGGCCAGTAAGGGACTCGTACTTCAAAGCATTGGTCCATTTGGAGCCAGGGTGGAACCGAGTTCGTTTTGACTTCTCGTCGCCGAAAGTCTCGTCCGGCAACCAGTCCATCTCCCCACACGCAACGTTCGTGAACATCAACTACCTCCCTCTTACACATGCGCCGCCTCTTCAGCTCGCCATCATTCTCGGAAGCGACTCGCCTGGCACATATGATGCACCGCCGTCGCGCATGCAGACCGAAGGAAACGGGCTGGATCTTGCGGTCAAGAAGTTCCGTATGGCAGCGTATCTGTGGCAAGCTTTTACAGGCGAACAAATGAAGCGCCATGGCTTCGGTCGACGATGCTTCCGCTTGGAAGATTCGTGGGAGCCGGGTACGATCAGCTTCCAAGACTGGGAGTCTGGCCACTTCCGCACACAGGCAAAGGTTCACATCATACGATCGAAGAAGACTGTCGCCGAGATCAGAGACCTCGATCGAGCACAACAGTATGGTCCGGGAATGAAGAAGGGCGAGCTCTTTGGCATTGCCGCAGACGCAGTCAAGGACTACTTTCACATTACACCGGGTCAAAAGCTTTACGTTTCTTGCATGTTCATCGATTCGACGTGGGACGCCAAGGAGCAGGTCATCCGTGGGCATGCAGCGCTTGGTGGAGGAGTGCCAGACTTGCAGCTCGGCATCTTTGGGTCACAAGCGCTACACAGCTACCCGTCCAGTATCGAGGAGGTTACTCAAGCATTTGAAGATTGCACGCGAACAGACACCAACTTCGTAGCAAATGACTGCAACGAATCTGGCAGCAACTGGGAGGCCGCCAATATCGGTATTGGCGCCCACCTTCACGAGACCGGACACTTATTCGGCTGCCCGCATCAGGAGTCTGGTGTTATGTTGAGAGACTATGTCACACTGAACCGCACATTCATTTGCCGCGAGCCTTACTCAACTCGCACGAAGTCGCCTGGACAGCGGCTGGTGCTACCCGAAGATGAGTGTAAATGGCACAGGCTGGATGTGCTGCGCTTTAGATTCCATCCATGCTTCCAGATCCCGATCGATAGAGCCGATGCTAACAATGACGGGAGCGTGCAGGTCTGGACCGTTGATCCCGGCCAGGGCGGTGTGATTGCAACCTCAAAATCTGGCATTGCCTGGGTCGAGCTCTACACAGAAGGTGACGATGTGTGCAGATTCTGGCGAGAGTGGCCAGAAGTCGAACTCCAATACCCTCGTCAGGTCTCTCTGGACGAGAACGAGCTGCGTTCAGTGCTTCCAAAAGAAAAGCAGAAGTCGAAGCTGAAAGTTGAAGTTTACTCTGCAGGAGGTGGAAAGCATGTTATCGAAGACTTCAGCCAGCTCGCGAACCAGAAACTCGCGCGCGTGAAGATTCCCGACGGCCGCTGGGGCTACCGCGGCAGCAAATTGGGTTACTCTCAAATGGAAGGATCGCAACCAATGGAGATCATCCTTGAGAGCGCTCACATCCAGACGAAACTCTTGCTCGGTATCAAAGTATGGTCTGGGCTGTGCGTTGACGGTCTGGAGTTCTACTACGAAGATTCAACAAGCCAGGTTTTCGGCAAGCGAGGAGGTCATGCAACCGACTTCCCACTGGACACACGGAAAGGCGAACTGCTACTTGGTTTCGCTTTGCGAGCAGGACTCTGGATTGATGGCATCCAAATCCTGACCAGTCTGGGCAGGTCAAGTGAGTGGTTTGGCAACGCCACTGGCGGGAGCGGGTATGTTGTTCCTTTATGTGTGTATTCTCGATATGTGGCTAACAGAACCAGACACACTCTCATTCCTCCCCGTGGCTACACGATTGGTGGCATCTCCGGGTCCTCGGCCGCCTGGATCGACGGCTTCTCTCTTATCATCACACGTTAATCGCCGCGCACACCAATGATATACCCAGACAACTTCCAGCAACGCGAGCGTTGCACACCTTACATCTTACTACAGCATATCGTCCATAACTAGTGTTGGTTAACAGTCCATCAAGACATTGCACATCTAGATGCAGACTGATACAGCGTGCTGTTACAGGAACAGTTGGCATCAACATAATGTAATCATCTTTCACGTCTGAAATTATCGGACAGGCGCACATAGAAGGGAACACATCAGGACGGGCCTAATTCACCTCAAATCTGAAATGATGAGATGTCCTCTTCTCTGTAGAAGCAACAATATTAGCTCCGCAAATGCTGGGTCGTCCAAACAAGATTACAGCATATTTGATCACCTTGCGAACCATGTCTTTGGTTTGAAGAACATTGCTTCCCCTCACTGTTGGATTTCGGATCATGCTCTGCAGCTGACTGCTATGGTATTGTCGTCGTCCCTCATGTTGGAACAGAGGGCCTCAACTGAAAGGTGCACTACTTGCAACAAGCGCAGCCCCTCCTATTCGGCCAAACTCCATTTGCATCCCATTCGTTCCGCGCTTACGGCTTAGGGACGTGAATAGTCTTACTGACCATCAAGCATCCGTGCAAGATGAACATGAAGACAACAGGGTGGAACTCGAGCGCAGTTCCCTCCAGCCACAGGCCCAGCGGTATCTGCTCAAGCGTCCAGCCCTTGTACACCCAGTACGCCATGATCTGCACTATGCCCAGCGACATGGGGATCGGGGTACCCTCGAAGTACTTGCTCTTGCCCGTCTCATCCTTCGGCACCATGGCGACTGTAACATTGAACCTTGCCAAGCGCGTAAGACCGCAGAGCACGAAGAAGGCCAACATCAGGTGGTCGAGCGGCGTGCGGATGCCCATTGCGAAGGCGGCGGCCGCGGGCGATACGCCGAAAGATATGAGGTCCGCGAGCGAGTCAAGTTCTTGACCCATGACCGAAGCCTTCTTGCGCCAGCGCGCTACCTTGCCGTCCATGAAGTCGAAGAAGAGGCCGAGCGGGATGAAGCCAAGGGCCCAGTAGATGTTGGTATGGTCGTACGGGTTGGATTGGATGCAGTAGCGCAGCGAGGAGAAGATGGACATTACGCCGCAAAAGCCTGGAGGGCGTCAGCACTGCTTGCCTGAGCTTCCTACGCGTACAGCCTGTGTAGGCGCGCGTAGTGTAGTGCTTGGACGTGTCTGTGGGGAGCGCTTACCATTGAGCTCCGTGATGAAATCGGCGAGGTGCAGCGCACGCACCAGCGAGAAGTGGCCGGGGTTCTCCTCAGCTAGGAGGCGGGCCTGCTTGTCCTGCGCTGCTGGTCGTTAGTCGTGCATCCCACGGTCTGTCTTGCAGCGGGAAACATACTCTTGCCCGTAGGCAACGGCGCCTCGTCCTTGGGATTGCTCGGTCCGTTTCTGCGGGTCGCCATCTTGATTACTACCGAATATCGTGCAGTAGAAAGGATTGTAGGTGGAGGAAGGATTCGTGTGTGTTGTAGGAATAGAGGAGGATAAGCCTTCAGGGTTTGGACGGCTTGCAAGCGTGTGACGTGCAGTAAACTTGCAGGTTTGGCTCAGAACGTCATGGGTCGGGCTGGGCCACTTCACCGCCATGTGATTCGCCAAGAGTGTCTGGTGCCGAGACTGCGCAGTGCGTTGGCTGTGCTGACCGTCCTAGACAATGGTCATTGTCGTGATGCGTGCAGTAGAGTTCGAATCGCCAGTTCGATTGTCTGCTCTGGTGAGGGATTCGGCATCAACGATGATTGCATACACTTGCTCTGAGAACATCACAGCACGGGTGACTGTCTTGAACAGCGCAAAGAATCGCATGCCGTGTCCGGCGACACGATGTGCATGCTTTTTGAAGTTTCGATTCAACGTGAAATGACTATGATCCGTACAACATGCTCTAGAGCCTTTTCCAACATGGCGCCATGTTCCACATGTACAAAATCCCATTGAGCTCCCAAACGCCGTCGAATGTTCGTGGTATCGATTGGTATCCGTGATGTCCAGGGTCATACCGCGACTAGGAAAAACCGCCCGTCCTGGTGTCTTCATTGCAAAGGTAAACCAATCCAGACTGCGCTTAGTATCCGCCTCGCCCACGGGGGGTGAAGCCGCCTCGTCCGCCGCGTCCTCCACCGCGCGAGAAGCCACCGCTGCCACCAAAGCTACCACCGCGACCACCGCCGAACGAACCACCACGTCCACCACGGCCGGGAGGTCCTCCGCGCCCTCTTGGCGCACCGCGGCCACGACCACCACGGGCACCACCGCGACCACCAGCGGGCTTCTTGACCTTGGGCGCACCGGGAGCAGGCTTGGGCTTGGGCAGGAACCTGTCGAGGGGCAGAAGCTTGTCGCCGCCAATGTAGAACTTGTCGCCGGCCTTGAATGATTTGGCCTGGATGCCTTCCTGGGGCTTGATGGTGAAGTAGACCTGGTTCAGGGGACCGCAGATCTCGTCAACCTTGCCGATGGGTGTCTTGTTCTCGAGGTAGACGGGCGCGTTGAAGTAGGGGATCTTGGTGTTGATCGACTCGCAGAACATCTCGTTCTCGACCTCGTGAACGAACTTGCCCATTTCTAAGAATATCAGCATTGCGCAAACAGTCTGAACACGCTGCGCATACCGAAGACCTGGTCTGGGGGTCCGAACGAAGCTGCTCCGCCAAATCCACCGCGTCCTGCAGAAAGTCAGCTACCAGCGCCGAGAGCTGTTGCAGCGCAGAAACACCAACCTCCACGGGAGCTACCACCAAATCCGCCCCTGCTTCCTCCGCCAAAGCCGCCACGGCCGCCTCGAGGTGTTCCACGGAAAGACATGTCGTTTGTTGTGGGGTGTGCAATCGGTTCACAGTGTTGGAGCTGGTCGGCTTCTCGAAGTTCTAAAAGTTGAAAAATCGCACAGAAAGCCGCACAGGCCACAATTTTCAGTGGGTCCACATTGAGCATAGTGAGCCAATCTCGACCGACCCCGCTATGCACCGCGTGGGCTGTAGCGGTTGCAAGCTCGCATGGCTCGCAAGTCTTGACACGGACTGGTTTGAGTCACCCAAGCTTCACACCAGACGGTGCGACCATTGGACCCGTACGTCTCCAGTCACATTTCGTGTCCTAGTAGTTGACTCAACAGCACATAGACACAACAAATCTCCGCTTCCGGCGCGGTCACAGCAGCAAACATGGCGGAGGCGGTTAAGGAAACTGTAAACCAGGTCGTGGAGGGTGTCAAGGACCTCGCCGTGTCTGGCGAGAAGAAGATCGAAGAAAAGGTCTCTAAAGCTGCGAAGCCCAAGAAAGAGAAGAAGAAGGGCGGCGATGATGGTGGTCGCCCTCTGCTGCTCAACCCTGTACCCGCATACATCGACCACCGCGTCAAAATTTTGTGAGCTGCATGTACGCTCATGCGGATCCAGGACTGACAGCGCGCAGTGAGAAGCTCAAGGCTAAGTACGACGAAGAGATCGCTCAGAAGCCTCGTGGTATGTTGGATCCACTTCAAGCTCGCAGCACGTTCGAACACTGACGCGTTGTGTGCAGAGAAGATCACAGTCACACTCGGAGACGGCAAGCTCATCGAGGGCGAATCATGGGTCACCAGCCCAGCAGACATTGCGCGCGGCATCAGCAAGAGCTTGTTCGACCGCACCGTCATCGCTCGCCTCGATCACGGCACACCCGAGGAGACACTGTGGGATCTTGAGCGACCGCTCGAGAAGAGCTGCAAGCTGGATCTATTGGACTTCGACCACCCAGAGGGCAAGCGCGTCTTCTGGCATTCGAGTGCACACATTCTAGGAGAGGCGTCTGAGCGCAGATTCGGCTGCGACCTCTGCATTGGCCCCCCAATTGAGGACGGTTTCTACTACGAGATGGCTCTGCCTGAAAAGGCTGCTGTAGAGCACTCCGACCACAAGCCTCTCGAGACCATTGTCCAAAGCATCGTCAAGGAGAAGCAGGTTTTCGAGCGATTGACTCTGTCTAAGGAGGACCTGCTGGAGATGTTCAAGTCAAACCCTTACAAGCAGCACATCATCAAGGACAAGATTGCCGATGGCACATCCACAACCGTATACCGCAACGGACCTCTGATCGACCTTTGCCGTGGACCTCACGTCCCTCATACTGGAAGGATAAAGCAGTTCAAGGTCATGAAGAACTCTGCCAGTTACTTCCTCGGAGATGCCAAGAACGACAGTCTGCAGCGCATCTACGGTGTGTCCTTCCCTGATAAGGACAGGATGGCTGAGCACCTCAAATTCTTGGAGGAGGCCGCAAAGCGTGACCACCGCAAGATCGGAAAGGAGCAAGAGCTGTTCTTCTTCCACGAGTACAGCCCTGGATCTTGCTTCTTCTTGCCCCACGGACAGATCATCTACAATACCCTGCAATCTTTCTTGCGAGAGGAGTACTGGAACCGCGGATACCAGGAAGTCGGTTCACCAAACATGTACAACTCGGCGTTGTGGAAGATATCCGGCCACTGGCAGCATTACCACGAGGACATGTTCACGTTCGACGTTGAGAAGGAGAAGTGGGCGCTGAAGCCCATGAACTGCCCTGGTCACTGCCTGATCTTCAAGCACCGTGAGCGAAGTTACCGTGAGTTGCCCATCCGTATGGCCGACTTCGGTATTCTGCACCGCAATGAGGCCAGCGGTGCTCTCACTGGTCTTACCCGTGTTCGCCGCTTCCAACAAGACGACACTCACATCTTCTGTACCGAGGATCAGATCAACGAAGAAGTCTTGGGCTTGTTCGACTTCCTCCGCGCAGTCTACGGAAAGTTCGGCTTCACATTCAAGCTGAAGCTCAGTACGCGCCCAGAAGGCTTCCTTGGCAACATCGAGACCTGGGACAAAGCTGAGGCCAAGCTAACTGATGCTCTGGACAAGTTCACCGCTGAGGGCGGAGGCGCTTGGGAGCTCAACCCCGGTGACGGTGCTTTCTACGGCCCCAAGATCGACATCACCATCTCGGACGCCCTGAAGCGTGACTACCAGTGCGCTACGATCCAACTCGACTTCCAGCTCCCCAATCAGTTCGAGCTTGAGTACATGACCTCTGAGGTTGCCGCTGCTAAGCCCAAGGAAGAGAAGGCAAAGGTATCAGAGGCACCAAGGGAGGAGGCGCCTAAAGAGGCTCTCGCACAGAAACAGCCAGAGACATCTGACGACCTCGCTTCAATTTCGAAGGCCATCAAGCCTCCACAGACCGGCTACGCTCGCCCTGTGATGATTCACCGTGCCATCTACGGATCTTTCGAGCGTTTCATTGCGTAAGTCATAGACACGTGAGCCCTTCATATACGATACTAACCTATCTCAGCATTCTCACCGAGCACTTCGCCGGTCGCTGGCCATTCTGGCTGTCTCCTCGCCAGGTCATGGTCATTCCCGTCATGCCCGGCGCCAACGACTACGTCAAGGAGGTTCAGGCTGCGCTCCGCAAGCAGCACATCCATGCCGACATTGACATCAGTGGAAACACCATGCAAAAGAAGATTCGTACCGCACAGCTGGCTCTCTACAACTTCATCATGGTTGTCGGTGCCGAAGAGCAGCAGAACCGCGCTGTCAACTGGAGAAACCGTGATGACCAGGCTTCTCAGCAGCGTGGTGAGATTGTCCCACTCGACGAGGCTATTGAGAAGCTCGTCAAGCTGAGAGACGAGCGAACGATCGAGAATAAGGTGTAGACGCAAGATACCATGGGACTGCATGGGCAGGCGTACGAGTGGTGAGGTATGATACACGTAGCAACCGAAAGTGATGCACGTAAGCGTTGCCAAAACAGAACCAAACAATACACAACACCTTCAGCTACCTTCTGCGCGGCAACATCATTCTAAATGCTGATCACGGAATCGTTGCATGCCATCAAGCGTCAACAAAACCGCAAGCGCACCTGGGCAAGTCGGAGACAACAATGATGGGTACGCTAGTGAAGCGCCCGTTTTGTGCCTTGAGCTAATAAGACCCTGCGCCGTGGGCCTACGGCGATATTTCGATCTCACATCAAAGAGCAACGCCTCCATTTTCCTGTTGTTCACAGCGTGATTCTCCAGCTATGTCCGATTCGTCTTGTCCTTCATCCTGCCATGCGGTTCAGACAAGAGGTATTGCGTCAACCTGCAGCACGAAGCCCTGGCTCTTAGCGAGGTGATCGCAACAGGGGTGGCCCGCGAGTCGCCGGGTGACAGCGTGCTTCAGTTCTTTGGCACTTGGGCACGGGGTTGGAGCTGGTGTTTCCACCAAGTTCTCCACCGCCCTTCTATCTGGACGGTGCGCAACGCGTCAACTCATAACCTGCGAGGAGCATCCCCGCAATCTCTCCGCGATGTGCAATGCAGAGCTGCAAAAGGGGTTTGAAGCGTTTGGCCAGCTGCGGAATGACGATGCCCAGCCCCACTACCAGGCTTTTATAGCCAGTCCCGGGATGTTGGCTGGGCCAGTCCTGATACAGCACGGCTGTCTCATTAGCCAGAAAGCATGTTTATTATCTTGAACTGCCCGCGATGCATTCACCCTGTTCGCAATCGTGGTCGCCGCCATGGACAAGTTGAACCTCCAGCAGAAGGCGCGTACAGCGCGCAACAGGCTCGCTGAAGCCGTGTCGCGAGGGAACGGTACCGGATCGCTAGCTGTTCCACCCTCCACGCTCGCGATCAACGACAACGCTAGTACCACTGGTGTGAATGAGGGTTTCCCAGGACAGTCTGCTGCACGCGACTTTGCAGTCCCTGAACGCATGCCAGTACCACAACCAAGGATTGAACCTCCTACTTCTCTGCAGTCTTCGGTGGATGCAGGCAAGCGCGTGCCTGTACCTCCTCCCAGAGATGCTCGACCGCCGAACAAACGAGGGTCTGTCTTACCTTGCATGCAAGGGTAGATACTTTGCTAATTTCTACAAAGGATGTCATCTCCTTTGACACCTCAAAGAGCGAGGAGCAACTCGGCGCCGCATCGCTCACCTGTTCAGCAACGTGGATTGCCTCAGCAGCAAAACAGTCCCCACAGCCGCCCATCACCAGGTTTCCGCCAAGCTAGTATTGGGATTCGACGAATGCCTTCCTCAATCTCCCTAAACCAATATGCACAAGCTACGAATCCCTCTTCACAGCGACTCAGCCAACCTCTGGACACCTTGGAAGAAGGTCGCGAACTTGGAAGGACGCCATCAGCATCAAGCGGATCGACACTCACTCAGCCCGAGCCCAGTAGACTAAGGAAGGCCAGAAGCGCCATTCAGACAAGAGTCTCTTTCTGGAACAGTCCCAGCGCCAAGGAGAAGGAGAAGTCGCCTGAGCCATTCGACTCGTCCGCGCAGAACCCTGCAGACGAAGGCATGAACTACACATCAGACATGGTAGATGTGTTGGACACTCTTGGTAGGACTTTTGTCATCGATTCAGAAGCATGTGCTGACCTACCCAGATCCTGAGATCGCGACCTTGACATCTTTGACGAACTTGCAGAACTCCTTGTTCGTGCCAAACCTGCCCTTCTTTAACCGGCGGCCGACCTACAACCTTCGACGTGCTCCAAGTGAGACTGCGAGTATCGAAGAGATCAACCGTATTCTGGGACCAGCACACGCAGCCCAAGCTGAGAGTGAGCTTCAGCCTCCCCCAAGGTTGCAGCGAACGGATACGGAGGGCACAACAACAACGCTAGCGACCATCGACTCGCAGCTGAGCGACTCTCGATATGCCGTGCTCCCACCTGGTACTTCACTAGAGGGTTGGAGCAGGCAGGACAAGGCTGAGGTCAACGACCACGTCCGGCACATGCTCCACTCGAAGCGCTCAAAGTTCAAGCGCTCGATGAGAGGATTCGGGCAGTACGTCAGGAGACCTCTGGGCTTCCTGGTCACGCTCTACGCGACACTCATCACCCTCTTTGGTCTGGCTTGGGTGCTCTTCCTGATCGGCTGGATCAATGTTGGAGGTCGACAGATCTACGTCGTTCATATCATAGACAGTGTTCTGGTCGCTCTTTTTGCGATTGTAGGAGACGGTCTTGCGCCTTTCCGCGCGATCGACACGTACCATATGATTTACATCGCTCATTACCATCACTACACCTGGTCGCGCCGGAAGAAGGATATGCTACCAGCACTACACGATCAGAACGATCTGCCATCGACGAACGCGCCCATCACTGGCCCTCGGACGATCGACCCTGGAGATCCGGAGAAACAGTGGGAGTTTACTGTCTTGACACCAAAGCAGCAGCAGAAGCTTGAGCATCATCAAGAGAAGTTCTGCAAGTCGCACTCCTTCTACAAGCCTCATGAGACAGAGACGCACTACGCCTTCCCACAACGTTTCCTTGTTGCCATCGTTGTTCTCCTCGACTGCCACTCCCTGCTCCAGATCTCCCTCGGAGCCACCACTTGGGGCATCTACTACAAGCATAGGCACTTCGCCATCACAACCGTGATCCTGATTTGCTCCATCACTTGTAACGCCACCGCTGGACTGCTCATCTGGCTCGGCGACAAGCGCACCAGGAAGACAGACGTGCTCGAGCGTATGAACAGGCAAGAGCTTACGGATGAAGCGATCAAGAAGGTTGAGAAGAAAAAGGGGCGTGAGAGTGAGAGCGAAGGCGACGAGCTTACTAAAAACGAGCGGAAAGGACGTTTGAGTCTCGATATAATCAGGAAGAAGACGCAAGGCAGCAGCAGTGGGAAGAGTGGAAAGAGCGCCGAGCCCCAGCCTACGGCGCAAAATCCGTACCCCTGAGCGTCAAGGATTTGCATCTCTTTCTTTGGATGCCATCATTTTCAGCGTTTTAGCGGATACCATTTGAGCGATTTCAGTCGACAGCGCGTCCTTTAATTAACGAAATCCAGAAGTGTCTCAATTTTGCTGTTCGCTGACCACAATCGCCATTGCTTCACTTTACAAAGCTTGCCATCGGAATACCGTAAGAGATCGCTGCCTAGTCCCTTTTGAGCAGTTTGCGAGTGTTTTTGCTCTTTTTGAACAGCTGCATCGCCCATGTTGTATGGTCGTTGACTTCGATGTAGAGCCAGTTGTTTCGCTCCCAAATCTCGAACTGCCTCTTGATCAAGGAGTAAAGATCGATATTCAGCTGATTTTGCGTGGATTGCAGCAAGCACTTTCGCATGAGTTCAACCGAAGAGTAATCGGCGTTATAGCCGCCGATGAATTGCTCGAGTATATCTTCCAAGATCTGGAATGGTGCCGAGATGATTGGAGGAAGTCCGAGAATGGAAGACGGTCGACGGCGACTCGGGCGAACGTGCGCAACAACGTAACTCACAACGCCTTTGAGCTGAACGATACGGACCTTGTCTCCGGAACGAAGAGTACCATACACCCTGGCTTTGGGAATTGTCAAATGCTCCTTCTTAGTTGGGTCCACACTGAACATCTCGAGCAGAGCATTACCCAGGGCACCAGAAAGCGTGTGAAACTTGTCGAGTTGTTCCAGGACTTGTAGTCTTCCCTCAATCCATTGATCGGAGGAATACGGCTGCTTTGAGCTGGTCAGGTATCGGTAGGAAGGTCTGCTGAGATGGTGATGGAGTATAGACAAGGCGTCTCTTGGGTGTTCCCACAAATAGCTATCGCTAACATGAATACATTCCGCGTCGGCGTTCCGTGGCATTGTGAACCTGAACCACAGCCTTTCATGCCGCCTTTGAGCCAAGTCTTCTCGTGTGGGCCGATGCTCACTTTTGTTTGATGTCTCTGTCTCAGTCCATAAAAAGTCGATGACATCTCCAGCAGGTTGCTTCTCTTTGCAGAAATCCGTTAAGATACTATTTGCTTGCACTATGTCGATATGTTCGGCTCCAATTCGGTCTCCGAAACTGATCAGATATCGAGGCCACTCGACTGTCTCACCGTCGACAGGCAGCCGTGGGAAGACATATTCGAAGTGCTTCCCCGTCAGAAACCGATCAGTAAGTCCTTGACAGTTGTTGTTGAACTTGTTAAATGATAGTCGTGTCTTTGAGTGCAACAAAAGCGATGCAATGTTATCGAGATATTTGTCCACCTCTCCAGATATGCAATCCTTCAGGAGCTCCAGTAGTCTATCTGCCGAGGCGTACAATTGCTTTCGTCTAGCTTTGACCGTCTTGGAAGTTCGAGCTTTGCGTTTGTTCGCTTCCAGCACGAATTGTTCGAGGATACGTGTCTCTTGAGTGCTGTTGGGGTGTAGATATCCCGTGAAAGCGCCGCCACACACGCGTTTCAACTGCGCAAGGCAGTTGCGTTGTCGTATCTCTCTCGTGGGTGTTGCAAGAGTCCGAATTTTCTTATTCTTGCTGTCATCGAACAGTACGAGGCATTGGCGCGTGTAATACTGGGACATTTTGTCATCTGTATATTCGATGAAGTTCGTAGGTGTGTCCTCTTCACAAAATAGCCTTGGATACGGTCGAGGGTGGACGAGGACACCGCGATTAATGCTAACATCGTTAGTCAAGCTTGCAAATTTAATCTGATCGACAAGCTCGTACCCATCCAGTCCAGTTTCAAAAATGAGCGGTCCGAACTGCATTGATAAGTGGAAAAAACCAGCTGGAGCAACCTTCGCACGCAGGTCTCCACAGATACCTCTGACAAGCCTATTCAACGGCGAAGCTTCCACCATCATAGTGTTGCGAGCAACATTTTTCACGATTCTAGCTCCTTTCTTCAACGGAGAAGTGGCGACGCCGCGCGACGCGGTCGATGTCATCTCATTCTCACAACGGAGCTGGAACTTTTGAAGGACTACGATACTGTCAGACCGTGAATAGACAGTAACGAGCTCTGTACGCCCACCTTTTGGCTTGAGGGATGGATTGCGATGGTAGATCTTCTTGAGATGGGCGACGCCACATCCAGCAACGAAATGGTTGCCGGTGATGCATGACTGGCAAAAGCGGACAGGAACGGAATCGAGGAAGTTTTCGCTTTCAGGTACTCCGAGGCTTCTGATATCCTTCTGCAACCAGCTGATGAAGCGGTTGCTTCGAACGGTTGTCAGTCAGCTCTCAAGGGAACGCATGAATGACTTACGGTTGTGTACACCCTTGATTGCACTCGTAGAAGACTAAGGATCGCACAAAGTTATTACAGCCGCTGCAGACGATCGGAGCCAATCCTACATGCTTGATGTGTTCCACTGTATGTGTGTCAACACGTTGCTAGCCACTGGCCAGGGGACAGTCAAGGCTGACCAGAGAAGGGTTTCCCAACTTTGCTGACAAAAGACTGATCCACTGGTTCGTAGAGTACGTCGACGTCTAAAAAGTCTACAGCAAGTCAATTGGCGGGTTGACAACTCTGGAATCATCATTACACGTACTAGATGACTGCAGAAGATACCGGGCAAGACGTTGGTCCAGTGGAACGTCGAAACGATCTAACGTGTCTCCGTCAGCTAGACTAGTAAATGGGCTGTAGACCGTTTGACCTTTTGCTTTTTCGATTGTCGCCTCGAAAAGCTCATTTGTATCATATCTGGAGCTCTGTCCGTCAACTGTTGCTATCAGCGTGAATCGACGGAGGGCCAGTCATCCAAATGCTTACCCCAAGTCTTAAACATCTTTTCGAATTTGCCAAAAGCGGGATTTGGCTCCTCCGGTCGTCCTTCGGCATGATTCCGGAGGTGTGGGTAGAAAAGGAGCATATTGCAAAGTTCGCGCTGTGCCGATTGCCAGTATAGCTGCTGCAACTCCTCCAACAGTTCCTGATACTTGACAGCCATGATGCCTTGTCTCAGCTCGAGGGGATATAACAGAAACCAAAATGAGAGAAGGCTGAGGTTTTACTAAATGTTCGTGAACGGCCCCCACCAAGATGGGCGAACAGCGAACAGCGAACAGCGAACAGCGAACTGTGGCTTGAATGCAGCCTGCAGCCTACAGCCTCAGGTTCAGCTGAAGTACGACCAACGCCATGCGCAATTTAGCTCGTAGGGATATATAATAGCCACAACCTCACGCTGTGGGCATCTAACCCGGCCTTTCCAGCCCTCCTAGGTACACCGTCACGATGGCCCACCTACCCTCTTCAGTAAGGTCAGGCTTCAGCACATTTGGGAAGCAGGATGCTCCTTCAGCAGAACAACTACTGCGGGATCTGGAACAGCCTCACAGTCGTGTCGCCGAGAACCTCGATCCTGCCAAAGTCGATGCGATAGAGAAGAGCACCGAATTCTTCAAAAGGATTGTCTGTCCGTCGAAGGCCCTCAGTCGACGTAGAACGCTCTTTGCATGGACGTTCGGTAGTTGTGCTGTTTCAGCCAAGTCAGTTGGTCTGAATAAGTCTGGGGCCACATCGACCGTTTTTCGCGACGTCTCCGCTCATATCGACAACATTCTCCAAGATGCTTCTGGTTAGTCAATCGATGTCAGACGGCGCGATGGGGTCTGACTTCTGCCGCAGTGGTGGAGCCAACGAGTAACACAGTGGTTCGATATCTCGAGAAATTAGAGGAAATTCCAAACCATCGATTCCGTACGGAACAACTTCAGCATTTCAACGGGTAAAAAGGTCCAGCCAGTGAGCTACAATGATCTAATGACACAGACTAGATCCCGCATTGACTGGACTCTGATCAGCATGGCCGCAGATGCATCCTTTGCAGCTTACAAAGATTACAATCATGCAGAAAACACGCTCTTATCGAGGATTGCGCGCGACAGAAAGTTTATGACCCTCTCTGTAATAGATCTCGACCAGACTCGCGCGCTTGTAGTATCCATTCGCGGGACTGTAACGAAAGACGACTGGATGCTGAATTTCAACAACAAACCAAAGCATGCACCTAGGGTATGTCCTTGTTTCCCGCATGAAGGCTTCTACATGCTGACCTTTGTAGCTGTTGAACGGACAGCTGAAATGGCATGAAGGGTTCCTGACCGTAGCGGAGGCGATGGAACCCCATCTGACAAAACAAATCAAGGAGCTTCTAAAGCACGAGGGACCTATTGACAGCGTCCTCTTCAGTGGACATTCTGCTGGTGGAGCAGTTGCCCAGATTTTCTATGCGATGAGCATGTCCCGTCTGTATGATCTAGCTGGTGTGGTCACTGGTACGTAGATTGGCATGCAGCCTAACACGTGCGCCTAACCGTCTCCAGGGTTCAAGCAAGTCCATTGCATCACCTTTGGCACACCTCCTGTGGCATCAGTGGTATTACACGAACAACAGCTCGGCCAATGCCCCAAACCAGGCAGGTTTTGGAGCGTTATCAACGAAGGCGACCCGGTTCCACAAGCGCAGGAGGAATTCATGAAAAGGCTGATCGAGGTGTACGTTCTGGAACTCAGCGATCTGAGGACGAGGTATCCTGAAGAGGTTCCAGTCCCAGCTGGACATTTCCGCGCAAGTGGTCACACCATAGTACTGAAGATTGAAGATCCTGATGATGAGAGTGAGGAGGACGTCGAAATTAGAGCCTATATGACTTCGTCGAGGACTCTTGAGACAATGCTGTTCGGGAACGCCTTCGAGCACAGTTGTGAGCTGTACAAATATCGAGTCATGCAGTTGGCTCGCTCTGCCTCTGTAGAACATATTTCCGAGGATGATAAGAGCGAGGAGATTGTGATTGAAGTGGGGCCATTTACTGAGTAGGTGCACGGCATGATAGGCTGCACCTATTGGTGCGAGAAGAATGTACCTATGGAAGTCGCCGGGAGGCCGTGAAAACTGGAAATACGAGACGTAAGAATGCACACATGATCCGATTGGGCGTGTAATGAGTACATTCATACGAATGTCATGCCCGGTCTCTTTTGCCCCGGGCAAATTTCCCCATGAAACACTGCCGTCCGCCCCACAAAAAACCCCAGCAATCTTGCTACCACTCTGATTTGTGGAAATGCAGTGACAACACTCATCTCCCGTCGCCCGAGGCACTCGTGTAGGCTCAAGATCCGCGAGAAACCCGCTTTAATCTGCTTTGAAAGCTTGTATCAGTCATGACTCGGGCGCCGCTTCATATTGATTGAGGGGATAAAGCGACCGCATGATGCAAACGGCTGCAAGAGATGTGCCGGTGCGGACGATGCGCTCAGTGCCGTGCGTGTGAAACTGGTGTTTATATGACATAGAGTAGTATATATATAAGCGGTCTCCCATAGGTCATCAAGTACGCAGAGACCGGGTTTCAACAGCTTCACGAAACAATCACATTAAGCACCAAACGCATAGTCAAAATGCATTTCTCAAAACTCCCTCTCCTCGCGACCATCGCATCATTCACGACCTCAGCGGCCGCTGCGGCTACGCCAAAGCCGCCCGCGTTCTTCCTCGCTGGCGACTCAACCACTGCTGTGCAATCAGCCGGCGGAGGAGGTACTATCCCTCTACTCCGTGACCCAACACCGCTAACCACCTCCAGGCTGGGGCAACGGCTTCCTGAATACGACCCTCAAGAACGGTGCCACAGGCAAGAACTTTGGCCACAACGGCGCAACCACCGTCTCTTTTCGCGAAGGCGGTGACTGGGCCAACGTGCTGGCCGCCGCGAAGGCAGCAGCGCCCAAGTTCCGTCCCTACGTGACCATCCAGTTCGGTCACAACGACCAGAAGCCCGCCAAGAACATCACCATGGCCGATCTGACTGCGAATCTTATTGCCTTCGTCAACGATGTGCGCGCTGCGGGCGCGACTCCTATCATCGTAACGAGCATCAGCCGACGAAGCTTCTCGAACGGCAAGGTGGTCGAGAGCCTGGCCGATGTGACTGCCGCAGCGAAGCAGGCAGCGGCCACTTCGAAGGCGAAAATCATCGATTTGAATGCGGCGAGTACGAAGTACTTGAACTCGATTGGAGCGACAAACGCGGCAACGTACAACCTTAACCCTACGGACTTTACGCATTTGAACGCGGAGGGTAGTGTGGTGTTTGGTAATATGGTTGCGCAGTTGATCGATGTTGAGGCGCCGGAGGTGAAGAACTATGTTGTTCCCGTCAAGACGATTGCGGCGGCGTTGAACTCCGGAACTTACATCTTCCCTACTGTCTAGAGTTGCGGATAAACTGTAGAATCAAATAAGAAACTATGCCTCGAATGTTCCAACTGGTCAGGCATGGATGAACAGTGAATCAGATAAGAAACAATGATTTGCACGTTCGAACTAATGCTGCCTGGACGCCGGCGTAAGAGTTCTCAAGACAACCTCCACGTTGTGCCTCTAAATTCCATAGACAACTCCGAAATATACTCATCAACGCACCGCTGCTCACTTGACGAGCACAGGTGCCACCTTTCCAGCCTTCTCTGCTGCTATGGCGGCCAGCTTTTGGAGCTTCTCGGCGCGGACCTTGCGGAAGTACCTGAAGAGGAGAACGAACTGGAGCTCGATCCTCTCCTTGCTCATCATGAGGAAGCCCTGTACCAACAGACCTTTTAAGATCTGTGGTCCGATGCCCTTGAACAGTGCCCAGGGGCCCTCGTGTTCGATGATGTATTGCATAACCTCGGTAAAGGTCTTGAATGGAACGCCGTTCCTGGCTGGTGGAGGCTTCGACTGAAGACCGACCTTGGCGACGATGAGCGGTTGTGTGACGATGGTAGCGAGCATCTTCGACAAAGATCCAAGGACTGCAAGATGTTAGTCTGTGTGCGGCTGGACGGGTCGGTGAAACGTACGGAAAGCCTCGTGCGGCTTCAGGGCTGCCCTTCCAGGATATATACGCTCTCGCAGGCGCTGATATGCGCCATATGTGATCGACGGGTTCACAACCAGAACTAAGCTTGCCTTGAGGCCTCGCCAGAGTCCTGTCCAGCCATCCTCGCTGTTTACGACGTCCATTCCTGTGGCGATAAGACCCTTGCGCTCATGTTTGCTCATGGTCTGCTGGCGGGTTGTCACGACAGCGACAGGGATTGTGAACAGCTGCGCCAACGCTCCAGCTACAGCGCCCAGTGACAACTCGACTGCTGTCGATGGCGAGGCTGGGACGGTCTGGTAGGACAGATACATGCTGCGAACAAACGTATACCAGTAGAAGTACGCGAAGTTGGTTGAGGCGACACCAACCAAGGAGCCGAACATGCCCGTGTAGAGCCCGGCGATGCCTTCGTTGGCAACGACCTTCCGGACGGCGTCAAGCGTGCCATTGTAGTGCTCGTAGTCGGCCGGATTGGGGTCGTTTGAGGTTTTCGAGCGCTTGACCTGGACTTGTAGTCGCGTCTTGATCCTGCGGTGCTCTTAGCATAAATTATGTGGACTACGATACAATCGCAATAGCTTACATGTCCAGCGGGTAGACCAGTGTGTTCGCAATGACGGCGCCAGCAGCACCCGCAACCGCATTACCCCATGGGGGTAATACCTCAGGCTTTGACTGTCCAGCCATAGTTTAAGATACTGGTAAAAGTTGTGTATTTGAAAGAGATGTATTGGGCGCGGGGACGAGCGGTGGAGCCGGCAATGCAATGTCTATGTTGTGAGCTGCAGGACCTTTCTCACACCATGGCCTAAAGAATCAGCAGAATCTCTAATCTGATGTCCTGATTTCGTGATGGTCGCCGGGCCCTGGGAAAGCGGGCAGGAGGCTTCGTGCTGCTCCCGATAACCGCAAGCCTGGCGCATGACGAAACCGCAGCAGCCGAGGTCTATGGCCGAGGTCCAGTTTTTACAGACGTTGGCAGGGTTCTTTGCGCTCTGTGCTCGATACGCGTCAATTCCACGCGCCGCCGACAGCAAAGCATAGGTCACTACAACATCGTTCGCTCTTGCTGCTGCTACTGCCTCCAAAGAATGCCAGAACTTGCAAGAGCCAGTGTCATGCAAACAATAGGAAGCGGTCGCAAGGCGACCCTGCAAAAGGCACGTGCGCTACGCTAGCTGAGCCTCAACTCAACACCATAGCGGTATTACGACCATTTACCCGCTATGACGATACGCCTTCATCGTCACCAATGCAACATTGCTACAGCATACAACAGATGATTAGCCCGAATAATTCATACGCCAGTCTTGCACGGTGAAGCTCGAGTGATCGCTACGTCATTCATCATGGCGGACAAGGCGGCGCAGCTTGAAGCCTGCAAAGAAGCAGCGGACGTACGTGACACTGACCTTACAGATGCAGTCGCTTCACACATGTAATGGCACCTCAACTTACACTGATCACAGACCTTTACCAAGGAATTGCGGACAGCTGCTTCCAAAGATGAGGCCCTCACGCTTGCCCTAAATGCAGCCGAGAACCTGATGAAAGCGCTCAAGCTGTCCTTGGATAGAGACGAGAAGCAGCAGTTGAAGACACGATGCGGTGCATTGATGGATGCCGCAGATCGCATCAAAAACTCGGAGGAGTGGACACAGTCACTCGACTCAAACACCAAGGAAGCTCAAATTGGTCATTGGGCCGCCAGTGTTCACCCAAGAGATAGTCTAGGTCCTGCATACCAGGGAATCGGTCGTGTATGGCCGGGTTCGTCACCTCAGCAGAGCTCGACCGAACACACGCCTCGATCGCCACCACCTGCAGACTTCTTGTCGGCATCAGGTAATTCACCAATTTCGTCAATCTCCTTTCTTTCGCGAACACAGCAACTCTATGTCGAGGGAACTTCCGACTCAAGTCTATACCGAGACGATTGTCGACTCGCTTCTATGCCTCTCATCGATCTCTCAGACGATCAATCTCAAACGCTATACGACAGCAGCTGGCATACACCTGCTGATATGCAACGCAAAGATAGCCAAAAAGCCCATAACAAGGATCTGCTGGACGCCGGGTCCGCACCAGAAGCAGCTCTTAGGGTGCCTTCGCCGCTGTGCCAGTTTGATCATCAGCGATCAATCACAGCAGCTAATGGCTCTGCGGATATGGTGTTGGAGAAGACCAAAGCAGCGAAGCTTGCGTCTCCTCCGCAAATTCATAGACTTACTGAGCCTGTATCCACAAGAAAGCGGTCGCGAAGGGAAGATATCATTCTCCTAAAAGCGTCCGTCGTCAACGGCTTCAAATGTCCACCTTGGGACAAGAACCCAGCAGCATCCGAGTTCCTTCCAGAGAATGGACAAGGTCTTTTCCAGTGCGTAAACTCAGTCAGGTCTAGATATCTCTAACGGGGTCGGTCAGGGACACTCGCGACCTTAGTCTTTCACCTTACCAGCAGCAGTTCTTCCAGGGCTGGGTCCGCGCACACAACGCTGTTCCGCCACCAGCAATGCATCCAAATGGGAGAGATGGAATTGGGCCGTTGATGTCGAGCCCACGCTCAATCGATCTTGTGCAGGATGCGGCATCCGATTGCTCTGTAGTGGCTAGTCTCTGTGCAGGGGTTGCTCGAGCTGAGCGTGGCCACGATCAGGTGCGTGGGTCCCCTCCCGTCCTAAAAGCTGTACTAACAAATAATGAATGCAGATGCTCCAAGACAAGCTACACCCTTTCGACAAGCATCTAGGAAAGCCTATTCCGTCGGCCAACGGCAAGTACATCGTCCGTCTCAACTTCAACGGTTGCTGGCGGAAGGTCGTGATCGACGACCGACTGCCGGTCTCCAGCACGCACCGGTTACTTCATGTCACCGACCGACGTAACTCTGCACTACTATGGCCAGCATTGCTTGAAAAAGCATATCTGAAAGTCCGCGGCGGGTACGACTTCCCTGGTAGCAACTCGTGTAGCGATCTATGGACGTTCACTGGCTGGGTTCCAGAACAAGTGTTTCTCCAGGAGACTGACACGATTCCCGATAAGCTCTGGAAGCGAATCTACACTGCCTTCATCTATGGCGATGTCCTTGTCACTGTTGGCACTGGCAAAATGTCGACAAGACAGGAGCGTGAACTGGGCTTGGAAGGACAGCACAGCTACGTGGTGCTGGACATGAAGGAGACAGACCACGACCGCCTACTGCTCATCAAGAATCCATGGGTCGAAGGCAAGGGCTGGAAAGGCCCTCGTCCACCAGCGGCACCTATTATGGACAGTTCCACTTCTAGTAGAGGCTCTAAGAACAGCCTGGAAGCCTGCCATCGAGATAGCGTACCGACGCTGGAAAAGCCGCACCCGACCACCTTCTGGATCGGACTCGAGCAGGTCATACAGCATTTTGAGAGCTTGTATCTGAATTGGAACCCTGGGCTGTTCCACTACCGTCAAGACATCCATTTCGACTGGTCGATCGAGTCCCAGAAGACGCCCGGCAACTGCATCGTGCATCATCCGCAGTTTGCGTTTCTGTCGAAAAAAGCTGGGCCTGTATGGTTCCTGCTCAGTCGTCACTTCCGAGACGCCCCCTCAGACGCCAAAGAAGAGTCCGACACGTTTAACGATGGGACAGTCCGCTCTAACTCTCAGATGAACACACCGGGAGAGCCTCCCAAAGGCTACATGAGCATTTATGTTTGCAATGGGCATGGCGAGCGGCTTTACATCAAGGACACTTATCTGGAGTCGAGTGACTACGTGTCGACTCCGCAATGTCTCTTGCGATGGGATGCTGACGCCGACTCGAACTACACAGTAGTCATCGACCAGGAAGATCTTCCGCCCTCCGCGTACAGCTTCTCGTTGTTCGCGTTCTCCAACTCGCCTATGGCCTTGGAGCCTGCCGTTCTGAAGTACCCCATCCAGAAGATTGAGAAGGGAGCCTGGACTAGACAGAGTGCGGGCGGTAACACCAGCTCCCCAAAATACTTCGAGAATCCACAGTACACACTTGAGGTCAAGGAGCGCAGCTCTCTCACAATCCTGCTTACCAGTTCTGGCCATGAGCATCCGTTCCATATCAAGCTTGCCCTCGGCCACGGTAAGAGGATATATCGACTGCAGAGCCGAGACGTGCTCGCGGACTCTGGCAACCATCGTGTTGGGGCTGCTTCTGCAGAGATCAAAGACCTCCAGCCGGGACTTTACACCATCATTTGCTCCACCTTCGAGGCAGGTCAGACTGGCGACTTCACTCTACGGATAGACAGCAGCAATGAGGTCAAACTGAAGCAAATTCCTCGAGATGGTGCCGGCCTGAAATCGATGAAGCTCACGCCTGCTTGCTTTGGGCCCAACATGCACAAGATAGCCGCACCACTGCTGCCACAGCGTTTGGCATCCTACACAATCGTTGCTCGCTTCCTCAAGGCAACCAGTCCACGGTCAGTCGACCATGGGATGCTAGCTCGCAGTCCTCTGCGGTTTAGCGTTGAGCAGGGCCGGGGCCCAGAGCGCAAATTCCTGATTGCTAGTGAGCGTGGAGAATACGCTGACTCGGCGACGGTTCGGTCCGAGAGCGTCCACATTGATCCTGCCATTGTCCACCGTGGCGACTTGTGGCTGGTGCTCGACAGGCTGTCAGGACCTGGAGGTCCAGTGGAGGAGTGGTACGACCTCGAAATCTTCACAGACATGCCTGATGCATGTTCTATTGGCGTTTGGCGCGACTGGAGTGACTAGTCCATGAGACGAAGTCATGATTCGGCATTATTTGCATCTCGTGTGGATGGCGTTCAACAGGCGGTGGGTCATGTGCATTTTCCTTTGGCGATCATTTTGCAGAAGTTCTTCGTTTGCGCTGCTGCTTCAGAGCCCGGCGAGGTGGTCGTCAGCGTGACTGCGGCTGCGACCACATGCCTACATTCTTCACAACTGACCGACTACCCGTGTAGCACAAGATAGAGAACAGCACCGTAGAGTTCCAAGGGTCTATGCAAACGCCGCAGACGAATGTGAAACGAGCAAGGATGGACGTGGGGCGGTGAAACTGTATCCAATCACGGCGACACGAACTGTAGCAGGCCATCTCATTGCCTGTGGCTCGCGCGCAGCAAGCGCATGTTGAGCTCAGGAGCACGATAACAGCGCGCTAGATAAATGCAACTCTACTGTACATGCAGCGTTTGACAACTCTTCCTTTGTGCTGTGTTGTGTTGTGCAGGACATCGACTTCTTCGTCTCTCCAGATTTACCCCACCTGCCTACCAACGGCTTATCGGCATCGTCTACGTCAGACCAAGTGCAAGATCACCTGCAGGGCACTCGCACCGCCACACGCGACGACATTACCTACCGCCTATTCTTTGATCCCAGCTTGACGCAGAATATTTGCAGACATCCAGCGGCAATAGGACGCAGCTAGCACCGACGCCATGGCGGACCTCGCCGCAGAAAACGCCCGCCCGGGCTCGACCACAAATTCAGCAACACCGTCGAACGCTGCGTCGCGCGCTTCAACGCCTGGCGCAGGCGCAGAGAAGCCGCCGGACGACAGCTCTAAGTTCAAGACCTTCTTGGGCATATTACGAAAGTGGGTTCCACGGCATGGACCCTGAATATGCAGAGGCACGTTTTCTGATTCGTGGCGCTTGCAGGTTCATAGGTGTCTCTGATCTCGCTGCCGTGCGCTTCTCCCTCCCTGCGCAGCTTCTCGAGCCTCGGCCAAACCTGGGTACGTCGAACATGACATAAGGAAAGGGGGAAGACACAGCCTGACGGGCAACAGAGTACTGGCATTACTTGGACAGGCCAGACACATTCATTAGCATTGGCGACTCTGACGACGAGCTCGGACGTCTGCTGGGCTGCCTGCGCTTCTGGTTCACAAAGGACTTGGTATGCACCACGCTGCAGGAGAAGAGCGGGACTGACCTGGGCAGAAATATGTCAAGGGCAAGCCATGCAAGCCCTACAACTCGACGCTGGGCGAGTTCTTCAGGGTTTGTCGTTCGTACGGAGCTGAAGAGTTTCTGCTAACAAACGTAGTGTAACTGGAAAGTCGAAGACACACACCCCACCCTGAAGACACCGAATTCGGCGCCCTCGAGCAGCGCCAACAGCGTGGCTGGCGACGGTAAGACTGTCACAGTCTCATACCTCACCGAGCAGACCTCCCACCACCCCCCTGTTTCCGCCTTCTACATCGACTGTCCCGAGAAGGGCATTAGCGCGAGGGGCTACGACCAGCTGAGCGCAAAGTTTACTGGCACAAGCGTGCGCGTGGTGGCCGGGGCGCACAACCTGGGAATCTTTATTACCTTGAAGAACAGGGACAACGAGGAGTACCAGCTCACACACCCGGCTGCGTACCTGGGTGGTATCTTGAGAGGTGAGCATGCAGTCGCCGGGAGCAGCGCACAAAGCTGACCATCACAGGCTCCCTCAGCGTCTCCGTTGCTGATACCTGCTACATCACATGTCCCAAGACGGGGCTCAAGGTCATTCTCGAGTACCAGGAAGAGGGCTGGCTCGGCCGCAGCCAGAACCTGGTCAAGGGCGTGGTCTTTAAATATGACCCCAAGAACGACAACATCACCAGGATCAAGGACCTTTCGGACAAGGAGATTCTTGCGCGGATAGAGGGCGCCTGGACAGACAAGGTCTACTACACGCTCGGCAACAAGCCCTTTAACAAGGCTTCCGTAAGTTTGGCGCTCAGATGACAGAGAACACTGCACTGACAATTTGCAGGAGAAGCACCTGATCATCGACCTCAACCCGCTCTTCCCTGTCCCCAAGGTCGTCCCTCCCATGGAGGAGCAGCTTCCCAACGAATCGCTCAAGTTCTGGGAAGGCGTCACCAACGCTATCGTCGGGCGGCAGTACAACCAGGCCACAACCCTCAAGACCGAGATCGAAGAGAAGCAGCGACAGAAGGCGGCGGAGCGCAAGGAAGCCAACAAGGAGTGGCAACCGCGCTTCTTCACCGGCGCAGTCACGCCCGTCGGCCGACCAGATCTCACCGCGGACGGCGAGGTCGCACTGAAGGGCCTGCACGAGGAGAACTACAAGCTCGAGCTAAACAAAGAGTACGGCGCATAGAAGTTTGATGTCGATTCGAATCTACATACATCGGAGTCTGGGGTGCGGATGCGTTGGGCGACTACACCACCTTCGCTTGGATCACGTCTAGGTCTGTCTTTGTTCGACCTGCGGTAAGCATGTACAGTTGGCGTTCCGTTGAGTCTTCGATACATTACAGTGCGGTCTGGTTCCGGCACCATCGTCGATTGCATATATTCACAGCTCCTGAATAGATCTTCTTTCAGCTTGAGGCACGTGCTCTGTTGGTCGCAGACACGGTACCATGTAGAAGACCACTATGGCACAACGGCAGATTTTAACACATACGGCTAACAAAGACAGCAGCGGCACATTAAAGGTGGTCTTCTACAGGTGATGATGTCAAGCATATGTCTTAGACAGAAATGTCCACAATGCCATCGAAAGCACTATGCCTTCACGGTCACAGCTGTGCAGATACACTATATGTTCCTAGCCTCCATCAGCACTTCCGCAGGTCATACTGTCAAGCAGACCATACTATCAACCACCCACAGCACCACTCCCAAGCCTCCTCACGACACATTGCCACGATATACTACACAAAGCACAACACACCAGAACATGTACAAAGTTCCAGCTCCCCGCGCCCGCAAGGACTCCCGCAACGAAGACCAATCCCCCGGGTGCTGGGACCTGCTGAGAACCGACCGCAACTGGGACCTGCCCTCCGTCACGCCCAACGGCCATGTTCCCCGCGACAACCATGTCCCGTACCATCCGACGCCCAAGGCGCAGCCAAAGCCGCTGAACCATTCGCACGACGTGCTGGAGACGTGCATGGAGCTGTATGGCTGCGACGTGCACTTTGTCACGCGGGTTGAGTGCTTGGATGTTGCTGTGCAGAAGGGCGGGCGGGGGGTTTGCTTATTTATTGGGGAGACGGGGGTGTGTGCCGAGTGTGGGAAGGTATTGTAGAGGAGTGGGGGCCTGATGGGTGTGGGTCTGCGAGACCCTGGAGGTCTCCGCTGTGGTGTATGCGATTTGCGCCTAGTGTGAGAATACTGTTTAGGCAAGGAATGGGTGGAGACGGGACCTTTAAAGAGGGACCTGGAGGTATCCAGCGTGGTATGGGGTTGGCATGGTGGAGATACCCGGGTTGATTTTAGTGAGGAATAAGAGTAGCTGTACAATGCACGAATGCCGGACGACGGTGGAGGCATTCAGCATACGATGGGAGATTGAGAGAAGCGCGATATCCATGTTCAAGCTGTGCCAGATCAATTCCGAGTTCCTCACTTACCAAGCTCGCTCGACATATTGCTGACTTGAGTATTGTGACATGCCCAATGGAATAACAATATTGATACACAGCACGACTTAGGCTCGCGTTTCCCCTCTGCAAACTGCATGTTACGTAGCCGAGAACCTCCACTCAGAGCATATCCACTGGGGAGTATCTCAACATAGTCGATTGATGTCACAACCACTTCCAGCGAGCGGAGTGCTCCAGTATATTGAGGCGCGCTTCGAATCTTCGGCACGGCCCCAGCAAGATGTTCGATGTCTTCGAGACGCCAAGTTCCGCTGCTTAGTTCTAAATGGCAGAGGTTGTCAAGGCCGCTCACTGCCTTCATCAAGTCGTCTTGGTAGAGGTCGTTCGTTACACCGGGTATCTCTACGATGGGACAAGCTTCCACCAGGAAAGCCCACCTGCTGTACGGAACGTCCAAGTCCAGAACGCTTGTTAGCTCGACACCGACCTTTCAAAGGTCGCCTTGAGCCCAGAGACATCCACAGCCTTGCGGTGAATGACGGAAAGCTCAAGGAGGTTGACCACTTTGGGCATTGTTCGAGCTAGTCACGTTATGCAGAACGTATTAGTGTGTTGCGAGGTTGTTGCGATGCCGCAAGTCCTACCGACAGTTGTAGTAGGAGCTTGAACTACAGAAGCGAATCGAGGCTTCGTCGAGGCTCCACCGTGCAGGAAATCATGCCTACATACTGCTACGTTCATGCAGCAGAAGAATTTCAAATGGCGCCATTACACTTCCTAGCTTTCCAGACACCTTCGGCAACAAACTGTGACGTCATCGATACCGTCGGACCAGTAGAGCGACCTACGAACAAGAGACGTTAAGAGCTGCTACCCACAGCATACTAAGACATCCAAATGACGGTCTCTTTCGATCCAACACACCCTCCGGGCCTGCCGTGGCATCCAATTCCATCTGGATCGGCAACATGCAAAGTCCATCTCATCCAAGCCGGCGGGCTTGCCATTCCAACAGATATGGCGCTCCTTCCAGGTCCAGACAAACCAATAGACCCGACAAATGAGAACCAGAAAGAGGAAATAACTGGAAAGTACTACGCCCCAGACTACGTCTTCCTGATCGAACACACAACAACCAGAGACAAGTACCTCTTCGACCTCGGTATCCGCAAGGACCTGGAGAACCTGCCACCCACAATTGTGAAGAATGTCTTGCCGCAATTTGACTGCGAGCCAAAGTCACCAGCCGAGATCTTACAAGAGCATGGGTCACCAGAGCAGCAGCCCGAGAAAGTCAAGGCCATCATCTTCTCGCACATGCACTTTGACCATGTGGGCGACGGCGCAAAGGCTGGCTTCGAGAATGCAGAGCTCTGGGTGGGGCCTACGTGCTGCACCTACGCGAGGCCTGGGTACCCGGTGGATGAGAAGGCGCCAACGTTGAGCGAAACTCTGCCTACAGATGGAAGCAGAAAAATCGTGGAGGCGTTCGTGTCAGACGAGCTCCTGGAGGAAGCTGGAGACAAGAGAGCTGGAAAGGTGATGGAGGGCCTCCAGAAGGGTCTGTACAACGCCGTTGCTCTGAAGAAGGCGGACTGGATTGGCCTTGGAGCTTTCGACCGCGCCTTCGACGTCTTCGGAGACGGCTCAGCGTACCTTATCGATGCGCCTGGCCACTCAGAAGGACATCAAATGATACTCATTCGGACTACGACGGGTTCTGGAGGCGATACGTTCGTCCTGCTGGCTGGTGACTGCTTCCACCACCCCGAGCTGCTGAAGGAGCCGCGGAGGACTGCTCGTCCGCCGTATTCGAAGAGTGGTATGCACAGTGATCCTGAAACGGCGCTTGGCACTATCTACCGTACGAAGGAGTTTGCTCAGAAGGATAATGTCTGGGTCGTCGCGGCGCACGACTTCAGTGTTGGCAACAACATTCAGCCAGGCGTGAAAGAGATCCAAGGCCTTGTGCAGATTAACGACTGGCAAGAGAAGAAGTGGAAGAAGCCGTTGCATGGAGAATGGTAGAAATCAAACACCTGGTGCGCTCAACACTCCAATCGAAACAAGTCGTTCCGCCTCGTTGCAAAATATGAACAAGAAGAGCATGCAATGCTCAGATGTCTCCTGACGTCGCATTGATCTTGGTATCAATTCTGGCGCCCTGAAATGCTCGGATGCGCCGTAGTCGTCCATGTATTCTTCCGCTCGCTCACTTCTTTCCCTTGCCCTTGTCTTCTGTCTCGCCAGCCTCGCGGTCTTTCCTCCTCTGCGCGACATCCCAGTTGTAGACTCGTGCAAATGCAACCTCCAGTGTCTGCTATTCGTCAGATTTCATCTTCTGCGTGCTTGGGCACCGCCTACCGTGATCTGCTCCCTCAAGAAGTCCAGGTCCTCCTCACAAGTCGCCAGACTCGCCTTTGCCGTTGACAGCTTCGACGAGAGCAGCTCCATAGCCTCGGGAATGGGGTACGCCAGCATGACGTTCGCACCCAGCCACAAGTATACCTCGTCTGTCGGTGGCACCTCCGCCTTCGCAAATAGTGTGTCGTTCAGCTCGAACGTTGTCTCGATGGGGTCTGCGTCCTCCCCTCGTGTCTTCAGGAACTTGACTGTCTCGAGTGTCTTCTGTATGTCTGGGATCTTGTCTTGTAGCCCTACTGCTCGCCGTTGTGTGTTTGCCTGCATGAACTGGTACTTCCTAGTGCATTGTAAGGTCGTGGTCGGTGGTATTGGTTGTGCGTGGGTGCGTACGAGATCATCTCCTTGAAGCTGTTAATGGTGCTTTCCACCTCTGAACGGTCGGTAACATAGTCTTCAACACGGTCGACGAAGGGAGCTTTGGGGATGCCCCGCGGGTTCGTCTCCGCTTCCCTATTACTGTCAGTGAGTGTTGAATGGGGTGTGAGGCTTCTTACTGCGCCAACTTGACGACGTCTGGCATTGTAATGTGCTGAGGGCGATATAGAGTCGTTGAGAGATTGTGCACAAAGAGATGCAGTAGAGGAACGCAATGCTATGACGTGAGCTCTGCAACTGGCGTCGCGCAAAAGTCGTGGGCTCTCACGATATCGATACCGATGTTTGTGGTGTTTGCTGAAAAGGAGTGCCCCGCGTCTCCGCCCTTCTTCTCTTGGCTAGTCTCCGCTCCGCCATCTAGTTTCCGCTGAGCAGCGGAGACACAGCGGAGATTCGATTGACCGCGGCCCTGCACTTATTACGGCTACAACATGACTTCACTACTTTGGAGATGTTTGTCAACCTCTCGCTACGCCTGCCCCAGCTTTACGGTGATCATGCAGCTTACGAGCTCTGCTGCAACCTCAGGAAGCCACCTGGGCACAATCCCTCTTAGCGAACCTCCCTAGGTCAGCCCGTTGCGGACAGAATCCTCCCGAATACCCACTGATAATGCGAAGCAAACCGATTTCGTATCGTGCGACCGTGCCAGATATACGTCCGCTGGCTTCCCGGGATTACTCGCTCGCGGGTGGCTGACGGTGGAGCTCGTATCCCGCTTGAGCACTGCAGATATTATTATCAACCCGCGCGCTCAGTGGGCGGGCAAGGCTTCCGCAAAGAGGACTTCGTCCTAAAGGTCCACGCTATCGAAGATCGTCGCTGGTGCAGAAATAGTTTCAAGATGACGCAGCATCACCGATCAGAAGCCCTTCTTCAACCAAGCGCGAGCGGTGCTTCATGCACGACAATGTCGGTCCGTTTCGAGGTATGGCTGATTGAGTATCCCGTGTATCAGTACATCATGACTATCTCCCGTCGCCAAGGTAGCCAGCGCTACCCGTACACCGTCCTTGGTGCGTGTAGCCGCTGGATACGGTCTGGGTTGTGCGCCCGGATCCCCGCCATGTGCCCCGAGCATAGGGAGTTGTCGACCCCATGGAAGCCTGACTGGACGCTGACAACTTACAAGGCGTGCTGTACTTTCATGTGTCAATGCTCATAACGGTATGAAGTGAAGCTGGGGCTGTCAGGCCACGAACGTGATTTAGCCACCGCCCTAAGTCTGCCTAGTGCCTATTCTGACCTCCGAACATCTGTTGAAGTTAGTCAGACTTGCATGCAAGGTGTAGGGCCAATAGATACAGTTGTTGAAAATAAGTCGCATGACGTGCGCTACTGCTGGCAGTAACATCCTTTCCCCAGGTGTTTCTCCCCACGAAGTGTCGTTGGCGAGCCAAATCTCTTCATGCGAGTGAGATCGGCGCAGCCCAAAGCCAAGCATAATCACGCACTATCTATCGTAACTTTGCAAATATTTTCGGCTAGTGGATGCGGCCTCCTAAAAGTGTGCAAAATCGGTGGGTGAGCAAGTTAAAGAGCGCGCGCATCTCGTGTCTTTGGCGTTGTGCCCGTGGGTCAGTAATTGAATACGGCGTGCAGTTGAGAAGATCGAAAAGATCGAAGATGCCGAGTGACTTGTTACGCGGTGTGACTCTGAGACCTTCTCTGCCCTACCGGAAGGTGCCGAGGTACGATTTCCCATGGCTGGCTGCACAACACCGATCAAGTGGCAGTAGTTTGGTCAAAATGTGATCATCGTTACCAACTTTCGAGGTCCACGTATATCGCTGGCTGATGCTGACAAGCTATTCTTGGATTCGCTTCATGAGCCATGCGATTGGAATTTCTCTGTCGAGCCATGATAAGGTCTTTCGCTGAGTAGTCGTGATTGGCTTGGGCCGTAAGCTTATTCAGAGGGCTTGCTCATTACTGGGCGCAGTCTTCGTAAGATTTCATGTCAGTGCAAGGCTGTCAGACTCGATGGTGAAGCTGGGGAAGGAGCGATGGACATCTCAAAGGAAGTTGTCGAGGAAGGCTTTGAAGTTGACCATTATTACTCCTAGATGAGAGGATATATGAGACCGCAATAAGACTAAACGTCAGACTATTTATAACAAAATCAAAGCAAGACGCAATGCGCTGATCATGACCAGTGAATCAGTACAAGCAGCTTGCTGAAACGCCTGTAACGCCAACAACAAAGTGTGTGCCTGAAATCCAACGCTGAACGCCAACAACCCCAGGTTCAACACTTGAACAAAGGAGATGTATGCTGTCTGTACAATCTACATGCTTGTGATCTAAAAGCTTATAGCTTGAGGCCCTTCTGGATGAGCTTGCCTAATGTGGCACCCTGTAGTGATATTAGTGTCGCGTTACGAAGTAGAGATCGTTGTGAGACTTACGTGATCGCCCTTCATCATTGTGAAATGGTTGCCGCCCATGACGGCGTACTCGAACTTTTCCTTGGGCAGAAGCTGAGCCCAACCGTTGTCGTCAAAGTCCGTACGGTTGTTGAGGAGCCACTTCATAGGAGCTGGGTCCTCTCCCTCGCCAGGTGGTGGGCGAGGGTCCTCAGGGTTGGGGCATACGCCGTCAGTGCACCAGATGGCAAGAACGGGTGGCGCAGTATTGGGGTCCATTGGGGCCGGGTCGTAGGCCTTCAGGTTCTGTATGGCTGAGGCGAAGTGAGGTAGGAGCCATGAGGGAGTGCCTCCGGGCTTACCAGTACCGAGAAGACCGATCTGATCGAAGAAGATGTGGAGACGGGCGGGAAGAGGGTCGAGAGCGACGGGGCAAGGGGCGTCGATGAGCACGAGGCTCTCAACCTTCTCGCCGGCATCAACAAGCTGCTTAGCGACCTCGTAGGCCATGACACCACCAGCGGACCATCCGCCGATGATGTATGGGCCCTCAGGCTGACGGCGCTTAATCTCCTTGAGGTAGATCTGAGACACACCCTCAACACCACACTCCCACTTCTCGGGGCACTTCATAAATGGGCAGTTCAGTCCGTAGACAGCCATGTCTGGAGAGATATTGGGAATCGAGATGTATGAGGTAGCGCTGCCGGAGCCATCCGGGACCAGGAAGAACTTCTTGGAAGCGACCTTGGGGTTACCCTGGAGCAGGACAGAGTTGGAAGGTGGAAGCTGCGAGATATCGACGGCCTGGGCGAGCCTCTTGCTCACCTCAGCGAGCTGAGGGGCCTCAAGCTGTGCCTTCTTAGTAGTGATCTTCGCGGTGATCTTGACCTCCTTCGGAGCCGGGCGCATACCGAGGGCGGTCTCGATGTCCTTGATGGTAATATTGACCGTAAGGAAGTCGGCAGAGAGATCACGACCAGTCTGCTCGCGCATGGAACCAAGGATTGTTAAGCTCATCAACGAATCCATGCCGATGTCAGTGAGGTCGAGGTCGTCCGTAATCTCGGAGATGTCGACGCCCATTTCTTCAGCGACAAGCTTGCGAGCAAGACTGGCCTCGCCAGCGACGGCGGTTTCAGAGACCTTAATATCAATGTCATTGCCGTCAACACTGGGCGCAGAGCTGGGAGGGGTGCTACTGGTCTCGCGCCCGTAGGGAGTGGAGGCGTCAGAGGGCTCATCAGTGGTGTCGGAAGCATCATCCTCAACGACGGCAGCAACACCATCGTATTGAGAGAAATGCTTCTTCAGCTCACCAACACTGGCACAGTCAGTGAACAGGCTGGAAGGAATCTCCATGTCGAGCTCCTCGCGGAACCTGGCCGAGATGGTCAGGGAAAGCAGTGAGTCAACACCAAGGTTCTCAAATGCAGCATTATCCACGAGCTCAGACATGTCGACGTCGATCTCCTCAGCGACGATCTTCATGACCTTGGCTGTGACACCATTGTTGGCCTGCTTGACAACCTTGATCTTAGCAGGCTTCGCCACAGGTCTCGAGACCTTTATAGGAGTGGGTACGGCCTTAACAGGTGCAGCGACGATGGCCTTGGGAGCAGGCCTAGCGATCGATTTAGCAGCGAGACTGGACTTGACACCGGATGGAGGCATCATGATGTTGAGGGCGCGACGAGGAATGTTCTGGAACTTCAGTCCGAGAACCATACCGATGATCTCCTCACCCTCAAGGATATAGACATCGCCAACGGAGATATTGCCAGGAGCAGGCTGCATGCGCACGTAGGAGCGGTACTTCTTCTCGGGCGAAAGTTGCTTCGAGATCTTGATGGATCCCCAGCCGTGGGAGATGTAGACCGAGTTGTCCGAGTCGAGGTGGTCAGAAGCGTTGACGATGAAGCCGGAGAGATGAGCCAAGCTGTCAATCCAGTAAGGGGAGCAGAAAAACTCGCCATCGGCAGGAGTGGTTTGGAATTGAACCTGAGCGGTTGCTTCGGTGGTCTTGCCGTCCAGGATGACCTCCTCCATACCGCGGTAGTTGTCGGCGTAGGTCACAAGTGCTTTGAATAGCTTGTAAGCCATACCGCGGAGCACCTTGTGCGCAGCACCAGTATGGAGCTTCTGCTGCAGAACGTCGATCTGAGTCTGAACCATGTATTGGATGCGGCTCCACTCCTCCTTCCAGACCTTCACGTCTTCGTACTTGACTACACCGAAGGCGTGCTCGGCAAGAATTTTGGAGCCATCGGCGGTGACAGTGCGGAACTTGACGTCAACCTGATTAGTCTCAAGGTCAGCCGTAGCCTCGACCTGCAAGTGCTGGCCGCCAGCTGGTGCGGGCCACTGCGGGATCAGGGTCTTAGGAACCTCCATGGCGCAGACATTGAGGCCGGGTGTGGCCATGTTGGGGCGCAGCTGCTGGTAGAGGTAATCTGCGACTGTCATAGCCTGATCGGCGTACAAGGACGATGGGCACAGAGGTGTACCATTGACCTGGTGACCGGTGATGGTAGCCTTGAGCTTGGGGTCAGACAGATCTGACTGGATGACCACAGTACCGGAGTTGGCGTGGAACTCTTCGCGAACGACCTTGTGACAGGAAGTGGTCTTAAGCTTGGAGGGGATCTCGACTGGGGTCTCAATTGCCTTAGGCTCAGTAGGCTGGACCTTCTCGCCCTTGGTCAGAGTCCAGTTGTTGTGGTAGTCAAGCCAGTACTTCTTGTTGTCGAAGCTGTAGGTTGGGAGATTGAGGAGCTCATAAGCGTCCTTGAACTGCCTGTGGTACTCGTTGAAATCGAAAGCGACGCCAGCGAGGTGCAAAGTCGCAATAGTGTTGGAGAGAGTCTTCCAGGGATCCTCATTGCGGCGGAGAGATCCGGCAGTAGTGGGAGTTCCACCCAGAGTGGACTTGACCATTCCGCTGGTGACAGGGTGAGCGCCAACCTCGAGCCACACGGTCTTCTCATTGAAGAGCTCCTCGGTCTTGCCAGTAGACAGAGCAGTCCAGAAATTAACAGTCTCGCGTGCGTGACGGCATAGATAGGCAGCGTTAATGACGCCGGCCTCACGGATAACCTCGCCGGTAAGAGGAGACATGATCGGCACCTGAGGCTTGCAGAAAGTGACAGCAGAGGCAGCCTCCTGGAACTTGGCAAGGATCGGCTCGACTTGGGCAGAGTGGAACGCAAAGGGCACGTTCAGCTTGGTGGACTTGAAGCCTTGGGCGGTGAGGAGCTGGTTAGTAGCCTCAACAACCTCGACTGTGCCGCAGAGGACAGTCTCCTCGGGACCGTTCATGCAGGCAATCTCGGTCATCTCGTTTCCCAGAGCAGCCTTGATGGAAGCAGCCCCGCCCTTGACAGCAAGCATGCCATGAGTTCCAGCGGTGCACTCCTGCTCGAGAATCTCGGCGCGGCGGCCGACCAGAAGGACCATATCGCTAGCAGATATGACCCCAGCCACGTGAAGGGCTGCGTACTCGCCAAGGCTGTGGCCGACGACAGCAATCGGCTTGATGCCCCAGGCAGCCCACATGCGGGCAAGAGCGACCTGAATGCAAGCCATGCCGAGCTGAACCACGACAGGCGACAAAGTAGCCAAATCGGTACCGGTGAGCAGAGGCAAGAAAGATGGGAGTCCGTGCAGACGAGCGATGTTATCGAGCTGCTTGATGTCTGCTTGGAAGGACTCGAGATCCTCGTACAGCCTCTGGCCAAGGCCATTGTACTGCGAGCCCTGTCCAGTGAAGGTGAATGCAGTCTTGGTTGGGACCATGGGAAGAGGGCTATACGAGTCCTTGATCTGGGCCTGAAGAGCATCCTTGACCTTACAGATGTTATCGACGCAGATGGCAATGCGATAGTTGTGCTGAATGCGACGAGCAGTGGTGGTGTAGGCCAAGCTAGAAAGAGTAGTCTCAGGGTTCTTCTTCAGGTACTCAGTAACATTGTCGATGTTCCTCTTCAGCGATGCAATGGACCTGGCAGTAACAGTGACGGTGTGCATGGTGCGAGGGTCAGTTCCCTTAGGAGCCTCGCGCAGGGGACCATCCTCAAGCAGGATAGCGGTGTTACCACCAGCGGCAGAGAAGTTGTTCAGGAAGAGCCTGCGCTTCTCAGCACCCCTGCGAGGAAGTGCCACCTGAGTGGTCGAGATGTGAACGTTGCGCTGGGCAAGATCCTTTGGGAAACTCTTATTAATCACGCCCTTGATACCAACGTTGGCAGGAATAGCGTTCTTCTGCATCATCATCAAGACCTTGACGAGAGAGTTTATACCAGAGGCGGCTTCTCCGTGACCGATATTGGCCTTGATGGCACCAAGGTGGAGAGTCTGCTCAGGACGACGCTGGCGGTGACGAGGAGCAAAGACGTTGGTGACCGAAGTCATCTCGATACCGTCACCGGCCTGAGTACCGGTTCCATGCATTTCAACATAGCTGATGTCATGAGCGTCAACACCAGCGTTCGCTAGAACCTTACTGTAGAGGTACTCCTGAGCACCGGCGTGGGGGTGCGTGATGGAAACAGCCTCGGCACTATGGTTTGTGGCGGCGCCCAGAATGCAGCCAAGGATGTTGTCCTTGTCAGCAATGGCGTCCTCGTAGCGCTTAAGTACGACTGAGCCACAGCCGTCGCCACGGCAGTAACCGTCTGCATCGTTGTCGTAGGTCTTGCAGCCACCGGTCTTGGACAGAAACTGACCCTTACTGAGACCCGAGAAAATGTCGGGGTTAGTAAGGACGTTGAGGCCTCCAGCGCAGGCAGTGTCGCAGTCACCAGCCCAGAGCGAGGTGCAGGCGAGCTGGATAGCAGCAAGAGAAGACGAGCAGGCGGTGTCAATGCTGTATGACGGTCCAGAGAACTTGAAGTAGTAGTTGATGCGTCCGGGAGCGAACGCACGAACACCACCAGTGATGAAGTAGGTGTCAATGTTCTCGGCAGCATTGATCTCACGCCAGTCATCGGAGGTCTGACCGTAGAAAGTTCCGATACGGTTCAGCTTAGTCGAAGGCGTGCGGTTGGGTACGTAGCCAGACATCTCCAAAGCCTCAAAAGCAGTGGTCAAGGCAAGGCGGCCCATGGGGTCAGTCTGGGCAGCCTCACGAGGAGACATGTTGAAGAAGCGGGGATCGAATAGGCCAGGCTCGTCGATGAAGCAGCCAAAGGGTGTGTGGGACTTGTTCTTGCCCTTACCAGAGGGGTCGCAGTGAGCCTGAGCGTCGAAACGGTCTGTAGGAACCTCGCGGTGAACATCAAGGCCCTTCTCGAGTAACTCCCAAAGAGCCTCAGGGGTGGCGGCGCCGGGGAAGCGACCAGACATACCAACAATGGCAATCTTGTCGCTCTGAGTGCGGCCGCGTGTGGCATGTTCAGTCTGCACCCACGAAGTGTGATCGCGTACGGCAACCTGAGACTGTCCGCCAGCCTTGATGGCAGACGCGAGGCTGTTGGCGACATTGGTCACGCCAATGGCAGAGACAGAGCAGTCTGCGCTGCCGGTAGCAGTCACCTGCGATACGACTTCGCCAAGAAGGTTATCCCAGCGTACAGGCTCGAGGAGCATGTCGGTAAGCGCATTGCGCATCAACTCGAGAGTGCTAGTTGCGGTCGAGCACCTGCCGCTAGAAGCGGAGTGGATCAGCGCCAGGGGTCGGAATTGTTGGAAGTGCCTGGTGGCCTCGCTGTCCAGAATACGGTCGATATCGGCTTGCGCGTGGATATGCGATGCATGGTAGGGTGCGTACACAGGGATTGACACGCGGGTGTTGTTCCTGAAGGCGTCGATCTCCTGAAATAGACGTTTCGTTGTTGATGGTGGGCCGCTGATGGTCAGAGCCATGGTGCTAACTGCGCTAACGTAGGCGCGCGCGGAAGCAGGTATCCGGCGCTCATCATGAAACGCGGACAGAGACTTCTTTGCTGCGATCTCAGAGACACCTGTAACAATGGTCGACCAGCTTTCTTTCGCCTCTGAAGGGTGCTCGAGCGCATCCTTGGCCGCACCAACGCAGGTACCAGCGCGGAAGGCAACACGGACAGCTTCTGTTGCAAGGGGCAGCAGCTCGCTAATTGATCGTGCGGATGCTACTACTGAGGCAGTGATGGAACCAGTACAGAGACCGACAAGTCGTGTGTTGGCAGGATTCGGAAGGTCTTTTGGGTTCTCGCCGTAGTATCCGATGTAGTGTGCAAGTTGTGCAAGCGTGACCATACAGCTCTCGAGCTGGGGAATTTTCTTGCCTTCGCTGTAGTAGGTGTTGACGAGGTCCCAGGAAGTGAGGAAATCAGGGATCTGGTCCCTTTGTGTTTTGGGCAGCTTCTGAACTTCGTCGCGGAGAACAACACTCGCACGATCGAGGAATGTTGTCAGAGTGGCGTTGTTCCTCCATGTAGCCACCTTCTTGAGCAAAGGGAACTGATCAGAAGTCTGATCACCAAAGATGAGGACGTTCATGATGGTGGTGTCTTTGGATCAGGGTATCGAAATTGTGAATAGGGGAAGAAGGCAAGGTCAGAGCCTTTCGAAATTATTCTCTTGGGAGGTGAAAGGATAGAAACGATGGTCAATCTTCAAACGGTAGGGTCAGTACCGTATATTAAGAAAGAATTGAGCAAGAGCTGTGGTGATAGAGTCCTCTCTGGTCGTATAATGGAAGGCCCGAAGGACTGGATGAGAAAGGTAAGTTGCGATCGATTCTTGGGGATTAGCGGTGCACCTTATATGTGGATGATCACCCTGAGTAGATGTATGAGGAACCCGTATGGTATCTATGCTTAGCGCGCACGATGACAAGCACTGCCCGCACCGGGTTTGTGACAGCACAGATACGGCACCATGTAGCGCGGAACGATGTCCTGAAGCAACATGTTGACGCAAAGACAAGACTGAGGCGCAGACCATTTCTCTTTCTGGGTTAATTCCGAGAGGTAATGGCGTGCGGTGACCGGGTATACCTCTGAGTAAGCTTCGTGCCTATTGATAGCTGGCGCATGCTAGGCGTGTAGGCAAGCCGCTGATGTATCGAGCCAATGCGTCACAGAAGATATCAAAGGTGAGACGTGTGGACCTGGATAGCAAGGCGCTGTCTCAAATTCGGGCTAACTGTGCCGGGTCCCCTCATGTAAGCCGGGGTGGACATGGACCCTGTGTGCTTCTGCTGTCAATTGCGGCATTAGCAAGGCATCAAAACGCTTGGGTCTAGGAGGACCGCATGGATGGATGGATGATGATGAGGTCGTAAAACCGTAACTGACTGTTTGATGCTGGCTGCCATGCGCTACAGGTCGTACACGGGCGAACTCTCTGAATGTGGCGGCGGACGCGTTACGGCAACTCCGAATTCCAGATAGTCGAGCACAAGATCTTGAGTTCATAATTGCCGTTGAAGCTCCAATTTTTCGGCTGTGCCATGGTTGTGGATGCATGACCCTTCGCTGAGGCCCACATGCCAAGCACATGGACTTTCACAGCGGATCACCACCGTTCATGATCTCAGTAAGCAGTTCCCTCTGCAGAATGAGGAACCGAAGCGCACCTTTTCGATGGCGCAGTATCAAGCTGTTTGGATACCCCGCCCGGAATCAGGGTTGTCAGAGTGCTTCACTGCTGATGAGAGCCTGCACGATGCAGCCAGCACAGCCCGCATCCCGAAAAAGCTGAGACCACACACTGTCCTTGACAGATTCGAATAAAATCTGGCTTAGTACTTTCAGTTCGGTGGATCTTCGTCAGGTAGTCTGAATGTGGTGTTGGGCAAGTGGTTACTCGCTTGGCCGTTCGAGTATCGCTCCACGGGCACCAATGGAGTGCCGTTACGGGATCTTCAAACCCAGAGGCAGCATGCAACCGTCCGATACCACAGTGCAGGTACCTTAGTAGACCACGATGATAGGTACTGGGAGGCTGAAAATCTTCGCTCTGTTGCGATGATCAGCAGCTACGGGTTTCCCCCAACGTCCGAAAATACGGGTTCGATTGGGAATTTGCATATAAGGTCTTGCCAGGGCTGATGCTTCGGTAGACGTGTATTGCATCGGTTGCGACCTTGCTGTTGTCCATTGGCATCGAGCTCCACTCGAAGCCTTGAATCAGCACTCAAACAAACGGTTTGCGAGATTGGACAGATCTCATAGCCAGCTACTTCGTGACAGTCTTGTCCGCCCCGGTCGCAAATGCTGCTTGGGTTCAGCTCGCCAGGACGCAGATGTGATGCTGATCGACATGTTCGCGATGGCGTTGGTTGATCAGGCAAGCGCTGTGAGGGTCATTCACGTCAGTGGAGATTGCGGCTCCCCGCCGAAAGAAGTTGCAACTCCAAGATTGTTTTGGTCACATGACGTTCCAAGTCCCACTGTATCCCTGCCATTTCCCAGCTGGAAGCGAAAGGTGAATTCTTACACGAATAACAACTCTTGTCAGGCAGTCTTCGTCTCTCCTATCGTCGGTAATGGTGCTACCAGTCATGTGCCGGGTGCTCGCTCAAGTACTAAAAACACTCGAAACTTGCACCAACGTGGCTCTGGAACGGTTCTCCCAGAATGTTGCAGTTTTGTCTACTTTTGGTTCTCGTCCACGTCGGATCGTGTCAGGTCCTAGTACCTTAACAAACAAAACGCCAATGGTCACGCAAGGCATTGTGTGTCTACCCATATGCTGCTTTGCGTTGAAAGACGATAGTGTTCGGGATCCACTTTACCGCACTCCGAGAGCTCAAGCTGCGGCATCGCATTCCGAGTATACTTGTGACAGAGACTTCACAGTCTCGCCTCTCCTCTAAACTTGCACGTGCAGCTGCTTGAGAAGGCAATGTCGCAGTCGATGCATGAGATCACAGAAACGAAGCCTACAACAACATCCCTAGCGCCGGCCCCGCATGCTCGTAGCAGATTGTTTTTGGCTCACGACCAACTCCGCACTGCATCACAGAGCTCTCCGATGACAAGCTTGTCTCGTGCAGGAAACGCCAGATAAACCCAATAATTCAAGCCATGAGGTTGCAGAAGCTCTACGCCACGATCGCAGATGCGCCGACTGCTGTATCAACAACATGTACCTGGAGATCCACCACGGCTCGGGCAATTGCTCCAGCTCAATTGGTAGTCGCGAAGTCTCTGCCTTGCTGGCTGATGGAAGCTGCTGACACCGTTGTTCTGCACCTAGCGATCATTCTGCTAGCCACACCAAGCCGCTTTGGAAGCAGGGTCTTGACGGGAAGCCCGTTATCATGCAGTCGCGATAGTTTAGAGTCCGTCTGAGAGTCCATCCACTCGCGATAGCCCACGACATGCTATCGTCGATTTCACAATAATCGCTCTGTATGTACTCCGACGCTACAAGTCCACCTTTCTTCATGACGATGCCAGTATCAGTCTGCGCAGCATCGCTGTACGCCAGGATACAGGGCTGACAACATCGTGGAGCGCAACGGTAAGCACCCTTGATCAACAGGGCCCTCCAGGGCTGGCAGTCTTCCGGAAGGCTGAATTACCTCCCTCGGCTTTGCAGTCCGCTAATGACATACATGTCAGCGTCACGCAATCAGCCGAATATTACCAACGGCCAGATAGAATGTAGCACACAATGTTGGGTACTGGGAACCAACTGTATTGTCAAGACTCAGCGCGCCAGGATACGACCATGCAGAGCACCGCAAGCCGAACAACATGCAGCAAGAACAGCCTTGCGCTTGGCGTTTTCATATCAACGACGCCTCCAATAGCGCCTAAGATCCCGCCAGATAAACGAGGCATACTGCATGGTCAATCGTCGCTAGGATCGCAATATCGCAATCTGGATCTAGACACTTCCTGCAGCCTACAAGGTAGTTAAGAGAACATTGCTGGGGGCAGCAAACCAGCATCCCCCGGTGCATATCTCTTCCGAGTCACAACAGTGGGGGTTTCGACATGATCGTCTTGCCTGGGACCATCGATACGGTTAGCGTGTAGGCTATCCGACCGCGACCGCCCCGGACCGTCGAACACAAAACCCGCAATTCTGTCCCGTGTGCAAGGCCACTGTTTGAAGCACCCACGCTTGAGAAATCCCACGCGCGGCTATTGTTTGGTCTCAGGCCTATTTTGAGGTACCACTAGGGGATTTGACAGTCGAGACAGCTTCTTCTCGCCTTTGCGAAGAACATACACCCGGAGTAAGAGCTTATTTCCACAGTTAACGATTTAAAGGTTATTGCTCGTTGCTGACTCAAGTTAGACAGAAGGGCTCAGGATGACTACCTAGTCTACGAGTAGTTGGCGTAGGTCTGGTCGCGCCGTGTCTTCCGTATGGTCCGCGGAGGGCACCGATCCATGAGCGCATCATAGCTCGGGTCAAGATATACACTGGCAAAACTAGAGGATGGAAAGACAGATGCCATACAAATTCCTGTTCAGCACCAATCTGTCAAACAACGCAATTAGAAACAGGCGGTTGCTATCGCGCATGTCCGATGGTCAATCGAATTTTGCCAGTCTGGCAGTGACAGTACCGCAATTTGAAGTCCCAGTGTCTGGGGAGATTTCCTGGTACAATAGCGAAGTAACAGCAAGACCGTTGCACATAGCCTCCCGCCTTAGTGGGGCGGCATCTCAACCTAGACACAGGGCCAGAACAAGCTTCGATAGTCTCAGGCTCGGTCCCAGACACCTCAGTATACGCAACGTGTGGATACTATGATTGACTGCTTCATCATTTGGGAACGGGGTTCAATCGGTCCAGAGCTTGACAACAACGCTACTCTTTTCGGATAGGGTAAACTTCAAAGTGCGCCTGTCACTTTACTGTAATTTTCCATGTGGCCTGCTTAATATCATGTATCGGCAAGTACCTTCGGGATAGCACGTGAACTCATGGGCGGATCGGGCTCACATTTGATCTGGCATTATCGTTCTCCAGTGGATTTGTACCATCAAGGCACAGTCGCTTGTAGTATCAGCGACTGGAGCTCGAAGTTCACGCGCACTTTCTAAGTGATGGGTCGATGTAAAGTTGTCCAGTTAATGTGGTGCAAAACGAACGATATCTTGAACAAGCCCTGATTGCATCTGTAGAGGTGTTGCTGTGAGCTTCCTCATCGAACCGTATACGATAATGATACGAAGGCATGTACACCGTATCTTCGTCAACAACGTCAAAAAGACCAAACTCGAGGATGTTGTAGCACCTCGTCTTCTTGATCAAGTCAGAAGACATGTCTTGAGTGCCCAGGAGTTATCGTGGAGTAGCTACCTTGCATCTAGTGAGGAGCCATACGATCTTGTACCACGGTCAATGCGTTGCATCTGTATGGTACCGGTAAGAAGCCACGCTCACAACCACTTCTTCGGAATCGTCACACCTCGGAAAGGGAGCCATGTGAGCTTTTTGTGCGACGCAAAGCCACGCAGAGACTCATTGAGCCACGTTGGTCAACGCATCAGATTTCGTGGTGCATAACCTAGGCCGTTACACTGCTTCAGTGCGGTAGTCGCACGAACGGCAGCAGCAACTCTGACAGCGGATTTTCGCGTCCAGGCACGCCCGGGGATTCGATATTTTCAGGAATCGATCGACTCGTATGCAGGGTCTTTGTTTCGTGCGCAATTCGTCCGGCCGTGGTTCTGCAGTTCTTCTGCATTGGTACACACGGTTTGTAGATCTAACATCTGGTTTTCTTTCTATTTAAGATCGATTATCTTGTCAGTCTCCACGAGACTTCCATTCACATAGGAAGAAATCATACCGAAAATCGGCAGCTCGGATATCTTCGCATATAATTCTGCATCACGGAGTACCTGCTTGGATCAATTAAGTCCGGGTTCCCCAAGGCTGTCTCTCCACAAGATGCCACTATGACAATTGGGTATTTAGATGACAACATGAACAAGGATGCCTGGCAGTTACTGGGACGTGTTCGCAGCTAGCGGCCATTGTTCTGGTGCGTTTACAGCTCGTAAGTCACACTGCATAGTCAAATGGTAGCGTTAACACCTCGACTGTACCTGAACCTTGTTCCCAGCTCCTCTCTTGGGCCTCTGTCAGATCGCTTGATAGCTTGGACTGTAGTTGGGCAGGGGTGGAACGTTCATATCGTCCAAGCGGTGTATGCTGAATAATTACAGTTGTAAAATACCATGAACAGCGTGCATCTCTGTATTGAGCCCCCACCGTGACGCAGGCGCCGAGATACGGACGAACGTATCTCTGTGAACAGATTGTACAAGAAGGATTGAGCCAGATGGCAGGATCGCGTCCCGCATCACGGAAAGGACCCTCATGCAATTCATGGTGGTACTGCATGCGGCACAGGGAGATTTCGCCTGCAGTCTTACTTCACATGAAACCAGAGGCATTAGATATGTTGTTGGGCTGACTCAGCATAGTGTGAGTGGCCCCGAGATAAGGACGTCCACTCCAGGTACACCATTTGCCAAAGGGGTGAGGGAGTAACATAGGATGATGTCCAGTCCAGGTTCTGAGTTGACTTTTGACCGATTGAATTGCAGCTATGAGCTCATTGCCTGAGGGCTATCTTTAACCGGTGGTATTGAGACTTCTGGTCCCTGGAGGTGTTACACGTGCGGCGCCGCGATACCGCCTTCCAAGTCTCTCTCGGAACCGCATCTTCTCTGAACGTCGTGCCACATTCCAAAGAGAATTGCTGTCATGATCGAGAAACGTGCTTGTCGTGCTCTTTGTTAAATCTCAAGATTGCGATACTTGCTCAGGACGCCACATGTTGGCTAAGCAATCGCTGTCAAGGGTGTTAGCGGCGGCTAGTACGGGAGCTTCCATGCTCACAATGAGATGAGCCGACGAGAGATGCACCTTGACGAAGACTTGCGGTGATAAGATCCGGTGTTTCGGCTCACTTACAGTCGTGCTCAAGGGTCCGCAACGCCACTACATAACTAGCAGGCATTATTCAATCTGGGCCGACTAGACCAGACGTACCGATTACAACTACATGTGTATCGCGGTACCGAGATGCCTTGAATTCATGTGTTGCGCAAAAGATCACGTACTGGCCAGATACCTTGCCTATAGTCATACCAGTAATTTGCGGTGTACCGCGAGGTATCACATGTCTGCGGGTAATCGATGCGTGCGATGTTTTTACAAAAAAGTACGCGCATGGCGTACGAGCTGAGGCATGGTTGTGCGCATTCGAGAGACTCGAGCGAGTCTATTTCCTTTTTCGATGACAGCTGCATGTCAACCCCGTGTTTTCCGACACGTTTGGGCAGCGCATTGTGTCTTGTGCAGTAGGTTGAATCCTTCTAGGATAACGCAGTGCAGATTTGAGCGGCGCAACGTTGCGAACACTATACCCAATGCGAGCCTAGACCCTCACACCAGCCTCGGGCGTACAGCCACCAATACTTTCATACAGTAGTCCTGCATGGTCGCTACAGCAAATGGCTGTAGAAGCGCACTTGAGAGACACTGTCAGCTCGTTCGTGTAAGGCTTCATGATTCATCAGCGGAGGATAGTTCTTCTTATCGTTCAAGAGCTCCTCAATCGGTGAAGGCAGCGAAAGTCCAAACTCTCGAGTCAGCAGTGCGTGCTCCGGAGGGGAACCGGTGTCGTGAGATTGCGTCTTGGAGGTGGTCCACGCGCATGTGCAGCGTCGATTTCTCCGCAGCGGAATCTCTCGGCAGGCTAAGGAGCATCTCCGCCCCGATCCCCGCCCAATCGCGCAATTGCGGAAGTTTATCACTCTGCGCTGTGACGATCACAGCCATATCGGCAGAATAGGTAGCCCTCAGCGGAAAGATCCTGGTTGATTTGGCCAGCGCTTTTCTTCCAGGGTTGTGAACGGTACGAATTGGCAGGTGCTCAGCAAACACTACCCAATCGAAGCTTTCTCATTCTAGGGACCCCTCCTCGGCGTCAGCCATCATGATCACCATGCAGTTTTTATCGGACTCTTTAGTCGATCCCAAGGCATTCCTTCTCCTCCAGCGGTTTTCAGCATCGCAAGTACCAAGAAGAGGACTTGATCTACGTCAGAGGCTGTGGCCCATGGGGCAGATACCGACGATCGGCATTGTCTGATTCGAGCTCCTGGTCATCTCAGCTGCCAACTGTGAAGCCTCATCTTTACTGGAGAAAGGTAGGGACTTTTGCCAGCGTAGATGTGGCGCCATGATGCCTACGCTAGTCATTGCAACTTACAAGCGTCATCAAATATGCAAGGCCCTGTTGCCCTTCGGCCGTTATCGAGCTTGAGCACACTGGAATACTCCAATAGAGAGACGCATCTTGGAGCATTCGATAGTAGGACAAGTGATCTGGAGAAGTGTTGAGTTGATCGATAGAGCGCGGTTGACTGGCCGAGTCATTTGAAGCCATCGATACGGCTTGGATAGGTAGACCGCGCACTACATAGTTCAGCCAAGATTCTCAGAGCTCATTGGATGGACTCTCTCAAGCCTGTCGCTACGGCTGAGTGTCCCTACACGGTACACCGGCGGTATGAGATAGTTAAGAAATGGATGACAACGCCCAAGTCGCCCTGCCATGTTGTCCAGGCAGATGTGCCCGCTGGACGTCAAAGCAATGTCTACCGGGCCGTCGACTCAGATGCCAGGAATGTGAAACGATAGATTGACCTTGCTGGGATGTAGAATTCGTTAGATGCATCCGTGCGGCACTAGCAGTCAAAGAAATAACTTTGTTTCAACAAGCATCATCTGTTTCCAGAAACCCACAAACAATGTTCCCACGTTCTAGTGCCAAAGTTTCTGTCGCCGATGGTACCATGGTACGACAACATGCACCTGCCTCGAGATCACAAGAGTTTCCGCGCTCCCCAATTTGGCACAAACCGCGAAATCATCTTCAGAGAGTATCGCCGGATTGGAGATCGGAACCCTGTTTGGCGGATTGCTTGACGAGAGCACATCCGTTTTGTGTTAGATCAGCGTTTAGGGATGGCTGTGAGCATGGAGAAACCTAGATCGGTAATCATACCTTCGCTAACGGCCGGTGACACTTGCAAGCTCCTAATTGGAGCCTGTATATGCATTCTTGCTGGTCGACATGTCGATCACGACGGTTTGTCACATCCTTTAGGTCGCCTCAGTTTCGCGCTGAGTTGCTAGGCATCATTGAGAATCGGGAAATCGTCGTGTAGATTACACACTGGACAGGCGCCGCGTTTTCTCGATCCGGGCGTCCTGTGACAGCTTTGCGACGGCCTCAAGCACAAGTGAACCACTAGATTGAATCAAAAACACGCTGCATACATCGTCGCCGACTACGATTGATCGACAGTATTGTGTGCGCAATGGCTATACCCAAAGTACTTCTCAGAGCCGAAGGCCGGTACTCAGAAAGCGGGCGATAGGATGGGTTTGCATTGATTCAACAATGCTCCGGTGCACATTCACATATGCCATTTTGCATGCACTGAAAATGAAGCGGTAATTGACGATAACAAAGGCCGAGCACGTGTTTTCTGTACCACGTGACTCGGGCGTAAGCACTACCCAGGCAGCACTCCCTAGCGAAAGCTTGATTGGTGACGATCTCTCGCTTACATCGATAATTATAGACGAGTCGACTTGATGAACCAAACATTGGGATGTAGTCAACTCGAGCATGCAAAAGCTTTTGACCGCGTGAGTTGCTGGAGGACGCGAAATAGGACTGGTCGCCGGGCGTACCGAGATGCGAAAATTTGCTGCGAAGTTTGCTGAGAGTCAAAGTACGCGCTCAACGTCCCAGAGCGGGTACTTTCGTGTGGCAGGGCGCACTATCCGCGGCCACGTCAGGGTCCTGATCGAGGGCTCTGCTTGAACAGGCGAACTGTCAACCACGACTCAGCCGCACATGCTGATACCCTGCTGTAGCCTGTTACGCTTATTACTATCCGTGGGAGCATATATCAGCAGATCATGAACTCGTATGGATCGCTTCACAGCTCAAATGCCAAGGCCGGCGCTGTAGCCGCAGTCTTCACGCATCTGTGAATGGAGGCTCACGTTCCGCCCGCGACTTCCGTCTTTCCGCTCGTGCCATTCGTCGCGTCGGACAGCAGTAGTCGAACTGTGCCAGTATTAATGCTGTCGTATTGCGAATACATTACACCTGTACGGCTTGCTTCTTCGGGACACGGGCGCGCTTGATGGTTCGGTCTGACGCAGGCTCGGCGCGCCATTCCCCATAACGCCACAAACCCTCCTCCTCCACCAGTCTGGCTCATGGTGATCGTTTCAAGGACAATCCCTGCGTAGGCTGAGTCTTATCATCAACGCCGTGCAGCATCCCCTGGCCGCCCAAAGCAGATTCAGCACTAACCGGGTTGAGCCTTGGGCCTTGACCCACCCAAGCACCTGGTGCCGATGCATGTAATTGCGAGGCACACTAGCTCATAGTTCTCGCACTCAGTTGATGAATTCATCGCTTTGCAAATGCACATCCGACATCCCTGGTTGGGAAAGGCACGGGCGTGGTATCCGCTCGCACCTTTCACGCTTTGTCGTACTCCATGGGACCACTGGCGTTGAGCGGTTCACTGTCCAGGTTTCTCTTTTCTAGCTGCTCATACTCTATTATTCCAAAATTTCCATTGCTGCAACTGCTCTACATCTGTTTGCTGGGCAGCTGTCATTCGGAGCTCTTTTCCCCCTAATACTTCTCGAACACAGGCAGTCGAGCAACCCTGCTGTCAGCTCCACAGCCTTAAGCACGTTTTCAGTCAGATATCTCAGCATACTAAATCTGGGATTTGACCTGACGTTGGCCATTTCGACCACTAGCCCCATATCGGTATTACAAGCCGTCCTAGCCTGGGGAACACGCAGGAAGGCGGAAGTCTACGTCGGCCAGTCACAACGAATCACTTCTCCGCCGCCTTGCTCGACAAGTATCTGTGGTCATCATAAGCCACAGCGACATAATCCCCGCCGTGTGCACTGCCCTTCACCACGCCTTCCTAACTTTGGGTTCCTTCGCATTGACTCCACGCAAAAGATTAGTGCTGCAACAATCCCTTCATCGACCTCACCTCGACGTTATCTGCAGCTCTTGACAGGGCTGCTTCCAGCACTCCAAACCCAATCCTTGGCCAACGGTACTTGCTGGCCTTTAACGACCACAATGGTGTTCTGTACCTACTGTGGGCAGTCCTTCACCAGGGATGAACATCTCGAAAGGCATATCTTGACTCGTAAGTCTACCATCTTCTCATGTCTCAGCTGAATCGATCTGCCAGCCTCACGTCTCATCAGCTGACCATCGTTGGATGACCAGACACCAATGTCAAGCCTTTCAAGTGCTTCACTTGTCATATGAGCTTCGCTCGACGGTATGTACCCCTCTTTCAGCCCCTTCAAGAGTCGATGGAGTCCGTTGGCTGACGGTCCCAAAGAGATCTCCTGCAACGGCATTACACAGTACACGGACGCAACCAGAACAACGAAGAAGGTCTTCCCATTCAAGGAATGATACCCAAATCTGCAGGTCGGACCCCAATTGCCTGCAGTAATTGCGCGAAGACGAAGACGAAGTGTGACAAGAAGTTTCCTTGCAGCCGATGCGCACAGAGGAATCTGAAATGTACACTACGACCCACTCGAAGGGCGTCAAAGAACGTAAACAGAATCGGTGTCCCACCCGAGGGTGGGTCGAGCGGGTCGAGCGAGAACGGAAACAACGCAGAGCCTCAGAACACATCGGCAGGCAACTCTCCCGCTCGTGAAGTGCAGCCTCCCCAGGCGAATCGGCAGTCGTCACCAGTGCTACTAGAACAACAACCTCCACAAGTACCTAACGGCGCACCGCAGCGACAGTCACATTCGCCGTCTGCACCGCAGTCAAGACACTCGCCGATATCTCAAGCCGCTCAGCCGGTTCCCGTTTCAGCACCAGAAGAGAAGCACCTCCAGCTGGCACTCTCGCACACCACTCCTCCATTCTTCGACCAGTCACCACCAAATACGATGCCGCAGCCGTCTATACTTCTTTCGCCATTACCGACACCTGGTAACATGGTCAACGGCTTTATGACGTCAACACCTATGTCCGGTTACGACGACTTTGTTCGATCTGGTAATCAATCTGACCCTGAGACAAGTCCATACATGGTGGACCCTTGGAGTGGTATGGCTCTGGGTGCAGAATTCGACCCCATGCGGATAGATCCCTCGCTGCTGATGTCTATGAGCATGGACATCAATATGGGCCCTCCTCCAGATGGCATCCTAGGGATGATTCCGGAGATGTCACCAACACAGACATTTGGACCGATTCAGACCCCCCTCCAGACACCACGCATGGATGAGACCTTCTCAGATCTGCAGATTGGCAGTTCAGCATCCATGTTCTATCCTTCCAACCGACACACTTCAATCGCAGATGCAGGAATTCCGGATCTTGGTGCTATCATTGCGGCACAGGACGGTTGGACCGTGTTCCGCTGCACGCCTCCTATCCCATCCAGCTCTTGTCCACGTACTGCGCGGCTAAACCTCGAGCGATTGGAGCTGAGCCTGAAGAATCACGAAGGCTGGGGTAGCTGGTCGCCGGCCTGGGATGAGTCAGATTTCCAACAAGAAGGCCGGATAGTTGTCGCAAAGCTCCATGAAAATACCAGGGACAAGCTTCTCGCAATCACTCAGACCTTCCTGCACAAGGCTCTCGATATCCACAAGGATGCAATGAGCACATCTTCCAGTAGTGGAGAATCGCCCGGGTCTAGTGCGTCTCTCTCCAACTTCATCATCCTCCCACCAGCTCGGGTGCTTGAGTATTTCCTCAAATCTTATGCCAACTCTTTTGAGCGCTACTTTCCTACTTCGTCTCGCGGGCTCCTCGATACCAACGAACTGATGCAGAATTACAACGATAGGGCTTCGAGCCTGTTGATTCTCATGATGATCGCTCAGGGCGCGATGGCCATTCCCTCGATGGAGGCGAGGTGGTTGACAGGTGGCATCACCGAAGCCTGCCGCATCTCGCTGTTCGATCTCATCGAGAAGAACATCATCATGGCCGGCGATCCCATCGTTCTTCGTGCGGCGCTCCTTTTCACCGTTCAGGCTGCGTGGAGTGGCGACAAGTGGCAGATGGATATCGCTATGGGCCAGCGAGGAATGTATTTTTCGATGCTGCGACACTCGGGTATCTTGGACGCTCGTCCCGTTCCCATTCCTCAGATGAATGGTGGCGTATTGGCAGAAGTGCTGTGGCGGGAATGGTTGCAGCAAGAGGCTAGAAGTCGGTAAGTCGCGAAATCGTTTTGGGCCTTCGTTACAACAACCTATCACGTGAGCTTCCCACTAACACCTCTTAGCCTCATCTACTCCTGGGTCATGATTGACCAAGATCTATCGATCTTCCACGACTCAGCTCCTCTCTTCTCTGTGACTGAGTGCAGTGCGCCAATGCCCGACTCGGACAGCCTTTGGCACGCTGCAAATGCCACTGAGTGGTCTCAGATCTTCAGTCAAGTCCACGAATTCTCCAACGGTTACTCTTCAATCGGTTCTGGGGCCAGACCAGCAAGCCTGAAGGAGCTCTTCCGCCTCTTCTTGGATGATGAAATTATAGCCCAGGATGTGCAAGAGATCCACCTCACCCCCATGCACCTACGTCTTCTGCTCCACCCACTGCACACTCTGGTGAATCAATACTGCCAACTCCTGAGCTGCTTCTCTGATACTGTGGCCTCGAGGTCTCGGAACAGGGCGCTCACTGCGGCGTCGACTCGGGTTCGTCTCGAGGAGGTGCAGGCCCTTCTGGGACGCTGGTTCGATCTCGCGCAAAGATACCTCAAAGCCAACGCAATGTGTCCTTTGATGCAAGGGGGCTTGGTCATGTTTCATCTCATCAGCATGAATGCCGTGACTAGTTTCCCTGAGATCGAGAAGCTGGCACGAAGAGAAGGCGTCGATGGTACGTACCAGCAGATGCTATGGCTTCAGAAGAAGTGCATCTCAGATGTACAAGAAGCTATCACCCATGCTGGACAAGTGCTTCGTCTTGTCAGGGATATGCCGCGAGGCATCCGTCCACCTTGGTGGCCTGGCGCCGTCTACCGAGCCTCTCTCGTTCTGTGGACGGATTCGTTGTCTCACAATGAGTCTGCGGATCCTCGACAGCAAGGTGCGGCCTTCCCAGTTGATCGTCTACCGGCGGATCACCAGACAGTGCTTAGGTACCTGTCCCGTCGAGATGGTATCCCGACCCTGACGAAGCTGGACGGCACGCCGGTGCCGCTCGATAACGGCTTCTCAGTCCTGTCGCATTGTATCGACGTTATCGATGAAGGTGTGGCGACCAGGTTCTCAGATGGCATCCGCAGTAAGCTTGAGAAGCTAGCAAGAGGGTAGGTATTTCCTTGCGCGTCGTTTTTCTTTTCATCAGCCCTTCGCGAGATCTTCTCATGGCGCACTAGCGGGCGTGTTGCATCTGCTTTCCACCTCTGTCTGAACATTCTCCATCTCCTTCTCGAAGATACCCATCAGTAAGGACCGTAATAGTTACTTCAGGGTATTGTACTGTCTCTCAAGTTGTTCTTCGTGTATGGCGTTTGTGGGTAGACACTCAGTAACGGTGTTGGTTGTGACAGTCAAGGCTGTCGACTTCATTCTTGACTATACTGGTCAACTGCATCAAGATCAGTAATGTATAGTACAAGGAGTTGTCGCCAATTGAAGCAAAGAAATATGAATATATACCTTATCAAAGCGATGACGATATGTGATGGTGCTATGGTTCATGGGATGCGAAGGGGGTCGTAAACGGGGTCAGTGCCTCCTGCTGTAAGTCTACCAATGAGGAAGGTACGCTGACGCTTAACCACCCACAGTGACCTTCATACTAGTATGCCTTCGTTCTGGAGCCCGTTGATCAACCGGCGATGACATCTGTCGCAGTGAGTTGTGGTGACAGAGAGACCATTCATGTGTGCGCTTGCTCCATCTCCGCGGTGGATGCTGTTCTCCTTCTTTTCCATTCCCGCACTCCCGCAATGGCGTTTCAGCTACCATTCGTATGCCCCGCGTGTATCGAGACGAAGCTGGTGATTGGTCTCTTCGGCAATGAATGGCTGACGCCGGACGGACGCGTTGGAGAGACCCTTTGTGCGGTGTGTATGGAACGGCACGTCTATGGTGGGGTACTCAAGCCAGCTGCGGGGGGTGCAGGGGAGTCTGAGGAGACTGCCTGCAAAGTTTACAACAGGTGTTTGATTGTTGAACCACTCGATTACCGGACGAAGTGGATGAGCTGCTGGCACGCGTGAGCCGTACAGAGGGAGGCTGATAGATTGAGTGAGAGCTTAGAGTCGTAGCAATCATCATACAGGATTCTATCGGGGTAAGGTACATTGATCAGATCTCCTGGGTAATGAGGAAGGCACGTACCTCATATTGCCTCTCACACATTTCGCATCTCCTCCTTCTCCGGACAGTACCATGCATTCTCCGTATTACCATAGAGGTATAGCACCCTTTTGGCCCTGCTATGTTTCTTAGATCCCCGATAGTCTCTGGTAGCCCTGAAATCGTCAGTATATCCCGCAACGTTGGTACGATCCGAATAGAATTGGGCCTACTGGCTCCAGTAGTGCCGCCAGGAATGTATCGCCGCCTCCAGTCACTTTACAGTGAATAAATACTTCAGGTTACGTAGCCCCAGGAAGGTACATGTAACCTAGTTGCGTATCACAACACCGGGTACCATTACCTAGGCGTCTGCCTGCAGGTGTATTGGTTGACAAGCTGACGCGTTCACAAGCACATGACTCAGTGAAAAACTTTGTTTGATCGACCGTGATTCCAGTGGCATCCGAGTGGTTCAAAATGTGTCGTTAACCTGCATAGGGATGTGGGTTCACATCGAATCATGATCCCCTACAACACTTATTACCATGGTGTGAGCTAGACTTTAGGTTAATTGCGGCTCTTCTCCACAGTCCACCGGACACAAGGCCTACTAGGCGTACGGATGCCCGCACCAAAGCCGTGGGCCACAACTGAATGGACCGTGCGGCCGGACTTCGACATCCACATAGGTCTTGTATAGTAAAAGGCCACAAACACATTATTTAGTCATCGAATATCTGCCGGCGAGTTGGCGGATGCATTTACCGACGTATGCACCCCGCGGTGGAAGAGGTGTAGGAAAGCTGTGGCACTCATGTACATTGCAGATCCCTTTGTGAGATGGTCACTGACCGCCTAGATGAAGCTTGACTTAACCAGGGCAGTAATTTATGAAAGATAGTTCTGCTTACGCAAGGTGACTCTCCACATTTCAACAGAAAAGCAAAATAAAGTGTTTCATATGTCATTGGCCGATTTTCTTTTGTTAGACTAGAGGATCTGCCCGGCGAACTGCCCTCGGTCTTGAGAGCATATCCAAACTTGGCTCTACCGGATATCAATACTGAAACGTGACTATCTGCGGCACTGACGTATATTCCCGAACAAAACTTGGGCTGCTGCGTAAGATGATCTAATGGATACTCCAAAATAGCGTGGAGGGTTTAGTCCTAAGCAAGCCGAACGCAGGACTCCTACGTATAGGCAGTGCTATACACCAGAGAACAACACAGATCTACTGTGTACTCATCGAGCTCAAGCCCAGCTGCAGTGAGGCAGATTGGAAAAACTCTTGTACGCTTTGTTCTATTTCTCCGTGAGATGTTAGTGACTGCGAAGTTGTGTTTGCGTCTACTGCAGAAGCAGAAGTCCATGCAGTTCATCGGATCTCCTTCGTGCCAGCCGACTGATTGCGGACTATCAATCGCTCGCAATCTGTCAATTCAAGAAGATTTGTTAATCTACTTGGATAGCACCATCTTGCGCTCGCCGATTCTTGACCCTCCCCCAGCTTCTCATGGCTCGAGGCTCTACTGGGGTCTGTCACGAAGCAACTCACAGAAGATCTTTGGCCGTCTGTCAAGGCACTGTCGATCTTGCATCTTTGCTCAACCAAATGCCCCTTCCATCACAAAGGGAATCAATTTAATTACGGCGTTACCAAGAGAAACTCACATCGTCAAATTCTCTTTTCCAGCACCGCAGCTTCTGCGTGGCTCTTCCTTGCAGGTATATGACGAGTCCTGCACTGCAAATGAAGTCCGATATGGTTAGGTAGAGGTGAGTCCCGCTCAGGGACGCACGCCGCTCGGTCATCGTCGCAATGCTGACCTGACTCAGCAGTTAAGGCTTTTATAATTCGAGATTAGACAGAAGAACCTGGTTCTACTCATCGCTGGTCTGTCTGCTATTCGTGAGTACCGAGTGCCGTACCCGATAGATTACTCTAGGAGGGATTGAAATCTACTCGAGTTGAATCGCCGGTTGACCAAACTGCGATAAAGCCATACATAGACTTTCCAGAAGCCCTCAACGATTCACAAACATTGCTCTCTCTATTCCCAACGCCTGATGCATGCCGGCCATGACAATGTGGTGTTAAGATGAGGGTCGGAGAAGGTCCGTGCTTCCGGCTCCCCTCTTGTATCAGTGCCGATGAATCTCGGGCGTGAAACGCCCATTGCCGATCCGTCTCGGACTCGACGATACTCTGAGTGGAGACTGAGTACGGAAAGCAGCAACTGCGCTCGGGATCCTGCTGTTGGTGGATGCGCCGTGTGGTGAACGAAAAGATGGCATGTACAACCGGAGTGTAGCCACAACCTGGACAATTCGACGCTAGACCAACTCCGACAAGCTCTCTGCAGAGACAGAACCTCCGGGTCGGATTTCTTAGTCTCGTCATCATGAAGAGGCCGTTTGGAGGCCACTTCATCACTGAGGCTGATCATATTTTTGGAACTGTGGATAGCAGATCACTTTCTCCGGCAAACACTGGAGGTCGCACTCCGATTCAAAGATGCCACGTCTTCTTGCACAGCGCAAGTATCCCACTGCGAGTCTATCGAAAATATCACATTTTAGTATTCTCTTCTGTTCGCAGTCGATAAAAAAAGATGTTTCCTGTTCATGAAACAGACAGTCGCGTCACGAAAGCATGGCGTTGATGTTCGCTTGTTTGCGAGTCAGCCAATGGGGGATGCCCCTGAGTGCCTCGGCCCCTCCTTCCGCCTACTGACCCTGACCGTCAGCGTCAGACAGCTCGTCTGTGCGGAGCCTACCATACGGACTGACGAGCGGCGCAGGTACGAGCTGTTTCAGTCCAGGACCCTCAACACTCGGACTTGATATCTTCTCCGACACGGAGACCATGGTCGAGCTGTGTGTTGAACGCAAAGGCCGACGGCTGCCAGATGTCACGACAAAGCACACGCGGAGTGCCGCTGGAGTTCCGAATAGAAGAGAAGTATATAGCCTTACTCTTCATACTCAGAATATATCATCATCAGCTTTCAAATCTTACTAACTACAACATCTACATAACAACCTTCAAAAGGTTCCCCTCATCACCACCCTTCAACTAACAACTCCAAACACCAAACTCAAAATGTCTGCTGCTCCTGCTAGCTGGTCCCTCGAGGGAAAGGTCGCGGTCGTCACTGGCTCTGGTATACTGCAATGAAGCGAACACTCTCTTGAGCAATATCACTAACATTTCACAGGCCGTGGTATTGGCAAGGCAATGGCCATTGAGCTCGGCAAGCGCGGTGCTAAGGTCGCGGTCAACTACGCCAACGCTGTCGAGGGTGCTGAGGCAGTCGTCAAGGAGATCAAGGCTCTTGGGAATGGTGCTGATGCTCATGCCTTCAAGGCCAACGTCAGCAACGTCGAGGAGACCTCCAAGTTGATGGACGATGTTGTTGCTCACTTCGGCCGCCTCGATATCTGCTGCTCCAACTCTGGTGTCGTCTCCTTCGGTCACTTTGCCGATGTCGAGCCTGAGGAGTTTGATCGCGTCTTCAACATCAACACCCGTGGTCAGTTCTTCGTCGCCAAGGAGGCGTACAAGAGGATGGAAGTTGGTGGCCGCATCATCCTTATGGGATCCATCACTGGCCAGGCCAAAGGTGTACCCAAGCACGCCATCTACTCTGGCTCCAAGGGTGCCATCGAGACTTTCACCAGGTGCATGGCTATCGGTAAGCTGGCTCACGTTATCATTGAGAGATATCCACTAACGAACAGCAGATGCTGGTGAGAAGAAGATCACAGTCAACTGCGTTGCGCCCGGTGGCATCAAGACTGATATGTACCACGCTGTGTGCCGCGAGTACATTCCCGGAGGCGAGAAGCTCAGCGACGACCAGGTCGATGAGTATGCCTGCACATGGTCTCCCCACAATCGTGTCGGTCAGCCCATCGATATTGCCCGCGTCGTCTGCTTCCTCGCGTCGCAGGACGGTGACTGGGTTAACGGAAAGGTCATCGGCATCGATGGCGCTGCTTGCATGTAAGCGGTTGCGTATGAGCCTGGAATTTCTATTTAGCCTCTTGTTACGAATTATGGTCTGGCATTAAAACATGACCTGGCGTTGCCTTCCTGAAAAAGGAGAAGAAGTAATGGAATTACTGAGCACTTAAAACTTTTGCCATGCTTCCTACGTGATAATTCAATGCCTCGTGCTTCCGGTAAACATTAAGGCCACAAAGGAATAGTCCTTATCAGTACCTAGCATGACCACGATAAGGTGACACTATGCCCGTATGAGCGTCTCCACCTGTGGGAGCTGGTTGAACACTATTCCAGTGGTGTATCAAGTAATTCACTAACGAAAAGGATCAAATGAAAACGTTCTAATGTTATGTGAGCCACATATCATGTGCGGCATGCCACACCATGAGCCTTCGGCTCCGATGAGACACCAATTACAGTTCGGCGCATTGCGCATGTCACCCTCAGCAATACCATTCTGGCTCCAACAATTGGTCGTTGTGGACTGACCGTAGTGCATATATGCCAGATTCATTTTACAGTGACAATGTTACCGTTGTCCGTGCCTCGTGAAGCTCACCATGTTTCTGACGTAATCCCCGCACTAGCCCGAGTGGGTGCAGCCTTGGCAGCAGCCACATCTCGAAACACAACTCCAAACATCACCGTCTGACCATCTCAGCACACCTCAACTGAATCATACGACAGCAAGAGAAGCATTAGATGCGCAATGATACCAGTGCTTTACCTTGGTATAGCAAGGGTACTAATGCCTTGAGATCTGCCTTTGCGCTCGCGAGCGGCAGAGTTGTTTCCTTTCTCCACCACGAGCTATAGGGTACATCTTCACTCAACAAAGAACGAAGTCTCTGCAAGCCCATAGATACCTCTCGGATGTACTGTGGCCATACACTGGATCGTTCTGCTAAGCTTTTACATATGCTTCACAATGCTTCTGCAGTAAAGTTACCCCACGAGCACCTATGACGCACTGAGCCTGCGAGCGAGCGGATCGAGAGCACGGCTCCGACGGCAACAGCGAATCATATGGTGTATCATCGAAGGACTATTAGCTCTTTTGGGTACAGAGCGCAGTGTCTCGTCGCGAATCCAACAAAACCAAACGCTCCATTTGGGGTCTGAAACGGAACGTGTACAGAAAAGTCATTCCGCCACATCGGGATCATGCTTGGCCGATACCAAAACTGCAAGATGCGGGTCTCGATGTCTTGTCGAGCCCAGAAGGACGACCGTCACTCCATCTAGCGCAAACCCTTAGGTGTGAAGGGGTGCCGGATGTTTTCGTTGCTAGCACGACCTGATGTTGAAGCTGTTCGCCATACACCTGCAGCATGACTCTGAAACCTTACCAACGGGAAAGATCTCGCCGGTGCCGGTCCCGAAGTCATGCAAGAGCACCAAGACTTCTCTTATAGACTTGCCCGCCACGACAAGTCTTGTGTTACCTCTCAGCGCAGCAAGACTGGTCAGTGGCTTCGTTGTTCTTTCTACATTCCCATTAATCTTCTATTTCCTTCTTTTCTATACTTAATTTTTGTCCAAAGCCCAGGTGGCTATTATTCCAAATCAAAATGACGTCTGGTACTGTCTCCTCTATTTTGCTGCTCTTGTTGAGCAGCACGGCCTTCGCACAGCAGCAAGTGCAATACAACCAAGTACTTAATATCAATGGCGACGTAAGTGACCAATAGGCCTCGAGCATTTTGATAGGTGCTAACGATGGCAGATGAAACTCAACTCCTTCGTGTTTCCCGACCGCTCCAAGGTCGAGACGTTCTCGCAGAAGCAGCAGCAAATAATCGTTAATCAGCAACAACCAGCTATCCCCGCCAACCAGGTCACTGGTTCGACCGGACAGCCTTTCGTTGCTATCACCACCCAGTCCATGACCGTCAGCACCAACGGAGCCACAGACTTGGTTGGCGGACAGGTCGAGATGGCCATGACGATGCAGAACTTGCAGTCAGCGGCGGTTCAGCCGGACAACACCTACGTTGCCATGCTCTCGCCTGACAGACAAAGCTGGATGATTCAGGAGACGATGAGGAGCGTCAACACCACCGACATGACTGTCCGCATGGTCAAGCGTAACCAGCTCGATGGAGAATACATGGTCGTCGGCCGCCAGACTGTCGAGACCAACACTCTCGTTACACCCTTTGGCAGTGGTGGCGCCACTCAGGTCGCCATCCAGGGCACAGGCCTTCAGGAGAACGAGTTCCAGGACGGCTTCAGGATGTCGACGCGTGCTACCCAGCCCATGCTCATGAATGTCGATGTCAAGGACGGCATCGACTCTAGTATGCTGGCTGGACTCCAGGGCCAGGCCTCTGTCAATGACTACCGTTACTCCGTCGTCACCAACCTCGCTGCTGTGCAGCCCAACCTCAACCAGCAGGTGACTGTCGTCCAGATGCCCAGTATGTATGCTGACACCCTTTCTACAAGCACCATGCTAACAACACTGCAGTCAACGCCGTCCGTATCCAGAAGATGATGCAAGCCATGGGTGTCCCTCCCACGGGCCAAGTCTCCATTGCCGTTGCACAGCGTGGTGTTCTCCAGAACCCCGGCGGTGCCACTGGACAGCTCCAGGGTGTCGGTGCTCCCACCAAGCGTGGTCTCTCCCGTGACAACTTCCGCAAGGACATCGCTGCTCGCCAGATTACTGGACAGACCAACAACCAGGGCAACACCGGCGGCACCCAGACCGGCAACAACAACCCCGTCGCTACCCAGCTGCTCCTCGCGCCTACCTTCACCCCCGTTCAGGCCAACGCTGTCCTCGACCAGGCCAACATGCGCATCGCTGTTCCCGTCCGCCAGGTCGATGGAGAGTACATCCTCGTGATGCAGATGATGGGTGGCGGTGCCCGGGCCGCCGCTGCTCCCGCCGGTGGAGCTGCTCCTGCCGGTGGAGCTGCTCCAGCCCCTGCTCAGCCTGCCGCTGCCCCAGCTGCCGCGCCTGCCGCCGCCGCGCCTGCCGCCGAGTCCACTGCCCGCCCTGCTGCTGCTGCCCCCGCTGCTGCCCCCGCTGCTGCCCCCGCTGCTGCCCCCGCTGGTGCCGAGGCACCCAGTCCCGCTGCGGCCGAGGCATCCCGTCCCGCTGGTGAGCCCTCCAAGCCTGCTGCGGCCGAGTCATCCCGCCCCGCTGGTGAGCCCTCCAAGCCCGCTGCGGCCGAGGCATCCCGTCCCGCTGGTGAGCCCCCCAAGCCCGCTGCGGAAGCCTCCAAGGCCGAACCCAGCGGCGCGCCCGGCGCCGAAGCGGCAAAGACTGAGTCGAGCGCCAAGCCCGAGGCGTCCAAGGCCGAGGCGTCTCCCGCAGCGAAGCCGGAGCGCCGCCAGGCAGCGGCGACGACGGACAAGTACGGCAACCCCGTTGCGCCGCTGGGCGCGGTCATCATGAGCATGAAGCAGATTGACGAGATGGCGGCCATGGTCACGTGGGGTGGCCAGGCGCCGATCACGCAGATGATGAACGAGTATGTGCAGTCGCAGACGGGCAAGGGCCTGACCTCGCCTAGCAACAGCACGGCGACTGCGTCGACGGGTGGATTGGCTGGTATCACTGTTTAGATGAAGGGGGGATTATGATGAGTGGTGGGCGGGTGGCGGGGACTGTGTCTTCGCCCTCGCCACGGGAGAGGAATGGGGGGTACTTGGGGTGGTATATTGTAGTATGCGTAATTATCTCTTTGTCGGACGTGTGTGCATGGCCCACTTGACGTGATGGGGGAGCGAATCGTGCCTTGGCTCTGTCCCCATAGACTCTGCATTCTCCCCCGTTCCTCGGTCGCCATCTCAGACGCGCGCTCTACGCCCATGGTCTCAGCGAAGCGTCCCGTCTCGCGTGCGTAAACGCTCCTGAAGCCGTCCTGAATCCGTTCTGAAGCCGTTCTGAAGCCACCCTGGATCCATCCCAAACCCATCCCGAGGCGACCACGCGACTCGCAACTCGCAACTCGCAACTCGCGACGACACGGGGTGCTGCAGGACTCGGCAAGAGCGTACAACATGTGGGGATTGAGGGTGGCGGAGAGCACATGATGACACAAAGCTAGCAGACCAAAGCGTCTGCCTGGTAATAGGGCTAACTATAAAAAGTAAGCAATTCATGAAGCGGTGCTCTATGCTTTGCGTAGTGTCGACGAGATTGTAGATTCAACAGTAGTCACAACGCTAGAGCGTGTAACAATACAAAGCTAGCAACAACGCCTCTCCCTGTTAACAGGGCTTAATATACAAGTGAGCAACACATACAGCAGTAATCTAAACTATATAGCAGCTAGCTAGACAGCATAGCAAACAGCCATCACACTCTAGTCGTACTCCATCCTCTGCTCGATTCGCACTCCATCCTCTGCTCGATTCGCACTCCATCCTCTGCTCGATTTGCACGTTCCTCTTGTTATATCATCTTTGAGATATTGTCTTTGAGTTTTGGGCTCGTCCGCCTGTGCGCAGACCCAAAACTCCCCCCCAAAATTACAGCTCTTTTGTAAGCGGACCAGTATCATCTGCCGCAGGATCTAGATGGACAAGCTGTAGCTCATTAGCTAGCTTTGTTCCTTGGCTCACCGCAGACATTACAACAGAACACTGCTTCAGCCGCGGCTGAGCCCACTCAGCTGTTATTGAGGGCGAACGTAGTGGATGCGAAAGGATGAGGGGTGAGTAGTAGAAGCGAGGAAAGGATGTAAGCGGTTATATCCGCCAAACTCAGCAGAGCCTAGACAAATCTCTACAGTAGAGCGTAAGGGTTGTCGATTCTTCTTTTGCCGAGAAGTCGCCAAAACAGGTACCGGTAACTACCGTAGCTCACCAGTGACCACTTTGACATGGATAACAAATGGGTCCGCTGTGCCTACCGGTACCACCTAGCGAGAGAAGTGCGAATCGGACAATCCACTGCAACTATCCTCATGTCGTAGCATGCTGTTCTACACCGTCGTCTGCACGCGCACACACATTCTTTTGACCTTTGGGGCTTACTATAAGCAAATACCTTTGGCTGATGGGTAGGTTGAACATGTCAAAAACACCATGCACCTTAAAACACTTTGCACCTCAAAAACACCATGCACCTTAAAACACTATGCACCTCAAAAATACTATGCACCTTACAACACTATGCACCTTACAACACTATGCACCTTACAACACTATGCACCTTACAACACTATGCACCTTACAACACTATGCACCTTACAACACTATGCACCTTACAACACTATGCACCTTACAACACTATGCACCTTACAACACTATGCACCTTACAACACTATGCACCTTACAACACTATGCACCTTAGAAACACTATGCACCTCAAAAAACCATGCACTTCACCACCATGCACCTCACCTCCACCATGGCGAGAGCGCAAAGTGAGCAATGTGCTGAAGCGGTAACGTACTTTGTACTTTGTAGAATATAGTACCTAGTGTCTGCGAGATTGTAGAGATGACAGCAGTCAACAACGCCGACGCGTGTGTAATGCAAAGCCAGCGCGTGTGTAATGCAAAGCGAGCGCGTGTGTAATGCAAAGCCAACGCATACAACAATCAGAGCCAGCGACAATGCATCTCTAGTAACAAGGCTTAATGTACAAAGTGCGCAACACGCACAGTCGTCTACGCTAGACGGCACGGCACAGCAGCTAGACGGCAGAGTAGACGGCCGTCACGCCCCGGCCGCACTCGACCCTCTGCTCCATCAGCACGGCCCTGCCGTTGAGCGTGACGGTCGCGGGCGGACTGATCTGGAACCTGTGCATCTCCTTGTCGCGCAACCTAGCCACGGCGGAGACGCTCGCGGCACGGTCCGTCTCGGCCTGCTGGTCCAGCGGCTGAATGTACGTCGGGGTGGCGACGTTGGCGCGCTTGCCCGAGCCGATCTGGTAGTGCTCGTTGGCGCCCCAGAACAGGATGTCGCGGCCCCAGTTTGTGTCGTTCTCCGTCAGCTTGCGCGACCGCGCGGTTGTCACGACCGAGGCGACGTTGTCCATGACGGCGGCGGCGTGGGTGGCGCCGACCGACATGGTGTGCAGCCGGATGGGGATGGCGCTGTTGTTGTCCTCGTCCCACTCGAAGAGGCCGGAGAAGGCGGGCATCCGGGTCGGCTCGGCCGCCGTGTGGACCCAGCGGCCGGTGCCGAGCTGGCCCGTCAGCCCGTGGCCAAAGGCGAACGTGTCGGCGGTGACGCGCGACTCGTTGGGCCTGCGGGCCTCGACGGTCAGGTACGACGTGTTGCCGCCGGCGAAGACGTTTGTGATCTTGCCCTGCTGGCCAGAGCCGGCGTAGAGCTTCTGCGTGGGCAGCAGACAGGGCGCGTCGACGTACGGCGCCTCGGCGTTGTACGGCATGCCGAGCTGGCCCGACGTGTTGTCGCCAAAGGAGAAGGCGCGCCCGGCCGAGTCGCACACGAGGCTGTGTCTGTCGCCCGTGGCGATCCTGGTGATGGGGAACCCCTTGAGCGTCGTCATCTCGTGGGGCATGTCCATGGGGCCCTTTGGCCGGGACGCAAAGCTCAGACCCGGTATCCCGAGCTGGCCCTTTGTGGGAAAGTCCTGCGTGCCGGACGCGAGCGAGAAGACGCGGCCGGTGCTGGTCAGCAGGAGCGCGTGCTCCAGGCCAGACTTGACGTCGACGACCTTTTCGCCCCAGCCCAGCTTCTCGGGCGTGCGTGTGCGGTAGGAGACGCCGCCGCCGCCGCCGCCGCCCCAGGAGGGCAGCCACGACGTCGACGCGGGCTTCGGGCCGTCGCGCTGCTCCTTTTGCGAGACGGGGATCGAGTAGACGGCGCCGTTGGAGGCGAGCGCGATGATGCGGTCGCGCGAGATGGCGAGCGACCGCAGCTTCTTGCCGCGCAGCGTCGGGGTCGGCGCGCGCGCCTCGGGCGAGAAGTCTGTCCCCCACTGCAGCAGGTCGCCGTGCTCGTCAATGGCGGCGCCAAAGTTGCGGTCGAGCTTGATGTCGCGCAGCAGCTTGCCGTCGAAGAAGGCGATGCGCCGGGGCGTCTTGACGTATCGCTCGTCCGAGTCCGGGGCCACTGTCCGGCCGGTGTTGGACCCCCACGCGTAGACGCCGGGCCGCTCCCAGCTGCGCTGCACCTGCAGGTGCTGCGAGCTGATCATGTTCCTGTTGTCGTCGGTCGACGTCGGCTTCCGCCGCGGCGCTTCAAACTTGACGACATGCTCGTCGTCCTTTTGCTCGTCGGCGTGCACCTCGCCGACGACGACGCGGCCGTTGACGTAGTGGAACGCCGAGGCCGTGGCCCCGAGCGCCGCCACGGCCGCCACGGAGCGGACAAAGTGCTGCTGGCGTCGCTGGGCGTAGGGATGCGTCGCGGTGCGGACCCGGGACCGTGTCGCCATGCTCCTGCAAGCCCGCGGGGCCTGCGGAGCGCGGGCGGAGGCGCGTGAGAGACGTGTGGTGCCGAGCATTGTCGGATGCAGAGTGCGGCGAGACGGGAGAGTAGAAGAGGCGGCTTCGGGGGAGGGGAGGGATTCGACGTCGACAGCGTCTTGCACGTCTACAGCGTCTTGCTCGTCGACAGCGTCTTGCCCGTCGACATGTCACGACAGTCAGCGTCGCGCCGCCGTCTGCGGCGCGACGGGAAATCTAGAACGTCATCACCTCCCGTCTGATCTCGGGCTGAATCAGATCAAAGTGTAGCGCCGTGATTGGCCCGAGGCGCGTCCGCAAGCTGGTGTCGGACAGCAGCGCGCGCCAGTGGCCAACACAGACAAGCGACACTCGATCGTTCATGTCGGCCCGCCCCGGTTGAAGCCACACCGCCGCCGCCGCCGCCGCCATGGAGGGAGAGTCGTGGTACAATTCGCTGGTGCCTCGCGTCGTCGCCAGGGACGAGCCGTCGCCGCCGCCGCCGCCGCCGCCGCCGCCGCAGCAGCAGCAAGCGCACCGCCGCCGCGAGAGCCTGCTGCGCCAGCCCAACGTAAGCCCATAAGCCCACCGTCTGCCGCCCGGGCGCGTCTGAGCGATATTGATGAGTCCGCTGCAGGAGAGCAACGCTGACGTCGCGCGCGCAGGAGGCATCCCCGAGGCCGCAGAGGCGTCCGACGCCCCCGCGACGCTCCATGGCCCCCCGCGGCCCTCGGTCGCGCGTCGCGCCAAGTCCCACAGCGACTTCTACTCGGCCAAGCGGGAGACGGCGCTGGCGCGACACGGGTCGCGCGAGAAGATGGGCAGCGGGCTCGACCTGCCCGACGTCGGCAGGAATATGGCCAGCGAGCTCGAGTCCGCCGGCGTCGGCAGGAACATGGCCAGCGGGCTCGACCTGCCCGACGTCGGCAAGAACATGGCCAGCGAGCTCGACCTGCCCGACGTCGGCAAGAACATGGCCAGCGAGCTCGACTTCGCCGCCTGGTACGCCGGCGTCGGCGACGCGCTGCTCGAGGCCAGCCACGACGCGTACAGCGCCCACCAGACCCGGCTGCGCCTGACGCGCAGCCACCTCGGCAACATCATCGCCGACACCAACGCGACCCTCGCGACCCTCGCGACCCTCTCCGACGCCTTTCGCACCGTCGAGGCCCAGACGACCGCTTTCCGCGAGCAGTGCGAGGGCTTGATCGCCGACCAGACGCGCATCACAAAGGTCGCAGACGACATGGAGCAGAACCTGCGCTACTACGCCTATCTCGAGCCGACCACGAAGCGCCTCAGTGCCCCCGGGGCAAGCAAGACGGTGCGCGGGAGCGACTTTGCCGACATGCTGGCCAATCTCGACAGCTGTCTCGAGTACATGCAGCTCCACGCCAACCACCGCGAGGCCGAGACGTACCGTGCAAAGTACAAGCTGCAGCTCACCCGCGCCCTGACGCTCATCCGCGTGCACTTTACCGAAGCACTGCGCGAGATCGCCGCAGACGTCGCCAAGAGAATCGCCGACCGCCAGCTAAACGACACCACCATGTCTGCGCTGCTGTACGCAAAGTTCCGCGTCGGCGCCCCGGAGCTGAAGACGCTGGCCCTGGAGATACAGAAGCGGGCAGTCGTGCCCGCAGGCGCCGCGCCAGGCGCAGAGGCCGAGTACCAGAGCCTGGCCAACGAGCTGTACCAGAGCTACTCGGCCACCCGCGGCCGGCTCATGTTGCCCGTCGTGGCCAAGAAGATGAGCGAGATGGCGCTGGCGCCGAGCACGTCCAAGGACCTGGTCGCCTTTGCTCGCAGCAGCATCAGCTACATCCGTGGCATATGCATCGACGAGCACCATCTATGGCGCGAGTGGTTCGACGGCGACGGCGGCATGTACGACTTCCTCGACGCCATGTGCGAGCCCCTCTACGACCACCTGCGCCCGCGCACCATCCACGAGACTGAGATTTTGAAGCTCTGCGAACTGTGCACGCTTCTGCAGACCCGCTACATGGACGACGACGACGACGACGGCGACGACGACGGCGACGACGACGGCGACGGCGGCGACGAAGAGTCACCAGTGGAAGCCAACAAGCTCGACTTTTCTCTCCTGGTCCATCCGGCGCTCCAAGACGCGCAGAACAGGCTCGTCTTCCTGTCTTTGGCCGTTTTGCGAGACGACATTGAACGCTACAAGCCGAAGCCAGAAGACCTCGACTACCCTGCGACGAACAGGAAGCTGGCCGGCCAGGGCGCCAAGCCAAACCAGCCGGTGCTCTCAGGCAGGAAGCAGGCGAGACCAGACATCCCGCCCACGCCCATGGTTGTAGAGGAAGACGATGCAGCTTCGCGTTGGAGCTTCAGTACGGAAGCTGCCTTCAAAGACTGGTATCCCACGCTGCGGAAAGCCATCTGGCTGCTCAGCAAGATCTACCGTCTGGTCCACGTGAGCCCGTCATGCTGTGAATGTAGACGCGCATGCTAACAGCAGCCACAGTCCTCGGTCTTTGATGATCTGGCGCATCGCATCGTCCACGGCACGACCATGTCGCTGGCACAGGCGAGTGCGTTCATCTCCAAATCGGCGTCACCGACAGACGCGGCGCTCTTCCTCATCTCACATCTCCTGCTGCTCAAGCAGCAAATTGTGGCGTTTGACATTGAGTTTGTGACGCCAGAGACGGACATCAAGTACGACATCTGGAGCGTCACAAACACCTTTTGGGAGCTGCGCGAGCGAGGCGGCCTGTTCAACCCCCGCAACCTAGTCGGCCTGCTCATCCCCAAGGTCGTCGACAACATGCTCGACGCCAAGGCCGAAGTAGACGCACGACTACGGCAGGCCATCAACGACTTCACCGGCCAGTTTGTCGCGCGCATGGTCGCCCCCATTGACGCAAAGGGCAGCAAGAAGCTCCCAGTCGCCGAGGCTCCCGCGCGCACGGCCAAGATGCGGCAGAACATGGAGCAGGAGACGCCGTTTCTGCGCGCCAAGCTCGAAGAGTACATCACGGACGCACGCACCCGCGAAATGCTGGTAGCCGCCGTCATCGAGTCCGTCACCCAGACCTACGAAGACTGGTTCGACACATCCTACACCCCCTCTGTGAACGGCACGAACGGGACGGCACGGAGCGGAAAGGGCAAGGGCCGGGAAGACGGCGTCTGGGACCCTGACGTCTTCAACGAGTGGTGCGCAAATACCTTTCGCGTTGGCACGCTTGGTCTCGGCATTGTCGACGGCGACGCAGATGGCGATGCAGACGGCGATGCAGACGGCGATGCAGATGGCGATGCAGATGGCGATGCAGACGGCGATGCAGACGGCGATGCAGACGGCGATGCAGACGGCGATGCAGACGGCGATGCAGACAGCATGGGCGCCGTTAGTGAAAGGACCGGCACAATGCGCACAGGCACTACAGGCAGAGGCTTGAGCATCAGGTAGCTAAAGTCAAACTCCAACAAACAAGCGCCAAAGATATCCTTCGTATCCTCCCGTCGTGCTTTGCTGTTTGCCATGTCCACCGCCACGCGCTAATCTTTGGTCTTTGTTCGGCGCAGCCTCACCTTGCTGACCGGCTGCAGGCTGTTGCACGAACACGCCACTCTTTGTCGCAATGTTTGACGCTCCAAAGGACCGGACCGACAAGGCGCCACGGTCTTAAGCGATTTGCTGCGACCCACGATCGAATGTACTTAAGAGTACGTACCGATGGCACCTGCAGTTCTGGCCAAACATCCACGGCTAGCTCATCGACATATCACTTTGGTCACCAACCATCACGAATATGACAACGACCTCCAGCAGCCCCCCACCCTCGCCCCGCGGCCGTCGTGGCTACCGCACCGACTCGCCTCGCCCCGCGCTCCTCGCAGACAGAAAGAAGGCAGCCGAGGAAAGCGCCGCCGCCGCTGCCAGGAGAGAGGCACGCAGAAAGTCTCTATCCGAGACGAGAGCCAGGAACGCAAGGAGCAAGAGCAAGAGCAGCAGCAGCTCCACGCCCACCTCCACGCCGCCCAAGCCCAGGACGGGCAGGAAGCGCAAGGAAGCGACTCCCGAGGAAGAGACGGATGGAGGGACGGATGGAGAGACGGGTGGAGAGACGGGTGGAGGGACGGGTGGAGAGACGGATGGAGAGACGGATGGAGAGGAGCTTGACGGGCCTGTGTCTAAGAGGAACAAGTCCAGTGATGAAGATGACGGGGTGGAGACGCCTAGAAAGGGCACCGGGAGTCCCAGGAAGGAGACCAGGCCCAAGAACGCGACGCAAGATTCCGCCCCGGATGTGGAGCACTCACCCGTAGACACCGCAGTCCTCTCCTCGCAGATTGCTGTCGCTGTGCAGTCCGCCCTGGCCTCGCACCCGACCTCCCCTCCGCCTGTGGAAATCGACTACGCCCGCATCACCGCCGCCGTAGCCGCAGCACCTCTCCATCTCGACTCATCCCGCCTCGCTTCTTCCGTCACAGCCGCACTCGACGCAGCCTTGCATCCCTACCTCGCCCTCCTGTCGCCGCTGATGGAGTTCACGCAAACCTGCGCGGGGCTCAAGAGCACGGCCGAGGAGAGCGCAAACGAGCACAAGGCCGCTGTGCACAGTCTTGTCGAGCATCTGCGGAGGAAGAGGGGGGGGATCGAGAAGGGCGGGATCGAAGGCGAGAAGGGGATGAAGGCTGGAGAGGCTGCGCTGAAGCGTGGGAGGAAGAGGAGCATGGATCCTGATGATGTTTTCGAGGACGGGATGAGTCCGGATAGTGAGGCGGGGGGTGGGGAGTTTGATGGAGGGGATGGGGAGTAGGGGGGGAGGTGCAGATGTGAGGGTTAGACTTTCCGCGAGATAAGGTTGAAGGCGCGGCAGGATTGTGAACGAGCATGCTGGCTTGGGTAGATTGATCAACTCCAAGGGTAGACTGATCAACTCCAAGGGTAGACTGATCAACTCCAAGGGTAGATTGACTAACTCCAAGGGTAGATTGATTAACTCCAGAACCCAAGCAAGTCAACGAATCCAAGCTCGTAGGTGTGATCTTAAGAGCAATCCATACTACGATGGACTGTGAGATTGCAAGGCTTGACTTGGTTGCTCGCTTGGCCGGCAAGACTGTTGTGGCTGTAGATATAGCTGCTGATTGATTATCGCGATACCTTTAGTGTTGTGGACGAAGAAGCTGCCAGTTGGCATACTTTCCTGTGTCAGTTAGCAGCTCCCAGCTGTCCATCTTGGCGTCTGCGTTTTGGCGTGTTGATTGCCACTTAGGCATCCCATATTTTAGCTTGCTGTGCATGCGCTATTCTATCACTATGCCCCCAAAACTAAGCTATCGCGCGCCTAGCCGTGGTGTGAAGGCAGTCAAGGACGGCAGCGTTTACCAACGACGAGACGGACGCCAAGTATGCAAGAAGAGACCAGGGGGGTGATACATACCAATTTTGTACTATAGTTATAGCCTTTTCAACTGCGCCAACAACTCAATCAAAGCGACGCTGCTGAGTTGGTTGACTTGATTCGTGCCAAATCTGGAAACTGGCACATTTCTCCCTCTCGTGTGCTTCTTCCTCAGCTACAAAGGTACGCGTGAGCAGCCACTGTGTTCTGATTTGAAGTCCGAATTCGCGTTTCGATGATCAGAAAACCCGCTCACGCCCCAAGACCAAACAGCGCCCCGTTTTCGATCCTCAGCTGATGACGTAGCGTCGCAGATCCATACACCAACACCACAGCACGCAGTGCTTTCCGTCCCGCCCTCATAACCACACCACCTTTCCAGATTCAGTACTGCGCTTCCAACGACCGGCCCGAACCTAGCATACCAGCAAATCAGAACCATGACTTCAGACAACTCGCTCCAGTTCAGAGGTTCGTCGCTCTCCACGTCAACGGCCGGTTAGCGCACCGGCCGCGTAGCTGCATGGTTCGAAAGCACCGGTGTAATTACGTTGCAGCTAGCTACACTAGTCTGGCTCTACACAGCTACACTCGCACCCTCCACTCTCCTGCGCGCTCACTAACTACCTCACACACTAACACCCCCCCAGAGCCCGCCGCGGACCCCGCCCAGCACTCCACGAGCACGACAGCGCCGCCGATGGAGCGGCACAGCTCTTCGCTGGGAAAGGTGGCGGCGGTGGCGAAACATCTCGTCAAGAGCCCGGGGGAGGAGAAGGAGCATTTATCGCTGCAGAAGACAGTTAGGGAGGAGGCGGGGAAGGGGGAGGTGGATGTTGGGGTTTTGGAGGCGTAGGTCTAATGTGTAGCCGGTTGAATCTGCTGTCGCTACCCATCCGTGTTTCGTCAGCGCTCGATTCTTGTTCTCGAAGATGACGTTGTTTCTTGCGTTTTACTTTAACATGCAATTAACCTATCCTCGAAAGCGTCCAAAGAGCTACCCCTCCAGATATCGGCAGCTGTTGCCGGCGCTAGCGATGCCCTGCAGATCTGGTCCCAAAGCTCGACTTTCCAACGAGTCACGTCATACCCTCTTTCACAACCATGGAGTTCCAAAAGGGCGAACGCGTCTTCCTGAACTTCGAGACGGGCGGAGTTGAGCGAGCCGAGCAGAACCCCGAGCCTGCGCCCGGGCTCCCAGCAATCCCCGCCTTCGATTTCGTCGGCGACATCCTCGAGCGCGACACCACATCCACCCCGCCCGTCGCGCCCTCGTCCACGCCAAACGCGACAGGCTTCCCGGCACACAGGAAGCGCACACCGCGAGTCTCGGCCTTCAAGCAGCGACGCGCAGCGAGCGAACAGCAAGCGGTGCCTGCACCGAAAGCGCAAGATGCAGCGAGTCTCCACAGCGCGCCGCCGCCGCGCGCCCGATTCGACCCCGACGACGAGCGCAGCGCGATAGACGCGGAGAACCAGCGCAGGCTGGACATGATGTCTGATGCAGAAATCGAGGAGGAGAGGAGAGAGCTCCTGGCGAACCTCGACCCTGCTCTGGTTCAGAGACTGCTGAATCGACACAATGCGGAAGCTGGGAGCAGACCGCAGCGTGAGGAGGTGCCGGCTCCGAAGCAGCCTGCGGAAACACGACGTGCCGAGTCGGAGTTCAAGATCACGCAGCGGCTGTTCGAGGCGAATATGGATGACGGGAGTAATGAGCAGCAGCAGTGGCCGGAGGATAAGGTGGAGACGTCTGAGCCTGCGGCACCAGCGCAGGAGATGAAGGCATCGACCTCGAAGAAGGTGTCTTTCGCAACAGAAGAGGACGAAGAGGAAGCCACAATATCACATGCACCAGAAAGCACCACACCCTCACACACGCACGCCGAAGAAGCCACGGGCTCGCTGCACTTTCCGCCCACACCGCAGCCTCCCGACCTCGACCCAAACGACCCCAACTTTCTCGAGAACATGCACGCCAAATACTTCCCCTCGCTCCCCTACAACCCCTCGACCGTCGAGTGGATGAAACCCATCGACCCCACAGACAAATCCTCGCCCTACCACCCCTCGCAGACGGCCCTCAACGCGTCCGAGCTGCGCTTCGACTTCAAAGGCGCCCTGCTCGCGCCCAGCACCGCGCGCGACTTGCCCACGACAATGGGTCTGCACCACCACGCCGCCGCGCCAGAAGCAGCCGGCTACACGATACCCGAGCTGGCCGCCACGGCGCGCAGCGCCGTGCCCGCACAGCGCTGCATGGCCTACCAGACCCTCGGCCGCATCCTGTTCCGTCTGGGCCGCGGCGAGTTCGGCGCCGAGAAGCCAGCGCAGCACACCGATGCGCCGGCGCGGGTTGCCTCGCTCCCGGACGAGGACGGTGAAGCCGAAGACGATAGCGACGCCGACGACCATGATGTCGCGCATTACATGGCTGTGGGGCTGTGGAAGTGCATCGAGGACGGCAGGGTGGTGGAGACGCTGACCGAGGAGGCGGCGAGGGAGAAGGGGCATCTGACGGCGCGGACGTTTGCGCAGGAGGCGCTGTGGAATTGGCGCCGCGGCGGGGGGAGGCGCCGGTTCGCTGTGTAGACTGCGTGCTTCTCAGCCGCGGGGAGGATGAGATGCATCGTCATGGATGTGCGGACTTGAGCCGAGTCGATCGCGCGCACAACGCTGCCAGCAATGGATCCGAGAGGATGGACGCCAGCTGATGAGTTGGTACGTGGCATGCTGCATCTCGTGATCCACGCGGCCAAGAGAGCAGATCCCTGATAACCGCGAATCGAAGCGATAAACATCAAATGAAATCCATTCATCCGTGACTCGCTGTCTAGAATGTTCCTTAAATGCCTGTTAGATATTTGCTTCCTGTTAGATATTTGCTTCCTGTTAGATATTTGCTTCCTGTTAGATACTTGCTTCCTGTTAGATACTTGCTTCCTGTTAGATACTTGCTTCCTGCCCTTCTTCGCCCCATGCCCTTGCTGTGCTGATCGGCCAAAACAATGGATATCAGTAGATTCTATTCATCCATAGCTCGCCGTCTCTGCATACCCTCAAATGCCCGTTAGATACTCACTTCCTGCCCTTTTAGCCCTACCTCCGACCCCCCTTGCTCTCGCTGTGTCGATCGAGGTTCCGCTCAAGATACCCATTAGCGGCCAGCATCTGCGCCCACAGCTTAATCACCGGGGCGTGGTCGAAGCGCGCCTGTGCGGTCTTGCAGGCGTCGTCGGCCTCGCGCTGCGTCTCGCCCGCGATGCTCGTCGCCAGGTCGTTGAGGTCCGCGAGCACTCTCGCGCGGCGGCCGAATAGGTCGTGCGTGGCCTCAGCTGCGATTGTGGCGGCGAGGGGCGCAGGCGTGGGGTAAGCGGGAAGCTGGGCTGCGAGGCCAAGCGCCAGCGGGTGTGCAGGCTGGCCGTTGGGAACTGGGGAGGCTCGCCAGCGCGGTGAGACGGTGTCGAGACGCGCGTCGACGCTCGCGATGTGGTTGAGGGCGAGACAGGCTTCTTTGCGCAGAGAGGGGAGGGGGGAGGGTCCAATGGCGAAGCCGGTGCAATTTTCCACGTCTTCGTCGAGGAGGGCCAGGATGGAGGCTGCTGCGATTTCGACCCAGTCTTGCCCTTGTGCAGCGCTGAGGGTGGCGATGCTCGTTGGCTGTTGGTTGAGGCCGTCGAGCATCCAGATGTCGTTGTCCACGGGGATGAAGGCGATGAAGTGGTTGGCGTTGTCTTCGGAGCCCTCGGCGCTGTCGTCTGTTGCGGCGGAGTCGGTGGACTTGCGTCTGGCCTTCTTGTCGTTCAAGACACGTTTTTCTCTCTTCACTTTGTGTGAGAGATGTTTGTCGGCTTCCAGTATGTCCATTTTCTTCGCGAAGGTGTTGTGAATCCTCTTCACAAAGTCGAAATTAGCAAACGCCTCGCCTCGCTGGTAGGGGTTGAAGTCTTTCGTAAACTCCTTGAATTGCTGCAGGTGCTCTCCGATCTCAATGTCTCCGTTGTTCATGAGGATGTTGATCATAGCCAGTGTTGCACAGCTGTTCTGGGCTGGGAGCTGGTTGGCGAACCACACGTGGCTGGAGGCCTCCTTGGGCTGATCAGAGGAGCTCTGATCACGATACCGATACAGAAGAATCAGGCCATAGCTGGGCCTTGGTATTAATTCGAGGAGCTCAGGTCGGAAGGAGACCACTTCTTCAACTTTGACGTTGCTCACTCCCATGTCTTTGAGGATGGTAGAGAAGAATGCCGGCTCCGACTGGATCTCACAGAAACCTTGCCATGTTTCCTTGGTGACGCTGCCTGCCGACTTGACAAGTTCGCTGGTGTCTTGTCCAGATGATTCGGCATGGCCATTCTGGGGTGATGCTGGAGAGGTTTTTGTCCGTTTAGCACCAGGCTGTTTGCCGGGTTCAACCGAATCTCTTTTCCGTGCCTGTGGTGAAGCCTGCGAGCTATTCTTAGTCTTTGGCACGAGTTCGACTACATCTGCGCTGTGCTTGTCGTTGCAGCTTTCGATCTGCGTGACCTCGTTGGGTGTTGATTTGGTTTTTTCGACCGGGCTGTCAGCAGTTTCCAGGTCCAGGATCGAAGCTGGATGCATTTCAACGCAAGAGTAGCGCAAGGCCCTTCACTCACAGGTTCAGATGCGAGGATACTTGGTTCAGGCCAAGTGTAGCTGCTGAACACGAGCGACAGAGGAGAGGGGGCTCAGGGCTGCGATGTGCTTGTTTGAAGGATGTGGAACGAGCAGCAAACGATCATGGTGACTGAATTCAGTCAAGGTAGCTGCTTGCAGCTATTCGCGGAGGGCTGCAACAACGGCAATGTGCAGCACAAAGAGCGATGGCGCCTAAGGTGAGGTGCAGGAGATACGGCGCGTCTGATTGGTCGAAGCTTCCCTCCTCCGTTTTGACGCGTCGTTGTACATTTCCATGCTCGTTGATATCGACAGCGCTATGGATCTTACAATGCGCTACCCCTTTATGCGCGGCGAAAAGCTCTTCTCTGGCAGCCTGCGAAACAAATCCAGCTAGCAATCTGCGACCGAGCCAACATTCCACTTCGATCTCAAACCGTCGCACTCAGCTGGCTTGGCATGATACTGTAGATGCACGCTTTCTCTATCGTCACGCTCGGTATCTTCGTAGCGGGCTATTCGACTGCGCGCTGGGACCTTACTACGCGTCTCTACGAGCTTGCAATATTCGCCTGGGACCACGGTGTTGTCGCCAGAGCTGCAAAGGGCTTTGCGATCCTGTCCTTGTTCTTCTTCTTGCTCGTGCTGCCATTTGCGCGCCTAGCGACCGAGGAGACAGACCTGGTCTGTACAAGTGATGCGCACTACATGAACCCAGTACTGACTGTCAAAGCATCCGCGAATCGGTAGCGGCGGCATATCTGCGCGCGAGCAGCTCAAACGTCGAGGGTCGTTCTAGTGGGGTAGCAGGATGGTGACATGGGCACACACAATGGGCTGATGCGCATATTCTGGCCATCAGATGCACCAAATGGGGCCGTGCCGGGTGTTCTGGTGGGCTTCCGGAACTCGCAACTAGACATCTTCGTTGTTTCTATCCTGCAAGAAGTGGAGGTATGTGTGGACAAGACAGCGTTAATGGCATGCGTGGCTCACGTTGTATAGCTTCGTCAAGTGGAAAATGCTCTGGCAGTAGGCACTCTGTTGCGCTACAGCCCTCACGACGTAAATGAGCTATTCACACGATGCGGACACTCCAGCCTGCGTGTCTTGGGCGAGGTCAATCCCAAGTTCCCACCTAGCCACTTCGACGAGAACCTCCTCACTGCATACACCGGCCCTTCGAGCCGCCTGCCGCGATGGAATTGCCCTACAGACATCCTTTCGACCATACAAGTTGTTGTCTATCATCGACCGGACCCCGTACGTATGCAGTACCTTTCGTTGACGCCAATGGCACTTGCTCTGGGGGATAAGACGACGAGTGAGCAGTGGGACACGACTTTTGCGAAGCACGAGGCAGAAGAAGCTGAAAGGAAGAGGAAGAAGGCAATACTCGTTGAGAAGTTGAAGCTACACAAAGTGATTGCGCGTCCGCCCACACAGAAAGAGTCTGCGTTACCTACCCTCATTGAGCAGGTGAACTGCTCCTCTGAGCTAGATTCGCTTCTGCAGCAGAACATCGGCATGATCGGGAGGCGCATGAAACGAGCGCTGAGCGTCAGCGAGCGGGTGGTCGAGTCAGCGAACAACTTGTGGGACTACGTATACGAGAGCTTGTGGTATCTCTTCACAGTCTGGGTGTGGCCTGTGGCTGCACAGCTCTTCATTTTTGGGTTGTTGGCTCACCGCATAGCGGCCGAATACATCCTGCGCGCTCTTGACTGGCGACTCTCGCCCGATGCACCCGCTCTGAAAGACATCTCAGCCACAGCTCAGCAAATCGACATTCGACTGCAACAGTTCTGCTACTGGCCTATTCAGTACCTGACATTGCGCAAAAGGAAGTCTAGCTGGGGCAGCATCACCAACAGTCACCCCGAATACATACGCTTCTACAACAGCCTCTGGCTTGTTGCAAACGATGTCATTATGGGCATCGCTCTGGGTTCATTCATAATCGATAACTCGTCCTTTGTTGCTGCTCAGGTCGACACTGTCTTCAGTGCATGGTCTATCGAAGGTCTACGGCGAATGATCTCCTGGCTTACAGGGTGGCCACCGCCTGGAGGTCTGAAGCTTAACACTGAGCTTGCAGCATTCTTGGGCGATTTGTTCCTTTGGGTCATAGAGTACTGGGCTGGTACGTTTCAACTTTCTACTTGCCACTCGAAATAAGCTAACGAATGCAGGGACCATGTCCATACTGCGGCCCCATCTGCCAGCCCTCATCCGGATCATTGGTTTCTCGGCATTCGCTGGTGCCACAATGCCTATCTCGCTCTTCTCGGACATAGTGTCATTGCTAACGCTGCACATCTATTCGTTCTACATCGCATCCGCCCGGATCTTCCACTGGCAGTTGACCATCATCATCTCGCTCTTCCACCTCTTTCGAGGTAGGAAACGCAACATACTCCGGAACCGAATCGATTCTTGCGACTACGATCTTGACCAGCTGCTGCTGGGTACGATTTTGTTCACCCTGCAGTTTTTCTTGCTGCCAACGGTGTTTGTCTTCTACTTGACGTTCGCCAGTGCAAGAGTAGGAGTGATCGCCTTGAAGGCCGGGCTTGAGATCGGATTAGCGTGCTTGAACCATTTTCCTCTATTCGCTGTCATGCTTAGGCTTAAAGATTCGCGTCGGCTGCCCGGTAAGTCAGCATACTCGTATGATAGATCTACTATGCACTAATGATTTTACAGGTGGCATATGCTTCAAGCTGTATGCTCCAATGGATAGCAAAGCGCATCCTCGAGACAGTGTGGACTCGGTTCCGACTGCATACGTTCATCTCAAGGTATGGCCGCATGACGCTCTGTTGTTCAGTGTACTCACAAAAGCATGACAGTCTGTGCCCTTGCCCCTCAGCGCCATGTTCCACTCCTACTTCGAGCTGGGTAATCGCATACGGAAGCACTATTTCTCGCCAAGCGTCTTTCTCAGCCTTGCATCAGGCCAGTTTGTACCTCCCATCCATCGACGGAACTTGTACAGTCTGCAGTATAGCATGCTTCCTGCCAATCGAGTCAGCATCGGCGAGCTATGGAGGCAGCTCGGGGAGAGGGAAGAGAAGCCAGCCAAACGTAATGGCCATGCTCGAATGCCCTCGTTCGAAGGAGTGATAAATGGGCGGCGCAGAAGAGCCGCTAGGTAGTTGGACATTCTTGAAGAACACATACGGAAGCATTTTCTCCTCCCAGATTATGCGCCCAAGACAATGCAACGCAGTGCACATCAGAGACTGACTTGCACAGATGGATCTCTTGTTCATATATGATGCAAAGTTGCTGAACGGACGCCAAACGATATCGAACATCTCCAAACGCGGCACATTAATCTTTTATTCAAAGTCAAATTGGAGAACGCGCCCTGTTAATAATGTGTCGAAAATCTTTTTACTCTATTTTGGCCAAGTCACCTGCACACTGTCCTCGCCAGCTGCGAGGCCTCAATCTTCCAGACTGAATGATCCAAGTCCTCAACCACACACTCACAGTTCACGATGAACATTCTACCGCTGATGAGATACACAGAGAATCGCAGCACCGTAAAGTGAGCATGACATTGCGTTCCTGAAGTGCCTCGAGCTTACCACAGATAGCAGCTTGGATGCATCAGCAGTCCTCACCGTCCACGTTGGCGAAGGCCTTAGCCATGGTCACCGCAACTTCGTTGTGCACGGGCCATTTTGGTGTTCCGCTCGGACTTCTTTCGTCGAGCTATGAATGGCAAATGGGAGGCGGAATCGAGAGTCGTCAGCCTGGCAGATGACGAGCCCGACATTTTTGGCGTCTACGTAAGCCTGGTGTATACAGGGAAGCTACCAGTTACGCACATCGATACCAAAAACCTACCGCATGACGAAAAGAAGTCCCTCCTTCAGGAGGAGTATGATGACTTTTTTCGCCTCTACGCTCTGGCAGATAAGTCGCAAGACACGGCTGCAAAGGACACCGAAATCGCCGCGGTCTTCGAGGTCCTAGAGAAAGAGGGACAGGTCGATTACATCTGCCTTCCCACATTCGCCACATTCGTCACAATGTGTATGCTGTACGACCGAAAACCTGACATATTTCCAGCGCGCAAGCTCGTGGGTGACATGGCCAACACTTGCGACGTGGAGTCGCTGTAATCCGAGGCTGCCACCTTGCCAAAGGATCTGGTGAGAGACCTTCTGGTCTCATTACGAAATCATGCGAGAGAGAGGAATGGCGCTGTCAGGAAGGGCTTGAGTGCATATCTAGAGGCTGCAACTGCTAACAGAGGATGGCGAGAGCGAGTGAGTTCTGCTTGTATCTTTAACTCTCCAAGGCTCGCTGCGGGGTCTGTTTTGATGACGTGTTTGTGATGCAGCTGAGGTAAGAGGTGCTCAACAACATGAGGAAGCAGCACCAGACCACCGCCAACAATATGTGATCTGCTTCTCCTCTCAACCGTTACAGAAACAGCCAGGAACCTCAAGTTCATGCGCTCGAGTATAGTTCGACACGGTAGCAGATTACAAGGGATGGACGGCATCATAATGCCGCTTTCACACCCTGACCTCAAGGAAAGTGTCGCATCCCATGAATGGGCTTTGGTATACCGCCTGCTTGTGGAAGATGGCTGTGCGACCGCTGATAAACAGAGAAGGGTCAAGGTCTTGGCGGACTGTTGGTGCAAGCAATGCGGGACGTTCCTAGCACGTAAGAGATGCGGCTGTGACCTAGAGAGTGACATGATTCATTTGTTCTGGGGCGACGTTGAAGATATTCAACAACTTCTAGGCTTTGACAGTAGTGATCTGGAAAGAAAAGAAACCCCTGAGTGGAAGAAGTCATCTCCAGGGTTGGCCCGGGACGAGTGCGAGCTGGATCACCTCTATGGGCGCAATGCGTGGGACAGTCGCAGATGGAGAGGTGAACCACTAAAAAGCTACCTTCCCGCCGGGGTGACCGTCGAAGACTTTAAATACACAAAGTCGCTGGTAGAGGCTGGCGTTCACACATATCTGTCTGGCTCCGTACCTATGCACCCGGGAAGCGAGTTTGGAGACACTGACAGTCTACTAAGCATCCACTGGGACAATGAAGATGATCTGAACAGGTTATCAGTACAGTCGTAGTTGACGCAGGCTGGTTATCCATTTGCTCCAGTACCAGCGTTCGAAGGAGCACACAACAAGCACAGCAAGCACAGAGTAAAGTGTTCGGCTGAGAAGATTTTTGTTTCTAGCTTGCAATGACTACCATACTAGTACACTCTTTATCACACTTCCCTCCTCCATCTTCTGTCTCGCTTCCTCGAACTGCTGTACCCCAAACTCCTTCAACATCTTCTCCACCGGCAAGATGCCGTCCTTACTCCACTGAACAAGCTCAGGCAACGCCTCCGCAGGATCCCTATCACCCTCAATAACGCCAATAAGCCGTCTCCCGTTGACCATATGCGTCAATAAGTCCAGTTCGTACTTCGCACCTACCGGCTTGACACCGACCTGCAACAACTGCCCGTTCTTCTGCAGCGCCTCCATACACTGCGCCAGCACCGCGGCACTTGGCGACGTGTCTAAGATATGACTGCACCCTAGTCCCCCAGGCGTAAGCTTTTTGATAGCGGCACTCATATCCCCGCCCTTCAGCCCCTCCTTCGTACTCAACAATCCCACCGTCGCACCATGCTGCATCGCCAGATCAATCCTCGACTGCAGCAAATCCACTGCGATCACATTCTTCACGCCCCTCTGCTTCGCCGCACAAACGCCCGCGAGCCCGACTCCTCCCAGCCCTACAACAGCGATAACGTCCTCCGGCCCGCAGTGTCCAACGTGTGTAATCGCGCCCGCGCCCGTCATGATCCCGCACCCCAGCGGTGCATAGGCCCGCAGCTCATCCGCATCGCGTACCAACTCCGTCACGTTCGCGGCGCAGGACACCTTGACCGGCACAGGGCTGGCGAAACTCGACTGGCCGAAGTAGCCGCCGCCGATGACCTTGGCGGGGTCGGAGGCGAGCACGAAGTTCGGCTCGTTGGATGCCAGCGTCAGCGCTGCGTGGTCGATGCAGTATGCTGGGTGCCCTGTAGTGCAGTAGTGGCAGCGCAGACAGGCGGCGGCGGAGAGGATCACGAGGTCGCCGACTTTGTACTTGGATTCTTGCTGGGCGGAGCCGAGGCGGAGGATGCGGCCGGCGCCTTGTGTGCGTTAGAGTCTGGTGTGCAGGGTAAGGTGAGTGTCAGGATGAGGGATGAATACCTTCGTGGCCCAGTACGCGGGGGTAGATGCCCCCGTAGCCTGAGATGTCGGTGTGGCACACGCCTGTTGCTATCATCTCGACGAGGAACTCATCCTCCTTTGGCTCGCGTGTCAACATGTCTTCCCATTTCCAGTCGTACTGGGAGTAGGCGACTATGCCTTTGCAGGGCACTGTGTATTCGGCCATCCTTCTCTTTCTGTATCTCGATCTATCGAGGTGTAGAGCGCAATTGGGAGGACATAGCTGTCAAGGCACATTCTCTCATTTTGCTACATCGCGGCTACTTGGGCAGGACGTCGTGTAGCCGACCGAACGACAGCTGCTTTCGTCATAGTCGAGGCGGGCATGCGGGGTTCGGTGAGGCGCGAGTCTGGAGTGCAGATGTCGTCGGAGCATGTTCCGCCGGAGAAGGCCGGTCCCTGATGGCATGAGGCCTAGCCGAGCAGCCTTATGTAGAAAACAGATGTAGAAACAAAGACAGTATGGGTTTGGGACGACAGATAGAGATTTAGGTGGGCGTTGTTGATGACAGGAGGAATGAGACGAGGTCGTTTGGGACCCAATGATGTCGAATTGTCGTTCTGTGAACTATGGTCCCGGAAATCGAGCCTCATAACCAAAATATCCTTCTCTTTCAAAATCCAAGCTTATGTCTAGCCCTCAAAGAGGCCCCAGTCTTTGACCTCAAAGGTCTCCAATATCCTGTCCTTGACCTTCTCACTATCCTTCATCAACAGCGTAGTCTCACCCTCTTTGGGCTTCTCATACTCTCCAGGGTAGTGCGGAATGTTCACAGAGATCATGAGATCCGTGTCCTGCTCTTTCAGACGCAGCAGCACGAGATAGATGTAGACATATTCTGGCACCTTGCGGCTAGGGTTTGTGTTGGGTGGTGGTGTCTGAATGAAGCGCAGAGTGTAGACTGGCTTGTCGCTGGGTAGTCGTTAGGTGCTGAGCTGAGTACCCAGATGGCTGCAGGGTGAACGTGAAAGCACGTGCGCGGCCTGTCCGTGTGAGAAGTGGAAGCACTTACCTCAGCTTTGCCATCACCGCACGGCCCTGCTCGAGGATATTGGTGCTATCTTCTTCATCGATTAGGTCGGCGAAATGGTACTGCAACGCTTCCTCATCGCTGCCCTTCTCTTGATATTCGAGGATCTCGACGACGATCGATGAGTAGCCATCGTTGTCTAGGTAGACTTCTTGATGGTCGGGCACTTCTCGGATTTGGCTGTGTCGATGTGTGAGCTGGCGTGCGCTCTCATTTGCGGGATGTGGAGGGATTTGGATGGGGCTGATAAATTTCGTGGACGGACCTTGTGTCGGCAAAATTGGAAGGCAGATCGACTGTGATGGCGCCGCCGTAGAGGGGAGTGTTTATGAACGACATGGCGGTGAATTTAGACCCTGTAGAGTCTGACGTTCAGGTCTGCTGAGGTGTTGATCACACCTTGCGCGTTCTGGTGTTCTTATGCTGGTGGTCGAGCTCTTTTGATGTTCCGGTCAAGCAGGCTACGATCAGGCAGCGTCAGGCATCACAGAAATGGGTACCTAATGATTTGAATCTGTACAAAACTTCAATTGTACGTTTGTAAGCACTTTAATATAGCTGGGTATCGTTTGACTATTGTCCTCTATGATGCATCTTTTCCCATTTTGAACGCCGTGCAATGCATGTGCAGCTTCCCAAATTACAGACAGCAGGCCCTCTGCCCGTGCGTGAAGCCTTTGACATCTACACGTATCTCAAAGCGTGCCCCAGCGCTCCGCTGCGGATGTCCCATGTCCAATAAATCCTCAAGAGGGAGTCGCTTGCTGGTCTGCCTTGGTCGTAGCGAGGCCGTCGGTATGCTGAGCGATATGCGCAGACTGAATGTCTCTGCCGCGTTCTCATCCAAGTTCATACTCAAGCCGCGTTGTCGACCTCCATGCTCGCAGGCGCAGTGGTCGTGCGCTTGCCGTTATCTGTCGTGAAGCCCATGCCTGCCTCTGCTTCCTTGATGGAGTAAGGTTCTTCCTTCAGTGCCTTGACTCTGCAGGCTATTAGCATCTCTGCGCGCTTCAGGCAACGTGGAACTGCGCTGCGCTTGGTGAACGTACCTGCGCTTGTGCACCTTGCCCTTCTTGTGCGCCAGCATGTTGGCCTCACTTTCGAAGAACTTTGCGCACTCGAGGCAGTAGTTCTGCCCCAGGCCGGGCAGGTCTTCTATGGGCTTTGCATTCTTGAACTCGGCGAGGTGCTTCTCGTCGTGCTGGTCGGCGTGGACCTGGTCAAGATCGCGCGTGTGCCTGCGCGTCTTCTTCTTGCTGTCCTGTCCACGTATGGCAGGCATGGTGTGCTGAATCGGCGCGAGTGAATGTGTCGGGCTGGATCCGCGGCCGTCGGCTGTTGTCGTGCTGGCTGGAGGATTCGGCTATGGGCCGCTGGCTCGTGCGGCTGTTCAGAGACCTGCAGACGCTGAAGAAATTTCGCGGAATGCGCTCTAGGCCTTGGCACAAGCAGGGCTGCACGGAGGCTAGTGATGCAGCTGGTCTGGAGACCTCCAAAAAATGACGTTGCTGCTGACTTTTCCGGTCGACCCAGTTGCAGCTGCAGCGCGCAGAGAGGTGCGCACTGCAATCATGCCAATCGGCCGATCAAGCTTCTGAGAGAGGCCCAGCACGCGGGGTTGGAGCACGAACGCCGTCGACGCCGTGTGACGCCACGATGGATATGCGGGCAGAACTTCAGTCGTTCAAATACTCATGAAGGCACTGGCGCACGCATTTTGAATTAACCTCTGCAACAACGCGAAACACGCCAAACACCCTCGCCAGCACGTGAAGCAACTCCCACAGCGGCCCAGCGGGTGAAAGCTGCCGGTTGTATTCGTTTGCGGAAGACCTCGGCTTGCCGCAACAAGCACCGCACGGCCTGTGGAGTCGCTTTGGCAGCCAATCACGCGCGAACTGATAATCGACAGCTTCGAGGCAGCTTCTGACGCTCTTTTCCGCGTGTCCTCCATCACTCCTCATCTCCACTCCACCCATCCTCAGCCCATCCAAGATGCAGAGGTTCTCGAGGCTCGGCCGTGTCGGCCAGAGCTTCGCTTCGCGCAGGTCATTGGCCACCGTCAGCGATGCACCGCTCTCTCGCAAGGTCGAGATGACCAACTGGGAGAAGGGCAACTACATCAACTACCAGAAGATGTCGGAGAACCTCAAGATTGTGCGCGGCCGCCTCAACCGCCCGCTCGCTCTCGCCGAGAAGATTCTCTACTCCCACTTGGACGACCCCCACAACCAGGAGCTCGAGCGCGGCTCCAGCTATCTGAAGCTCCGCCCCGACCGTGTTGCTTGCCAGGATGCCACCGCTCAGATGGCCATTCTCCAGTTCATGTCGGCCGGCATGCCCTCCGTGGCTACCCCCTCCACCGTCCACTGCGACCACTTGATCGAGGCACAGGTCGGCAACGAGAAGGATCTGGCCCGCGCCATCGACATCAACAAGGAGGTCTACGACTTCCTGGCCACATCTTGCGCTAAGTACAACATTGGTTTCTGGAAGCCCGGCTCCGGTATCATCCACCAGATCGTTCTCGAGAACTACGCTTTCCCCGGTGCTCTCCTCATCGGTACCGACTCTCACACTCCCAACGCTGGCGGTCTCGGTATGGCCGCCATTGGTGTCGGTGGTAAGTAGCTCCAATTCGCTCAAACACAAATCAATTGGCTCACGAACAACCAGGTGCTGATGCCGTCGACGTCATGGCTGGTCTTCCCTGGGAGCTGAAGGCCCCCAAGGTTATCGGTGTCAAGCTCACCGGTAAGCTCTCGGGCTGGACTTCGCCCAAGGACATCATCCTCAAGGTTGCTGGTATCCTCACCGTCAAGGGTGGAACTGGTGCCATTGTCGAGTACCATGGACCCGGTGTCGAGTCTCTGTCCTGCACTGGTATGGCTACCATCTGCAACATGGGTGCTGAGATCGGTGCCACCACCTCCGTCTTCCCCTTCAACGACCGCATGTACGACTACCTCAAGGCCACCAAGCGTCAGCACATTGGTGACTTCGCCCGCGAGTACGCTGCTGAGCTCCGCGAGGACGAGGGTACCGAGTACGACCAGCTCATCGAGATCAACCTCGACGAGCTTGAGCCCCACATCAACGGTCCCTTCACCCCCGATCTGGCCACTCCCATCTCCAAGTTCAAGGAGGCTGTCAAGGCCAACAACTGGCCCGAGGAGATGAAGGTCGGTCTGATCGGTTCTTGCACCAACTCCTCGTACGAGGACATGACCCGCGCTGCCTCCATTGCTGAGGACGCCATGGCCCACGGCCTCAAGTCCAAGTCTCTGTTCACCGTCACTCCCGGCAGTGAGCAAATTCGGTACGTTTTCCAGAATAATGAATTTCGCGTTCTTCGCGAAGCCTGGAGGTCTTCATAATACTGACATCGATCCAGCGCCACCATCGAGCGTGATGGTCAGCTCAAGACCTTCGAGGAGTTTGGCGGCATGGTTCTGGCCAACGCCTGCGGTCCTTGCATTGGGTAAGTGACTCGTAGCCAACATACCACATTATTGGATTTTAACTGACATTACCACAGACAGTGGGACCGCCGTGACGTCAAGAAGGGCACTGCCAACTCGATTGTCTCGTCCTACAACCGTAACTTCACTGGCCGTAACGATGCCAACCCTGCTAGTGCGTATTCAGTACTCCGTCTTGAAATGCACTTGCTAACTTTGCATAGCCCACAGCTTCGTCACCTCCCCTGATCTTGTCGTCGCCCTCTCAATTGCCGGAACCCTAAACTTCAACCCGCTGACTGGTAATTTAGCTCCCGCTGGTATTCTGAAGCATTTTTCGCTGACATCTTATAGACACACTCAAGGACAGCAACGGCAAGGAGTTCAAGCTCAAGGCGCCCTCAGGTGATGGTCTCCCCGCCAACGGCTACGACCCAGGGCAGGACACATACCAGGCTCCTCCCGCCGACCGTGCGGCCGTCCAGGTCGCCGTCTCCCCCTCCTCCGACCGTCTCCAGCTCCTCCAGCCCTTCAACGCTTGGGATGGCAAGGACGCCACCGACCTACCCATCCTCATCAAGTGCCAGGGTAAGACCACCACTGACCACATTTCCATGGCTGGTCCCTGGTTGAAATACCGCGGTCACTTGGACAACATCTCCAACAACATGTTGATCGGTGCCATCAACGAGGAGAACGGCGAGGCCAACAAGGTCAAGAACAACCTCACCGGCGAGTACGGTGCCGTCCCTGACGTTGCCCGTGACTACAAGAAGAACGGCATCAGGTGGGTCGTTGTTGGTGACTGGAACTACGGCGAGGGCTCTTCCCGTGAGCACGCTGCCCTTGAGCCTAGGCACTTGGGTGGTCTTGCCATCATCACCCGCTCCTTCGCTCGTATCCACGAGACCAACCTGAAGAAGCAGGGTATGCTTCCCTTGACCTTCTCCGAGCCCGCCGACTACGAGAAGATTCGCCCCAACGACAAGGTTGACATCAAGGCTACCGAGCTCGCCGTTGGTCAGCCCATTACCCTCGTTGTTCACCCCGCCAACGGCGACAAGGCCTTTGACATCAAGCTCTCGCACACATTCAACGAGGGCCAGATCGAGTGGTTCAAGAACGGCTCTGCCCTCAACACCATGGCTAAGCAGCGCAAGTAAACGCATCAACTCTGAGTTGAGATGAAACCAACCGCCACTGGGGATGTAGATATGGAGAGGATACCCGAAGTACGAGGACGAACATGAGCAGAAAGACCCTACAAGGGTGGAAAACTCAGAACATGAGGCCTGGCAGCCCTTGATTGGGTTTTGTCAAGCAGAAGTTTTCATTACAGCTCTTACCCGGGCTTAACAGGGTTGGGTTCGGCTTGTATTTGTGACGGTGTTAGCATGCAATGTACGATTTCTATTTATGGGCAATCGCAATGTCCATACGATCTTCAAATCAAACGGGTCCAGATTCATGATTATGCGAATTTGTGTTCATTATTGAGCGTCCAGGTCTTCATCCACTGTGGCAGGATTCTGGCCTTGTCGAGCTCTGACAACCAACATCTCATAAGTGACCGGATAACTCCACCTCGGCCCCGGAGTACTCCATATACAGTCGGCCCGACGGCTGCAGTCCACAATCGTGGACATCCATGTTCGCAAGGGTATTAAAGACCCACGCTCGCACGTGACAAAAGTCATCGTCATGGTAACGGCGAACAACAAACGCCAGGTCTGACCTGATCGCCGTTGGAGTTATCCTTGCACATGTCCGACCTGTGCTAGCTGTGCACACTTTGGCATTCTTTGGGGTATATTCCTATCTGTCGCATAGACGTCGTACATCTCCTTTCCTCTCTTGATCATTTGCAGCAATGGCTCGTCTGCGCAAGCCCAGCCCGCTGGAAGCGTTCATCTCCATGCAGCAACCATCTGATACACGCCCGCGTCGTTCCAGCCCTAGGAAGGCCGTCCGCGACGTCAGCTACATGATCTCCTCCTCCGAAGACGAAGAAAACGTGCCCTTGCGACCGAAACACTCAAAGCGCGATCTCGGCGAACAGTCGTCCATCTTCCCGGAAGACTCCTTCTACACATTGAAATCATACGCGAGCTCGTCGAAAATAGCACTTACTCCACGCAGACAGCGCATACTCAGACCGGTCGAGAGCAATAGTCGACTGCTGAGGAAGCTGAGCGATGAGAGCCTGAGGAGTCCGGAGAAGAGGCCCGGGTCTGAGAGGCGAGCGAGGAGGGAGAGGTGTGCAACAGAAGATGTTGAGGTCGATGCTGGGCGGCAACGGAGTCTTATGTATGCGAAGAGCTTGGCAAGAAGTTTTGCGGGGAGGGAGCTCAAGAAGGCGAGCTCGAGGATCGATGTGTTGGGTGATGCCGAGCTGCGCATTCCGGGCAGGCCAAGAACGCAGAAACAGGCGCTGACCGTTGAGGTTCAGGAGGCTCATGCTGAGCCGGAGGAGACGAGCATACTCTGCGGAGAGGAGGAGGATGTTGCTCAAGAAGCGGAGCAGCACCAAGTTGAGCCAAGCGACGAAGTTACTGCCTCCGAGGAGCAAGAAGACGAGGAAGAGGATGATGTTGTCCTGCTGGTCAGATCGAGGCAAAGGCGACCGCAACGACTGGTTGAGTTTGACTCTGAATCTGACTACGCAGACGCAGCTACCGAGGAAGAGCAGAAGCAGGAGAAAGACGAACCAGAAGAGCCGCAACCTCTAGTTTCTATGCGACCCCCTCACAGAAAGGGTCACAGTACCATCTCGAATTGGGCGCAGGAAGTCATCGACCTGACTGATTCACCCCCTAAGGCGCTGGAGCCGTTCGTCCTTCCAGAATCGACACGTGCCCGCTCATCGTCATTCGCAGTTTCGCGTCCGGCAACATCTTCCTCGGACGGCGTACATCCATTCCTTACATAGTATGTCATCTGCAAACCCCTGGATGATAAATACACATTAACCGGCTCACAGCTCTCCTACGCCAACTAAGAAGCGCTCACCATGCAAAGCACCCCCAGTCGCGCGTCCATCGACTCCTCCACCAGCTCCTCCAAGTCCCACCAAGCTTGTATCACCATCCAAGAAGAAACCATTGATTCCAAAGGCACCCAATCTGCGACCAAGTCTCGATGCATTCTGGAACCCAGAAGTCGTCAACGACTGGAATGACCGCCACTCGCCTGCTAAGAAGCTTGTGTCTCCAAAGAAGCAGCAATGGCGCGAAAACATCACCAAAGTGATGGGCGGCATGGACATCGAAGAGGGGAGCAGCAGCGATGAAGCATACGCCAGTCCCGTCACAAGTCCCAAGAAGAAAGCCCCTCGTCCCCAAACCACCAAGAATCACTCCAGCGTATCAGAGCCCACAGTCAAAGGAGTCCGCGCCCAGCGCAAAGACTTCGCCGATCGCAAACACGCCCTCGCAGAAGCCTTCCTCGCCGAGCTCGACACCACTATCTGCTCTGGCAAAATTTCCAACCTCTCCGCCTCAACCGGCGGCATCCAGCTCATCTGGTCCAAAACCCTCAAGACAACCGCCGGCCGCGCAAACTGGCGCCGCGAAGTAATTCGCATCAAGACCTCCTCTCCCGGATCGCCGCCAGCATTCAGAACAGAGACTAGACATCACTGCTCCATTGAGCTGGCCGCAAAAGTCATCGACGACGAGGAGCGCCTGTACAACGTGCTCGCACACGAGTTTTGCCACCTGCTCACCTTTATGATCTCCGAGGTGCGCAATAATCCACACGGCGCTGAGTTCAAGACCTGGGGCCGCAAAGTGTCGCTCGCGTTTGCGGACCGCGGGGTTGAAGTCACGACCAAACATAGCTATGCGATCGAGTATAAGTTTGTCTGGGAGTGTGTGAGCTGCGGCTACGAATTCAAGAGACACTCGAGGAGCATCGATACGCAGAGGCATAGCTGTGGAAAGTGTAAGGGCAGGCTGGTGCAGACTAAACCTGCCCCGAGGGCTGGGAATGCGGCAGATGGCGCGGAGAGGAAGAAGTCTGACTATCAGATTTTCGTGAAGGAGAACTTCAAGAAGGTGAAGAGTGATATGGCGGCCCGGGGGTTGGATACGCAGATGGGCAAGGTAATGGAGGTCGTGGCGAGGGAGTACAGGGAGAGGAAGGAGGTAGAGAGGAAGGAGGTGGAGAGGAAGGAGGGCGAGAAGGGGGTTGGTGAGCTTGATCAGGCACTTGAGGGGCTGAAGCTGTGAGCGGCGCGAAGACTTTTGATGTTTTACGATCTGCATGGTGGCGTTGGAGGTATTGTGTCGCACAATCTCTGTTGCATACTGGCGCAAATCCGAATCTCATTCCACGTAGAGTCTTCAAACGGTTTTCCCTGACGCTTTTTTGCAATTTCAGACCGCAATACACTTGACCACGGATATCGTCGGAACCGTGCAATGCTGCACGAGACGAGGTTTGAAACATTGGAACCCAACCACCAGAGTTTACTCGGCCATCTGATCGGGCTTCTCCAGCTTGGTGAGGCGTGCATGGAGTCGCTTGATCTCCTCCTCCTTGATATTGATTCCTTCATGGGTAGGACGATTACAAGTCAGCCACATGACGAGGTCGAACATGTAGTTGTCTGGCCAGCAGGTGGGGTGCTTCTTTATTGAGTGAAGGTGGGGAGCCTACTGTGTCGCTGTACAGTTGATACTGGTCTGCGATGATTTCATATACATCCGAATCAGCATCATCAGCATCGTAGAGGATAGACTGCCCGACTCGAGTAAGCTTTCAATAACGCTTGGTTGGCCCTTCGATCCCAGTTTGGAACTTTGGGTTCGGACGCCATAGAAGGGTGCCATGAACTGCGGAGGCTGATTCGTCGCGTGAGCTGGACCCACTTTTCTTCGCACGCGTTCGCGCGTCGCGTCATCCAGCGCCATTTGCAACAACCTTCCCGCAATGCACCGCCGTCTTCAGTGCATTGTATCAAAGTGGTGCGACTCAGAGCAGAGTGTCTGCGGGTCTCAAACAGCAGCTTTGAGTCTGTGGCGCAGCAGCTGTCCCACTTTCGCTCCTAGCGTAAATGACTCATTTTGAGTCTCTGCGTGCACCGCCATACGAAACACCACGAAAGGTGCAAGTCCGCTGGGGGGTCATACTGTGGCTCCCGTTTAGGTATGAAATCCTTTCCGATAATAGAGAGAGCGAAATTGTGATGGTACTTGTAATGTATAAATATATTCGCGTTTCTTGTCATGAGTTTCTCCACTACAACACCGACTGCCATATTTCTTTACAATTCCAGACACCCCTTCCTTATCTTTGATCTGTTATAATTCAGCGACTTGAGCATTATGGCGGGCATTCAACAAACATCAGCTGCGTACACCATCCCGGTAACCTCTTACGACACAGCGCTTTGCGTACTCCCACCAGTCGAGCAGTGCGAGCACGTCAACAGCTTGCGCGAGCTCTACGATAAGGCGTATGGGCGATGGCCGGCACATGTCAACCTCATATATCCATTTGTTGCGCCTGAGCGCTTGCCAGAAGCGCAGCAGCAGATCCAGGCCCAATTTGAGAGGAACCCAGACATCAACACAGCGAACAGGATCAAATTGGAATCTGCAGGACTTTTACGGCAATCACGCAATAGTACTGCAATTCTGCAAGAGTCTCGAGATGCCTCCGATAGATCTCTGGAATCACTTCGATCCCTGGCTCTGCAGGCTCTTGGTCACAAGCCCGGTCGACACAACTTTCACCTGACAATCGGCCAAACTGAGGACAACTCGATGTCTTCTCTCGAATTTCTCATTTCCAAAGTGCGTCTACTTCCTCTTTTGGACTTCGAGATCGGGTCTTTGGCTATCTTGGTTCGTGAGCGAACATCAACCGAGAAATCAGCGACCCGAATGCGCTTATGGGGCTTGATCGACATGTGCTCCTCTCGTCCTATAGTAACGGGCATGATGACAGAGCACTGGCTCAGCGACCCTCCTACATGCGACATGAACGACGATGAAGAGGAAGACGAGGCCGATTCGTCGGATTCTGGCACACCTTTCAATCGGGCGGTGCAGCCTGGAAAGACCTTCTGCTTTGATCGAGCTTCGATCGCGTGGAAACAAGTACAATCTTTTCAATCGAGTCCTAAGCGACCTGTTTCACTCACTGTATCGAGCTACAACGTCTTGGTGGACTCAGGATACCCACCAGCACGTGATCGCGACCAACTCTTGATCAATACGCTGCTATCTGAGGCCGCACAGGCAGATGTTCTGGTCTTGCAGGAGATATCTGACGATTTCCTGTCATATCTGCTTAACAATGCAAAGTTTCGAAGCCAGTACCCTTTCACCTCGCATGGGCCACCAAGCCAACTGGACATTGGACCCTTGCCCAGCATGCGAAATGTTGTCGTTATCAGCAAATGGCCGTTTAGATGGGAGCTGGTACCTTTCCACCGCAAGCACAAAGGTGCTGTGGTTGCAGCCTTCGAATCCATCACTCTTGGTGAATCATTTGCTGTGGCCGGCGTCCATCTGACGTGCGGCCTGACAGATGGATCAGTCGCTGCAAAGAAAATACAAGTGCACAATCTCTTGAACCGCCTCACTCGCCAATATAACAACATTCCGTGGATCATTACTGGAGACTTCAATCTTGCCACTTCAACACACACAATTTACAGTGCTCTTCAAAGCAAATCCATCACCGCACAGACCGGTCACACGATTGCTGCCATCGAAGAACGACTAGCCGGTCATGGAATTTTGGATGCTTGGGCTACCATGCGAGGCGATTACGAGCTGGAGAGACGTGGACTCGACGATGACGAGCTATTCGACGGCGAGGAAGGTGCCACCTTCGATCCAAGGAACAACGTTCTAGCAGCTGCAACATCTGGCACCTCACAGAGTAGGCCGCAACGATACGATCGTGTTCTCGTTCGAACACTAGATACATTTCGTGTCACTGCATTCAACATGTTCGGCTTGCCTGTAGAGGTTGCTGGCGCAAGTGCAGTCCCGAGCGATCATTATGGAGTCAGAGCGTCACTGCAGCTTTTGAAAGTCGCTGAAGGCCTGACTCCAGATCATCGGGAGATGCTCACAGCGCTCAGAGTGGAGGTCCAGCGCACCCACAATCTATTTTCCCAAGAAATGGAGTCAACGCTGCGCGACCATCGCATACTCCTGACAGATAGGGAGAACGCGGAACGTGAGGCAGCGTTCAGTCTGCTAAAGGAAATTCTACTTGCAAACTCAAAGATTGGTGGTGCAGTGACAGCTGATATCCCTTTGGTGATGGTAACTGTTGGCTCTTTTGCGATGAAGACAGATACACCTTCTTCCGACATCGACTGCCTCTGCATCGGGTCTATTAGCTCGAAGACCTTCTTCAAGCTTGCACGCCAACGATTGCAGAAGGCTGAGAGCCAAGGTGTTCGCATACTCCGTAAGGTCGAAGCAGGTACAGGGACCATGCTCGAACTGTCGGTCAACGGTGTTCCCATGGACTTGCAGTATTGCCCTGCAGCTCGCGTGGTCGAGAGGTGAGAACCCATATACCATCATTCGCGGTATACTGACGTTGCATAGTTGGCCCGATTTCGAGAACTTGCCAGCATCAGATCCATTCTTTAATCTCTCGATCCTGTCACTGCGGAAGCTGAAGCCTTATCGCGATTTGATCTACATCAAGCGTACCATACCTGATCTGACCACCTTCAGACTGGCCTACCGAGTTATCAAACTCTGGGCAATGCAGTGTGGCGTCTACTCATCCAAATTCGGGTTCCTTGGAGGCGTGCACATCACACTAATGCTATCCTGGGTCTACAAGCGCATCACATACGACGACCCTGTTAATGAGGTTCATACAATCAGCGCGGACGACTTGGTAGTGACATTCTTCCATCATTACGCAAGTTTGGACTGGGAAAGTGACATGGTTTACGATGCCTTCTTCCATAAGCAGAAGCCTCGCTATCACCGGACTGCGCGAGAGCCGATGGTAGTATTGGGCTTTCATTCTCCAAATTCGAACGTAGCACATACATCGACATTGCCGGGCCTCTTGGTCCTGGTGAAAGAGTTCAAGGCTGCCAGTGCACGACTATTGGACGCGTCAATGACCTGGGGAGCGTTCTTAGGCCCGTCGGGCAGTCACAGCCTCACTGGTCTGGGACTCGGCGAGTCGCAGTTCTTGCGAACGTACAAGAGCTACGTCAGTATCGACATTCATTTCTGGGGCCGCACGCTAGCGAAGGGCAAGAGCTTGGTTGGCTGGGTAGAGTCGCGTTGCATCTCACTTGTTGTTGGTATGGATCTCCATTACGCTTGTACGATTCACAGCAACTGACATTCTCAGATGTTCACAGGATCCTTCCAGATGTTGAAGTGCGCCTATGGCCGGCACGCTTCACAGACAACAAGCCTGATGAGCTCAAGGAGAGCAAGGACTACCATGGCTGCTACCTTATCGGCCTTCAGAGAGCTGCAACTGTGCCATTGGCGCCCAGAAGCTACGGCGAGCGACAGGCGGTGAAACACTCCCTAGAGAAGGTCGTTGATAGATTTCTTACTTCGCTCAGAACAGACGAGAAGAATTACGATGCAACTTCCTCTTGGGTCAATGCTTCGTTGATCACACAGCACGATATTCAAGCCCAGGAGCTCCAGCTAGACGACCGCGAATGGGGCGATTATGCCATGGAGATCGAATCCGATTCAGACCTCGAAGAAGAGCTGGACGATATCGAACACGAGAATACTGAACTACCTAAGCTTTCGATCCGCTCCAAGCCTGTCTCAACATCAACACCCGTGTCAACGGCGAAGCTGCGCCCAGCATCTGATGTTCTCAATCGCCTACGCTGGGACCCAAACCTCGATCCGGCAGACTACATCATTGGCTACGAGGACCGTTTCCTTGGCGCGAAGGAGACAAACCTTGAGAAATGGAAAACGGAGCAAACCGACGAGGAATTCATCCCTCAACACCGTATCCTGTACTTCCGCAAGAAGTTTAACAATGAGAGTGACGGGAAAGGAGGACTGGTCTGGGAGCGTGCAACGAGAACTGACAAGATCTTTGGCAGTGGAGCTGGTGCCGTAGTGTAGAAGTTGGCTAGCCCAGTGCATGACTGCTATATATACATACTGTCTCTGGAGGTGATGGCCAAAAGTGTCGCTGGGGATGGCGTCAGTGTAGTGAATTTAGCCTAATTAGAATCTACAATATAAAGGCATGCCCGTGAGGCACTGAGAAAGATCGACTGGCTATTTCGCAGAATGTTGATGTACCTGTATTGTGGCCTCCGCGCTCAGATACCACTACGACTTCCCGAGAGCCCGACAACTTGTTGTTCTTCAGCAAAACCGCCGGCTACAGGCACGACTCGATTGCAGCCGGTATCGCCGCACTGATACGATTGACAGACAAGACCGGTGACTTCGCTGTCACAGCCAGCGACAATGCATCCCTCTTCACGCCTTCAAATCTCGCGACATACCGTGTCATTGTCCTGCTGCCAACTCAGGTGACTTCCTATCAAACAAACAGCTCGCTGCCCTGCAGAAATTTGTGCACTCAGGAGGTGGCGTTTTCTCCATTCACGGTGCAGCAGCCGGCATGCCATCCTCAGAATGGTACAGGAAACTGATTGGTGCACATTTCTGCATGCACCCCGACCCGGAGCCTGGTTCTGTCGTCGTCGTCACGAACGGCGTGAACCATATCAACCACGCAACCGGCGCTGATGGTCCGCCAGAGATGTGGATAGATGAGTGGTACTACTTTACTTCTTACCTGGCCGAGAATGACAATCTCGAGATTTTACTGGCAGGAGACACCAAGACCTTCAAAGGAGGCAAGCACGGGCCAAATCATCCACTTGCGTGGTGCCAGGAGCTCGAGAGCAGAAGGAGCGCGTAAATAGCTTTGGGCCACTTTGATGAAGCGTGGGTGGGAGAATAAGTGGTTCACCGGATGGGTAGAAAGAGGGCTTTCGTGGGCGGCAGGTAGAGAAGGGGAGATTGATTTTGTATACAACAAAAAAATCGATTAGTCTTGTCTAGTCTAGGGTATTGTGCGTTGAATGACGATAGTTGACAGAGCAAAGATATTCTGTGCGGAAACGAGCTTAGTGAGGTCCACCGATGGCGTTCCGTTCGTTGTACCACTCGAAAACCTCGTGCGCCTTCCTGACCCTATTCTTTGTAGCCAGAGGACTGAGAATCTTCAGCAGTAGCAGCCAAGCAGCGAGCACAGGAAGTGTGTACCGCAAGTCGTTGCATGCTCCTTGAGTGATGATCGTGATGAAGGTCTTATACCAATGCAGACTGGGGAAGAAGTAGTTGACGCGGTACCAGTGGTGGAGGATCTCGGTTGGGCCAAGAGCGCCTACGACGTTAAAGATAATCCACGTCAAGAACAAGAAAGGCACGAATTCCATAGGAACGAAACCCGTAATGATATCTAGCATGTCGAAGTTGATCATGTTGAAAACCCAAGTCACCGCCCAGAATGCAAAGAACATCTTCGCATCGATGTGGTAGCTGCCACGGAACGTGAAAGTCCAACCAACAACGCACAGACTGGAGAAGAGAGGCCAGACGGTACTCCAGAAGAGGCGAGCGACCATGTGTGTGCGTAGATCGTACGCAGCATATAGGTGCATGCCATTGCACACTCCATTCCAGGCCATAATGAAGAAGAACTGCATCACGATGGGCAGTACAACGCCGATGGTGTTTACAAAAGCCTTATCGTCGAAGTTGCCAAAGAGTTGGGATGCAGCGGGCATCTCGATAGCTCGGGCGGGACCAGCAAGAGCGGAAAGTGCAGCGGTAGTGTTTGCGTGTCCGCCGCTGGCGATGATAGGCGCAATGAACTGTGCGCTGAAGATACCAGATGCGGTCGATGCGGTGATTAGAGTCGTTGAAAGGATACTTGAAGCGTAGAGAGTGTAGTAGCGTGCGTCCAGAAGGTAGTATGTATAGACACTGCTGGGATCGTAGACGTGGGTTGAGCCGTTCACTGCGTCCTCGAAGCGGGCTGTCGCTCCTGACTCCACTATGATCGCAGCCCAGTAAGTGCCCTTAAATACCTCTTGTCTGATCTGCTCAGGCGATGAGCCAATAGTGTTGACGTCGACATAGGTAGGGTATCCGTATGAGCCGTTGGTACTCGCTGCTGAGTACCTCAAAGCCGTGCCGAAGTTACCACCGTCAAAGTCTGCCAACGCGACCTTCGCTTGGTGAGCGTATGCTCCTTGATTGTGAAACACCCCGTAGATGTGAGCTGCATTGATCCAGGACACGACCAGAATCATCGCAGCCGCAGGGATCAATGCTTTCAACATTTCCGCTACGGAGACATTGGGCCCAATGCGATTTTTTTTCCCAGTGATAGTCCGTGTCAACTCGATGGCAGGTTCTTGGTCGCTGGGGTAAGAGCCGACGCCCACGTAGGGGCCTTGCATCCCTGCAGTCATGGCTCGTGAAAGAAGTGCTGGTGATTATATGTTGATGGTGGTTGACTGGAAGTGAAAGGTTTTTCGTGAGGGTATATATATACATACTAGAGAAAAAAGTCTAGATAGGGGTTAAATTGTGAGCGGAGCTGTTGTACAGAGCTGTGAAGGTCACTGCTCGCGGTCCTATTTAATAGCGGATACCGGTCGGTACAGGCCAGCGAAAAGCTAAGCCTGGGCGCGGTTATTGTTCTTCATCGTCATCGGTCAACTCTATCAGCGGTTACCGAACTAGCGGTATGTGCAAAACTCTGGACTGCAAAGGTGTTAGAATTATGCGGATTCTTTGCGCGCCGTGTCGCTGAATTAGCTTGAGGCTGGTGGCCACATTGAGCGAGGAATGTCGGAGATCGGCACTGCTGGACCCCGACAGGCCCGAATTCGTCAGAATTTGCATGTACGGTCAATCTTTGAAGGCTTGGCAGCTTATTTTCAACTGGACTTTCGAAAAGGACGAATTTGTCTCTCATCTTGAACCAGCTCGTTCGTACGAGATCTTGCATGAGGCGCCCTTTTTACCTTATGCGATTTCCATCAATATACCGAACCTGTCCGCCTTTTTACGAGGCGGACGGCACGCGCCGATCACGACAATGACGATATCCTTGAGCATCAGTGGTGGCTAATATTATAGTGTCTCGCAACGATTTTTACAATAACGTTACTTTAAAATCGTGAGACTTTCTATCGCTTCTGGACAAACGTTATTCGGGAGGTGGAGGTGGGCACGCAACGCAACAGAACAATCCGAGGCCAACGAAATTGGTATGCATCATTAGTCACAATCGAGTACGAAAAGTGAATCGCAGGTAAACACTTGAGGTGTGCAACAAAAAGAGATAGATGCGGAACAGGCGAGGATGCATACGCCATGGAAACCTGTGAGCTTCCGCCGACTTGCACCTCTTTCTCTTCGTCGATAAGCGATGCGCTGCAATCGCAGTTCTCTATACTGCGCTTCATTCCGGATCATAGAATTTTGTCCACAGTCCTCGTTCTGTACTAGTCGTACATAGTCGTCCAAGAATCCTGCCAAGCTGTAGCTACTGGATGCCCCTCCGCAACCTCACAAGGGAGGCCAAGAACATCTCGACATGTATTGCACTTTTAGCAGTGCCACTGAGTCCAGCTTTTACATTTGCCACAGTTCCAGCATTGATACCGAGCTTCCCATCGAGCCAACTATTTGAAACATGCGTCCAGCATCGACATGATCTCGACCTCGTTCTGCATCAGCCCTGCATATATACCAGCCAAGGGAGCGAAGGCTGACCCGAAGTGTTCAGCCACCCGGATCAGGGTCAGGTCCAAAAACACGTGCTATGTTATCAGCAGACCAAATGCGTTTATATGAGCCCTCATGTAAGTAAGGAGAATCATACGTCTTGTGCATAGCAACGTTCGTATGCCTTACACCTCTTCGCTCTCGAAGGCGCTGAGTGGATGATGTAGCGATAAGGATCGTGGGGTCTCGTAAACAGCTAGGATCATTTTTACACGATTACTTTACGCAGGGCGCCCCTTACAATTCTTACTCATTCTGAAGACCGAAGCAGCAGTGAACACCATTTTGACATTCTCTAGTAGGTACTGTCACTGAGTCGCGGTAATGAGTATCGCAGGATTTACCTACAATATGGCGGAGTGTCTATGCTTGTGACGGTCTTGTCTTGCATGTCACCTCCAGACACTCACAAGCACTCACAATGGCTCTTAGGCGGTCTCTTTTACAGTTCCTTACCTTCTCTAGCGCAATTCCACTTGCAACAAACAAGCCGGCATTGATACTAGTACCTGATGCCTTCCATCGAGCTAGTGTGTACGATGAAGTCAAAGCGCAGCTCGGTGCCGCGGGCTACGGGCATATCAGTGCAGTTGACTTGCCTTCTGGGGACAATGGTATCGCGGACGTCGAGAGGACAGCAGATAACAACATCGTAATCGGCTTGCTTGAGACTAGACTCAAGAATGGCGAAGATGTCATCCTGGTCGGCAGCAGTTATGGCGCAACCGCGATCATGGAGGCTGTGGAAGACTTCGAAGACCGCAGTGCAATATTTGTGCCGGAGAATACAAGAGGAGAAGGCCAAATCTTGGGGCTGATCATGGTTCGTTTCCAGGCACTTGCCCATGGTCTGACAACGACACTGTACTTACAAACATCAGCTCTCTGGTTACATTCCCACCGTCGCCGAAGTCAACCACGATCCATCTCGCCCATACATTCGCGGCATCGGTGCGCCTTTCTTCAACTATCACCTCTCTGCCACCGATACTCCTACCACTGTTACCTGGGCTCTCGATCTGGTCACATACACACCCCAAATCACATTCTACAACCTGCTCGATGCCCCGGAAGCAGACTATTGGACATCGCCACAAAAAGCCTGAGTTGGAAACGAGAGCACGGATAAAATTGAAGGTGATTCTCGGAGATCCTGTCGAGTATCTCAGACAATAGGCTTTGGCGTTCCTTTATTTGATTCCTATGTGAGCGATTGCAGGATTTCGCCGCTCGAGCACGATAAAGGCATTCAATACAGAATCACAAGGTTGCTCCGTAGGGCTCCACTCGTGACCACTGCCTGCACAGGCTACACTGTGCAGATGTTGAGGAGCCAACAGGGGAGTGAGGGCACGAGAACAAGCTGCATGCTCTGCCGCAAAGTGAGACTTGCTTCGGACATGATCAGCTCGTGTCGAGTTGCGGATCGTCAACCCAGGCGTCGCTATAGAAAGGTTATTGTTGTGAAATAATAGATATGAACGGTTTTTCTGAAGAGAGAGCCACGTCATCTAGGTGGTCTTGGGAGCGCAGTCTTGAAGGTGAATTGCCTTGGGAATCAAGCCAGTTGCCGTTTTAAAGCCCGAAGTTAGCAGCATTGATTATTCATACCTGAAGAGTAGTCACCTCTGCATGTGAAGGTGCATTGCGAACGCCTGCGTGAGACTTTGGAAAGTTCCGTTGTCAGATTCTAGGCGATAAGCAGATCTGAGACATTGCAAAGATCCGGAAGCTGCTACTGTGGACCCTCAGCCGTGGAGAAGTGTCCGCGTACATTTAACAGCACTGTTGGGAGAAAGACAACGTCTCCCGCCCTAACGTGGCTGCGGAAGATCGTAAGGGATTGATTGTATCGTCACCATAGAATTAAAAAACAAAACCCGTGTGGTGGGTCGGGTTCGGCTAAGGAAGAAGCTCATCAGGTGCTCGTGAGCAATCGAGACAGCTGGTTGGATGGATGGCCGCATCGGGGGTGGAGAGGGATTTCCCATGTCTGCGTGAGGGTTATGCATACCGGTACAGCGGCATTCCGTCGGAACGGTTGAACATTGCCCGTGGTAGTTCTTCGCGTGCCGATTAGGATGCTCCGATGCAGCGAAGAGGTAATTAGTGCAGCCCGCGCTCAATCAGGTCATGCTATTGACTTGCATGAGCAAGCAAGGCAACGCCAGATAAGGTTGTATACGGGGTTTTAGAGCCCAAGTCCAAGTTGTGCTTGAGATGCTTGACAACGATTGGTGGACGAGAGCCCCGCGATCTGCTTGGAACTGGGAGCGTTCGGGTAAGCGGGCATGGACCGCGGAACCATGAAGGTGACGTGGAGTCTGGACTTATCCAAAAAGCAGTTGGTGGTTTCCTCGCCCACACTGAGAAACAAGTAATGCTCGAACTTGTGACTTGCAACGGCACCCCGCACTGCACTGAGTCCATTTGCTCGTCACACAGCTGTGTCATTCCCGATGCTCAACACCACATCCTCGTATGCTCAAGGAGTGGCAATCGACACCTTGTCAAGGACTTCATCCAAAGAGAGGAGAGGGGCGCTGCGCCGAGATCGATTTCCGAGGGATGAGGGCCGTTGCCGAGTGGCCAGTGGCCACAGGCATCAGCGCGATCCTGCAGCTAAGATCGGAGCTAGGAAGACTGTCGCTGCCTTCCCCTGTTCAGATTCGGCTGTCCATAATGTGAGTATGGTTCGCAGGCTGATAGCTCTATGTCAACCCTCCTCTGTAGATAATATGTAAACAGATGCATCTGTGGTGCGATATTCGAACAATGAGACCTTGGGCATGAGTGGACATGTATCGACGGGTCCTCAAACCGAGCTCCTCTCGTACCGTTTCAACTGTGAACAGTAAAGATGATGCATGCTAGATGACCAATGAGCTGGATGGCTTGCACGGTTAGAAACCTATTGCAGTCTTTGCAGATGCTGTGCAGATGCTGGACGAGGTTGCACCAAATTAACCGAGGCCCTAGAACACGAGGTGTTTGCTGAGACAGATCGCGTGCGTCTGAGGAGCTAAACACACAGCACTTAATTCATTTACTGCTGTCATGTATGTCCTCAAGCGGTCAAGGCCGGTTGCTATCCAATTCTGTGACAACGGAGAAAACTACCGCGATCCTTTGCACAAAAAGGCTCAGATCTCTCATCCTTACTGCCGGTGAAAAGAGTCCATATCGGGCTCCACAGCGGGATGGATGAATCTGACGTAGCCCCAATCTTACCCCATCGCAGAAAAGCTCTGTTTCGGCTTCAACCCCTGCCGTTGGGGTGCTTTGGGGCCCAGCATTAGGGCGCAGCCAACCGTATCGGATCCCCTGTGTGACGTACATCCTCACAAACAAAGCCTAGAGCAGAGAGAATTGCTATTCACCCGTAGCACCCGTAGCATTCCAATTGCGATCGTACGGTAGCAGTGTGTCATTGCTGGCGCGAGGCTTGCTGTAGCCATAGGGAGGGAAACGGTGCGGTTGCCGTCCCTGGATCTCTTGGGCGGCTTGAGATTATTTGCCGTCCTGTGGAACATGAGTGAAGGAGGCCAAGCTCCGAGCAGACGGAAGGCGCGTTCTATCCAATTGCAACTGGAAGCTTGAAGTCTCCGTGTCAAATCGCTGAAAAGCCCGCAGGAAAGCCTTCGATCGGATCAGATCGGCACTAACCACATATTGCACTCGCCTATCTGCAATCGATCTCTTCATGGGACTCCCCTGCCTCTCGATCAAACTAGACAGCGGGTCTGTCGATTTTGCTGCATGGCAAATTGTCTCAGTTCTTGCAGAGCTGCAGGCTCACTCGCAATCCTGACCTTACCCCCTTGCGTTCCCTCGCAGCACGGGTAGAGTTGGGTTACAATTAATAGCCAGTCATTACCCCACACCAGCTTTGTGGGCAGTTTAAGTTCCGCTCGCTACCTGGAGTTATCCTGCCGGTTTCGGAAGAGCTCACGCCAAGGGCGAACGATGGGCCTCTGGACCTTATCCCGTGCAATGTGGGGATGGGTTTCGAGTCTTTCTGGTGGCCACCGGTCATGCAAATCTGCGCTGCTTTTTCTCTCCTGAAGCGCTTAGCGAAGTGGCCGGTTTGAGTGTGTTCGAACATGGACGACAATCACAACAGATTTCGGCGGTAACATGACTGAGGCTGTGAACTGGAGATCAGCGCTTCCAGAGCTGTGACCTTTGTCAGCTCAGTGGCGAAACGCTCTGTTACCGTTATTTAGTGGATGAAAGTCGCCAGACGTCATTCGCCGAAAGCTTTCTTTTCACTGCCACCTCGTTTATCGTGGGGAAGGTGCTACAAGATCCTAGCGTGCTTATATCGCTGTTTAAGCCAACGAGTGCGTGGTGAGCCGTCTGATCCATGTCTGTATTGTTGCTAGGCGTGGATGCCGAGGAGCAGCCACCTGCCCCTCCCCACTTCGCCGCCGACCTGCAGCCCGAAGCTGTCTAGGCGGCGGACTGGCGCCGGAAACACACGCGCCCTCGCTGGTTGGTTTAGGCCGCACAGCAGCGGGAGCGCTCTTTATCAGTCCCTCTCCTCCCCCGACGTGAGGTTCAAAATTCTGGCCCTGTTGTCCTTCGAATCGTTTGAGACACCTCAAGCAACCGTTGCGCAAATCACCTTTCCTTATCAACAGACAAATCAGCGCGAGCGGTAACACGTTCGCCCTCACTTGTAGATCCATCCCGCGTGCTTAGCACACCCTCTTCAACCACTTCGTCGTTGGAAGCAATCGTCTGCGGTACTGCCAGGTACACACACGATCAGCCTTCCGAAGGAGACAGTCAATCCAATTGTGTCTGTTCGGACCCATTTGCCAAGAGGGATTTCAAGATTCGATCTGATCGGCTCGGCTTATCCGCGAACATCGACACTTCTGAGCATCGCGACCCGCGCACGTTGCTCGATTACCAGTCCCAGGCACTTCGGCCACTTCCACCAATTTCCGAACCTTTTGGGCTTCGCTCCATCTCTTCCCGCTGTTACTTAATCGCGAACCCTGTTCAGGACCCGTGCCTGATCGATCTCTTGTGTTGTGATACGCAGGGTCTTCACTCCATCGCCCTCTGCCAATCGGCGCAACAATCGTCCTTTGGGCCCCCCAGTCGTCCCGCGTCTGGCTAGTACTACCGCCACTTCTCCTCCTTCCATCCTTGAACTGTCTTTGCCCTTCACGCTTTCGGCGCTTTCGTTGGGCGTAAATTATCTTTGTCACCTGTCAAAGTTTGGTTCATTTCACGGTCACCCAAGGTTCCTTGCCGCCCCCGCCCCCCCCAAACGAGCACTATATTTTAGTCACCTCACACCGACACAAGTCATCGCTATGCCAGCGGAGCGTAGATCCTTTACGTCGACCAGACCGGTCAAGACAGAGCGTACTCACGAAGAAAACCAAGAACGGTATGTTATTGTCCACACTATTCGACGTTCGTCGCTGATTTCCGGATAGAGCCTACATCGCTGCTTCTCGTCGCAGCGACCGTAGCTTAGAGGCACGCATTGAGTCTGCGAGAAGAGCCTCTGAAATTCACAAGAAGCGCACTGGTCGCGCCTTGCGAGTTACTGAGCAAGATGTCATCAATGAAGAGATGTACGAAGAGGAGGATGATGATCTGCCCACTCAGTATCAAAGGTTGAACGCCCACTTGCACACAACCTCTGTCATGTTTAACAAGAAGCTGCACGACTACATTGCGACACAGCATGGTGTTCGAAACATGTTCATGTCGCAATACCAAAACCAGCAGTTCCCTCCTCAGTATGGAGGTCAGTTTGCACAGCAGAACAATGGCGCCTTCCCCCAGACGAACAACTGGCTAAACCCTACCATGATGCCTCCCCAGCCGTTCAACCAACAGACACCACAGTCCTTTGCTCAACAGCAGGCACAGGCATCGCAGCAACAGGGAGCTCGCACATCGCCATATCATGTTCCTCAGCGACCACATCAGCGCTCAGCGTCCATTGCCGTGCCAGCCTATGACGCCTCCTCGCAGCAGGGTACCTTGACGCCTCAGGACGCACGCAGAATGTCATTGCCAGCTGGCGATGACTTGTCTCGACCTGCCTTGTCTCGCGGATCCTCTTTCGCACAACAGCAACCTACCTCGCCATTCACCGATGGGGCATCACCTATATCCGGATCCGGTCAGCGAACGCCACAGCTCCAGGCAGACAGCGAGACCCCTATCTCAACCGTCAGTCCAATGAACTTCTCAATGGGCTCGCAGATGCTCAGCGGCAATCCTCTTTCAATGGCGTTGCCTGCTGAGTCACAGCAGTTCATGGGTTCAATCCTGGATCCCAATGATCCTCGCACTTCCATGTTCATGAGCGGTAGCGAGCACATACCGCAGCCTTTCGCCCCGACATACACCTACAACCCCAACTACTCTCCAAAGGCCCTGAAGTCGGGCAGCAACATGACCCTCAGCATGCCCGACTCTGGTCTGAAGTCAGAAGATACAGAGGACTCTTGTGCGCCCATCTCGGCAGGCATGTTCACAAACGACCCCTTGTTCACGCCCGGTAACGAGAACTACGCAGCGTTCTTCGACTTCGGGTCAAGCGATTTTGCTCAGTCTGGCGATGAGCAGAATCTCAACAATGACCAGCTCGTTGACGGTTCAAGCTTTGTCAATTGGGACAGCTAGTACTGAACTTTCTCTTTGACCCTCGTCGTTTGCGTTCATATGCGATTTTGGTGTGATCGCGGTTTCTGTATGCCACGCTTTTTGGTACGCGTTGGGTATCGTTTCGATTCACACACATTTCCAGATGGATCCGAGCGATACCCTTATTGTTGTCTATAGTAACGAAGGTCACGAATCTTTCATCGGTGTCTTGGCGTAGATGTTAAAAACGACACACCGCGTGCTCATACATCGGCGCTGTCAGGTCGCGTTGGAGTGGATTCTCCTCTCGCCCAACCTTGTGTTGAGGTATTTGGATAAATAGCATTCATCCGCGCATCCAATAATAGATTGCTTACCATTGGTCCTTTCCCTACTCCAGCCTCACCGTGATGTCGAATAACTTGTGCCCGTTCCCGGAACAGAACTTGATTTGAATTCTCTCGGCTACCGTCTCTTCTTGCCTGCGAAAGATAGGGCCTATGGATCTTCTGCCTGCAGGTCAGTACGCATAGTGCCACGGAGGTTTTCTGGGCTGCGGTTTGATACCGGTGGGGCAGGTTCATCGCGACCTTGCCAGGACCGTCTGCCACGTTGCCTACCAGAACTCTTAACCGTTTTGAACGGAAGTATGTAGTCAGTAGCTTACTTGACATGTGTAGTACCACTGGTTCAGAGTTGTCGCAACGTAATGCTCGACTCTGGTTCGCCTATCATGGGGACTACCGTATGTGGTTGTCTGCATTCAATACAGACGGTCTGATTGTGATCCGGTACAACGTGAAACTAGGGTAGACTTGGGCACCTACGCATCTGGAGAATGCGATGCCTCCAGCAGCTAGAAAGTATCAGAGCTACCAGAGACAGCTGCGTACATGTGACTATTGTACCAAGCATTGCAGGCTGCGGTTACTGCCGTACGGACCGTTGGAGAGGTGTAACACGAGCACGTACAATCTCCTTCCTCCAATCGCACATTAGAGCGACATCGCACATTATCACACAAAACAAATGAGGTATGTTTCTGAGAGTAGCGGCCCCACAAGTAGCCCTGGGTCGAGGTGCATGCCATGGGCGCGCCGCGTTGGACTTCCGCCGGTCTTCGCACCTTCCTCCGTTCTGCACAACACTCTGGCAAAAATAGCGTTCACAAGGCAACACCAACCGCGTCAGCGCAGGCCCTCGGTCTTCCGCATCGAAACCAATCTACGCGAACCTATTCCGTATCAAGATCTCAGATTCAATGGCCTGGAAGGCTAGCGCTGCAGGAGGCCTATTCGACCTATCGCGCAGCAATCGTGCAACACTGCCCCTAAAGCAGCTCAGTCTCTGGTACCTGCATTCGTGCGCCCACAAGCCTACCAGTACGCCTTGACTGCACTTACGAGTCGATAGACCCAACTCCCTCCGCAGCTTCATACGGCGAACGTTAAACGCTAGAGGCGTCCACAACGTGCGTCGATGAGTGCAGCCTTAGCGCGTGAGAACCTGCTATCGCACGCTATCGAATACCGCACCCTCACAGCCCACACACGTTCCGCCTGCACGAGTCGTGGACAGTCATTTCTGCCCGGCCCCCATAATTCCTCTCGTAAATCTAATTTTTTTAATGAGGGCCTGACGAGCGGACTTTGGTCTCAGCGATAAAGGAGTAGTACTTCGATCTTGTGCAGCTGTGCACGCAAGACGGCTGCATACTGCCTACCTCCCGGCAGAAGGCCTCGAAATTGGCATCTGTCATCCTGCATGTCAGGTGTCTCGTCAGGTGCTCGTCACACCTCGGGGATGAATTCGACCGACTTGCAACATTGTTGGAGTATGCTATCTCGGCGACGATCAACATCAGATCATGGCTCTGTAACTACGCTTTGCCCAGAACATGAGACTTGCGGACATCGCCACCCTCAACAGTGGTAGGTGCCGTTACTTGAGTGCTATACTGCTCTTTGATTCCGTCAAGCTTTCCCTTCTTGTATACACATGCACGACGGGTGGCGCAGACCGTACTGCTGTGTAACTTCTGCAGATGTCCTTGCGGATCGCTCTGCCACTCTGCAGATTGACTTCTGGACCTTCGAGTACTCGTCACACCTCCAACTAAATGGATCCAAGCAGATTCCATCCTTCAACATCCTTGAGTGCAGCAATAGACGGCTCTGCATAGCTGCATCACCACATGCTTGCGGCATTAGCATCTGAATGCTGGCGAAGGCTAAACGGAGGCCGTTTAGTGTCCAACACCATCAGATCCGTTAATCAGGATAGGTTGTGTACGATAGCCCAAAGCACGATCCCGCGTTGTGACCTTGTGTACGAGCCCGACGGAAGACTGCACACAGTGCGAGACCATCGGTCGAGGCCTTGACCAGACTACCATAATGCTCGATCGCTGGCTGTATATAAATATATAAAGACTGCTTCGAGGGAGACTAAATATCCAAGCCTCTCCGCTGCAGGTGTGTCCGCTGACACTTTCTCTCGTTTTTGACACTCGTTTCTCGACTCTCTTCAGACAAGAACAACCATCATTCAAAATGAAGCTCGCTACTTGCATGCTCCTGGCTACTGCCGTTGTGTTGACTACTGCTGAGCGTACGCCGTGTAAGTTGACATTGACTCTCGAGCTTAACGAGAGCCTCATCTGCTTCGCATAACCTGACTGACCATGATCAACAGTGCGCTTCCCGCATGTTCACCCTCGCCAATACTATGCGCCTCCACCTCCATATTCTCCGCCAGTTGCCAGTAGCACCTTCAGCGAGGACTTTCCGCCTCCAACATTGTCCTTCCCACCAACTGGAATCCCGTCTTCGACGGGCATCCCGTTGTCGAGCAGCCCTGCCAACTCCACAGTTCCAGTGTCCTCAGGGCTGTGGAACTCGACTACCATCCGCAGCACCGTTGTTGTCACCAGTAGCATCGTGATTACAGTCACGCCCTCGTCCTCCATACCTGTCGTTACGAGCACAAAGTCAGTGACTGCCACTTCCTGCAAGCTCACCAATGAAGGGTTGATCTGGTGTACTAACCTCTCGCCTTCCAGCACACCCCGACCGACCACTGGTACCTTCACGGATGCCACCTCGGTCAGCTTCGGAGTTGATACTTCGACTTCCCGGTTCGGCCCTCCCATCAGCTTCTCGACTGGCGTCTCCCTGTCGACTGGAGTGTCGCTGTCCACTGGGCCTTCTTCCTCGTACCTGCCGTCCACTACGCCACCGTATGGTAACGGTACTAGCTCAACCTATAGCTGGGGTACGGGCACCGCACCGCCTGCTTCCTCAACGCCCACGTCTCCCTCCAACACAACGACCTCAAGTGGCTACTACGGTCCTCCAGCGCCATCTAGCACGCCAAGCTGGAACACGACAAGCTCAACTCCGACTAACACATTCACCTTGCCGACCGACACCAGCACCGAGTCCACCCCCACTCCATCATCAAGCACAAGCTGGTCCTACACCTGGCCCTCCTACACCTACTCCTCCTACACCCCGTCAGAATCCTCGAGCTACCTGACAACACCAACACCCACTTCAACACCCATCTACTACTCCTCTTACTCATCGTCAGTCCCCGACGTCCCGTCATCCATCACCTTCGAGTTCCCATCCGGCTCCAGCTTCACCTTCAGCATCCCCACACCTTCGTCTGTCCCGCGCTCATCAACACGGTCAACGCCCCGCCCATCCCCATCACTCTCCTTCTCCTTCCCAAGCTGGCCACCAGTCTTCACCCCCTCGCCCTCACTCTCACCCTCGCTCTCGGCCTCGAGCTCAGCCCCACCCTTCCTGCCTCCCTCCCAATCCACGCCCGCATCCTCGAGCTCGAGCGCAGTGCAGACGACAAACACCCTGTCCGACGCAGTCCCGACGTCCTTCGGCTCGAGCACAAAGAGCGCATACGCTCCACCCACTCGTTCCTTCACAGACGGCACGTTCTCGTCGTGGGGCCCGCCGACTTCGACACCCACATCTACACCCCCAGTCTACCCGCCGTACACGCCGCTCCCCCCACCCTCGACATTCACAGACGGCACATTCTCCTCCTGGGACCTGCCGACGTCTACACCCACGCCCTCCACCTTCAGCACGCTCGTCAGCAGCTCCAGCTCCAGTGCAAAGGAGAGCGAGACGGAAGGGTACTACGGGCCCCCCGCCCCTTCTTCTCCTCCTTCCGCTTTCCCCGATACAGCCAACGTCGACGTTGATGCTGTCCCGCACGCGCGGAACAAAATGCACCGCCTGGCGCCGCGACAGAACCGCGTCGACAACGGCGGCATCGCCGAGGATATGAGGGCGGACGGTGTGTCAGGTGTCACGCAGGACGCGTCAGAGAAGAAGAGCGCAGTGAGTTTCCCCATCCTCGGCGGTGCTATGGGACGGACTGCTGACGCGGCGTAGATGGTGCAGATGTGGTTTCTGTGACTGCATGGCGGAGCGCGGATCCGTGCACACGCCGCTGGATGATAGCTGGGCGACGTGAGATGGGTGGGTCGTGGCGATGTCACGCTGCGCGACTGTGCCGAGTCTGTCTCGGGTTTTTTTTTCTTTCTTTCTCGACGGTCCTTCTAGACGGCTGTGCTACTCTTCTAGTTACTTGTTTCATACTGCGCTTCGATTTGGGCGTCTCAAGAGCGCCAGGGGGTTCGGTGGGTGGTTTGCGGGGTTTGTGGTCAGTAGAGTCGAATACAAATACATACGCTACATGCGTCTCGCTCTGTTCAGCGCTGCTCGTGATGCGGCTCAGGGGCCTCTGGAGTCCTTGACACGTCCTCGTCAGCGGCGAGGAGATAGCGTTGGGTCGTTCGTTGTGCGTGATTCGTTCTGTCTCATTCATCTCTATAGTACAGCTCTTGCTGCATCCCAGCATCCAGAAAGATAAAGAGCCGCGAGGCTCATACAGACGCCCGTGGCCATGCAGTATGTGGACTTTTCCCATTGCTCACAGCTCGTCATGATCTCGGAAGCAGCCCAAACGCCTGACTTTTGCATCAATCCGCCGTATCCGCAGGTCTTCCTTCAACATATATCACCCTCCAGAGTCGTCCTCTAGAGTCGGAGCCTGCTGCCTCCTCCACATCAGGTGGTATTCTATCGTCCCTTGTATCCTACGCTCACTTCGCTACCGCGGCGCTCAGGACCTGTGTTCTGAAGAAGCCACCCTTTGTCCGCTCGATGACCTGTTGGTAGACGCTCTGTGGCGGGTGGTTCATAACGACTGTGCCGGCCTGGTAGTCGATCTTGGCGTCGACGCGTGTGTCGCGGATCAGGTTGACGATCCACTTCTCGCCCTCGTCTTGCGACAGGCCGAGGCGTGTAGAGAGGTCCCTAGAAGGGGTTAGCATTTGTGTAACATTCCTTTCCGATTCTGCTGTATAGTGCCTCGCCACGGGCGGCACTCGCACGCTCGATCGACTTACTTGATGTCAATCCTCTGGTGGATCTTGCAGTAGCTCTCGGAAATCAAATGCCTCGCGGCATCGACAAATGTGTCGGCAGCACCGAGCAAGAAGAAGTCGTTCTTGAGAATCTCCTCGGTCTCGCTGAGCTTCTTCTGGGCCTCCTCAAAGTCAAAGTCGATGTACAGGGCCTTGATGAAGTCGGTGACGGGGTCGGTGTACTCATAGCCCTCCTGCCTGACGATGCGGATCAGGTCCTTGAGCTGGCGCTGGTACTGGTTCGAGTTGCGGGCGCGGTTGCGGCCGGTGATGACGGCGGCGGCCAGGTAGCGCAGGATCCACGGGCAGTTTGTCTGGATGGTGTTGATGTAGGCGGGGGAGAAGAACATGTCGGTGAGCGACTCACGGGCGGAGTCGTCGTTGAAGAGGGGGAACAGCGACCAGTGGATCAGCCAGGTGCGGTGCTGCAGCTGGGCCAGCGGGTTGCTGAACAGGCGCGTGTCGATCAGCTCCTTGATCTTGTTGATCTCCTCGATGGCGGCCTCCCAATTGACTGACAGGATCTCGCAGGCCAGCTTGCCCCAGGTGGCCTCGCGCTCGCGGTCGTTGTCGGTGGTCTGCGCGGATTAGCATTGGTTTCGGCACGTGTCGCGCGGTCATCGTACCAGGACGCGGAAGCGGTACAGCAGCTCGGCGGCGTGCGGGTAGGCGCCGCTGCTGTACTGGAATTGGCCGAACTCGTATAGGCGGTTCACGTCGTCGAGGGTGACGCCGTGGCTGTCCTTCAGGTACTGCAGGTTCTGCGCCTTGTCGGAGCGCAGGTTGGTGACGACGCTCTCGTCATCCAGCAGCTGCGAGATCTTGGCGGTCGCAGCCTCGAGCTCGTCGCGCTTGCTCAGCACCTGCTCGCGCTTGGCGGTGAACTCGGCGGGCACCTCGTCGAGGTCGTGCACCTCCTGGTGCAGCTGGCCGACGAAGTCGGTCATGTTGGTCGGGCTAAGCAGCGCCAGCAGCAGCTGCTTCTGCTCGGGCGTCTGCTCGGCGTCCTCGTCGCTGCTGAAGTTGAGCAGCGGGAACAGCAGGTGGCGGTCGAGGTTGGGCATGAGCTTCGGCAGCAGGCTGTGCTGCTCGGCGACGGAGCCGGGGGCGGGCGCTGCGTCGGCCATGGTGGGCAAATGGGTGGTGGCTTGCGTCGCGGCGGTCTGGCGGGCGCGGGTGCGAGGGCTGGCGGCGCTGTGTGGGCGGCGGTGGTGGTGGTGGGGTCGCGGAGGAAATTTGGTGACTGTGCGTAGCGAGCACCCCTGCGAGCGCTAGCTTTTGGTGTTGCAGTGCGGACCAGCGACGCGACGAGCGCAGCAGCCACCACCACCACTCCAGAATGCAGCCCGCCATGTCGCTCCTGCGCGCCTTCGCCGCCCCGAGGCCCGCCGCATACCGCTGCGCCGCCCGATACAGCACCGCGCCGCCCTCGCTCACATCCTCCAGCGTGCGCGCCGCCGACCTGGCCGCCGTCGAGGCCGTCACAGAGTCTGACAGCGCGCAGCCGGGCGCCGAAGACCCTCTGCGCCCTGCGCACACGAGCCCCCCGTCAAAGTCGAAGCTGCTCAAGGACGCAGCGAAAGCCAGGCGGACCGTCCCCTTCACACCAGCCACAGAACCCCAGATGCCGCTCTCGCCGCCCAGATATCACATCGCCCGGTCGGCAAACAGGAACCTGCCCGTCTACACAGACTACAAGCGCGGTGGGAATCTGCACTTGACCACAGTACGGAAGGTCACAGGCGACCTGCAGGCGCTGCGGGACGAGCTGAGGTCATGGTTGGCGAAGAAGGACGAGGACGTCAAGATCAACACCCTGACCCAGCAGGTCATTGTCAAGGGGCATCACAAGGAGACGGTGGCCGACTTTCTGAGCGCAAGGGGGTTCTAGACGTTTGCTTGGAAGGAAATATGAAGGATGAGACTTGGGGAGCACCACCAGCGTCTCCTCTCGCCCGTGACATGGATGGTTCTGGCTCGGAGAGGCGAGCCGTTGTTATATTACATGTACAAGAGCTACGTTTGGCACTGCACCGTCGGCATTTGGCATCGAAGGCGCTGTATAGGAAGGAACATCACACATGCCACCAAGTTTGGATCATTGGAGCCTAGCCTCAGTCGACTTGACTACTATCTCGCTTTTACTGACATACGCGGACTATGGCCGGCATGTGGCTGTAGTGCTATCAGTGTACCATAGATCCCGTGGGAGCTTCCAGGTGACACCCAGATACCTCCAAGAATCGTCATCCGCCTCCGACGTACTCATCGCAATCGACCAGTCCGAACTCATTTCGCCAGAGTAGCCGCCCAATATTGTGTCTTCAGCTTTGCATCCTCAGGATGCAAGTCGTCCTCCGTGGGCGCATCTACACCTGATGGCAGGTAATCTGCGGCATGCCTCTCATCCAGACGATCAAGCAATGGTTAGGGTCCACGTCGCCAGCAGCGAGCGCGTCGCCGCCAGCGACCTCAGGAACCTGGCAGACCATGAGTGGACCCACACCGCCCTTGTCCACGACCTCGCAGTCGCCCATGCCATCGACAGCCTCGCCTTCGGGCAGAGAACCGATGTCCTCGATGAGTGCGCCCTTGACATCGCTCGTGGCCCAGCAGACCTGGCGACAGTTGACCTTGCCGCTGCAGACCCACATGCAGTCCTTCTCGCGCTTGTTGTCCTTCGTGCCCACGGTAGTGATGACGGTGGTCATACCCTCTTTGAGGGGCACGCCGAGCTTGTCAGGCTGCGCGTCAGTGAGGTCCAAGAGGTCTGCAGTGTCAATGTTAGTGGCGACCTCGGCGTCGTCGACTACGGCAGAGGGTGGGCGGCTGGGGTTTGTGCAGAGGAGACCGCAGTAGGCGTGCGTGCAGATGACGATGCAATAATTTTTGGGAGGCTTCGCACCTGCACGGCTGTCCAAGACCTGCACTTCGACAGCGGTGTTGTCGTTGGTGAGCTGAGTGACGGTGTGGTCGGTGACGCCAGGGAAGGCGTCAGCCTGGCATGGCTTACACTAGACCCTCGTTAGATCGCTGCGCAGGGATGAGGGAGGGTACAAGGTGCTAATCACCTCGCTGTTGTAAGAGTTGCACATAAGCGCGCGGCAGTAGTCGAGACTTATTCGCAGGCGCGTGCAGCGCGCGAAGTCGGATTCGCAGTCACGGACAACGGCGTTGTCGAGGGCTGAAGGTCGGGCTGGGATGGCAGTGACTGTCACTGCGAGGGAGATAAGAGGGACGAGCTTGGTAAGAGAAGTGAGCAACATGGTGTTGGCTTATCGGCGTTGTGATTGTTGTGACTGTTGTGATTGTTGTGACTGTTGTGATTGTTGTGACTGTTGTGATTGTTGTGATTGTTGTGATTGTTGTGATTGTTGTGATTGTTGTGATTGTTGTGATTGTTGTGATTGTTGTGATTGTTGTGATTGTTGCGAAAGGTGTTGGTGTTTGGTGTCATAGGTGGTGGAGAGAGTAGAGAGGGAAAGCTTTTGAGGGCAGGCACGAGACGATTCGCGGCTGCCGAAATGAGACACGTGCGGTGAAGGCGAAGGCCTTCTATTTGTTGTGGTCACCACAGGGATGGGTACCTGTCCTCCACTTACTCTGCCCTGCTGATGTGTCCCATCTCCATAAAAGGTGCGCACATACTCTTATTCTGGCAGTCCTACTACACGCATCAACCACAGCAACTCCAAGAAGGCCATTGCGCGCCTCGCAAGCTAGCAATATGAAGTGAATCACCCCTTTAGCATGCCGAAAACATCCTTAATACGCTACACATTCAGTCAGTCGAGCATGTTGACAGTCCAGGGGGGCAGCGGCCTCAAGACCGAGAGCTTCGCAGTCCACGAATCCTTTCTCACATCACGTTCTGAGTACTCCAAGCGTGCTTTGAACAGCAACTGGAATGAGGCAACAACTCGCGTCGTTCCATTGACTCATGAGGAACCAGCTGTCTTCGCGTTGTATCTCAACCACCTCTGCACTGGGCGATTACCAACGGTGCAGAAAAGCAGACAAGAGCTAGGCGCGATGCAAAGATCAGCAGCTATCCGTTTCCTCAGGGAAGAGCTCTACCAGCTGGCCCGCGTCTATGTTCTTGCAGAGCGACTGCAGGACATCACCGCGAGAAATGCTGTGACAGATGCATTTGTTCATGTACATAACGGGTACTTGGCACCGACCCCTTCCGCTCTAGTAATCATGCTCACCTTCGACAGTACTCCCCCAGGACGCCCCATTGGGCGTTTGTTAGTTGATTCATGGGCTCATAAGTCTCTGCTGTATGTACTAGAGAGAGCGTCGCAGTTGCCCAAAGACTTCCTGAATGATCTTGGCTTAGTGTTGGAGAAGCACCGCATCTTTTCTAGAGTATTGACTCAATGTTTGTGGTCATTTCACTATATAGAGGCAGAGACCGCAGCAGGAAGCCAGGACGCTCCAGTTGTGACCCCAGTCTGACTCTGACCCAGCTGTTGAAAAAACTTTCGACGTGCCTGAAGCATTATGTCTGTTTACGTATTGATTTATTGCAAATATTAGCATTGGTGCACGCAACCCTTAAATCTCTTCTTCACCTTCACTTGCCACAAAAGCCGAGTCGGGCGGTACTCACAAACTTTTGCTGTCTTCTTCTGCGCTTCCTAATCTCCTTCAACTTTCATCGCATATCTCCTCGTTACCCCCTCACAACTGTTGGTCATGGCGATCCCAGTCAAGTCGACGCGCGTGTCGCAGAGCAGCGCAATAAGGTACGTTCGGAGCCTAGACGCAATCAGCACCTCCGACTCGATGCTGACTCACTTCACAGCTTCGATCCTTCCTCCACGTTAATGATTCGAGTCGGACCCGCCACTACTTGCAAACCCTTCCTCATCCACGAGTCTTTCCTCACTGCTCGCCACGAGTACTTTCGCTGCACGATGAACGGAAGATGGGCAGAGGCAAAATACCCGCACCATCGACCTGACTGAGGATGATCCCGAAACTTTCGCCTTGTATCTCAATCACGTCTACAATAATCAGCTTCCCATCACCTCTCTCGACGAAAGAGAGCTCTCCACAATGACGCTTGAGGCGTTCACGGTCCAGATAAACGAGGAATACTTGCAGCTTTTCAGGCTTTACATACTTGCAGAAAAATTGCAAGATGTAACAGCTAAGGACGAGGCTGTCAAGGCTGTTTTCCAGCTCGGGTCCACACGTGGATGTCAAGACAGAATACCGATTGTACCTTATACATCCGTAGTCAAAGTGATCTACAGTGGTATTCCAGACAAATACTGTCTAAAGAGACTCATCGTGGGCATATAGACCGATGTCGGATCGGAAACGCTGGCAACCTATGTAATATACCGGTACCTGCCAAAAGGTTTCCTTGCCGTACTCCGTAGCTCTGAGACGCAAAGTAACCAATCAGTCTCGAATTGGCTTTGCCACAAACGGTCTCGCTGCCTACCTGGAGGTCTCAAAGGACTCCGCGGTGGAGTGATCTCATTCAAGTTAGCTCAACGCTGACTGTAAGCTGTCGAGGACTCAACAGACAGAACTGGTACGCATCCAAGAGACTTTTGAATCTTGAGATAGCCAAACATTCGATCACCATACAAGAGTATGGGACAGGAGTGAAAGGTGGTCATCGAGAAGGATGACAAATGGAGAGTCTTGGAAATGCGTTCGGCCCTCATGAACCAAGCCTCAAACCAAGACTGCATACCAAGACAATCAACGGTAGCTGCAAGAATCCGCAACTCTTTGACCTTCCCGAATTTTCTGACGTCCTTTGTGCACATCGCGAACATATTCAAGTGGCCTGCCTTAAAGCTGGGGTTCTGAACAGACGTAACAAAGCTGTCTACTCAAGCAAGTTCTCGTACAATACTCACTGTTCACATGAGGCCCACAAATCCCAAAGCAGCTTCTCATCGGCGACAGCCTTACTAGTGTACTAGTTATAGGTCCCACTACCAAAGACATCGCCATGAAGCAACTGTTCCAGCTGCACCACCTCAACCTTCCTTTGTATTTGGTAGAAACCTTTCCATTGGGCTGAGGCGGAGACTCTAGTTGACGCGTATGCTTGGAACTTCTCTCAGCCTTGTCCTAATCCAAACGATATGCCCTGTTTCCGAAGCGCCTGCGTATATGCATTTATTGAAGTATTTGACGAGTATGGAAAGATACCGGAAAATATATCCAGGGTACAGGTGCTGCTGAGAACTATGCACTTGATCTTTCAAATGCCTACCCGCTTGTCGTCACCACAGATCAGGACAGGGCAGATGAAGGTGCAGCAGCGGACTTCTGGTATAATCACCAAGCTGATTGTATCATCTGCCGGTACCGCACGAAGCCTAATGACGAGACACTTACCATGTTTCTCACTGCAATTGACAGAGCCACATTGGCCATGCCCAGACTGAAAGATCTTGCGCTCTGATGTCCATTCAGTATCAGCAGTCTACCAGGAGAAATGGCATACAAGGATGTCGATCCTGCAACGGCATTTGATCTGAATTCAAGCTCAGCGTTGGCCTGGGGCATTGCGTACGCGGCGCCGGGCAAGAAAGCGCTTTGGGGGTATCCAGGGGTGATCAAAAGAGCTACCGAAAGATGTGGTGGCGAGCTGGCATTGGAGGCCTGGTTTTGAGCTGCGTAATGTGTTTTAGAGCATTGCGAGCGAGAGGTACGGCGAAGACCTGAAGGATTATTGGGAAGATGACCACGAGGGTAAAGGGCTAAGCTGAATGGATAGGTTCGAGAGCTGGGAACGAAACAGATAGGGTATTGATGAAGAGTAGATGACGAAATTGTCTGTACGCGCAATTTTTAAAACCCATCCTTCTGGAAAAAATTTGGTCCGGACCGCCCAGCTGATCTTTGACAAGTCAATATTGAAGACGAAGGATACATTGGGCAAGATATCGCGATACGGGTATATGTAATGATTGACAAGAAACCGTGCAAGAACCGCGCACGTAACAGGTGATGAAGCCGGATACCGATCCGGTCAAAGGCTTACGCGTCAAGCCTCATACGGCTGATAACCTCCTTGGACTCGGCCTCTGACAGCTCGTTGCCGTCTACATTGATATGGCCCTCTTCCACTTGTACCATATCAGGCTTGGCTGCGCTCTCATGCAGGTGCTGTAGAAACGAGAGAAGGCTGCTCTCAAACTTCACGTATGGGTACGGGTCCTCACCATTCTGGAGCAAAGGGTAGACACCGTTCGCCTAAAAGAGTCAGCCAAATACCTTCACCGGATCTAGCACGTGGACTCACTGTTTTGATATAAATGGCTCTTATCCTTTTCCACTCTGGTAGCTCTGTCCGCGAGCTATCGCCAGTACAGAACAAGCTGCGCATGGCCGTAACATCGGATCCCTCGCTCCCAAGCTTGGCACCCGGGTCACCGAACGCGAATATTGCTGTTAGGCATTCAGCAGAACAATGACCGTTCGTCACGTACTGATCGATAACAGCTTGCAGCATAAATTGACCAGCCAAGTCAAACCAGTCAGATGTAGGTTCCCATTCGTCACCGAGACAGGTACGTGCAGCTGTAAGCTCGATGAACAAAGGCAGTAGCTGGTCAAGTGCAGGCCGGTCTGGGTTGCTGAACTGGTTCAGGCGAACAGTCGAAGGCAGAGCTAGTTCTGAAGCTCGATGCTGGCGGGCAGATGCAATCACTCCGTCGTCCAGGATTCGACTCGCGGTTGAAGAGGTCTTCTCGAGACCATGCGAACGTGACCATATTGTCATACGAGCCATGTTTTGCTGCCGTAGCTTCCGCAGAGAGTCTCCGTTGGTCCATGTTTGCGTTGGGTGATACCGATGGGTCAACAAGAGAACAAATTGCAACAGTCGTGATCGAAAAGCTGCCACATTCCCCAGCTTTCGACCTTGATGCTTCTGTGAAAGGAACGATCTCCATTCTGGAATGTCAGTACCCACACAATGGTCCACTATGACAATACCACTCACCAGCAGTCATCGTGACGAGCGCGTTGGGCAGGTCAGAGTCCCATTTATCAGTCCTGCCATGCCACTCGAACACAGCACTTGTTGCCTTGTATGCCAGAAAGTCTTGAATAGTGTGGTCAACATCAAATTGCTCATCCTCTTCATTCTCCATACGTCGCGTGAGGTTGTAGAAGCCTTCACATGGCTGGCCGTTGCTGTCGAACCCACGTGCTATGGTGGCAGCCAGCTTTTGCTCCAGATCCTCCATGGTCGAATCCTGGCGGGTGCGTGCAGCTGACATCTTATCGAACGAAGTGCGGACCCAGGGAAGGCGCAGCACATAAAAGGCAGGCGCGCCTCATCTAGCGCAAACAATACACAACCGTCTGCGACCCCACAGCTGGCTTGACCCAGAGTCAACACCGTGTTTGCGGTAGGCAGCCAACTGTTTTGGGCGTGCAGTTAATGCGTTTGCGAGTATTGCATACAAACGCTACAGGTTCATTCGGGAGCTAACAATTGAGTTCAAACTCGCAGTGAACCACATAAACCTTGCACGCGCGAGTTTTCCGCAGTGTCCGCTCGCGTGCCGTGTGCAGCGACCGGAAGGGCGCGGAAGAGGCCGCACCTGCATCTATGGCTACCCTCTGACACGACGGCGTGGAATGTGCCTGTGCAGGTAGCTGAGCGTGATAGAGTGCTCGCTGCGCATAATATGACAGATACGTAGTTGCACGCTGTAAGCAGATTAGAGCACATTAGAGGCAGCTCCTGCCGGCTAGCCTTGGTTTGATCGTTGGCCGCGGCCTTATCCCCGCAGCGCTACTAGTATTCACCCACCACGGCACGAGTACCTGGCTGTACTCAGAATTCACCTGGAGATGCTCATCCGTCTGCAGACGACCTCGCGCGAGGATGCTGCCTAAGAAGTCCTCCGTTCTCTTCTCGTCTTACGCCAACGTCTTCACGCCCCTCTATTCCTCCCACGCCTCACCGCACTCATGTCGTCATACATCGCCGAGTTCGCAGCACACGACACCACGCCGACCATACGCAACACACGCCGACAGCAATGAAGCCGACCTACTCAGCTGGCCTGAGGCTAACCGCCCGCATTCAACGCCCACACCATATCAAATTTTGAACTGCAAGAAAGGCGATCCATATAAGAAGAACCGCTACTATGCCCTCGTCAAACTCTACCACCCGGACCGCTGCCGACCAGGCTCCTCCACATACACGCTCCCTCCAGCCGTCCGCCTGGAACGTTACCGCATGCTCGTCACAGCTCACAACATCCTCTCCGACGTCGAAAAGCGTAAAGCGTACGATGCCTGGGGCGCCGGCTGGGCAGGCCATCACCGCACCCCAACGTCAAGTGGGCACTCACACAACCCGTACGACTGGGAATTCGACCGCAAGCGTTGGAACACGGATCCGCGCTCGAACGCAACATGGGAAGATTGGGAGCGGTGGTACGGCGAGAACGACTCTTCTCACCCACAGAAAGATCGCGTGGTGCAGATGAGCAACTTCACCTTCATATCGCTGATCTTTGCGTTTGTGGCGATTGGCGGTGTGATGCAGGGAACGCGGTTTAGTGGGTTTCACAACAGTGTTGTGGAGAGAAGAGATCAAATCCATCGCGAGGCTAGTGGTGTGTATCAGCGCAGTCGACATGCTTCAATGAGTGGCGACCGAGATGAGAGGATACGCACGTTCTTGGAGCACAGGGAGGCAAATTTGGCGGGCGAAGAGAGTTATCACCGACTTCTGCCGCCAAATGATACTTGTGCGCCGAACGAGATTCGGCGGCATGGAGAGTAGAGTACTTTGAAAGTTACAGGCGCATTTAGGCGTTGGGAGGCATGTTGTATATATCAGTCGGATTGGCGTACATACCTGGGCATCTAGTTATCATGAGTTTGGTCTTTCAGGACCTGAGCATGCCTTGCAGCTCCCATCACGATAATACCGAATCAAATATTCTAAATTTACAAAACACAGCTTGGTCGTGATCGCGGAACCCTCATAAACTCCCTAGCACCTTGCCAAAAGTCCAACCGAGGCATGTGAATTCTCAACCGTCCGTTCGTTTATAGGAGTACACAGATCCGAACTGCCCCAGCGCACAATACTCAACGCCGCGTACCCACCGCGCGTGTCTTGAAACCTAGCCCCACAGACCACACGTTCACACATCCCCACGGCAACTCTAACCGAACGACAATGCAACCAACTAGCCTGCCATGTGACACAAATCATCCCCACCCGGATCGTTCGATCTCTAACATCGCATGAATGCCAAGGATGTAACATGTGTAGTACATCAGATATGCCCAACAGCTCCGCTTGCTTTATTCATTCTGTGCATTGAACTGCTTATGGGATGCGGAGACGGCTGGAGTTATACCTGGACGAAACTGTATCTTGGCTGCCCCGGTCGAGTGCTGCTCTGGCTCTGAGGCATGGTTGTGAGCACAGCATCTCCATGTCAATCGCTCAGGAGGTGTTGGGCCTGAGCAGTAGAGATGCACTTGGCAGGTTTGAGATATTCCTCTCCATATCAGGTCTACAACTGCTTATATCGATTGACATGTGACCGCCACGAAGGAAAGGTGATGGCCTTATGAGATTTAAGCTTAAATGCAATCACCTTTAAGCTTTACTGGTCTGCGCACTCTTCGTCTTGCTCAACACTACACGATTCTCCAGTCTTGTGACGGGCTTCTGTATTCGCTGAGGTCGCTCTGCCTTGTCCTCAACGCAAGTTTACGAAGTTTGGGTGCAGCATCCGTGCCAGTGACGCTTATTTACGTACCAAGCTTCGTGCGTTGTGCTGGGAGGCTGCATCATCAGGGTCCAGCGCGCGAACCACTGATCACCGTGATGACTCTCCAAGGTTGACTATAATAGGTGGCAGTGATCAGTCGTCTCGAAGTTTGCACTTCATGCAGCGACTTCAAATTGGTCGATATCCAACAAACACGTTTGGATCAAGACTTCTTCTACTAGGATCAAACAATCTTCAATAGAGTCGTCAATATGCGCGAGACACTGCGTAGCGGACCTCCGGTGCGCCGCGGAATGCACACAGCGCCGGCAGATGTGCGCTCCGCATTTGATGATTCCAGCGAGAAAGGCGAGAAAGGCGAGAAAGGCGAGAAAGGCGAGAAAGGCGAGAAAGGCGAGAGCGAGCATGACCTGACCAGCAATCGCGCCACAAGCTGCGACCTTGAGATGAGACCCGCCGTGGATGTTAAGAAGAAAGAGACGGAGCGCTCAGGATCCCACAATGATGACCCGTTTGGAGACGAAGGTGATAATGAAGTCAAGTACCGGACTTTGCGGTGGTGGTGAGTTCACTTCGTTGTCTCTGAGATAGACTGTTGGAGGGAGTGCTGACGTGAACAGGCAGGCCGGGTTGATCATGATTGCGGAGACGATTTCGCTGAGCATCCTGTCGCTGCCGTCTGTTCTTGCGACGATTGGATTTGTGCTGGGTATCATTCTCATTGTCGCTATGGGACTGCTGGCCACGTATACTGGGTATGTGCTGGGCCAGTATAAGACGGCGTATCCGCGAGTGCACAACCTTGCAGATGCGTTGGAGGTTATGTGGGGGCCCCGGACGGGAATTCGGAGGCGCTGCGCAGACTATCTTCCTCACCTTCGGTGCGTCAAAAGATTGAGTGTCGAGATTGAAGTGCTGACACTTTCAGTGATGGGATCCCACATCCCGACGTTCACTATCGCCATGAACGCCATCACTGGCAACGCGACCTGCAGCCTCGTCTGGGGTGTTGTCGGTTTCATAATTCTCCGGATCTTCACTCTCCCTCGAACGCCCAAGAAGGTCTCATTCATCAGCATTTGTGGTGCGGTCTTCGCCACAATGATTGCGTTGGGACTCGACACAAAGCCAAACCCCAGGCTCGCCGCTACGTACTTACCGGGCTTTGCACCAGCTTTCCTGGCCGTGACCAACATAATTTTTGCGTATGCTGGTCATGTCGCTTTCTTCTCCTTCATCTCCGAGTTCCGGGATCCCAGCGAGTTTCCAAAGGCACTGTTCATGCTACAGGCGACAGACATCACCATGTATCTAATGGTCGCTATCGTAGTGTACCGATATACTTGCGTGGATGTTGCCAGTCCCGCGCTGGGTAGCGCGAGTAGGGTAGTAGTCAAAGTCGCTTGTGGTATCGCCCTGCCTAAGGTGTGTTAACATCTGTCATCTCAGTTATCACTTGATTGATCATTTGCAGATCCTGCTGGCTGGCGTGATCTACGGCCACGTGGCAGCAAAGTACATTTGCGTACGCATGTTCCGTGGAACACGACACATGGGCTCTTGTACCTGGCTTGCCATTGGTTCCTGGGCGGGTATTACTCTGGCGCTCTGGATAATCGCATGGATCATTGCCGAGAGCGTCCCTAACTTCAACTCCCTGCTTGGTCTTATTTCGGCGTTATTCACTGCCCGGTTCACCTATGGAATGAGTGGCTATTTATGGTTGTACCTCAACTGGGGTAACTACACTGCGAACTGGAAGAAGATGAGCCTTACAGTTCTGAACGTTGCTACCTTCTGGATTGGCGCGGCGATATGTATTATGGGACTCTGCGCGAGCGGAAAGTCGATCCATGGCTCTACATCAGGCGACTCATGGTATTGTAGTCGATCTTGAGAAGTTGAAGGCGCTGTAATGTGCCGAAACTGAGCTTCTGACCAGAATTGTTGATGTTGATGAAATGGGTTGTAATTCAAACACCTGCGCCGACATGTCTATTGGGATTGTACCGAAACGCCCGCTTATGAACACGCTCATGATTTTTGACATAATGTGAAGGGAAGGAGACAAGGTCGTAAGGGAAAGGCGCTAGAAGAACACAACTGGATCGGCCTGCAATTCGTTGAGCCCAGGAAGCGAGTCATGTATGACCGTACAAAAGAGATCGTGGCTTGCGGGTGGGTCGCTTTGCTTATCCGTGAGGGGCGTAAGTCGTACTTTCCGTACCAAGCTCTTTGCTTCGGGGCTAAGGTGGCGAATGAAATCCAATACAGGCAGATAATTGAAGGCGTAGAAGTGAAACAGGTTCTCCGAGTACATGACGGAGAGACACTCGTGGTAAATAAGGCGGCTAATTCGGAAAATGTCGAGTCTGAGATGCTTATCAGGGTGCGGTCTGCACTTGCGATTCCATGTCTTGCTGATCACAGTCGAGTCGCAATCAGTGTAGAGGACGAATCGACCGTTCGAAGATGGAAGAACATATCTTAAGATCTCGCGGCGAACTTCAGATGGGATCCTCAAAAACGGTGGATAGGTGTCAAGAGCTGTGATCGTCTCCGGTATAGATATTTGCTTCTCCACAGATTCCTTGGAGTACCGGTCCAGCCGGCGCATGCAAATATCGTCTGAGACAGCCTTCGAAGTGGATGTCACCTGTCCCGCCATTAGATCGTGTTTCAGGGTTGTAAGTGCCGAATCGTACAGACTGACCTTCTTGAGACGTAGTTTCACTGCCATAACCAAAAGGGGGTATAAGAAGTAATGGAGAACAAGTCTGGAGAAGAGTGGGAGAGAATTCAAAGGATGCCAGCCACAGCACGTGCAAGGATTCTGGAGACGGTGTGCTTGGCGCAATCACGAGGCCCGATATCCGGTGCAGTACCGCCGAGATAACTAAACTATTGACAAAAAGCGAAGAAACTGCGAAGGATCAACTGGGAGAATTATGTACTGCGGCAGTGGATGTTCGGAGGTGCTTGGACATCACCCACGCATTGAAGTGTACATTAGGAAAGTGCTTGAAGAATAAATAGTCCGTGCGTCATGCACGGACCATACTCCTCCGCGCTTCTCGAAATTTACCACTGGAACGCGTTTGGTGGGGGAGACGACACAGCTACGCAGTGTTCGCCCGATACCCCTAGACTCTTCGTATTAGCTGTCGCAGGTCTTTGAGCTTTCCAAAATCCCCTTCGAATCCTAGAATCGTTCTACAGCTGCACAAAATGTCTTTCGGCGGTCAGACACCGACAATCGTCGTGCTGCGCGAGGGTGAGCAGCCTCGAGCTTTTGAGAGTCCTGAAGATACTGACTTTAACAGGCACCGACCAGTCTCAGGGTCGAGGACAGGTCATTTCCAACATTAATGCCTGTCTTGCAGTACAGGCCACCATCAAGGGCACATTAGGCCCCTATGGCGGTGACCTGCTCATGGTGGACGCAAATGGCAGGCAGACAATCACAAACGATGGAGCCACGGTCATGAAGGTAGCTGAAACAACGTCTCCTAGACGAGATGGTACGTGTCTGACTTTGTACAGCTCCTCGATATCGTCCACCCCGCCGCCCGCATTCTCACCGACATTGCACGATCGCAAGATGCCGAAGTTGGTGACGGCACAACATCCGTTGTTGTGATTGCCGGAGAGATCTTGAAGGAGATCAAGGACTTCGTCGAGCAGGGTGTCAGCAGTCAGACCATCATGAAGGGTCTGAGGAGAGCATCGAACCTCGCCGTCAACAAGATTGTGGAGATTGCGGTAGACACAGCGGAAGGCAACCAGCGCGACACCCTGCAGAAGCTCGCGGCGACTGCTATGAGCAGCAAGCTGATTCACAGGAATGCCGACTTCTTCACAAAGATGGTCGTAGACGCCGTTCTCACCCTAGACCAGGAGGAGCTCAACGAGAGACTCATTGGTGTCAAGAAGATCACGGGTGGCGCCCTTCAGGACTCGCTCTTCGTTAACGGTGTCGCATTCAAGAAGACCTTCTCGTACGCCGGATTCGAGCAGCAACCGAAGTCGTTCAAGAACCCCAAGATCGTTTGCCTGAACGTCGAGCTCGAGCTCAAGAGCGAGAAGGACAACGCCGAAGTGCGGGTGGAGCAGGTCTCGGAATACCAGGCTATCGTGGACGCTGAGTGGCAGATTATCTACAACAAGATGGAGGCATTGTACAAGACAGGCGCTAAGGTGGTTCTCAGCAAGCTCCCCATTGGCGATCTTGCGACACAGTACTTCGCCGACCGCGACATCTTCTGCGCTGGGCGCGTAGCAGCAGACGACCTCGATCGCGTATGCCGCGCGACCGGCGCCAGCGTCCAATCGACCTGCTCAGACATCAGCGAGAAGCATCTCGGAACTTGCGAGAAGTTTGAGGAGCGACAGATCGGTGGAGAGCGTTTCAACTTCTTCGAGGGCTGCTCCGAGGCGAAGACCTGCACACTCGTCCTCCGTGGAGGTGCTGAGCAGTTCATTGCTGAGGTCGAGCGCAGTCTGCACGACGCCATCATGATCGTCAAGCGCGCGATCAAGAACAGGAACATCGTAGCAGGTGGTGGTGCTGTTGAGATGGAGATCTCATCTTACCTTCACAACTACGCCGACACAAAGATTCCCCACAAGCAGCAGCCGATCATCAAGGCATTCGCAAAGGCATTGGAGGTCATTCCCAGGCAGTTGTGCGACAACGCTGGTGTCGACGCTACAGACATCCTCAACAGGCTGCGCGTCGAGCACAGGAAGGGCAATACTTGGGCCGGTGTCGACTTCAAGACAGAGAGCGTCGCAAACAACTTGGAGCAGTTCGTCTGGGAGCCCAGCCTAGTGAAGATCAACGCGTTGCAAGCCGCCACAGAAGCTGCTTGTCTGATCCTGAGCGTTGACGAGACAATCAGTACGTATCCGTATCTTCGTCAACCACATGCAGCCTGCTAACAGCATTACAGAGAATCAGGAGTCGCAGCAAGGACAGGCTCCACAACAGCAGCTGCCTCCCGGCGCCGCCCAGAGGGCACTCGGAATGGGAGGACGCGGTCGCGGCCGTGGCATGCCCAGGCGGTAGAGCAGCCGAGGTGAATAGGACGTTGGAGTGTACATCACCATAAAGACACATCGATGCCTCACTGGCGCCGAGATAAGATGTCTATGATAATGCGAAAAAGCTCTCATGACACCATACACTGTGCGGACACTCAACGTGACATTGCCCGTACAAGTGCAGTCCTCCTCGAAATGACATGGCAAGATAGCCAGCAGTGCCTAGCAGGAGAGCAAGATGCCATTGACTTGACCTGCAGTCCAAACTATCAACCAGCCACGATAACAATACATTCGACATGCCGCATGCCATCCGCACTACTTCCGTCAACACCCGAGTGCGGCACTAGCGCGCTGCATGCCCCGAAGATCGCCCTTCCCCGAACCTTCCCTAACCGGCAACTCAGCCCCCCGCCCATCGATCACGGTGCTAAAGTATGCTTAAGAAGAGTTACAAACCATAACCTTATCTTGCCGTCGCGCAGCGTACCGTGCCTTCTGACACCGCTGTCTGTCACCACATGTGTCACACCGAGCCTCGTTGCTGGTTTGTAGAAGAGCTGCTTGCGACTGATAGATAAGCTGCAGCCTTGCAATCTCTGCGGCGCCGCATGAGTCCGGAGCAGGTGATGTTGCGGCTGAACAAGCTGCACGTGGGAGTTACTGTGCTGGAGAGGTCCTGGACCCTAGCTGCGAACGCAATATGAGTATTCCGACCTCGCACTATCGCAGGCGTACAACTCGATGCATCATTGAACAGTCTGCGCCAGCGTGTTCAGCACTAGATGTTGGAGTGGTTTGGGTCGTGTGGCCGACCTCGCAATAAGCGTAATAAGCATACTTTAGCACGGCAATCGACGCTTGCCACTTAAGTTTCCATATCGGGCAGGTTCGCTCGAAACGTACTCACCCCATCGCAATCTGACGGGATCCAGACCAGATCACCCTGAAAGCACGTCTATTCCATGGAGGATTTTTTTTAGTATATGCACGAGCTGCTTTGGAAGAGCAGAAGCATTCTCTTGACGCGTTTGCTCCGCCAATGCACAAGAATGCTCGGTTCCATAGTTATAGGACGTGCTCAAGAAACCTGTCCCCTCCTACCGAAGCCCAGCGACGAATCTCGTAATCCTGCTCACAACCGTCCTGGCACTACCATCCGACCGCTCATTTCCCACACCGCGCTCTATCTATACTCGTTCCTCTCTCCTCCTGCATCTCGCGCACAAACTTCGGCCACGTGTTCGTCAACACCAGACTCTCGATGTGCTCCCTCGCATCATCAAACACCCCCTCGTGAAACCCCTCAGGCACATCGCCCTGGTATGGCAGCCACGCGGCCGCCTCGTTGAGACCAGAACTCGTTGCAGACATGGGGTCCTCGAAGAAGGGCAGTGCAGGCTTGAGCGCCTCGCCGCAGACCGCGCGCGCCGCGGACTCGAACATGTCCTCAAGGGCTTTGAGTTGCTGGCTGGAGAGGTTGAGCGGGAAGGCCGCATCGCGGGGGGAGACAAAGTCGATGTAGAGGCGCAGAGCGGCGTCGTAGGCTTGTGCGCGCTCGGCGACAGGGTAGAATTGCTTCAACTTGGCCAGGCGGGTGAGGAATGCGATGTTCTCACCGCTGAAGTCGCAGCGGGCGGAGAAGTCTTGGAGGGGCGCTGGGTTCGAGCTCAGGACGCGGGCTAATGCTGTCATGGTCATGAGACGGTCGCTGGGTTGGAGGTACTCGACGCTGGGATTGTGGTCGATGGGCTCGATGGCTGAGCCTGTATCTTCTGAGTGCGCCTTCGACAGTGGACGCACGGAGATAGTTGTACCGAGGGAGGGGGCGTGGCTCAGCTTTCGAGCGGCGGGGCGCTGGAAGCGCCAGTACTTAATTACTTGGTAAGCAGAGATGACGACGGTGAAGACCTCGATTAACATGGTGTTCAGATTGATCCTACATACTGTAAGTGCTTTGGGTTTAAGCTTGGACATGAATGTACTTACCATTTGATGGGTGGGAAGTAGGTGTTGATGCCACTTGTATAGAACACAGAGTAGTACGAAGCTACCAGGAACATGGGCGTTGCGTGAAGTCTGAGTCACAAGGTCAGTATGTCTACTTCACATATTGTGTGAACAACTCACCTACCAGGGCGAGCACAAGTGGCCTGCGTTCGCTATGCGAGTGTGTAGTCGACAGCCAACGCTCTCCAGATCAAGCAAGGTGCAACCACTGACAGAGGCACGCCCACCCGACTTACATTACAAAAATGCCCCTGAATAGAATCAGTATGTATGAAGAGCTGTGCAGCCTATCACGTGCATGTTGTCCTGCCGAAGTCGTTATTCTGAAGATCAGCGGAGTGGAGTCGCATCAATCTACCGCACCGCTATTGTCAGACCTAAACTTTGCCTTACGACAGTGCGATCGACGTTTCGGCATTTGCTTGGGTACGAGTAAGAGTGATAAAGCTGACTCCTGATTCGAAGCTGTGCAGATTTGACCTATGATATTCTTGCACCTTGTCCTAATGTAAGGGGAACCGTCCAGTCGAAGAAGGGAGGCCATTCAGATGCAGACGTAAGATGCCGACGCCATTACCTGTGCCGTGTTTACTAAAAGCCAAACTTACTCTTCACCATGCCTGTGACAAGGCCCCTCTTTTGTTTGTTCACAAACTTGTTCACATCGTCTGCCCACCCGGCGCTGTTTTGGCTTAAATTGTCCATGCTGTCGCCCACCGCGTTGAGCTTCTCCGTGCGTTCATTGAACTGTCTAGAAGCCCATGCGCCCCAACCCTCTTGCGTAGGGGCCATTTGCGTGGGGTAAGATGGATATGCAGAAGACGAGGAGGAAGGCCCAGCGGCAGCACGGTTCGCACGACGTTCTAGTTCTTCTTCAGCGCGAGCTTGGGCGAGCATGCGCTTAGAGGGAGGGCGATCAGGGCCACCAACTGGGGAATGGTTAGCATGGTTGAGCCATAATGTAGCAGGAACTTACTCAGAAGATCCATGTCCGCTGGCGTGACATATTGAGTGCCAGAGATCCATTGCATATTGCTTATCGTCGGTCTTGCGGGTATGAGAAGCTCTGGGTTCAGAAGTGTGTCTCTGCTCATTTCGAGGCGCACCCCTGTACCGAAAATGTTGACCAGGACCATCTCGGCGGGTCCCTTCCAACCGAAGATGTCGCCAGTGCTAGTAATCACAGCATCAGAGAACCTTCGCACATCTAGAACATCGCTGACCTTGACGGCACCGATCTCTTTCAATGCTGGAATCGAGTACGCCCTTGCGCAGCCGTCGCCGTAAAGTCCAAGTAATGCGTAGCCTAGATCTTCGTACCGCACGACGGCGGCGGAATCGCAGAGGAACTGGTCCCATGTCTTATGCGCACCCTTGTTGGTGGCAGGGCGGAACAGTCTTGCACCGGAGACTGTAACTGCGAGCAGAACACCATTGATTCTTGATCCAGTCCTCAATCCAGCGACAGCTGACTGTGATGCATATGCAGGGCGCCCGGACTCAGCATGCATAGGGCTGATCCTGATGACCTTGTCATCCAGCGAGCACACACCTGCGAAGTTTGCAGCGTATCGGCCATTTGACTCTGGCAAAAGTTTGAATGTCGCCAGATGGCCTAAATTAGTGCCGACATGGAGTAAGACGCTAGAGAATTCCTCATTATCCAAAGTCATGACGCTGAATTCAAGACAAGTCGGCCACTCAGGCTTTGGCGCAGCCTCTTTCGATGATCGACGGAAGCTGCCGCGTTTATCCGATTTGAAGTCTTGGGCAGAGCCTCTGAAGATGACAGCGGGTCCTCGCAGATCAATGATTACCAAATTTCCTCCTTCGAAGCCTACAGCGACAAAGCCAACGTCGGAGTGCTTCAAAGCTGTGACTGGGCCATTGCCTTCATCCAAGAGCATGAACGGTAATAAGCCTTCTTGCAGCGCGGCCTCACATCTGTCGAAGATGTTGGTGAGCGCTTGTGGCTTGTTCTCGCCAGGTGAGAATTCTTGACCAGGGTGCTTGTTGATATTCCACCTGAAGATGGCAACCTCGCCGGATTTCAGGCCTACTGACAGCTCAGAAGCCGCACCAGCAAAGGAAGTTTGGGTGACATCGACATTATCTTGTCGCCCCACTGCCCGCGCAACGTCAACCTGCAACAGACCATCGTTCTCAATCTCGTCTGCATGCCCTGCATCCCAGAGCCTGACTGTACCATCTGCATGGGCAGTCTGCACAATGTTGCGGTGCTCGAACCTCTTAAGGGGCAGGTTCGCTTCAGCTCCACCGGTGAGGAGTTTCGGCCCATGCTGCCGCTTCTCAGTCATGCCAAGCCACCTTGTACGATCTACGGGCGCCATGCTTGCGTGGTTGATGTATGGGTGTACAAGCGTCATTGACAAGTGCAGTTGGTTCGTCGGGGTTATTGGCATGCCGCTAGGGAAGGACAGCGTCACGAGCTCTCCAGATGCCAGTATCGCAATGACAGCGATAGGATCCTGACAGCCGCCAAAGTGAGGGGACGAACGAGGGATCAAGCATAGGTCGATGACTTCCGCACCGGGAGGACATGGTAGTATGCGCTGCCTCTTGGGATTCTCGAAGTGATCAGAGAGCACCTGCCATGATGAGGTGTTGTAGATGGGCGTGCGTCCCAGCTCGAAGAATGTTAGGCTCTTCGCTGAGATATTTGAGGGCTGACCGCCCGCGATCAGAATACCGGTTTCATCCGGATCCTGATTCGGGCACCAGGCGATCTTGAAGATGGGTGACTTCAGAGCAAATGCGCCCTCTCCTACACCTGGACTGAAGTTTCCAGGCCCCGGCTTGTCTACGTTGACATCCTGCACGGTCCTAGCCTGGACGATTCGACCGTCTTTCGGATCCCAGATGACAATACTGCTGTCTTCGTGACCGGTCAGAATGAAGGTTCCTGTGGGGTGCCAGACAGCTTGTGTGAGTGGTGGTTCGCGATCCTTGTAGATAGCACTGGGATCTGAGTCACCTCCGGGTGCGCCCTTTGGCAGTATGTAGTTGAAGAATTTGAGCGCCTTGTTCTGCTTGAACGAGTATATGACTGCGCCACAATTGTACCCGATCAACAGAGAGCCAATGTCTCGAGGATGCAGCGACAGTGTGACGACAGCTGTCAAGCGCGACCGTGGGAACTGCTCTCGCCAGAGATTCGGGATCCTGAAGGGCGTCAGACACTGACGGTCTAGGTCGTACGCGAAGACATCTCCATGTTGGGTGCCTAGCAGAGCATAGTCGATGGTGGGGTCGCTGTGCAAGGCGGTGATCTTGGCGGGCGGCGAGTGCGCGTTCACAAGCGTCTTTGTTTCGAGCGAGAATACAGCGAGGTCGTTCTTCGAGTCGACGCAAAGCAGTTTCTCGGCGCAGAACTGCAGGATCTTGACCGAAGCTCGATGCGGCAGAGACAGCACCACTTCAACGCGCTTCTGCCCAAAGACATAGATTTGGCCATTGCCAAACTGACTCTCAGCAGTGCCGACGGCAATAAGAGACTGTACAGGGTCGTATGCGACTTGTGTGATCTTGGAGTTTATGCCGTAGTTGCGGATCTGCGCATGTCAGTGCGAGCTTCTAGCTACTCTTCAGAGCTTCTGCGCATACGTGGTCGAGTATGAGGAGATCAGGTCCAAGGCCGTGAGAGAGATCGTTGCTGACACCTGCTTGCTTGCCGCGCAGTAGATGTGCCATTTTGTCGTGTTGCGGATCTCATGGCTTTGTCGTGCAGAAGTTGCGCAAGAGCTCTTGTCTTGGAATGCTGTTCTTCCCCGAGACGCGCTGACGTAGCGCCGCCTTACCCGAGAGACGCAGGGACTACGCGGATCATGCGGCATCCACCACAACAAAGGTCACTTCACGAAGCTTGGCGAGGCCAGGTGAAATATGATAGCGTGCTATCGATGTTGTTATAATACTATTACATCTAACTTCCGTGGAAAGCTGTGAGCCACGCTCCATAACAGCTGACATTGGTACAATGTCCATTGGAGACATGCAGCCTCGCTGAGGACATGTAACCATGCGGCATACCTCGCCGCCTACCCCCAACGCCTGATGTGATCTGTGTATCCAAACCATCCCTTCCCAAACACCTTGTAGCTTCTGTCATGCCTCATGTCGACATTGAGGTACCGTTTGGTGCGCCGTAGGAGCCGTTCGGTGGCTGCGGTGTGCCAGAGCCCTGCCTGCTGCTGAAGCTGTTCTGTGCCGCAAGGCGCGCCTGCGACTGCGCTGCCACCTGTGCCTGTTGCCTATCAAGTATCATCTGTTGAGGGTTGCTGGAAAGGGTGGTGTAGCCTGTCCGTGTAACAGGAGCTTGAGGGGTGCCGTATTGGGATGGCCCATAGTATGTGCTTGCCATCTGACCTCCTGTGGGTGCGTATCCAGTCCGCGTGCCATAACCTGAGGGCGTTGCTGGTGCACCCGGCTTCATTGGCGACCCTGTGCGTGCTTGTGGCGTACCGTACATGGGTGCTACATTCGTCGACCGCTGGTAATAGCCATTCTGGGACTGCTGAGCTGTGTAGCGGTTCTGGCCTTGTGTCTGCGGTGTGCCTTGATAGAATTGTGAGTTTGCAGCACCACCATAGCTACCCGACTGCGAAGGGCGTTGCTGGTAGTATTGACCACCTGGTCTTGGGGTCTGCAAATTGTGGCTTGGTGTTGCAGCGTAGCCCGACCGCGAGGAAGGAGCGAACGATCCTGCACCAACTTGGAAGCCCTGAGCTGTTCCAGATGGCGAGCGCTGGTACTGTATCGACGCCGATCGCTGCGAGTGATATGCTGGTGCTGCCTGCACAGGACGAGCAGACGATGGTGGTCGCGCGTACTGTGTGCCGCCGACTGGGTACAGGGACTGTGAGCTGGAGCTCGCTCGAGTAAGCGCTGGAGGTGGGACAGCGGCCACAGCGGGTGCCGTTGCAAGTCTGGACAGCTGATCTTCCTCCATGACTCCATTGTACTCCTTGGTGTCGAAGAGGATCGTTCGACTAATGTTGAGCTCCTCCAGTTGGTCTCCGTTCAATTTTGCGACAGCGTACGGCGGTAGTTGCGAGATCATCAAGGTGAGCTGAGACTTGAGAATCTGGTAGACGTCGATCTCATCAGTGGACGGAGTTGAAGGGCTACCAACCAACTGGGCAAGAGACGAGTTTTGCACCACTGGCGTCCTGGAATTCGTCGTCAACGACGAGTTGCGTATCCTTTGGTGCGATGCTAGAGTCTCGATAAGCTCTGAAACATCCTTAAGAATCTCATCTATATCCTTGTCGTGCTCACTCTTTTCCTCAGTGAAGATGTTACTCTCAACGGGCACGAACTTCTCCACGGCATCTTTGAAGTCCTCTTCTTCGCCAGCAGCGCCATTGGCCTGGCCCTCGACAAGCTCGTCGGCATCTAGCAGCTGTGGATCGATGGGGAAAACCTCGTTGAAACGCTTCTCGCCGACCTTCTGCCACCACACCCTGTTCTTTGTCTCCTCAGGGACGATGGCATTTGCATCGTCGCGGGTAGGGGCAAAGCTAGAGTACGCGCTGCGGAACAATGCATCTTCTTTGGCCTGCTGGACTGCCACAAGAATCGCCTCAGATGGCGGTTGCTGGGCTTCGCCAGTGCTGAGCGCACGCTGTCTGCTCTTTTGCCTTGCCGTTGGTGACGTCTGATCCTTTGGCGCGTCAATGCCTCCATATCCCAGCCAGAAACCAGCGGACAGGCCCTGATGTGCGTACGATTGTGATCCCTTGCGCTTCGGTTTGGTCGGTTCTGGGTGCGCGAACGTGATGGTGTTGCCTTTGCTCGTAGTGGGCCTTGCAATCTTGGGAGGACTGATGTGTGGCAGGTGGGCAGGCGCTCGGAATACTTCGCCGATGGTCGTAACCTTCTTTTTCTTCTCGTCTGTCTGATCGAGAAGAGGGAATACCTCGGTAGTCTGGATGTTCTGCGGCAGGGTAGTCTCTCGCAGGGGCAAGGTCACCCTGACTGATGCGTCGAAAGAAGGTATCCCGTCTGCCGGCGCAATCTTGCGTGGCTGTTGCAGACTCGAGAAGAGCTGTTTCGGGCCTTGTGCGGTGCCGAACAGCGTCAAGACAGTTCGACTAGTCGGCTCCTTCGCATGCTCCTCATCTTCCTCCTTGATGTGCACGAGTGCATCCTCGAGCGTGACCGCCTCAGCGGCAGCAACAATGGATGCTTGGTCCTGCTCTGCATGCACGCTTCGAGCCTCTTCACGCTCTACGAGGCTTTTGACGACCTTCTGGAAGGCGAGCACCTTTGCCTGCAGTTTTTTTTCCTCGAGGGTTGCAGGCGCGTCAGAGGCACCACTGCGGGCCGAGATGTCTGCAGCCACGCTCTCAACGTCCATCTCGAACGCCTGCAACGATTCATATGCGCACTTCTGTACGCGCTCGGTGATGGTTGCAGAGTTGGTCGGCTCAGCCAGCTTGGCGCGTTTGGTGTCGGCCTCGCCAGAGGAGCTGCGCGGCGCAGTGGTAGGAACAACATGTGTCAGGATCGAAGGCTGTGTGTCATAGCCCTTCAAGACATACAAGATGTCCAGGAGTACTGCGCTCAGAGTGTGCGTCGATGCATTGGCAGCCTTCTTCGGAGTGGCCGCTGATGCGCCATTGGAAAGTACGACTGCGGTGTGGGCGTGCTTGCGCTTCGCGAGAGACGGTGATTCTGGTGCTGGGGGCAGCGAGGGCGGGGTGAGGGTGCCGTTGGCGGCGGCCATGGTGACGATGGGTGCGCTTTCGCAATGCGCGCGCGGTGCTGCAACGCGCTCAGGACGGCCGGAGTCGTGTTGGCCTCTGCAACATGCCCCTCGGAGAGGCAGGCGGGGTCGGTCGGAATATTACTCTGCGCGTGTCGTGCTCAGTTCACTCTCGCTGCGCGCAGGGAAGTCGGCGCAGAGGGTGGACTGCGTCGGTTTGGCTGCTGGAGTTGGGCTTGTTCGATGGTCAAAGTTCCGCGATCCGCGATGGACGAACACACGACTGCCAAGGAGGCACGCAGGTAGCGCAGGGACGCAACACACGCGCCTGCAAACAGTGTGTCTGGACTCCTATGCGTCTGCGTGTACTGCTACTGAGAGATGCTAGATCGATCTCTGGATAATTTGCAGATATTGAGACAGCCGCGTTCACCCCGTGTCTGCCAGGCGACTGCTCCACGCCCTGGCTCTGCTTCGGTGCAACCTCGGCAAACCATCCATGGATGGCTTCGAGCTTCCATCAAATTTCCCAGTCCATCCCCCTCGCGCTACAACCGACCTCTACGCGCCTCTGTCACGGTCAAATCTGTCGATGAATGCCCCTAATTCTCTCCCTGGCAGCCCCAGGTAGCCCATGTCGCCTCCTTCGGCCCTCGGCGCGCCTCGCAGGGCAATGGGTTGGTCTCGCTCGCCAGTCTAAGACACCGTAACGCTGACCTGATATGCCAGCAACCTGCACCCAGACTCACTCACCTGCGACACACAGCGAATCTGAGCCTCTCCCTGACATGCCACGCAGCACTCCACCGCCAAGATCGTCGACCTGTAGCTCTGCGAACGCTCGGCACACCGATTTCTCTCCATGACAGCATATCGAAGCTTTCGACCAGATTCTCTGAACAGGCCGCAGCGGATGAACGCGCCACAGATGGAGAAGAGGATAACTTTGAGTTCTTTGAAGAGGAAGCGACACCCCTTGGCCCTGGGAACAATGTGGAAAGTGACAGCTCGTTCCTGCACACGCACCGAGAGGCTGCTACAGACGAGACAGGCATCTTTGATTTTGTTGCTGGAGAAGGAGCAAAATCAGCGGCCGAGTCAGGCTCAGCACATCAGGGATCGACGCCCAAAGAGGACCCCTATCGCTCGCGCATGCGCACTCCGTTCAAGGCACAGAGGAGTCGCAATCAAGAAAAGGCATATCGGCGCAATCAGACAACGACTGTTCTCGACGGCATCCAGACTGATGCCCGAGCCCTCTACTTCTCAAAGCTGCCAAGGAAGATAGAAGCGGCGCACAACAGCCCCGAGCGCACGCCAACAGGCGGCCACAGGTGGACAGACCGATACTCTTTGCCATCACCCACTGCCGCCCAAGATTCTGCGACCTCGACCTCCTTGCGCACAATACTGGCGAGATACCTCAGTCATCTCACTGCAGCGGCTACCGAAGATACACCATTTCTTTGCACGCCGCACGAACACAATCTTCTTCAGCGTGAAGGTTTGACACAAGAGGTGGTACAGTCATGGGCATTGTCTCTTTTGGACAAAAACCCCAATACCGCTGCTAGGATATTCCTGCGTGGTGCCGCCCCGCCCCCGTTCTTCCTGGTCTTGCTGTTCCTCCGTCGTGAGCACATCAGAAGGTATGCGCTCGGTGCCGTCCTCAGTCATATCTCCTCAAGACTGGACTCGGAGCAGATAGGCTGGTGTACTCTTAAGACTTTAGTCGTAAGAGTTTTACGTCATGCGCGCAGGATATGGCCCGAGTCTTTGCCATGGATCTCTACAGTCTTCCTGGACAAGGCTGCAAAGATTTTCGATACCAGCAGAACGACAAATTCTGGACCTCGTGACTCGGCTCAGGTCACCCCCTTCTGCAACAACTTGCTCTCTCTGCTCTCATTACCTTCATCTATCCGACCCATGATAGCGTCTCGACACCAGGAAGACGCGCAGTTCCTGATCCTACAGTTCATGGCCGGGTACGACCCACCAATTGCTGTTACACGGACTGGGTTTCGAGCAATTGCGCGTATCCAGCTCACGCACGCGAAGACCGAACAAGAGAGAGACTGGGCTGAGCTGAAAGGGCCTTCCTGGCCACCATGGACTGAAAGTCGGACAGCGATGGATGAGGATAAAAGTTACGATTATGGCGCTTCGCGAGCTTCGAAGATCTTACATCGCATGTTTGAATCCGGCTATGCTGCACGTAGCTGGGAGAAAGTCGCCGAGGTGTACGCCGGATGGGATACTGACTTGAGTCCCACCATTCAGACGCGAGCGCTCCTTCGGTCTGAATATCGAGGCGACCGCACTCATCGACTGTGGGCTGCGCGCATACGGACTACTAGAACCAGACGAGAGGCCTGGGCAGCTTTTCTTGCACACGAAGCGTCAGATGATCGCACACATGAGGATATCTACCTTGCTATGTTCGAGAAGTTGTACTACATGGAGTTTCCACGAAAGGGGGACGGCGAGCTTCATCAAGGCATGCATCTCGACGGATCTCAAGAAACACCTGATAGCCCGGAGGATCAGGCACGAACGTTGCTTCCAGGAGACATGAAAGAGGTCCTGTCCGAGCCAACCTCGCCGTTGCACAACGTCTACCTACGTGAAGCTGTACCCACGTACGAGCAACTGTACCATCGCATGACGGCCAAAAACATGCGGCCTACTGGGAGACTCTTGGCCTTCTTGTTGGAAACGCACCCGGACTTCGCTACTATGTTCAAGCTCTTGGATAAGGCCAGGGGCGATTTCGATGGTGGTGTTGGCTGTCTACTTGCCGGGCCACATGATGAAACCAGCAAGATCCACAACGTTCCCGACTACTTTTTGGCTGCATTCTTTCGATTTCTCTGCCGCTTCGGTCAGCCTACAAAAGGAATCTCAACCAAGACAACGTTCTTGGCTCCGGAACAACACATTCGGGAGTTCATGTTTAACGAAAACTACCTCTTAGAGTATGCATACGCCTTACTCCTACACTATAAGCCGCGCTACCAGCCGATATGGTGTGCGTTCATGGAGAGAGTCGTATTCAGTAGGTTCGGGAGCAACTCGCTCCATCACGAGAAAGACAGCCAGACAGGCATCACGGATGTCCAGTACAACATTGTGATCAGGCTTCTGGATACGCTGGCATCAGTTCATGTCGATGTGGAAGGAGATATGTTCAACCTTGCTTGCACAGCCACCAGATATGCTGCACAGGCTGTGCATCGCGGGAAGTTCTCATTCAGCCAGGGACGCAACTTCCTCACCGGCCGATCCTATCGTCTCCGTACTCTGTTCCATCATCTCGTTGGCGCTCACGTAGATCTCGAGGTGCCGGCCCACTTGACCAGCATTCCACCACATATCCCAGGGCCCGCAGAGCTTCACGTGTATGTTCGCGCGCTCGGCGTTCTACGTGATTACGAAGGGCTGTACTCGTTCTCCACGTGGCTCACGAAGCATAACGTTGAAGTGATAGCGCGAGCGCGAGCGCAACACGGCGGCAGCGATATGCTATTCCGCACACTCGTAGCATTGAGGGCTGCTACCAGTGGGTGGCTCGAAGAAGGGCTCGACACTCGGCCCAAAGCACCTGAAGAGATCAAGCAGCTCATCAAGGCCCAGATCGACAGCGTGGAAGAATGGGGTGGTTGGCCAAGCAAGAAGTACGTCACATTGTACATCGAAGGCCACGTAAGGAGTGCGACGCCTGTGGTTGGAGGGCGGTAAGATATCTGTACAAAGCTGTTCTGAATGTATGTACCCAAATGCACAATACAAAGCGCATTTCACGGCATGCGAATTCTACTTTACAAACGTCAGTGCGCAATGTTTCTTCTTCACCAGACCAGACACGTCTTACAAAGGCCTTTGCAACAAGGCCCTGGTGATGAAGACGTTCCAGCGGCAACCTGAAACGACAGTCGGTGGGCACGTGATGCGGCGCTCCACCTCCATCCGAATCAGCCTCAAAGAATAGGGGGCACGTCCCTGCCTTCGAAACTCAGATGGCGCTTCACCCTGACTCGGACGCGTTCCACATCATGGCGCATGCATGCGAATAGCCTCCTATTTCGCACAACGGAGCCCTGTCCGCAATTTGCCCCAGCTTCAATAATGGTCTTCCCTCGGCCCTTCAGCTGTTCATTCCTTGCCTCTTTTCGTTCTATATTCTCTATTTTTATCGAATAATAATATACCTAATATCATTTCGGGGCACTCCAGCATCAAGTATTCAGCGCATCCACTTCCAGCATTGAGCCCGTTGAAGATCCAGCAATTCCCGACAACCCCATCTCCACCAAAAGCATGTCATCTACCACCATCGTCAACAGAAAGCTCTCCGTCCTGTCCGTCAGCTCACCAACCTCGTACCAAAATCGCCAATCCCAACTCTACCGCGAACTAGAACTGCTCCTCGACTTGACACCCAGCACGTTCAGCTCATCTCTCCTGCGCCTGCCCACAGAGCTGCGAGCCCAGATCTTCACCCACCTCTTGCCGCCGACGGAAAATGCGCGCACAGAGCTACACACCTGCCTTTGGGGCGCAGAAATGCACGCCGCAGAGCCCTGGCGCCACTCCATCATCGGCTACGGATCAAAAGTGCCCGGCTCCTTACGCCTGCACCCAGCGCTCCTCCTCATCAACAAGAAGCTGCGCGACGAAGTCCTGAAACTGTACTGGGGTAGAAGCCAACTCACGCTGCACGCGGAACTGCGCAACACGAAATTCCAAAACGACCTCTTCGACTACTCGCCGCACATCCTCAAGCTGCCGCTGCTCGCCTGCGCGACGCACGTCCGCTTCTATGTCGAGTGGAATTACACGCTGACCAAAGCCGCGAGCGCGCAGCAGCGCATGGACGACTACGTGCGCATGACGGACGACTTCTGCAAGGCCATGGACGAGATTCTGGCCCGGATGGGGCGCGTCGAGGGCATCGAGCTGAGCGTCTTGTTCTTCTGGAAGTACAGGAGCGGCAAGGTGTACGCGCTGACGATGGGAGATCTGTTCGAGGTTGAGGACGTGCTGAAGAAGTATGCCGAGCCCAAGTGGTTGGGGATATTGCAGAAGGCGCAGGGCAGATTAGGCGGACTGAGGGCGAGCGCGGTGAGCAGTCCAGGGTTGGCGCCGGGCGCAGGCGTGGGGTACAAGCTGAGTAGTGAGAGGAAGGGGTTGGAGCAAAGTGGGGGCATGGAGATCTTTGTGAGTCGGGACCTGGAGGCGTGTATGGGGAAGAAGAGGAAGGAGGTGGATTATTATGGGAATTTCGCGGTGAACGAGACGCTGCCGCAGCCGGGTTATGAGGCGGGGAACATGATTTGAAGAGTTCAGAGAGTAGGACATCGTGAAAGAAACATCATATAGCCTAAAGTGTGGCTATTTTCAGATATCAGTAAACGCCATAAATTCAAGTATTGGGTATGTCCGTATCAGCTCGCATATCTGATCGAACCAAACAGAGCTTTATAATGTGTACATCAATCAGAAACCTGGACCCTCATTGGCCGGTGCAAAGTCGGCCTTTTCTGGAGTATGTGGGCCTCTCATGGACAATGCAAACGCCTATAGTGGCCGAAAGGGCACGGTTACAGGTCGACCGCCTGTTAGAAATGCGAGCATGTTGGCGGGCAGCATCGAAATGGCCGCTCGGTGTTTTCGAACACATCTCCCCCATCTTCGCCATTGTGGTGTGGGGTAGAACGCATTGCTTGTCCTCCTCAAGACGAGTGGATTTGCCAGAATAGAGTTGGGAGGTGGAACATTATTGATGCGGCTGTCATTGTTCGCTGTCCTGTCGACAACATCAGCACTTCCCTTCTTCTTCCTGGAATCGTCTTCATCCGCTTCGCGAGCAGCTCGCAAGGCCTCAAGTTCTGCATCTAGGTGGGAAGGTGGACGCTTCCTCTTGTAAATCTGGCGCTTGAAGGGGGTGCTTTTACCGTAGATGGAATCGTCGGGTTCCTCGGCTGCGTGATTAGACTTCTTCTCCTCCGCGACTATTGAGGCCTCGCGATCCTCCGTATCAGTACCCATATACATCGCCTTCAGGTCTTCGAAGTCTTTCTTGTTAGCCAGTGCCCTCTCCAAGCTCTTGTCCGCCAGTGCTTTTACGAACGCTTTTGGCCATTCGTCACTCTGACCCTCGAACCAACCCGACTCCATCCTGGTCATGAAAACTTCAACAACAAAGTTCCTCATATCTGCAGCCAGCTTCTCTTTGTCGCCGAATGCGAACTCGATGCTCTCGTTCCAGAAGTGAGTCTTTGCCTCAGTGAAGAAAGTGGCGATGATGGCATCTCGAAACGTTGTATCTTGCACAGCGCTGCTGACCTTCCAGCACCTTAGTAGGGCGAGATTGAAAGCATCGCCAGTGCGGGAGATTGAGACATCGATCCTGACCGTTCTGGAGTAGAGCCAGTCAAGGTAGGACTGGACCGCCTGACCGTCGAGCTCCTGATCAATCCGCAAGCGCTCGAGATCCGACAAGCTCTTGTTTGCCCATGCCCCACAGCACATAGGACAGGTCGCTTGCTGATAGGTTCGGATCCGGTCCGCTGTCCATTTTTTGGTACAGTCTTCATGGAAGTTCTGGCCGCACGTATCGCAAAAGCTGATTTCTTGAACTACCGCGTTGAGGTCGTCAAAGCATATGGAGCAATCTGCTGTGAGTTCCTTCCGCCGCTGCTGGAAACGAGCCTTGAAGACTTTGGAAGTGCGGCATATGACGTCCTCATGCACCGTGAAGCGGCGAGTGAGGTTCGGGACATCGAAGCGGACGATCTTACTGCCGGTACTGGAGGGTGTTAGTCATCTCCTGATGAAGAAAACGCTGCCTAGATGTATCGTACCTGATCGGACCCAGCTTCTTAGAAGCACCGCCTGACTTGGAAACTGTCATGGTCCTGGAAAGGTAGCGTTGAGGAAGCGTTGATGTCAGAGTTGCCCACGAGTTGGCTTGATAGATGAGAAGGCAACAAATTGCTCGCTGGTTGCGCAGGAGAGCTTGGTAAGAGAGTCAAGGTTGTTTACACGTCATTTTACTAAGTTGCAAGTTCAAGGTGAGAGAAAAGAGACTCTTCTTTCTGCAGGTGCCCTGCCTGCTCGCAGTGTTGTAAACAGTCGTGTGAGATTAATGGTTGTATTGTCGGTGCAGCCCTTCTTTCTAGAGATCCTTCCTTCCACCTTCATCCCAGGCCATACCGTAGCTCTTAACTCTACTCCAGTAGAACGGTCTGTCGTTCTTGAGACCAAACTCGCCCCAGTCGTCCGTCAGGCGATTGTAGCTCCAGTAGCCCTGCCAGGTCAATCTATTGTTCTTAGTCTGGCGACCGGCGGTGCTGACATTGAGGATCATCTTGTTGAAGTACTTCGGTGTCGCGCCTGCCGTTTCGATGATCAGCGCGCCTTCCTGCTCTCCGTCTGCGACGCCGGGCATTTCAGGCCCTGTGAGGCGCCAACGACCTAGAAGTGCGTCCTTCATTGGCGCGGATGGGAGACTACCGTGGTTCCTATGCATGTGTTCGATGTAAAGGTATGGCACAACATCGGCGGGCTCAGAAGTCGTGAGAAGTGAGATACAAGTGCCGTCTCGGAGAAAGCGGAGATAGCGGTAGTATGTGACGATGTGAATGGGTGAGCCCCATGTCAAGCTCATCGTACTTGCTGCACCAGCGCGCTGGTAGTTGACCGTGCTGATGTAGCAACCATTGAACCGGATACGTGGGCGTCGATGGAAAAGGGTACGGTATGTGGGGTACGACGAAGGGACGAGCATTTGGGTGATGGCCACAGAGGGAGGAGGGGTCATAGGGACGTCGGCCTCATTATCAGAGCTATCCCCCAAGGTGAAACCGCCCTCATCATCATCGCCAAGCGGTTGGCCGTCGAGTTGGCAGGTGTAAGAGTAGTGCATAGCTGCGAAGCCGTACTCGTTGCCCAGAGCCAGGCGTTTCCAGACTTGGTCCTCAGTATTGACAAGATATGCAAGGCGTTTGCAGACTTGGGCAAGGCGAACGAATGCTGCCAGATCTTGGATAGCAAGATGCTCCAATATCTGCACAATTATTTCCTCTGGAACAGTCGCTATTGGGCATGGTGGGGCTGGAGACAGATCCGTTGGCGGTGCGTCTCCGGTGATTGACAGACCAGAGAATCCTCCGAGCAGAAGTTGTAAGGAAGGCGGGAGACCATGTAGGGAGTGATGGGCGGTATTGGGTACTGTTGCCGGCGCATTTGAGGAGTTCGGATCTTGTGGTTTCGATGTTGTCGATGAAGCTGCGCCTGCAGCTGAGGTACTGTGCGCCTGCGGTTGGGGCTTGGGCCTATTCTTGAAGAACGAAGGTGGGAAGTGCTTGGCCTTGTACTTCTCATGCACGCCATCATCGAGCTGTGGATTGTCAGACTGCGTCCGTAGATGTGCTTCATGGCTCCTACCTTGAAAGCTTTCCTGTACAACGCAACACTTTCTCCCAGGTTTCCTTCCGTCTCACGCTCAACAGCTTTCTCATAATGATCTAATGCAGTTTCCGGCTGTGTGTTTGCAGAAGTAATAGCGGCAGTCTGACCGCTGGTTTCATCCAGTCTTCGACCATGCTGCTTTTCACCCAAGTCTTGATGAACATACGGAGTGACTTCATCTGTGTCTTCTATGCCTCGCTGGTGTGCATGGGCGTGGGATGCTGCGTCTGGTGCAGGTCCCTTGGCTGCATGGGGCTTGCTGACTGATGGACCTGTAGCCCTCGTTGGTGCAGCTGTCGCAGGCGCGTTGCCCTTGGCTCGGGCCGAGACTTCTTCCCTCCATCTCTGGCGGAACGATTCAAGTTCAGCCTCAGTGCTCGTGGTCTCGCTCTGGGGGTCCATGATTTCAATGTCCAAATGTGGCGTCCCGCTTCTAAGCGCACAACAATCCGATATCGCTGGGTCCACGTACAGGAAAGTGGATATACACAGTGCGGGGTTTCAAAGGGTCTAACAGGAATACATATCTACAGGGCGTGTTGTTGTTTGTCTATGCGTCGTCGTGCGGCGTCGTGCGGCGTCGTGCGGTGAATTAGCGATGCATTGAGATTGACAAGTCACACCGATGACGAAGGCGAAGGCGAGCAAGCGCGCCACAGACGCGTTCTCATCTGATAAGCCGGCCCCACTTCAGTTTAGTCCGACCGCGGATCCGACTGCAATGACAGCCATTTTTTGAGCCGATGATGCTTCTAGCTCCACGGCCCATCGCCGCCCTTCAGCGCATCGTCACCACTTTATCACCACCCGTGGAGAATGAACACGCCCGCCTTTCTGCGCCCTTACGACCCTCATAGTACGCCTCGTATCGACCCGAGGTAACACGGCCATCCACAGCACCCAGCTGCAACGATGGCAATGGCCACCCAGCGGGCCGAGGATGTGGACGTCATCCAAAGTGCCGAAGAGGTGTCGCTCTCCCAGAAGATGCTCTCGGCCGTGTCTGGGAGTATTCTGACATCGCTGCTCGGTAAGTCCATGCTTTACAGTCTCTTTATCAATTGTGCAGCATCAACGAGCTGTGTCCAACACGGTGTCCGCTGCTGCCTGTCATGAACCTTTACTGACGTAGAACAGTCACGCCCCTCGATGTAGTCCGCGTCCGTCTACAATCACAAGAAACAACAGTAAAAGCTTCCTCACATTCACCTCGTGGCTTCAATGGCTCCACGCTCACACAGTTCCGCGACATGCCACCAAACATCGGCATATCAGCATGCTGCAGGGAGGTGTTCTGGATGAACAACAAGGCACCCTTCTGCGTCGCCGGACCGACGATGGCTTCCATAAATCCAGCCGATTTGAATTGCGCCGTGGAAGAGGTGGAGCGGAGAACCATCAACAGCACCTGGGACGGACTGCGAAAGATTGCCCAGAACGAAGGCCCAAGAACATTATGGCGAGGACTGTCACCCACACTGGTCATGGCAGTACCGGCCAACGTCATCTACTTTGCAGGCTACGACTGGCTACGCACAGCACAAGCCTCGCCCTTCCGCAAGATCGTGTCAGACGCATACATTCCCTTGGTAGCAGGTGCAACCGCACGCACAATGGCTGCCATCACCGTGAGCCCCATCGAAATGTTCAGGACCAGGATGCAGGCAGCAAACCACACGGCCACTGCTGCAGGACACTTCCGTGAGACGATGGACGGCCTGAAAGAGATGGTGGGCTCACAGGGTATCCTGAGTCTGTGGCGTGGTCTCACACTAACACTCTGGCGTGACGTACCCTTCTCTGCTATCTATTGGTGGGGCTATGAAGCTACACGGAATGCTCTCACCGACGCGCGAGGCCGAGCCGAGGCCAGGAACGATGGGTTCGAGTTTCGCATGGGCCGCGGCGAGGAGAAGATCCAGCGACGCAGCCGGTCAAGAAGCCGAGAGAATCCAACAGACACCATCGTTGACAGTTTCCTTGCTGGCGCTGCCTCAGGTGGTGTTGCAGCCTTCGTCACTACACCATTCGATGTTGGCAAGACACGACAGCAGATTGTACGACACGCAGGCAAGGCAGCCAAAGATGCCGCGGATACAATGCGCCCAGAGGACCAGTCAATGCCCCGTTTCCTCATGCACATTTACAAAGAGCAGGGCATGTCTGGACTGTTCAAAGGATGGGCCGCTAGATCACTAAAAATCGCTCCCGCATGTGCGATCATGATCAGCTGCTACGAGCTGGGCAAGAAAGTCTTCAACGACGTCAACGAACGCAAGCACCTCGAGAGGACACAAGATCGATAGGATAGTACATACGGCAGGAGACCTTTACACACATCTTAGATTCGGCGCATACCCCTCTTTGGGACCTGGAGATTGGTTCGACACATTTTGCATTGCAGTAGCATGGCATGTCACGGCGTTATTGGCGAGTTTGGGCAAAGAGCGGCCTACGACGATGTATTGATACCAGCGCGTTTGTATATACTGGCGCATGTATTATAGCGATGAAACGCATCGCACATAATTGATGTACCTATATTTTCCACCCGTACCTATGTGCAATTTCCGCTGCAATTGACTTGTCCTTGAGCTGTACAAAAGTTCCAACCTCGGACCTTGAGGCAATTGCATTTCGCGCTAGTGGGGTCATCATTGCCGCGACGAGCAAACGCGTCAGCGAAGCGTTGCGCGAACTTGGTTACTTCATAACTTCTACCTCTCTTCCCTCAACTAGTTACAATGCTTGACGTTGAAGACTTTGATGCTGTCTTTCAGGGCCTCACCTACACAGACGGCCTGGTACAGCAAATCCAAGAATACCAGCATGCGCTCGGCGGCCAGACTTTCTTCGAGCGGCTGCTAGGTCTTCTGAAGATCAAGGGTATGCGCTGCTACAGCTCTGACAGGCACTGCTTACTGACAATACCCCAGGGCGCAAAGCTTATCCCCCCAAGACACCACAGCAGCTTCACGACCTCCACCAGCGCATCGTCTCCGCCGAAACCACATTGCACAACAAGCATTGCTTGATCTTCTACCTGCTCAAGGACTTATCGCCGCAGCATCACGAGGACGACGAGCTTGCCGCCGCATTTGCCCGCGATGTACATCTCGAGAAGCGCTTCTGGACCTTCATTGAAGGGCTGTGGGCTCTCGATCGCCTTGAGCTCGCAACCGCCGTTGGCAGCCTTACGCACCCCAGCATCATACCAACATTTCCAGACGAAATTATGCTCACACTTCTGGAGGGCAGGGAGAGACTGAATACGGTGAACGTGCAGAAGGGCGAGCAGGACGAGGTGCTGCCGTTGGCCTACTATAACTGTGTCAAGCCACCGCTAGAGGACCAGAAGGTCAGGAGCGAGTTCGCCAAGTACCTCTCACACCGCAATATCACAGAGACGTACTACTGGGTTCACACTCGCCCCGAGTATGAGCAGAAGCCCCTCCTCGAGATCTTGATTGAACAGACATTGGAGAAGAGTGTATGGAACAACGGGGTGGGCGAGGAGGTGTACTCGAGAGAGGAAAAAGCAATGGAGCTCGTGAGCTTGCCCTTCAGCGACGAAGAAGAAAACTTCATCGAGGAGTTCTTGACCAAGGGCAAGGGCAGGACATACCGTAATGCGGAGGACACAGTCATGATGCGCCGGATCGTTATAGGCAGGCTCTCTGATGTGGCCAAGGACCAGGACACACGCGGTCGTAGGGCAGATGGCGTGGACTGGGACTCGCTGAAGGATGGCATTGATAGAGGACTTGGGCCGAGGCGCGATAAAGGCGAATTCGCGTTCTGAAGCTCTGCTCTGCGTACCAGCGAAAGAGATTGTTTTGCATGGCGAAGGCGTTTGGCACATTTCGATTCCACGGAGTAACCAATAAGAGCATTTTTTACTCACCTCTACCGCGCCCTCTCTCTCACATCCAAACTTCACTTACAGTCACTTACCTCACCGCTCGCAGGCGCATCCAGTCTACAAGGCCAGCCTACGCCATATCCTCTATACAAACTCACTGGGCTACAATCATGCCACCACTCTGCTGTCTTCCGCCTCGACAAGTCAACTCTTAGACAGCTGCCAATCCCCAGGAGCTTGCGATGACACCTCTAACACCCTCACCAACACCAATCCCGGCGGGCGTTGGGGCTGCCCAGTTTCCTTACAAATGGGACGACGTCACAACAAAGCTTGGTCTTGAGTCTAGCAAAGAAATCTCTGACTTCATTCTCAAGCCTATCTTTCTCGAACGTTGGATGAAGCTGCGAGACCATATGCCACTAGAACCCAACAAGCCCATCGACATCATATCCGCAGACGATAAGACCGCCCTGGTCGAACTCGCTACGGCCATATACGCAGCCATGGACTGTATGGCAACTTCAAAGTACGATCGTCCCACCGCTTCAGACAGAGGATCCTAGAAGCCCAACGAGTACGTCGAATTCCTTATCTACTAGTGCGCACGCGACCTCGCTGCCCCCGGCCGCGCCTTCCATGCGGCCTTTGAGAGGCCAAAGCTTAAGAACGAATCCGACCGCAAGGACGCGCTGTCACGTATCCGTAGCCTTGCTATGCTGGTCTTCAACCTTATTATCAATTACACAATCATGTCACCGTACAGGGTCCTTCGCAACATCGAAGCGGTAAGGCCAGCCAAGAATCCTAATCTGAGCCCTATTCCGGAGGTGAGAAGGAAGTGGCAACTGGAACGCATAGACTCGGGCTCACTCGCCCGGGCCGGCCACTCGCCCGTGAGGTACGTTGGTTAAACCAAGAAATGGAGGCTGTTAGCTCTTTTGTGCTAATGCCTACCTTTATAGCAGTAACACTAGCGTTACTTTGTTCTTTTACAAATTCAAATCACACCCTACCTTAGGTACCTACGCACTTTTTAATTGTTTTTGCATTTCAGCATTGTAACGTGCACAGCAATACTGCAGTACTACGCCAATTACGGCTATCTACGCCTACTATCCGTATGTCACACATGCTACGTAGGTTTCAGGACGCTACGGTTGGCTATAATTGCCGTAGGTTACGGCAATTGACCCTTACCGTAGCTGTATACGTCCCGTTGGCAACGCTGCTGGTAGACGACCTGCCGGAGAACAAGCTAAAAACGAGATACAGCATATCGTGTTACCGCGTGAGGACGGTAAAGAAGATTATCCTTTATACTCTAAAGGGATTACTATTTCTGCACAAGAATGATATAGTGTAAAGCGACGTACGGCCCGGCAATCTGCTCTTCGTAACGACGGATCTCGACCTCATGCAGAACGAAGCCGAGACGGCGGTACTTATGCAGAGACTCGACGAGAAGATTGACAAATGTGCATCCTGCAACATGTATCTGAGACAGAGGCTGCACGACCACGTGAGACTTGGTGGAGATCTCTGCGTGAAGGTGTCAAACTTCGGAGCTGGTGAGCCAATTGATTTTTACAAACGAGCACAAGTAACAGCTTTCGCGGCTTTCGCAGCTTTCGCAGCCATTTTCCGCTCCAATTCACCAAGAGCCACAGCCACATCAGCCGGCCTCTGCAGTCCCGAACTGATTCTCGGACAACAACCGTTATTTGGCACCGGCATCGACATCTGGGCACTCGGATGTCTACTCTACGAATTCCTTACAGGCGAGCCGCTGTTTGTGGTGGCGAGCTTTGGAATCCAGTTAGACAAGTGAGATGACGACCATCTTGCTCAGATGAACGACAAGATACGCCCATGACCGGACTGGATCACGAAGGAGAGGCAGAATGCCATCCGAAAGCACGACTCCTCGGATGGGGTTGAACCTCATAAGGTGCTCGAGGATCAGTTTGCGAAGATCAAGCATCCTGACATTGATGACGATGAGGCGACCATCGTCTGTCAACTCATCCGGGATATCCTAGCGTACGATCCGGTGGAGCGGCCTTCAGCAGAGGAGCTGCTGGAGCACCCTTGGGTTGCAGTCGGTGATAGGCAAGGCGTTGAGAGCGATTTGTAAGGTATTAAAGTCATAATGTGTAGTACGCAAAAGCATCAAACTAATTCGGCGCCAATTTGTAATTGCCCTTTTTTGACCTCTTGCTCGCGTCTAGTCAACCCACCAGCTCTTCAAATAATTCATCTCTCCTCCTCCTCACCTCATCGCACCTGACCTCCAAACGTCCCACCTCCTTTCGCGCCGCTGTCAAATCAGCCGGCAGTCCCCCGAACTGTTCGACCTCCTCTTCCAGTGCTTGCACTCTCTCCCTCAACTCTTCCGATGCGCGCTGCTGTTCCAGCATATCCGTGATCGCCTCTACAGTCGCTATGTTCTTCGATCCGGGCGTCATAGCACGCGCATGGCTTGATTGGAGAGAGGAGAGCTGCGACTCTGCCTCCCGAATCTTGGAGCGCAGATGCTTAGTCTGCCGTGTTTGCTCGATTGTCTGGCGCTGGAGAGAGGCTGGGGCGGAGAACAAGGGGTCGGTTTGTAACTCGTGGAGCTGTGCACGCAATAGAGCATGTTGTTTTGAGAGGTATTTTTGCAGGTCCTGGATGTGCGTGAGCTGGTTTGTGAGGTTCTGCGTTGTAGCTGTGTACGAGATCAGGGCGTGGGCGAGGGTTTGCGGGTCTGCTGTTGGTGTCGAAAGAGCGATCGTGGTAGAGGCGAGCGCAGCAAGAGCCGTTGATCCCTCGGGCGTGAGGTTTGCGCGGAGCGTAGAGAGGATATGAGCACCATTTGGGTTGGTGGTTACCTACCTGGTGAGCCTATGCAGCGCTGCACCGGTTGTACAGACTTCATACCTCGTCAAGCTCTTTCAAAGCCTCCCGCTCTACCCTCTCTAGGACTGCGCGCTCTTCATCCGCCCTCTCATTCGCCATTGACAGCTCGCGCAACACTTTAAGTGTCTCCTCATTGCGCTCAAAGGCAGGCATTGTGCGCCCGGCATACTTATACGACAGCCATGATTCGATGTGTGCCCAGTCCTGAGCTCTTGCACGCTGCTGCCGAGCTTTTGAAGGCGAAAAGAGGTCAGACGGCGTGAGGCTGTCCATCTCCACGGTCAATGGTGTCACTGGTGTTTGTTGTCTTCTGAAAGTGAGTACCCATCCTGAGACCCTGGCGCCTTCCTTATCGATAACCTTAAATTTCTAAATGTCGCAACTGCCGACCTCGGAGCTAGCGGGACTTGGTAATTCATCCTGGAGCACGAAGTGTCATTGCTGTCAAAACAGTCATTGCCTCCACTATTGCATATACGAGGCCATTTCTTCTGCATCCTACCATATCCCTAGATTATACATATTACCTTTGCCAGCATGGCGCCTATGATGATTGAGAATGAGAACGATGTTGAGGTGGGGGAGAGTCTGCCTCCTATGACTGAGCACGTGAGTCAACACCAGGCATTACATGAGTTTGAACAAATGCTGAATACGCCAGGCTGTCAGTGTCTCATTACCTACGTGGAGAGCGAATGTAGGCTACGAAGAAGGTGAAGACTGGGTGATCAGCAAGATGAAGACTGGGTATCCCAGGTACGTGGTGGCAAAGACAATAACGACCTTTGACTGACCATTGAAGGTTCTTCATACACAAACAGATCCAAAGCTTTGCTACGGACATATTGCAGAAACATGGGAGAGAAGGAGAAGGCGCGATGCTCTTCCCAACACATTGCACTGCGTCGAGATGTCGGGATTTTATCATCAGGATCGCTGCGGACCAAGACACTTCGCAGGTGAGGATTATGGACTTGATACCAGCACTCGAGTCGCAACGTGCCGAACAGATGAACGCCATCTCGCCCAAAATCTCCGCCGTATTGTACCCGCTGGATCTTTTCAAGGTTGCAAAGCAGTTCTGGCAGCACTCAGGAGACGGTGTGTCGAGCAGGAGAGCGGAGTACTGTCACCACTTGTTTGAGAAGGGCCTTTTAGTGGACGCTGAAAAGATCAACGAGGCACCAGCTCGCATGTGCAAAGGACCTCGTCGATATCAGAACAAGAAAGCTTCGGTCGACCTCGATGCTCCGGCTGTTCAACAAGATGCCGAGACTCTTACACAGTTTGTTGAGCAGAGATTTGGTCGCAACCTAGATCTGTCCATGACCAAGAACGCTAAACTTGCTGTGCGCCGCCGCATCGCCGGCTCGCTTACTGCGGACGTTGCACTGGCCGAAGCACTCTCCCTTGATGCCGACTCTGAGCGCACACGCGGTGCTGACTTCTCCGAGGACGATGTCTACCTCTACCCGACTGGAATGAGCGCTATCTTCAACACACACAGGAATCTGCTCGCAGTCAAAGGAGAACGCAAGGCCATCGTCTACGGCTTCCCATACATCGACACATTAAAGATCACAGAGAAGTTCGGGCCCGGATCGCTCTTCTACGGCTACGGCTCAAGCGAAGAGCTGGATGATCTGGAGAACCGCCTCGAGAGCGGCGAGAAGTACCTCGCCCTCTTCACAGAATTCCCTGGCAACCCACTCCTCCGCAGTCCCGATTTGCAGCGCATACACAAGCTCGCGGAGAAATACGACTTCTGTGTCGTCGTCGACGAAACAATTGGCAACTTCATCAACGTCAATGTGCTCCCGTACGCCGACGTGGTCGTCAGCAGCCTAACCAAAGTCTTCAGCGGTGACAGCAACGTCATGGGCGGCGGTCTAGTTCTCAATCCGAAAGCGCAGAATTACGCGCTACTCAAGCAGCGGTGGACAGAAGACTACGAAGACAACCACTGGTGTGAAGACTCCATTTTCCTCGAGCGCAATAGCCGCGACTTTGTGTCGAGAATTGAGCGCATTGGCTTGAATGCCGAGGCGATTTGCGACGTGCTCAGTGCGCATCCGCGGGTCAAGCAGGTCAATTATCCTAAGACGAGTCCGACAAGGGAGTTCTACGAGAAGTGCAGGAATCCTAAAGGTGGATATGGTGGGCTGTTGTCTGCGACATTCTACACCATGGCAGATGCTGTTGCGTTCTTCGACAGTCTTGATACCGTCAAGGGACCCAGTCTGGGCACCAACTTCACGCTGAGTAGTCCCTATGTCATCCTGGCACACTATGGCGAGTTGGACTGGGTAAGTCGTGGACTTTGATCAAAACGTTTTGAATCGTGCTAACTATCGCGCAGGCTGCGAAGTGGGGCGTCGAAGCTGACCTGATTCGCTTCAGTGTTGGACTGGAGGAGACGAGTAAGCTGATTGATACGTTCAAGAGGGCATTGGACGCGATGGACAAGGTGGAGCAGTCATAGTCCTTGACAAAGTTACGTGCCTGCATATTAGTAGGCGCAGAACTAGACGGCTTGTAGCGTGTGCCCGCATCCGTGCGAGACCCGGGGATGGAATTTGTACTGCACCTAAGCGTCTCCGATGAGCTACTCAGTTAGCATTCACATCTCAACAGCAACACTAAGTTCTACAGGCAGATAGATGCTAATCTTGTTTATACTGTTTGTACATTTTACGACTGCTATCTAGGAGTAGAATGTGTAGTGTTGGCAAGAACAGCTGTGAAGTGCACGGACGTGTCTCATCAGAGGCACTCACATGCAGTATGCCGTGTCTAGTGGTGAGGTAAGGTTGTGAGTGGATCGATCCTTCCGATGAGCTTGAGGTCGGCTTTGGGGACCCAGCCAATCAGCTTGTAGCTGGCGGCGTCGAATCAAGGCTTAAGTTGTAATCGGTGAAAGGACGTGGCTATTATTTGGTGACGTTGCGTCGATTAATTAGATTAGATGTGATCTTTCATGGTATCTTTAGGTTGAGCGGTAAATATGACCTTCGGGCTGCCCCTCTCCTTCTCAAGCGCGATGGCGAGATCCAAGGCGGTACTTCAGCTTTGAAATCAGATTCGATTTGATATTGATTGTACGACTGCATCGTGGTCAGGAGTTGAAGTTTGCACGTTCGTCAATGCGTCCTTCGCTCCTATGCCAAGAATACCCCTGGGGTAATGTGCGTTTCCGAAGCGCCAACCGATACTTCCATATTGTGGCTTGTTATGATCTTATGAGTGACGCGTATTCGGCTTGGCGCACCTGAATTGCACTTCGGTTGCGTGTGTTGTTGCTCTGGCGCTTCGCATTACTGTGTTGTGTAGGCGAAGTAGTGGAGGGGCAGCGACGTCAGTTCAGCGATTTGAACTGAGGAAGGTCGAGATTCGTGTGGCAGAAGACAACAGACCATTGTGATGCGTCAAGTAAGCAGTAACTTAGGATAACCCTGTCTTGCATTATAAGAATTACCCCTACAAGGTCGGTGTGATCGTCCCCCTGCTTGAGCGCATTTCAACACGTGCAGCAATTTGCTACTTTGTGCGTCGAGCCGCGCTCACGTGTGCCTCTGCAGGTGATATAAAACCTATCCTGACAGACATCCATACTTACCAGGTGAACGGGAGTGCGGCAGCCCAAGCTCCCCCCGCCTTTTGCGATGGCATTTTCTTAGTCGTGGTGTAGGACTGGGATATGCTGGGAAATCTGCGAGGTCAAGCCTCGCCAGAGATTCTCATCGTTGGGGCAACAAAAGGCAATATCGGGGAAGGCGCTGCTAATTTCCAGTCCTTGGCAGTCTTGACGAAGAGTAGCTTGCCGAATACCGAACACTGACTCGTAGTTGTAGCGGTCCAGGGCAACCTTCGTAGTTGCGGACAGGCTCATCTCGAGTCAAAGCTCCCGCCTGGTGCTCCCTGCGACAACGGCCCGTTTGCGGCTGCCTGCTTGACATTTCGGTCGTGGCAAGCACAACCCTTGTTCGCATCAGCTTCCCAAGTCCCGACCTTGCCATCTGGCTGTCGTTAACGTTACCCGTTGTAGAGATTTACGAGCCATCAGGCCTCCCAATCAGGTCTCGATGCCCAGGTAATGTGTTCATTGAATCAATTTCCCTAGAGACGGGTGCGACAAAATTTGCGCCTCGTCTCTCGGGGACCTCCCTCTAATGGTTCCTGACGAAACAACAAGTTCGTGCCGCTAGCAAAGATGTTATCGTGCACGCAAGATTGCAACGCTTGACTGTAGTGGAAACTTTAGATGTTTGCCTCATTAGACATGGGATCGACAAAGTGCACCCAGGAGCTCAGCACATGGTGTGTAGCTGTGGCTGATGCACGGCAGCCTATTCAGAGCAGAGTTTGTAGAAGTTCCGATCGTCCTGTGGTGTCATTGTGGACTCTGTGCGATCTTGGTATCGATGGGCGACGGACGTTGCCGGTCGGATGGTAAGTTTCGCGAGTTTTCCCGCGAATCTTCCGTCAACCTCGCGGCTATACAGCCAATCAACGCGAGCAAATTCTCGTGTATGTCATGTGCATGCAGACCAGGTGTGCTTGAGCTACTTCTCTGCGGCGCGGTGACGCAGTGCGCTTCAAAACGAGGAACCTGCTCGGCGCCTCACGTTCCTGTCAAGAGCTCCGTAAAGAGCGAATGAGTATCCGCAATTAAGACAGGTAAAGAGGGTTCGAGTAGCAACCGCAATTCAGCGTAACATAACAGTCGCTAGCAGCGCAACATCTCGACGGGTACTCCCAGCATCGACCACGAACCCGGGCATCGAACCTCACATCCGTCTCCACAGCGATGTGAAGAGGTCGAGTACCGGAGTACCCTTGAAGGGGCGGCGGAGATTAGCCGTGTTGGCATCATGCATCTTGGATCACAATCACCTCACACCCTGACTGACGCCATCTGTGGTGGCACACCGCGACAGCCACTTCGCAAGTTCGATGCGATTTCCAGAAGCTGCCGCGCGGCGCTGGCGGCCCTGGCCGCTGAAACAATGCCTTCGGCCCGTGTCTGATTGACAGCACGTGCTTCCCGGGGCTTCTTCGACGCGAGATATTTCGCTGGCTGGACCGAGGGAGCTGTGCACAGGCAGCACAGCATAACACGCCATTTTTCTTGGTCTACAACAGTCTTAGAGTCAATCTGTAAGCTGTCCCGGGGCTCAGATTGCCAGCGTTCCCCGACGAGGCTTCTAAGCGGAAGGAGATGGAAATTGCACGCGCCACGCCTCTTCCGAATCGTCACCTCCACCCACCAGGCCCCATGTTTTCTTCCGTCGTATACTATCCTGGTTTAACGCTTCGATGCCTGACAGTCCCGTTTGACACACCAAGCCAAAGTCGGCATAGCTTTTCCTCCATGCGCGGCAGCCCTTTGCCGCCACCAACGCTTGCATGGAAGTAGATGCACCTGCCAGGACTATCAACAGCCACCGTTGCGGCTTGCCAGCGCCGTAGCCGGGGACAGCCTTAGTCGCCCACCGGCACCTCTGTGGGTTTCCTTGCTATGCACGCGGCAACGTCCGCTTTTGCATCAAGCATACAGCGCTTGCTATTGAGGATGTGGCCGACCTTGTCGTCAAGTACAAGCGCCCGTCACTTCCCTGAAGTCAGGGTAACGGTCCGGGTACACAGGCATGGGTACGTCCTAGGGAAACGGTCGGGGCGCTTGGCAATGTCCTCGCTGGGGTGTGAATCCTGCGAGGCTCTGACCAGTCCCCAGCCGCAAACCCGGGAAGGCGCAATTCTGTCGAACTGCGACTGTTCGAGGCTCAGATGTTCCATACCCGTAAATATTGGTATCCCCCATGTATGGATACAGACCACATTCAGATATCAGATCCAAGAGCACAAGTCTGCCTCACGTTCTTCACGCATCAAGCTTGATAAGCAGCTAAAGGCCGCCCACGTCCAGTCAGAAAACAGTACGTTAGCCCCACTCAGCAGTCCCAATACATGCGTTGCTATCATCTCGGTGGTGACCCGACCATCCCCTTAGTTTTGACAAAACGAGGCTTTCCCCATCTTACAAGACTTCAGAATTGTAGCGAGCCAGACCTTCCCTACCATCCATCGGAAAACCTCGATCAAGGAGTGACCGTCCGCACCGTGCCACACCTCTGCCTGTGCCCCACCAAAGTTTTGTGGGTTATCGCAACCTAGGACTCCATCAGCCTCCCCCTACTGGGCACAGTCCACAAAACCTCAAGACTCTTAAGCGGAGGTACAATCCATTGGCGACTGATCGTCAGAAATCCTAATCCTACGCATTGTCACTTTCACTTTTCAGCGACTCATCGTCTGCAAGTAGACCCTAAAAGGCTGTAACGCAACTCCTTCACATCGAACTCGGAATTCAAGATCGACCTCACGACAACGCTCTACCTTGTCACGCGATCACAAAGTATCTAGAGAAATCCCTGAACGCAATAGGTGGACACCAGGTCCTGTCATTAATTCCGAGAAGTTGCGCAAACAGTCGCTCGAAGTCCAAGGGATGAGGTAAGTTCCATTGTGGCCGCTGGGTGTAGACATTCTGACTCACAAGCAAAGCACACTAGGATACACTATGCCGCATTCTCAATACGGTATGAACCACTACGGTTCCTCGCAGTCGTCCTACTCATCAGGCTACCCACCAGCGAGCCAGCAAGGCTATTCAGACTCCAGATCATCAACATCCGGAGGCTATACTCCATCGTATGCGCCTAGCCCAGGACATCAGTACGAACCGCAGCAAAGGATGAAGGAGGAGCAAAGTGTGCTACCGCCGTATCAGCCGCAGCATCCGTCTTATTCTCATCGTAGCTATCAACAGCAACCATTGGAGTCGGTGCGACAAAGTTCTAGTGCGGGGGGATACTCATACCCTGCGCCTCATAGCAACCTACCGAGCCAAAGCATGGAGAATAGCCCCTCAGCCTATCCACCGTAAGCGCGATTGGTAGTGTCGATAGCACGCAGAAGCTAAGTTTGAAACAGACCAGCCTTGTACCCACCAAATACATACGGCATGAACGACTATCGCGTGTCCCTTCCAACTATTTACCCACCCTCATCAACACCTGCCGCATATTCTGCATATGACCATCCCCGGGGCATTCCACCACCACCGGACAGCAACATTCCTGCGCTCTCCTCGTCTCCGAGTAATCAGAACGGCTCTGTAATGCCGCGTGTTCTGAATTCACGACCAAAGCCGCAATGCTTTGAACATGGATGTAACGGCCGACAATTTTCAACATTTAGCAATCTCCTACGGCACCAGCGTGAGAAGTCAGGAACCGCGACGAAGAGCCAGTGTCCGAGATGCCACGCAGAGTTCACACGCACCACTGCTATGAAGGGCCATATGCAGCATGACAAGTGCAAGGCTCGCAGACCATCAGAAGTATCGAACATGTCGAGATGATGACTCCGGACTCGACAATGGATCTTCCTACAACTCGCGGTGTATAGCGTTCTTTCGGAGGTCGCAAGTCTCTCCATCATCTGCATAGCATGGCGTTTCAAAGCTGGGTATGGTCATTCGTTCGTTGGACATTCTCTGCACACATGCACACCATCTCTATCCGAGGCCGTTTGGATGGGCGCGTTTAAGTCCTGGTTCCCAGAGCGAGCGAAACTGCTCAGGACTTAGGAGTGTATTGAAGCACGGTTCCCAAAGAAACAACTCGCTTGCATAAGGGCACGTTCGGTGGATAAGTGCGGGAGGATGTGAAGGAGCAAGTTTTCGGCGGACTAATACCCTGGGAATCCATCATCCCTCTCACTGGCGTATATTTTTTATTATAATCGAATCGGCAACATCAGCACGTGTTCAAACGCCGTATTTCGGCATTCAGTCCAGGTCGAATTTTCTCATCTTCGACCATACCCCGACTTGCGGAACCTGTCTTTCCCGTCAGCTTGGACTGGTTCTGGATAGGCGTCAAAAGTCCTGACAATTGTTCATGTGTTGAAACAATCCTGTCAGCATGTTTGACAGACTTCCATGTGACAGCCGTTACATCATACTTGAACCGCTTTTCAAAGCAACAACATCCTTGGCCGTTCCGCGGCGTTTACGCAGCCAACGGGATTGACCTGGTCGGTTCGCAAGGCCACTGCACGAGGCTGCCGTGCACACGGCCTAACCTGACTAGCGGGCCGCCCGCCGGTCCTTCGTGCAGTCGTGTTACAGCATGCTATCCGGACCCCCTTTTACCATTTCCTCCTTGAAGACTGAGAGATGATCAGAACAATCCGGATTTCCTTTCTGGCGTGCCACATGCACACACAACTCAGTCTCGGGAGTGACACGCAATGCCGGCCCTACAGCAGGACTGATAGCTGGGCAAACCAAGATATCGGGAATTAGGAGCGCTATCGCCTTGCCCTGTCATCACCGGACAGCGGAACAATAGGCTAATGCGTGTGCGATGGATGCCTTGTCATGGATGGAACCTTCCGTTCAGGGACATGGGCTATCATCTTCGAACCCTCGTAGATTGGCGCACGTGTGGGGTCTTACAGAACGTGGTCATCCCAGCCTTGACCACAAGCGATCGCAATTGCTTCTTCTGGCCGTTAGTCTGAAAGCAGCGCGTTTCTGAGGACGTCGAGACGGTGGTCGATTGCGTGCCAAGACTTTCATTGTGAGTGTTCAATACCGGGCCCACTTCGTGACTGCGCACGCGATGCGGACACCATACGCATCGGATGATTGGACCCGGTAACAAACCCAGGGTGGTCGGTATCAGGCGACGGAAAATCTGCTGTCCAGCATTATTCGAAGCATGACGCAGACGCCGTGCCGACCGCGTCTCATTTTCAAGGCCCTGCCCTGGAACTACTGTCCGACCCACGGCGCTGGAATTCTACCCACCCACGAAGTCATAAGATCCAGTTCGCACACCTCACCGGTGTCTTGCAAGACGTACAGATTAGCCACAATATGCTCAAGGTGGCGGAATGAGCCGAATCCAACGGTCGAAGGACAATGAACGTGAAGGGTCTCTTCCTTCCCGCGCACGGCGCCGCAGAACACAGAGTCTTGATTGTGTCTTTACGGCTGACATGTGGATCGGGGGCTGCACTTTTACATGGGTTCGTGTTGCGGCACAGCGGGGAACGGTAGGCGGGAAGGATGGACTGTCACTTGATCTGAACGACTCCACTGTGAGCAGGTGGACCAGCAGTCTTTCACGTGACAGTCTGATGGAGAGGACAACGTCGCGAAGACATGATGAGACCCGAGCACTCGCAGAGCCAGGATGAACCTGCAATCGCACGTGGACACCCATACTGTACTGCGGTACCGATGAAGGGGAACGTGTAACACTGGGCGGAGTAAGCATTTCAGCATCTGTCCTCGGACATGTGCGCCACATCATTCGCAATTGTGCGAGTTGCGGCACGAAGATTGATGAATTTGACCTGGTTGTATTGATGGGGCAGAGGACGCAATCTCGCTACGGGCGGCAGCACGAACCACACGCCCTGCTGCGAAGAACCAATACGTAACTAGATTGTTCTGCGTTGTGTGTTGCGACGTCAGGGACCCTGCGTACACTCGCGTAATGGGTGCCGACACGATTCAGAACATGTCGAATTGCCGCGAAAGCGTACTCGTTATTCGCAGCAGATGAGGCGTACCCACCGCAATGTGCTCGCAACGCTGCCAACCTAACTTGAATAGGAAAACAGTGTCTTTCGGATCCGAAGCCCTGCTCCCCGAGATGGACTTCGCCATGCATCCTTTATGTGGCAGCAGCTCCGCGGGCAGTTGCAAGCCGGGCAGTGGGGTACATGCAAGCGCGTTGAAGGAGGACCCCGTGGCGCTCGAGGGAAGCGGAAGGAGCGAGCTGCACATCAGAACGGTCAAAAGCATAATTGATCCTACCGCCTCGGAGCCTCGAGTCGAAAGTGATCGTGAACCCGTTGCCTGAAGTGGTTACTCTTCGGCGACGGGTTCGCTTCCACCGACAAGCGCGCGCAAGTCTGCTGCGTGTTCAGGCCCTAACGATAACAATAGCGGAGCAGACTCTACACCATCACATGTGCCAACCTTCCAAGGCGGCTGTACGCTTCCGCAGTGTGCTCGGTCTGAGACACAGCCGAGATATACCGGCTAATGTGGATCCAGCGCGCCTGAGGAAAGAGGGCCGCAGCCCAGTCGCCCAGCCTGGAGCGCTGGCATAATAGGCGCGGTGATATATGTAGATCGCCCTGCATGTGCGTGGACTGATTGCAATCAGTGCGAGGGAAGCGAGGATGAGTCGGCTATGGCCGTAAAGGCCGGCATGCCGCGACTGAGTGCTCGGCACGGTGCTGAGCTGCAAAGTTTTAGTCACACAATGGAGGGAGGTCTTTACCATATTTGCCTTGGAAGATCGTCATATCATTACAATGCAAATTTCGTTCACGCCTCTCTAAATGCACGAGAAGCTGGTCCAGGAGAGAAATGATATGTTGAATAACTCGAAACAGAACAGAAGATCAAAAGGACGATGCAGAACTCGCGCAGAGACAGCGCACAAAAATCAAACCTAAATCAGTGTTGCTCGACAGCATAACCAACGAAGCCCTCGAAGCCCGTCACCCCTTTTGCGCCCTTCTCAGTGCCGCTAGCTGGCATCGGACCACCGCCGGACATGACCAGTACTTTGGCGCCTTGCTCAATGAACTCCTTAGATCCGGTGAATTGGAACCTAACTCTGACTGCAGCCGGCGATGCGGCAGCAGGCTGCTCATCAGCATCGTCATCAAACCCACCAAACCCGAATGCATTCTCATCGTCATCCTGGTCCGGGCTCTCAAGCGAAAGACCAGGCTCAGCAGAGACCGAGATAACCTTTGACGGGGCTCGGACACTGGCAACGTAGACGACAATTGCGCTCCCAACAGCGAGGCTGGCAGCACCGCTTGCCTGAGAACCCTCGAAGCAGACTGTCATCATTCTGGATGCCAGAGGTTGTCTATCAGCCAGAACCATCCCTTTCCTGATGCGATCGATTGACGGGCTGATGACGGGAATGTCGACAAGCTCCACCGCTATCGTACCAAGTTGGCCTGCATAGAGCGCTCGCACTGGTAAACGCAAATTGCGCAGCGATGTAATGCGTACTCGTCGCCACTCGACGTGTCGATCACGCAGGGGCGTATTCCTCTTGTTCAGAGCGCCCGGGTAAGATCTCGAGGTCGTCAACGGTGATTGACGCAGCGGTCTCCCACTTCCGCTGTCGCTGTCATCTGAGCTTGTATCGATTGGGTACGGCCCAAGTAGTAGCTCTTCGCCAACTGTCAGTCTCCCGTGACGCAGAAAGCCGCCTATGATGGCAGACCGGTCTGAAGATGCATTGGCTCGGACACTGTAGACATCCTCAATGTAGAACAGATGAGAGGGCGACTTGTCTGGTAGAGGCGTCTCTACCAGACATATCGGGAGAGGGAGCTGTCGCAGGAAGGCGTGCAGTTTCGTAATCCCAGTGCCCTTAACGGCGCTGGTTAAGACTATAGGCACAAGAGAGAGAGGCGATATAGCCAGCTGCTGTGTCGTCTTCTCGGCTTCGTAAAGATCATCGGCGGATATCTGCTGGATGTCAATTTCCAACACTGGTGTCGGCTGGTCAGATATAATGGACGGCTTGCGTCCGGCTTTTTTCAAAGCCGACAGCAAGTTAGACAAAGTCTGTCGTAGCCCAGCCTTGGTAGCAAGGTCGTACTTGGTGATAACTATCACCAAGGGCAACTCCAGAGTCAGACAGAGCTCAAGATGAGCTTGAGACAAGTCGAGGTCCGCAGCAGCGGGGCCCAGTATGTCTTGCGAAGTGGATGAAGCACCGATCTTGCCAGAAGACTCGTCTGTGTTGTCAGCCGGTACGCAGACTAACGTCCAATGTGGTTGCCTATTTGAGAAGTCAGTGGGTGCTACGCTTTCCATCAAGGTCACTGCTCTAGCGTCGCTGGGAGTCGAGTTTGTCATCTCCGGACCGAGACCTTTGGAGAGTGGGTAGCTTACCATCCAATGATGCCTCGGACTGTTGTACGTCGGAATCGAGGGTGTCCAGCAGAGTCTGACAGAACAACCAGACGCCCCTCCTGCGCAGCCTCAACAGCAGCGTGAATGTCAACCCAGGCATCCACATCTCCAGACCCATAGCTGATGACTTGTGTTGAGACCGCACCATCTGCCTCAACTACATCGCGGTAACCAATGAGCTCCTGTGTGACAGAGCTAGTCATTCCGGAGGCGATTTCATGTCGGTGCTTCAGGAGACTGAGGCGACTCTTGCCACGTCCGTTATCGAGCGTTGCTGTGGACAGAGTGCCTAATAGACTAGATTTCCCAGACTTGGTCGCACCAATGAGAGATACTCGCAGCTGCTCAACACTAGACCGCGTCTCGCTGACTCCAGCCGCTACAACTGCAGCATGCGCTGGAGCATCCTTTGTGGTATCCTGCGTGTCTTTGGAGCTGTCCACCAGATGTTGGTCTGGGCTGACCAAGGCTTCGGCAGCTAGCAGCTTCGACTTGCGCACCGTACGCTCTTTCGTGCCATTGTGCTCCAGCCACTCACACTCGCCAACACACAACATGCGCTGCACCTCAACCCGACATCCGAGACTTGCGGCCATGGCGCGCAAATTGTTCAGACTCTCCTCCATCTCATCCTCTGCTAGACCGACAATAGATCCATCGTCAGCGACTCCAATCTCGTATAGCGCACCCTTGCTCTCTTCCAAGCCTGGCAGCAGCCGTTGAGGCATCTCGGGAGTCGTGAGCTTGGCGTCGTCCGGGAGATGTGGAAGAAGAGGCGCTGTTGATGAGGAGAAGTGGTAAGGACACGATTGCTGCAGGCGCCATAGCAGTTGAGTGGTCAGCTGTTCCAGCCGATGCTGTCTAGACTGGATGGAAATCAAAGGTGGTGGTGTGTTGCCCAAAGCCCCTGACTCAGATACAGCGCGATTTACAGCGATAGAGCTTGTGCCATCGCCACGCCGTAGTGATCCGGAAGCGCGAAGTCCAGTACTAAAGCGTGTGAACGATCTTCGTCGTTTCAGTAGAAGGTGCAGTTTGTACTCCGTTGGTCCCTCCTGTGGCTCGGCCTCAAGTCGCGTAACAGTCGTGTTGTCAATGATAGGAATCTCATTCCTTAGCAGCGACTGCTGACAATCATCGAGCCCGAGTCTCGAAGGAATAGGTGTGACTGCTTGCTGGCCCGGAGTGTTCGTTCCCGTCCCAGCTGGAGGCGTGGCCCATGGCGATGATACACGCGGCGGGTCAGGATCGAACGTGAAGATGGAGGCCATATCGTGGATAGTTGCTTATATTGTCGTTTATGATGTTGATTGTTCTGTTCATGTACTGTCGCTCTCATATGCCACGTCAAGCCCGTAAAGATCTCGAGTTTGTATGTGAGTAGTGCGTTCGGAAAAGTTTTGATAATAATGGAAGCATCTTGATGATGTTTGCGCTGTGTGAGACTTCGCGGATGGAAGTGGTTGACAACTCGTTAAGAAGTGTGACTGGCTGCCTCTCGGCAATCACTAGCCAGTGAAAGACATTGTCTGCGTCTCGGATTGTGTCTCAGTTGTGCTCTGATTATCGTTTGTCGCAAAAGAATGAATGGATAGCGTGATGATGTAGAAGTGGAGATGGAGTGAGGTGGCGGCAACGGGCAGACCCGCTCTTGGCGCTCATCCCGGAGTCATCGCGTGGAGTCAGACTACAGACAACCCTTCCTTCGCAATACGAATGCACCGCCCTTTTTGCATCTAAGATCTCTAGTAATCAGCTCGAACTGAATGCGCCGGCCTCAAGCTGACGCATGTTGAGTGCTCACCTCCGCGGGCCTCGCAATATCAATTAGACATTGCGACACACAAGCCTCGCACTTGTAGACAACACATACATCCCCGTGAACATGGAGTGTTCAAAAGATGACAATAGAATCACGTGGAGCCATGCCGAGTTGAGATCTGTACTGGTGCTAATGCTCAACCTGACCTCACAGGACTCAAGGAGACATGATAGGTTTTTAACTTCACCGATGATCGTATTAGAAAGAGAAAGTTGCAACCTTCAGACGAGGCTCTGGCTGTGGAATCCATTTCGTAAGACGATAGGAAGAATAAATGCTAGACTGCCCATCTTCTTTAGTGCAATAGCCCGCCAACGATTGCAGCGGACTTGATCTGTCACTTTCCTCTCGCCAAGTATCAACTCTGGCGTGTCGCTTGCAGAGCGTATCCGAAAGAAGGCATCTCCACGGACGCAACAACCCGCTAAAAGACATGCCAAAGCCCAGTCTCGAACCTGCAACCCCGTGTCAAACCAACAGGTGCGAGCAAAAAGCAAAAGGAAAGGTACCCGTTGCGAGACCGGGCGATTGGAAGACAACGCTCGCTGGCAACGACGCTCGACGACGCTCGCAATGCTCAAGAACGCTGAGGGGATATGTACAACCAGCTACTTTCCTAGAATAACCGACGAACATTGGGGTATATATTCAGCAACTATATGCAGACACGTATGGCTGAAGAGCACAGGCGGTGCGTGCAAGCTACTAGTGTGCTCGCTCGAGCGTTCGCAGCAGGAGCTTGCGGGAGGAAGGCACGCCGGAACGCAACGTTTCGTTATCCGAAAAGCAAGAGGAAGAACCATGCGGGTAGGTCTCACCAATCCCATAGGAAACGCAGTAGCAGAGCAAAACGCAAAGAAAAGGTATTATATCAGGGCACTCTCCAAGCGCTACAGGTGACGCAGAGCACAACACCTCATCAAATCCCGGTCCATCTGCTTTCGCGACAGAGTAGCAGATTAGAGTATCACAGCATACATCTCCGCCACTCTCATGTATCTAGAAGCTTGCAGGCGTTGGCGGCAGCTGTTAGCAAACCACCCCGTGCAGTCGCTGTCATCACTTGGCATACCTTCCACCCTCTCTGACCAGGCTGCCTCGAAAGCAAAAACAGACGCCCGACACAGCTTCGCACTCGCAGCCTCACAACGCTTCGATGCGACCTGCGCGACAGCGGCGGAAAGGAGAGGCATCGATGCACCCATGGTCATGCCAGGAGCCTATAAGACACGACCCGTGCAATATGGAAGTCGTTCGTATCTACTATCCAGCTACCTTTCTCTTACCGTGCCTGGCCGTGATGGCGGATCCACGGCCTCCAAAGCTGCTCCGCACGCCTCGAGCCGGTGGAGTGTATCCAGCACGAAACGCGTATGCAAAAGGGCAGGTGCGGATGTGGAGGAGGAACCGAAGTGCAACGATGGTTTGTTTAGTCTAGCTACTGTTTGTGAAGAGAGGACGGACGGTGGGGTGTTGGGGTATTGGGGTGTAGGGGGCGATGATGCGAGGACGGCTTGGTTATGTGGACTCGGGTGGCTGGCTGTGTGCAGTGTATAGCAAGAGGATCTTGGCACCGTCACACGGAGACTGCTGTGGATGGACCTGCGTAGGCATGAGCACGCGCTCAACAGTGTCGAGTGCACGACGATATATACATCTATACGAGACAAATCTACATAGAACACACACAGATGCACACACACACACACACACATAAGGTGCGTCCCTAGGTGGAGAGACACACCATGTTGCGAGACATGTTGGCGGTTCGGAACTTCGGCGTCTCTGATATGTAAATCCATAGAGCTGATGTTCATGCACAGTGTTGATCAACTAATTCTCCTCCAGGTCAGCTAGCTCCGACGAGGATCTCTTCAGTGCTGGTCGCGGTGTTGATCGTTTTGTCGACGGCTTCACATGACCCCTCAGCGATACCCCCTGTCTGCTTGCGACATTGAGAATCTCTCTGGATATCGGAGGCCCTAGGAGGAGAAGTGGTCGATGAAGACTATGTTTCTAGGCTTTCAAGACCACTCAAATGTGGGAGTGAGCTCGCCAAAAGCCCCGAAGAGTAGGGAGGAGAACGCTGCAGCGAGACCCGAGCTAGCGGGACACGCCAATGGAGCTTGGCCTGCATTAGCGTATCTGCGAGCTGATTGTCTTTTACTGTAATTAATTAAGCGCTTTGCCTATCCTATACAGCTGTCTCGTAAGATGTAGCACATGCCATTGGCAGTTTTTACTGCATCAATTTACACTGGATGAGAACCACTAAAGCGCATGTCTTGTTGTGTACGCTGAAACCACTGCTAGCCTCAGCTGAACGCATCGCTTGAGACGGTCTGTGGAAACAGTGACATCTGTCATCGCTTGCTTACCGGCCCGCAGTGGGAGAGCGACGAAGTCCTTGAGGCCAGCGTATCCTTGCGCAATTGGCACGCTACACGAACATCGGATGTTAGTTGTAGCATAGGCCTGTACGTCGCGCTTTGTGCACGACCGCATCGAGCCCTCAGAAAAGCTGCCTTTCTGCTCTGCATTAATGTTCCGTTATGCAATATCGCCCAAATATGTTGCGAGGCCTGCTCGCCCAGCCTCGCGTCACCCTGCAGGCAGGCAGGCAGGCTGCGCCTTCCCCTCTGGGTGTTCAAACCGCAGTCTACCTCAACAAACAGCGTTTGGCACTATAGCACACAAAGACTGCTTTCTTGATCTCTGATATAGCAATCCACTGCCTAGCACTTACAACGGACTCGACGTATACATCTTACGATTTCCACGTCCTGCGCGAGCGAGCCGCCGTACGCCATCGACTTCTCTAGCCCGCCTCGAAGCTCCTAGACCCTCTTCTACACTCTGCTCACATATACGTATACACACGACCCTATGCGACTGCTATACATTGCAAGCGATGGGAGGCTCAGCTGGACCGACGATTTGCTCAACAATCAGATCCCCCCCTATGCGATCTTGTCACACACTTGGGAAGGGCAGGAGGTAGCCTATAAGGATCTTAAGAACCACAGAGACAAAGAGAATATCGATGCAAGGCTCAAGGGTGGATACCAGAAGATCTTCTTCTGCGCTGAGCAAGCTAAGCGCGATGGTCTGAACCACTTCTGGGTAGACACCTGCTGCATCGACAAGGCAAACAACACAGAACTGTCAAAAGCGATCAACTCTATGTTCCGGTGGTACCAGAACGCCAGAAAGTGTTACGTCTACCTTTCAGATGTCGAAAATGATACTCTAAAAGGTGATGGCGAGTTGGTGTTTAGGCGGAGCAGGTGGTTTAACCGCGGCTGGACCCTCCAGGAACTTCTGGCTCCCCATTCCGTCGAGTTCTTTTCTAAAGACGGAGCGCGGCTGGGGGACAAAGAATTGCTTAAGCATCTTATACACGAGATTACAGGAATCCCAGTCGAAGCTCTGTCAGGGAGCGACGTGTCTGAGTTCGACGTTGCCAAGCGGTTCTCATGGGCAGCGAATCGGCAGACTACAGAGGAAGAAGATGGAGCGTATTGTCTATTCGGTATATTTGGCGTCCACTTACCACTAATCTATGGCGAAGGCAAAGAAAACGCACTCGAGCGGCTGAGAAGTGCAGCTATCCTGAAGCATAAGGGTCGCAGCCATAACCAAGAAGAGAAAATTGGCAAGATCTGTACCTGGCTCTCGGCGCCGGACCCGTCCACCAACTACCACAAAGCGCACAAGCAGCGGCAGGCTGACACTGGGCTCTGGCTGCTGAATGGTCCGAATTTCTCCCAATGGAAGGAAAGTGCGGCGTCGCGACTGTGGCTGTATGGGATACCAGGGTGTGGAAAGACCATCCTAAGCTCTACCATCATCAAGCATCTGCTACAGCACTGCAATGATGACGCGGGCATGGTGACGGCGTACTTCTACTTCGACTTCAACGATGCACAGAAACAGGATCCAGAGCTGATGCTCCGCTCTTTGCTCTGCCAGCTCCTGCAGCGTTCCTCCATGATACCTAAAGGCGTCGACGCGTTGTTCTCATCCAGCGACAACGGACAGCGGCAGCCACCACTGCATGCGCTTCTGGAAGTGATACCGCAGGTAATGCAACAGTTTACGCATGCCTACATTGTTCTAGATGCGCTCGACGAATGCACTTCACGCCCAGAGCTGATGGACGTGCTCGAGACTGTGGCCGGGTACCAGCTTGACAGCGTGCATCTGCTCATGACCAGCCGCAAAGAGCGGGACATCGAAAGCTCTTTGGAGATTTATATCAAGGAGGAGGACACTATCTGTCTTCAGAGGGACGTAGTGGATAAAGACATACAACGATACGTTCAACAAAGGTTGTCTAATGATAAGAGTTTGACAAAATGGAACAAGGACGCCGCCATCAGGCAAGAGATTGAGGCTGCACTGATGCGCGGAGCTCGCGGGATGTACGTGTGTTGACCTGGGCCCCACAGATTTAAACTGACGATAGCGTAGGTTCCGATGGGCTTTCTGTCAGCTTGACACGTTGGCAGAGTGTCGCAATCGAACAATGCTGCGCAAGTCGCTGGCCACTCTGCCGCAAACGCTGGACCAGACATACGACCGCATTCTCACCGCTATCGGCGAAGGAGACTGCGAGTACGCGATGCGCATCCTGCAGTGGCTGACGTTCTCCATGCGGCCGATGTCGGTCGAAGAGGTTGCGGAGGTTGTCGCCATTGACATGGCGCGTGACCCAGCGTTCGACTGCGATGATGTGCTAGAGGATCCGCTGGAAGCGCTGAACATCTGCTCGAGTTTGGTCACAATTTCAACAATCCAGGGCCAAGGAAGATCAGGCCCTGCCCGGCGGATTATCGCTCTCGCACACTATTCTGTCCAGGAATACCTTGTGTCTGACAGGATACAACAGGGTCCAGCAAAGCAATACAAGATGCATGAAACCGGAAGTCACGGTATGATAACGGGTGGGTGTTTAAAGTATCTGCTACAGTTACAGCGACCATTGTCGGAAGAAGTCATTCAGACATCGACGCTGGCACGGTATGCGGCAGAGTTCTGGAGCAGTCATCTTGGGCAAACAGGAGAGGACATGGAAAGATTGAGCCAGCTAGCGATAGATCTCATGTCGACGGAAAACCCCGCGTACCTCACCTGGATCCAATTGTATGATCCGGACAGTCTTTGGATGCAACCAGATCTGAGCAAAGGTCTCGGAAGCGTAACAGCGCCGCTTTACTACGCATCGCTTTTAGGCCTGGATACAATCGCGAGCCTGTTGCTGGACCAAGGCGCTGAGGTCAACACACGAGGCGGACGCTACGGCAACGCACTCCATGCAGCTTCAATTAAAGGCCACAAGCAGGTAGTCCGGACGCTGCTCAAAGCAGGCGCTGACACCGATGTACAGAATGGAGATGATGGCGACCCACTCCAGGCAGCTTCATACGAAGGCCACGAGCTGATAGTTAAGATGCTAATCGAAAACAAGGCAGACGTCAACGCTCAAGGTGGCAAATACGGCAATGCGCTCCAGTCAGCTTCGGCTGCAGGTCGCCAAGCAATAGTACAGCTGCTCCTTGATAAGGGTGCTGGTGTGAACAAAAAGGGCGGTCTATATAACAGCGCTCTCAACGCGGCTGCGGCTGAAAGTCATACAGACATAGTCAGGCTTCTGCTGGAGAACGGTGCCGAGGTCTCGCAACACGATGTTCAAGGGAAAAGTGTCTTGCATCATGCTACCAACAGCGCATACTGTAGCCTCAGCCTCGTCGAGTTCCTGCTCTCGCAAGGTGCTCCGGTGAACACAACCGACATTGAGAACATGACTCCACTACATTACAGCGTCAAGTTCAGCCACGAATCCATAGTAGCATTGCTTCTTGAAAATGGTATGCCCATCGATGCCGGTATCCATCGAAAGTCTTGGTCTCGGAGAACTGTGAAAACCGACACCACTTACCGGGCTTCGATTTTGGCGTCTGAGCCCGACATCTCCTGCACTGCAATTGGTCTGACGCCTTTACACTTTGCGGCCTTGACGGGCAATTTGGTCATGACAGGGTTCCTTTTGAAGCGTGGCGCTAACCCGAATGCTCTGTCCAGATACAGAGAGTCCCCAATTCATCTCACGTTACGCAGATCTCTGCACGGACCAAAGTATGACGACGATTGGACGGACTCAAACTGGAGAGTAGAGTGCGTGTTGGATCTGCTGGAAGAAGAAGACGACGTTGGTGCAGTTCATGCGAATATAACCAAGCATCGCGAAGGCGTGCTCTGTGCGCTGCTCGCAGATCCAAGAACCAGTCTGACGATTAAAGACTATCAGAATGAGTACCCTTTGCACTGCATCGAATATGGAAGGCTTGAAAGTGTGTGGATGGTCAAGAAACTAGTGCTTAGGGGAGCAAATCCATTCGAAAGGAACATGAAGCAGCAGAACGCACTGCATCTTGCCAGCCGAGCTGGCGACCATGACGCTGTCGCTGTTCTACTTTCTCTAGGAGTCGAGCCTGCCTCTTCGGACAAACAGGGTCTCAACGCTCTTCACCATGCCGCACGAAGTGGAAGCTATGAAACAATCTCTCTCCTTCTAGAAACAGCTGTGACAACAACACCAAGCCTGGTAGCATCGAGGGACACCTTGGGTCGAAACATGCTCCACCACCTGTCCGCGACTTTCAAAGCTCGAAAAGAGACGATAAATTTGCTGCTTGACAAGGGGGTAGATGGCTCAGCGTTGGACGCATCTGGTGACTTACCCCTAGCGACCTACTTCAAAAAGCATTGGCTGGCAGTAGATGACGATATCTGCCAGTTGTTGGTTTCGGCTGAGGGAAGCCCCTTTTTTGTTGACAAAAACGGGCAAAACCTGGGACACTTATGCGTTTCAACGTTGGGCTGCAGAGTTCAAGTCTTGAAGGTTTTGAGAGATCATGGTGTCGATCTGACACAGAAAGATTTGCGGAGCAGGACACTCTTGCACTGTGCTGCGATTCATGGATCTGTCACCAAAGAACTCCTGCATCACCTTCTCCATGTTGTGGGCGTTGAACTGAATGCAGAAGATGCATCTGGAAAAACAGCGTTGCGGCATGCAGTAGAGATGGTTTCAATGGACCACGATCCACAAATGTATGACTCCAAACGTTGGGACAGAACCAAAAGGCTTTTGTTGGAATCAGGAGCGAGGTAACTAGATGATCAAGTCACAGAGTAGTTTTGAGTTGTTATAATTGAACAATAAGCCCCAAGCGCGCTCGGGCGTGCGCGTAGGATCATTCGGAGCATCGGACATGTTTGCTAAACGTCAACGTCATCACGTGTATGGAATACCACCAAAGCATTCATGAGAACTCCCACACTAAAACAACACTCATGTTTATCTTTTGATAAAGAGCTAGTCACAACCTCAAAGTTTTGCAGAAATGTGGCCGAGGCGCTCAGTTGGAGGCCACAAGCAGGTGATTAAGACGCTGCTCGACAAAGACGCGAACGTCGACACATAGGATAGACGCTACGGCAACGCACTGCAGGCAGTTTCTTGGAGAGGCCACAAGCAGGTGGTCAAGATGCTGCTTTAATGCAGGTGCTCATCAAGTCAAGGAAAATGATCCCGCGTTGGTATTCGCGTAGCTTTGCTCAGGCAGGTAATCAGCATTGTGAGTCAGCAGCAATGAACGTGCAATGGACCAGGACACGCAGCTGTCAGCCTGCGCCATTGCTATTTAGATGCCGCACCAAGTTGGGCATAGCTCTCATTTCTTTACAATAGAATACAGATAGCTTCTCAGCACGCTAATGCAAGCCGATGTACGCCAAGACTAACAGCACGTTCCGCCAACCCGGGCCCGTCTGCAGGGACCATCTCTTCCAGATTTCAGAGGTTCCGGCATGCACACGCCTGCGCTGGAACGATCTCTAAACGCGGAGGAAATGCCCTTCCTTGAACGCGCTTTGTCCTCAACCCTCTGATATTTGAGGAAACTCTTTGAGTGACGAGTATACAAGGGGGTATTGCAAGGGGGCTGTCTGACGACGTTGACGGGATGATTGACAGCATAACCAACACTGCAGAGATTTCAGTCGGAGCCTGCTGGCGCAGAGGAGAATAGTTTTATGAATATCATGGAGGAATGACAACTCTACAAATCTGCTCGTCAGGGGCGCCAAAGGTCCGAACAGCCAACCTGTCTCGAGACATGGTGTCTCTCCACTTAGGGACGCACCTTACACATACACACACATACACACACATACACACACACACACACACACACACACACACCCACACCCACACCCATCCAGTTTACGCACCCCCTCTGATGCCCCATCTCCCCACCTCCCTCATCGCCTCGGCATCGCCCAACGCAAGCTTCTCGTCCTTTAGCACGCCCGCAAGACACTGCCAGCCATCGCGCCCCCCGCCCCACCGCAACAGCTCATTCTTGTACAGCTCGCCATTGTCGCGATCCAAGCTGCCGCTGGGGCCATCCTTCTGAAAGACATCGCCCCAGATCTTAGCCGCAATCGCGCGGTCAAACAAGTAAGAGTAGTACGTGGCCCCGTAGCCGAACAAATGGCCAAAGAAGCCCTGCCACGCGGTGCCCGCGGGCTCGGGGACGGAGGCGTATTTGTTGTACACGGCGTGGTAGACTTTGGTCGAGTCAAAGGCCGCGCTCGCAGGGAGGGCAGAGTGGTACGCCTGGTCGAGCAGACAGAGCACGATCTGGCTCTCGAGCTCCGAGTACTGGTTTCTGTTGTCAATGGCGAGGCGGTGCGCGAGCGCGTGGGTCGGCAGCGGCGCGTCAGTCTCCCAGTGTCGCGCGTACAAGGCCAGGACCTCGGGACAGAAAGCAAAGTGCTCCATCAGCACCGACGGGAGCTCGGCAATGTCTGTCGCACAGCGGGTGCCGGAGACGTTTTGCAGCGCGGTGCGGCCGAGGATGGAGTGCAGGGCGTGGCCCATTTCGTGGAAGAGGGTGCGGACGTCGTGCATGTTGAGGCAGGCAGGGCGGGCGGCGGTGAGGGGCTTGTGGAAGTCGCAGATGAGGGCGATGGTGGGCAGCTGGAAGTAGCTGTCCCGCTGGGCGTTGTAGGTGACGGCCATGCCGTCTGTGGCTGCTTCGACGGGGGAGTCGAAGCGGTGGGCCATGTGGGCCACATCTGCAATCTCCGAGGACAGGATCTCGCGACTGCAGCGGAGGGTAAAGTGGGCTGGGTTCGGGGTCTTGCCGGGTCGCGAGAAAAGATCGCAGTACAAGACGGCAATGTGCCCTTCCGTGTCTGACATGACATCCAACCTCCTCACCCCGTCATCCCATACCTCGCCGGGGTGTGTTTCGCGCGCAACGAATCGTACGCCGTAGAGGCGGTCGAAGAGGCGGGATATGCCCTGCAGGACGGTGCCGACGGAAAAGTACGAGGACAGTGTGTCTGGCGTACGCTGGCGGTAGGCGCCCTCCATGGCGCCGAGCATCTTCTGGGTGTAGTAGAACTTGTCCCAGGCGTTGATCCGGTCGGGAAAGTTGTCCTGGTGCGCGTCGCTCTTCTTCAGCGCGGTCAGCTCGTCGAGGTCGGCCGTGACAGCGGGGCGGTTGTCCTGGTGCAAGGCGTTCAGAAACTGGTCGACTGCCTCTGGCGTCTTGGCCATCTTGTTCTCCAGCGTCATGTGTGCAAATGTCTCGTAGCCGGAGATGCTTGCCAGCTCGGCGCGCAGCTTCAGCATCTTCTCCAGACGCTCGATGCTGGAGCGGCTGGCGGTGCGGACAGCCGAGTACGTCTCTCGCCGCACGTCGGGGTCTTGGACGAAGCGCAGCACTGCCTGCGACTCGTGGTGCATGGTCGATATCGTCGTCTCGCCCCATCTTGTCAGCTGCCTCGCCAGACTGGGATCCATGCCCTTTAGCTTGGTCGAGCTGAACTTGAGCCGCAGCGTCTCCGGGGCCATGCCCTCGACAAACTGCGAGCCAACCTCGGCAATCTCGCCGCTCATGTCGACCAGCGTCCTGCGGGTTGCGTCGTCCAGGCCGATGCCGAAGCGCGCAAAGTCGTCCATCAGTATGCGCGCCACGATGCGCTCCTCCTCGGACCACGCCGCATACACGTCGGGCATCTCCGAGGCCTTCTTCAGCTGGTTGTACAGCACGGGGGTCGTGTTGAGCTGGTTCATGTACTGGAAGACGGTGTGGTAGGCCTTGACGGCCATGGCCTGAAACTTGCGATCCGGGTGCGTGCCGCGGACGAAGTCGGCCAGGTCGATGACGCGGCACAGCAGGTCGCTGAGCTTGTCCAGCTCGCGGACGAGCAGCTGCAAGTCGCGCGTCGACTCGGCGGCGCCGACCTTGTGCACGACGGCATTGCAGCGCTGGATGGTGACGGCGACGAAGTCGACGAAGCCGTCCGGGTGGGTCAGGTACTGGTTGCCGACGATGCCGGCCCGCCTGGTGCCCTTGCGGGTGCGACGGAAGCTGTCCCAGAAGGCGGCGTTGTCGAAGACGCTGCGCAGGGCGGCGTCGTCGGCCTTTGCGCCGGCAGACAGGCCGGAGAGGGCGGCGGGCGGCGGCGTGGGGGCGACGCGCTGGTCGTGGCCATGGGCGCGCGTGCTGATGAGGCGACGCGGGCGCGGGCGCGGGCGCTGGGCATGCTGGACGCACTGGGCGCACACCCACGGCGACGAGAGCGACGAGAGCGACGGGAGCGACAACGGCGACGGGAGCGACAACGGCGACGGGAGCGACAACGACGACGAGAGCGACGACGTCGGGCGCGCAAGCCGCTTGAGCATGGTTGAGGAGGCTGCGGCGGACAAAGGCTGCGTCACAGGCCAAAGACAGCACGAGCGCTCGGACGCGAGTTGGACGATTGGCAGCTAGGCCAGCTGCTCCTCCGTCCGTCCTCCGCCCGTCCTCCGCCGGGCAGCGCAGACACAAACGACACCAGCCCGCCTGCCGCCGCCCAACCCATTGCGCCCGCCCCCCGCACAGCATGGCCTTCCGACCGCTGCTACGGCCGGTGAGTGAGCTGCACCGTCCCGTGGAGCGCCCATTGACCTGAGCACAGCGCGCCGTCGTGCCCGCCCTGGCTGCCGCGCTCAGCGCCGGCGCAGTCTTCGCACCGCGAGCCGTCGACGCCGAGGAGCAGCCCGCCCAGCCGAGCTCAGCGCTCGTGCAGAGCCGCAAGCCCATCTACGACGACGTGCCCGTCGATGTCACGGCGGCCACGGCGCCCGCCCTGACGCAGCCCTCGCAGGCCCTGACGCCCGAGGCCGCGTACCGCCCGACGCCCACAGACCGCCTCGCCGAGCAGGTCGGCCTGGCGCGCATGGCCCTGTACCGCCAGGCCGTCCGCAGCGAGCAGGGCATCGACAAGGCCCTCACCGCGACGCTGCGCCTCGAGCACTCGTTCACCACCACGCTGCGCTCGCTGGCCCCGCCCAAGGAGTCTGGCGAGCGCATCTTCCCCGGCGCCCTGTACGTCCTCGTCGCCGCCATGGCGGGCTCCATTGTCAGCCGCAACCGCAACATTGTGCTGCGCGCCACCGTGCCCGCCGCCGTGGGCCTCACCGCCGCCTACGCCGTGCTGCCCCTCACAATGAACAACGTCGGCAACCTGGCCTGGTCGTACGAGGAAAAGTACCCGGTCGTGGCCGACGCGCATCTCAGGACAAAAGCGCGCATCAGCCACTTCATCGAGACGGGCAAGGCCCACACGGGCATGACGGTCGGCATGGTGCAGGACAAGGTCCATGATGTGCGCGACAGCATGGAGGGATGGGTCAAGAAGGGCAGGTGAGCGGTGGAGATGAGCCGGCTGTAAAGGCTGGAGCGAGCGCCCTGTACATCAGAATTGGCATAGACAGGATGACTCGTGCAATGAGACTGCATTTTGTTTGTCGTCCTGGCCCAGTGTTGCGCTCCTGCAGCGAGACTGCATTTTGTCTGTCGTCCTGGACCCGTGTTGCACTCCTGCAGCGAGACTGCATTTTGTCTGTCG